GCTCGTGGCATACTTGCGAGAAAATATCGATTGGACGAGCGCGTCCATGTCGCCCATCCATACGGCCGCTAGAGCAAATAACTCTGCCGCGGTGTCGCTTATTGTCGACCACATTAGGTCTCAGCCTATCGCCTATAGACAACGGTTCCGCTTCGGCGGCATGGACCCTATGTTAGGTGTAGAGAAGGACCCCGAGTTGCTCAAAGGGCTGACGGAGCAGATGGTCCAGCACGTACTCAATCAGGCAGTTACTACCAACGATATTCCCGAAATATCTGTGCCGGGATACACGCCCCTCCATATTGCTGCCAGCCTAGGAAACGAAGAAGTTATGAAAACACTTCTTCGCCTTGGTGCCGACCCTAATGTCGAGGACGAAGACCTTAATCGGCCTCTTCATATAGCGGTGCGGAACAATTTTGACGCAGGCGTTCAGCTTCTGATTAGGCATGGTGCGGACATGAATCGGTTCCATGGACAAGGGTCTACGCCCCTCATGGCTGCCGTGGAGGCCGGGAACCTTGAAATCTCGCAAATGCTGGTGAAGGAGGGGGCGGATATCCACGTTACTGATCCAGATGGCATGAGCCTCTTGAATATCGCAGGAGAACGTACAAAGAACCCAGCCATCATCCACTACCTGCTCAGTCTTGGCCTGAGCCCGTATAAGCGGGATAAGGCGGAATACATGCCCATCGATGACATGATACTCAATTATGATATGCTAGGCTTTGTGCTGAATGGCTCGTTCGACATGACCAGGCTTCGGGAGCTTAACAAGGGGTTCTTCTCGCTTGTCATTGAGTTAAATCGAGGCAACGCGGTTGTCATCCTCAAGAGGCTGTTTCGACGCCTGCCCAAGGACAAGATTGCTAAGATGATCAACGCGACGCCGAAGCGGTTCGTCAGCGCGTTGTGCAATGCGGTATACCGCGACACGTTTGACGCCATCGACGTCCTCGTCAAAAATGGGGCTGATGTGAACTTGGAAGGCTCAGTGGAGGGGACGGCGCTGATGGCGGCATGTTCGAGGGGAAGACTGCAGTCGGTCAAGTTACTGATGGAACGCGGTGCCAGGATTGCCTATACCGTAGTGGTGGATGGCGTGACCGTTGTTAAGAACGGCATCGAGCTGGCGGATCGACGCGGCTTTTCCGAGATCAGCGATTGGTTGCTCGTACGCAGATTTACCGACATGAAGCTTATAGAAGGCGTGGCAATAGACGACGCGGGGGGAGACTACACCCCAGGTCGGCCCGCGGGGACGTGGGGAGGGCCGTGGACTGCTGCCTATAAGTTACAAGGCATGTACCACGAGCACCCACGCGAACCAAAGGAGTCGAGGATCGCATACTTGGCCCGCATGAGCTCTCTTCGGGACTCTCTCCGTGGCCAAGTCCTGAGGGCTGCCGAACTGGTACGACCATCGAGTGACCCGGTCGACCTTCCAGAGATATCAATATGGGACCTTGAGAGGGCCAAGTCATGGAACGTGACGGCTGTGTTCTTGAGAAAGCGGCCTTCTGGACATGCGGGAAATGCGCTAGCGACTCCGACACATGCGACAAATGTGGCAGGGCATGCGACACATAGCGGCTCCAGTAGACACTGAGCATTTTACTTCATCGTGACACTCGAACACCGTCACTACGGGCTTATGTACGGAGCTGCCTAGAGAAGCGACGCCGTCTGTCACATAGATTAGATGAGGGAAACTTTCAACGAGGGTAGCTCGCTGGGTATATTGGGATTGCTTGGGATAGGGAAGCGTGGCAATTCATGTTGCGGCTGGACAACCTCGAATGGTTTGTATTCCTTTCTTTGTTCATCTTTGAAGTATTTACTCTTTAAGAAGTACACCCTGCAATTTTGGACGGAAACATATACGGATGGAAGGATTTCTAGAGTCTGTTAGTCCTTATTTCTGTTCCCTTTGTTTATTTTATTTTATTTTTTTTTTCTCTTTTTTTATTCTTCTTCTCTTCTTGTCTTCTTCGTTTTTACTCTCCTTCGGGTTTACATACACGGCGTTCTTTCTCCCTTAGATCGCACTATTTCTCGTATCTTACCCTCTCACTCTTTGTGCGGTCATTGTTTAGGGGAACGAGTGAGTTTTATAGGCAAACAGCGGCATATGTATCAGCCAAGGTAGCTTATCTCGGCAGGGGTGAGTTTGAGAAGAGCCCCGAAGCCCCATTGACCAACGTCGTCCATTACAGCTCGCTATTGTAAACGATGACAAGTACATGTAAGGTATTACCTCTGGCGCCCCTCGTCGAGTCACAGGTGGACTTCCTCGAATCCAGGTTCGCCGATGATATTTCTCATCGCCGACAGGAAGGATCAGAAAAGAAGAGAAATGCTTTCGTGTAAGGTTTGTGTCTAGAAGGGATCGCACGAGAGTTGATTGGGAACGATCAGGGAAATGATCCCAATCTTGAGGTGGAGCGAGGGATCAGCGCATGGACGTGATTTAATTTGTGGACGGGAAAATGTCCGATGGGTGAAGTGAAGGGATGGATTCCGGGATGCGCCATTGGAACCGGGGTTCAGACGTTCGGGAGCGGGGCCGAAAGGGACGAGAAATTCTCCGGGAGATGTCCTGATTTGGCGGGTTGGGATAGCTTAGGACTCTCCGCATATTGAACGAGGTTCGATCGAAGATAATGACTGGTAAGTGGTGAGATACTTCTGGTCTAGCCGGACAAAAGGAAGAAACAACGTTTACGAATCCCAACCAGCCCTCGACGACGAGCGAAAAGAACGAAGCACAAGTCCAGGACCAAGATTGACAGCTTCAGCGGGATTTCACGATCTTGAACTCGATACTTCTCAGCTCATTGCAAGCAGCGTTGCAGCGCATTCGAAATCATCCGCTTTAGCCTAAAGATGTCCCCTAAACCTTGTCTTCTTCTGTGGTAGCCCGTACATCGCCGTTTGCGAAATGTAACCTGGCTGGTCCCTTCATTCAGCCTTTGCTACCAGGCCGCCGTTTTCAGCCCCAAATTGCTAACGCGGATGGCAGCACGTCTCTTTTAGTGGAAGTGATCGTGAAGAATCTTGGTGGGAAAACCTTGATTGTCGTGACACTGATGACACTCTGGGATGGAGTTGCTATGGCTAGTACGACAGTAAGGAGGAGTAATGAGGTGGGTGCTGGGGGAGAGGTGGATTTTGATTTTGGGCGTGGACCTAAGCATGGGCATGACGATGTGGATATAAAACGAGACTAAAGAACTAGGTTGGAGACGAGGTTTCGATCGGAAAGTTGTGATACTTGGGGGATTCTCGACCGCAGGACCCTTGTTGCTTCTTTTCCACTTACTTTCATCCCGTACTTACGCAGCTCAATAACGTCACTCCATCCAGCGCCTTGCTCAAGATGAAGAAGTCACTCATCCTTCTTGCGTCGGCTGCTGCGGCCCAACAGAGCGGCTGGGGCCAATGCGGCGGTATTGGCTGGACTGGCGCAACAACCTGTGTCTCTGGCTGGACCTGCACGTACCAGAACGACTGGTACTCGCAGTGTCTCCCGGGCTCCACAAACCCCCCGACGACGACTCCCCGTCCATCATCGTCGTCAACTACCTTTGTGACGCAGACGTCAACCACCTCAGCCAACCCAGGAGGTCCCACGAGCTGCCCATCCACCCCTTCGGGGCTAGGAACTTCGACCTCCAACCTCAACGACCCGTTCACCTTTCACTCGGGCTCCAAAGTGACCACCAAACAAGACTGGACCTGCCGCCAGGCCGAAATCTCCAAACTCCTCCAACAATACGAGCTCGGCACCCTCCCCGCCAAGCCCACCGTATCAGCCAGCTACTCCGGCTCGACCCTGACCATCACCTCCTCCGCCAACGGCAAATCCGTCTCCTTCTCCGTGACGATCAACAAGCCCTCAGGAAGCGGACCCTTCCCCGCCATCATCTCCTACGGCTCATTCGGTTCCTCGATCCCCGTCCCCGCGGGCGTGGCCACCATCCTCTTCAACAACGACGACGTCGCTCAGCAGCAGGACTCGTCCACTTCCCGCGGAAAGGGCAAGTTCTACGACCTCTACGGCTCGGACCACTCCGCGGGCGCCCTCGTCGCGTGGGCCTGGGGCGTCGGCCGCATCCTCGACGCCCTCGAGCTGACGCGCGCCCAGACGGGCATCGACCCGGCCCGCATCGGTGTGACGGGATGTTCCCGCAACGGCAAGGGCGCCATGGTCGCCGGCGCATTGGAGCCCCGCATCGCGCTGACCCTACCCCAGGAGTCCGGCGCCGGCGGAGCAGGGTGCTGGCGCATCGCCAACTGGCAAAAGAACAGCAACGGCCAAAACGTGCAAACAGCCTCGCAAATCGTCGGCGAAAACGTCTGGTTCAGCCGTAACTTCAACAGCTACGTCAATAACGTCAACTCCCTCCCCTTCGACCACCACATGCTCGCGGGGCTCATCGCCCCTCGACCTGTGTACATCATGGAGAACCCGGACTTCGAGTGGCTCGGCACCATGTCGACGTATGGGTGCATGGGGGCCGCGAAGAAGCAGTGGGATGCGTTGGGGGCGAGCGAGGCGTTTGGGTATAGTCAGGTGGGCGGGCATAATCATTGCTCGTTCCCTGGGGTGCAGAGTGGGGAGTTGAATGCGTTTATTAATAGGTATCTGATGGGGCAGAGTGCGAATACGGGTGTGTTTAGGACGGATCAGAACTATGGCAGCTTTAACATCAATACTTGGGCGCCGTGGTCTGTGCCGACTCTCCGCTAGGATGTTTGGGTAGAAGGGGGTAGTGAAGCTCGAGGTTGAGTGTGGAGAGGCGACGTGTATATAGTGAGCAGGATTTCTTGACTGTAAATACTGTTTTCTTTCTTTTAGCAGTCGTGCCATCACGATGAACCAAGTTTGTTGAGGCTTTAAATTTACAGAAACGCTCAATTTCATTCTGCTCATTCTGTTTTGAGATTATAAGGTATACACGGATATGAAACCATCATCTGAAGAAGCATATCCTTTATTTCAAGAAGTCCGGAGGCAAATCGGGTCCTGTAACAAATTAGTCTTCCACTCTCTTCCCAGCATCGACAACAAAGGAGTGCCAAAAAAACTTACCCCAAACGTGTAGGTTATCAGGAGCCGCCGGGTTCCTATGAGTAGGCTCGGTATCATCCAGCAAATCACCATCAACATAATGCTCCATAATGAACCCCGAAGGATCGAACCAGTAGTCAAAGATCTGGCTACCCATGATATGCCGGCCCACGCCCCAGCAGTTCTTGTATCCCTTGTGCCGGAGCCAGTCGTGGCCGAGGACCTGGGCGTCGAAATCGTGTGTCTCGAAGGACGAGTGATGGACGTGGTACTTGGGGCCCTCGAAGAAGAAGAAGACGTGGTGGTCGACGAGCTCCTTGCCGCGGTTGAGGCGGTAGAAGACGGTGATGTCCTTGCCGTTGGGGGCGTAGACGAGCTGTTGCGGTAGTGGGCGATTTTAGCGAGACATGCATTCGTGGAAAAAAGAGTCCGAAAGGGGTCTGCTTTCATACCTCACTGGGGAAAAAGTTGAAGTGGGTGGTATAAAACTCGTAGGCCTTGGCAAAGTCTGTCACGCACACGCCAAAGTGGCCGATCTTGTGAACGGGGGCGGGTCGCTTCTTGAATCGTTGCTTCTCGTTGACGCCTCGGTTTTTGACTAGAGGCTATTGTTTGGTGACTCGAAGTTAGCAAAACAGAGAGTGCCCTAGAAAAAGGCGATGAGGTGACGTCAACGAAGGCCTTACATAGTTGACCTTGAGGTCAGGGAAGTCCGGAGGCTGAGCTTCGGCGGGCGTCTGTCCGTAGACAAGATGGAACTGCCAGTTATCGACGGGGTCGCGGAACGTCACACACTTGCCACCGCCCGGGGCATCCTTCAGCTCGTAGATCTCGGTGGCTTGAGGAAGGGTCTTGGACGCATGCTCGAGATCGTCCAGCGACTCGACAACGAAGGCGGGGCCGAGGAACTCGTCCTCATCGCCCTCCTCGGCGACAATGGTGACGGGCTCGGAGCCGTAGCCGCGGTAGTAGGTGCGGTTCCCGACGCGGGCGGTCTCGGCGAGGCCGAAGTCTTCGTAGAAAGCTCGGGCGGCGTCGATGTTCTTGTGCTTGTATGCCGCGAAGGCGATGCGAACGAGCTGGATCTTCTTATCCACAGCCATGGTGACTACTTGCGTAGGCGAGAGGGACACGGAGCGCTCTCAATCAGACTATCGGTGATACACGCACTCGCGATCAAGAGTTCTTGTGCGTATATATATAAGGTACTTAGAGATATATATATAGATGTATACGTACACGTGCCGCTGGATTGGCACAGTAATGCGGAGTCTAACGAGGTATGGAAAACAATGTGGTGGATGTGCAGTAAATCTGAGGACCGGAAGCACTTATAACACGTTGGGGCGGGGCCACTTCGGCGCCGATGGGATCTTCGGGGTATTACAGAATAGAAACGAGAGGAAGATCAGACCCGCAAAACGGACCACTTGATCAGATGGTATCCTCGACTACATGCATCCGCGTTTCTAGGCTGATGGTGATGGTGGGGGTGGTAGACAATTTGGGGGGTGTAGGAGACGGAGAAAAGGACAAGGAGCCGGTTCGTTGAGAGGGGTCGGCGGACACTTGATTTGGTCTCCGAAGGTCGACATTCAACAGTTCAACAGTCAACAGTCGACCGACACAGAGCTAACAGGCTACCTGGGCCTGGCTAACAGGATGAATGCAGGCACGACGAGAACGTGTGGAGCACTCGTGGCGCCCTGCGCGTCTCACAAGAATATGGGCACGGGCGTTCAATCATGGTAAAGAGGCGCCCAAGACTCCAAGTGTGGTAGCAGCAGCGACGATACCGTCTGGGAACATCAAAGCCGCAGCGGCAGGGGAGCAGGGGAGCTTGACTTCATCCAGCGAACCAACCTTTCTTCCCCCGCATCCGCATGGAGACGGCAACACTGGCGCACATTACCCCACAGGAGCCCCGCTGGGGTCAGACAACGCGGCTTCGGTACTTGTGTGGTTAAGGTAGGAAAAGCGGCAAATCGTCGACGGGCATGATGATACACTGTCTCGATTTGTGACTTTGCGAGCCTCCGTTTGTCGCATCTTCGATCTCCGAAGCTGGAAAGGCGATACGAGAAGCGACTAAGCGACTCAAGTCTTGTTCAACAAGGGATCGATATGGACGGTAATCGTGCGCCGTAATTTTCTATGCAAAGGCTGCATGGCTCCAGAACTTGCAAGCAGCGGCTTCGTGCCTCGGAGTTCAGCCATTATGCACGAATTTCTCGGCTCTCCGGGCAAAGGTCCGATGGAGTCGCTTGCTTTCGAGAGAGATTGAGAGATTGATAACCGACTCCCAATCGTGCCCATTCACGCTTCAATGCTCACACTCAGCTTTGAATGCAAGTGCCGAAGTCAAAGAAGCCATTCTCGTAGCTTATTAAGATTGATGCATGCAACCAACCCCGGGCCGAGAGAATATCCAGCACCAAACCAGGGCGGCTCATGCTGCATTGGCTTAAACACACGATGGACGGAATGATACGATGCGGGGGAGAATTCAATTGATGGACTCTGCCTCAGTGACGATGACCTTTCCAGCCCCCCAACCCCAACCCCTGGGCTCCAAACAGGTGGTCTCGGGCGACATCACCTGGCAATTGACAAGCACATCACTGCTGATTAAGCTACGAAGTACTCTGAAGTACAATTGTCCATTCAAGGAACTGGGGCAGGGTCGCATCCTTCGGTGGAACAGAGACCAATGCCCGAATGTCGCGAGATGGGAAGCTCACCTGGCTGGACCTCTACCTTTTCCGACGACGGCCCTAGTCTCTTTTTCAACCAAACTACCCCGTTCCTACAACCTCCCAAAGGCGCTCTTTCACAATGATGAAAAAGTTTACGAAACAGTCAACAGCAACCCCAGCTGCCCTCCCCTCTTACATCCCCCCAACCCTCAACCCCGCCATAACCCCCGTCCCCCTCCCACGCCTCATCGTCTTCGACCTCGACTACACCCTCTGGCCCTTCTGGGTCGACACCCACCCGATGCCGCCGTTCCGCGCCTCCCCCGACCACACCTCCGCCTCCGACAAGACGGGCGAAACCTACGAGTTCTACACCGACTCGGGCGCCATACTACACTCCCTCACGGGCCACCTGGGCATTAAGGTCGCCGCCGCCAGCCGCACGCACGCGCCCGAGTTGGCGCGGGATCTGCTCAAGATGCTGTGGGTGTACCCGCCGCCTTTGCCGAGCGCGTCTTCGGCTTCTACGGGAGGGGATGGTAGCAGTAGCGGTGGTGGCAGCTCGGCGCAGCAATCTACGTATTCGTACTCGAAGAGGGAGAAGCCGAGGAAGGCGGCGGATTTCTTTGATGCTGGGTTGGAGATTTATCCGGGGAGTAAGATTCGGCACTTTGAGTCGTTGAAGAGGAGGACGGGGATAGCGTTTGATGAGATGTTGTTTTTCGACGATGAGAGCAGGAATAGGGATGTTGAGAGTCTGGGGGTGACGATGTGGCTTGTGAGGGATGGGATGACTTGGTTAGAACTGGAACAGGGTGTCATGGAGTGGAGGCGGAGAAAAGGACATGCATGAGGTGGAGGAAGAGAGGATGAAATCTATCACCGGTGTTTGTGTTTGTGTTTGTGTTTGTGTTTGTATCGGGCACATCTCTTCTGTGGCTGCTGGGCAGTCAGTATCTCCTAGATGGAAGGTTGGCAGGGTTGGAAACGGCATCATTTATTTTAGCATATAGATTGCGTAGGGCGAGAAGCGTATATATATATACCCACGAATATCCATCATGAATTTGCGAAGATGATAAACTCCATCGTCCATCCATTAATACGATTATCGTGTAGTTAGTTCAGTAGGTAAGAAAGCGTAATTTCATCACATGCGTGCTGCTCATCCCAGCTCCCGAGGTCCTGTGTAGTACGACGTACGCATACACGCCAACTTTAAACCGTCAACATCCTTAAACTAGGCTACGATTGAAAAGGGGAATTGAACTCAAGGAATATCTGATCAATGTTTGTATGGTTTACCGTGGTATTATATCTAGATTGTGAGATGATTAGCTCTGCCAAAAACCAAAATGCAACGCCTGCCTGATTGTACGGCTGGAAAAAAATGTGTCAGTACCCCTTCCCCTTCCCCGTCCCCGTCCCCGTCCCCGTCCTTCCCCAGATTACCTCCGGTCTTCAATGTGATCCGAGATGGTCACAAAAGCCTGACCGCAAACGACCTATTTCGATGCAAAATTACCGTCTCCTCCCCTATTTTCTCTCTTTCTCACCATGCCAACCAACTATGCAGGGACCGCGGGTGATACCGGCGTTCCAGCGGATCCATTAATCTCCGCAGCCTTCTCCTTCACCTCAGGCTCCGAAAGAGCCAAGTCGTCAACCTCCTCGCTCAACTTGGCCACTTCACCATCTGCCTCTAGAGGAGCAGCATCACGCGTCTCAGTCCGGCACAAAGACTGACCGCCCCAAACGTTGTCCTTGTGCACGATACATATCCTCTCCTCCCTCTGCTTGCCATTCACCTGACCGACGCCAATACACTCCATCTTCTTCCCGTCGTCAATCTCTCGCCAGACGTGAGGGCCCGTAGGGAAGCTGCTGTGGCCTTTCGCCCACTCGACGATTCCGTCCCAGGCCGGGTCGACGGTCGGGAGCTGGCCCCAGGAGAAGTCGAGTTCGCCGCCGTACTTTTTGGGGATGTTCTTGGGGTCGATGAATTCTCGGAGGGTGGGCTCGACTTCGTGGGAGCTGAGGATGAAGATTTTGGAGACGGTGATGGGGTCGAACCAGCGTTTGATCCAGCCCCAGACTGTGGAGAAGAAGACGGGCGCTCCGATGATCTACAGGAAATGCGCGGTTAGTAAACAACCGAAAACAAGGGAAGCAAACACTTGATGATGCTTATCCACATACAAATATTCCTGTCGAGTTTCATGGTCAGTTACATAAAAGTTTCTTAGCACTCTCTCAAGGGCAACCAAAAAGTAACTCACTATCCAAAGTCTCAGGGTAATGGGCCGTCGCAAGCTGGCTAGCGGCCTGCATGTGGGACTTCAAGTTCCAAAACTGCTTCAATCCGACACCGGAGATATCTACAATATTCGTCGTCATGGTGATGGGCGTCCCGGCGAACTCGCGATCCTGAAGTTGCGAGCAGAACGGCATGACGAAGTGCGTGAGGTTCTCATACAGCGCGAAGAGGCGGAGGAGACCGTTAGGCGTCTTGCCATCGGACTTGGCTTTGCTGAAGGTGCTAGTGTTGCCGACGCGTTCATATTCGGCGACGGCTTTCGAATCGAGCTGCTTGATTTCGAAAAGATATAGCGGAATACCTCTGGACACGGGACGGTCCTTTGTTTAGTATGTGACGCTGGAAGAAATGCTTTGCGATCTGAAACCTTTGTGCCGGGTTACGGCTCACCTTCGGTCCCTCCTGCCAGTCCATTGAGGGTACTAATTGCGACCACCAAAGTCAGCATTTCCTCGGTCTGGGAGCCCACAACAGGGAGAAGATCGACATACCATGCGGCGACTCTGCTCATAAGAGTCTAATTCTATGGTATGGTAGAGGATATCGAGGTCATTTGCTTTGCGCCAAACGTGGCTGTCCTTAAATTGCTTCAACGCCTCGGCGGGACTCCATCTCCGAGCTCTCAAGTACCGCCTACGAAGCCAGAGGTCAGTCAACTCAGCGCACCATGCCCCTTCACGGAAATTTGTGGTTCGTTTGCATTCCTAGACTTCAGGCGAAGCTGGCGAAGCGGGGGAAACATTTAAGCAGTAAATGCGACAAGGAAACAAGAACATACAGGAGCACGGTATCGTCGTGGGAGGGCGGGGTTCCAGGTTTGTACAATTCCTCCTCCTCGGCGAGCTTCTTGAAGGCATCAAGAGCCTCGGTCTCGTGCTCGGCAAGGTAACCTAGGTGGCCGTGTGGATAACCGTAGTCGGAGTCGAGTACGCTCTGGACCTTGTGGAGAGGTGGTTCGGAAGCGCCGGAGTCGGTCGCCATGGTCACGAAGGGCTAATACGGCGCGTTCAGAGTTCGGGTTCTCGATGGGAAAGAGGGGAGAGGCAGAGCGAGAAGGGGAAAAGCAAGGGAAGAAGGAATAGGAAAAGAAAAAAAAAGAGGGAGTGGAAAGACGCGGCTGTACAAAAATTAAGCGCTTTTATTATGGGTGGGTTCTTGGGGGCGTCCCGTAGAAAGAGAACGCCTCTTGTAGCATTTCAAAGAAGGATTCCATTTTCTTAGTGTCCCGCTCTACTTCTTCTCGATGGGGAACCAATGATAGCCAAAATGACGCAGGAGCTGCCCCGGTCGGCGCTGTGGAAGTCTGGGCTTGTCCCGGTTTGGAAAAATGGCGGGGCTCGATGGGACACAATTGCAAGGGATCGCAAGGGATCGCAAGGGATCGCAAGGGTGTTGCAGGGTGTGACGGAGTCATTCAGCAGCCCGGCCCCACTAAAAGAAGGCCTTTGATGCAAATCGCATCAATCTCGAGATCGATCCGTCGCTGTGATACTGGTAGATGACAAGTCCGAGGTACTTGAGTTCGCTCTTTAATGGATTGCACTGAGAGGTACAAGGGTACAGTGTAATATGCCTCCGTGTCGGTCATGAAGTACGAAGTACTCGACAGTGTCGCTGGGAAGCCGCTGGAGCCCACCACCCCAGACCGCAGCGTAGTGTAACCCTCAAATTGTAAAACCCCCACCATTTTGTTTGCTCAGCGTTGTGATTGCTGTTGGTTGTGGAAGTGAATGGACCAAGAGTCGATGCACTTGTGGCCAATCGATGATCTCGAGATTCGCTGCATGTTCTAAACCGTACCCCTGAATGTCGAGATCGCCAAACACGCTATTTGTTTCTGCTTCACTTCGAATTAGAATAAGCAAGACTGAAAGGGGCCAAAAAAGGTTCGTCCGCAGAATCGCGTCCGTTCATCACAGCGCTCCCAGCCTTGCCTGCTGACGGATGTTTGCTGGATCAATAGTTACATTCAGTTCCCCTTTAGCTCAAGGATCTCGCGGAGGACTTCCAAATGGGACATACAGTCACGGGTTGACTAGGATATGACGATACGAATGCTTTGTAGGCGTTTACAAAGAAGATTGTCTCTGTTTGGAGATTAGGCTTTCCCGATCATCCGTTCGGCCATCGCAAAATCTGCAAGCCTAAGAACCGCGAGAGACCTTGGCGATCAGCCTTCCAGATCCCATCAATGAAAACCACCTCTACCACCAGTGAGGGCTACATCAATACTAAGGCAGCCATTCTTTCGAACAAGACCCTAGTCAGTATTTCGAGCCGCCATCTGGCCATGGATCAATGAACCGTCCATAGGGCTGGATTCTAGTGCAATTGGCCCCTAGCGAGTATCTGGCCAACGCAGAAACAGTTTTGATGCTGGTCTCGGGAGAGATATCCACTTCGGTTATGTCTATGACAGTGACATTAAAGAGACGAGCTGCCGAAGCCCTACATTCCAAGGTTAAGGGAAAGAAAGAGAAAAAAAAAAATGAGGTGAGGTTAAGGCGTGTATTTCGTGGGCGTCACAGGTTTAGAGGTTGCCAAGTACCATTGTCGGGTGAAGCTGCCGCCCGAGGTTGCCATTGGTATACAATTGCTAACACCTGGAAACAAATATCAAGGATCATGGCGGGGTGGACCCGGCAGAAAAAAAAAAGTTCGCACACCGACTTCACCAAAGCGATTTTCATCAGATGCAGGTTCTTGACGGGTCCAGATCTCGACACCACCAGCTACAGTCAGTCCCCGAGGTGCGAACCCACCAACTGACACACAATGCCGGCCCCAAGTTCCAAAAGCTCGGGCAAGCCCCGGCAGAAGAATAATACGAGAACAAAAGAAAAGCGAGAAGAAAAGAGGCTCAAGGGCCTAGCAGACCTCGAAACACTAGAGAAGGCTGTCGTAGAATTTGTAAGTCCTTAATGCCCATTGTTGAATTTTCTTGTCTTCTCCCTTCTGACCGACTCAGGACCCAAAAACTTCCGAATCCACCAAATTCGCCAACTTACCCCTTTCCGAACCCACTGCCTCCGGCCTCGATGCCTCCCACTTCCAGACCCTCACCGAGATCCAAGCCCGCGCCATCCCCCTCGCCCTCAAGGGCCTCGACATCCTCGGAGCCGCCAAGACCGGCAGCGGCAAGACCCTCGCCTTCCTCGTGCCCGTCCTCGAAAAGCTCCACAGAGCCCGATGGACCGAATACGACGGGCTCGGCGCCCTCATCCTCTCGCCGACTCGTGAGCTCGCCGTGCAGATCTTCGAGGTGCTGCGGAAGATTGGGCGGAACCATCCCTTCTCGGCCGGGCTGGTCATCGGAGGCAAGAGCTTGAAGGAGGAGGCGGTGAGGTTGGCAAGGATGAACATCTTGGTGTGTACGCCGGGGCGTATGCTTCAGCACCTGGACCAGACGGCCGGTTTCGACGCGAGTAACCTACAGATTCTCGTTCTCGACGAGGCCGACCGGATCATGGACATGGGGTTCCAGCAGGCCGTTGATGCCCTGGTAGAGCACCTGCCCAAGTCTCGGCAGACTCTGATGTTCAGCGCGACGCAGAGTAAAAAGGTGTCGGATCTGGCGCGACTGAGCCTCAAGGACCCCGAATACGTCTCCGTCCACGAAAAGGCATCGACGGCGACGCCTGCTTCCCTCACGCAACACTACATCATCACCCCGCTGCCCGAAAAGATCAATACGCTCTACGGCTTCCTAAAATCTAACCTCAAGTCTAAGATGATTGTCTTCCTCTCGTCGGGCAAGCAGGTCCGATTCGTCTACGAAAGTTTCAGGGCGTTACGGCCCGGTATTCCCTTGCTACACCTACACGGCAGGCAGAAACAGACTGCGCGACTTGAAATCACCTCGAGGTTCGCGGCTGCGCAATATAGCTGCCTATTCGCAACCGACGTCGTCGCCCGCGGAGTGGATTTTCCTGCCGTGGACTGGGTCGTTCAGTTCGACTGCCCCGAAGACGCCGACACCTACATCCACCGCGTAGGGCGGACGGCGCGCTTCCAAAGTAACGGCCGGGCTGTCCTCTTCCTTGACCCCAGCGAAGAGGACGGCATGCTCAAGCGGTTAGAGCACAAAAAGGTGCCGATACAAAAAGTCAATGTCAAGGAGTCGAAGCGGAAGAGTATCAAGAACGAGCTGCAGCAATTGTGTTTCCAAAATCCGGATGTCAAGTACCTCGCGCAAAAATCGTTCATCAGCTATACCCGATCGGTGCACTTACAAAAGGACAAGGAGGTGTTCAAGTTTAACGAGTTGGACCTTGATGGGTTCGCCGCGAGCATGGGCCTTCCTGGTGCGCCTCAGATCAAGTTCCAAAAGGGAGAGGACATTAAGAAGATTAAGAATGCTAGCCGGATGAATATGTCTAGCGATTCGGAATCAGAGTTTGATGAGGAAGGAAACCGGAAGCGGAAGCGGAAGAAGGGAGAGGTCCGGACGAAGTACGATAAGATGTTTGAACGTACGAATCAGGACGTTCTTTCAAGTCACTACACCAAGCTTGTCGGGGATGGAGAAGCTGTGGAGAACGGCGACGACGGTGATGAGGACAACTTTTTGTCGGTGAAGAGGGTGCTGAATGATGAGGATCTCGATGAGGTATCCAAAGATTTCGGATCAATGCCCAAGGTTCTTGACTTTGGCGGCAAGGAACAGCTCATCATAGACTCGAAACGAAGAGAGAAGCTATTACAATCGAAGAAGAAGCTGCTCAAGTACCGACCAGTGGGAGAGAGGCTCGTCTTCGATGACGACGGCAACCCTCGTGCGATTTACGAGTTGAAGAACGAAGAGGATTTCAAGCAGGAGGGCCCCGTCGAGGAGCAGAGGAGGAAGTTTATCGAAGACGAGGTCGTACGGGTACAGGAAGCTGACCTGCAGGATAAGATGCTAGCGAAGCAGAGGATACGCGAGAAGAGGGAGAAGAGGAAGGCGAGGGAAAAGGAGGAGAGGGAACTGGAGAAGGCTGAGCGCGCGGAAGGGGGAGGTGGTGGTATGGTGGTGGAGTTGGGCGGCGGCGATGACGAGGACGGGGCGGATCCGCTTGCCTTGCTTCGGGATCTCCCCATTGCGGGGGGACAGGAGTACAGCAGCGAAGATGAGGAAGAGGATAGGCGTCCGAAGAAGAAGGCTAAGAAGTGGTTCCAGGATGACGAGTCCAGCGCGGATGAGGGCGATGCGAAGAAGCGCAAGAAGAAGTCGAAGAAGGGAGGCAAGGTCATTGAGATTGACCGTGAGCCGGAGACTCTGGAGGATCTTGAGGCTCTGGCTACTGGGCTGCTGGATTAAGCAATCAGGGGATCGATTGGATTTTAATTGTAGAATACATCCTAGTATAGATTTCGCGGTGTTTCGATACCCAAGAACACGTTCCCAGCCCCAACTTTTCCCCAAGGAAGGACCCCCTTCCTCTCGCGCCTTCCCTCGTCCACTCCCAATCCCAACAGGCTGCTGTAATAACTTTATATACGAGTCCACGGAAGGAATTTCCAACCGAGCAGCTCAAGCAGTGGCCAAGTGGTCATTGGAGCGCTCAGAAGGTTAGAAAATTGCAATTTTCGTAGCTCGTGGGAAGCAACCAGGATTCGATCCTGGGAGCGACCCGCGAGCGAGCTTTTTTGTTATTTTTTTTTTTTTCTTTTTTCTTTTTTCCGTACCCTTCTCCCCTTTCTTCTTCTCTTTCTCACTTTCTCACAGCATCGCCAAGACCTGCGAGAATCAGCAGACTATTAAAACAAGGTCAATTTGATCTCTTCACATCTTGTTGTGATGGGCTGGCCATGCCTCGGAGATGCTCAATTCGAAGCCCACATCATCTCGATCCCTAGAGCCTCATGTCTCGTGTTTAGTAACACTAAACCCTCAACTCTTACCAGGGTCTAATTGGCATCAGTCCATTCCTTCGCCCATAGCACCACACTTGGACGGGGCCTTACTTGAGATAGCCTGGTGGCGTCCTCACAGCACTGCACTACGGAGTATGGAGTAGTGTACAACCCAGACCCAGACCCATTTAGAGCGGGCCAAGACTCTTGCCCCAATATGCACAATGCCACGCTTTGAAGAGTTATCATTTTTGGGCCAACAGGGGGTGAGCCCCGAACCAAAGGCAGGCCCGGTAGGGTTAATAGCCCCCAATGTCACCCCGCATTCCCAGTTCAGCCGCGATCTGTTCAATGTGGTGCCGAAGCGGCGTGGGTGTGGGCGTGCCGTGCTGTTGGCTCGTGAGAGGACGGCATCACCGCCACCTTTTTTATTTTTTTCCCTACGATCCAAGATCCAATGATTGATATCGATGTTTGTGGTAGCAGCCGAGAGCGGGAATAATGGAACGTGGACGATGAGACGGACCAGCGTCGAGAAGATGTCCCGAGTGTGGGGAACGTGGGAAAAGAGAGAGCTGGGTCTGGGTCTGGCAGAATCAACACACAGACACGGAATAGGGGACTGCAAGTTGGCTCCCAGTACGAAGTAGCAAGTAAATTGGGACTTGGCGTGGGCTTTTCCCCACGAGTTCCACCCCGTCTCCGGCGAAAGCGGCCTGGCAGGCAACTCATCTTCAGTCTTCGGCCGGAGTCTATTCCGCCTTGGAGGTAGTGCGGTGGATCAATATGTTCTGTGCATGCAGTGCCCAGGCATTCCAACTCACATGCCCTGCTCCTCCCCCATATCCTACCCATATGATGCATATGGCAGACACTAGTTCCAGTTGGAGTACACAATTGCATCCATCCACAGATTATATCCGAATGATATCCACACATCACATCCCATATCGTCCCGCCGAGGCAAAAGAACGACTCGCACCAGCCAGTCGAGCCCGTGCAAAGAGCTAGGCAGCAGAGCACACAAGCAGAAAGAAGCAATAGAAAATCCCCGTGTTAATAACATTGGGGCTGTTATCCCTTGGTATAACATCCATTTTATAACGGGCGGGCCGTCTCAAAATATCCAATTGATATCATTGCTCGCTTCTTTTCTGAACCTTTCCTCGTTCCTCGAGCTCGATGGCGGAAGGCGGTATGGAAAAGCCTCTAAAACACCCTAATCATCTCGATACTCGATGCTCGTAGTATACATGGACAACATAAATGGTGTTTTGAGTGCTCCGTAAGACGGACTAGTCTCCTCCCTGTTTTTTAATGTTCTCGCCTACATTCCATATCCTTCCATCGTCCTTCCGTAGTACTTCTTAGGGTCGGATCCAGTCTCTTCTTCTGCCTTGACGCTTTGCCGAGGACCTCCTCCCGACAAGTTAGATCCATCATCCTCGCGTATTCTGCACCGGAACACGGCCTGTTTCCCGATCCGATACGACATCATCCATCTTCTCGGCTTCCTCTTATTCCCCTTTCTCCTTTCTTGACTTTTTAAGTTTATTCTTTTCCACTTTTCCCTCTTATTATTCAAGTGCAGTGCGAGTGCGATCCTTTGGATTAGAAACAAAGTGGATTCGATTTTAATTTATCTTTTCCCCCTCCTTTTCTTGAAGCTGGACATCAATTTTGCTCAATTGATACATTTCAATTCTCTTCCTTCTTGTTAACATCTGTATCTCCTTTTTTTGGACTGTTCTGCTGTTCTCTTTCAATTTGCCCTTTGTCAATCTCTACCACTTTTTCCGCGACTGCATTTTTTTTTTTGCCCCTCCACATCGACACTCCACACCAACTTTCGACTTCGTCACCGCCCAAAGTCCGACTCATCCACGTCCACTTCCGCTTCTACTCCCCCCCTCCCTTCCCTTCCACCCTTCCGCCTTCCCAACCTCGCAGCTTCTCCGCGGCTGCGAAACCACCTCTCACCTCTCGCTCTCTCTCTCTCAAATCCTTCTCTTTTCCCGCACACCTCCCCGGGAGAAAAGAAGGAGACGAAAAAAAAGAAAACCCGTCCCAGCCACCCAGACAGATCGCACCTAATGGCTTTCAACACAACCCTCCAATCCATCCGGTCCCTCCTCCGAACCCCCCTCTCCAAACGCTCCAAGCCTCACTCAGCGAACCAGGCCGTCATCCTATCCGCCGCCGACGCCTCCGACACATCCGTAACCGTTGTCCCCATGCCCGTGGCTGCCCCGACCGGCCCTGCGGAATCGGGCAAGGAAGTCGTAGTCACCACCACGGCCACCTCCATCTCGTCGTCCAACACCCCCACCGTCGCCGTCGAGGATGACCTCAGCGCCGTCGCGCTGCCCAAGGGTGCCATGGTGAATGGCGAGGAGGAAGGCGAGGCTCTTCATGACTTGCCGAGGGTGTGCGCCGCCTTGGATGAGAAGGTTACGAGGTTTTTGGAGGACGATACCGAGGATGAGGTGTTGCGGAATGTGAAGGAGAGGGTTCGCCAGTCGATGGATGTCATTGCTGAGGCTCTGCGACGGTATAAGTACGTTAAAATTTGCCGGCAAATAATGCTTTCTATGTTTCCATTATTTCGTCTTTCCTCTTGATCCCACCCTCTCTTCCTCCCACAGAGCAACAGCGCTCGTGCGCTTCTCCTGGTCGTATATCAGACACGCTCTTGACCTCCACCCCCAAGTCCAAATCACTAACTCACTCTCTCTCTTGAAACAGACCCGCAGAACTCGCCATGTCCTACAACGGCGGCAAAGACTGCCTCGTCCTCCTCATCCTCCTCCTCGCCGGCCTCCACCGCCACTCGCAAACCACCAACCCGCCCACGCCTCCCCCCGAGACCCTCCAATCCATCTACATCATCCCGCCCCACCCCTTCCCCGAAGTCGACGCCTTCGTCGCCCGCTCCTCCAAGACCTACTCCCTCAACCTCACCCGCTCCACCCTCCCCATGCGCGCCGCCCTCTCCGCCTACCTCGCCGCGAACCCCCGCCTCCGCGCCGTCTTCGTCGGCACCCGCCGCACCGACCCCCACGGCGCTTCCCTCTCCTCGTTCGACGAGACCGACGGCAATTGGCCCCGGTTCATGCGCGTGCATCCCGTGCTGGATTGGCACTATGCTGAGATTTGGGCGTTCGTACGCGCGCTGGATATCGAGTACTGCAAGCTGTATGATTTGGGGTATACGAGTCTTGGAGGGACGACGGATACGCTGCCGAATCCGTCGTTGAAGGCGAATGGCGGGTTTAGGCCTGCATATGAGCTTATGAGTGATTACGAGGAGAGGCTTGGGAGGGAGTGAGGAGCTTGGTGCTCTTCGAATTCTCTCCCCTTCCTTGCTTCCACTTTTCTTGCTGCTTCACGTTGATTCCGTTGGTTTTCTTTGCTTGGAAGGACGGATTCGGTAGGTGGGTGTCACGAACGGTTTTTATGGACATCACAATGATTTCCATTGGAGAATTGGCGTATTCCTCTTTTTCATCATTACTTTCATATTTTCTTTTTTCTTTTTTCTTTTTTTTCTTTTTTTTTTTTTTTTTTCCGCGGTCAGGTTATAACCCCCTCTCTCTTTTCTCAAATCTCGTCATTTCTGTATATTTTGGAAGGGAGCATTACATACTACTACTCTTTTTTCTTCCTTCTTTTTCTTGTTTTTACGACTCGGGCCGGAGAGTAGAAGAGGAGAAGAGAGGGTCAGTGGAGAACAAATCGTGGGACGAGACGGAAATACCTAATTCTTTCTGTTCGCGAGAGAAAAGAAAAGAAAAGAAAACAAAAAACATTTAGATCATGGGGAGCATACCGGACCGGAGGAAGAGGGATTTACTTTTTTCTGTAGAGAGGACATCTGCATATAGATATCAAGCTCGATAATCGAGATACTTTCTTGTTTCTTTTTTTTCCTTGTTCTTGTCTACTTCATTTGCCGGTTTCGTACAATGGCTCTCGTGCATATATATGTGTGCCGTCTCTCCGGATAATATCTCCATCGTGTTGAGCCGCTTCTCGGTTTACACGGGATTCACTTAACAAATACTTGACTTGTTCTCGGGTAGTATAAGGGGAGACACATAACGAGAGTCAAAGAACGAGCCCTCAACTGGGGCGCTTTTATAAAAAAGAAAGCATGGAAACGTCTATAAACTCAAAGAGGTATCTTTTCAACTCATCAAAAAACACCGTCCCGTACCTGGAACTTGGCATGATCCACCTGCAAACGCCGGGAACTACCTAGAACAAGGAACAAAAATATAAAAAGAAGAAACAACAATCAAGAACAAGGATAAAAGTTGCCTCGTTTGGTCCAAGGCAATAAGCAGAATAAGTTACATGTAGACAGTCCTCCTCCCCTTCTTCGAATTCGTATACCATCACATCCGTGAACCCTTCATCCATTCGTTTGTTTTTTTTTTTTCTTTTTTTTTGGATTTCTTTTTCTTCCCTTTTTCTTTTTCTCCTAGTTCGGTTCACGGTCCTCACTCGTGGCAAGGTCGCCGTAGAGCCTCACTCGGTAAAAGCACGTCTTGTTCATGTCTCCATGATTCGACCTGGCCACCACCCGTATGTGGTCTGTAGTCACGCCAATGTTCATCAGCTCGTCCGAGAGCTTGTAGACATATACCCCTCGATCAACGTTGCTCGAATCGTATTCAAAGCGGCCGATCTGGAAGAAACATCTGCGGCCGTTACATTGAGGTTGCGGACGCGGGGCGGAACTAGACCCGGACATGCCTCCGCTCCCCCCGGAGAGATTCGAGTCCGATCTTGATCGATCGGGGAAATGGGTCGTGGCGAAATCGAGGAGGCGTTGTTGCTGGCGGACGCCATCGATGTACGCCCAGATTTCAATTTCTTTGGGCCGCGCGTTCGGCTCCAGGGTCGCGCCGGGAGGGATGTGCTCGATGACGACATATTCGGGGGTCATAAGCCTTCCTAGCTGAATAGACAACTTCACGGGGATCGGCCTGCCATCATGATCCGCCCCGCTAGCGCCGCACCAAGCATCGCCGTCGTCTTCCCATCGCTGAAACACCGAGCTGTGACCCAGTGGCGGCGGCGTCCGAAAAGTCCTCAGCCACCGGGGGCCACCGAAGGCCCGGGCCGTTGAGGGGGGGTTGTACGTCGGCGAAGAGTCTTGCACGTCGATGGTGGCGCCGTTGCCGATGCTGAAGAAGTTGACCCGGTTGCGCAGGTCCTTGTCCCAGCTCGAAAAAATTTGCTGGTTGGCGAGACCGTCGAGGTTGGCGTACTCGAAGGCCTTGCGCACGGCTTCGTCGACGAGCTTCTTGATTTCCCGGCTCGACAGGGTCTTCACAATCTTTGCGTCGATGGATTTCTGGACGACCTTTTCGAGGTGTTTCTCCAGTCTCGATTCGGCATCCTTCATCTCGGCCTTGATCTGCTGTCGGTGGGTCGCAAGTTCAGGCTTGAGCAGGCGGACAAACTCGTCACGCGTTAGGAGTACCTTCGTAAGCTCTGGGTTTTTTAACTTCTCCTTGATTAGAAGATCTAGGTCGTCAGCTATGTCGTCAAGGTTAACGCCGCCACTCGCGGGCGGCGACGATGTTTTGCTGTCAATCTTCAGAACCTTGGCTATTTTATCGCTGTTGGATTTGAGCCACCTCTCCCATGACTTGGGAATCTTGCCGCTATCGATATCGGCATTGATCTGATCGCGCACGGCCGCCCAGTGCTTGTCCGAAGCGAGCTTGTAGCCATCACTCGTCTTTTCGATCTTGACGACGCTGTCATCTTTCCTAATCAAGTCTCGGAGGGCGTGCCAGAAGTCGTCCGCGATGACGGGCTTGCCCTTCTTATTAACATCGATGTGGATGACCTTTGGCATCATGGCTTTGAGCTCGTCTAGGGCCGCTTGTTGCGTCTTGGAAGAACTCCGAAGCCTCACCAGTTCGCGCTGGGCCTCGTGGATCAGGCTGAGATATTCCCCCGTGTCGCCGTCCGAGCTTCCGAGACCGCGGCTGATGGAAAAGGGTATGAATTGGTCGAGATTATATCCCATGTGGTCCCATCCATACCACTCGATCTCACTGAGGCTAAAGTTAGGCTTGACCGTGACGAGGTTGATCACCAACCACCAGGTCAGAAGCATCGTGACAACAACGGCTATAGCCCTGGTATATGTTTTGAGGGTGCGTAAAAGGCGGCTGGCCCTCCCAAAACCGACACCTTTAAAGACACCGGAGAGACCGCTGAAACGTTTCGGACCACGTCGTGCGTTTTCATTTCTGGCACCTCCAGGCGGTGTTTCCTTGTTCGTGTTGTTTTCTTTGGTCTCTGCTGCCCGCCTCTGGTTACGATTGATATGGGCATGCAAACGAGCAGGAAGGCCCCAACCAAGCCTGGGGCGTGGGAGGGGGTTCGGATCCCCTGCCTGAGCACTCCGCGTGGTCCGTCCCGGGGGAGAAGTGGGTTTGGACCGTCCGGGAGGGGACGTGGTTTTACCCTTCTGCGGAGTTTTCTGTGGCGTGGAGGTCTTGGAACCACCGGGGCTGCTCTGTGCAGCGGCATTGCCACCTCGTCGTCCGCGGAAAAGTAAGGAACTGAGAGTCTCCGTAACTTTGGCGCCGCTGCCCATGAGCGAAGATGCCACGCCATCACGTCTAGGAGCTGGGGTGGGAGTCAAAGCCAGAACATCGGGGCCAATCATGCCAGCCCTGACGTTGATGCTGCTCTCTCCTCCAAACGAGCGTCCACCCGGCGACACAACGTGTCCGCGTCCCGGATTCCACATCGGCCGGCGTGCTGTTGGATCGTGGCCGGGAGTGGCGGTCAACAAGGGATTTGCCCGTCCAACTAATCTGGAAGATACCGGGTCATCCAAGGGGAAAATTAGCTCATCTTCAGTTTCATCTGCGGTTATCTTGGCGGCCGTAGCAATGGTCGGCTCCGTCGCAGGAGGCAGCTCCTGTTCCGACTGCGATTCTGTGTCTGTTCGGTCAACCCGTCGTACCATGTCTGGCAGGGGATCTATCACAGTGTCCGGCTGCGCAGGGGGTTCTGAGGAGGGTTCGAGGGCGAGATCATCATCATCATCTGACACCCCAGCCGTAGCTTCTAGCAGCGCTTCACCAATAGCTTCGTTCAGCTCCCTTTTTTTGCCGCGTCGAGGATTCAATAGCTGGCGAGGCGTCTCGGAGCCGTAGCTGCTTAGGACCCGCGAGGGCAAAGGGGGCATCTCATCCCGGATGGCAACACCATATCTAACGGTTTCGGGTTCTCGAGATTGCGAAGATTTCGCGCGTGTGGAGGGCCTTTTGGGGGGCATTGTGCCTCACCCAAGGGTAGAGAAGGGGGGTTGAGGATGAGTGAGGAGTGGTGGTGGATATTGGGTCTCACGCGTTGCGACAAGCGTTATCTGATGGGATGGAGCTTGTTCACCGCCTTGATTAGGGAAAGGGATGGGGTGACGAAAATATGAAGGTACGAGGCGTAGAAGATAGGGGCTTCAATTTTGTAAGAGGGAAATGAATTTTGCGAGTATGATGGGCAGAAAAATTGAATTGACGAGTTTCCGTCAAGGTAAGGTGTGTTGATGAGGTCGAGTCGCGTGGGTTGTTTGGTTGTTGACTGGAAGAGGTCAAGGTTTGTTGGAGGAAATACCAGTTTTTGGAGATACCTAGTTGGAAGAGCACCCTAACAGACTCCAAAGAAAAACAGGCAAGAATAGGAGCGCTGTGATGTGTGTCTCGTGGGTGGTGACGGTGACGTGGTGATGCGAAAGAGCAGCTACCAAGTTGGGAGAGGATGCGCTGCACCTCCCAATCCCAAGCAATGATGGCAGCAGCCCCAATGTGATATTCTGGATTTAGTGACAGTCGCAGATGAAGATGTACACCTGTGCTAACAAATCCTTTGAGCTTCAAACGTCCTGGATAAAGAAGCAGATGAAGATCCCATGACAGGCACAGCAGTCTATGAGATGAGAATGGTCGATGGGGATGGGAGATGGCAATGATAAAGACTTTGTTAGGCTCGTGAGGGCTGCAATTCAGCCATGTAAGCTGGATGGGCAGGAATGCTGAAAGAAGTCCACAAGGATTTTGTCCAGATTTTTCAGGTCCAAGGTCATTGTGTCGCTTGCAGCCTCAGATATGGCAACCCCCTTTCGCAGTCCGTTTCCGACCTTTTGAGGAATGTTTTGTTTTCTTTCCTCTCTTTCCTCTTTTTTTTTTTCGTTTCCTTTTTTTGCCAGACCTCTCTCAACGCCCTGCCTTCTTGAGATGTACATCCACCGATGAGCTGGACCTTCATAGGCTCTCCAGATCCACCAGGACGAACTCGGCCATTGTTGGAGGCTGGTCGGCTTGGGTCGCGTCCGTTATTCGTGGCTGCACCAGGCCTTGACAGGTGGTTGGGGTCTTGGGGAACGGCGCGTGGGCCGAAAGAGGTAAGGACATGTTTTGCCGGTGTTGAAGCGGCAGGGCAAGCCCAAGACGGTCCAATTCGATTGTTGTCTCGAGGTCAAGATTTTTTTTTTTCTCTGCTTAGTCACGCAGATCCCAACTTCGCCTAACAATGCGCAAAGCCGTGCTCAAACTCAAATTCAACAGGCCTTGAGTGGGAACTCCTTCGAAAGTAAAAAGCCTGAAGTTTGGGTTACATTGACTGGCGATGGGTCTGGCCAGCCATAGCCAAGCCAGCCAAGCCCAACGTTCGATGGCTCCCGCGGACACGTTCGGGTAAAAAAAGAGCTCGGGTCGCCTCGTACTCAAGAACAACTTGCGTCACTCTGCAGAGAATCCTTCGGTCCTCCGCTTCCCCTCTGCACCCCAAGAGACGCACTTGACTGATTCCCAGGACGAGCACAGGTCTTCGAGGGGATCAATCAATCAATCAGTCGAGACTCGGTGGTTTGCTGTTTCATTCCGAGAATAGCCCACAAGCGCCCCAATAGCGCCCGCTTCGAAACCAACGCCGATACCGCCTGCTTTTTTCCCCGATTGATCAGGTACTTCGTACCTCGTGCTGCATGTCCTGACTCGAAAAAGAGTGTGGGAAAAGCCAGTCGCACCAATGAACCCCACCAATTGCCCCCATGTGTGAAAAGGCGCAAAGTTAATCCCACGAGCGTGATGCACGAAGTAGAAGTGATTTACAGCCTAGGCTAAGACCAAGCAGATAAGGGGATCATGTTGGTCCCTTGACCAGAAGCATGTGCCAACTTGGAAAAGGAAACGGGGTCGAGCGTCTACGGAGAAGAAGCTTCAAAAAGACGCCAATGGAGCTGGATGGATCAAATACAACCTCCAGACATCGCAAGTTTTGTCTAGACTCTGGTTCCTGGAGCTGCGCCTCGTTCTCAACGGCCAAGTACGACTCTGCCCGTCTTCCTGTCCAATTGCATCATCTGTTCTCCAGCTGGGGCTTAGAGGATGCAGATGCTCACCGGTGAACACGCATGCTCACACGAAGACAACTCGTGTTAGTCCTAGTTCCTGCATCCATCAATAGACCCAAAACATTGGAAGACCTCGGATCGGCGCAGGAAAATCTGCGAGGGGGCGTGCCCTCTCAGCCTCGTTACACAATATAACTCGAAAAGGGCAATGGGGTGCGATTGTGGTGAGACAAATAGATAACTTGAACTCATTTCCAATGTGCCTTATAAGTTGACACTGGTCTCGCCCACTTCGTACCTCTCACCTCCAGCTTCCCGCGTCGACATATACTCCCGCCACTTCCACCTCCCATCATCGTCGCAACGTGACATCTTTTATTTTTCTTTTTGGATCTGCCCATTGACCTCATTCGAGCCAAAGAGAGAACGTTCAAGCCGCTACATCGGCTCTTCTTTTCCATGTTCAACTTATCAGCCTTTTTCTCACGCACCCTGAGCGGAGAAACCCCAAAGTATCCAGACAGGATGGCAGTTGGTACTGTCCTCGTAACCGGGTAAGCTCAAGTCAAGAGAAAAAAAAACAAAGCTATCACCTTCTACCATCCGCCGCAAACGAAAAACGCACATCGCAGAGTGAATCGCGTTGAAGCGCGCATTTCCCGCAAGCTCGGCTTGGACTAACAGAGAAGATTCTCAGAGGAACCGGATACATTGGATCCTTCACGGCCCTCACGCTTCTCCAAAATGGCTACGATGTCGTCATTGTCGACAACCTCTACAACTCCTCGGAGGTTGCCATTGATCGCATTGAGCTCCTCTGCGGACGGCGCCCAGCGTTTCACAAGGTCGACGTGACCGATGAGACCGCACTCGATGCCGTGTTCAAGAAGCACCCTGCCATCAATAGTGTTATTCACTTCGCTGCTCTCAAGGTAAAGTCTTCGCTACTTGGCCCTTTTCATTTTATTTAATCATTTTTATTATTAGCACGCCCGCTCACTCCTTTACAGGCCGTCGGTGAGTCTGGTGAGATCCCTCTCGAGTACTACCGCGTCAACGTCGGCGGCACCATCGCCCTCCTCAGCGCCATGTCCAAACACAACGTCACCAACATCGTCTTCTCCTCCTCGGCAACAGTCTACGGAGACGTCACGCGCTTCCCCAACATGATCCCGATTCCAGAGACATGTCCCATTGGCCCCACAAATACTTACGGTCGCACGAAATCCGTCGTCGAGATGGTCATCACCGATCACATCGAGGCGCAGAGGAATAGGCTCAAGAAACAGGGCAAGTCGGTTGAGCACTGGAATGCGGCGCTGTTACGCTACTTCAATCCTTGCGGGGCGCATCCGAGCGGGATCATGGGAGAGGATCCGCAGGGTGTACCGTACAATTTGCTTCCCTTGCTTGGAAAGGTGGCAACGGGTGAAAGGGAACAATTGTTGGTGTTCGGCGATGGTATGTTCCCAGTTGAGCCTCGTTCCATTTTTGGTCATTGGACAAGAATCTCCACAATCCCTCTTTTTAGGCCAGATTAAAAGAAAGAAGGATAAATATAGACAGAAAACGAGTCAAAAGAATGGGAAGAAGAGAAAATAATTACAAAACCCGGAAAAGAATAAGACTAACAAAGAACCTCAGACTACCCTTCTCGAGACGGCACCGCCATCCGGGACTACATCCACGTCATCGACCTCGCAAGAGGCCACATCGCCGCCCTCAAGTACCTCCATGAGCAGCACCCGGGCGTCAAAGCCATCAACCTCGGCTCAGGTCGCGGAAGCACCGTCTTCGAAATCATCAAAGCCTTCAGCACCGTCGTCGGTCGCGACCTGCCCTACAAAGTCGTCGAGCGGAGACAAGGCGACGTCCTCGACCTGACGGCCGATCCCCAGCTCGCGAATGAGATCCTGAGCTGGAAGACCGAGCTTACGATGGAGCAGGCATGTGCGGATCTGTGGAAGTGGGTTGAGAATAATCCTAAGGGGTATAGGCAGGATCCTCCTCCTGAGCTACTGAAGGCATTGAGGAAGTAAGGGGCGGATGCAGTCCTTTGTTTTGTGCAGGTCGGTCAGAAATGTTTTACGGGTCAACAGAAACAAATAATACGGTTAAAAATAGAATACTTGGAGAGGTAGGGATAATTTTGAATTCATGCTTTGGGATAAAAAAACGAAAAAGAACAGGCCAACTTCAGTTCCCAGTACAAACGGCATTTGTTTCATAGGCAACAAATAAGCTCAATAAACTAACGCTACGAACCCGCCAGATTTTAATCGCACTTTAGCAGTAGCTTTCCCGTCGTTTTCCTTCCCTCGAGATCCTGGTGTGCCCTCGCCGCATCTTCGAGAGGATAGACGTCGTGGATCTTGATAATGACCTTGCCAGCAATGACAATGTCAAAGAGCACGTTTGCATATTTCTGGAGCTCCTGGTGTGTGGCGACGTAGTTGAACACGACAGGGCGCGCAATCTTGGCGTTCTTGGGTCCGAGACGGAGGATGTCGAACGGGGGTACAGGGCCGGACTAGTATCGGTATCATTCCTGTGTCAGTAATCTCTCGCGCCACGGCGACGACGGGTATAGAGGTACAAAAGACTTACGGCATTTCCAAAGACAATAATGGTACCCTTCCTAGCAATCATCTCCAGGTCGCTATCGAAGGTGGCTTTGCCCACACCGTCAAAGATGACATCGACGCCGTGACCACCAGTAATCTCCTTCACCTTCTCGGGCACGCTCCCACCCCGCGACTGAATAACATACTGGGCACCGTAGCTCTTCGCAAGCTGGCACTTCTCTTCGCTACTGGCCGTAGCAATAACCTTGGCGCCGACCGCCTTCAGCATCTGGGTAAGAATGCTACCGACGCCACCCGCCGCAGCGTGAACCAGGACCCAATCATCGGGCTGTACCTGTCCGGCCTCACGCACAAAGGTCCATGCAGTCAGACCCTGAAGCAACACCGCGGCCGCCGTCTTCTCGTCCAAGCCCTGTGGGAGCTTGACGACGTCCTTGGAGTCCACTGTGGTGTAAGCCGCGTAGGAGCCATTGTTGGACAGATACACGACCTTGTCGCCAACCTCCAAATCAGTAACGGAAGGGTGGACCGCGACAACGGTACCGGAACCTTCGCGGCCGGGGGTGAGCGGGAGGGGAGCTTGGTAGAGACCGGTTCGGTAGTAGGTGTCGATAAAGTTCACGCCTGAGTAGGCGTTCTTGACAAGGACTTCCCCCACCGAGGGCTTGGGAACGGGAATTTCTTTCGTTTTCATCACCGTCGGGTCGCCGTGCTCCTCGACCACGATGGCCGGCATGACGTCGGGTATGGAAGTCATGGTTGTGGTGGTGGCGTTGGTGGTATTAGTGAAGCTCATGAAGGATTGCTTGGAAAGCTGTGATGAACGAAGAATAACAGTTTGAGTTGGGAGCGTAGAGTTGGCAGGAAAAATGAGAGGGAAATTGTTACGAATTGCAGATAATACAGGAAGCTTAGGTGCTTTAAATAAGCTTATCTGCAATTGAGGACGACAGACTGCTCGGAAGATCATGAAGTTATCACAGCTCCTGGTACTTGAACGTACGAGGCAAAGAGGGGTAGCTCCGGGTAGCTCTTGCGTAGCCTTTCAGCTCTGCGAGTTGAAAATCGATGCATAGGAGCCGCTGGTCGCGGTTCCTCTCTACGAAATTATTATTATTATTATTCATCCATGAATAACTGATTAGGAAAATCCAAAATCTGCAGGTGCGAACTGCAAAGTAAACAACCAAGGTGCCGATCGCCGAACATTCGACTACTGCAGATTGCGTGATGCTGCACTCCATCCTCACCAAGACAAGATCAATTTGACGTCTCCTTACGTTTTTTTACGTCATCAGATGATATTCATGAAAGCTAACGGAAACCGAATATGAGGGGCTCAAACCGTGCTGGCGCGGTAGTATTCAAAAGATGAAGTCTGGATGAAGCTGCCTATCATCATGGCTGAGTCACTGTGTAGTAACATTATCAAGGCTTGACAGATTCTGGTCGTTGACTTAGTAGTTGGTAAAAAGCCGGGCAGTCAACGCTGGCGGCCTGTAAGTGGCCATTCGAATCGGTAAGGCGCTGGGATACTTGGAGAGGGCTTGATCTGGAACTGGAATTCGTGGTCGTGGTTTCGCATTTGGGGCATCAAAATAAATTGAACCTCTGCATTTCATTCAATTGGTCCATCATATTGGCCGCTGCCCGGTTAGTTTGCTGCATGAGGAATATCTTAGAATTTCATGTCTTCCTGCCTCGATCTGCTGGTGGAATGGATGAAGACGCAAGCGGTCGTTATGCTTGTGATAAAGAACGAGCAAACCCTTCCAGCCTCAAACAACTGCATCCGGCCTCACATCATAATCCCAATGCTGGTTGACAATAAGCGTAAAAAACACGTTCAAAAACATTCAAGTCACTTGTTCACATTCTTGGCCGAAAATATATCGAGACATTGTTGTACAGGCAAGTTATTATCTTACACTACTCTACAGCTTTGTGGAAACATATGCTGAGAGGGATAATATGGTTGTGTCTAGAAATCCCGCTTTCAAACTCCCTCCCTTTTTTCCTTTGAATGACTTTACAGGATACAATGGTCTGGCCCTTCCCACCAAGGCCAGCTCCCTCCCCGTTTCCTCTCTCTTCTTCGTGACCACCACAATTCCCAATCTTATACATGTATTGCGAGTGCCAAAAATGTACATTGCCATCACTACCAGGCCAAGTCTTCACAAAGGAAAAGTCTTCGTTTTCGTTTTCGTCTTCGGTTCCGCGGTCCCTGCTCCGACATTGATGGCTAGTGATCGACTAGTGCTGCTTGATGATACGCGGATTTCGTTCCTGGGCCGCCTGATCGCGATTCGCCGCACCGCTTCCGTCGCCAAGAGACATCCCTTACAACATCACCTCACCAATGTCGACATAGGGTGCCTGCCATGGTTTCGCTCCCTCGACAAGCATATCGCTCGGTACTCGGGGTTCCGCACTGGGGCTGTAGAGGTACCATGCCTTGAGAGCGTTCATGGACGCCTTCCACCTGGCAAAGTCCAAGCTCGCTCCCACACCCTCACCCAACTTGTCCTTCCCACTGTAGATGCCGACGACGTAGACGGGTGTCCTCGAGTGACGTCCGGTCTCGCTCTCAAGGCGCGCGACCGGGCGTTCGAAGCCCTCCCTGGCGCAAAGCTTGGAGAGTTCGATAAGGGGCGCATGGAAGCTGAACATCTTGTCGACCTCGAGATTGCGTGATAGAAGGTGCGCCTTGACGAACGACTTGGCCATCTCGCGGCCGCAGTGAAGGTATATGGAGCCCACGAGTGCTCGTACGAAACCAGCGTAGGCATTATTTCGGAGGAGCTCGTATTGCTTCTTCCTTTCCACGATGATGTCTGACGGCAGCTTGGGGCCCGAAGCATCTTCCTTGTATTGGTTCACGTGGACGGTGTCGCCGAAGGGGTCGTCGTAGATAACTCGGCTGCTCCAGCCGCGTCGCCACTTGAACTTGTCCAAGTATGATGCCTCTGTCCGCACAAATCCCCACGTTTGCTGCGTGGCACCCTTGGTCGGATCATCAGACCACTGTAGAAGGCCCGGGTCAACCTCACCACCGGGCGCCGCAGCGCTCTCCACACCCCATCCCTTTCCAACGTGGTAGAGAGACTCGCTGCCTGCATAACCACGCATCGCCTCGAAGAGAACAGCCATCGGCAACCTAGGATACTTCATCACGAGCCATTCCGACGTATGGTAGTTGATAATGGTGCCACCAAGGTACGCCAGGCGAACATTGTTGAAGTTGGGGTTCTCGTCAGCAGATGGGTCTACTAGAGCGCGGGCAAGAGTCTGTAGTGGTAGTTTCGTCGAGAGGCAGAGGCGGGCGTGGAGGGCGGCGAGCTTCGCCGAGTTGAGAGCGGCTTCGGGGAGCGGCGACGGGTAGGGGCTCCTGCTGCTCTCGATGATCGGAGGCTCGATGTCCGGGGTTTCGGATGTATTTACTTCGGCAGATTCGGTAGGGACAGCGTCGTTATGTATCACCGTTGTGGATTGGAGGCGGATTGGGACGAGTGACTGTTGTGGCCTCATCTGCCTTGCGGCGAGGCAGGGCCTACATCGCGCTTGGGATCCGGCCTGGGTCAATTGACCTGACCATCTTTCCAGCCGTAACCGTTTCATGAGTGACGGTTCAATTTGACAGGAAAGATCCCCGTAGCCGACTTAAATTTATGTGGAAATAAGGGAAGGGGGAGAGCGGGTGATCAGAACTTCTGTTGCATCTCTCGGAAGCTCAAAGGGGATAGCGAAAAAAAGTTTCCTTCTCGGTCGTGTGCACGAGAAGCTGAGGCGCAAGTGGAAAAGATGAGATTATGCGATGTTCTGCCGGTCGAGTGGAAAAAAGTACCGCTTGATACCCGTAGACCAATCAGAGGCGGGTCAATTTTGATGCAGGAGATCCCAGAAATAGGTCGACATCATCAACTTGTTTCTCATCACCTCAATTGCTCTCTGGTCAGTCACGCTGAGATCAAATTGGAGACATAATCAAGATGGTTTGTCACTCTATCGAATCTTGATGATTTTTTTGCGTTTGTCTCGCTAACATCTAGCTCCAGGGTGGTCACGGCAACAAGATCCCGTGAGTTGCATCGATGCCCGTACGATCCCTCCTCGAAAGCCGATTACCATCTAACCAAAAGTTAAAGATATCCTAAGCACGTCTGGTCGCCTGCTGGTGGTTGGTACTGCCAGCCTGCCAACTGGAAGCAGAACACCTTCGTCCTCGGCGCCGCCGTCTTCGGCCTCACCTGCATAATATGGAAGATCAGTGCCGAGAAGGAGCAGTTCGCCCACAAGCCCGAGCCCGGACGATTCTACCCTAGCCGATAGTTCGTTTCCCTCACAGACGATTTGTATACCGAGTCTTCCGAGTACTAACTATTGTCTTAACAGCTGGACGAGGCAATTGATCAACTGGGAGAAGGAGGACAAGCTGAAGGCTGAGCAGCAGAAGAGCGCATAAGAGAAACACGGGAAGAAACGGACTGTACATTTATGGAAGAAATATAAAGATTTGACCTCTTCAATTCCTTCGATGGAGGGAGGCACGGCTGCTGGGATTCATGATATCGGTTATGCACCGTCACGTCAACCGACGGTATTTCATCACGATTGAACCGCCCCTTGCCAGTTTCCTCCACCTTGCTCCTCTTTTTGCGGAATTTGTCCAACCCTTGGTGTCTTTTCGAAGGACTACTAACCCAGTAAAGCGAGATATACCATGACCCGTGATTTTTACATTCGTCCAGCGATTGGGCTTGTTGCTATCCTTTAAAGCATCCTCTTCGTCGAAACACCGTTCCCCGCCAACCCTGACAAGATGAGCGCCGACCCCCCGACAACTTGTCCACGTCTTCCGCCATCAGCAGTGACACGACGATTAGTCCAGAGAAAGAGCCCGCCGCCTTGACTGCCCTGAAGACGGCCACTGGCGCCCCCGTTGACAGTGCCCGCACTAGTACTAGCAGCCCCGTACCTATCGATCGACGGAGCGCCGGCACCTTCGCGTCGCGCCGGAATCAAACCGCCCCTCTTCCGCGGCTGGGACGAGATCTACCAAGAGCGATAACATGTCCCCAGCCAGCTCTACCAGTGCCATTTCTGCTGAGGATGCAAACACCATTATCGGCATCGTGGGGAAGGCCAAGATCGTCGGCAGTACCACTACCCCGGAGTCATCCGATTCTAAGACAGCGGGACAGCTAGCTGCACTAGATGCCCTAACGGGTAAAGCATCTAGTTCGACCCGGGAAGCAAAGGGCGCGAAGACAAGACGCGGTTTGCAAGAAGTAAACCAGTATGTATTAGGTGGTCTGTAAGTTTTGCACATAACAGAACTTGTGATACGGACTGGTGCTAGCATCTCCGAGAATTAGGGAAAATCAAATCTGTTAAACCTAGTCATCTCTGTCTCCTTGTTTTCTCACTTGTGATGTTATCCTCTCGTTTAGTTCGTCATCCTCTGCGCCCATGTATTTCAGTATGCTCCGCATGGCTTCTCGCATTTCGCGACGCTCCTTTGGGTCAGCCGCTTCAGGCTCTGGTTTCACAGGTGGCGGCGCCTTCCCATATAGTGCCGCTATCTTTGCCAAATACTCCTCGCGGTCTCTTAACTTTTTGGCCACTAACTGATTTGCATCTGGGGCCCAGAGTAGAGGGGCTGGGTAAACCGTCGCTGGCACAATAGGGAAATTAAACATAGGAAAGAGTCGGAACTGAGTTAATAGATACATTGCATCCACAGAACTGAGGGAATAGTTGAACCAGTATCTCCTCGTGTCCAAAGTTTCGCGCATAATGCTACTTAGAGTGACGCGGTCTAGAGCTGTCTCAAGCTCTAATGTATCCATGAGGCGCTCCTCTTCCTCAAAGAGATTCATAAAGTAGTCGTAGATCACAGCAAATGGTTCCTCCCATTGTGGCCGGCAAGATGGGAGCGCGAGCATGTCAACTGGGTGTGAGACCATCCACTCGAGGTCAACAATGGCCGTAATGTTACAGTCATCATCAACCAAGAAATTCCCCGGGTGGAGGTCGGTAAGCTGGAAAACAAAGGGCCCGGAACGACGTGCATTTGGATAGAACTGATGGGCGGCTGCGCGGAGAAATGCTTTAGTAACCATCTGCTCCCTACAATCGCATTCAGTTTGAACAGCATTTGGGTCAGTGCGAAACCGTTCATCATGGAATGTAAGCATATCTGAGATATAGGTGTCTGTAGAAGTGTATGTCTCGTTAGGCGCCATCGTTTGGGGAGCGCCCTCGTTCTCAAGTAACGCCATGGCGGATATGACAGGCCGGTTAGTCAAGGTGATGCTACCGTCGTCTTGGAATCGATAGCTGCCTATTCGAGGTTGGATTTGGCGGCCTACGGTGAGGAGGATTCGAGATAAACCTCGGACCATGTTTCTCCTCTTTGTTGAGTTTTTGAATGCATCAACAGTTACCATTTTCCCAACACTTGGTTCAAGATATTCAAGCACCATGTAGCCGGATGGAACAGAGTGTGTAGAGGTGTTCGCGGCATAGAAGGATGGTGTGGGTCGGCGTAGAATGGCCGAGATGAATCGACGGAGTGTAAAACGGAGACGGCTGAGGAAACCAAGTTGGGAGACATGTGTAAATTATGATATTTATAACATTTAGCAACAAACAAGGAATAAAGTTCCCCAGGAACCTCACAAGGCCAAGGGAGTCGTCTCGAAGCTAGGTCTAGAAGGCGAGCAAAGAAGGTTGGCACATACATGGCGTCCGTCTCGGAAACCAAACCCATGGAGAAACGGAATACGGATAGACGAGCAATTTTCCTGCATCCAAATATAGGTAGCAGCCTCGCAGGCCAATTTCTCGTCTATCGAGCCCGGATTGCGATCCTCAGCTATTTTGGGTGGCAGCGGACATCTAATGACAACCCTGGTGTTCCCACCGGTGGTTACCGGTATAACCACGTTGAATCCGCCCATCATCCATTTTCCGCAATCCTCTATCTTACAGATACCAGAACGGAGGCCAAGATGGTGAGCCACGAGTGATTCTAGTGTCGAGGATTGCGAGGCGAGTGATTGCTTGAACTCAAGCACTTCGCGACTACAGCGGATCTTCTCCAAGACATTGGACTCATCAGCTATAGCCTCTTCGAAGGTGAGGCCCAGGCCACTGGGGAACTCAACACGCTCTTCGGAGTCTGTCATTATAAATGCGACATGAAGGAGCGGGCGAGCTTCGTTATTCTCTGGGAAGAGGGACCCCTAATTTGACATCCTAGGTTCGCGAGAGGCGTCTACATCAAGGCAGCGTCGCAACTAGATGAGACCTGCAAGGCGCATGAGACGGGCGAAGGGGTTAGCTATACTCGATCTACCCATTAAAACCATAAGCTCTGAGGCGCATGAGTTTCGCGGTTACACAGCAAAATGAAGCAATCTCTCGAAACTCGAAAGTCAGTGCAGGTCTGCACAATCCCTTAAATTAGGGGATCTCACAAGCATCTTGCCAGTTCCTCCAACTACAAACACCATCCATTTGACCACCTCTAGAATCACATTCGGGAACTAGATAGACTAGAAAATATATTTCCTTGTAAATCTTGCATTTAGAGGCTGCAGCGAAATTGGGACACTCATTTTCTCCCCAAGTCCACCTCAATTGTCGCAAATCGGACGATATCGGGTAGCACCCGAGATTCTACCGAGCAAGAAGTTGTGTGCTGATTATCACCGAACAACATCCTCTCGGTGAACAACAGTCTTGTTCCTAGCCATAGCCCGCAGTAATTGGCTTGTGCGGGTTACTCAATTGCAAGGCCGTCGAGGCCATACACAGAACCCAAACATGTCCTTCCCGGCTTTTCGCTCCGGGTGTGCCCTACGGGGTTTCCGCTCACGCGTCACATCCAATTCTCTCCACGCCACACGCCGATATGCCTCGTCTCAATCCTCCTCTTCCTCCTCCGGGAGCGGCCTAAAGCTCGTCGTATACAGCTCCGCTACCGTTCTCGTTGCCTTTGCCGGCTATATCTACCTCACTGATACCCGATCTGCTTTCCATCGTTGGGTCGTCCCACCCGCGCTAAGAGCGATATACCGCGATGCCGAAGATGCCCATCACGCCGGCACAGCGTCTATGAAGACGCTATATAACCTCGGCCTCCACCCTCGCGAGCGAAGACGAGTCCTTGTCGACCCCAACGAGCCCAGCCTTGCGGTTCAGGTATACGATACCAAGCTCGACAATCCCATCGGTATCAGTGCCGGCCTCGACAAGGATGCAGATGTCCCGGATGCGTTGTTCGCTCTTGGCGCCGGGATCGTCGAAGTGGGCGGCTGCACCCCCAAACCCCAACCCGGAAACCCGAAACCCAGAGTGTGGAGAGTCCCCAGCATCGACGGCATGGTAAACTGCTACGGATTGAACTCGCGCGGTGCGGATGCCATGGCTAGGACACTCCGTGAACGCATGAGGGTGTACGCACGTTCACGCGGTCTCACGGAGGAGGACATCTTGAGTGGCAACGCTGGTGTCCCCGCTGGTAGCTTGCTGCCGGGACGCCTCCTACTCGTCCAAGTAGCCAAGAACAAGGAGACCGCCGAGAAGGATGCTGCTTCTGACTTCGCCTACTGTGCAAGCCGGCTCGCGCGGTATGCGGACGTCATCGTCGTCAACGTTAGCAGCCCCAACACGGCGGGTCTTCGAGACCTCCAGTCTGGAGATAAACTAGTTGGGCTTTTGGGCGCCGTCGTCAACGCCGTCGAGTCCTCCACCAAGGGGGTGCGCCAGACGCCTCCGAGGGTCATGGTCAAGGTCTCTCCTGATGAGGACGACGATGACCAGGTTAAGGACATTGTCCGCGCGGTGTGGGAGAGCGGTGTTGATGGTGTTATTGTCGGAAACACGACGAAGCGCAAGCTTCAGTCTGTCCCCGCCAACGTCCCCATTACGAACCGCGAAAAGTCAGTCCTTATGATGGCGGATGGTGGATTCTCGGGTCCCTCTATGTACGGCCGCACCCTTGACCTTGTCAAGAGGTACAGGAAGTGGCTAGATGTTCCCGCGTTCAAGGACAAGGAGAGGAAGGTTATCTTCGCGACGGGAGGTATTACGAACGGAAAGGAGGCCTTGGAGATTCAGAATGCTGGCGCGGATGTGGCGATGGTGTACACCGGTCTGGTTTATGGCGGCGCGGGAACAGTAACGAGGATAAAAGATGAGATGAAAAAGGAGATCAAGGGTGCCAAGAAAGAGTAAAAGAACAGAAATAGATTTACGTCGAATAGGGCCTGTATACAACCAACCGCTGGCTTAGAAGGATTTTACTTGTCCAGATTATATATTTCCTTTGTTGCTTGTATATACAATTCTGCAGGGCGAGGCTTGAGAACCTCCTGACATGAATCCAACCAGTATGAGTCTATTATTCGGATATTCCAGAATAACTCTATCCAGCCCTCTCGTCACATATTATACATAACATTCCCTAGCTAAAGAGATCCCCTTCGCCCAGCTTATGACCCTGACCCTTCCTGACAAGGCGACGGTAAAGTACGTCTTTGTGCGTCGCCTCGTACGATTCTCGGGCCTTCTTTTTTCTCTCATAAACTGCCCTGACGCACCTTTTAATCTGCTCCTTTCCCTCATCATAGTTGGCCCTCGCGAGCGCGGACACCTTATCCACTTGCTCGGGGGTATAAATGAAATTCCACGTAGAGAGAAAGTCGGTAGTTCCCGGGTTGAGACCGGGTACTCGGGGATTCGGAAGCAGTGGGAGGTACGCAATGGCTAGACCAGCTGTTGGGGATGACAGGAGTGACCAGGAGGACGGTGAGTGATCGAGGGCCTTAGTGGGCGGCGGGGGAGAGCTTGACCGCTCTTGGGTACTTCCAACCCAAATGGTGCAGTAGCCAAGGCCCTTTGGCGGTGGCTTCTCCGCCTTCTCTTTGTCTCGGGCCGCTCGCTTTCTACCCCGACGCGGGATCCAAAGCCTTTTATCCGCTATTTGCTCGGATTGAGCCTGGGCAAGCTTTGACTCCGCTTCGCCCACTGTTGCAGCTGTCGCCTTATCCAGATCCTTCTCAGTCTTCTCTAAGGAGTCTTCTTCTTTGGGCCATCCAACACCTATCGGCCAGCCCTTTATGTTTCTCTGCCGGGCGTATCCGTCCGTAACGGCAAGCCAGTTATCCTCTTTGATGTCCGCAGAATTATCAAATGCAATAATCATGTCAATGTTACGGCCAGGACGAAGTAAAGGGTACATGGGCAGATTGTTGGACATTCCGGCGTCCATGAGCTGCAGCGTTTCGTTCCGCAGTAGACTCTCTGGGGTTGTTTCGGGCAGTTTGCCATACATCCCATATGCGAAGTTGGGGAGCGTAGCCGGGCCGATGGGGTGAACCTTGCTCAAATCGCCGTCCCTGCCAGTGATAATCTCATCAATTGCGCTAAATCCAGCCAGATCCTTGACAATGGGTCGGATTTCGCGGTAGTAGTGACTAAGGGTGGCGCAGAAGGCGCTCCCGAAGATTCCCATCATCAATGGCATACGGAGCTCTGGCTGATACACACCGCTCTCTGGAAGGACGTCGCTTCCCTTCCTGAATTTCCGTCCCATCGCCCATGTCGGGATGCCTGCAGACAGTTCCTCGCAGAAAACTTCGTACGGGGTGATTTCGAACCATTGAAACCACGCTTCTTTCTTTGCGCGTTCCTTCGCATCTTCGGGGGCAGGGAGCTGTAATTTAGATGCGTCTGTATCCGCTTCGGGGATTTCGTGTCGGACGGCTGTGTAGATTGGAAGAGGGTTCTGGCCGAATTTTATGTATTCCCTCTGGTTAGAGATCTTAAGGTCCTTTTCGTTCACTTCAAGATCGCCAACGGGAACGAACAACCTCTCGGCTAGTAGGAGCCCGTAAATGTCCACTATGCTGAGTTCCTTGTCGCTGTTGCCTCTTAGTTTCTCGACTAAGCCACGCAGGAGGTACTTGTCGGTTGGAGCGGAGATGAGTGTTTGGAGGGCCACGGGAGGATAACCGATGTGGACTCCAGTCCGGCCCTTGACATGGTCAAGGACCCGTTGGATGCTACATTTGCCAATCGAGGAGAAGTTGATGGCTTGTAACCAACAGGAGCCACTGACACCGGCGGTATAAGTCACGCAGTCCAGGAGTCCATCCTGTTCAGCAGCCAAGAGAGATCCTGTACCCGCAACAAGGGCTCTCAAGCCGCCTCCTGATCCACAGACTGCTATCGTGGGAACGTCATCGGGATGCACATCCTCTTCGTCAAGGTCCAGGTACTTTGCGAGCGCAAACTTAGCGACCTGCTTTCTCCGCTCCAGGAATTCCCTCTCTTCGTCACACAACGAATCGGAGACTCTAACACTCGCTGAGTACACGACCTCCGGGTTAAGGATGGGATCTTGAGCTTCCCGCCAGATTTCATCCGCGAGTGAGCCGGGTTTGTTGGCGAGGTCTTCCTGGAGCTTCAATAAGTAGGTAGGAACGACCTTGGTCCACTCGGGGAGAATATAATCGACAATCTTCTCCGAGAGTGCACTCCATTCTATGTCCGGCAATGGGTGAAGGTCCGGTACGGTGGTGGTCGTGGCTGTGGGCGAGACTGCTGTTTTGTCTTCGGTTTTAGACTCAGGTGATTTCTTTTGCCGCTGGTGGGGTACCAGTTTCTTAACATCATGATGCGGAGAGGTCCATAGCCACACAATAACCCCCGTTGTAAGGACTATTGTAGATGTGCTGACCCGCCTAGGTTGAGACTTTCCTCTGGAAGTAAAAAGGCCTCGACGAAAACCGTTGAGCTGGCGGCGAGCTCCCGGCCTCGCCCAGCGCGAAAGCGTGACACCAGCGTGAAACCTCATGCTCTAGCACCAATATATTGGGCTAGAGATTGTCAATCTTCCGGGACGCCGGAGAGCAGGGCAGGATGGACCGAATTATATGAGCTTCTGGCCGTGACATCGTTTTTGGGTAAGAGGAGCGAATGACGTCCGGTGAGGGAACACCAGAACGAAGTGGGTTAGCTATCGGTAGCTCTCGGGATTGTTGGTGATGTCAGTGTTATAAAGGTACAGCAGCATTCAGCTAGCATTTGCGTCAAGAATTTGTACGTTGCTATCACCCATCTGAGAGCAGGAATCACTCGGTCCTCATCGGCCCTGAGTAGCCCGCGAGGAAGAAGAGACAATGGGATCAATCGCCCTTTTCCAATTGGAAAAAGGCATCGTTAGGGTCTCACCTTTAAGCTTCAATAGATTACCGACATTCCCATTGAATCAGGTTTATGTTTCTCTCATCTTCGTACTCCGAAGCTGTGACTGAACACTCCGATCAGCTGACGACACTGGCAGTCGGCGCGGTGCCAGGTGCCACCTGTACAATCACTCTCCGTCAACCACTGCCAGTTTCTAGAAGAAGGATGGCCTGGAGTAATTAAGGCAGGGCTAATTCAGGCAATGCCATCGTGCCAACCCAAGGCGAGAGAAAAAAGTTCCGGGGACCTTCGCTTCCGAAACAACATTTTGAAGCATGTGTGAACAGTGACTGTTGTCAGTGCAGATCTCACGTCTTGGTCCGGCGATAACAGAATATTATTGCAATGTGTACACAGGTATTGTTTTGTTCTGCCGATTCTTTTGGTCTTTTAGGTAATCAGCCTGAGGGAACGACTTAGGCCCAAAGTCTGATGATCGGTTGAAACAGAAGTGATCAAGATTTGTCTAGATCCACTATCAAACAATTCGGTAGGGCGCCGACAAACTGTATTCTGGTTCCGAAAAACAGCTCAAGGTAATAATCTAGAAGGCTGGATGGTCAGGAAGACGGCTCGGCTCTTCTTAGAGGGCTCTGACCTCTTCTTAACAGATCCCGTATTATAAGTCCATATCAACTCTGCTGCAATACCACGGGGTTGGGTGGGTCGAACTCTGGCATCCGGTCACTTATTCACTTTGTCCCTTCTCGGTGATAATCATCGCAAGATTTGGGAGAAGTCCAGCGCATTTCAATTGGAATGCTGCTCCTGAAAAGGAGAGTCATGACTGTCCCATTTGAGTAGCGTCCAGGAATCTCGGTACAGAGACAACCTTCTGGGTCCGTTTTCTTGAGAGATTTGGATGGAGAAACGAACTGTCCAGGGGAATAAAAACAACTAATCGTTTGCGACCAATCATATGTGTCTTTCCGGACTGCCAGATGCAGCCCCTGCCGTTGGGGAGGACCCCAGCCATGCCCGATTCAGGTTAGGCCAGCCACTCTCCCCTATTACTCTTAAAGTTGCCCAAGGCTTTGCAGTAGAAAATTACCACGATAATTACGGAGGAGGGTCTGAGGTGCAATCCACTCTTGTCCTCCGTACCTGTTACCTGAAATTGCAAGTAGTGGGAGCAAGGGAGCACGCTGAGAAGGCGCTCGAATCGTTCTCCGCCACCAGTTGAACAGGTCGAGGTGGTCATTGATGGACTGCTCGAAGAAAACACGTTGTATCTACTTCGTATTAACACTTGTACTTCGTACTCTGAGAAAGTAACGGATACGGTTTCAAAGAAATATGGAATCAGTGCTGCATACGAAGTGGTACCAAGTACACTTCAATCTTGGCTTCTGCAGTTGCTCGCACAGTATCTCTGCTGGCTCCAGTGTCTTTCATTTCAGGGGGAAGCCCTCGAGTTGAATACTGTGTACCAAATGGTTTTTCTCTTCCACAGCCAGAGCTGCCGAGCTGTCGAAGTAGTCGAAGTATCTCTACACAGTGCAAAGTATCGAGAAATGTCTGAGCTCTCCCCAGGTTAGGAGAAATAGGGACGAGCAGGAACGAACCACATCCATCGATCCTCCCCTCCCCTGGTCGCTCTCCAAATTAGGGGAAACAGCGAACAGCAACGAAAAAAAACCAATTTCAGTCGTCCATCACACCCAACCTTCTCATCTCTCGATCCTACCTCCTTCCTCGTGTCCAATTCTAAAAATCCCTTTCGCGTCATTCATTGACTTTTACATCTGTTTATCGTTCCCAACCTTCGGCTACAATCCTTTCGCCGTCTCGCCTCGTCGGCCAATTTCTTGTCTATCCCTTCCTCCTTCTTTCACTCTCTTCCTCACGGGTGGTAGCTTGCGACATTCCTCGTAGCCAGGCACTAGTTATCTCTACAAACAGCTTTTTGGTATGTGCAGGTGCTCTCTACCATCGGCTTCCATCCCCTATTCTGCGATATCATTAGTTCTCCATCAAGAAGAAGGCTATGGCTTTGTTGAAGAGCTTGAATGGCCTCGTGTCTCGACCCCTGAGCCATCACCCGATAGTCCCATTTCACGTTGGAGGATGTCTGAGTCTGGCGCTCTTTCCTGGGACAGACGGTTTGGTTTTGCGAGCCACTCTTGCCGCCTGCTCCTACATTTCCTTTTTAACCAGAGCTTGGGAAGCCGGACCTTGCACATTCCACCTGCACCGTGCTAATCTTCTCTTTACCAAACAGATACCCTCCATTTTTCTGCCTTCTAGAACCGTTCTACCTCGAGGTAGACCTTCCGCTTCTCGACACTTCATATAATCGTCATGGGTAAGAACTGGACCTGGGGAACATGCTCGATGCTTTCCAATTGCATAATGCTTGGCCTGGTGGCACCTGCCCTGTTCTAAACGGATCGGGTCCCACGCGACACACGCTGCCTGAATCGCCCGACCATGGTTTTTGTTTTGTTTGCTGCTTCTCCTGCTTGTCGACGCGTTGTCTTCTCTGAGATTTGTTGCGATTCATCTCTTTTGGTGTTTTGATACCTTTTGGCATCCGTCCAGCATCGACTATTGCAAAGCATCAATCTTCACCGAGCGCACAATTCCTCCAGGGGGCAGCATCCTTTGAGCCTAAATCAGAAAGAGACTCAATTTTCCATTCCCTGCGCAATGCCTGGCAATCTCATGGACCGGTTGAGTTCGCCTTCTAACACTGATTGGCACACCAACCGTTTACCAAGTCAAACACTCCCTCGGGCTTCTGCCAGATCATGGCTTCCGAATGCACATCGTTCGCTCAGTCGATCGCTTCGGCTTCGGCCTCGGTCCAAGGCAGAGAGCGAATCGACCCCTGTTCCACCGACTCAGCCGTCTCGGCTCGTGCGCGAGCCTGATGAAAAGATAGAGCTACCCACGGATCATGTCGAAACTGCGTCCGGTGACTGGCTTCCTGAGTACTCGGTCGAAGCCGCAGCGGTCGAAATTAATCTCTCGAAAGACGAGCATGATGAACCGCAGGAGAAGCAGCAACAGAGTGATCAACTAATAGATTCTCTCGATCCCTCGACAACAGCAGCCGGTCCCTCTGTTGCGGAGAAGGAAGCTAGCCGCCAGCCAAGCATGCAATTTGTGACTCGCTCCTGTTTTTAAGCTCAGATGCTAACTCTTACTGTTTACAGACCCCAACGGTTCCCCAACCCCTGGTGCCGAGGCGCCACAAGCTGGCAAGCAGCCTAATGAAGTTTCTGTCGGAGAAGAACTGTCTTCTAACACTGCCCCGGCAGCCCCCCAAGCTGTCAATGATCCCAGGAATGTTGTCCGCAGGAAGTTGACCGGATACGTCGGTTTCGCCAATCTTCCCAACCAGTGGCACCGCAAGAGTGTCCGAAAGGGTTTCAACTTTAACGTTATGGTTGTTGGTAAGTCAGCTGCTATTGATTGCCTGTCGGGTCTCCGCACGCTTTCACTGGCTGGGTGACCTTAGCTGTGGCCTTTGAATGTTCCCTAACAAGCAGGTTCTAGGTGAATCCGGCCTCGGAAAGTCGACTCTTGTCAACACTCTCTTCAACACCTCACTTTATCCTCCCAAGGAACGCAAGGGACCTAGCCACGATATTATTCCCAAGACCGTCACTATCCAGTCGATCAGCGCCGATATCGAGGAGGCCGGCGTTCGTCTTCGACTTACTGTTGTTGACACTCCCGGCTTCGGTGACTTCGTTAACAATGATGAATCGTGGCGACCCATTGTAGAGAATATCGAACAGCGATTCGATGCTTACCTCGATGCGGAGAATAAGGTCAACCGCATGAATATTGTTGACAATCGTATCCATGCTTGCGTCTTCTTCATCCAGCCCACTGGACACTCGTTGAAGCCTCTCGACATTGAGGTCATGCGCCGCCTTCACACCAAGGTCAACCTCATCCCCGTCATCGCCAAGGCCGATACTCTCACCGACGAGGAGATCATCAGCTTCAAGGCTAGGGTACGTTTCTATTCAGTGCAACCTGGGGCATTAATTGCCGCATATACTAATTACTTGTATTCCACATAGATTTTGGCCGATATCAAGTACCACGGCATCCAGATCTTCGAGGGACCTCGATATGAGCTCGACGATGAGGAGACCATTGCCGAGAACAACGAGATCATGTCCAAGGTCCCATTTGCCGTCGTTGGCGCCACCAACGAGATTACTAGCCCCGATGGTCGCAAGGTCCGTGGCCGCCGATACCCCTGGGGTGTCATTGAGGTCGACAACGAGGAGCACTGCGACTTTGTCAAGCTGCGACAGATGTTGATCCGAACTCACATGGAGGAGCTCAAGGAACACACCAACAACAACCTGTACGAGAACTACAGAACCGACAAGCTTCTTGCTATGGGTGTGTCCCAGGATCCAAGCGTCTTCAAGGAGGTCAACCCCGCCGTCAAGCAGGAGGAGGAACGCGCTCTTCACGAGCAGAAGCTCGCCAAGATGGAGGCCGAGATGAAGATGGTCTTCCAACAAAAGGTCTCGGAGAAGGAGAGCAAACTCAAGCAGAGCGAAGAGGAGCTCTATGCCCGCCATCGCGAGATGAAAGAACAGCTGGAGCGCCAGCGACACGAACTCGAGGAAAAGAAGGCACGTATCGAGAGCGGTCGCCCGCTGGAAGGCAAGAAGAAGGGATTCTCACTTCGTTAAGCCTCTTCATGACTCCCTTCTTTTGCGGTGCCCTCCTTACTACTTTATTTCGATTGATTTGTTTTTGTGTGTTTCGAGTACCTATGATGTCTCTTACAATACCACCCGCGCTGTGTTTTCTTTTGTTATCGTCTCTTCCACGGTTCTTCCTCAGACGCCCCTTTGTATTTTCTTTTTCTTTTTCTGTTTTTTTATCGCCTCCCACTTCTTTAATTACCGCAATTCCCTTTGCTTAATTTGACACCCGTCCACGATGGCGTTTTCTTATGACCCACACAAAAGAACTCGTTTGTTGTTTTTGACGGATGATGGGAATTCCTTTTATTTATTTTTTTGGCAATCGGATTTGCAGCAAAGGGGTCTAGGTGCAGGGAGAAGTGGTGGTATCGCAAACTCAGCCAGGGCAGCGAACAATTAGGGTTGTTATTGTTAGACGGGCGATGGAGACCCGAAGCCTCGTCTCGGCGACAATCGCTCGCGAGCATATCGGCAGGTGGCAGCCCGACTTTTGCATGTATCAACCCTGTACTATAAATACTTGTAGCTCCCTTAGGATGAGTGACACGATGGAAGTCTTTCTCTTTTTTTTTCTCTAACCGCGAACTTTGGAGAGTTGAGATGTGATTGTTGAGTTCTTGCTCCTTCGCTGAATGCTGTAAAATGTTCCCTCCTGCCATAGAGTTTCATTTCCACCTCAACTCACAGAATGCCCGTCACGTACATGAAGAGAGGAAGTGCTAGATCGGCTTCTGTCAATATCCATTTCTGACGGATGCAACCTTTGAATATGCCCCGGGCAGCCCCTCAATAGGAGAGCCCTTATATACTTCTCATATGATAGAGTACGAGAAGAAGTCAACAATAGGTGTAGGTATTTGGAAATAATATACATTGGGTACTTGTACAAGTACATAGATCGAACGCATCTAGATGTCGCCAGCCCATCAATCCTTCTCTACTCAACTATGATACATCATATATAAAGTGTACATCGGACACATAATAACCACACATTGTTCTGCTCCCTCGGATCTGACCAAAACCTAGAGGGGTGCAAGCTTTTACCTCCTCCTGAGGTACCACGTGTACGCGAGCTGATTAACATCGTAAGGGAAGGGGGTAGGGACCTCAGCAAGACCGCGACGGGCTACGGGGTGGCGGAGATAGACGGCAGCGCAGATGTTCTGGTTAACCTCGAGATAGCGGGGGATAAAGGCGAAAGGCTCGAGGAACTTCCTGGGTTGCCAGGGGGTGGCGTAGGGCTTGGACGGGTCGACGGGGTTCTCGTCGTCCTCCTCGTTGGCGCGGAGGATCTTGAGGAGCTTGTTCTGTTCCGTCTTGGAGAGGATGGCGGGGGTAGTCTCGGCGTCAGATTTGGGCGTCTCGGCGGATTCGTCGGGCTTGACCGCCGTGACGCCCGAGTCGTCGAGCTTGAAACGGGAGAGGTGGGTGGAGAGCTGCTCCATGAGGTCGTCGCTGGTCAGGTCCTCTGTGCGGCCGAGGGCGGACTTGCTCGCCTTGACGAAGGCTCGGAGCTCTTGCTTGCGCTTAGCGTTGAGGTCGGTATCCTCCTTGAGGATGGCCTTGGCCGAATCTATGAGGGCCTTGACCCGGCGACGCTGCTCCTTCTCTCGTTCCGCCTTGGGGATCTCGGAGAGGTCGGGCTCCTCGGCGGCTTCCTCGGCGGCGGCAACTACCTCTTCTGCCTGAGCTTCGGCCTGTTCGGCGGCCGCACCCTCTGCAGCTTCGACATCGGTGCCTTCTTCTAGCTCGACAATGGCCTCTTCTTCGGCAATGGTCTTGGCTTGCTCCTTCGCTTCCACCCTCTTGATGGCGGCCTCGAGGGACGCTTGGTTCTTGTCCTTGCCTGCCGCGTACATGACCTTGTCGGGGTCAACTTCGAACATGTCACCGGGGTTAAGTTGGTAGGAGCCGTATCGCATCTGCGTGAGAGCGCAAAATCGTTAGCTGCATTCTAATGGGGGTGATTTCGGGGAGTGTATGGTTCAAAAGATTACCTTCTTGCCATTGACCTTCACGGCACCGTGGATACAGAACTGCCTGGCTTGCCGAGGACTACTCGCGAACATGGCCCTGAACATGGCAACTTCAAGTCTCCGCTCGAGCGGCGCAAAGGCCATTTGCATGTAGGGCGTCATATCCTGAGTCGGCCTCTTGAGAAGCGCCCTCATAGACCGGGGGCCAGGTCTGAGGAACTTCTGTTTCGCAGCATCCCTAGCGTCCTCGGCCGCGAGCTGTTGTTGCCTCCTCAGTTCGAGAACCGAGAAGGTGTCTGCCGTCACGGGGCGTGGTGCGTTCGGGTCGTTGGGATCGTACTGCTTGCCAGAACCACGGCCTTCGGCCTGCTCCGAACCGTCGTATGAGGCGAGGTACTCAGGGGGCATCTCGACGGCGGCGGTGAGACGGCGATTAAATAGACGGTTCCAGCGCTTCTCACCGACGTGTTCGCCGTGGTAGGCACGTGTCATGGCTTTGGCTGCCCATTTTTGCTGGAAGAAGGTTTGCTGGTTTATGCGGACGGCAACTTCGTGTCTGTGGATGTTATAGAGATTGTATTTGTTCCAGGATTGCCGTAGTTTCTGCAGGAAGGAGAAAAAGGGGTTAGCTAGAGCGATTGGACCTGAGGGCCGGTCTCCTTATACATGAGGCCAAATCCAGAAAAGGTCGAATAGGGATGCGGCGGCGGGCGAGGAGAGTGAGTGCTTAAGCTAGGCAGGGCAGACTTACCGGCCGTCCTAGGACGTGGCGCTTCACAGCCTCTCTCATCTTGAAGAATTGACCAGCGGTGGATGAGAAGTGAGCTTGAGGAAAGCGGCGAGGAGAAAATGTATCGCCAGCATAAATGTCGTGACACCAATTTCTTGAGAGCTGCAGATAGAACCAAAAAATTTGGCGTCGAGGCGGTAAGTTCCGCGAAGATCTCTGTCGGGGGCTGGCAGCTGTCCTTCAGCTGTCAGCCAACATGACAGAGCGTAGCAAATCAGGGCCCGTCTTTATCTTTTTCTGCGGGGATGGCTTGGCTTCGGTCAAGGCGAGCAGGGGTGGTCCATGCTTCCTTATCCGCACCTGCTCACGTCTGTAGGGAAAAAGCGAGGAAAAAAGTCTGGCGAAAAAATGCACACTACGCGCAAACTGACTGCTTCGCTTCGAGGGATTGAAGAGTCAAACTCGACGGGTGCCTATTCCCAACTTGACATTTCCTTTTCTTCTATTCCGCTCGTCTCACTCGAGTCATACAGAGCACTATAATTCCTCGTAGACTAAAAGACTCACGACCTCACCCAGGGACTGGTTTTTGCGACGGATTTTTTTTTTTTTCTTTGGTTGCCAATCCAACCAACTTACACCTTCCTCGAAAAAAAAGTACCCCACATTCCCGCCACTTTTTGCGATTTTGATTTTCCTCGCGACGAAAGCCTCGATTCTTCTGCCCCCCACCAATTCTTCCTTCGTCACCAATTTTCTCTATTCTCAATTCACCCTCCCGATCCGTTGCTGAGACTTTCTTCAATTCTTACGGACTCATCTACGGACATCATGAGCGAGGAAGAAACCAAGCCGGTGCCTACTGAGGCTGCCGCCCCTGTAGCCGCCACCGCGGATTCTGAGACCACTGCGAAGCCAGAAACCTCTCAGGAGGTAGCCCCTGCTGCTGCTGATGCGCAAAAGGACAAGGACGCTGCCGACGAAAATGCCGCGGCCAATGCGGAGAAGGAGGCTCCTCCCAAGCCCGCGAACATCCTCAAGACAACCGCCCAGATCAATCGTGAGGACCATACCAAGAACGTCAAGTCGGATCCCAAGCTACTCCCCGTCACCGATGACCCCGTAGCCATTCGCAGCCAGGTGAGTCACATACATTCGGCAATGGCGTTGTCATGCATATCTACCCCCTAGCGCCGTTACCGGTAGATTGCTAACCATCGTGATCTTATTAGGTCGAGTATTACTTCGGCGACTCCAACTTGCCTCGTGATAAGTTTATGTGGGAATCCACTGGAGGAGAAGAGAACAAGCCAGTCTCCATCAAGACCCTCTGCTCCTTCCAGCGAATGCGCCGATTCCAGCCCTACACTGCCGTCGTCGCTGCCCTCCGTGAAAGCTCCCGCCTCGTTGTCGGTGGTGAGGAGGGCGAGGAAACCATCAAACGAAAGTACCCCTACAAGCCCAGCAGCGATCGAAAGAAGGCCGCTGAGGCCGCGAGTGTCTACGTTAAGGGATTTGGTGACGAGGTTGCCACCACCCAGTTCGACATTGAGGCTTTCTTCGCCCAATATGGTCCTATCAACTACATCAAGTTGAGGCGCACCCCCGAAAAGCTTTTCAAGGGCTCTGTCTTTGTCGAGTTCCAGGACGAAGAACTCGCGAAGAAGTTCATTGAACTTAGCCCCAAGTGGAAGGATCATGACTTGAAGATCATGACGAAGAAGGCGTACTGTGACGAGAAGAACGAATTGATCAGGGACGGCAAGATCCAGCCGAGCTCTTCCGGTAAGCCATTCTTCGAGGGACGTGAGGGTGCCTCCCGAGGTCGTGGTCGTGGTCGTGGTGGACGGGGCAATGGACGTGGTGGTCATGAGTCCACCGATCCCAACGACTGGAAGAAGCGCCGGGATGAAGATCGAAAGAACGGCTTCAATGATCGACGAGGTGGTCGTGGTCGTGGCCGAGGTCGTGGATTCCGTGGTCGGGGTCGTGGCGGCCGTGGTGGTCGCGATGGCCGTGACGGTCGTGATGACCGCCAGAACGGCGATGACAAGAAGCCTGCGCAGGAGCGCAAAGAGCATGATGTTAATGGGTACGTTACAGCCTGCCCCTCTCCCTCGTCCGTTTTCCTTTACTATTCTCAAGGCATGGTTGTTTCTAACTCTAGTGTTTCTATCAACAGTGTCAAGCCGCGAATCAATGCTACCGAACCTCCCAAGGCGGCTTCGGAGACCAATGGAAAGCGAGCCCGTGACGATGATGGAGCTGCGGGTGAGCGGCCTGCTAAGAAGGTGGATGTCAAGGCGGAGGCGGCGTAACCTCGCCTCGACGATAGAAGCAAGGTTGGCCATGGATTGATTAAGTTCGAAAATAAGAGGTTCGATGGATTACGACTGGTTACGCACTATTCTGCTCCGGGATACCCCGAGCGGAGCAGTCCACTTTGCTATATCTGTTATTATCATTTGGTACGGCGTTTCAGGGGGTTTCTGGAATCAACTCGTGTACTACAATTTTAAAATACCACAATCTGTGCCGGGGCTCATCCCAAGTTCCGGTCTACAAAGGGCTTGTTTTTTGATACCATTTCGTGGTATGGGCTGCCAGTTATCTTGACATGGTCTAGCGTATTGATGGATTGGAAGGCGACAAATTGGTCCCTGTGGATAGGAGATACCACTGGTCACGGTGGGTGACCACTACCGCTCCTCGAGGACTAGGTAGAGAATATCTTATTGCTTCAATTCAAAGGAGTTCGGATAGTATGCCCAAGACATTCCGTCGTGTCTGCTTCGTTATGAGATGTAGCATGCCCCTTCGTTATGACTCTGCTGTTAGGTGATTGTAGGCTCGCCGGGTCGAGGTTGTTATGGACTAGGCATAAAACCTATGTTGGCCGATAGTCGCCATAGGTGACTTGGAATATGCGTGACACCTTCGCCAAAGGTCGCGAGGGGCAGGATCGTCTGGGCTCCTTTCTCGGGCAGAGGAGTAGGGAGATCTTTGCTAAGGCTCGCCGGCTGGGTCGCGATCACGATTCTTCTACGGGCTACCCCAGAGAAAAGGCGGGATGCGAATCTCAGGAGCCGGTAATTCGAGAGATGGGAACAGGTTAACGTTTTAAAGGGGGTGTGGACTAGGGTTGCGGTCGGGCGCTTGATGTCTGTCGTCGAGAGAGGCAAGAAGTGTGCGGAGCCTAGACATGTATAGATTCAACGGCATTACCCCTTCAAGCATTCTTTTGGCTTTTATGCAACTTGAAGATCCTCTTAAGGTTATATAGGAAAGGGAAAGGAACGGGGAGAGTAGAGTACCCTACGTTTACGGGATGGAATGATGAATCGACGAGGAGCAGAGAGGACACAGGAGGCACTTCGAACCATCGAACTGCGGTATTTCTAGCACTTACTCGAGATATCGCATTACCAGAACAGCGAACAGTCGTTGGATCTTCGATCTCGGTGCGGAGAAGGGACTTGCAATCGTGAATTCGTCTTGAAGTTACCGTAGTCGGAGATGGTGGCAACTAACCATGCCACGGCGAGAGTATCGGCTGGGCTATCTTCGATTATAGCGAGAGTAACAGATAAGGTAGGGCCCCAGAACGACGTAGATTTCCCGGACGCCCATCGAGGTTCGTGATGGATTTGATTCGAAGACGTTTCGTCAAGGCGCGGTGTGAAGACAGGCGAGGATACCCCCTGAATGGGAGGGTTGAGGGTGGAGGAAAGGCGAATAGATGATAATAGAGATGAATCCACCGATAGAGGCAAGCAAAGAACATCGTAAGAGTGTAGGGACTTATCATCGAGTGTTTTAAGAAGCCTCTGAGAAAGTACGACTGTACTTAAGGTACAGAGAATGGTCGAGTAATCGAGGAGAGACACGGGATCGAGGAAATGTTCAAGGATTAAGGGGGGGGAACCAGGCTCAAGGCATCATCAGCAAACTCGTGCCTCGTTGTAACATGCCTACAGATAACGAGGATAATAAAACAGAGCAATGAAGGGTGTCTTTGGTCCGACCTCTTCAAATTACGCGCCCAGCCACTCGGTGAGAGATCATCTCCGGACGAAGCGAGGGATCAGAAAGCCCCTTACCACGAGGAACAACATCGTCACCTACTCTCCACGACTTCCTGGTTCAGAGAAAAGGAGACAGGCAATATTTGCAATAATTAGCATTTTGTTTGTTAACCCTATCCGGCCTTGATGTATTATTCTGGTAGTATAATCTGCAAAACTCATGGAGAGTTCTGCGTGTGTTGGTTCGAAGGCCCAGCAGGACGACAATAGCCGCCGACATGACGCTCAAAAGTCGCTTCTGCCACAAACAAATTCGAATTTAACGGTGCCGTGATATTGATGTCCAAAATTAATCGAGATTTATCAAAATATACGGAATGTATTGAAGCTGGAAATTATCCTGGGTCATGCCTTCCGCTCCTTGCCCGACGAGATCGATAAGACTGCTCTTTGCCTCTTTCTATTTGCCCTGGCACCCAAACATCCCCAGCCCGTACCCTCCTCCGCAATGTTTCGAGATCTGGTCGTTGTTTCCTGGTCCTCGGCCAAGAGCAAATTTTGCTCAAAATCTCTTCACTATTGGACGAAGATGCAGCGGTGCCGCTTCATCAAGGACCTTGATGGTCAACCCGGATGGCTCAGATCCCCCTTTCCTTCTCCTCTCTCCATGGCTCCTTCCAGTGATGTTGTCTCAGTGCCTATCATGTATCTTTCCCATAGTAGGATTCGTAGAGAAAGACGTCTGGGGATCGAGTGATCTCCGCCGGGAGTGACTCCCGTCCATCGGGCAGGAACTGGCATTGCGGTAATTGCCCGTCTCAAAGGCTTTTCTGGGCGAGTATAAGGGCCCCGAAGCCTCCATCCTGAGAGTCTCTTCGACTCTCACCTGTTTTCGTCCCCCAAAACATCGCGAGTCCTGCCTCGCCAGCCAGGCCAGCCAGGCCAGCCAGGCGTGCCGAGGCCAACAGCCAGCAGCTGCGGTATTACGAGGCAGACTGTCCATCCCCACGAATCAGTCTTCCGTCCCAGCCAATTACTCGTTACACCGGTGACCAGGAGGATCAAGCATTTCCGCCTTTGGTCAGTCGCTCTCGCTCACGCTCTCCCCATGAGGGAACCCTGTCCGGCGCTCAGGATGCTGGACTTATTTCTCCTAGCTGGCTGAGGCATCGTGTTGCCCAGCTTCCAATATTCTCCCACGCTTTTCTTCGACCCGAATGAGCCGCTATGCCGAGCCTTCACTGCCCACTGCTCGCTTCTCACTGCCTATTCCCGGTCAAGCCTCCCACGCCAGCCTGTTCTCTTCTTCTCTTCTTCCTCGTCCCCCTCCCTCCATCCCTCCCTCCATCCCTCTCTTCCCACCGCAGCTGGCTGCTGTGCCCTTCCAATTACGTCCCCCCCCCGACTTCTGGGTCTACTGGCCGCCGCCATGGGTTTCCATGACAAAGTGCTTAGACGGATAGTCCAATATCCCTTCCAATCAGTGACTGGGTCTAGCTTCCTCCCACCTCCCACCATCTGGATCCATGTCATCCCACCCATCCTGTTGTGCACCCCCACCCCATTTCGTCGAAGTATCGAGTTACCGATCCAAGGCAGTCCGTCGTCCATGATTTCATGCGCGTCGACGTGGACGTATAGGCATGTCATGCCGTTCGACCATGAGGGTGGTACGCCCCATTAGTCCCTCCACCTACGCCTGTTAGCCTGCTGCACTCATGGTCATCCTTGGAAGCCACACCAATACCGTCTGTCGATCCTATTCCAAGTACAGTTCCGAAGGGTGTTCCGATGACATAGTTTGATTGGATTAGAAAACCTACATCCAACCCCACGACTGTGCCGAGAAGGGCAGCTCGCATACCAGCTCCAAAGCCGTCTCCGAGCGTGGGAAGCGGAACGAAACCCTGGTCCTGGAGCCCACTCCCGTGCCCATTTTCCTAGTGTTACCCCGTACTGGTCGAGTTTTCCTTTGTCATTTGAATCCATTTTGCTGTCTCCAACTTAGGCGAGATGTTGGGGGTTGATCCTGTTCCCCCTTGCATCTTGTTTCCTTTGTGGGTCGACCTTTTACTGATTGCGTCCAAGTTACGTTTGCTAGGCAGACCTAACAGGGCGAGCATCTCTAAAAGATGGCCTCTCACAAAAGAGCTAATGTAAGCTCGTCCGAGGTCGTACTTTTTTCGGGACTCGCTGCACACATCGCACTTGCATCAGGCACGTCTTCTAATCGCTGTGGAGTACTAGCCCGCAGTAGTGCTGGGTCTTCGGCGGTATCAATCTATCACGAGCCAATGACGGCCGGATGCACCCCATTTACTTTACTGCCCTCCGCAGAGCCAGGTTTTTGGAGGGTGGGTGTAGCTTCCAAAAAGGCACATGGTTCCGTTGACCATCCGCGATGACCCGGTCCACAGCTTCGTACACGGTCAGCACCCCCATGAAGGCCCTCGTCTCCACGGACTCCCACGCTAGACTTTCGAAAGCTGCGAGATCATTCGCTCTTTGCGCCTCTCGCCAATATGCACTCCCACTTTTCCATCCGCATCGGCCGTTTCCTAGCGGGTATACTAATAGATATCCGACAATAGTCGCGTGAAGGGATGTAGAACTGACACGCACAGGCTGCGTGGGGTTATCCGAGGGTTTAGGTCGTAAGACTTTGAAGGTCGGGCAGAACTGGGCAGCGGGAAAATGTATAAAGGGAGCAGTTGTCTCTCCCTCGAGATGGTTCTTCTTCTCCTCTTTTCTCCGTAAGACAGTCTTGTCACATTCAGATATCCACGCAATAAAAAGCATCATCAACCACCTTTTTCAAATTTTTCGGTTTTTAAACCTCCCAAACACAATCAACATGGACCCCTGGTATGTGCTCGCATCAAACCCATCGCCGGACTATCTCTAGCATCATATTGCTGTCCGCTGTGTGAGCGGAATCAATGCTAACCTGAGCTAAATAGCGCTTGCTCCACCTGCGGATCTCACTCCGACTGCACCTCTTGCAGCTGCTGCTCTGTAAGTGAACCCACCCCTTCCCCCCCCTTGTTCCCTTTCACGAATCATGAGCATTAGAGCTCCGGTCCCGGTCCCGGATCCGGGTCCGGAACAGATGTCATGTGGCATGTGGCATGTAACTAATCCATCCGGGTTGATAACAGCACTAAACCACCCACCATGTTTACTTCACCTTGAGCTGTCGCCTCTCCGAATACGCCCCGCTATGAGTTCGATACCACTGTCATTACAGTTTCAGTGAGGCGGGGGGCGATCTCCTTCCCGGCGACCAAATCTTTTCCTCTGATGGATCGGTGATACAACAAAAGCCAAGACGAGCCGAGTTCATTCCTGGCCGGCGGGGGAACACGGAGGGTAGATGGCCTTTTTGATTGTTTGATTGGGGGAGATGGACGTTTGCATGCTTCACTGATGAGAAAATTGGGAGATGGGATTTTTTCGTTTCATTGGACAATTACTTTACTCTGTGTGTTTCTTCGTCTGGGTTACTTGACGGGGACACGCCGGTAATAGACGATAAATCTCTTCTCTCTACCATCTCTATTTTTAAGATCCAAAGGTGTTCTGATGTGATGACTTGGTGAGTGTCTGGAGCTCCGAGTTTTGTTTGTTTGAGTTGGTGTAGCCTTGTTGTTGGAGGTGAGTTCAAGATGAAAAGGAGAGCTGAAAACTCATGGCTACCTTAATAGTATTGATGATGAAAGAAAGTTGGCTTGATGCTGAAAAGCAGAATGGTATCTCAGAACAAAACAACACACACAAGATACATAGGAAATGATAGACTAGGTACACCGGAAGCAACATCTCATGTCTTCACACTTCACACCTCCGCCTTTTCACTTACATCCTTATCGAACCCTGCCTAGCCATATCCTGGCTCTCCGCGACTCGGATAGCATGAAGCGCCCTCGCATTCTCCACCCTCTGAATCCCCATCTTCTCCTCCCAATCAAACAAAGCAGCCGCCTTCCTCCCCTCCGCCTCCAACTCCATCTCCGAAACAGCTCTACACCTCCCCAGCTTCTCCTCCGTAACGGCCTTCTCATGCGCTACATCCGCCTTCTGCTCCTCCCTCTTCCGGCGCATACTTCCCTCGAAGAGTGACTCCTCCAACTTCGCCCGCTCCTCTAACGCCTGTAACTCCTCGCGCTGTTTGCCTTTCCGCGTAAGAGCCTCGTAATCCGCCTGCGCGCGGTGGATCTGCGCCTGGATGTCCGCTAGGGCGCGCATCCGGCTGATGGCGATGGCGTGGTCTTCTTGCTCCATGGCCAAGCGCGCGAGACGCGCCTTGCGGGCTCGTTCCTGCGCGAGTATGTCCGGGGGTAGACCGACGGCGCCTTCGGGCTGAGCTCCCTCATGGGCGTAGAAGATATCCTCGCAGCGGTTAGCGCGGAGGAGCCAGTAGAGCTGTTCGGAGTGGTGCGTGCGGAGGATGCGTCGGACGTACAGGGTGGGGGAGTACGTGTGCGTGCCATCGGTGTATAGGTTGAAGGGCTTGTTGACGTGTTTCCACATGCCGGATTTGAGGAGCGTGCGGGTCGTTATGACGGGTTCGGAGGATTCGAGGGAGAGGTGGAGGGCGGACTTGTTGTCGGATTTGATGGCGATGTCGCTTCCGTTTTCGATGAGGTGGGTCATTACTTTTTCGAGGGTGCGTTCCCGGGCGGCGTCGAGTGGTAAGGAGTTGTTGCTGCCTGCGGCGTGGCGGCAGACTTCGGCGAGGGCCGTACGGCCGCCGTGAAGCGGACTCGGGAAATCCGGATCGTGGCCGTATTTCATAAGGACCTGGAGAGCCGGGAGATTCAATTCCCTCGCGGCGTTGTGCAAGGAACCGTCGTTCCTCGACGCCCCAGCCGCAAGGATGTTAGTCATGATCTGTATAGAGACGTCGCCCCCTAGCCCCACGGCCATGGCTAAGGGAGAAGCGCCCGTCGCGTCCGTAATGCCGTCGACCTCCGCGCCGTGCTCGAGGAGGGATTTGACGACGTCTTGCCGGCGGGAGCGGATGGCGAGCATGATTGGGGAGATACGTGTGATTTTCGTTTCGAAGTTGACTTTGGCGCCGCGCGAGAGGAGGAGGTCGAGGACGGCTGTGCTGATGCGCTTCTGCGGCTGGAGAAGGGCCCAGGTGAGGAGAGTGACGGGTTCTTCTTCGACGTCGGGGAGGACGCGGCAGAGGACTATTTGGTCGTGGTAGTAGCCTGCGTCGAGGAGGAGTTGGAGGATCTCCACTGAGCGGGGATATCGCTCGAGCGCGAGGACGAGGATGGGGCTTTGGATGGGGTGGGGGTACATGACGTCTATTCTCGTTCCGTCCTTATCGTAGTCGACTAGGGTGCTGATCAAGGCTATGGCGTCGTCTTCGTCTAGTTCGTCGTTATCGAAGACGTGGGAAAGGGCTATAGAGAGGGTTTCGGGCGTTGGGTCAGAGGACGGCTCTCCGCCGAGAAGGGTATCGACCCAGGAGAGTTGGGCTGCTGATGCTGCGAGACGCAGTGGCTTGCCCTGGTCGTAGTTTGCGTCGACCCCGTGACTAACAAGCGTCATGACGAAGGAGTCTACGAGTTCGTGCGGCTTGGTCGATGCTAGCTCCAAGATAGTCGTGAGGGTGGCACCGCTCGTTCGTTTTCCGGGCGAATTGTCGAGGAGGATTTGGAGGACCGTAGCGCCGTCGCTGGAGAACCAGATGTCTGCGTCTTCCCTCTTGAAAGTTGAAGTCAGGACGTGGTCTAGTTCGTCGCTAGGATCGACGCCCTTGAGAAGGCGACCAAGAATATGGGTTGAAGTTCTCGCTGCAGTGTCAATGATGGCTTTGCCCCTATTATGGAGTGGGGATGCGCCGTGATCGAGGAGGAAGTCGATAAGATCGGCGTCGATATCCTCTTCATTGACGACTTCTATCAAGGTTAGATGTAACTCGGACGTCACTTGGAGACCGGCCTCAAAGAGCCATTCAATGGCTGTCCGCCGTGTCTCTCGGCTCAACTTCCAGCTAGCCTTTAATGCCTGTGAAAGTGTGCCAGCGCTTGGTTTCTCCTTTGTTGGGCTGATGTTAGCATTTGATCAGGCAAATTCTTTTTAAGAGTAGAGGAAAGAGAAAGGTCTTACCTGGTTGAGATCTACAAGCTCACGGCCCAGGAGCAGCTCCAAATTGGGTAAAATTGCGCTTCTCACAGCAGCGCAGACAGCCTCGCCATCGTGATAATTCAAGTTCGCGCCCGCTGCCAAGAGCACTCGAAGCATTTCATGGCCTGCCTCTCCATATCGCGCCGCCGAGACGAGCTGCTCGTTGACGACATCCCCTGTGACGCCCCTGCGTAGGAGGATCTCTAGGATTTCCGTCCGGACCTTCAAGTCCCCCACTTCGGTAGCCGCCTGGAATGCCTCTTCTAGTATTTCCTTCTTTGGCTCCGGCATACCGGCCAAGAGCAAGGACAGCATCTCCGGGGATCCCGAGCGACTTGCCTTGACGATGCCTTGGCTGTCGCAGTCTGCGAGGCTCGCGCCGGCTGAAGTTAGGAGTCTTCCTAGTTCATAATCGACGTCGCTTACGGCAGTTAGGAGGCCCGAAGAGATGGATTGCTTTCCAACGATGTTGCTGCTCTTTAGGAGGAGCTCGGCAATCTTCAGCCTTTCCGGTCGGTCACTAATTTTCATGGCTTGCAGGAATGACTTGTCGGTAGCTCGGATAGGCGACTTGGCTTTGTCGAGGAGGAGGCCGACAATGGCGGGGCTCTCTTTGCGGATAGCCTTCATGAGGGCAATCCCATCCGATGTGTCGGCGTGTTCTGTGAGAAGAGTGAGAAGTGGCATGTCATTAGTATGCGCATCAATGCAATAGGCCAGAGCTCGGGTGGCTTCTAGCTTGGGCGCTCCAGCATCGATGAGCCGCTTGACAAAGGTGAGTCTGTTTGCGGGATCCTTGTTATGGATTGCATGGGGGAAGGCGAGCTGCAAGGATTGTTTGGTAGGTTTCGCATGGAGGAGGGGATCGACGATGCGGCTGTCTGCCGAACCGATGGCTAAACATAGTGCTCGGGCTTTGAGAGCGTTGACGTCGGCCTTTGCGGAAAGGAGGGTGTTTAGGGTCGAGAGAGATAGATTATCGTCTTTTGTTTGCGACACCGCAGTCACTTCGAGGACTAGGGCTTCATCGAGGTCGCCTTGTGTGAGGATGGGCAGGAAAGCCTGGAGTTTAGTGGTCTTGGATTGCGTGGAAGGAAGCTTCATTAATTCAGAGAGATGTTCTCTCATGAGCTCGGGTGAAGGTTTCGAAAGCTTCAATAGGAGTTTGACAATTGTTGGATCCGAGTCGTTTATGGCTAACAAAAAGAAACTGTTAATAGAAACATTCTGAGAAAGACATTAGAAAGTTCCAAAACTCAGGCATACCTAGATTAATAGCCGCGCCATTCTCAAACTGGACATCAGCTTTAGCTTGTTCCAAAAGCAAGCGAAGCATCCTAACATCAACGGGCTTGGACGAAAGTGTCACCAGGACCGCCGAGGAGATATTTTCCTGTCCGGTCTTTGCAGCGCCAGCATCCAAGAGCAAGACCATTGCTTCCCTTCTAGCATCAACGTCTTCGATCCTCATCGCACTCGTGACAGCATTCGCAGCCGTGGCAGGCGATGCAGCGCCGACGAGGGTACGGATAAGGCCCATGTCACCTTGCTGTATGGCAACAGATAACCCAGCACCATCGCCAAAGTTGACGCTTGCGTTGTGAGCAAGCAGAATGGATATTAATCTCTCGTCGCGCTCCGCCGGTTTCTTTGAGATGGCCTCCTGTAGTGCCACGTCGAGTGGCTTGCCCGAGAGACCAACAAGAAGGAACGCCTCGACGATGGTGTACCGAGCATCGTCCGCGGACAAGACACATGCGGCGGGAAATATTTGACCCAACGTCTCGAGAGACGGCTTCGCCGAGAGGAGCAGCTTCGTCATAGGAACATCGCCGCGGGTCACGGCAATACTGAAAGCGAGGCCTCCCTTATGGTCCACCGAAGCGACGTCATGACGATCGTACAGCTCTGCTGAAGCAGTAATAGGAGAGCCATTAAGTTCAGAACCTTTTCCCTTTGGAAAGTGCGGAGTGAGTAGTAAACGTGCGGACTCGATATCTCCAGCTTCGACAGCATCGATGAGAGCATTATGCAGGGGTGTTCCGTTGGCGCCGCGGCGGAGCAGTTGAGTAAGAATCAAATGACGACACTCGTACGAAACATTGGCCGGGAGCAATTCGACGCACTCGGAAGCGTAGAGGGAGGAGAAGCTAGAGGATCCGGAAAGTAGGGCATCGACGAGGCTATACCGGCCTTTGGATACAGCGTTACGGACAACAAGGCCGTTCTGGAACGTCGGGGATGCGCCATACTTGATTAAAAGGCTAACGAGTTCAAGGAATTCGGAGGAAACTGCGTGGATCAAGCCGATATCAAGAGCTTCGCCCGCAGCGCCTGCGCAAAGGAGCAGTTCGGCGAGTGCGAGTTTCTCATTGGGGCTCATGTTCAATTGGGTAAATAGAAGGGTGACGGCCTCGTCTAAACCTGGTCGCTGGGGAGGCTGGTTGCTCATGACTATGGCGAGAGCAATGTCGCGCCTCCCCTGGCCGATTGCGATTCTCAGGGCTTCGGCGTTGTTAAAGCTGCCGTCGGCGGAGGACCGACTGAGACGCAAAACGGTCTCGAGGCATCCCGCCCTCGACGCATCAACCATGGCTTGAGACAGGCAGATTGGGGGCGGTCTGCCATTAGAGCGCAAGACGAGACTCACAAGCTCGTGGTTGCCCCCCTCAACGCAGAGTTTGCGAAACTCATCTTGCGCGACCGTCGAATCGCACACTCTGGCCCCATAGCGTAAAAGAATCTCAGTCATCGCGATGTTGCGCAGCTGGATTGCCAGCGCTACCGAAGCATCCAGGGATGCTGGGTCGGCAAACGGGACAAGAACGCTGACGACGTCAACGGGACCACGCTGCACGGCTTCCTTGAGAACCTGGCCTCGTTCCTCGAAGCCATTCTCGTAGCTCTTCCTCCTAGAGTGCAAGAGATTTTTACTCTTTTGTCGGGGAGGAACATCAAGTCCGCCGCCTGCTCCTCCGAGCTGGGCGACAAGTGCCTCGACAACGCCGGGAGAAGCCGACCCACTCCGGATGTAGTCAAGGAGGGTCTCAAACACGAGACGGGCGGACTTGGCGGACTGAGCTTTTTTGGAGGTAAAGGAGCGTTTAAGCAGAGGGTTTGAGAAGGATGATGAAAGGGACGGTTGCCCCGGCGGAGTGGATGCGGTTTGCTGGCGGTACCGAAACAGAAGTTGTTCAGCCACACCATCGTCGCCGGGGGTCCGGAATGACGGGGCTTGATCGGGCCGGGTTAGTGGTGGTGGTGCGGAGGAAGGTTGAAGGTCTAAAAGGGCCCAGTCGTTGGCGAGCTGGATTATGCGCCGTTGCCGGTCGGAGGGAGAGGGGATTGCGGAGGAGGAAACCATCGTGTGAGGTGCTGATGGTGCTGATGGTGCTGGGGGTGCTGGGGGTGCTGGGGGTGGACGTAACGGCGGCTGAGGAAGCGGTGCCATCTTGTTAAGGACCAGCATCGCGAATCTTTTGGAAGCCACAGACACCGGTGAGGGGAATAAGGTTTGGGATGGCAGAAGCGACGGTTTATCAGGAACCAGAGCCAGAACGTGGGAAGAAAAGAAAAAAAAAAAAAAAAAAAAAAAAAAAAAAAAAAAGGAAAAAAGAAAAAAAGGGCCGCGAGAACGTGACTTCGCACTCGGACTCAAGCGAGGCAGGCGCTACCTGCAACGGTTCGAGGCAGACTCTGCGACCCTCGAAATAGAATCTCCCGGTCAGTATAGCCGTGGACAAGGCTGCATGACCAACAGGTTGTTTCGAAGGTTTCTGAGGCCCCCCAGGTTTCTGGCTTCTTTGCCGAATCCGGTCAGGTGAGAAGAGATGAGCCGATTTGATTGATGGATGCGCCAGGGGTAACAAGATTTGATGGTGATGGATATTATCCTGAAGGGTTTAATTTCCCCAACATTCAAGGGACTGAGTGCATCCCAAGATCCCAAGGGAAGGACGTGGTTTGGGGAACCGGAGCAAGAAGGATTTAGTTTCTGAGATTGATGCTTCGAAAGAGGGCATAAAAGAGGCCCAGGCCTGTTGTTCGTATCACATCAATGGCTCAATGACGGCGATGGCGGCTTGGGACACTGCAGAGTGAGCATAGCCACACTGCGCCGTTAAATGCCACCTCGACGCGTGGGAATGAATCATTGCAAGTCGAGGTACGCACCACGATCTATTTCTTTCTCGATCAATTGGCAAGGACCTGCCAAATTTTAAGACTGTGCCTGATCGGCGTCGAAGGATCAATCCAGGGCTTCGCTAGGCTCTGACAGCTCTGCCCCCGGGTCGGGATCGTAAGCTCTGACGCGGCCGCTAAAACATCAATTGCGGGTTCCTGAGCGATTCTCGTTTTCGCTCTCGCTTTCGTTGCCAAGAAAAAATGTCGTCGTATTGCAAGGTTTTTGAGTGTCTCGACTCGGTTGAAAGACTTAAAGATGCCGCTGTCCGTCCGTTCTTTTCGTGCCCATCACCAACCTGTCCTTGGCTTCCTCTCTCGCTGCCATTGAGAACATCTTAATTCGATAGAATTACCATCGATCCCAATGCAGCTTTCCTCGCCAACTCGCAATCTTATTTGACCGCTGTTTTTTTTGAGAGACGTAAGTGCGACCCAACATCTAGACCGTGGCCGTGGGCCTGCACAGCCCCCAAACTTGCCGAACCAAGGACCTCTGTACAACTTCAGGTTAAACGAGTGTGTTTGACGGCAAAATCGGCTTCCAATGTCATTGAAAAAGCAGCTCAGCGAAACCGAGTAAGTTTGATAAATATCAGCAACATTAGCAGCGCGACGGCCCGTGTGGTGGCGGATGTCCCGGTATCAAAATGCGAAGCACGAGAGTGTGAATGGATTGATATGGCGATACAAATAGCGTTCCCAGGATTCCTCAAATTCCTTAAATTCACTTCTGTCTATAGAATTCCAATCTCACAGGAGACGCACTCGGTATCAGTTAACCTTGACCTAGAGGTGCTAAGTGCCCGAGACTAGAGTAGTGTTCTTCCAGGAGAGTGTTCCGTTGCCAGATCGTACTCCAAACTCAACTAGTATAGATAGACAGGAACATTGGGTGTGGTGTTACGAGCCGTTTTCCCGGTGCTCGGCGTGGTCTGCTTGAACTTGACTTCTGAAGAGGAATCTAGGAAGGCAGCTAGAACTCAACATACAGCTCACAAATACATGAAAGAAGATATGCAATAATCCTGAAGAATATGTAATCAACATAGACACTTGAATACTCCGACCAATCGCCCTGAGCCCGATAGATACCCCCTAAGATACCCGGTCGAGCAGACCGATCCGGCGGCCGCTGCTCCGGAGACGCACGGACCCTCCGCCGGAGCCCGGACACCGACGACCGAGGACGGAAAACGGAAGATGTAGCATGACGCAGATGATGGATATCTCCGTCATAAGCTGTTGTGTTTCGTTTGCCAAGTGCTTCTATTATTGTTTGCTTGATTCTTCTCGTGGATGAACGGGTAGCAGCAAGTAGCCTCATAAAGTCGCCTCACTCCGACACGACCTTCCACGGACTCTTGGCCCTCCAACTCCGACGCTGCACTCCTCCGACTGGGGTTTTTCATACGCAAGGAGAGATACTACCGGGAATTTTCTAAGGTGCTTTGGATTGGACGTGATTGCAGTAGTACAATTACATTCACGCAACTTTTATGCAATAGAAATGACCACCTCCCTTCTTGTGGTTGCGAGTCAAAAGCCCTCGGAGTTCAAGCAACCGGCAGCTGTTGCTGACCACCCAACTCCGAGCAAAGTATTCGATCCCCGACATCACCGATTTCGTTTGGCTACTGATCGTGTCGGGCTCTGACCACCATGTTCCCGGATGTGACGTGGCCTGCCGAGATCCCATCGGCGTTAGCCCGACGCGCCTTTTACCCACCTTCTAGAAATGGATGAGCGGCCCATTTACAGGACGGCATGGGACCTGGCGGAGAAGGAGTTGCCAGTATCGAGAACTCGAAAATCGCTTACAGCCCGTGTTTTGGGATCTCTCGGACCTGTGAATCCTGAGGACGGTCCCTCTTCAGATAGCTCACAGAGATGTCCGGCATCTGCAACGGCTTAAAAGCGTTCTAACCCTCGAGGCATTAGCTCTAAATAAAGTACTGACGATTATATTTCTGCATGGCCGTGAAGCCCGTGGACCCTCGATGAGTTAGCGTCTCCAACTCGTGTCTCCTCAACAGATTCCAGCAAAACAGTCCACGCGCCGCAGTTTCACGTTTTGGGTGGTCTTAACACCGCCAATCAACTCTCAACTGCAGTACCCTCCATTCTCTATCAAATCACACATTCCCACCTTCTGTGCCTAGATTCAAAAGACCATTCGTGTTTCCTTCCTCTGACGCGATCAGCCTATACATCCTCACCATCCACTGCATACGGTACATGCTGTTCGCTCGAGCCATGATTTCCACCATAACTTCTCCGCCCCCTTCAGCCCCTCCTTATCGCTTAGCCAACCTTGCAAACCTAACGCTCGGACAAACGAGATTCCCAATCTGGTCCTACCCATCAGCGAAAATGCCCACGGAAATACCATCTGAACTCAATGGTTCATGCCATACCTTCCCTCATGCGCTTCACCCCTCTCCTGGTGTCTACAGCGTCCGCCAGCTTGTAGCAAGCGCCACTCCACTCCTCCACTCAGTTATCACCCGCCTTGGTGAAGACCCTCCAACCGAACCACCAGCTTCATCCGTCTTAGTCGACGGTCTTGCTGCCTCCCTTTCAACAAGTGGCCGAGAGTCGACTTTACCGCTTGCTCCTTCCAGCCGGGACGCGGCTCGTGGAGAAATCATTTATCAGGCCAACCGAATCGCCAAGACCATTATCCAATACGTTCATGAGAGCACCAAGCCTGCAGCACTCGCCCACGATATCCGCCTTCGAAGTCCGTGTGAGGGCCACCTCTGGACCCCAGCTGTGGCGTCTTTACTCCTCGGTCCACGTAGCGATGCCCGGCTCATGGAACTCTACAACGAGTGGCTCCACCGCATGATCCTTTTACGAGACAGCCTGTTGCCCTTTGAGAACTACGAGGAAGTGGCCCTCGTCATACCCGAACACTCTACAGATGGAATCCGTAGCGTTGAGGAGCCTCGGAAGTTATTCCTGGTGCATTGCCTCACTGGCGCCGTACAGCATACTGCAATCGTGGACCTTGCCAAGGTCTTCACGGCACCTAAACTTCCGCAGGGTGGATACGGCTTCCAATACGCCCAGGGACTTGTCTTGCCGGCTTTTCTTTCCGGCTCGCGAACTTTACATCTTCTCCGGTATCACCCAGCCAAGTTTTATACTGGGGAAGGAGACGTTCTATTCGATTACGAGCACAGGGAGTACATCAGTGCACCGAGGACGGAGCTCTCTGCCAGTGGAGCCGTCGCCTCGACGGGAAATTGGAATCTCGCTTCGCTCTTGACCGTCGAGCCGCGCGTGACGGAATCCGAACTCACCATTGACGACGAGAACAACGATGATGAACTTCGTAGGGTCGTCAAGTTGAGGTTAACTCTCGATTCGGGGAAGTGCGTATCGGTAGATCTCGGCCAGATAGCGCGTGGTCGCCGATACGCCTACGAAGTCCGAGCAGAAGGAGAACTTAGAAATACTTCTCCCAAGGACATTCCTTCAACTCAAGGTCTTCCCGCCGCCGTTGTCCACAGCACTACAGAAATCCTCTGTAGGCCAGGTCTAGTCATCTCTCCTCGCACGAAGATTGGTCGTACAAAGAGGATCCATGTCATCCCTACCACGGACCCCCTTCTTAAGCTTGCTCTGCTTGGGAAGCTGTACCCGGAGAATGTCATCCTACTCAAGGAAAAGGATAGTGTCAAGGCATTAAGCAAGACCGGGAAGGGGTTCGCGGAACAGTTGGTTATCTTAGAAAGGGAATCCGGGAAGATCTCAGTGTAGAAGGAAAGAAAGCAGGTACTGTGAGAGAACAGCGATACACTGCCATCTCGAGAGTGGTTCTCAATTAGTCGGATAGTACGACCGTATATCATGCAAATTTTGTGGTGATGAACCTCCAAATATCCAGCTTAGCGTATCCCAGAATCAATCTTCCCATCGAAATCGTAACACCGAGTCACATGAGTTCATAAACAGGACATAGATCGTGCGCAATTGTGATATGCAAAATATACAGCAGCCCACAAACACCGTTTCGTGCAGTTGATGCATCCTTCAGCCTCGATCGAGGGCAATGTTTCATCTTTTAACAAACAAATAAAAGAGGCAAAGGGAAGAAAAGGGAATGGAGAGATAAAAAAAAATGAAAAAGAGAGTATTAGGGGTTTCAATGCGATGGGCGGCAGCTCTCTCACTCTCCCTCAGCAAGTGGCGACCCAACCGTGGATAGAATGAGCCTCGTGAACTCGTCAAGGTCGGCGTAAGAAATCTTCCAGCTACCGCCCGCCAGTGGCTGTTGCATCATTCCCGGCCCAACACCATGCCTTTCGTTTCTATCGGCGTCGATCTGGTTAAGAACTTGTTGCACTGTAAGTCTGCTCCGGGCTTCGGTATTCGGGTCCAGCTGAGCCTTGGCGATAAGCCACTCTTCGGCTGAGGATGCCTTCCATAGGGAATCAGGAGCTGGGAGAACCATATTCCTTATGAGGTTATCGTCGAGCGGTTCGTAGTAGTATGCGTCTTGTCTTTGGGTCTTGCAAGATAGCGTGTTGATGGTGTTCACCAGGAAGAGGGTCCGACGAATCGTCTCGTTTATGATCCATTTTCTCCAGTTGGCTTCCTCACTGTCGCCACCCGGAGGAGACTGAAGGTATTGCTGAATCAAGCGTCGTGTCATCTGCAAATGCGGAGGGACTCATGTTAGTGCGGAGACCACAATGGGCAACTTCGAAGTCGTAAAAGGGGGCGACATACCTTCAAGAAAAACACGTGCTGCAGTTCTGTAAGACGCACTTGGTCGGGGCTATTGCTAACGAAGAAGCCAAGGATCTGGTAAATGCACATGGCGTGCACAACCGCCAACATATCGCCATCCGACCCGGACCATTTTTGCTGTCCACCCCCAGGGAAATCAGCCACGGAAGTCAAAAGATTCCTCGGAACGGGATAATACTAACAAATTCCTTGACGAGCGCTCCACTTTCCTCATTCAGAAGGTTGTAGACGTAATTCTTGCTCGTGGGAACAGAGGAATAAAAGGCACCGATGCAACAAAAAGCCTTGGCCAGAGGCTCCGGTATGTCGCCGGTCGAGCAGCGATAGAGTTTATGATGCACGAAAGGGGGGTACTCGCCGGGTCGAACCATTATTCTAGGGTAGCTGGAGATAATTCGAACGAGTTCTTCGCTGGAAGGGAATTTGAAGTAAGGGTAGGGAGAAGGGCGGGTCATGTCGTCCGGTTTGCCACGTAGGGTTAGGGAGGTTTGATCGTAGGAGGGTTTGACAGCATCGTGTAGCGTAGAGGAGCCTTGTCCGTCGCCTCGGGCTTCTTGAGAAAGATTCGGGTCGATGGCAATGAGATTCCTCGCGGAGGTGTCTAGTCTAAGATTCAAGTTATCTCTTGGGATTCCGGTCTGCAGATAACCCTCCATCGGCGCCTGCCCGGGGTCTAGAGCCGGAGTAATACGATTCCTCGTCAAAACTCCAAGAGACCCAAGGAGATCAAAATTCAATTCGTCACCAGCAAGGCCGGTGGTCATGGAGGGATTGGCAACATTATCGTTCATTCCAGCTGGCCTACAGCCGTCCGGAGTCATGATCGTTCCCCTCGACGCCCAGGGGTCGTTTGCTTGCCATGGTTGAGGAGAGGACTCGCTATTTTCGCTCCGAGACGCGTCGAAAGGGTAGAAATTCCGCCTGAGCCAGCCTGGGCTCATTCCCGGGTCTCTAAACATTCCACCAGCTAGGCTCTCGGGGCTATCTTGTGCCGTCTGGGACTGGTCTATTGGCCAATGGCCGAGATTCATATCCAGAGACGGTGACAGGCCCATGACATTCGAGGGGGAAGTTCTGAATGCATCGTCAAGATCCAGAGTAGGATCTACGGAACTGCCGGCGTGAAGGGGTACATTCTCCCCAACACCCACAGGTCCTTCGGTTGCGAGTTGCTGAAATGGGTTCTGCTCATGTTGGGTCCCGGTTCCTGATCGTGAAGTCTGCGGATCGTTCTGAGGTTGGGTCTTGTCGCTGGATGGGCCAGCTGCTGTCGTCGAAACGTACTGGCATCGTTTGTTCCTGTTGATGCATCGAGAACAGGATGGCGTACCCAGATCGCAGCCGAGCTTCGAAGTGGCACATGGAACACAGGACTTCTGCTTTGAAGTTTTTTGTCGGCTGGCTGCTTGGATACAACGTCGTTGATGTTTGTCTCTGTATTCCTCTGTTCAAGGACACGCGACCACCCAGGCGGCGCCCAAGGTTAGCTTCACAACGCGACTATGCAGGTTAAAAGGAACATAACATCCAACCCCCCCCCCCCTCTCGTCCGGCCAAAGATACCCCCCCTGGTAGCTTGAGTTACCAGCCAGGTGGTCAAGCCATATCTCCGCACACCTTGTCCCCATGGAGAAATGGCCGGCACTGTTATGCATAATCTCACCCGGCAGAAACGGCAACGACCCGCCAAGAAGGGAGAAGAAAAAAAAAAAAAAAAGGGACTCTCTCTCACCGCGACTTACTCTGAGCAAACTCCTTGGGACAGTTCCCACAACGCCACGGTCCTTGCCGAGTGTTATCTCGCTTCTTACGAGCCCCCGACTGACCTCCAGTCGAGCTATCGGACCCCGAAGCAGCCACCTGCATGGCTATGCTGTGGAGCTTTGGCGAGTACCGAGAATAGAAAAGAAGTGGGAAGGATTCAGATACGAAGAGTAGTCGAGCGAGACTGCCGTCGATCCATGTACAAGGTACATCTGGAGGTCAAGTGGCAGTGAGATAGAGAGTTACAGCAGGACAATCTCGGAGCCCAGCAGACACGGGAATCGGAGGAAAGATAACGGCAATGCAATGTAGTTGTATAATAGCAAGATGTGAACTAGGGCTTTCTACCCAGAAGTTAAGACACGGGGTCGAGCTGCTGGCCAGAACCTTCTGTCTAAGACGCCACACGACCTGGGATGATGCACCGCCGGCAAGAGGACGGGGGTGGTAGTAAGACAGTAGATGAGGGAGTGGAGGTAGCACCTGGGTCCTGGGGTAGTAGTATAATCGAGGCAGGGGAGAAGTACGTACGCGGGACAGGGAGGGGGGAAGATGGAGGAGCATGGCGTTTCCAGGATCACGTTGGTTGTGCATGTATGGGATAAGCCTATAAGGCCATGACTGCCCTCCCAAGCCTCCGGACGTGTGGAGGGACCTATGTATGTATGTATGTATGTGGGCGTGGAGAGGAGTACGAGTACGTGACTACGAGAGTACACCTCCTGCAGAATGATTTTGCCAGGCTCTGCACGCAAACTTTGTGCGCTGGTAGCTCCAGCCAACAGGTATACTCCAAGTATTCAGAGGAAGTATTTACTTTACTGCCCGTGCCGGACTTGGATATCTGCTGGTTGGACAGCCGTGGTCCACGGCCCCGGCTCGGTGTACCTTAGAATTTCCTAGTACGGCGAGGAGTTGATCTCGCAATTCTGTATGTGGATATCATCATCTGCAGCCAGTCCGAGCGACCTGTTTGAAATATCTTATATCGACATTTTCGTGATACATTGATAATTAACCTTTTATCGGGGCAATCGCGAGACTGCATGTCATCAGCGTCTTGCAGACTCGCGTGCTCTCCAACTCCGAGCGGGACCTAGACTTTGCTACCACCATCTCATCAATGCAGGAAATTTCTATTTTATTTATTTTTTCCCCTTAGTGGGGAATATGGCCTCTTCTCAGCTGTCTTGCGAGGGTCTTATTTGTCGACATGATGATATGATGATATCTCTATGGTTATTGACACAATATCGTCACCATCGTGCTTCGAGACTAATAACACTCGCCTCCCCACTCACTCTCGAGAGAATCATGAACTACCTCGGTACAGCTTCAACTAATGCAGTCTTTACTGTCTCCAGTAGAAGTTTTGTTGTTTCTAGGGATGGAGTTTTTTCCTTTTCTCTTCCGCCTCGGGCTAGTGAAAGCGGACCTCCAACGATTCGATCTCTCCCCCACACAGCAGATGTGCCTGATGCTACCCGAACCCCAGCCGAACTCTGACCATTCCTCAGACGAGCCTGATCAACTTCCACTCTTTGTCTTACATTGCGTACCTAGATGAGTATGTCGAAGTACGTTGGGATTAGCTTTCGCTCCGAGGATCTGAGAAGCGCGGCTCAGTATCCACACTTGCCCCGGACCTCTCGTCCCGAAGCCCTAACTAGGCGAGGACTAGCCACACTTCACCGAGAACCAGACGAGTCGGTGTTTAGAAAGAAAGCATAGGGGCTTGAGGGGTTTGAGCTGAAGTAGAAACCTCTCTATAGTTACGGACCTACCTACTTCTGACAGATTTGGCCCGCAAAGGGCTCAGAAGATATCGTAGTTTGGTGGTGAATACACCACTGGGCTGAAGAATTAGGTTGCAATCATTTCCCCCTAGAAACTGGAGCCACAGGAAGAAAGGGGGAGCAGAGTTGTGTACTTTGTAGACCGTTAGCCCACAGATCATTGGCGTTCCTGTACCATCGAGGAGAGAATCAATGTCCAACCTAGTAGCAGGGTCGGATGTCATCATATTGTTCAGTGATTCCGTTAAACATGTTGTCAGTATAGATTGTAAACACGCGAGGGTGAGGTTGATCCTTGCGCCTAGGGCCCGGACCCAGAGGCATTGATCATAGTAGAACCAGCAGTACCGAAAAGCACAGCACAGATCTATAGCATCAACAGCACTAAGAGTCATTCTTCGTAGACGGGAATCGTCGGCCGAACAAAATCCACCAGCCGTGGGCGAGAGACAAGTCCACGAACCGTCGAACTTCATTTAGAAAACGATAGTGTTGTAAAGCCATTAAAGAGAGGTGACGAAGAGCACCGGTCGCTCTATAACATGGAGGTTTACCATCGGACTAGGACCCCCGTGGAAACGAAACAACCTTCTCGAACCGTTGAACGATTTTGAAGAGTCCGCGGGCTCGTTGCCGATCCGAATCTACCCACGACTGGCAAGATTTGTAACCCAAACGCATACCCAAACCATCGAGAACATTCCCTCGACCACGCCGGCGATCCTCGATTGTATTCGGAACGACGGTGATGCAGCATCCTCGATGGAGCGTTTCAGGGCAACCAGTTGCGGCCTCGTTGCGATGGTTCTCCTTGCTCCGTGAGATCTGAGGCGCGAACATGATCCCTTCAACTGACGAAAGAACACCCTTTCTTCGTCTAGCTTGTTCCCTTTATCGACGATACGCTGCAAGAATCGATACCTGCCGCCAGGTTCATCGAGAATAGTTTCCCTTGAGCTCTGTTGGGCTGTTTCCTCCCGCGAAGACTCCTCGATTCCGAGGGAAATACGATTACGTGGCGGCTCCTCCCCTCAAAAAGGCTCGACCTGGAAACTCGAACACCTCCTTCTACCATTCCTTCCACGCTTTTAACAAACTAAACTTGCTGCTAGCAAGGAAATCACAGAATATGCTCGAGACTACTCGACCACATGACGAGATACCCAGCAACTGGGGCCGAGACCATGACAACGACAACTTAGCCTCCAAAGAACCAGGAACCTTTCGGGTGCTAAACAATGCCACCGGCTCTACGTCAGTCCGGGAACGAACATCGACTCCGCGAAACGACTATACTTCGCTCCGAGCGGCGGGGACGATCCCCAGTGACGATACCCGATCATCCTTCTCTACGACAGCACCGATTGTAACGTTCGACCGACCATTCCTACGTGAAAAGCTTTCCTCTGAGCCCGAGTTCGACCTCCGCTGGACGGAGACTCGGGCATTTACGAATTCAAGAGAAGAACCACAAACGTTGAAAGACCCATCTTTGTTACCTTCCTCCTACCTTTCTTGAGTTCAAGCCAGGCGACTTTAGAACTATGTACCTTCTCCCGTACCTCGCCGCAGCTCGATCTTCCCGACACTATGCTTGAACTCCAAACTCGACGAAAGGGAGAGGGCAAGTACATTCGAAACCACCATTATCGACCCAAGGCTACTCGAGTCTTACCAGGCACCCGCCGATGTCGAACAAAATTTCCATTCGTTTCCCTCACTCTCAAGACAGCACCCTCCCTCGAGAAGTCTGACAAGATTACCATACCTGCCTAGATAACATTCCTCGGGCTACCCTGCCTGGGATCCTCGATACAATCTTGGCGAAGCTCCTACAATCCTCACGGGGGATGAGGCCTTTACCTCTACCTCTAGAAATAATCGAAGGGATTTCCTTCTGAGACGATGGGTAGGACATCTGGCACCGAACAGAAGCCGAATACAGTAAAGGATAAAATAAAAGGTGGAAAGAAAAGGAGAGAGACGAGAAAGAAATGGAAAAGAAGAAGAAGAAAAGAAAACAAAATAAGAGTCGGTGTTCGAGTCCGCTATACGTTTCAACAGTAAAGAGCGGCTAGTCAAGAAATACAGTTGGGCGTTGTGGAACAGCCTTTGATACTGGGGCATCGGGAAGATGGGAGACATAAGAGAGGAGGTATCGAATCACCATCACATCGTACCTTCATACCCTTTGATATCCTCCATAGATATAACGAAGGGGATGATGGAGCTTCTGGTGTGACATGGACTCGGAGACACTATCTGCGAAGGAGTAGGAGACGATGTGCATGGAAACTTATACTTTTCGAGATGCCACCTGCATTACGGGAGGCCTGGCTTGATGTAGAATTTTAAGATCTTCACGGCAGGGAATAGCTCTCGCCTTATGAGGCCCGGTTAGTTCAGGGGGCTAAACCTTCCAAACCCCTTCTCCCATAATGTCTCCCCGCATTGTATCGCCAGGATCCGGGACACGTGGCCGATATCTTCTCACAACTCGGACCCCAGGACATACCACTGTACCAAGCAACAGGGATTATTCGCCCACAGTGGCGATACGGATATCGACGACAGATCTAGATCGAAGAGCCTAGTTCACAGAGCTTATATCCTTCTCCACGGTCTATGTGGATGTACCATGTAAGTACTACTCCTCATAACATGGACTATCTAGGTTCTCGCCCCAATACCTACGGCGCTCGTTCTACCATGACGCCGGATCCGCATGCCACCACCGCGCCGTCTTCCACTCTATTGTATCCCCTATCAACTCATCACACCACACTCGCGCGTGCTCACCCTGTGCGTGCCAAAACCACACCCAAGGCGCGAAGGAGGCGTAAAACCGGGCCTAGGGCGGGTACGGTTCTTCGTTGGCTGCGGGGCCTTGGCCGGCGACGGCCCCGGTTGCGTGGCAGATGGTGTATCCCCAACTGAACGGCACGCGTGTGGCGTCTGGAGTGGTGTTTTCGTCGAGGAAACAGTGGGAATAGAACGCAGGATGTCTTCTAGCAGGGCCGGGTCCGTAGACGCCGCGATAGGCATCGAGGCCAATCGGCTCGAATTGGGGTGGTGCCCCGGGGGATGCCCGAGGGGCCGGGTTGGTGGACATTGTGCGAGAGAGTTTCGATGTTATGTGCGAGATATATAAGATGTGTGAAATGTGTTGAATTAGCAATGGTAAGGAGGGCAAGAGGTGCGGTTGATACCTTCACTTGGCTTTCTGGGCACCAGCAATTCAGCATCACCATGTGCTACTCTCATTGATGTTGGCAATCTGGCAGGAAACGACCGAGCTTCAGGAGCAGTGTTTCTAAGAAAGCTGGAAACACCTTCATCTGCGATCAAGGCGATCTATAGAATCCTAGAAAATTCACGTTCACGGACTCCCTACTCGTGCTATTGATAAATTCCCTTAGCATTCCTGGATAACCTTAGTTTCAGAGAAATACTCAAACTACGCGAACCATCTTGGATCCCCCCAATACCAATTCCAAATACCCAACGTCACTGGCACGGGCTGGTATCTTGTCCAAAACTGTTCTGGAGTGTTTTGGGGGCTCGGAGATGGCGCCGTTGGGAATGTCCGATCCGACTCGGAGGAGAATAACTCGGGCTTGGCCTGACCGCGTCGGATATCTACAACCTGCGTCCACCTTAACTTGACTTCCACACCCTACACGCACTGCGGAATCAAGAAAGAATACACTATTACCTCTCTATCTTTGATGTTCTTGCGTATGGTTCGGGGACTAAACAAGTGTCGAGGCAATTCCGGCCCATCTTTGCTCTGATCCATGAGGAGGGAACCGGGGCATTGACTGGGGCGCTAGCCCTGCTAAAGTGTGTAAATCCATGCTTCTGCCATCCGTGATAGACTGGCAACTCTGTAATATGCCGACGGGCATGTCCTACAAGTTCAAATTTTCGCAATGCCCAGGTTTGATTCCGTCACGCAGATGAGTAGGTTCAACTCCGCGATCTAGTTTTCAATACATATTCCACTACGTCTAACAGTTCAATTCAAGCTATGCCTGTTTCGTAGAGCATCGAGTTCCCCTGTCGAGCAAGTAAAAGAATAAATAGAGAGTGAAAGAACCAGAAAACAGCCTCACGTATTCTCCGTTTTAGGATATCCTCATCTCCATCCCAGGCCCCTTCCACAGAAACAAAATACAGAAGAAACGCAGACTTGTCAAGATGGCGGATAAAATCGGCCCGCCAACGGCCTGGTATCATGACAGAGGTTTGAGGACACTCTACCTCCTCTTGCCCGTTGTTATCCTCAGCAGCTCGTACCAAGGCTTCGATGGCATGATAATGAACGGATTGCAGCTTCTGCCTTCATGGCAAGAAGGTATCATGCCACAGTTCCCTTCAAGTAGTACCCCTAGGCTCACCCAACTAACACTTCGTGTTCTCTCGCCCAGAGTTCGACCACCCAAAGGGACCGGTGTTAGGCCTACTCAACTCTATCCAAACTGTGGGAGCTATGGTGGCTTTGCCCCTCATCGGCTGGCTCGTCGACAAAGTTGGCCGTCGCAAGGCTATCGCGTTCGGCGCCTCCTGGACTTGCCTTGGCGCTGTTCTTCAGGGTTCCTCCAAGCACATCGCACAGTTCGTCATCTCCCGATTTCTCATCGGCTGGGGCCTTGCATTCACCGTGGTGGCTGCACCGTCACTTCTGGCCGAACTGGCTTTACCGAAACACCGAGGAACAATCCTGTCATATTTCCCGACGGCATGGTATACCGGGGCCATCATCGCTGCCTGGACCACGTATGGGACTCAGTTCATTCAGAACTCGTGGTCATGGCGGATTCCTAGTCTTCTGCAAGCTGCTCCCGCTATAATCCAGATCGCGTTGATCTGGTTCGTGCCCGAGAGTCCCCGGTGGCTAGTCTCGAAAGGTCAAGGGGCGAAAGCTAAGGAGGTTCTTACCAAATATCACGCGAATGGTGATGCTACGAATCCCATTATTGAACTTGAATATCAACAGATCAAGCAAGCGATTCTCCAGGATGCTCAGTATCGACGCCAGGGAAGCTACGCGGATCTTATTCGGACCAAGCCGAATAGGAGGCGTCTTATCATTATCACATTCTGCGGTCTTTTCCTGGAGGTAGGCTGCCGTTCAACTTAATAACATCAGTGAAAATTCTAATTTGTCTCCATTATAGATATCGGGAAATGGCCTAGTTCAATATTACCTCCATTCTGTTCTCAACAGCATTGGCATTACCAAAACTATCGAGCAAACCACTATCAACGGCTGCCTCTCTATTTATAACTTTGTCTTGGCCGTTGGCGCATCATTCTTTGTCGAGAGAGTCGGTCGTCGAAAGCTGTTCCTGATTTCCACCACCGGCATGTTTTTAGCCTTTATTCTCTGGACAACCTTTGCCGCATGTAAGTCGTCGATACAATGTCGCCCCCTGGACTTTCGACTAACCCCTGCCACGAAGTGTATACCACCCATGGTACTCAAAACTTTGCTGTTGGCGTTCTCGTTTCCATCTTCCTCTCGAACGGCGCATACGATGTCGGTTGGACCCCTCTCTGGGCATACCCGGCGGAACTCCTCCCGTATGAGATTCGAGCCCGTGGCGTTGCCTACCAGACCGGTATCATGCATGCCGCTGGCTTCTTTTCGACCTTCGTAAATCCAATCGGACTCCAGAACGCTGGTTGGAAGTACTATATTGCCTATATCGTTTATACATTCCTTGAGGTAGGATCTCTCACTTACCTACAGTTGGGGTATGAAGCCAGACTAACAAATCTTTTGTTGCCAGCTCATTGCCGTGTGGTACTTCTTCGTTGAAACGCGCGGCTACACTCTTGAGGAAATCAGCACCATCTTCGAGACTGAGGGGCTTACCTGGAAACAGAGGCGTAATCTCAAGCCGCCCACCTCACTTCAGGATTCGAGTTCGGTCGAGGAGCAGGGGGAGACGCCGAAAAAGTCGGATGTGATCGTTTCTAAAGAACAGTTGTGAAGTGCTAACCACTCTGGGGAGATTGGGATGAGACTTACAAGGAGCGACCAATCCGAGAGGGATTTTTAATGGTTTCTAGTATGGAGTAGCGTCAAGGCAGTAACCAGAAAGGTGGGGGGATGTGGAAGTTATTGGATCAGTGATGGTATTTTCATTCTTTCAACTTACTTTCTGTTAAGACAGAATGAGAAAGCTAGTTGTGTGATTAAGAGTCGGGTGGTGAGGAAACAAATCATTGCCGGGAGGTAAGTTTGCTCCCGGTTGGCAGTCCTCGCGCTGTGAGAAAAGTTATTCGCTCATATCATCTGGTATCTCCTCATAACAATCTTCGAATGATTGTTCGTTTCCACTGGGAGGGTCGCATATATCGCACTGTAACTTACTGGCGATGGCCTTGATTTTTTTCGTGATGCGGAATTTTGGACCCCGGTCGAAGAGAGACATTTTGACGATAAGCCTCTCGCAGGTAGCACAGCGAACGTCGTAGAAGAGCGGCCTCGCCATGATGCCGATGGCTTATGGTGATTGTGAAGGTGATTGTGATGGTGATTGTGAATGCGATTGTGATTGTGGTGGACAGTCGTATAGTCGAGTAGCTTCCGAGGGGACAGGACGAGGTTTAAATAGACAATATTGAACCAACTCTCAATGACTTATATTAAAAGGACAATCCTCTTGTCCCTGAAAGCAATCACATGCCCAAATACTTTGCTAAACACGTATCAAAGAACGCAGACCATGCCCGCTTTGTCCCAATGACTCCCGACTCCAAAGACAAAACGCATTTCCGATTTCAACAAGGGAAAATGACTAGCATGCTTCCATTTACCCTAGAGACAATGGGGGAACCGGAGTCGTTGCTGCTTCCTGGTCAGGCCGGCTCGACCTCAGCAATTCAGAGATCCATGCACCACAGCAGAGAAGTGGTATCGCCCCCACAATTAACCACCAAAGCTCAGCGGTCAGGGTAGTTCGTAGCCATCTTGCCCAGCGGAGGGCCGGGGAGCGACGGTGGACGCAGACCTTGGTGCCGTAAATGAGACAACCGAGGTCTGGTCTGGATTCGCACTCGATGTGTTCTCTTCTCCGTTTCATCAAAAGACTGTGTGTATCGTTAGCGTGCGGGACTTGAATGAGCGTTGTCTGGAAACAATGGGTGAAAGAAAAACAGGGACAAAGAAACAAAGAATGGCGATAAAAGACATACGCGACACTTCCTCTGCAAAATCTGACGTCACTTCCAAGATCACATCGTCCATTGTTGGGGCACTCCAGATGAAGACGTCTTCGTTGCATGAGCCACTCAACCTTGAGTGTGACCCCAGTATACACAAGGTTATGGAAGTAGCGGTTGACATGCTTCAGTGAGAGTGCATCTGGATAAATGAGATATTCGGCTATTTGAATGTGAAGCTCTGGTGGCAAGTCCATAAAGGTGGGGCCGGCTGACGGGGAAGAGGTTTGGATCGGCGCCGGAGTCGTCGGGGTTGCAGTTAGAGTTTCTGGGTGAGAGGCGGGTTTCGCTCCCGGCAGAGCGGGACGGCGGAGACGCAGGAAGGACGTGGACATGGTGAAGTCGGACGGCGCCAGATAGCGGCAAAGGATCTCCTTTCTTCGCGAAGCGAGTTATCGAAGAGCGTGTTGAATAGAGTTGATCAACAGACTGGCTCCCAAGGTCAAGGGCAAGCTCAATTGCTAAGTATATAACTGCTGCCTTGGATTGGCCTCTCGTCGATCCCAGTAATTCGGCTGCCTGTCTGGGCCCATTTAACCCCTGACGAGACACGGTGGCATGAGTCTCAGCCTCGCTACCTGCGCTAGTGAGCTAGGCACAGACCGCTGAATACGAGGCGAGGTTTCCAAAATAGTAGGGAACGGGTTAAGGTATGGCGACGGCGATGCGATGAGAGATCACCTGGTGGACTGGTCAGGAGAGGAGAGGCTTGGGGGATCTGGGAACCTGGCATGAGGGCGCCTGAGCTGAAACTCATGACGCCCAGCTTGGACAAAACAGGACATCGTTACTGGTCAACTGGCAGCGTCTGTTCGCCAACTGACCAAGCCATTTTGGGATCAGGCCTTCATTCTTCAAGTGACCGAGCAGACATAGAATTCTGCACATGGAGTCAACGGTTCGATTTTACAAGTTTATTGTCAGTTAAGCTCAGGACTGGCAGTCGAGTGAAAAGGAGATAGATCAATGCCTAATTCAGTGACGGCCTGATTTGAAACTGGGTCCAATTGATTCCCCAGGAACGGGGCCGAGTTAGTGCGGCTGTAACCATAAATTGTGGATGCTGGGCCTGTGCTTGGGCCGACTTTGTCCACTTCCTCAGGCACTGTTGCACTAGGTCGCCCGCAGGCAAGGGTAATATTAGGGCAGCTGGGGGTTGGGTGATTGCGGTTCTGGTTGGTCAGGTGACTTCGCGCTGAGACGCTCCAAGCTCACTGGGGCAGCTGCCTGCCAAAAATGACTGTGACGGAAGTTTAGGCCGCCACTTTCAACCCCGCGACGCGAAGTTAAATCAAACCCCCCCAATTCCCCCATTCTCCGATTATCATCGTCAGCCCTCCCGCATCACCATGGGCTCAATGGCATTTGTGCCTATACCTCGATGATGGCCACTCTTGTCCCTCCCACTTTCGATGATTACTACGACCTATCGTCTGAGGAGGAAGCGCTTCTCACTGATCTCGCTTCCAAGATTGTCCCAGCTCCCGCACCCGCACCCGCACCCGCTCGAGAGTCCTCGACAACAACTAGCACCATATCTAAAGGCGACACCTCGGCGGGTTCCGTGATAGCTGGTAATCATGTCACGCAGCGCTATGGGCCGACCAATGCATCTGCGGCTAACACAGCTCCGGCGGCCGTTGGGTATCTGCCGACACCGTCTTCCGCTCCCCAACCAGGTTCCCAGACCCAGACAGAAAGCGTCGTATACCCGGATTGTGGGTGTTGTTCTTTCTTCCGGCTCAGCGAAGGATTGAAAATTAATTTTGACTGACCTGCTCTTATTTGGAAGCGTCTAGTGAGCCGCGCTCTGTCTGCATTGCCACCCGAAACGACGGAGAAGACCGCGGAGGTCGAGAAGAGCGAAGATTCGGATGTTGAAGAGATCGATGCCTCATCGTTCTTCAAGGATGAGCGCTCGCCGCTTGTGCGATTCCGTACGTTTCCGAAAAAGCCATTCTCGGTCACGGATTTGACATCAGGCGGAGCATGGTGTGAATTGCAATACTATTATACCCTTACGAGACTGCCATATGGGAGGAAGACCAAGACGGCCATCATGAGGGAGGGGTCTAAGGTGCATAAGAAACTCGAGGATCAGGTGCACACGACTGTCCGAGTTGACGTCGATACCAAAGAAGATCTGTTTGGTCTCAAATTGTGGAATTTCATCCAAGGCCTCAGGACACTGAGGGACACTGGACTTACCAGAGAGTTGGAAGTTTGGGGAATGGTCGACGGCCATCTTTGCACAGGAATAGTCGACAGCCTCAGCTACACCTGCCCCGACGCCGATTTCGAAGAAGAAGTTCTTTCTAGTAGCCAAGAGGCACGTGGTGGAAAGAGCGACAGCAATCCTTCACTCTTAGTTTATCTCTGTGATGTAAAGACCAGAGGAAAGCCATGGCCGCCGAAGGGAGCGGCACTTTTGCGACCGACGAAGATTCAGCTTTTCCTCTACCACCGTTTCCTGTCAGAAATGATCAAAGGAAACCTCGACTTTTTCCGAGTTTTTCGACGTCTCGATATAGACCCAGATGAACCCTTCTCGGATGAATTCATCGCGCAGGTGGGCGATCTACACGACGAAGTGTTTTACGATGCAGATGCCAAGAGCTCGCAGGAGAAGGACGGTGATATCACGTCCGATTTCGTCAAATATCGCACCCTTCGCGAGCTCCTTCCTTTAATAAAGGAGGAGCTCCAACTTACCTTCCCCAACGGCGTCAACTCCCTCGGGAAACTTCTCTCTGTAGACTACCGCTTCAGGGATGATGGCAGCATTATAGGGAGCTACACATTCCCTATGGATGATGGGGCGCTCAATCTTCAGATTGCGTCGGATATGCAGTGGTGGAAGGGCGAAAGGGGGCCACGCGGAGTTGACATCGAAGACGGGTTCAAGTGCCAGAGGTGCGAATTTTCAGACGACTGTTCGTGGAGGACGAAGATGGATAATAAAAGGGTCAGGAAGGCAAAGGAGAAGATTAAGAATGGTGGAGGGGGAAACGTATATTATTGAGGGATTGGCCATTTTATGGATGCATTCGGGTTGTATATCGAGGTGTGGATCACGGTTCTTTTACTTTGTCTGAGGCACTGTCTTTTTTTCTCCTTTACGATATAAACGGGATCGACTGCCCAGGATTGGCATCGATCGATGAGGAATGATATTTTGGTTGATGCTCGCCCAACACACATCGCGGGTTATTCGCAGAGCGAAGAAACATCTTGAGCCTTTAATGTTGGAAGCTGCCTTTGACACAGTTTGAGCTCGGCTCTCTGGAAGCTGAGGCGCAGCTGAGCTCATCAATTGATAATCTCCCGGCTTGGCGAGCGCTGGCCTCGGAGCACGACAGTGACGACACTCAGCCCCGCGAGCTGAGGAAATTTCGTTTGACACAATATCTCCGCGAGATCGGCGAGGATTGACCTTCAAGGGAGATCAATGATCTATTCTTGTCTGCAGCCTGCACTGCCTCCTGCACCCGGTCAGACAAGCAGCGACAATGTGGGGCCGAGAGGCACTGCGCCATCGTCTCCACCAGAAAGCGTCGATTCTCGGCATACGACATTGAACGCGGCAAGATTTTCTTCTCGGTTATCACTGGCACCCACCAGAACCTGGGGCGATCTGCTCCGCGTATACACTACACTACCCTGCTGGCCGCTCTCATCTCATGATGCTGGAATGTGGGGAAGGACGGTCCTGGGGGTCTCGGCGATATGTGCTTCTCGCCTCGTCAAAGCGATCAAATGATCCGACTTTTTTTTCTCTAAATGCGCGAAGGCAGTGTCCAGAAGGCCGTCGAGTTGCATATTTCGGCTCCGATCGCATCATCTTTTGGCATTGCCGAGGATGTGCGTGAAGCATGGGCGCATTGCTGTGCCCACGAGGGACGGGACTACATGCGCAAGGGATTTTGGCATTTTTCCAGCATCACATCTACGACTCATCAACGGCTTCTTGTGAGTAGCATAAAGCGAGTGCTCTTCGAAGGGTTTACGAAGTAGGGGGTTCTTAGGCTAGATTTGTCCCTCGGTCGCGTCACCAGTCTTGCTTCATAACCACGACCTAGTAGTCTGGCATCATGCCCCTCCCCCATGTCTCGAGGCATTCTTCTTATCGATCCTCCGTGGTGGACAAAATCAATTTCGGATGGTTCCCCATCTTTAGGGCCACTGAATGGGCCAGGCAAGGGAGAGAGATCTTGGTTATATTGATGCTTCGTATAGCCATTAACAGGGAAGATAAGACAGTTTTAGCGCCTCTCGCCCATGGTTCAAAGCTGCTGTCGCTTGCTTCTGAGTGGTTCAGAGCCGAAGATCTTCAAACATTGATTGGTGCCAGAGAACAAATATTGCTTGGGGCTGAAAAGAGCAATCTTGTGATGGAACATGGCCCCACCGCAACTGCCAAGCACTTTGTTTCTTGGGACTTCGAGTGACGTTGATTCATCAAGCCTTAAACAACACACACACACGCTCGAAGACTCAGCTGGGTGGCCAAGAGATGCAGCGGAGATCAGAGGTGAAGAGAATTGTCGATCTGAGCTCTCCCGAATCGACCTTGTTCAACAAAGTCGACTCCCGAACAAGCACTTCGACCCAGAAGGTCGCTGTGTCTGGCTTCCACAGCATGTGTTCTTTCCATTGGCCGAGTTGAGTTTAGATCACATCGCAGGCTCGCACTAAATACCGGAGTCGGACAGGGCCCATCTCCACCTGGCTCAACCACCCCTGCAGCCTTGCGGAAAACTGCAGACAAAACATGTCTCCCAATGCCGCTCAGCCGTCGTGGAGAGTACGAAGTACTTCGTGGTGGGGAGTAATTTTCCTGCTCGCGTACGAAGTAAACTATGAGGCGAGAGACCGGGCGATTGAAAGCTAGCGACGGGGGCTGTGCGGGTGATCTGTGAGAGGACAAGACCGCTGGATCGAGGAAAAGTGTGCTGTTAATCTACCCGATGCATCTGCATTCTGCAGGCAAGCTCCAGCAAATGCCCCCTGATCCTTGAGGATTGGTGGTACTAGGGCTTCGCGCCTCGAGAAGGAAAAGGATTTGCGCGAGACAAAAAGGGAACAGCTTGCCGCCACCCCATCCCTCACCCTGGTGTCTTCTTTTTTTTTGTCTTTCTCTTTCTCTTCTCTCCTCCCCTTGAATCGCGTGTGACTTCCTGTCTTCTTGGTCAAACGTAGGATCTATTCCGTACACCTGAGAAACTTGCACCGAGGGTTGAGAGAGGTAAACAATAAGATCACCGTGGTCGCGATGTCGCAACAATACCAACAGCCCGGCTACCCTCCGCAGGGCCAGGCCATTCCCCTCCAGCAACAGCCGCAGATGTCCGCCGTTCCAACTCCGGCGCCTGCTGCCTCGACGTCTTACGTCGTATATCCCGCGGGTGACAACGCGACCAAGACTGGAGTCAAGCCCGAGCCTTGGCAGTATGCTGTGCGAGGCATCCAGATCGTCGTCTCCATCATCGTCCTGGGCTTGAGCGCGTACATCATCCATGGCGCCTACATGGATCCTTTTGGCTTCGCTATTGCAGTGGTTAGTTCAATAAAACATGAGACCCCAACTTCTTTCCCTCGATCAACCAACCGTCAAGATATTATAAAAGTCACGTTCAGAGCTGTCCCGCTAACTTCAACCTCTCCAGTCCGTCCTGACCTGGCTTGGCCTTGGTTTCATTCTCGCCTCCCAGAGCGTTGCTAGCCTCCAGACGTCTTGGCGCATCTTCGTCGTCATTGCCATTGACGCTTTCCTCACCATCATGTGGCTCTCTTGCATGGGATCGACCGCCCACATGAGGGCCTCCTTCAAGTACAGGGTTAGCATTTCCGGATGCTACAACGACGGAAGCCTCATCGACAGCACGACCTGCTTCAAGATGAAGCGTGACAGCTTCGTTGCAGGAAAGGTCGGTCTCGCGAGCATGACCGCCGTTGCTTGCATCAGCGCTCTGAACTTGTAAGTTCCTATTGCCTCCGGCACAACAACCCAATTTAGTTCCCTGCTAATCACTCTTTCTCTTGCGGTTAGCATTCTCTTCGCTGTCATGACCGTCCTGAACGTGCTTGCCTTCCTCCGTTCGCGCAGCTCTGCCGCCCCTGCCGCCCCCATCGTTGATGGTGCTGAGAAGCAGCAGACCGTTGTCGCCCAGCCGGCATACACACAGCCCGCCCCCGTAGCCGCCACCGCTCCTGTTTACCCGGCCCAGGGTGCCGCTATCCCCGCCGCTGTCCCTGTTCAGCAGCCAATTCAACCCCAATACACCGGCGGCTTTGTCCAGCAACCCGTCCAGCCCCAGTATACCGGTGGAACGTACGGCCAACAACAGCCTATCCCGGCCCAGCACACTGGTAGCAACTTCACATCGCCCACTCCCCCTACTCCCCAGGGGTTCCACGAGGCCCCCGGTAGCCAGCCTTTCACTCCTCAGTACACGGGCAACTATCCTTCTCCTACTACCTCGCCGGCCCCCGTTCAAGCATACGCTCAAGAGCTCCCGACTCAGCATACTATTTCTCCGCCAAACTCACCGCCACCTCAACAAGGTTACACCCATCACCCTCAATAGATAGAGACACATATTTATAAATTAAAGCTTCCTTAATGAAATACTTTTAATATGTCAACAATTTTATTTCTAATACACCGGCACTTTGCATGTAGTTCGCGATAAATCATGAATTAATCGATGGAATCCCTTAGTCTAAAATGAAAAGGAACAACTCGAGAGGATATATACCCGCCTTAAATGACTGGGACCGTGGCTGGGGAGATGGATAAAAGTGTAGAGGTGTTCCGACAAGGTGAACCATGCCTGTCTTCATCTCAATATGTACCTATCTAGGTCTATAGACATCATAATAGAGTAGGCTTCAAGTTCTTCGTCGGCTCTTGGGAGGCCACTTCATCCCCTCGCCCTATCTCGTCACCAATCTCCTCTCCTTCGGGACCACTACACTTCACCGCTGCCCTCTCCCCCGCCTCAACCTCAGCATCAATCTTCCCATCCACCTCACCCCCAATCTTCTCCTGATAAACATCCTCTTCCCCTTTCCAATCAGCAGGCCGCACCTCTTGCACGTCCTCCACAACCTCCGGCAACCTCACTTCCTCCTCAACGCCCACGGCCTTCCACACAACGGCGATCTTATCAAACGACCTCGGCGTCTTGATCAGCCCCTTCAGCCCATCCATCTCGTCCCAGCAGATCTCGAAGACGCCGCTGGCTTCGGGCTTGCCGTCCCGTTCGGGCCCGTTGCCTTCGAAGAAGGCGTTGAACCAGACGTGCGCTACGGAGGTGACGAATGTTGGGCCCATGGAGGTAGGGCCCTTGCTGCTGCGCCGAGCGCCGATCTTGACGTCGCTTGTCGGGATGATGATGGGTGAATTGGGCTTTAGTATGACGGCTGATCCGCCGGTGATCTCGGGTGGTGCGTCGTTAACGGGCGACTCCGTCCTCGAAGGCGGGACGAATAAGGTTTGCGCGGAGGAAGTAGAAGAAGAAGAAACTCCGGCGCTGTCGGTTTTGAGTCCATCCCATCCCCTTTTCGAAATAGATCGAATCACCTCCTTGGCCTTCTTCTTCGTCTTCGACTTGGTGCTGCTGCCCACGGATTCGGAAGCGCTCGCATCGCCCTCCGACTCGACCGCAGAACTCCCCGATTCTCCGTCAACGCTGCTCCCCGTCGACATCCCCGGACCGTCGACAACGATCTTCTCCTCTCCCCCAAACACATGAAACGTCTTGATCTTCTTGCCCTCATCTATATACCCCTCAACGAAAATGCGAACCGCATCTCTCAACCCCCACACATGGATCTCCACAATCTCCACCTCCCGATCAACATATCTCTTCCCATGTTTCGTCCACCGTTCGACGTACGTTATCCACCGCCTCTGGCTCGGAATGGAGACCCCCTCCCCGAACCCAGGCCTCATCCTCCTCTGTGTGAACCGTGCCAGCGCGTCGGATGGCTTCCATTCACACTCCGCGATCAAGTAACTGCACGTCACCATCCCGCTTCGCCCCTTTCCCGCTTTGCAGTGCACGACCACCACTCTGTTATTCTTCCCCTCGTCATCTCTAGTCCCTACCCTGGACGCTGCGGTGAGATCGCTCACCCCGCCTACAGCCCCTCTCTTCAACTCGCCGCCGTGAAGCCAATTCCTCATACTAGCCATGATGAGAGGAACGAGTCTGAACGGTGGAGGGTGGTGATCCGGCCACGGGTAGTGGAGAATGCGCCCGTAGACCGCCTCGTCCGGGTATCCCGTCCCCTCGGCGCGGAACTCCCATATTGCCCAGTTCTTGCCGTGGCGCTCATCGAGGAATGAGACGAGCGTATCAAGCGGCGTGCGGTAGGCGCGCTTGGGATAGGATTGTGAGGGACCGGAGCTTGAGATCAAGTTAGGAGTCTATGTTATGAAGGGGTAGAAGGGAACACAGCTTGGGGGAGAGCCTAGAAGGTACTTACGTGACGATTATATTTTGAGTGACGTAGCATAGATCCAGGCCTGTATCTGCATGCCTAACCCGCGGGCTCGCGACAATCTGCCGCAGAAGAGAGGTCATTCCAAATTTCTCGCAGAGCCTCGTCCAGACTGTCATACACCGAGGTTTCGTAACCGGCTCTTTGAACTGCTCGAGAGGGACAAGTCTTTGAGCGATAGTTAAGCCAATTATGAGAGTACTCGGGTACGGCAAAGTAACGGACTAGAATATATTCAGGTGTGAGAGGAAGAATATGAGGCCCCCGACTGATGGATGAGATTGTACAAGGATGTCGATGTTGCGGTCTCTGAAACGGATTTATTGATCAATCCGCATGGAGCTACAACGCACTACGTCATCGCCTCAAATGGCAGGAGCCGCAGCAGCTCCGGCGCTTCGCCACCTCAAGCTTCGATCTGCGAAGCGCGACTGAATGCACGAGTTCCGCACACATGGGTGAGAGGCAGCCTAAGATTCATTTATCAATCGCTTGCTACTAACCACAGCCACCGCCGAATACAGGGGGATCAAGTATCGCGCGGAATATATGAAAGCACGCTCTGGATAAAAAGATGCAAACCCTAATGACATAAATATCAACGATTCATACAATTCAACTACTACCAGCAACTCCCCATTTTCAACTTCTTCCAACGGTTCGACGGTGGTATACAACCTCGGGCATTCCTCTTCGCTCCTGTAAATAATAAACTGCTTTACGGTTGTCTGTCGTGTCGGAAGAAGACACTCCGCACTCCGCACTCCGCACAATCGTAATAACCACAAAAGGACATGTAAACTGGAAACAAGACTGGGGGAAAAAAAGAAATTTAATGACAATACCGGGCCTATAATCTTCGAAAACTGCGTTTTGTGGCCATGAGAATAAGCCTCCAAGGCGTACCAACGTTCCATCTAAAGCAGTCCTAAGGTCCTTCTATGCTTCCGTGTTACACATTAGATCCCCGAGGTCGTGTCTTCGTGCCTAGTGGATTGGGGTCATTTGAACCGTGTGCTTATGTCGCACGTCCACGATAGGTGTAATGCCGACGGGAAGACGACAAGTCTAGATACGGTGGGGGAAGAAAAAAAAAAAAAAAAAAAAAAAAAAAAAAAAAAAGAAAAAGAGGGGGGCTTTGCCACATCAAGACGGCTTCCTAGCTGTCCGGAGGATCTAACAAACTCCGTGACTGGGTACGAATTGCGAACTTGCACTAAACCCAGAGCCCGGATGATGATTCGCGTGAGATCGTCGTTTACGAGGTCTTCTTGGGAGCAGCGGCTCCGCCGTTGGCATACTGGTTGATGTCGGTGATCGAATAGAATCGGCGAACTCCTCCCTTAACACCGTCCCAGGCTTGGCGCGCGGCGGGGGGAGTACCCTGTGAGCCAACAAGTCCGTCGACCTTGGTCTCCAGCTGCTGGAAAGAGCTCTGAACGTGAGGGCTCTGGGCAAAGCGAGATCGGAGGAAGAGGGTGTAGATTCCGAGAAGGATCCACGAGCGTCGCTGGAAAGCGATCGCAGAGAGTAGAATGCGGATCCAGAGGAGGATCTCGAGCGAAGAGACAATGGACATCGAGTCGTCGTAGTAGGTCCTCACAAAGGCACCGATCTTATCGGAAAGCGGGTTGGGGGCGTACTGCGGCTTGCTGTTAGGCGACGAAGTAGGAGCCGAGATCACCTTGGGAGGCTGGATCGTCGGGATGAGGTTCGCACGCGTGTAGGTGGCAACGTGGAAGACCGAATAGACACAGTACGGGAGCATCGCGAGGGGGTACTGCGGACTGAACAGCCAAACAATGGCCATACCTGTAGCAGTGAGAACAATTCGTTAGCTCGCCATCCCATTCCGAGACCGATCCCGGACCCGACGGCCTACTTCCAACTGAAAAGACATGTTCTCGCTACTTACCAAGATATTGCACGTTCTCATCGCTAAGAAGGCCAATCGGGGTAGGCTGGCGAGAACCACTCTTGGCCCGGGCCTTGAATGTTTTATAAACAACGATACCGTAGGTCACTGCAGCTGCGATGAATGCAGTGCGGTATGAGAAACGGGCCATTCCACCATAATAGTTGAATCGGATCCACGAAAAGCCATATCGGATAGTAGAAAGGATCAGAGTAAGATGTCTAGCAAATTCACAAGTCAGCCAAAATAATTGGGATGTAGCCTTCACACAGGGGCAAAGCTGCCTGGCTCTGTGTAGCCTGCTCTGCACGAATTGCTTTGTTTGCAGCTCAGCTTGATTTATGGCTTAGTCGCGACAGCTCCAGGTGAGGAATGTAGCCCGGCCACAAGGCATGTGGAAGGCGCAAGCAATGATATCTCGTAGTGGGGAACAGAGCTTGAAATTATGGACACGTACCCAACAAACCAGGCAACTAGAAGAATAAATCGTCAGCACAAAAACCAGTTTCGCAGGCAGAAGAAGCTTGGATAGGATGAAAGATTTGGATATAGACAGGCTTCCCAGTCCCCAGACAAAGAACGACTGGGTCTTGGATTAGCCGACTCGGGAATGAGGTTGGGGGGGGGAGCATACATTGCAATGTCTTCGCGAGGGTGAGCAGGCGCTCGGAGAGAGGAAGGTTAGGCGAGGGCGGAGGCGCCATTGCTTCGGTCGGCGACGGCCTTCGAGACTACTGGGGAGGAAGGATGTTGGTAAAATGAAGATGGGGAGAAAGGGGAGGGGATGTCGTGACGATTTTATGGAGGGAGCAGGGAATTGGGCGATTGGCGGTGCGATGTGGGATCAGGCGACGCAAGAATCGGGAGGTTCGAGAAGTTCGGACGACGAGACTGCGTTTCTGGAGAGTAGTAGAGTCGACGCGACGTGGTTGAGGAGAGGCCAGCAGATAGAGTGTGAGGACAGATAAGGTGGAGGTTGAGGTTTGGTGGAAGAGGGAGCAAGTGGATCTGGGCTGGGGAGGAAATTTAGAGAAACAATAATGATGTCGACGCTTGGAAGTACCACTGCGCTGCTCCAGGAAGAAGTACTTTACACAAGGTTCAATGTGAGTACGAACTACGAAGGAATAGTACGTGCGTGGTGGGCGGTGGGCTGCGGGTGGCACTAGTGCCCTAGTGGGTGGCTGGTAACTGAACGGGCTCCCGAGTGCTGCGACCGGTCTTCCCTTCCCAGCTGGACGGCGCTATTGAACGCGACATTCCTCGCCATTGATGTTGTATCCACCAAGACTTACGTCGCCCTCCCATCAAGAAGCTGCGCTCCAGTCTACGTCACAGAAAGATCGCAGCGCTAAGGGCCGTTGATCATTGATCATTGATTGCACTGATGCTTGGAATGCTGTAGCATCGCTACTTCTTAATGAAATCTTGGGTCGATTGTTTCAAGAAAAAAAACCAAGCTCCAGTCTATGCTTACCGCACCAGACCTCCCTCTTGTCTCGTGGTCCGCATGACGCCCGGCTCTTGTCGATCTGTTAAGGCCAGGTGGCACACACTACTTAAGACACGACCAGAGCGAATGCAGCGATTAGGCTCCTGGATTAATTCTGACGACTCTGCGATGTTCACACGAATCCCTGAGGCATCCATAGAGAAGAAGATGCGAAACGAAGCCAAAAGAAACCCAGCTTCGTAATTGATATAATAAACACGACATATCAATCTCCGACAAAAAGGCCACCTCTCCAATTTATAAAATGGTACACTAAAGCCCTGCATGCCAGCACTTGTCTCTCTAGACTTGGAGATGCTGGTCTTTGTCAACGAGACGAGACTCGGGAGTTCCTTTTGCTCGAAGCACCATTTTCAGAGTGTCGTCATCATGCGACGTCACAATACGCTCGGTTCCTCCAGGCAGCTTCGCCAATGAACTAAAATACTCAGCATCTTAGGGTTGGAAGGCAATAATGTTAGTTTACTTTGTACATCGGGATTTTTTTTTCACACGCGGCCGAGCTGCCCTCAGCAGCGCTGAATGGACGCTGGCAGGTTGTTGCTTTCGACGTGACCAAATGTTGACAATCAGCACTATACATCCTATCTCGCCCTGCTATATTCCGGGAAGTAATGCAGTATGCAGTAATTGATGGGTATCATGACTTGAATTCCAGCGCCTCTCTAATGCAACACTCCCGAGAGAAAAAAAAAAATGCAAAAACCTTGCCCATGACTCTTACTGTCAGTGATATCGGCGACCTCCTCCACCACCACCACCACCACCGCCGCCTCCTCCTCCACCTCCCCCGCCTCGTCTATCATGGGGATGCCCATGGTTACGTGGGTTCCTCGGATATGGCCCCCATCCACCTCCGCGCCCGCCACCACCACCGCCGCGACCACGTCCTCGTCCGCCATGGCCATGTCCGTGGCCATGCCCACGATCCCGCTGACGACCATGATGTTGGGCGTCTGAGAACCTCTCTGGCTCAGGAATAGGTTCCTCTACTTCAATCTCAAACTCTTCATACTCTTCTTTAAAGTACTCCGAGACATTTTCCGCCTCTCGCCTCGCCTCCTCACGGTCAAAGACGAAGCGCAGTGTGTTATCCGAGCTCTTGGTCCCCGGTTTGAGTGAGTTGTACGTGGCAGTCATGGTGAGCGCCGTGATAGAGCCGGGCCCGGCGCCCGGCGCTGCCGCCGCTTGGCTTTCGGCTACGGCTCTCGTGGCGCACGGCTGGCACGAGAACTCGTGTCGCGAAAGGTCCGGGTTGGCGTCCAGTTCTGCATTGATCTTGATCTTAACATCGATGAATCTAGCGAGATCGTAACGTAGTCCGAGCTTCGTCGACTTGTGAAACTGGGTGTATAGATCGAGTAGGTCGAGGATGGTCTCCATGACGCTTTGGCGCGTGACATTCCAGCGAGCTGGGTCAATCTGTCCCACGACGTCCACGTACTGGCAAGTGACGCGGGACGTGAGCTCAACAATGGCCAGGACCATGGTTAGGCAGGTTTGCTTTATCGGAACGAACGTCTTGTACATGTCCATACACATCTCGTAGGCTATTTGCAAGAAGGACTTGCCCTCCTCAGGACCAAGCAGACTGCGAACGACCTTGATGAGGTACTTTTGAGGGTACCGCGTTCGGAAATCGAAGCCGATGATTTCAAGAATCATACGCTCTAGCCCGACTAGGACTCGGGATGGCTGTTCAAAGAGCTGCGAGGGTAGTCACGTTAGTACGTCGACTACGAGAATGCTAATGGTCATAGAGAGAAAGACAAGAAAGACATGAAAGAAACCAATGTCACACACCTTATCATCCGGCGTCGTTTGATGGTCGGGATTTTTAAGATTATATGCAGCGCATAGTATATCCTTTGACTTCTTTATAGTGTCTTCCACCTTACATGCCAGGAAGAGCGCCGCCATGGCCGAGTCTTGAAAGTTATATTCAACCTCTCTATGCCGCAAACGGAATCGATGGTAGTAGACGACTGCGGTATCGAAAGTTCGGACTGGTCTGGCAACGGTCTTGTCAGTTTGATTCATTCAAGGCCCAAACAATCCAGTCAGATGAGACAACGGAAAGGGACATGGATGTACGCACAATTGGAGCGCCTTGCGGACGTTATCAATCAACTGGACCCCTTGTAGCCGATAATTATCTTCCCGAGTAGGATCAGAACCTGCGACCCTCTGCATCTGCCGAATATTTTGCTCGAAAATGTACTGTTCCGGAACGGTCACAATGCCAGGGTGAGGCCCGATGGGCAGCTCCGGTGCCGCGGATGCGTCATTGTTATTTTCCGTCGCGCCGCTCTTTGGATTCGGTCTGGGCTTCAAAGTTCCAGGAGGCGCGCCGTTTCGTAGTTCTGCCGCGGTCGAAGCCATCGCTGTCTGTCTACCCCCTTCGCGCCTCACGGCCAAGGTCTTGCAATCCCTCGCGAACGATTCTCGTCTTGGATAGAGGCTGGAGAAAGAGACCAACGTTTCGTTCAATTAGAATCCTTGGGACGGTTACAAGCAGGGTGGTTTTATGCTGAAAGGAACTCAAAAGAGACTCCGGTTTCTCGGGCGAATGAGGCGCGGAAAGACTGGATCGATGAAGAGTGCTGCGATTTGGCGAAGGAGAGCTTTGCCTCTCCAAAGATCAATTCTCATAGCTTGCGTCCGAATTCTGCCCCGCGACTAGAGCTGTGGAGACAGTGTTGATACCATGAGTTAAACCACATTTCACACGGACTCCTGACTGCTCCAGAAGAAATTGCTTGGGAGGCAGAATGGCATTTTCACAGCTCCGGTATCTAGACGATGGACAACGAGCAATTCTATTATATTATTATACTATCATACTATTATACTATCAGAGAAGTTGGCAAGCCGGCAAAGTCGCTTTCTCGAAGGCTTTCCTGAGTGAAGAGATTCATTTGCATGTCAGCGAAGTGTCCTCGCCAGAAGATGAGGTGCAATGTGTAGATTCAAGAAAATGTTGATTTCAGAAAAGGAGTTTGTTTCATTATAAAATTCAAATCCGTCTTGAAACATATTTAAAATGGATATCATCAGGAAGAGCGGCAAGAAAGGGAAACGAAGTTCGAGAGGTCCAACTTACCGATAAGAATCTACCCTGAAGACCAATGTTGTTAGCAAGAGTCGCTGCCCATACCGACACACGACCCTGGTCTGTAAGACATCCCAATTTTAAGGGACTAAGCCCTTATCCTTTCATTGGAGGGTTCACATCGTGTCTTTCACCCTGTTTCACCTCGCATCGCCATCAAATCGTTTCCTTGTTTGTTGTGGAGGTGTGTGGTCAGGAGCCGCAGCGGAAAGATCGAGTTTCTCATTCAAGTGGGCAAGTTTGGTGGGATTTTGATGTGGTTCGGAGGAAGTTGAATGCTGACCTAAGCATAAAGTCGCACATTGATGATGTAAGAAGCTCCTCAAAGAGCTTCCACGATCTCCTATAGGCTCCGTACTTCATAAGACGCCGGTCTGTTGCCCCGTCAAGGCAGCCATTCATTGACGATCGGCCTCTCTCGTGTTTCAACAACGAACAACTTCTGCGTGCCGTCTTCTACATCTACACAAGTCCAGTTGTTATTTCATCAAATCCAACTTCGTTAGTCAAGATGCGGCGCATCTCTCTCTCCGAGCTTCTTTGCGCAAGCACCATCTTCTCGGCCATCGCTTCAGCCGCACCGAACTCCCGCGCGGACGACGACGATGACGAGACTCCTCTGCCTCTGGTGATTTGGCATGGTACCTGACCCCCAACTCTCTATCTAGAACCAACTCTAGTACGCGAAACTCACCCATAGCGCGTTAATTCTAGGCCTCGGGGACTCCTTCGCTGGCGAAGGCATGAAGTCTGTTGGAGAACTCGCCGAAACCGTGAACCCAGGAACCTTTGTCTACCACGTCCAGCTCGGCCAAGACGGCAACGCTGATCGAACGGCCTCCTTCTACGGCAACGTCACGGCCCAACTCGAAGAAGTGTGCGCCGCCCTCGCGGCACACCCCATTCTCTCCACGGCCCCGGCAATCGACGCCCTCGGCTTCTCCCAGGGAGGCGTGTTCCTCCGCGGCTACATTGAGCGATGCAACAACCCGCCCGTCCGCAGCCTGGTGACATACGGTAGCCCGCATCTGGGCATTTCCAAGTTCAAGGCGTGCGGCGACACCGACTTCCTGTGCCAGGGTGCCATGGCGCTGCTGAGGTTTAACACATGGTCGTCCTTCGTCCAGGGTAGGGTTGTGCCTGCGCAGTACTATCGTGATCCTCAAGCCTATGATAAATATCTCGAGAACTCGAATTACCTCGCCGATGTCAATAACGAGCGACCTGCCAAGAACTCTGCATACAAGGAGAACCTCTCTACGCTCTCCAACTTCGTCATGATCATGTTCCAGGACGATACTACTCTTATCCCCAAGGAGTCCTCCTGGTTCCAGGAAGTCAACGGCACAGATGTCACTCCCCTCCGCGACACTGACCTCTACAGGGATGACTGGCTCGGTCTCCGCGAACTTGATAGCAAGGGTGCCCTCAAGTTTAGGAGGGTCCCTGGCGATCACATGCAAATCAGCGAGGAGTCGCTGAAGAAGATCATGTCTTCGTACTTTGGACCTTTCAGCAAGAAGTTTGGTGGGGATGACGAGACCGAGGGACACCGTGTCTCGCAAGAACTTTAAGTTGTTGTTTTTTCCTTTGTTTATATACTTTTCTCTATTGGAAATGGATCGCTTTTGGGAAATGGGAGTTTTGATGGGTTTGGCACCGGATCAGCACATTAGTCTAGAATTACAAGCGTGGAATGTCACAGTAATTGCAACAACTCTTCGTCAGAGCATAAGATATCTTCTCTAGGTTCTCAATGTCATCGTCGACGCCTAAACTTTTGCATGTTTATTATCCGACCGACCAACGCCTGGTACAAAAGTAGAAAGATTTGTGTAGATGAAAAAACAGACGGAAAAGAAGAAGAAAAGAACATTTAATCGTCCAGTGCCTTCTTGGCCTTCTCCTTCTGTTTCCTAAGTTTGGATTTCGTTTCGGCAATCTGCTTCAATAGAGTATCGTCGTTGCTTTCAGGAAGCTTTTGCTTCTTGCTCAGAGGCCCCTTCCTCGTCATCTCCTTGCCTGCATCAAGAGCCTTTCGCTTCTTACCCACATTCGCCTTCTCGGCCTGCTCGATGGGTTGAGGGGCCTCAGAATCGGCAATGACATCCTTCTCGTCAAGCCAGAGCTCGTCGGTCTGCCAAATGGGAAGCGCCGTCGTCTCGGAACCCTTGATGTAGATGCTCTTGACGTTGCTCCACTTCTTCGGAACGTGCTTCTCGACGAGGGCAGCAGCGATGACCTGGACATTCTCGGCAATCTGCTCGGGGTTCCAGGAGGCGTAGCCGACCTTGATGGCGGTGTTGGTCGAAGGGCTCAGCGCGACAAGCGCAGAACCGATCGCCTTTTGGATCTCGGCGGCGATTTCTTTCGGCGAGGCGGCGTTGACCTCCTCTTCCTCTTCACCCTTCCGCTTCGGTGCCCTCTTGCCCTTCGCCTTCGCCTTGGGCCTAGATTGCCGGAGCACGACGGGGATGGGTCGTTTGGCGGTGGTCTTGTAGAAGGTCTTACCCAGCGCCTTGGGAAGTCGGTTGACTATCCTGTCGTCGCCGAGGAAAATGTCGTGCGAGGCGTAGAGCTGGCGCTGGGCTTCGTACTGCCTGAACTTAGCCCGGAGCTTGGTGTAGCCGATGACGCGGGTTATGCGCGATCGCAGCTCGGCGGGGAATTCTTCGGAAGCGACAATGTCCTTGTAGGCCCTCTGGGGGTCGGCGGTAATGAGGCATATCGACTCATGGGTGTTGGTGTGCAGAGGGTGAGGAAGGGGGATCTTGGCTGGCTTCAACCGGTTGGTGTCGACGATGTGGCGCTTGGTGGTGAGGGTCATCCACACGGGGGTTTCGGCGAGGGTAAGGCTGCCATCGTCCTCGATCTCGTCGAGGATATTTTTCTTCTCGCTTGTTTCCGATTTTTGCTTGGAAGCCTTCTTGATGTGGCTGAGGAGAGCCTTGGACGCCTTGAGGGTCTGCAGGAATGTTAGCCAAGATTCTTAAAGACGAAAGGATGAAGAGAAAAAAATGAAAAATTATACCTGATCAGGGTCAATATGCGCATCGCCTTGCGCGGCAGCGACTACTTCTTTCTTAGGCGGCATTGTGGATGAATACGAAGGTCTTTGGGGATTGTTACACCATCAATGTTGAAGTTCCCTGCAATTGATTGATCGTCGATAGGAAGAAAAAAAAGTTTTGGGAGGTCGGTGTAGTGGGGTGCTACGGCAGAATTTTTTTTTTCTGCCAAAGGCGGAAAAGGCGGGAGACTAGGCTTACGATTCACCGAAAATTAACAGCCAATGAAGTCACGCTTTCTTCGGTGGATTCGGTGAGCTCGGTGAAGACATCGACAACATCGAACCTCCAGAGCCTCAACTCATCTTTGCCAAATGATTATTTTACGGCGCCCTTATTTTGTCGAATTATAGATTTCATGTTGTAGGAGAAATTATAACACTACGAGATGTCTGTTGCATATCCATCGGCGTCTTGTCTATTTTATTCTCGGCCACTGCCGGCTGGATTTGAGTTGAGCTTGACGCGCCAGGACACGCTCACTGCCCCTCGTTGTGCCCCTCGGCACACAAATTGGACCCCCACCAAAATCACCCAATGACGAGATGGACCTCATTCGCAACTTGCGAAAATTCCAAGGCTTGATGTGACATGTGGCAAGAGCGTACTTGGCAGTATGTGTAGGACGAGGGGATAGAACCTGTCACGAAGCATCAAAGATGCGAAGTATGCCCACGGTCGAAAAGGCGGTGCGGGTTATTGCAGTCTACTTCGTACATATTCGGAGGCTGCTTTGCAAGTGCTGGTGGTTGGTCTATCTCCACTACCCAGCCAGGGACAAAAAAAAAAAAAAAAAAGGGACTTGATCCACGGCGGATGGGGCGGTCGCGTTGCTAGCTTGGCAGAAATCGAAGTTGGAGCTTTACCATTGCGGGGAAGATGTGCCACGATCTTATCCAAGCGAACCCGAAGGCTGGATCAGTTGGGATCTCAAGTGAGTTCAAGTTCGTGCTTTATTCCCAGACCGAAAGACCTGAGTTTCTGGTTCCGAAGGGGCCTTGTCGACATATCTCGGTGACGACAGTATACAGACGAAATGAACAGGTTATGTCGTGTTTAATAGTTTGCAGCAACTTCGGAAAATGGACACTAATAAGACGCAAAAAATAACAGACGCGCTGTTCCCAACGGCTGGGATCCCTGCGTCGTTTTACGTCTGGAGCAGTTGCTGCCGTATAAGGTGGTATCAGAAACGAGTGGAGACGTGGATAGGCAGTCTTTGCTGTATATTACTTGCTGTCAAAAAAGCGTGGCTGTATTACCCCATTTATTAGTCGTGTCCGCGACGATACTTCGACGGATGAAGTATGGAACAAGGTCCCTTTTGCACATCTTGTGCAGTAGCTAGATGGGTACAAGACGCGAAAATTCTTTCATCGACGGACTCTCTGGTTTCTTGGGAAAGGACCCTATGAGGAGGGGACTAGTTTCGGGACAGTAAGAGGACAGCAGAAACCGGTCAGTTTGCTCGAGATCGAATCAATGGATCAAGAATGAAGGAGACAAGCTGCACGAATTCACAAGAGAATGACGACGTCATGGTTTGAATAGAGCACAATTATTAAGGTACAAAGTACTTCATCCTTCAGTTGTATGCTACCCGCCCATCGGCACCGACCCTTCTGTAACCCAGTAATAATTCTGTGCTCCAGGCATTGAGTGGTGGTCGGCTCCAGGCTTGACACGGTCCTTCGATTGGGGTTAAATTGGTGTACCCAGCCGCGGCATAGGGCGGGTGCAGCGCTGTACAATAGGCACAATGCACTCAATGCAGCACTGCAGAACACTGGAGCAATCTGCTGGTAGTGAACTTTTTACACGCCAACGCCAACGCGTGCCCACGGACGAGGGAAAATCGCGTCTCAGGCGGAGCCAGCAGAAACACGACCACGACCACGACTCCTCGTTTAAAGCCACTCGCCCTCCCCTCTCTACCAAAATAAGCTCCTCCCAAAATTTCACACACACGTCTCCAACGTTTTGTCTGCGGTCTCCTTGAACGGCCTCCCGAAAACAGACCCGGTCCGGCCTTGGTCTTTCTTTTCTTCGTTTCTAATTTCTTACAAGCTTCCAGAACATCGAGATCGTGATCTCTGGTATCAGTGTCGGCCACCCTACAGCATCGCCTCGACGTCCTCACCTCCCCCTCTACGCATCGTGATTATAGGGCTTGAAAACTGTACCAGTGCATATTCGCCCTTCCCATCGTGGCGAATTTACGTGAAGGTGCAATCCCCGTGGATTTTGAAGAAGACGTGCTCAAATATCTCGAAGAAGTGCAACTTTGTGCAAGTTAAGGCGGGAAAGTACGCGCCAGACGCGCTCGGGAAATCTTCCCATTAGAACCCACACACGCTTGTTACAGTCTTTTTAGACTTGGATCCGGGCACTTTCAGTACTCCTCTGAACTGTCTCGCGTGTTTATTCTCGCACTCTCTGTCACACCTGCCATCTTGACATGAACTTCAGGACGTTATAATGGACTCCTCTCCACAATCTAAGCACACCGAGCCGACGCTGCCTCCCCCGGCGGCCGGCACCAAGCGTCCGGCCCCGACCTTGCTGCCACCATTCGAACCTCTCTCTTCTTCTCCCGGTCTCCCTCGTCCAGCTAAACGCCAAGCACGCGCAGGTTCGGTCGGGGGCAGTGCATATCTGAAGTACCCAACTCCGATCCCCACTTCCAGCACCGGCATCCTCTCCTCGTCCCCGCCGGGAGTCAGTCGGAGAACAGCGACGCTCACTCGATCCCAATCGTCCGTTTCGGAACGCGCCCCTCTGTCGGCAGTACCTTCTATCGTGCTCAATGGCAACGGCGAGACTCTCCTGATGGGTCGATCCAGCAACTCGTCCAACTACCAGCTATCTGCGAACCGGCTCGTATCGAGAGTACACGTCAAGGCCAGATATATTCCGGCATCCTCTCCACTCGAGCCCAACAAGATTGAGATTGTGTGCAATGGGTGGAACGGGCTCAAGCTCCACTGCCAAGGACGTACGTACGAGCTCTACAAGGGCGATTCGTTCACGTCGGAGACCGAGGGTACGGAAATGATGCTGGATGTGCAAGACGCGCGTGTCATGATTCAGTGGCCCAAGAGGGACACGCCATCAAATCTCTCCGACGCTTCCTGGGATGACTCTCCCCGGTCTCGTGTTGGTCCCGGCAGCGCACTGCAGTCGAGCCCCCTCCGGCGGTCGACGCGGATCGAATCCCCAGAATCTCCAACACCAGCTACTACTAACTTGGCTAGCTCGAGGAGGCTGCAGATGTTGCTCCCTAACGAAAGGGATGACAACGGAAGCGGCGACAACGTTGAAATCTACGTAGATCCCAGCGGTGACGAGGGCGAGGTAGTCCAGCAGTCGATAGAAACCGGGATGGATCCCAACTTAAGCCACACCACTGACATGACCCAATCGTTCTCGTCGGATCTTAGCGACCCCGAGGAGGACGAGGAGAATGATCCTGATGAGGAAAACGACCCAATCGTGCATTCTTTCGGACCGTTCGGTGCAAACCTCTCCAAGCGCCTCGCCTCCATCACCGCCTCGTCTCCCAAAGTGAATAGGTCGCCCAAGCGCTCAAGACTACCAGCCTTGCGTGAGCAGCGTGACTCGGCCCCTAGCAGTCCTCCGGTAAAGTGCGAAAATGATCGGTCAGCAACAGTTTCGGCAGAGCCGGAGGAGGAGGAATACTCGAACCCGGTTGTCTCCAACCACGTCATCAATCAGCTCGCCTACTCGCGTCTTTCATCAACCCCGCTGTCCACTATTATGCACAACTTGCCTAGTGAGGAACAGAAGAACATCACCAAGGTCCAGCTGCAGAAGTTGATCGAGTCGACGGTGTGCATCGGCATCATCGAACGCCAGGGCAAGGATGCGGCGGGTAAACCGCTAGAGAGCGAGTACTATTATGTTCCCGAGAAGGATACGGATGAGCAGAGGCGAACTGCAGTCGTTGATGGCCTCAGGAAGCCAAGCTTGCGCGCCTGTCGAAAACAACACAAGGTAAGAACAGTCGGCCCGCGTCTCCCATTTCATTGCCACCTTCAGTGCCCCATATTTCTTACGTCTTGGACTCGTATACGGCTTTTTGGTTCTTGGTGGCTGACATCTAAAAACTCTCCAGCAATACTACTGGAAGCGACCGAAGACCCCGTAAGGGTCATCACTAGTATGATGAGAAAAAGAAGACCCAGTTTAAGGATCCAGACCCCAAACATTACTACCGGTGACCAGCCTCTGGTCTCCAAGTTTTTCCTGTAAATCTTTTGCCGTTCTCTGTTCTTGTTCTTTGTCTTTGTTTGCAGCCAAAACATACCCTCGGTCGGTTACCTTGTTTGTTGGTGTTGGCTTATAGAAGCTGGATCAAATCCGCTTTTTCTTCCCCGCGCGCCCTTTTTTTTCACTTTCGTTACTCTACTCCATCTCATCATCGTCGTCGTCATCATCATGTTTGTCCCCCGGGCCACGGTGCAGATTTTGTCGGGGATGTGAAGTACCCAAAATACGGAGGGGATTTTTGATGATTCGGGACGAATTTCGTTGTACTGAATCCAGGAGGGAGGAGCATAGCGCCAGGCGTCAACTTTTATATGAATTTTACTTTCAGACAAATATTCCTTGAGAAAGTTGGAGTGTTTTGTTCATTATTAGGTTTTGGAAACAGTCTCGACGTGGGGATGATTATCAAGTCGTGCGCTCACAATGATGGCGGTTGAAAGCCAAATACATATTTTCAGTGAGCAATAAGTTTTTGACTTGCTCGGGTCAATCTTCTAGAGGCGTCTCGAAGGGTAGCATCTTCTAGTCTTAAGTTCTGTGTACCTCTTCGTGTAACATCCAGACGATTATGTATAGTGGGCACGCGATCGTCCCGTGAAAAAGTAGTAGGAGATGGCCGAGCAATGACAGAAGACAAGCCTGAGATGTGCATTAAGAAACGCTCAGCTGTCTGGGGAAAGGGGGGAGTAACCGATCAATCGGATCATTTCTTCGGAGCCCCTTTCACTAAATGCTCCCACTCTGCAGCGTTCTTGATGACACCGGGGAACCAGCTGAGCACTTCCAAGGCACCTGCGCAGCCTGAGAGAGCAGCGATTTAGCGATGATCTGATGGCTTCACGAGCATCAACCTTTTGAGCAACCTTTTGAGCAGATCTCGTACGGGCCCCTAGCTGGCACAGACTAAGACCATCTTGGCCGTCCATACGAGGGGGGGCTTGCGAGTGGTTCAAGCCTAATTAGGCAAGGTCATACGCATTAACTTGAGGTGTGTGGTGGCGAGATATCTCGCGCTCCCAAGGTATCGGACTCATGCGAGTACTGCCGAATCGTACCAGCAAAAACGCAAGGGTTCCCCGGATTTTCGCGGAGGCGAATGTCTGTCGAGGTAGTTTACTGATCCATCCATCACAAGAAGGCACATCAGCTCGAACAATTTATCGGGAGTGTTGAGGCAGAGGACAATGCATGATGAGCTTCGTTCCAATTCGAGAAGTGACCCAATTGACGTGAACCAAAAAAAGTCGCCGAAGAGGCTAAACATGCACTTCATCATAGTCTTAGCGTGAGTCGGTGGCGTGAGCCTGACGAAGCTGCTGGAGCCATTCCCGTGCTCTAGTCAGAGCAGCCGCCTATCTCAGGCTTCCCCTCCGTCTCATCGCCGGTTCCTTCGCTTCGTGCCCCTTTTCTTGTCTGGGAGCCGCTGAGTGGTGTGGTCCAAAGGTGTGGCATTAGGCGGAGCGACTTGGCGCAGAACCGTTCTACGGCGCGTGTGGACCCGGCTGCATATTTTGGGACTTTCACCTGATTCGGAAGTGGATACGAGACGCCCCGGCGATTCGGAGAGATACGGCGGTCCCGGAGTTCCGGCGAGGGATAAAACGGATTTGCGAGCTGGGAGGATGCAAGGGAACGACGGAATATTGGTGAGGGACATATTGGGAAGGGGCCATTGGCCAGCTGGAAGAAGCTTACGAGATAAGGCATCATAATTGCAATTGTAATCAAGTGTCAAAATGTCAAGATTAAGCCTCACCGATGTATCTCGGTACCACCCGGACATCATGATGGAGGGTGGCGGGTGGGATGCTACTTCGTACTGCTCTTTCTATTGCTTGAAAGATATATCTAGGCTAGGCACCCCCCATCATAACATACCCCCTAGAATCTCTCACAATTCATCAAACAAGACAAAATTCAAACAAACCACTCGTTATACTCTAAATCAAACTCAAGTCAACCTCACATCAACAACTTCGACAACCTCTTCTCATCAGAAGATACCACATCCAACCTACAAAAAACAATGACATCAACCACACAAAGAATCACCCAACCACCACAGAACAAACCGCCACGGGTATCTACGCCCAAGCTCGGCAGGAACAAACACAAAGCCAAATCGCCCTCGCAGACCCCTCCTCCACGCACCGATGGTGCCGCCCACGCCGAGCAGACAACGAGGGAATGGCAGCCCACGTTCACACGCAGGGAAAGCTGGACCCTCGAGGACAGAAAACGGCTCATGCAGATGATAGGCATCAGGGAGGAGGATATGCCAAAGGGGAAAAAGAAGAATGGCAAGAACGGGAAGAATGCCCACTGAAACTGCTGTCCCTCCATTTGAGGGGGCAATTGACGACATGACGACGCCGAGGGTAGAAGTTTCGTCACTACCCGCCTTTTCCACCCCTTCCCTTTACCATTTTTTACGCTTAATCGAATATTATGCAGCGTAGAGGGATGGGGCGAGCATCACCTGTTTGAGCGAGGCGGGGCGGGGCATTTCGACATGACACAGCGCCAAATCGGATGCTCCGAACCGCAAACAATAAAAGAAACACAAAAGAAATAATACGGACATGGAAAAAAACGGGAAACGGAACACCGGCGAACCTGGCTGATTCAATTTGTTTATTCTTTCCAGTTTCGAAACGGAAGTCGAAATGTTAACAGAACTTGCGGCGTCGGTTCTTGATATTCGAAATTGTACATGTTTTATGGGAACTGGGACTGGAATTCAATTGGGAAATTGGGCATGGGTTTTACATTCAGCAAGAAACCACGAGCATCAAGACATTGGTTGTTCCGGTCTCGCTTTCAACCATCGGGCTTTTTATTTTTATCAAAATTATTTTTTTATCTTCCGTGTTTTATCCTTCGTCTATCCTTCTCACCTCAGCCCTAATTACCTGTACTTTCGATATAGTTTATTTACAGTTATTCCTTACCACGATGCTTTGTCGTGTACGATTCGGAAGACTTCGTTCACACATCGTTCGGAACAGGAGGTATTAGCACATTCAATGGATCAATTTTGCCTGCTGAAGCGGCATACACCCGATGGATTGAATTCCCCATCTGTCACCAGGTCACTTGCAATCTCATTAATGTTGGTGAACATGAAATGCTTCGTCGTAGAATCAATGCATTGGCTGATAAGGATATCCACGTAGTTCCGCCAACCGTTCCAGTTTCCGATTCCCAATTCCCATTCCCAAAACGCCAGAGCAGAGTAGAGCAGGGATCTCCAAGTCCTTCCCATGTCCCAGCCTAATACCTACCTAAAATTACACACCCAGTTCCGTTCCCAGTCCGAGTACCCGAAATACGTTCTCATAAATCAATCAAAAGCCTCCCTTCACCAATCTTCAATGAGTGCTGTCTACAGGTGGCCCTTGCTGCCTTCACCACTTTCGCCTCCTGTTTTAAAATACTCGTTAATGACCGACCCTCCGTACACTAGCCCAGCCATGGAACACGCTCCTACCGTCACCCTCCACAACGGTCTAGAGCGCTTCCCCTTCGTCTTTTTGTTACCGTCGTAACTAGTGTCGGCATCCGATGTCGCTGCGATCGAGTTGTACTTCCTGAAGGGAGGAGGTGGCTTGACAACGAAGCCGGATTCCCCTCCTCCAATCGAGAGGTCATGGTCGTAGCTGACGTAGCCGGTCGGACTCGTAAAATTCCCGATGTTTGGAATTATCGGCTCGCTGCCCATCATGTCGATGGGGTTAACAGCCGGGGCAGGCGAGGTTGTTTTCGAGTCCGCGGAGGCGGCTCCAGTAGAATCAGGTACTGTGGCACCCGTCACGCCTCGCAGGAATACCGTACCCGGCTCGGTGGCATCGCGAACCTTACGAAAGATTAATACGTCACCGCTACCAGAAATAACTTCATAACCCTGTGCCTGGAGTGGACCGAAGTACGGGAGGAATCGAGCGGGGTGTGTCAATCGCGTCATCGCCTGGGCGGGGGTCAGGACTTCTTGGTGGTCCGGTGCCACCGAAGCCGCATCAGCAGTCGAAACACTTCCGGCTTCGGAATCATAAACGAGAATCTTGTACAGATTCGTTTCGCTCGGCGCGGCTGGGGAAGCCGTATTCTCGGAGGCGCTGCTCTCGACCTTGGGTCCTTCACCTTCGGCTTGTAGGTCTGCGGGGGCGGCCGAGGCGCCTTCAGTCGATGATGCGAGAATCAAGGGCTGCGTGTTGAGTTTACCGTAAGATTCTTCGTATATGTCCCTAATCTCCTCGACTAATTCTCGATGGGGCGTCCGGCGGGTCCCGGCCTGGTTTTCGTTCCCCGGGCTAGATTCTTCCTGGGGACTGGTAGCAGTTGTTTCAGCAGGCGCTCGATTCAAGGCCGGCTCAAGTCGGCCAGTTGACGGCTTCGACTCGGGAAGGTTTTCTTCGCTCCTGAAATTTTCCGTCCAGGATCCTGAAAATTCCTCTGGAAAATCTCTAACGTAGTAACCAGTCATCGGTTTAGAAGGCTCGTCTTTGGAAAGTTTACCGTTTGTGTGGCCTTGGATGGCAGGTTCATCCTTGCCGTCACTCTGGAGGTCCGCCGTGGTAGAGGGATTTTCGTGTGAATCAACTTGCTTCCCCGAAGGCAGGGGCTTAGTGGAAACTTCTGCTGCCTCTCCAGCGTCGGAAACGTTCAGCTCGAGCTCCCTTGCATCGTGCACTACATTCGATTCCTTTGCTCCAGAAGTTGAGATTTCATCTACACGCTTCGGCACTTTCTTGTTCGTCACCGGGTCGATATAATAGTCGCTCGAGGTTCCACCATTCGTCGCCGTTGAGTTCACATATCCAGTGTCCTTGGGGGTCGATATCGGTATCTTCGTTGATGTCGAGGACTTCCCAGGGGTTGGTTCGTCTCCTTTCGAGCTATATATAACATGGTCCCGTGGGATTTCTGAATTCGTGCGGCTTGCCGATCTATATACTCGGAAGGGATTGTGGTGATAGTCCCAGTATCCGGAAGACGGTGTCGTGCGGCACCAGCCGTCCGAAGCATTATCCTTCGTCGACGACCGTTTCGAGTTATTGTTGTCAGACCCAACAGCAGAGCTGGCTTCAAGCTCATGCGCCCACTTTTCAAAGCGAAGGATTTGGCGCATCAAGCCGGGCAAAACGAACCGGTCATCGGGCCAGAGGCGAGGGTGCGGAAATTCGTCGTGGAGTCTTGAGTATCTCTGCCATATCGCACGACGCCGGCGCAAATGATCCCGTAATTCGTCTTGGTCCCAACGCGGAGACCATCGGAGGCGAAAATATCGAGCCTGAGATCGATTGTGGATAAATCTAGGGACTCGCTCTACTGGACGAGAGGCTCGAGATTTGGTGATGAGAAGACATGTTGATCTGAGTGCTTGCGCTTGCGGCGCCGAACATGGCGACGAGGCAAGCATCCTAACGATAGGAAAATTGGCTACAGCATACTATCTGTACTGTGCACTGATGACACGACGCTACTTCGATCTAGTGTCGTATAATATTGGCGAGGACGTAGAAATCGATCGGACAGGACCAAGTTTGAGAGACAAGACCTTGTTGACCCTACAAACAAGATTCCAGAGCGGGCTGTTTCGAGCCTGGAGATGGGGGACACGCGATGGGGTCCCACAAGAAAATGGTACAGAGACGATTGAAGCTGAACTGACTGTCGAGTTGAAAACCGATCGTAGTTAGCTCGAGACGGAACCACGTTAAGAGATGCCGGTATATTTAAGAAGTAGGTAGGGTGAACGCGGAACTCGATGACACGTCAGGTGGCAACTCGAACGACGAGTTGTTGGCCTAGGGAAGCGGGTGGTCGTTAGGAAATAAGTTTGGAGCTAAAAACCAAAGCTCCAGCGGCGGCCCCTTTGTTCTCAAACTATCCTGGTGGTACCTGTAGGGCCGTCGAAAGAATGGACCTTGAAGGCAAAAATGGTTGGCCCTCGAATGGGAGAATGGAAACGCTACGCAAACTGGGTGATGATAGACAGCGATGGGTGGTGAGTGATGAATGACCAAATAAATGGGTGATTGGGGTTCCCAAAGATTGCACTGCCGGTCGTTAAACCTACGTCGGTCAAGGTGGTCTAGATATAGATTGCGGGGTAGGACGACTAGGATCAACCAACGGCGACACAAAGCGCGGATTGATTGATTGATGTGACAAGAAATCAATCGGAGCCCAAAGCGACGAGTGGTACGGCCTTTCGACCGTCTACTCGCACACTACATCAGTCAACTTCCAACTTCGACTTGATCCTAATGTTAGACTAAAACGGAGTGGTCACTCAAAGGTATATATAGTGTATATGTGGCTTGGTGTGATATCGCCATCCGCAGTATTGGAACATTGAAACTCGACACCAGAGTCGGTTCCGCATCAAAACACCCCAGCGTGCATGCGGAGAAGGGAAGGCCAGCCCGCTTTTCCCCGGTGGCCCGGTAGCATCCACGGACGATACTGGAACAGGTCAAGCACATCAAATCAATTGATTCCTCGAGTTGTAGCAGCTGAGCAGCTCAACATGCAGAGTCGCTCCTGCGAATTCTACTTCGGGGACTCGGAATGGCAGAGACTTGGCGGGGAAAGTCGAGACCCAAATCGAACCAATGACGTAATAAGCTGACTAAGATTCTCCGAACAACCCCACGCCATTTTTGCACACACAAGCCCCAAGTCCCAGATTATTCAATTGAACACTGATCAATCGATTGCTCGCTGCTGGCTGTCGCAAAGAGTGGGCTCCGTTGTGCGGGCTGTGCTCTCGACTGTCTTCACCGATGACTCCCATCGGCCAGTACTCCAGGGCTCCAGGGCTCCAGGGCTCCAGGGCATTGAAGAACCCACTGATCTGTCAAACGAGGCAATCAATTTAATCCCCTACGGCGTAAATTTCGTCTGGTGTCGTTTGCAGTAGAGTCGTAGAATGCTGCTGAAAAGTGTAAAAAGTCCTTCGTCACACCGAAGATAATCAGTAAAATCAATCGACGGGGCGTGAGGAGTGAGGAGCTAGGGAGGAAACCGCAAATTTTGGTGAGCTGCTTTTACGTCAAGGACACCTACGCCTGGATATCTCCGTGTCGTCGTCTAGAACAGGAGACAAATTCTCCTTTCTTTTTTCTTTTCTTTCCTTTCCCCAATCTCGTCTTGATAGAAGACTATTCCTTCGTCGGGCTATTGTCTCAACGATTCTCAGCTCATCAAAAGTCAGGCCCAGCTCCGCCCAATTTTGCGGTTTAAATTTCAATCTTCGTTACTTTCTATGGAGCTTCTCCTTGCGCCTGTGATAAGCAGGAATGCCCCACCAACTGAACTATTAAGCTGTCTCATCTAGATTCCCCTCCTGTCCCCTTCAGAACACACCAACGCAACCCATTCCTTGCGGGCAATATAGAGCTCGGGAATAGCTCCAAATTACGAGGCGATTTCAGGTCCACAAAGCACCGTGTGTGTTTCTGGCGCACGAAACCGGAGCCTGTCGGTCGCCCCGCGAAGCTTACGCCTGCTCTGAAATCGAGCGCACTCTTCACAATTTCACAATGAGTCGCCAATCATCTCGATCCGGCCGGCAAACGCCTGTTGGAGGCTTTGGTTCAAAATCGAGGGCCGGCCGAGGTTTTGGCGGTTTTGGCTTGTCCTCATCAGCAAGCAGCGATCTCTCATATCTGGCGGAACCCCCCGATCTCTCTGCCATCTCTGACCCACAAGTTGTCGTCTCGTGCAAGAACCTACTCAAGAAAGATAGCATTACAAAAGCTAGGGCCCTTGAGGAGCTATTGGTCTATGCAAAGGCTCATCCTTTCGAGCAAGATGGCGGTCCCGAAGAGCCGGTTCTTGAGGCTTGGGTGAGCATCAATGGCGTCGTAAGAGTGTATAGGTCGAAGTCTTGTTAACCAAGGTATACGAGCAGGTGAAAATTTACCCCGCGACGTCCATTGACAACTCTCGTCGCGTGCGGGAACTGGCGCACTCACTTCAATATGAGTTTATGAAAGCTGCCCGCAAGCGCATGGAGCGTCATGTTCCCAAGGTTGTAGGCCCTTGGCTCGCTGGCTTGTACGATCGTGACCGAATCGTCGCGAGAGTAGCAAATGACGGGCTTTCATCCTTCTTAAACTCCCCTGAAAAGACAACCCTCTTCTGGAAGAAATGCCAGTCTCAAATCCTCCAATTTGCCACTGGCGCCATCCGGGAGACGAAGGATACTCTGAGTGACGAGAGGTCCACCACGCCCGAGGACGCCGAATCTAAGTACTTTCGAGTCCTAGGTGCGGCCTTATCACTAGTCCTGGCCCTCCTCCAGAAACTAAGCGGCGAGGATATGTCCAGGGCCCAAGAGAGTTATGACGAGTTCCTGAATGAAGATATCGTGTGGAAGTGCATCAACGTCGGAGACTCTTCCGTCCGCAAGTCTGCCTGCCAGCTCCTTGAGATTTCCCTCGACAAGAGGAAAACTGTTCTTGAGGAAAAGATGTCACGTCTGAAGAAGGCACTTATATCCGAAGGCCTTAAAGCTAATCACACAGGTTCCGCCGCGCAGTTCGTCAAAGCTCTTTCGGCCTTTACTTCCGTCTTCCCCGGTGTTTGGCAGTCATCACCGGGCGATAAGAAAACTCCTGTCTCTCGCCTGAACCACTTTTTAGAAAAGGGGTCCCAGGGCAGTGACGCTGCCATGTTTTGGGATTCCCTCCAAGCCCTTCTCAAGAGCCTCCCGAAGGAAGAGCTTCCGTTGGACGTCACAACAGCTTTGGCGAAGTCGATGAGGACTGGTATCTCTAATAGGGAGGAACCACGGGCCAACGCCCTCATCGCCTGGCGGTCTTATCTCCAAGTTACCAGATCCTTTATGACTCTTCTTCCCTCCGGATCGGACCAGGTTTCGTTTGCCGGAGAGGCTCTATTCCCTCTTGTCGAGCACTACTTGCACCCGACCGGAGCGTCTTCGTGGTCCATCGTAGGCCCTTCGGCCCCTACCATAGTAGAGGCATGCTACGCAATCACGACGGAATCTGCCCCCGAAGCTGTGGTTTCGGCGGCTAATGAGAGGTGGACGCAGCTGGCCAAGGATTTCTGCACGCGCATCGCAAACTCTTTGCCAGAGGTGTCTCGCGAATTTCAAAAGTCGCAAGAGGCGATTGCTGAGGAAGGCAATCGGTGGTTCTCACTTATCGGGCAGATTCAAAAAACAAAGTCGGCCTCGGCGACTGGGGTTTCTGGAACGGCACTCGATTCTCCTGCTAGCGAGATAATTTCTTGCTGCATCGATGTACTGTCTCGACGGAACCTAAAGCCCTTCGGAGCCGCCAAAGCAATCCGCCGCATGGGCGAGTCGACTATGTACCTCGGTTTCAACGAGTCAATCACCACTGCTCTCTATGACTTCCTTCTTCAAGCTGGTCGCGAGCAGATGGACCTTGTCCTCAAGTCTCACTCAAGGTTGGATCTGATCGGATGTCTTCAATTATATGCGGGGAAGCCCACTTTACAACAAAAATACGAAGTATTGTGGAAGACTTGGGCTTCACAACTTCTCCAGGAGTGCACAAGCCCTGACGTTCCACACACACTCGCAGCCCTACTCTCTAACACGCAGGCGTCGTCTTTGGCGCAAGGAAATGATGCTATCCAAAAGTACATTGTCGACAACACCCTTGAGTCTCTGTCTACTGGCACTGAGAGGTGGGACCTCCTGGAGTCTGCCTTGACAGCTGGTGCCTTGACGCTTGCCTCTATCAAGGCACTAGCCTCGGGCATTCTGAAGCATCTCCAAGCAGACAATAGGAGTGTCATGAGGGCTCTAAGCGGTCTGACTATTTTATCAAAGAAAGGAGCTAGTCTCTTGTCGCAAGATGAAGACTTGTACCTGAGTCTTGTCACACAGCTGTTGTCTCTGGCTGAAGCAGGCGACCAGAATGTATCGTCTAAGGCGAGAGAGCTCCACCAACTCCTCGACCTCCATGCAGATGGAAAGAAGCCTACAACGTCGATTGTTCGGACAAATCTTGACATCGCAAGCCCGCAGTCCCTTGAGTAAGTGCTCTTTGACAGCATTCTCACGAAGGTTTGAGACTAATGAAATCTATCAGAATCGATACGGTGATTCAACTAGCCGTTCAAGAGGCCCTAGATAACATTAAAACCCTCCCTGAGTTGTTACCGGATACCTGGATTTGGCGCAATGATCTAACAGGTCTCATTTCAACTGGTGTTAACCCTGCACTATCCATCACCAGTATCCTCGGCGGTGCCCAGTTCCTCGTCAAGGCATCTTCGCCAGGGGAGATTCGCCCTCCCGGTAGAGACCGAAACGGGTATTCCGCTCCTGCACGCATGGGCTTATACTTACTGGGTCTCATTGAAAACGGGGTCGATATCAAGACACTTCCGTCAAAAATACTGATGGACATCATTCTCCTGCTTCTAGTCACTGCGGAGCTTGGTTCTGAACAGCTCACAATGATGGAAGACGGCAGATTATTTGAAGCCATGTCTCCAGCAGTGCAACTAACCGCCGATGAACTTTCGTCGTCGTGTCACAAGTGGCTAAATGGACTGATATCTCAGTCAACCGGCTGGAAGGAAATGGAAAAGGAAGGTGATCCTGGACACTTAGTTTTCAATATTTTGCAAGCGCTACTCAATAGGTCTAAGGATACCACGCCATTGGCGTTCTACTGCGCAAAGGCGGCGAGCGAGATTATTCAAGCCCTCACGGAGGAGCATGGTCCGCCGGACAACTTTGACAAATTCCTCTCCAGCCTCTACCCAACTAAGGAAGCGCCGTCTGCCATCTTCCCCGTCACTGCCCTGCTCCGAGGAGTCGGGCAGTCGCTGGCTTCCCCCGAGTCTCTCAACACCATATGCAACCGGCTAGTTAGCGACGCTGCCGGAGCTAAGCCTGTCTCCGAGAAAGCTCTCGCGACGCTCGTCCTCTTGACGTGTTGCCTCGGTTTCTACGAAGAGGGTGAGGTGCCTGTGCAGATGAATAGGCTCGTGTTTGCGGTCAGGAATGTGACGGGTTGGTTCGAGGCGGAAGGCCCCGTGGATCCTTTCTTCGCCGCGGAAAGTTGTCGACTCTTGGCTCGACTGCTCCCCGAAATAGCCTCTGTCTATGGTTCACACTGGGAGAATACACTTCAGTACTGTGCCAAGATATGGGAAGCTGCCGGAGAGTACCCGCTAGATATTTCAATGTCGGCGATTCACGCTTCCTTGAAATTGTACTCGATTCTCGAATCACTCCCTGAGCCGAATGACGATCTTGAGGATTCGTTGAAGGACCTAGCTGAGGTCAAAGCTAAGTCGTTAATCGATTTACTCAAACTACCACGAGAGCGGAACTCCCAGCCTCTGTCGATTATCGATTCCCTCCTTTGCCGACAAGTCGCCAAGATTCCTCTGCGGTTTCTGAAGGATTTATCTGAGCTTTATGGATTGCTTGCGTCCGACTCGCGGGATATTCAGACGGCGGCATTCACGCTTATGCATAGGGCCTTGCCTGCCCTTCAGGAGCAGCTATCTGTTGATGTCCTCCTAGACAAAGAGAGTAGGTTTAGCTTGCCGTGCTTTTCTTTCAATAACCGTGCCCATCTTACAGCTGCTGACTTCCCCCCCTAGGCGCACATCTGCCAGATGAGATGATGTCTCTTCTCCTTGAGCCGCCGACGCTTGAGAAATATCCTGATGATGTCTTGGTGCAGTTCCCCCTGGCAGTGCGGACCTACCTCCTGACCTGGCATCTCATTTTCGATTCATACAGCACGGCCTCTCTTGGTGTGCGCAATGACTATACTGAAGACCTCAAGTCCGGCAATTACATCTCTCCCCTTCTTGATTTCATCTTCGATGTTCTCGGCCACTCAATCGCACATCCCATCAATCTCGACAAGGAAGGTTTCACAACCGAGCATATCCGTGTATACGACATCAAAGTAGCCGACGCGGAGCCGGATGAGCGCGACATGCATTGGCTCCTCATCCACATCTACTACCTCTGCCTCAAGTACACCCCGGAACTGTTCAAGACATGGTTTATCAACTGCAGGTCCAAGCAGACCCGGATCGCGGTGGAGGGATGGATGACAAAGTACTTCTCGCCACTGATCATCTCCGATGCTCTCGACGACGTCGCCCGTTGGGCGGAGGCCCAGGAGGCTGGTGGTGACGATGAGAAGGAGTTGTTGGTGAAGGTGAGCAGGACGGCGAGAGAGGTTACGGCTGGCTACGAGGTGGATGAAATGTTGGCTTCGATTACGATCAAGGTTCCACCAAACTACCCGATAGAAGGGATCACGGTCTTGGGGACGAGTAGGGTCGTGGTCAATGAGAGGAAGTGGCAGAGCTGGGTAAGGACAACTCAGGGTGTCATTACATTTTCGGTAAGTCAAGAACCCAAAAACAGGCTTTCTATACTTTTTCCCCCGGAGTCTCTGTGGGGCTAACCAGGATGGCAGAACGGAAGCATTATTGATGGGCTCATGACATTCCGCCGCAACATCGTTGGTGCCCTCAAGGGTCAGACAGAATGTGCCATCTGCTATGCCATCATGTCGTCTGACAAGAAGATGCCGGACAAGCGGTGTCAGACTTGCAAGAATCTATTCCACCGAACATGTCTGTATAAGTGGTTCCAGACTAGCAGTCAGAACACTTGCCCGCTTTGCAGGAACCCTATTGATTATCTCGGCTCTGACACTAGGTCAAGGCGCATGCATTAAAGGGGCTTGTTTATGGTCGGAGGAAGGGGGGAAATAGTTGTTCGACGTTAACAAAAACCAAAAGGGGGATTTTTAACACCCTGTCGTTGCATTGGCCATGAATATAGATCTTTCATTCTTGCTGCATACATCTTTGTTGAAGCGCCTAAATGCAGTGCATACGTCCTATTAGCAAAGCGATTTGGAGGGCAGAGATGGGGAAGGATACTTACCTGCTCGGCAGTGAATCTCTCCGAACTTTCGAATCTCAACAGCCTAGCCACCAACCCCTTAAACTCTTCCTTCACTCCTTCAAACACGACCTCCGAATCCCTCGCCTCAAAAACCCTCCACATCCCGAAAGGCGTCGTCCTAAACCTCGTAGCCTCAGGCCACGTCTCTGGCGTAGGCGTGCCCAGAGTGCGAAAGATGCTAAGGATAAGGCCAAGCTGGCTCCCATCCTCATGAGTGGGCGGAGATTCGAAAATGGGCGAAGGGTGCATCGGGTTCGTCGAGGCAGATTCCGAGAGGAGGACGCCGAGGGACCACATGTCAGCTTGGGTCGAGTAGGCTTTGTTGCCGAACAGGGCATCGGGTGGGCGATAGGGTCCGGTGCCGATGTCGAGGATCTTGGAGTCTGGGGGTTCGGAGGACGGGGAGAAGTCCGGGTGCCAGGCTGTTCCGAAGTCGGAGAGGTAGGCAGGCCCGTCGAAGGTGTCTAAGAGTATGGCGGAGGGTTTTATGTCGCGGTGGATGATGCCTCTGGCGTGGATGTAAGATAGGGCACTTAATATATCCCGAAAGATACTGCGGGTCCTGGATACGGAAACTGGACCAGCATCGAAAAGGTCGGCTAGAGTAAGGGGCTTGAAAGGAAATGTTAAGACCAGACGCTGTTCCTGGTCCCGGAAGGAGTCGACTAAGGCGATGGCGGCAGGGTGGTGCAAGGATCTCAGGATCTTGACCTCGCGCTGGGGGTTGTGCGGCTCAAAGGTTTGGTAGGGGTGGATGACCTTGAGAGCATGAACGACTCGCGGCGTAGATGACGGCGAGTTGGCCCGGTAAACGGTGGATGTTAGCCCCTCGCCAACTGGAACGCAGCCTTGGTAAGGGCCTATTCGGACGCCTATCGAGTCGCCGTTGTCGTCTTTACCAATTGGGTTTGGAATGAGGAATGAAGGCGGCGACTCCTGTCGAGGAACCGAGGCGGGATGGAAGGAAACATTACATGCTTCATCATACTCTTCCTACAAGCCAGTAAGAATATGGGCCTTGGACATGGACAATGGTTCTTTGGATGTTAAAATGGATTGGATACCCTTGTCGAGGAGGCGTCAAATGCATCGTTTTCGATCCTGAAAGCTTCCTGTTGGGCAATGTCTTTCTTTTCAGGACACTCGGATATGATCTTGTTGGATCTATGAAACGATATTAGTATGTTGATATCCCAATCTAAAAATACGCTCTTACATCCGCTCAATATTATCATATCTACAACTGGCAGACATAGAGCCTTTCCACTCCTCAGAAGCCATCCTGAGATGCCTAGGCAGAGCTATGAATGTATTGCTTCGGGGACCGGTAGCTCTGCTGTCACAGTTGCGAGCCTATTGGATTCTTCACTTGCATATTACATATACTTCGAAGCTTTAGAGGAGCTAGGCATAGCTCAAGCCACAGACGGAAACGATCTGATCGATGGATCTTTGTGTGGCATTGATGCAGAGCACTGCTCTCGAGCTTCTTGACGTCGAATTGGGGATGAAATTGACCAATGTTCGAATCCAGAACGGGTTTCCGAAGCCGACACTGTGCGATACCACAACGTCTGCAGGTCCGTGCATAAAGTACTAAATGGATACTTCTAGACTATGTACGCTGAGTAGTGAAATTTGAGCTGAATATGAGTACTGTTCAGTATATCCCAGCCTCATCCCCGGATTTCGGGTTTCACGGTTGAGTATGGTTTATAATCCGCACTGTAAAACAACCAGAGATACACCACTGAGTGACAGCATATGAGCACTGAGCACGGCCATTTTATAGTGGGTGACAGCGGGGGAAGACCCAGCGTAAGGCCCAAGCTTAGGGCCGGGAACCAGTGGGAACCAGTCGCGGAGACCATCAAGACGCTAACGTGACACCATCAGGAACAAGAAGAGAGAAAAAGAAGAAAAAAATACCTCCGACGACGCCAGATGAATTCATCATTGATCTTCCGTCCCATCAACTGCGTAATCATCGATGCTCCCTCCATTTCCATTTTCCGCCCACAGCGTCACACCCTGCCTCTCCCTCTCCCTCCTCCTTGATTCTCTCTTGTCCGCAACTCTCTAATTCTCGCGACCACACCATCCTTCTCCATCGTGCTGGTGCTCATCCTGGCACACAACGCACTATGTTTGAACTCGCTGGCAGCCTCGCCTAACCCACCACCGATCCCAGAATAATTAGACCCCCTCTCTCTGCGCCCATCAATACGTTCATAGTGTGTCGGAATACCTTCGTCTCGAAACTCCGGTCCCAGCCACCTTCGATCCCCTGACGATGGAGGAAACCTCGAGAACCGAGTACCCAGCGATGCTGGTAAGATAGATCGAATTCCACCCCAGCCTTCCCTCTTCAGATGCTCTCGCGCGAGGAGCTCAGCTCCGAGAATATCGTTGAGCTGGCGCCGTCGGTCGTCGCTTAGGTGTTTTGCCTGTAGCATCGCAAGAAGCGGCCAGTGGCTAATTGAGTAATGTTCCAATGTCCCATTTATCTAGGCGTATCTCCAACCTTCGCAAGCTGTTCATGTCCTCAACGACCGGGTGAAACGCGTCACCAAGCTCAATGTTGAAATCGCCGACTGGTTACAGGTACGCTCCGGTGCTCGTTCCTCGATGCCGAACCACTCTCCCTCTTCGCTCCCATCGCCGACGACGACTTTTGTCTTCGGTCCACGATATCCACATGTCTCCGATCCACCCGATTGCCCGCGGCACTGCTGGCTCGCTAACCCATCACCTTCGTCTTATTTTTAGGAACGCCGGAAGGTCGAAGAGCAATACGTCCAGGGCTTGAGAAAGTTGATGCAATTCAAGGTCCCCAATACAGCCTCTGAACTCGGGTAGGTGTTCTGCTTTTGTTCTGCGTCCATGAACAAGTCGCGGGATCATTCGGAACCCCAAGGTTCGACAAGCGGGACTAACTTGTCTCGCGCCGGAACAGAGTCTTCCAAGGTCCATGGGACAAAGTACTTCGCACAGTCGAGTCGACCGCCCACTCCCACTTCCTGTTCGCATCGCGTGTCGAGAAAGATGTCGAGGTTCCTCTACGAAATTTCGGACAGAAGAGGGAGGTGCAAAACATTCACAACATCGCCGCGAACCTCGCCTCCATGGCCAAAGAACTCGAGGATGCGCAGGATAAGTCTGAGAGGTTGACAAAGAAGGGCACTAAGGCCAGCACGCAGAAAGTGGAGGCCGCAGCCTCGCGGTTGAACGCGGCGTCTCAGCAATGGGAGTCGCAGGCCCCCTTCATTTTCGAGAACTTTCAAGTCCTTGACGAGCAGCGAGCTAACCAGCTGCGCGACCTTTTGACCCAGCTCCTGACCCACGAGAACGACCAGGCCCAAAGGACCCAGATCAGTGCCGGGGAGACCCTCCAGGTCATGCTTGACATCCAGACCTCGAAGGAGATCGAAAACTTTGCCCACAGGGTTACAGATGGCAAGGCCAAGAACGAAAGGAAGTCGGCGCCTGCGACTAGGCGTCCTAGTGTTGCCGGCAGTACCTCAACCCCTCCTGCGACTGCTACAACTGCGGCGTCTCATGATGACGAGACGCCCAGTGAGACCGATACCCCAGAACTTCATCAACGTATGCATAACCCCGCTTTGCTACACCCCCATTACTTGCGCTCGACATGAGTTGTCGCAGCTTGCGGCAGTTCCAATGCGATGATATCTTCTCAGTGTCCGGAAGCTAACGCCATGTTTGACAGAAACCCCGCGATTGCGGAGCAGAATTGGAACCATGCTCGGCCGACGACGACAGAGTATCCATGGCGGATTCGGACCCATTTCACAGAAGACTTCGGGTTCCTTTGGTAGGAACCTAAGAAGCAGCCATGGTCGTGGCGTGTCGCCCCGTGCCTCGATGAATGACTTGACCTCGTCGAATAAGCTACCGTCTCTCGCCGAGGGCCCTGATGTCCCCAGAGACGTCAACACGGCGGAGGCCGAAGAGAAACCGAAGGAGGAGACCCCCCACGAAGGCGCGAATGGAGTCAAGCCATCACCGAACTTGGCTGACCTGGCTGTCCTTGCCGAGCCGCAAGGTACCGTAAATGGTGCCGACCGGGAGATACCCGAGTTCGCGCCGCCTCCCGGGCCACCACCCCAGGCCAAGACTCACGTAGATCAGCCAACCAAAGATTCCGAGGGTTTCACCATCCCAGCCGCCATGAACGACCCGATCTCGCTAGCTCAGCGCGAAGCTGCCGCAACCGAAGATGCCGATCAGTTGTTCAAGCTCAACATTCAGAGCACTCCAGTTGCCCAGGATGACCCCGAGGCGACACAGGCCGCTCTCTCCAACGTAACTAACGCATTGACCCAAATGGGCTTGCCGTCGCGTAAGGGTGGTACGATACGGGGCCGGAGAGATGTCCGTAATACCATCTACGTGCCCTCAGCCAACGGCGCTCCGTCTCCTGATGTGGGTGCTCCCCCCACGCCTCCAATTCCGACCGCCTTCACGAAGCCGCCCACGCTCGCCGCTCTAGCATCCGAAGCGAGTATTGCTGGCACATCGGATACTCAATCCGTTCGTTCCGGCAACTCTCTTGGCACTTTGAACCATGCAAAGCATCCCGACAGGCTGGGTGCCGGCTTGAACGCCTCTGTCATCGAGACTATTGCCGCCTCGTTTGAAGATGGCGCTCTAAAGACGGCCAAGATCAGTGGCGAGATTGCGTTCAGCTACAATCCCGATGAAGAACCCGATAGCAAGCCTCGTAAGTGCGATCCCAAACTCACATCGTTTGACATCATCATCCTGAGATGCCGCTAACCATCGAGATGCAGTGCACAACCCAACGATCCGCATTAATAACTTCCCCAACCTCGAGGTCATCGGCCCTAACCGAATTTTCGTTCAGAATGCCCTGCCAGATAGAAATGATCAGTTTATTTTGGATGTGTCTCACCTTTCCAGGACCTCGACAGCCTTTAGTTACCGTCTCCATTCCGAGTCTGACGGCAAAGACCTTGTTGTGCATACGCCCTTCCTTATTCGATCGCACTGGAAACCGAAGGGCGACAAGCTAGAGCTCCTGATGCATTACTCGCTCAACCCCGCGAGCGCATTCACCTCTCCCATCATGTTACACAACGTGGTGGTGTTCGCCACCTACGAGGGCGCGAGGGCAAGCGGTGCCCAGACAAAGCCATCGGGTACCCATCTAAAAGACAAGCATCTCGTCTATTGGAGACTCGGCGACATCACCTTGACCTCCGAGCCTCAAAAGATCGTCTGCCGCATCATCGGCGCCGAAGGTGCCGAGCCACAGCCAGGTCATGTGGAGGCTCGGTGGGAATACACTCCTGGCCTCACAGCGACAGCTTCATTGGGCGGCATCTCAGTCTCGAGACTTGAAGAGACGAAAGGCAAGGAGAAGGAGGCGATAGTCGTCGAAGATCCTTTCGCCGATAGTGATAATTTGATGTCACCACCGCTTCCCTCCGACCACAGGTGGGTGGATGTGCCGATGGTATATAAGCTTGTTAGCGGCAAGTATGAGGCCCGGTAGGTGGTGGTGGTGAGGCCGAAGCCTAATTTCCTTGAGATGATGTAACGATCCCAGATTTGTTTCCTACCAGAAGAGTTGCCTGTCTTCATTTCTCGCCATTTCCTTTGTCATATTCACCCTTGTTGTCACCCTCGTTCCATTCATTCCTGGTCTTGAAGGTGGCTAGGATTGTCTGATGAGAGCAACCACACCGATGTATGCCACTTGGGAGGTGTTCACATACCCTTGACTTGCAGCTGTTTATTTTCTTTGTTTAGTCTGATTATGGCTATTATATTGTCCAACCAACCCTTTTGGGATATGCATTCACCGAGTTCGGTGCTTTTTTTGCCTTGCTTCCGCCCCTCGTTCTCGCACTTAGCTCAAGTGGCTCTTTGTATATCATGAAAACCTTGAGAAGGAAATCTGGACGCAATAGTGTAGGAGATGAAGGAATAATCTATTTTCAACCCGTGCCATGAGTTTCCACCTTGATTTCTAGCTATCAACTTGAATTGGCTCACTCCTTGCCACGAGTTGGAAGTCGTCGACATTAAGGGGGCGCGTGAGAGGCATGTGTTGCTTGGGGGAAAATGACGGTTTGTCAAGGTATATGACTTATTACGGTTGGTGAGAGAGCTTTCGAACTTGGCTTCTCAACCAGCTCAAGCTGTGTGTGTTTGTGTGTTCAATGGCAGAGGCACTGACGCTCATGGGCTGCGCAAGACCCCATTCCAACTGCTAAGTTCAATTTACTGGAATGACAGGAACTATCCAAACTGACAAGCGGACTATTACTGGCTAGAGATATGCAAGCAAACACAAACGCTGCCACCGAGCGGCAAAAGTGCCTGGTTCTTCTTCCCGTGATGTCAGGAAACTTCATCATTCCACTGACAACATGAATCCATCTTGACCGTCGGAGCGAGCTGAATATACCTGCGCACAGGCCCGCACCCAAGCCTCAGCACTGGCATGCGGGCGAGCCCCGGCCTCGGCCTACATTTGGTCGGCGTCGCCTCCCACCTCAACCTTTCCTCCAAGCCCACGGTAAAGTGGTTCCAAGCCCACGTCGCTTTCTCCAGCTCCTCGCATAGCGTAAGCGTGAATTGGAACTCCGTCGACGAGTCGGGGTCGATGTAGCCCTTGTGCTCGAACCATCCCCACGGCTTCGTGGTCGCTGCGAGGATCTCCTTTCCCTCTTGGGGGATGGCGGGCCCCGGACACGCGAAGGGCGCGTCGAGGATGAGAAGGACATCCGAGGGGAGCGCGGGGGAGCAGAAAGTTGTCTCGAATATGTGCTTGAGATCAATCTTTGGCCGCGGCTTGGGATGAATAAGACTCATGGGCGGATGGATGGTGAACGTCGTGGCGTTCGTGTGCGCGGGACCGGCGTAGTAGAGGATGATGAGGTCGTTGGGACCCTTTCTGTTGATAAGCTTGGCGATAGCGTCAGCCAGGTACCTCTCGGCATCCTTTCGGGGCAGTACGCAATGCTTGACGTTGTAGTAGTACCCCGAAACGAAAACGTTTTCGAGCCTCTTCATCGGCGCCGGCGGCGGAGCTGCATCGGATTCCCCCCAGCGGATCATGAGGACTTCGGCGGTGTAGTAAGGGATGAGGTGACGGTGGCGGACGACGATTTTCTCCTCTACTTGTTTTCGGATCCTCTCGCACTTGTCGACTCTCTTCCTCTCTTCTTTGGCAGCATCATCCTCTTCTTCCTTCAGAGCATTGCCCTCAGGTGTGGCCGGCACTTTGAATGCCTTGCATGTGGGACATTCGGTGCAGAGAGGTCCTTTGCGCCCGATCATGGAAATGTTCCGGAGACACGCCGCGATGCCTTTGAAATGAGACTTTCCGTTTCCAGGCCCTGTGCTATTATGGCAATGGTTACGGCAGCAAGGTTTTAGTTCAGGGATGCCGTCCGAGTCAGCCTGTCTGCTTCCTAGTGAGGTAGTCTTCCGGCACTGATTTGCACCTGCATGAAGTGACGCGGAAGCTGTCTCAGGGTCCGAGTCGGAGCCGCTTCCATGGAGAGGTTCTCTATGATGCAACACTTCAGGTGCCCGGAGCAGAGGGCAGCTAGCGTCAGGAGACTGAAGGTCGCTGTTACTCGCCGGAAGCTCCAGCATCTCGAGGGACTCTTTAGGACTCGCCTCCTTAGAGTCGCCCTTCGTCTTTGATCTTTTCGACACGCAAGCGGAGAAGTACGTCTTTGTGAAAGCACGGAATATACCCGACTCATGGGACGAGCTGCCTGGGGAGGAGTCCCTCGATCTTTTGACGGGACTCGGGACGAAAAGTCCTAGGGCGTCATAATCCACCGAACCGGGTGTGGGTAGATCCCCGATGGGACGCTCCGGCGCCTTGCCTTTGCTTTTTTTCTTGAAACCCTTGGACGTCTTGCGGTTGATTTCAACGAGTTTCCCGTCGAGGAGGCCTAGCATGGGTTGGTCTAGGGACGGCTTGAGGTTTAACCCGCCTGGGATGGAAGATGTCGTCGTCATGCCGGAAGAACGGGTTTTTTTTTTTTGGTTTTCTTTTACCGGGATACTTCAGGGGATGGGGATGGAGCTAGGTCAGGGAGCTTGGATGACTACTGTTCCGAGTCTTTTGCTCTGCCACCGTGAAGTTTATCCCGGGGGGGATGGGGTGTGCCGTTTTAGGGCTTGCGTAAAGCAACCTAGATTTTGGAGCAGGAGTAGGAAAACCGGGAAGTTGGATGATGGGAAAAGGAGGAAGCATGAAAAGGGCCGGTTCGTCTCCTCGAACGCCCGGTTTTATATTTGTTGTTTACATGGTGCTATCACGAGCCGAAGCTTGACTTACACAGCAGACGCTCTCTCTCCCCGCTACTATTTAAGCTATTTTGATGGAGTGGGCAAGGTACCATGGATGGCAAACTACAGCGGGAATATACAAGGCGCAGGCTCTGGTTTTCTTCCCTTCTTCTTTGCTAACTGCTCGTCTAGGACCTTCCAAAGTACGAGAATGCGATATTTTTTACGAGGTCACTAGTAGTTTTGACATCTACCGGTCTCCCGGTGACAGGGCCGGCGTTGGGCCGGACGGTCTAAACCGTAGGCTAGCACGATGGTGTCGGCCCATTTTCCAGGATCAACCTTTTCTAGCAGGATTTGCACAAGCTTTTGGATGAGCTCGTGTAAGTAAATAAACTCGTAGACGATGGTAGATAGAGGCTGATGGTACTCTAGCATACTTTGGATTGCACTGCGCTGGGGGTCATTTTCACTCACGCTGCCCTGATCCGGATGTTTATGAAAAGCAGTGCTCGCATTCGGGGAATGCTCCTCTCGGAGTACAATATGGTGGTATCTTCAGTAGGTAAACAGCCTTCACTTAATCTCTCTTGCACAGCCTTACACGGTGTGTGGGAAACGTACAACTTTTTATACATTATCAAAACACATGAAAACCACCTGTGAAGGCCTCATCTGCATCGAGAGCAAGTAAAAAAATAAAAAAAATAACAAAATAAAACCCACACATTTAATCCCTTGACGCCTTCGTATGCTCATCATAAAACTCCAAAGTCAACGCCGCCAAAAACCCCGGTATACACCCCTTCTCCCTCACCCAAAACTTAATCTGGTCATCGATCCTCTGCGCAAACGCGCTCCTCGGGCCCCCACCTACCTTCATGGTGCCCTTCTCGCCGTCGAAGACGATGCTGTTCTCGTGCTCGTCCGTCTGGCTGTGGTAGTACACGCTCTCGACGCGCATCTTGCCGTTGGGGATGAAGGTCACCGTCCATCCCAGCGTGCTGAAGATGGCCTCCTTAAACTCGGCGCTTTTCGCCGTCCAGACCTCCTTGAGGCGTCTCGCTGATTTCTGCGCTGATGCCGTTTCGGCTTTGGCTTCTTGGACTTGGCGCTGGGCGGCGTCGAGCATCGAGGCCGGTATTGTGGGGAAAGAGGCGGAATTTTTGGGGTTTTGCATGTACGCGAGGAGCTCGGCGTTCTCTTTCTTTAGCGCCTCGAGGGTCGACATTTTGATGGCCTCAAAGTCTGAGGTTGGGTTGGATCGTAGAGCGAGGATCCGTACCGCACCGCGCCTCTTAGCTGCACGCAGCTGCTCCTTGGACACTGAAAGTTCCTTTTCACTGAGGGCTAGCTTGGTTTGGATCGCCGACAGCTCGTTCTGGAGAGTTCGGTTCTTCCTAATGAGCTGGCCCAACTGTTCATGTGACGCGCCGCTGGGCTCGACAGACCGTTGGCGCTTGCTGCCAGGCGCAGGAGCGCTGGTTGCCGACTCGACAGAGCTGAGTTCAGTATGTAGAGCCTGAACCTCGGCCTTGTACTTATCGACAAGGTCCTCTAGTTCTTGTATCCGTTGGGCGCGCACCTGATCGTGTTGTTCGGGTTGGAATGTGAGATCCTCTGCGTCGAATGTTTTTAGCTGCGCCCTCAAATACTCCACTTCCTTCACAGCAAGGGCGCGCTGCCGGTCTAGCCTGAGACGTGCCTTGTCGCCATCGAATGCTGAACTAGATGCAGCAGCAGCCTTGGCCTTCTCAACCTCGGCCTTCAAATGTGCCTTTTCTTCCTCGAGTCCTTGAATCGTAGCTTCGTGAGCCGCCACGTCTGCCTGGAGAGTTCCCATCTTCTCTACGTAGGAGGCAGAAGTAAGGCGCTCCTGAACTAGGGCGCGCGCAAGTTCCTCAGGAGATTCAAACTTCATATCCTCACCACCAGATTCAGCCGTGGACTGTAGATACGCCGTCCATGCCAGCCTCTCATCCTCGAGGCGCTGCCGTTGTATCCTGGCCTCATCAAGCTCGGCTTCAAGAACCTCAGTAGCCTCCAATTTCCTCTGAAGCATTCGCTTCTCCTCCTCGACAACCTCGACCGCCTTGTGAATTTGTCGTAAATGCCTTAGTTCGGCTAGTTGTTCTCGATTCATCGCTTCCAGTTTCCGGATGTGTTGGACTTGCTCCGATAGCTCGCGCTTAATCACTGCCATAGTCTCGGCATCACCCGTGTGCGCCTTTAAACGTAGTACTTCGGCCTCCAAGTTCCCAATCTGAGTATCCTTTTCCGCAACTTGGGCCTGCGTGGCCTGCAACACAGCCTCTCTCGATGCGCTTTCCTGTTCCAGCTCATGCACGGTCCTTTGCGTCGTGTCGAGCTGCATCTGAACATCCATAATTTTCTTTTCGCTGATGCGCGCAGCATCATCCTTCGCCGTCGCAAGCTCCTCCATCTGCTCCGCCAACACACGGTTCTCCTCCTCGACATCCCTCAACTTCTTATCGAGGGTAGATTTTCCCTGCGCCGCCGCCTCGCGCAGCTCCCGCAGCTCCGTCTGGGCACTCTCCAGCTGGCGCGCAAGCTTCGACCCCTCGGCCTCCGCCGCCTGCTTCTTCTCAAAGTCCTCCTGCGCCCGCCGCTTTTGATCCTCGAGCTCCGTCCGGTGGCGCGCCTCGGCCATTTCCTTCTCCTGCTCGAGCGTGCTCAGCGTGTATCGCAACGTGCCCAGCTCGGCCTTGAGCTCCTCGATGCATCGGCGGTGGGATTCGTACTCCTCGGCGTCGGGCGGGGCCATGTTTTCTTTCGAGCTCTCGCGAGATACGGTGCGTGTAGGTTCGGGTGCGTAGCTGTGTCGGGAGGCGGGGCGCAGTGTTGTTGTTGTTGTGGGATGCGTCGCAGTCTCCCCCGTGAAGAGATTATATGTCGGCTGGCCTGAACGGTACGAAGCAATCTATAAAATTCGGATAAAATGTTAGCTAAATCACATTGGCATTTTACAAAACCTGCAGTGACAAAACAGGGTTTCTTCATTCACCTACCCGAGACTCCCTTAGAGAAGTATTGGGCCGTGGCAGATTGCTACCGCTAGGAGTGCGTAGCCTCCCAGAAATGGAGGCACGCCTCGGCCCATCGTCACCAGGCCTACGTTCTTGCGTGTTGCGTGAGCTCATCGTGTGGCGACTTCACGGTTTGGTTGGCGCGTACTATTGAAGATCAATTGATGTCGAGCTCACCAAGCTCGTCCTGGAAGTAAACAAGAACTTGGTTGCGAGGCAGTTTCAGCGGGCGCTCACGTGATCATTTTCTTTCATTGGGTATCGCTGGCATGAGTCGCATCCCAGCCAAAGGGCAACCTTCCCATCCCGACATTCCAAGGATAAGATCAGAGGGCTATTCAGTTGGCATAAAGTTGGGATAAGTTGATTCGGGAAATATAACGAATGTTCCTAAACTGCCATTCTCATGTTTGTGATAAATCTGCCTAGACTGCCATTTTGGGGGTGGAAAGCAGTGCTACTTTCAGAAAGACCTCGGCCCAACTCCTACCTCTCCCTCATGGCAGGACAAAGCCATCACAGAGATTTAAAGAAAGGTCAACCCCCTCTGATATGAGTAGGCTCTTCGCGAGGACGGGAAAGAAATTACTTACATATAGGCTTTTCTATCACGAGGGATCGAGCCTGGGGATAGGCACCGGTTAGGCCAGCGCCGAACAAACTCTCACTATTCTGTCCGCGGATATATAATTTCCCAAGTCATAGCCACCAGTCTGTACGAGATAGCAGAATCAAGCAATATAGACATCAACCTTGGAACTAGGGAGGAAGACTGGCCTGACGTCGATGTCGATTCCGACACAGAGGAAGGTCGTGAGGCCATGGGGCGTGCTGAGGCTGCTATGCTCGCGACCATCCAGCGCTCCATCCAGCGACGCAACCAGCAGTGGGCTAGCTCCAATGCCAATGACGACGTCCCGGAGGCCCTGTACGCGAAAGCCGAAAGCCACCAAGACCAGCTGACACAGGAGGAACGCCAACTCCTCCTCAGCCGCTGCGGCCTCGCAGGCAAGGCGCTCGCCTATCCTGAGTCTCTCGCCACCGAGGAACTGCACAAGGTCCTCCTCTGGGCACCGCCGGATGTGGCTCGCGCCAACATCCAAAGCACCACTGGTGGGACTCTCAGCACGCCCATGGAGCTGTATGCCAAGGGCAGGGATGCGGTAGACCGAGGCCAGCTCGGGGCCATGCTAAACGATAACGAGATTGACCTACTGGCGCTGGGCTTCTTTGACCACGCGAATTTTCGAGGGGGACAAAGTTGGACGGCTTTCGGCGAGCCGGGGGTCGGGAAGGCCAAGGGGTTGCTACATAAGCGGCTGGAAATGGATTTCGCCGTCTTTCATCAGGCTATGACGCACTGGTCAGAAAGGATCGGGACGAGGATGCGGGTGAGTTTCCAGGCATTGCAACCCGTGGTACCTCCGCCGCAACTATCGCGTACTGACCGCATCGGATCCGGCCCCTGGCCACCTACCGCCGCGCCGGCTGGTCCTCTCCATCTCTTCATGAGTGATACAAACCTCTCTGGCTGGGACGCCGAACCGGGTTGGTTTAGGCTCCCCGAAGACCAAAGGGAAGCATATCGGGCTCGATCCGAGACGCTTCGTCGCGAGGCCTGGGCTGCGTATGAGACAGCCAAGGCCCAAGGTACACTTCCCAGGATGGAGGAGTGGGTGTCGCGGCACCTACGCCCGGTGGCGGACCGTGCGAACGACCCGAGGTACCCTTTTGGAACCGATAGACGGCCCGGGCTCCCGCGCCGGCCAGATTATGTCACGGGACTCATGGTGTTTCGCCATGGGCAAGGGGACGGGGTGGAGTGGCAGGAAATACTTCGAAGATGGGATGCCTTGACCGAGGGGCAGAGGGCGGCGTATGAGGCGACGGCCACGGCGGCCAGGGCTGCCGGCCAGGTTGAGTATCGGAATGGGAGGGACTTTGATTACATTACATGGCTGGAAAACAGGCAAGCGACGGGGAACTAGGCCTAGGTAGGTAAATCAGGGTCAAAAAGGATTGCCACTCACACATCTTTTTCAAGGTACATGGAATCTGCGAGGTTTATTTCTCCTTAGGTCACCCTCAGGAAAATCCTTAAAGATACTGCTTTGTCGGAGCCGAGAAACACAACCTAAAGTTGAAGGTGACTACGCCTGCCCAGGGATATTAGGAGCGCAGACCGGAAACGGCACAACTTCGAGAAATGGGTGGCCGTAATGGTCTTCGTAGGATGTCGGAAAATCAACGATCAGTGGGAATCTGCCTCGCCTAACTTCACTAGCAGAAGGAGTAGAGGAAAAGTAGAAATAAAAGAACTGATATTGAGAAGAAAGATAAAACAATGGATCTCACAAGACAGAACGACTGATGGCTTGCAGTCGCTCACACTTCCCCCAACACATGCTGAACCGTCAACTCTAAGTCCTCGTTCATTATCGCGGGAACCATCCTCCACTTATATGTGTAAGTGAGGTCTGGCTGTGTGGCCCGTCGAGCTTCCCTTGCAGTGGTGGTTTTCCGCAGTGTGACACTACGGAATGCCAGCTGCTCTACACACCAACACACTACTATCAAAGACAGCCTGGTAATAGCCCCTGATATACCACGAGCCTCTCTTGTAGTACTCACACATATCATCATCCCTTGCGAACACTTGTAGCTCGGTCTGCCAGATGGTGTGGAGTGCACCAAGCTTGTCTAGGAGCCAGATACGCGTATACTTAGCGCCATACGAGGGTAGACCCCTGGGATATCAGGCGGTGGGCAATATATAGAGAGAGGCGTTTCACGAAGTAGGTTTGTCCATTGTATCCAGGTTCAAAAGAAACAAGATTCGAAATTATATCCTTCGTCTTCATGGTTTGGAAATTTCGTGACGGTGGTTGATTTCTAACATTTTCTAAGCTTCAGATAGAGGAGCATGTTCCTGGATTGCTCCTTCCAAGCTGTGATTCTCTAGCATGATTTTCTAGATCAATGTTACTTACAAAGTACCATCACCAAAAATGTTCACAAAAAAGCTAACTAAAGTACCTTCGTATAAGTAATAAGGGCTTCCATAAGCAGTAAAAACACCAAGTCCTCAATATCATCAATTGACCCCTTTCCATCCCTCTCTACTGACGAGTTGGCAGCGCTGCTTGTCTGTCTTGTTTAGAGCACGTGATAAAACCTGGCAGCTAGACATGAACTAACAACTTCTCATGATCATACCCGGATTAATATTAGGATTGATCAAAATAATTAAGAAATACAATGTGTATGAACTAGAGCTGTAACTATACTATAAACCTCTCATTGACACTTTACAAACCAATCTCTATGTCCTGATGGATTGATTCACTTGTAATCTTAATACTTTTAGATCAATTGATTGATGCCAGCCCAACCCAGCATCCGGCATCCGGCATTAACCACAACCAGCTATTCTCCGAAAAAGCTCCTCGAGAAAGAGCACAAGCAACTCCACTAAAAATTCCCCTCCACCATCAACATCCGACGCCCACCTCCTCGACAATCCCAGCGCATGTCTAGAGTCCTGGAGTTCTGCTCTTCTGGACGACTAAGCAGGCCGCCAGACTAGGGCGGACAGACGCCTCTTCAGTCATCTGTCCACCTTGGCTTTGCTTTGCATTGCTTTTCTTCCTCTTCCATGAGACTCTCGACACGTTTCTGAAGAGGTCCCTCGCTATATCTGCGCCAGATCACCCGCGTCCAGAGGCTCGGTTGCCATTGATCTAGAAAGCTACGTCCACTACTACCGGAGCACGTTCCGTCGCAATAGCCGGTTCTTGAGGAAGAATCATAGACTCCCCCCAAACCACATCGCCGCGATGGCGTCTCTACGGGTTGCAGTACGTCGCGCAATAGCCAATGTCGAACAGGGACCTCGGCACCCCTTTGCAATAGCTACTAACTACTCTCCCAGTCCGCTGCTCGAGTCTCTCCTGCCCACCTGATTCTCCTCCTCCGAACCCCTTGCTCAGCATCCCCTCGAACGACCCTAGCCTACCGATACAGCCACCTCCAGCGACGACACTTGACTTCGGATTCGCAAAACAGCAAGAGCAAAGATGCGCAATCCGCGGCTGAATCCTCCCGTAGCCATTACGGCTCCGACGCGCCCTCACCCTCATCATTATCGTCGTCTTCCTCCTCATCCTTCTCTAGTGGTTCCTCCTCCCACTCCGAAACCTCTCGGCCCAGTACTGCATCATCGACGACGAGCCATTCCCCGACTTTCTTAGACGATAGCACCGTCAAAGACTGGGAGGACTACAAATATACAGATGTCGCAGGCTTCAAGGACCTACCGTCAAGGACGTTCGGCGTGAACCAGCACATGCTGATCAATACCGAGCTCAGGACTGCCTTTACCCACCTCCTCCGCGAGTTCCGCGCACCCATCATGTTCTGCTTCGCCTACGGCTCGGGCGTCTTTCCGCAAGGCAACAACGAGCGCAGCATTACCGATGCCGAGTTCCGCGCCGTCCATCCCAAGCCGCCTGAGGCGCTCCGGCTCACCCAGAAGGGAAATCCCAAGATGATCGACTTCATCTTCGGCGTTTCCCACACTGAGCATTGGCATTGGCTCAATATGAAACAGCACCGCGATCACTACTCGGGAATCGCCTCGCTCGGCTCGGGCGCCGTGGCCGCGGTGCAGGAAAAGTTCGGCGCCGGTGTATACTTCAACCCCTACGTGGTTGTCAACGGTATGCTGATTAAGTACGGCGTGACAAGCATCAACAACCTCTGCCATGACCTTGCCAACTGGGACACTCTCTATCTCGCCGGCCGGCTTCACAAGCCGGTCAAAATTCTCCGCGATAACGCCGCCGTGCGAATCGCCAACCAGCAGAACCTCGTCGGCGCCGTCCGAACCGCCCTCCTCATGCTCCCCGAAGTATTTTCCGAATTCGACCTCTTCAGCACCATTGCCGCCATCAGCTACCTCGGCGATCCTCGCATGGCCCTGCCGACTGAGAACCGAAACAAGGTCAACAACATCGTGACGAACAACCTTGTCAATTTCCGTCGCCTATATGCGCCGCTCATCGACAAATTGCCCAATATTCACTACATCGATGAGATCGCCCTCGGCAGTGACGAGTGGCTCGAGAGCTCTAGGAATCACATGTTGATGCAGGACATGGATCTCGTCAAGCGCGCCAACATGGTGCGCCGTCTGCCATCCGCGTTCCGCCAGCGCCTGTACTTCCTCTACCAGGGCAAGTTCCGCATGACGCGCTCAGAGTTCAACAAGTTGATGGAGGAGTCGGCGGACGAGGACGCAAATGGCTTCAAGAGGCGTCAGGGCGGACCATTCGAAATGCGTATTGCGGAGGACAGCTCGCACGATCTGCAGGATATGGTGCGAAAGGCGATCAAGAAGACGATATCGTGGCCCAGCACGACACAGAGCGCAAAGGGTCTCGTCACGGCCGGATTCAGCAGGACAATGCGCTACGTGGGAGAGAAGCTGGACAGGTATAAGGAGAGCAGCGGGAAGAAGAAGGCGGAATCCAAGGCGGAATCCAAGCCGGAGGAGGCGGCCGGTGAGAAATCCGGCGATTCCGAGAAAAAGGTCGAAAAGACCAACGAGGCGAATGACGAGAAAAAATCGACATAATCGCGGCGGTTTCTTGACCTTCGACCGACTGAGACAACTTCAAGTACATACACAAGCTACGGCTGACGCGATCTTTTCCCCCTTTCCTTTGTTTATGCTTTGTAAGTCAGATAGACGCGGTCTAGAGAGGGGCATGTGTGGCATCCAAAACTGCATCTTCGGAGGTTTTCGTTGAAAAAAAAAGAGCACAAGTCGTCTATCGCCCTTCCTGGACTCCATTCCGACACCCTTCCGATTTCCGTTTTGGAGATGGTTGGCAATGGAAGGAAGAGCTAGGCGAGGGCCAGCTATATTTTTCCCCAGCTGGACAGACACTTTACGAAACGGCCTCAACTGCGCATTTGTTAAGGAGTACAGGGATAGAAGGCATAAGATGGGTGACTGTCGGTCACATTGTACTTGTACTGATCGAATCAATGTAACTTATTAGAGGACAAAAATAATCGAGGACTGTAACAATAGCAAGAGAGCTCTTATCAAGACTTCATTTGATGGTCAAAGTTGACGTTAACATCGAGATCATGTGAATCAGCAGAACCGGGCGCACCTCCTCGATATATTACCCGACATTTTGATGTGAGGAAGTTGTGGCAGATCACAAGTACAATCAATGTACACCATGTTCTCCTCTCATGTTCGAGGATTGTACGGAGTCTACTCCAAGTATAATTTCGACTCCAACAGTGTCCCTTCCCGGAGCCTGAATATCAAGTATCAAACTCTCCGTTATCTCGTTTGGGTTGAGCCACCGGCCGGAAGGAGTCATTGTATCCATCAGCTTCACCCTCCTTCCATCTACAAACCCAGATGGAAACTGGAAGAAACCTCCCAATCCGGCCCACATCACACTATTGAACCGTCTGAGGCGGAGTTACGGTCGAGTACCCTCTTCCGGATCAACACACATCGCATCCAGTGGATGCACCAATGGTCTGGTCTTTTGTCTCATTCCGGAGGTGGTCATGCGATTGGAGATATCTGCAGTCGGCTTTGCATAGTCGGGTTACATTGCGTGAGGAAATCGTACTCTTGTTATTGATCTAAACACACCCCGACACACCATCACCCTCCATCTCGCCATACTCGCATCGCCTTCAAGGGGGCTACGATGTATTACTGACGAATAGTGAGCCGTCAGCCCCTGGTTCCTGGAACATAACCAATGATGGGTCTTTGGTGGAATTAAGGTTATTTTGGCAGTTCACATTCCAACTCCATTCACGCAAACCTAGATCGGCGGAATGATTGACGACAGGCACCGAGCACTCAAGCTAATTCCGGTCGAGATCAGCAATATAAATGAGTCAGTTGGTATCCATCGACAAACAACTACAGTATCCCGAATACATGGGAAGGCACTTAGAGCCATCTCAAAAATGCACTTCTCAAGTGTCTTAGTCACAGACGGGCTTGGCTTCCCTCTAACTGCCGGTCGTCTAGGTCCGGTCCAAGAAGTGATGCCTCACTCGAGCAGGTTTTCTCCCCCAAGATGGGATGGGATGGTTCGTATAGTTTTTGCTATCAGGCCGCTGGCAGACTCCCATCCCATCCCATCCCATCCACCACGATCAGTCTCCATTAGTCAATGATGAATAATAGTAGTCATGGGCGTTGCCGTTTACCTCACACGTCATTCTTCCAATCCCTAGTATCCAGGTCCCAGGACGTTGGGCATCCCAGGCAATGAAGCATCTGCACTCCCGAGTGGGGCTCCGGCGCCCTATATCCGGAGCATTTCAGCCGGAAGCTTTCTATCCCGCGGGTGCCGCTGCTGCTACCAAATAGTAAGCACTCTCTCTTGAAGACGGCTCAGCAAACAAGCGAGTCGGAATACGATAGCTTCATGGTTGTGCCTTTAAAAGTTTGTGTGTGGATGGCACCAACCCCCAACATACGCGGGCTTCGGGCTCACTTTCCGTCCGAGTCCCCCTCGTTTTTCGCTTGCCACTACGCCCAGACACCCATACCATCCCTCCCGCAACAGCCCATACCCAGTGACCAAGAGAGCCCATGATGGGGAGCTGTCGGCCGGGTGAATCGGCTGTACTAGGAACCGGAGCGAATGGACTAGCTCGAAATTGGCCCTGATCCGTTCGGGTGGGCAACAACACCTCACGAGCTTGCACACCTACCCTCCTTAAAATAGCACCTCGCAATATGGATTAAGTGCGCGGCCGTGCATACAGAAACCGGACTCTGCTACACCTTGAATATTATCCGCGTAGAATGGCTGGCAGTTCATAACTTGTCAAGTTCGCGAAACCACTTACATACACACAGCAGCAGTTGATCAGTGACGGTGCAGCTTAAAAAGCCAGCCAGCTCCATGGCGGTCGTGGTTCATCCATCTTTGCATCTTCTGGTCGGCTTACAAACAGTATTAGTCGGCCTCTCCTATAAACTACCCTAAGTGCATACTCGGTCTTGACCATCTCGACAACCTACACTCTACCTCTTTCTTCTTCCAAGGCAACAGCCATGGTCCGCAAGCTTCTTATCGGTGTCATTGCCCTCTTGCAAGTCACCGCTACCCAGGCGCTCCTCATCCCCGCCGACCTACCCGATGGTCTCTACACTATCCCCTTCGACTCTAACGGCGCCGCCGTCTCCGATCCCGTCCGAGTAGAAGCCCGACACTCTCGGATCATGAGGGCAAGCCTCCTCGAGAAGCGCCAGACCCAACAATGGCAGGCCAAGTGCGGCAACACGGGCCGGATCCAAATCAACGACTTCCAGGTGGCCAAGGAGAATCTTCAGAGCGAATGCGACAGGGGCGAGACTTATAGACCCAACATGGCCGTCGTCTACACTACCGGGAACTCCATCGCCTATTTCTGCAACTTTGACAGGGAGAACCGCTGCTCGAGATCAGAGTACGAGGATGCCATGCTGGGCCTCGTATCGCAGTGCGGTTCTGGGAACGGTGGTGAGGTGTACCTTGCCTCAGCCGATAAGGGATATGGGGGTGATAATAAAGGCGTCGAGATTTGTCTGTGAGGGCGCCTCGTTTGGAGATGGGCGGCATCTCTCGCCATTCCTAACAGAGAACATTGATAGCAGGAAGTAATAGGCCCTGGTTATAGGGGAAACTTTGGATATTGGGTCATAATCCGTTGTATACCATTTCGGAAAGAGGTCTCTTTTCGCATTCTAATTTGATGTATTTTGAGAATACATTTATACTCACATCTCCCTGTTCAATCCTGGCCATTTTGCGAGAAGCCTTCTCCTCTTCCCTCTGTCTCTCCCTAAAATCCTTTTACTTTAAGCTCTTCTCCTAGGGACAACCTAGGTGGCTTCTACTCCTCAAGTTATTGGCGTGTTTCTTTTACTCGAGCCGCTCTTCTCGAAGAAGAAAAGAGCACCTAGCCTACAGACGGGACGGGCAGCAGTCAGAAGCAGCTTACACATTGCGACGCGGACGCCAGGCAAGTAAGCAGGGGAAGAGCCGTCGAGATTTTCGGACGACGCTCTATTCTCCGACGGCGCTCGCTTATGATAGATACAGCCGTTTTCAAAAGCGCTCGTTGGTACAGGCCTGGAAGTCCGAGAAACCCGGTTTGTCGAACTCTGTGAAAGCTGAAGGATTTATTTAGCACGTATCCCAGGCCCATGGCTAGATATTCGAGGCCTAGATTGAATAGTTCCACTCTTGATCTCAATGATCTGTTTATTTGCCAAAAGATGGCCTGCCGAGAGAGTTGAATACAGAGAGGGTGCCTCCTCTACAAGAGTCGTGTTGATGAGTTCCGAGTGTAGGTAAGGGCAATCAATATAAGTGATTAATAGCAGCCGCAGATATGAACGTATTCCTCACCATCTCATGACATACATATCGCCACGTCACAAATACAAGACTATTGATTCACTCCCTAGAGATTGAAGAAATGCGGATATCAGATAATACCTCGTAGCTAGCATTGATTCCTCATCGACCCAAGAGGCAGAAAATGAAAGCGCGCAAGTCTGAGAGCGCCTTGGAGGTCTAACTCACCATGCGCCCGCCGCCTTCAATTCAAGTCAAGAACACTTGTTCTCCTCGATGTAATAACTAACACGGGCATTACTCGGTTTGCTCCAAGGACTACTTCTCTGCTCCTAACATAGAGGAAACTGGCTCACAGTATTCAGGATAGGGCGGAGAAGGAACGGGTCGGGCAACCCATAGTAGAAGAAGGGAGGTACCTGGAGCAGGGTCGATAGGCAGATCTATAAGGACTGGCTTGATCCAGGCTCAGGGTATAAGTTCATTACTATACAAAGGTATCCATGCTGTTTTTTTCCCCGGGACACTAAATAGGAGATCCGTCCATAGGCTGGGATAAAACCGGCTCCGGATATAGAGTCCCCATTTAGCATCACGGCACTCTCAAAACCCTTAGTTGAGATTAATAGAAATCGTAGCTCAACGGAGAGTCATGCCTTTCCTGCTTTGGTTTTGGCAATCTGAAGAGAAGACAAGAATATGAGGAATAAAGTTGAGATATTAAGGCATGAGTCGAGCAATCCACTCAGCTGACCACGAGTTGATAGTGATATTGTCCAGAGCACTCGATATAGGTCAAGACCCGGCTACACGAATATAACCAGCGACATAGTCGAGAAAATGGGAAATGGAGTCTACTCTGCTCGTCCTGTGTGTCTCCTCATTCTTGCCCTCCTCCCCGTCCGGTTGTCAACAAAGTGAGTGGCCTCCGTGCGATCGCCGCTGGGAAGACCTGTCTCGGTCCACATCTCCCTCGAACTAGACTCGCACAAAATGGCTCGTACAGCTCTTTTCTCTACTCTATTGCTTGCTCTCGGAGCTTCCGCTCAAGTTCAGAGCAAATGGGGTCAATGTAAGTGTGGCTGATGTCGGCTTCAGCAACCCCAATTGAGATGACGACTGACACCCTCCATCAAAGGCGGTGGTGAAGATTACGACGGCCCGAGAGTTTGCCCCGGGACGTATCACTGCACGGCCGGAAAGTAAGGAAGCGAAAGGAAAATCCCCGACAAAAGAAGTCTCTTCGTCAAGCTCAAGACTAACTGCCCGCTCCATATAGCCGCTGGTACTCGCAGTGCGTCCCAGTCCCGGGTAGCCCCGACGATACCGCCATCGCCAATGCCCCCGACGCCCCCCTCCAAACCACCAGTTTCCAAACCGTCGTCACCATCACCGTCATCGCGGAGGAAACAGTCGCCCCCACCGTAGTAACAACCTACATCACCTTCGTCACACCCGAGCCCACCCCGCCCCCCGTCACAGAAGCTCGCACCATCACCCTCATCCCCGACACCCCTATCGTGCCCAAGCGACGCCACGAAGAACCCGCCCAAGCCCCCCCGGCGCAGAAACGCGAACCCCTACCCGCCCCGGCTCCCGAAGAGGCCGGCACCCCGACTCCAACGCAGCTGAAAGACGGGCAGCTCTGGATCCGCGCCGTCACCGCCCCGCATTTCCACGATTACCTCCAGACCAACCCCCAAAACGAGCCCGGCACCGCCATCCTAGGACCCAAGGGATCCGCGGGACAGTATAACATTGTCGACGGCCAACTCATCAGCGGCGGCAGCGAGGAGAAACTTTACCTGCACGTCGAGAAGCCCGATGATCTCACCCAGAGGAAACTCGCTACGTGGTTTAACACGACGGAGAACGAGTTTGGAAAGTTTGAGTTTAGTGGCGATGCTGTCACTTGGTCGGCTCCGGATGTGAAGAGGGAGAATTTGGCGGCTTGGCTGGCGTGTGAGAAGAATGAGCTGTTCATTAATACTGGGGCATATGCGTATAATACGCCCGCTGGATGCAGCGACCATACAGTAAGTTTCGGACTCCCTCCTTTTTCCTTTTCGCCATTTTGTGTTTTAGAGAATTATAGAGGACTGACTTGGTGAAAGATACACTACTACAATGGCGCCACTACTGATTAGATTGAGAGACAACGGCATAACGGAGCGAAGCCTTGTGTTTCCTATCTTCGGCGTCTGGATCCTTCCTTGGCGGCGCGGAAGAATCGTAAATGACTGTAGATACTAACAAAGGAAAAGAAAAGTACATAGCCATCGTTAAATCTTATCATATCGATCAGTGTGTCAATGTTTACTATTCGTACTCGCGACAACGCCCCAGATGATGGGAATCTGGGGTCTGCAGCCCCTAAGACCCATGTCATCGTGTGCCGCCCGTCTAAGTTAAAGATAGGTAGGTTTGGCAGTTGAGGCTTCGGCTCGGATCCTTCGCTCGCCTATCTGGCCCGTCTTACAACCAAACACCGACTAAGCAGAGCTGCCAAAGTGGTACGGCTGTGGACGAGGTGCGTTTGTCGGGGCTTCTAGGAATGTCGCCCTGCTCTTCTCTCGGCCTGCGTCTGGAACTCGTCCGGTGTGGGTTTGGATCGTTGATTCTTTCGACCCTTACCCACATAGATGGCTACACATGCCGCTCGGATGATTAACGAAACGTAACATTCATACCTATATCGACATTTAGTGCCATGGCGGCATCTACCACTCCATCTACAGCCAATTCTCGGCACTCTTATATACAAAAGTACATGTACATGTACACCCCCATCTGTCGACCCGAACGAAGTTGGGTGGCCCGCTCTTACACCACACGACTTCAAGAACACCAACTACTTTCTCTTCAGCAGGCAGTGGTTACCCCACTTCCTCCGGAACTCCTCTGGCACCAACTCCGAATCGGGGACCCACAGCATCCTGGAGATGGGGTGCGTGCGCGCTGCGTCGAGGAACGGAACACACTTGACTACTTCCCAGCTCTCCTTGTCCGCGACGTAGTCCGGCTCATTAGGGGGCAGCTCGCCCTCGTGCAGGGGGTTCTGAGTGTCAACGAGGAAGTTACAAGCCCGGATATCCACGTACTTTCCAGGATCCTCCTCATTCCTGTCGTTAAGGCCGTTGGGAGGCAGCCACGTTCCGCTCCAGAAGCCAAAGCCAATATCGGCCTCCGAGAACTCTCCCGGAAGGAGGCCTCGGAACTCGGATCGGATAAACTTGGCATGCATGCCTCGAGGCAGGAAGTACGACGAAGGGAATCGATACCACTCCTTACCGAAACAGACGAGATCGCCCCTGCCGCCAATGCCTTCTTCTCCCCTTACACCGGCGCCAAGAGGCTCGTAGAGCTTCAGCGGGGCCGAATAGGCCGAGTAAATGCCATAAATGCGCGCAAGGCCAAGGGTGGCAGCGATGAGGAAAACTGCACTGACCACGAGCAGCCTAAGTTTGGCAGGAATTTTGGCCACCAAGGACTTGGGGTCTTGCGTACCGATAGTCGTCAGGAGAATGTGGATCGATATGGCTGCGTTAAGTGCGAGGAAGGGATACGCCGGATACATGAAACGTTCCTCCTTGTGGGGCTGAGAGGTGAAAATGCCCAACCATAGGTAAAATGGCATGACGAACACGAAAGTACGGAGGCCGAAAGCCGAGCCTACTTTCCGATCGGCAAGAAGCCTCTGCAAGATGAACAGAGGAAGTGCTAGAAGAGAGAGAATGAACCAGATGTTGAAGTTGAGAGTTAGGTTCTTGAAGTAAAACGTCCACGGTTCGGTTCCGTAGAGACCTGGTCCGCCCGATTTAGAAAAGATGTTGTAATTGACAATGTTCCATGGGATAATTTCGATCTTTCTATAGAAGAAGGTATTGATGAGTGTATCTCCAGCCTATGGCTAAAAGTCAGTAGGCAAATTCCAAGCGACTTTGGTCGTGGAAACGACAAAATGCAACCTACAATGAGCAATAGACAGGCAACCGCACCACGGAAGAGACGGAGGCCAGACTCGAACATTTGCTGGCCGCCACTAACTCCGGCAAACAGTACCTCTTCCAAGACGAAGGGGACCGCCAGAGCCATCGCAAAAGGCCAGCCAAGAATAGCCCCGACACCGAACCAGAAGATACCAAGCGATGTCTTAATACCTCCGCGCCAATTCATAAAGGCAGCCGATCCGACCATGATGGCATACATGGCAAAACTCGAGGGCAGGAAGGCTGTGCTCGCATGGAAATTTCCGGGGCTGAGAATAAGTACCGCAACATAGAAGATCGCAACACGGGGATTTAGCGCCAAACTGATGGCCCGGAAGAACAGAGTCTGAGAGAGAGCGCATACGAAGGCGAGGATATATCGGACGAAGTAGAACTCGGCGACCTAAAAGGCGGCAAAATCAAACCTTTACATTAGCATCCACTCCCAAAAAACATTGGAGCTCGCTACCCGGCTGGATGTGGAAAAGACGGAGAGTGGAAGTGCGCACCTTGGTGGGTCCTGGAAGTAGCCGGCGGATGTTGCCAATAATCGCATGGAGCCCTACGTATAACCAGCTTCGAATGGCGAATTCGGGCGAGTATTCCCAGGTCTGGAGGCCATATCCGTGGGAGAGATAATGTGTCGGCTCCCAGTAGTTGAATGTCTCGTCGCAATCCTGGATAGGCGCGAAGAATGCGGCGACTAGGTTCGCAACCATAAAACAATAGAAGATCTTTATGGGCTCAATGCCATATGGGCTAACCTTCCTACTCGTAGGGATTAGATGTGTCAGTTGCAGCAAGCACTCGGTGAGATGAGACAGGGTGGGGGGAGCTAGAAATTACTTCTTGCGGGCATGTCCTGCCGAGGGATGGACAAATTCCTCCCTTTGTGTTTGCTGGGAAGACATTATGATGAATTAGCCCTCAGTGTGAGGAGGGCATCGAATGGTATCTGGTCGCAAGCTCTGGTGAGGCGATGAGCTGGAATTGTTAAGTGTCTGGAACGTCTTCAACATTATTATGCATCGAAGGAATTCAGAATCTGGCCACTGAGAAAGAAGCAGCCGACGTCATGGATGGGAGCTTTATCTTATCGGTTCAGCCGATGTTTTCCCTCCCAATTTTTCCTCGATTTTTTTTCCTGTCGCTACCACCTCATCGGCCCCACCACCGCCGTTATCTTTAATTCTTCATCCATTTTTTGTAAATTGTCCAGGATTTTTTTTATCTTATTCTGAAATACCCTATGCTTGCCGTGGAATATCGGGAGCATACTGTTACGCCGTTAGTCGGTTTCATATATATTGAAATCTTCTTTCTTCATTATCGCCTGGCGCCGAACTGTCGGTCCCTCCCGTAGGAGAGATTCGCAAGTCCTGACCAGACGAAGAGGACGCGGCCTTGGCGAGCAATAGCCACTCAACATGGCTTCCTTTAACATCCCCGGGTTGGGATTCGCGACGCCGAATGACGTGTTACCCCCAATGACCTCCGACTCCACGCCTTCTCAAACTGCTCCCATCACGGACTCGGACAAGCCTGCGGAGGCTACCACCACCACCATTCCCTCAGCTACACTCGATAACAAAGAAATATCGGAACCCGAACAAGACACTCCCGATCAGCCCGAAACCCAACATGAGAACCCTACAATATCGAAAGAATCAGACGTTCCCATGTCAGAGGTCAATACAGAGGAACGACCGGAGCAACCCGCAGCGCCAACGGAAACTAGACCAACATCGATGGACCTGGATCAGCACTCTTCTAGTAACAACACACAACCTAATGGGGACAGAAAAGAAGCTCTTTTATCTAACGATCAGGGTAACGACTCACCCAGTGGTCTTGGCAATGGCGCGCCAGTGAACTCGGAAGACCCCATGAAGGTCGACGAGGTTCCTGCCAATGGTGTGTCCATTACCGATGATCTGGAGGCTGCTATTGGCGGCCTAGGTCCTTTCCCAGACCCTGTGCTAGAACAGCAGACCAATGGCGAAGGCCAAGATCAACAGGAGGAGGCGAGCGGAGAGCATCCCGAATGGGAGATTGACTCTTCGCCTTACGAGTCGTCATCAGAATCCGACAGCTCCGACTCGTCCTCTAATGAAGATTCAGATAATGAACAATTTAGAGGCCTAAGTATCGAGGAGACTGCTCGGTTATTGATGGAGGCCGAGGCGGGGTCCGACGACGAAGATAGAGGCGATAAGAGCTCCCGAGCGCAGGTTCGAACGAAGAACGAGTTGCCCGAGGAAATATTGCCCAAGCCGGATGTTACGATCACGCCGGAGATGAAGATCGAAGAGCTCGGCTCTATCGAGCATATCGTTGACACCACCATTGTCATCAAAGCATTCACTCCAGGCGAATACCAAGTCATTGACACTGGCTCGGTTCTATGTACTGAAAACCGTGCTGTAATCGGCGCCCTCGCTGACGTCCTCGGAAAGGTGCAGGAGCCATTGTATACTGTGAGGTTTGCCACCCCCGAAGATATCACAGAGGCCGGCCTTCAAGTAGGAACCAAGGTGTTCTACTCGGCAAACCACGCGAATTATGTCTTTACGCAAGCTCTGAAGAACCTCAAAGGCTCAGATGCCAGTAATTTGCACGATGAAGAAGTCGCCGAGGACGAGATGGAGTTCTCCGACGACGAAAAGGAAGCAGAGTACAAGCGACAGCTTAAGAAAAAGCGGAGAGAGAGGCAAGGCGGTGGTGACTCCAGAGGTCGCGGAGGGCAACGGGCTCCGCACCCGCTGAGGAACGAAGTCGCAAATGATGCTTCGTCAAGCGGGCTCAACTATGACGATGGTGGCGATGATGATGGTCCATATAAGCCTCTCTCCAGGCCTCCCGGATACGGGTCAGGCGGCTTTTCTGGCGAAGAACCTCCACCGGGTGCTTTTAGGGGCCGCGGTGGGCGCGGTGGCTTTAGGGGTCGGGGACAGTCCAGAGGTAGGGGCTACGGGCGTGGAAGAGGTGGATCTGGCCCTGGCTCTGGTGGTTCTAGGGAGGGCTATTCTTTGCCCTCGCAAAGGTCATATTCCCACGATCAACAACCGTTGCCTCCAAGAAACAACGGTGGATTTAACCAACGGGGAGGCTTCAACTTCCAGGTCCCGGCGGCGCAGAGTGTGGTTAGCGGAGGACAACCCACCCAAGGTGGCGGATTATCGTCGGGCGGCTATCAGGCACCTGCGTGGCCGCAGGCATTCCCAAACCCTCCTTTCCCTAACGTCCAACCGGGTGCTTGGGGTGGTCAACATGCCCCTCCTCCTGGCCTCCCTCAAAATAATGTACCTAATCCGGCCCTGCTCAACCCGGCATTACTCGCTTTGATATCGAGAATGACAGCGCAGAACCAGCAAAACCAACAACAACCTTCTTGGCAAGGTCCGCCGGATGGTCAAAACGGCTACGGATCGGGTCAGTGAGAGGGGTATTAGCAGCGGGGCGGGAATCGATGGTGGGCCTGTCACGAATTCTACTTTCTGCATGGAAAATAGAGAGGGGGCATGGGGAATTCTTGGTCTGTACTAGTATATCCGGTGCTTCCATTCAATGGTACATGGCATCTATAGTGTTTTTGAGGGAAAAACGGAAAAGTTATGATACCAGAGCTATTATTTATAGTCTCGCTTTCAATCAACCGCATTCGGAATTTGACGCTCCATCCTTCGTCTTTGCTCCTGACCCCAATGCTCTCTCGTGGAAAGAAAAGTAGACTACAGAAGACATTGACAATTGATGGAGCGTAATACAGACCTTGACATGATAAGATGAAAGTGACTGTGGCTGAGACGGATACATCCTTGCTTGACGCGAAGAGCCGACCCTTGCAGCTGATGTCCCAATTCTCCCTCCATTCTTGTCAGTCCTTCACAAAGCTCTTGTGGCATTCATTCCGCAATCGGGACCCATGGATGATGGAGCAAATACGAGGTGGGATCAGGATGCGTTCTTCGTTCTGGGATGTAATTATCCGCAAATGTCTTGTCATGACGTCTTTCTGTCGGTCCGCGGGCCAGATCATGGTGTTACATCCGTCGTGGCGGGATGTGGGGTTTGGAATTCCCTCTGAGATTAGGTCTATGATTAAGGAGCATTCCGGATCTCTTGCGTTTCCAGTAAGACAAGAGCTTGGAAGTTTTGGAATGGCGTAGCCTCTAGACTAGTAAGCCGAGACAAAATATGGCGAGGCCGGATGTGGGAGGCCTCGGATTTCGGAGATAGAAGGAGAGAATTAATCCGTATCAAGGATTGACGTCGTTGAGAGAGGATCCTTGTGTTAGGATGATAGCGCTCTTCTCTTTACCGCCACCTCCTACACATCATTCTATAAACAGGGCACTGCAGAACAACGAGCTTCTTTTTTGGGGCTACCGAGGATGCACCTTCAGGAATATGTCCTCGAAGAGATGCACTGCAACTTCCATGAAACGTCCATGGAGGGAATCAAATGCCACGTCCGATAATAGAGTTGCTCCAATCCCAGCCGACGAGGTTCAGACGCGTCAAGCGATTTCTCCACGATTTTTTTTTTTTTTCTTTTTATGAGAACTACCAGGGTAGCATATCATTTCACTTCGTCATCTGCTCTTTCGTGACCGGGGATAAAATCATGATTGATATCCATGTTCTCGACCAGGATGAGACGTCGACCTACCAAGTATGGAGTAGGCACCGAGCCTCAGTGGCTGGTACATAGAGAGGCTGGGTCTACATCCAAGGAAGACTTGGGCGCTGTCACCTTTCCCAGAAAATCGGACTGTCGGCACAGAAAAAAGCACTGCCAAGCGCTAATAAGGTCGCTGGGTTCCGCAGTCGTTCTTTCATTTCGGGAAAAGGTGGGTGCTCAAGGGAAATTTGTGGGTTGTTTCAAAATATTGGACGGCGAGATTAAGTCGACTTGGCGGGCTGGGGTGACCCGGACTGACCATTGATGAATTGACAGTGGACACTGGACAATGGACAGACACGCTGGTGACTGGACAAGTTAAGCCAGGTTTACAGAGTGACAGGCACTTGGCGGCGCTAATTTGTGTGATGGGACGGAGCCAAGAGAACACTGGAATGATTGCGTTTCCAGCGCCTGGCTGTCCTGGGCCCTCCGGGTTCTGAACTCTGGGGCTGGTCAGTCGTCGACGCGAAGAAGTACGAAGTACCCCAGTCCTCGTTCCTGGCAGGTGCTGCAGAATGAACCCATCCTGCGTGTTTGAATGCGTCGACTTGATATTCCTTGTCTGAGAAATCGGAGCTCGTGATGACCCGCTAATCCCACGTTTATTAAGGAAAGAAGCCACTATTCTTAGCTCGCTTCGTATAACGGTGCTTTAGTCTCTCGGCATACAGCACGTACTTCATAGTTTGGGGGCGAGAATCAATATTCTCGCAGGTAAACCGAGAGCTGAGGACCACAAAGTCACACCATTCTTTGGGTGAAGACGACAAATGCTACGAAGTAATCAGTCTTCTGAGAGATGTCCGGTGTCTGTCCAGTTTTCTTGCGAAAACCAAGAGAGCTTCGGAAGCAAGAGCGTTCGCTCTGAGCAACATTCCGCGTCGATCATTCTCACCAAGTCTATCTTATTGGTTCTCCGCATGTTCCTCGCATCCTTGGCCGGCCCATCCTGACCATGCCAAAGGCGGTTTGCGCAAATCCCCCATGTCGGTCAGGACCCTGCTCGTCCAATGGGAGCGTGTTGGTCCCTGAACGGGCGTTATTAGCGTACCAGACAGTGTACAGAGGTACATTACCTATCGTGTATACACATCGGTATTCGCACGGTGGACCGACGATCTGGTCTGCTTTGGGCTCAGCGCTAAGTTGACACGAGGACAGTGTGTTGGGACGAAACTCATTTGTACCTGCGCTAGGGCCAGGGGCTGGCAAGGCAAGACAACACAGGCGCATAAGTCTGGTATGGTGTACGCAGTACAAGCATCAATACCATGAGGGATAAATTGTGCATTATTAGTACTCCGTACAAATACAGAATAGGGGCGACAAAAAACCCGGTTTTGTTTGTTTCTTGTTTCCGCCTTGCTTTGTCTTGCGTTGCCGAGGGCGAACGACAAGTGTTGGTTTGTCTGTGTCCCAGAGCGAACCCCTATTGTGCTGTCGGATTGAGATTCTTACTTGGACAATTTTCGCGAGTCAATGTTCCTGGTAAGAATAGTCAAGGCCGAATGACGAGCTAGAGTCTACTCCATACGAAGGAAGATATCAATATCTTGATGACTGGATGGAGGTACCTTGCACAACTGAGTCTTTCCTGTGGAGCGATGGTCCAGGTCGAGAACCAGAGAAATATCACTGATTTGATCACACCAGCGCGAGGATCAATAACTCCCGTTATCCTTGCAGGTCCATCAGTTCATCCCGTCATGGCCTCTGATCCTTCCAAAGGAGGATGGGTGCAGGTACCAAATGTTTATGTACATTGATGCATATTCCTGAATGGGGAACAACAGCGTCTGGACGTGCTGGGAGGACATCATAACAGAAATGTACCTTGATATTTTCGGGTCCCACCAAATGAAGGAAAAAAGTCGTCGGTTGATGCCTTCATCTCGTGTCAAAGGATTCCAAGTACATTGCATTGTCGTGTAAAATTGCGCTGGGCAAAGCCAAATTTCCCTGGTATCCAGGTACCCAGGCTAGCTTCAGGTACTGCCAATACTCATACTATCACTGCCACTGCCAATCTTGCCAATCCTCACCCCAGTCTCAGTTCTCTGTACTTTGTAGAGTACCTCAGCAGAGTGACCCCAGTCATCACAGACCTCGAGATTTTCCGCTGTAACCCACTTCATCCCCCTTACAAGCAGCTTCCCTGCTCTGATCCCTCCCTGGGTTCCGCACTCCTTTACGAAGCGGTATAGCCTGGCATCTTTCAATCTCGCCCACTCAAGTCCTTCGTTGTTCTCTTTTACCCTCCTTTCACCCTCATCAAGGCACATTCCACAGTCTCTGATCTGAGCCCTTGAATTGCAACTCAACGGCTGCTCACACTCTTTCAGCGCCGCTGTTGTTACAGTTCGTCCATTCTTTTTTTATTTTTGCCATTTTTTGCAACAATATCTCCTGGGGACCTGGTGTACCATTGCCTTTAATTCTGCATTCTGAGGTGACAGGACACAACTGAACGAACGTCAATATCAAAGTCCCAGCCAGCTACCGCGTCCCTCATTCACGACATCTTCTTGTTTGGTTGCTAGGCACCCAGTTGCAAACAACTCTCAGCAAACAGCTGCTGGACTTTCCAAGTTTCTGTTTACATATCGTTTCACCACGAGCGGACCGACGACATTGCTTTTCCCGCCATACGATATCGAAACCGGGAGAGTGGGCTTGCTCATCCGCTCAATGGTCGTATAAAGGTCGATTCGACGATAGTTCACAGGACGAAGTCTAACACAAAAAACAACAAACGATTCCCGTTAACCGAGATGGATCACCTAAAGCACGTTCGACAGCGTCGACGCCTGATGGAGGCTGTCAAGCTGGCTGCCCGTCAGAAGGGCAGCGACGCGGAGGAAGAGGATACGCCTACCAAGAAAGGTGAGCAGGCCTGAACGTCGAAGGAATCCGAGATGCAGTGGCGAGATCGGCCTGAGATTCTAACAGTTTCCAGCTCCCGTTACCGTTGTCCGAACCAAGTACAGGACTCTCGCCCCAACCTTCACCGGAGAGATCGCAGGATACACTACAATCAAGCCTGGCGACTCGAAACCGACTCCTACCCCCACGCCAGACCGCGCTGAGACCACCATCGTGGACAAGGGGACACCGGCGCAGGCCCCTCCGCCGGAAGAGACCGAATCGACTCCGACCTCGCTCATTGTCGCCCCCGACGCGGACCGAGGCGTGACCACTCCGACTTCTGTTGCGACTCAGCTTCCGATCGCCACCGAGCAAAGCCAGTCCTCGTCTTCTTCTTCCTCGAACTCGAACTCGAACGATGCGAGCGCGGGAGCCAAGGCCGGCATCGCCATTGGTGTCATTGCGGGTGTTCTCGTTCTAGCTGGCCTCATCTTTTTCCTGATCAGGCGAAAGAAGAAGAAGGGCGAGCGACAGAGCTTGGAGGACGATGAGAAGCTCCACGGAGCGTTTAGTTCGGCTAACTATACCCCGACTGCCGCTGCTGCGGTTACTGCGGCCGCCGTCGCCTCGAGCCCCGTCACCCATGGAAATTACAACGAGAAGCCCGTTGCCGGTGGTGCCGCCGCTGGCGCCGCTCCCTTCAACCGTGGTCAGAACGAGCAACCCCGATCCCCTGGCGTTAGCGGTTGGGAGCGTCCGATGACGAGCCAGAGCCAAAGCTCAGCCAATCCCTTCGGTCCCCAGGCTGAACTGCCTGGTTCGATGCCTCCCAGCCCTTCGAGCGGTGCGCCCATCGCTGCGGCCGCTGTTGCTGGTGCCGCCGCCGGGGCTACAGCTGTCCGCGGAATGCAGCGCCAGACCTCGCGCAACCATGGCCATGGTCACGGTCCCAAGCCGCTCGATCTCACGCTTGGCCCGCCTGCCCCTCTCCAGGGTGTTCCTCCTTCGCCCGTTGGTACTGAATACAGCGTGAGCTCGATCTCTCCTGGCCAGCAATTCCCTGCTTCCTCCAGCGCGGCCGCTATCGCAGCTGCTGGTGGCCCCGCCGGTTCCATGGTTCATCGTGTCCAGCTCGATTTCAAGCCAACCTTGGAGGACGAGCTCGAGCTTAAGGCTGGTCAACTTGTTCGACTCCTTCATGAATATGACGATGGCTGGGTAAGTTGGATATCCCCCCCCTTTCCTACTTTTACGACACAACCTATCAAAGCCGTGATAGAAGAAAGAACCTAACAGCAATTCACAGGCTCTCTGCATTCGATTGGATAGGTCCCGTCAAGGTGTAGTCCCACGAACTTGTCTCTCGACTCGACCGGTTAAGCCTCGTGCTCCAGGTGGCCCCAACGGACAGCAGCGAATCGGACCCCCCGTCAACCCCAGCGGTCGTCCCATGACCCCTAGCGGCCGCCCGATGACGCCCCAGAATGGTAGCCCCGCTCCTCTCCAGATCCGACCTGAGTCTCCGGCCCGCCCTGGTACCCCCAGCGGCCTCAGCTACCCGCCTCAGCAACAGCAATCGTCCGGTCCCCGGTATCAGCCCATGCCTCCTAACCAGCGCCCCAATACCCCCAACAGTATGGGAGGACGAGCGAGTCCGGCTATCCCTAGGACCATGAGCCCCGCTCCTGGACCCCTCTCGGCTCCTATTCCTGCTCCAGTCGCTGCCCCCATTGCCACTCCCGTTGCCACTCCCGTTGCCGCTCCTGTTCCTGCCCCAGCTCCAGCCCCGGCCCCGGCTCCTATTCCGGCTCCAGCACCTGTTTCGGCTCCTGTTGCGGTGTCTGATAGCCCCACCCTCGCACCGGTTGCAAGCCCCTCGCCTCCAATTCTTGCGCCGATCCCAATCTCCGCTCCGCTCGCGACGATTGATGAGCCTGTTGCCGCCCCTACCACCGAATCTGCAGCCCCCGCGGCGCCCGAACCCACATCCTCGCCCGCTCCCTCCGCGAGCACTCCCGCTTCACCAATTTCTCGCCCTGGACCCAAGACGGGCTCGATAAGCCGCAAGCCCGTCCCCGGACAGGCCATGTAGAACAAGGGAATTGATGGGCAGAATGGTCGGAGGCCAAGAACCATGTGCTTTTAAACAGTACATAAGTTGGGGCATTGAATTGCTAGATGGGGATTCATAAAACAACATCATTTTATATGGGCTCGATGGGCGTTTAGAGGTGATCACACACACTGGTGACTTTTCACGGCGCACGACGGTTTTTTCTCATTTCCAGTGTTTGATTTCTGATTTTTTTTTTAACGCTCCTTTGTCTATTACTCGATTTCCCAGTTCCCTCTCCATTCTGTCACGAGCGTATCCGAGACTGTGTCTTCCCATGTCTTCCGAGGTAACTGGAAGCCGGGAGCGAATTCTTGTCTTTGGTTCGTGACAAACTTCTTCATCTACCTTTTGGTTTCCATTTTCCACATGGATTACACAGCTCCTGCAGTTGTGCCCTGAAGTTGGAGGACGGGGACTTTTCCTTTTCTTTTCTTCATCATTCCGTCCGGAGGCGAACAAAATCAACGACACACCTTCAAGCTCCGCAGTGCCTTTTTGCGGCAGCGAGACACGCATATTTTATAATGTGTATTCAGTGGAGGGAAAGTGCATTACTGCCTGGGCATGTCGATGTTGTGGCCAGGCGGTAGGACGCACCGGGATAGGACTTTTTCTTTTTTTTTCTTTTTTTTTCTTCTACTTCACCATTTCTTCTCGTGTCGAGTATGACGACGGCGGATTGACAGTTTGGATGGGTTGGTTGAAATGAGGTGGTGTGTTTTTTCTATGTAAGGATGAAGTGGTTGTGGTGTGTAGTGGAGTGTATATTCAATGTTGAGCCGAGTACATTATCTACCTTCCGTATACGTCTGTGTCCGTGTGAGTTGAACTGAGTGACTTAAGCATGTGAAGACGAATGGTAACGTTGATCGAGTTGTCCTTGGATGTTAATGGGACGAGACCAATCAACGATTTTCTGACGGGTTGACCGGGGGGTGTTGTTTAGATGCTGAGTGCAACTCAAGTCCCTTGTGCAGCCAGTCACATTAACTGAGCCGACCAAGTTCAATGGTAATTACAAACACGAAAGAGACGAAATGGACGAAGGGAACAACGAAGTATATTGGCAGAGGGGTCACCAGACACTCAAAGCATGTGTAAGGCACACAAGGCGGCGGGTGATGGAGAGATGGAAGCGCCTCACTAGGAAGCGGCTCGGGCAGGCGGAAAAGGCAGTTGATCTTGGTCACATCTCATTTGGTCTTGTGGGTGTAGGTCTAAGTTATTTAGTTCAAGGTGGCGTGCTGGGCTTCAAGACCCAAAGGGGGGTTAGGCGGAGGAAGGCTGTTTAAACTCAGGCTTCCAGACCAAGCCGCAGAGTTTAACTGGGGGAGCAGGGAAGATCTTGTTGGGTTAGGCTGGTTCCCTTTTGAAGCTGGGATCAGGTCAGACATGAAGATTCGGCCGGCTTTGGGGATGCCGTTGTGGCAATGAATCGGGGTGCATGGGAATTAGAGTTGGCAGATAAGACTGGCCGGTTATGTGGATGAAGGCTAAACCGGTTCGCTCAGCTGGAGTTCTGGATCAATGATGTGGGAGATGGCGGGGCTTGGTGCCTTCCCCCAATTTTTCAATAAAATTCAAGGTGGGGGAGAAGTGCGGGGATCGAAGAAAAAAGGAAGGAACAAATTGAAGTGAAAGCCACGGGGGAAAAAAAAAGTTGACCGAGGCAAACGAATTAAGACGCGCCTATTTCGGGACAACTCGATTTTCGAGAGCAAGATCAGCTGCAGCAACAAGAGCCGTCAATCAATGAGAACTTTTCCGGTCCGGGAGGGATGAGGGGGAAGGATTGAAGAAGATATGATGCATCGATTAAAAATATAATATTATTTTATTTTCACTGCAGCCCGTTCGAGAAAAGAAAGAAGAGAAGATCCTTCCACCGGAGACGCAAGCAGGTGCGCTTCAAACGTTGTGACATTGCCGAATGCTGCGCTGCGCTGGAATCTCGGCTTCTGTCACAAGCCGAGAACCATGGGCCACGGCAGCCAAGGCACACAGAAGGGAAGGGAAAGCACGAACCAAGCCAAGACCCAGAGTTCAGAAAGTCCAGACGATTTGAGGGAATTGATTCACTATTTTTTGGCTGCATCGAGCAATACCCCACCAAAATTTCCCGTGTTTTTGGTGCTGTTCCCCATAAATTCCCTAATCCCCACACCCTGGTCGCTCTTTGCCCCCCACTGTTCCCACGCTATTTTGCTATTTTGCCCTCTGAGCTTGAGGCTTTGGTGTGCTCGATGGTGCTTCAATGGCTGCCAAATGGTGCTACCCAAGACCCAAAAGACCAGGACACAAGGACCCCTGAAATTCCCATCTAGCCTCGGCCCAAGTCAGTGACGTAAACCCCACCACTACCAAGTACACCTCCGAGTACATCTCCGAGTACACCACAAAGTACACAGCCAAACCGCTGAAATTGTGTAGCTTGTGCAAGTTCCCGGTGGCAACTGGGGAAGTACCACCACACACACACACACATCCCCAAACCGGACCCCGGTTAAGAAGGCCCCTCGATCTTCATCACTTTCCCCCTTCCTTTCAAGTCCGATTTCCCCCAATTGGAATCTCAACTCCCTTCTCCAAATTTCTACTTTTCTTTTCAATACCATGCTTTTGCAGTTATAGTGTGCATAGATCTCGGGAACAGTGCAGTGGTCACGTGTGCCTGCGCAGTTTAATACCCCAGAAGTCTATCCTGTCAAGTATTAGTTCAAGTTAGTTCCCCAACTGGGTCCGGGTCTTGCTTACACTACTCCTGCGGGACCTGAGGAGGTTTCCCCAAGCCTTGAAAACACCTTAAAACTTTCCCCTCCCAACCTCGGAGAAAGATCTCCCTCCCCTCCTTCCTTTCCTTTCTTTCGTCCCGCTCCCCAACCCTCAACACACAACCTCTCCCGCCCTCGCCGCGAGTCCGCCCACCCCCGCGTCCCAAAATGTCCTCCTCCGCAGCTCCCAACCCGGGTGCGGCCGCCCTCGTCGCCGCCATCCCCGCCGACACGAAGCCCTCGCCCGCTGTGGCCCCCGCGACGACGACGGAAGCGCCCCGGACCGCCGCCAAGTCCGAGGCCATGGCCCAGGTGCGGTCGTTCGTGGCCGGTGGTTTCGGTGGTGTCTGCGCCGTCGTCGTCGGTCACCCTTTCGATCTCGTCAAGGTGCGCCTTCAGACGGCCGAGAGGGGCGTGTACTCGTCTGCCATTGATGTCGTGAGGAAGAGTGTTGCGAGGGAAGGTCTGAGGAGGGGATTGTATGCTGGTGTCAGTGCGCCCTTGGTCGGTGTCACTCCCATGTGTAAGTGCTCTGTCCTGTTTATGCCATTTTCAAACCTCTTTTTTTTTTCCTTGTCTTTTTTTTTCCCTTCTCCTTTTGGGGCATTTGCGCTCTCTTACCTGGGCCCGCTGGCCACTTTTCTCTTCAAAAAGAGAGAGAGAGAGATAGAGTGAGAGTGAGAGAGAAACTCCCAGCTAACACACCAAATTCAAAGTCGCCGTCTCCTTCTGGGGTTACGACCTCGGCAAGACCCTCGTCCGCAACTTCACCCCCACAACCTCCCCCAACACGCCCCTCACCATCGGCCAAATCTCCGCCGCCGGCTTCTTCTCCGCTATCCCCATGACCCTCATCACCGCCCCCTTCGAGCGCGTCAAAGTCATCCTCCAAGTCCAAGGCGAGAAGACCCTCGCCCCCGGCGAAAAGCCCAAGTACTCCGGTGCCCTCGACGTCGTCCGCCAGCTCTACCGCGAGGGCGGTCTCCGCTCCGTCTTCCGCGGCTCCGCTGCTACCCTCGCCCGTGATGGTCCCGGTTCCGCTGCTTACTTCGCTGCTTACGAGTACATCAAGCGTCGTCTGACTCCTAAGGATCCCGTCACCGGAAAGCCCCAGGGCGAGCTTTCGCTCCTCGCTATTACCTGCGCTGGTGCCGCTGCTGGTGTAGCCATGTGGGTTCCTGTCTTCCCTATCGATACCGTCAAGTCCCGCCTTCAAACTGCCGAGGGTAACGTCACTCTTGGCGGCGTTATTCGCGAGGTGTACGCCAAGGGTGGTCTCAAGGCTTTCTTCCCTGGTTTCGGTCCCGCGCTTGCTAGGGCTGTTCCTGCGAATGCGGCGACTTTCTTGGGTGTCGAGTTGGCTCACCAGGCTATGAACAAGATGTTCAATTAAAAACGCCTCGGGGAGTGTGTGGCTGGTGAGGGAAAATAGAAGAGAAGGTAGAGATGGTGGGGGGTCGATGTGGTACGTTTTGTTGTCTTGGCAGGGAACAGGGGGGGAAAAGTCTCGGAGTTGAATGTTGGACATTATATTATGACATTCGACTATTTTTTCCTTTTTTTTTTCATTCCTTTGGGGTTCTACTTTCGGGGGGCTATTTATGGGTCGTTCGTCTTTCACGTTGCGGATAGACTTGTTCAGGCATTTGTCTTTCTTTCTTTCTTCTTGTTGCGTATAGCCAGTATATCTGTTTAGTTTCACTCATGTGTCATTATATCGCATTTTCCATGCTTCAATATTTTTTTCTTTTCCTCTTTCAGTAGTCACTTCTTCCCCAATATACAGGATAGACAGTCAAGAAGAAGAAGAAGTAATCGAGAAAAAAAAAATCATCTTGGATATCCGTAGTTCTCTGAGTGGGAATGTTCATATCTGGGTATCTAATCTACTTGGTTTTCGCTCTGCATGCATCCTTCCCTGGACTTTTCATCCCCCTTCTTCGTTTTCTTTCCTTTCCCCTGCGTGTTGTATCCATCCTCCCCTCTTCTTCTGGAAACCATATTAAGGAAAATTCAAGACGTTGCAAAATTATACAGCCCCCCTTTGCCAAGGTCCCGTCTATCAGTCTCGCCTGGTTCGCCATGGGCTGAAGAATGTCCATCACCTCTCATTTACGGTCCAACGCCTTCTAGGCTCAGCCCGAGGTGCGGACCATAGACCGCCCGTTCCACCCGTCGACGTGAAGCCGAGCTGCGCAGCCATATAGTCATCCGATGCCTCGGACGCCTGTCTCGAAGGCCGCAGTGATCTACTGGGCGGTGTGTCCGGCAGAATCGCCGACGACGACAAGTCTAAATTAAGACCTCCATCCTCGGTGGCAGCAGCCGTCGACTCCTGGCCGGTGCTGGTCATATTAATCGTACGGTTCTCAAACCGCTTGTTGTCGAAATCCGGAAAGTAGTCATCTTCATCTTCGACGTCCTTGACGGGAGACCAGAGACCCAAGGACGACGTGCGAGTGTGAGCCGATATCGGCGAAGGGAAAGTCATCAAGCCACTTCCGGGTGTGAGAGGGTCGGTCGAGAGATTGGATGGCTTGGATGTCCGCCTCGTAGGACCGAAGCCGAGGGACGCGCTCGCCGAACTGCGTCGGCTTGCACTTCCGATGTGGTTGAATGAGTCTGCATATGTGAAAGGTCGAAGTATCGGCGACTCGGTCGAGGACATGGTATTAACACGTCCGCGAAACCCGCCACCCATGGAGGAAGACCTCGATGGATGATGGACTCCCAGTGTGGGCGAAGCTGGACCGGTCGGAGCCCCTCTAAGGTGGTCTGAGCTAGCGGTCATATGAAGATCGTAGGCTAGATGAACGGGAGGAGTGTTTCGCGGCGTTCCGGCCGAGCCCCCGCCGTTTTCGCTCTCGTAGTGAAGATGACTCCAACTGGGTTCAGCAATCTCATATCCGTCCGACTTGCGCACAGCCATGGTAATGGATGTCACACCGACATCCATAAGAGCGGGCTGATGGGTAATCGCACCGATCAGAGCGTTGCAACCAGCACCATGAGAAACCAAGATGACAACAGACTCTTCCTCGTACTCATCATCCTCCCCATCCTCTGGTTTCGTCGCAGCACCCGCGACATGTGTATGACCATTCGTCCCTTTTGCGCCCATGTGTCCGTTAATCATTTGCACTCTATTTTCCGCGCCCTTTTTGCCGTTGGCAGCCGAGTCCGATGAAAAGCTCCAGTTGAGCTCGGTAGGGTTGTCGCAACTACCATACCAATCAACCAGCTCCTGAAGACCTTTTCGGAATCGTTTATGCATTGCGGTCCATTCTTCGCCGTAGATCCCACCATCGCCAAAATTCAACGGCGGGCCAGTCGAGTCCCACGCATAGTCCACGGTAACACACGCATCGCGGGCATGAGCGACGTAGCCTTCCGGAATCTTGCAGTCATTGGATATAGCGTAGTGGGGGACTGGCGCGACGTATCCAACTTGTGGTATCCGCGTTTGCGGCTGTGCCGCGTCGGATAGGGCGTTAGCCAAGCTGCCTATCGTATTGAGAGGGCCCTTCACCGCATAACTATCCTCGTCTTTCTTTTGCCATAGCTGATTGTTGTTCGCCGCAGGCTTAGCTCGGAGTCCTGGGTCGGAATATCTGGTGTAGTCCTCTCGCCGCAGCAAATCAGCCTTGGCTGCGGCAAGCATTGCCGACGATGAAGGAGGCGGCGTTATGGTCTCGAAATACTCAGGCGACAGCCATTCACCGAGGAATGCATCAAGGCGGAGCACAGTTTTAGGAAACAGGCGGTGGTCGAACTTCTGGTTTCCATCCAGGTTAAGATCCACGGAGATTGGTGAAGCAACAGGAGAGGCCGTTGAACGGCGGGGTGGAGGTCGCGAAATAGAATGCACTGAGGCGGCACTGTTTGAACGCGTTTGGCGAGGGTATGGAGCCGGCGTGCCTGGGGGCTCACGTAGTCCGGCACTAATTCCAATGGCAGTCTGAATACATCGTAGGAAGGGCGAGCTGTGTAAAGCGACCTTGAAGAGGCGCCGTTTGGGTTTCCGCTTTTTCGATCCGGGAGGTGGTTCTCCTTCTGGATTTCCATTCCTTGCGGCCTCGTACTCTGCTTCGGCCTGGGTTATAATACTCGCGATTTTGCCGCCGACCGTTCTAGCCTGAAGCCATCCGCCATAGGTTAAGGGTGAATCGTAAGGAGTCGCTGAGGTGAGGACCCAGTTCTTATCAACTACGTCGAGTCGGTTGCCATGCCTAAGGTACAATGCGACGTGTCAGTGACAGCCAAATAAAACGGCAGCGAAGAAGAGTTAGTTTGAATGAAATGCATACCTTACGACAAAGATGTAAGCTGGAGGCTTCCCCATGTTATCTTGAGGATATGATGTGTGGAAAGAAAGCTGTGATGATGGGAGTGTTTGGAGAAGGGAGCTCGGGTTATAAGGTGGATACGGTGCCTGCACAGACAAGGTTACGTATCTCGGGACCCCTGTCCGTTTGACGATCCGGAAGGGGGGTGGCGGCGCGCCAGGATGCGTGGTTGAGGGTACGAAGCAGGAGGGCAGGCCGCGTTTTTCCAGTGTCAGGCCAGGAGGGCAGTAAGAGTTCGGAGGCCGAACCGGAGATGTTGAGGCGGAGCGACCTTGATATATTTGCGGCGCGGATTAATAGCGTAGGATGGAGACGGAGCCCAGCTCTCAAAAGGTCGGGGTGGGTGGGGTATGTAACGAGGACAGCTCCTCCGCTAGAACTAGTGAGGAGTAGTTTCAAAGAGAGCGATTTGACTGTGGAGCTTGCTCCAACAACGAAGTAGGTCGCGGGGAATGAGCGCCGGGGATGGAAGAGCCGTAGAGGATATCGCAACTCGGTGCTCGATTCTGATGAAAGAACAAGTGCTTGGTGGCTGGGGAGGGAGAGTATGGGCCGTACCCGTATTACACGAGGATAATGGAGAAGAAGATGTGCAGAGGTGTGCAGGTGACTTCTTGTAGTGGGCACAGCTGGCATGGAGGTCCCTGGAAGGGAAAAAAAAGGAGACCCGCTTGAAGGGTGCGGGGTGGATTAAGCCTTTGCTTGGTGCTAAAGTCCAAGGCAACTTTGGCGACTTTAGAAGGGATTGAGGCCGATTCTTCGTGAGATGAAATCGAGAAACTACCTCAAAGATGCCGAGTGAGTCAGAATGTGACGGAAAATTTGAGCTCCTACATAGAGTAGACTTTTCTCGAACACTGAATTCTTATGAGATGCGCAAAATTAGAAGATCGATTCCCGGCACTTCGCACTTTCGTACTTGCAAGTCGTTCGAGTTGAGAGATTTGATGCCAAGAGAAGCCAATCAGGGAAGCCTCAGGTTCGCCCAGACAGACTGTTGCTTTGGCATCATCACACGTGTGTCTGTGCCGTCTCGAATGACATGTGGAAACGGCCAGCCCAGGTACATAAAATGCAGGCGCAAACGAGAACCCCTACTCCATACATCCTGCCATTGATCCTGCCATGCTGTCATACGCTGGCCATACGCCATCCACCCATTTTGTATTGTACATGCAGATCTAGTTGAAGTTGATGTTGCACTGGAAAACGGCAGGTGGAGGAAAGAATGTTCTATTTCCTCGAGTCTATTAATATTCGTGGTAAATCCTCCGAAGTAGTCTGTCGAACCACTCTCTCCCAGCTAAACTCCCATCAACCGCCGCCTTCCGAAGAGCGCTTGAATGGGGAAAAGGCATTTTCCATTGAAGTCTCAAGCACAGAGAACACGATCACAGGGAAAACGTGCCGAGCATGTGATTTGAGGGGTCGAAGGATCCGTTCAATTTAGCGGCGCACATGGGCGGCGGGCTCAAGTTTAGCGTTTGTAACGGAGTACTTCGTACATTCACTTTCACGTCATTCTGTCGGACGTAGTGTACATAAGAGGGTACTTGTATACAATTTCGTTGTACTATGTAGATTAGTAGCGCAGTGTAATGGTCGGCATGAGGAAACGGGTCGTTGTGGGTTGTACAGGCGAGGGAAGCTGTGATTTAGTTTGGCAGAAGCTTCACTGCGAGCATCATCGATCGACTCGCACATACGGTATATTTCTTCCTCCAACCAGTGGACTCAATGGCACCGACAAGGATTCAGTATCCCAAGTTGCGCACCTCGGGCCGTGGGGTCATCACCAACATCGTTGCGCCCGTACTTCCTAATATTACTCCGTGAATTGAGCTCCCAAGCTCAAGAAACGGCCCATTTCTCATCACCCCTGTATTACAACTTATCGCACGCTTGGTCTCTACCAGGCAGCCGAATAAACTCGCCACGGATTGGCCGTTGCTACTGTTGAAGCTAATTCCTTTCGGAGGGACAGACCACTTCCCCCAAACCCCTGAATATCGCCATTCCAGCAACAAGAGAAGCAATGATGGGCTGGGATGGTGTGAACAGCGCCGCTGCATGTCGCACGCTGGCTTCCTCCAATCCGAAACGGGATATTAGCCCTGAACAATTTTGGTCCCTGTCGCACTGCACCTGGGCTGTAGCCTCCGAGAGGCACAGCCAGCCAGGCAAAGCCAAACGCCAAGCCGGGACCATTTTGAGACTCACTTGAGTCGATGTTTAAAATGAACAACATGAATAAGTTGAGACGATTAGTCATTACCAGCATCGATGACAAATCACAAAACATCGTTCTTCAGCCACGACCACGTTCTTGACATCATCGCCAGGACAAGGCGCATCGTAGACGGCCTCCCGATATAGTCAAATTCTGGCCGGCCGCTCGGCGCATTATCCCTTCTTTGTCTACCCTCCCCACAAGACTTCGTGCTCTTCGCAATGCGTATCTCCACGCTCGCGGCGCTGACCGCACTCCTCGCCGCCGCCCCTGGCGTTGATGCGCAGCATACAAGCAACTGGGCCGTTCTCGTCGGCACCTCGCGCTTCTGGTTCAACTACCGACATCTCTCCAATGTTCTCTCCATATATCGCACCGTGAAACGTTTAGGCATTCCCGACTCCCAAATCATTCTCATGCTTCCGGATGACATGGCCTGCAACCCTAGAAACGCCTTCCCCGGAACCGTGTATAGTAACTCCGATCGAGCCGTGGACTTGTATGGGGACAATATCGAGGTGGATTATCGTGGATACGAAGTTACCGTTGAGAATTTTATTCGCCTTTTGACCGACAGGGTCGGCGACGAGATGCCAAGGAGCAAGAGGTTATTGACCGATGATCGGAGCAACATTCTCGTCTACATGACCGGACATGGCGGCAATGAGTTCTTAAAGTTCCAAGATGCGGAGGAGATTGGTGCATATGACCTTGCGGACGCCTTTGAGCAGATGTGGGAGAAGAAGAGGTGAGAGATGTCAAGTCTACCAACGGGGTCAGAACGCGATACTCACAAGTTACCCTGCTATCTAGGTACCACGAGATTCTCTTCATGATTGATACTTGCCAAGCCAATACCATGTACAGCAAGCTCTATTCCCCAAATATTATTGCCACCGGCTCATCGGAACTCGATCAATCCTCGTACTCGCATCATGCCGATAACGATGTCGGCGTTGCCGTCATCGACCGATTCACGTACTATAACCTCGAATTCCTCGAAAATCAAGTTCAGGATATGAGCAGCAAGAAAACTGTTGGCGATCTATTTGATAGCTACGACATTAGCAAGATCCACTCCAACCCTGGCTTCCGCTACGATCTGTTCCCTGGCGGCGCGAACGCGGCCCGGAGCCGTCTAATTACCGACTTCTTCGGCAACGTACAGAGCGTCGAAGTCCAGGGCGCCACGAACAGCACTCTTGATGAGGATCTGTTGTCTTTGAGCAGGACCATTGCTGAATTACGGAGAAGGGCCGACGAGCAGGATGCCGCGGAGAAGAATATCACGGGTCCGGCACTACAGCCCGCCGTTGCGAAGCAGAACGTGAGGGTGCCGCTGGCGAAGCCCCTAACAGATGACAACTGGTGGACGAAGAAGATCTATGGTGCTACTGCTGTTGCGGGATGCGCTCTTCTTTGGGGTCTGAGTTCATATTTGGAGAGTGCGGTCTAATGGTAATTAAGACGGAGAAGGATACTTAAAAATCATGGCGGCTCCGTTTCCCGACGGACCTTTTCACGGCCAGTTCTGCCAGGGAACAATCAATTCCCCCTCTTCCGTACCTGGTTTAGATCTCTGACATCTGGAGCGTCCGCTTATGGCCATATTAAGGATGCAGAGGATCGGACGCCACGAACTCACCGAAGAGGGATGAGCAGGCAAACAGAGAAGATATGCGCATATGTATTATTAGCGAGCTAGCATTCAGCGGCGACTTTGTTTGTAGAAAATATACCCCCCAAAAAAAAAGAAGGAGTAATGACAGTCCTGACTTTCCAGCCTCAAAAGAGAAGAGCTCTCACAATGGCAGTGTTGGCAGGTGTTATCAGTTGTGGGGCCTCAAACCGACTTCATAGTTTCTCGAAGAAGGCACATCCATGATCCGTCTCTTGTTGAAAGATCGCACATCAAAACCAGGATGACGAAGTTTCGGCATTTGTTAAGTATGAGGTTTGGTATCCCCTACTCCAGTAGCGCTATACCTTTATGAAATAATGTCCAAGAGCAAAGTGAGTGATTGGCATTGCAGCCGAAATCCCCAGATGACGCAAACTGAGCTCTCAGCTCACACACCCACAGATCCCCCCTCTAATACCACTCCGTGTGGGCTCACGTCTTTCCGCAACTCATTCCCTCGCCTGGTCTTGTGATGGCGAGCTAGCGGTGGCGGGTGACGACTCCCTCCACATCTACTTACCGCATTTTCGAAATGAAGGCGTCCACGGCGACGGCTCCGACGCTGATGAAGAAGGTGAGGAGGGCGGCGCCGAACCGGCAGAGGATAAGCCATGGTTCCTGAGACTTTCGCCAATGGGTAAGCCCCAATACTCGACGGTACCTCTGAGACTCCTTATCCCCCAGGTTACGGACCCGCGGATAAATCGGAAGCTACTGGCGAAGAAGGGTGCCGTTATTCACTACAAGGAGGAAGATGACGATTTTATGGGCGCCGGTGTGGGGGTCGTGACGGGCGTCGGGTCGGCGCTTAACCAGGTGGTGAGCTTGCAGTGGTCGCCGATGGGCGTCGGTCCGAACCTTCGTCCCGTCATCACCGTCCTCCTCACCAAGGGCTATCTTCTCACGCACGGCGAAGTGCTTGATCGGAAGACCGCGCTTATGGACATTAAGGCGCGCGACTTTCGGTTTTGGAAGCTTCTTTGGGGAGTGGGAGCGACTATTCCGTTAGCGGACGCCTCGTCGCCCACGGGGTTTTCAGCCAGCGGGGACAAGATTACGGCCTTTTCTTGGAGCCAGGCGGTGGAGATTGGACGGTGTCTCTTGGCGTATAAGACGGATGGGGAGGAGCTTGTTGTCGAGGCGGTGCAGTACTTGGAGAACGTCACGGAGGAGAACACGAATAATGAGGGTGATCCTGCGTGGAAGATAGACGAAATAGTGAGGGTTGGAATTCCAGGGCCTCACGACAAACTGAGTGTAAGTCCTCCCCATCCTTGTAACCGAAGTAAGGCCATACGCATTTCTAAACGCAAGATGTAGGTTCACGATCCTGACTACACGTCGGCTGGGTCTGGCTTCTCAATAAAATGGAGTCCCTGGTCAGTCGCGGAAGACGGATCTCGGATATCAGCCATCTCGTATCTCGCTCCGCATTATGTTGGCTTCAGACGAGTGACGCTGCAGCCAGGGTGGGAACGTGGGAAGCTACCGAAACTCGAGTTGAGTGAGAACGATATCCTCGGAATATGCACACATCTATCAACAGACGCCTTCACGGAATGGGAAGACACCGTGAGTTAGGCATCTTGTGCTTCTCCGTAGCCGAACCTTAGCTAATGAGCCTTGATTCGATTCCAGGTATGGGATGCAAAAGGTACCAAAATCTGTCGTGGCGTCGTCGTGACGCCTTTTGTGCCCAAACCGTTCGAACTGGATCTTTTAGGACAAGCACCAGTAAGGCCTCAACACCATCCAGTGGCCTGCAAGAGCCTGTACCCTACTGATAGGGGTGTTGATAACCTAAACCCGATCTCAGGTAAGTCAAGGCTGTTTCATTTCTGCTCCCCGCAGACCCTGTATACTAAATGATAATGATGTTGATTAGGGCTCGTGGTGAACTTGCGATCGTCCCCTTCTACCACTCCCACTGAAAACCCAGTTCCTGCCTATGCATTAACCCGCCTTTCGGCCACCTCTACGAACACCAACTGGTTTCAATACAGGAACTCATCGTCCGATTTTGCGGTCCCGACTTGGGTCACTACGCTCCGCAAGCTTGTCAACGCTAGCCTCCCGGAGTCCACATCTCAATACCTCATCGACTCCGAATCAGATTCCGACTCCACCCACTCTCTACCCAGCTCCTTCGGAGAAGAATCAGAAGAGGAGGAAGTAAAGATCGAGATACCCGACGAAGCCACCGTCAAACCTCAGCGCGCACGAATATGGGGCCTAGCACATTCCCCAGGCGCATCTACCACCGCCGTACTTTACTCGAAACACAGCACCCTCATCCCGGACAGAGCCTGCAAATCTCGCGTAGCTTTCGATACGCCGACTCTATCGACATCCCGCCCTTCCACTCCGCAGACGCTAAACGGCAACGGTAATAACACCGCCCAAAGAACAACACCCCTTACTTCTGCCGAAGGAAGAGCTTGGGAGTGGATGTACTCCGGCGGCCCGCCTGTGCCAGGCTTCTCGTCGGAAGCGGAGCCTAAATTAGCAGGCGTGTTTAGCGAGGCCATCGAGGCGTTGGAGTGCCCCCTTTGTACTAAGCAGCTAGAGGTATCTGGCAGTGACTTTATCTGCACAGCCGGTCATATGTTTTGTGAGTTTCGTTCTCATTCCTCTTAACCTTGTTGGTTTTTCCTAACTCCTGTCTTTTTTCTCTAGCCCGGTGCGTAACGTCCGGCCTGCCCATTCTTGCGCCGGCAACCTTTAGGCTTTGCGGGTTGTGTGGACAGCCGAATATGCTCATTGAGGAACTCCTCCGCATCGCTGCCGAACACGGTCTTTCCTCGGACGTGGTCGCGTCTGTGTCCAAGGATGTGTGCAACGGTTGTGGAGGTAAATACATCGTGTAAATGGGATTTTCTGTCTTGTTCTTTTAGCCTAAAGGTCTCATGGATAGGTTGGGTCGGTATGTTTTCTTCGTACTTGAACGGCGAAGTGTGGAAGTTATTGGAGGTCCCATAGTTTCATGTGAAAGAAAGAGTAGTTATTTGATGTTTACGATAAAAAAAATAACAGGGGTTTAATGGTGTTCCTTTGTATCCTGTTTTGTTTATTTATAAATGCTACATATACATTGTATCCTGTAGTAGACGCCCCTTACAACTATGCAAATAATGCCATCACCGTCCTCATCACCCCGGAGGAACCCAAGATAACACACCCAACTGTCACGCACACTATACACAGCCTCTCCAGGCTCAATGACTTTTCGGCCCATTAATCTTCGGAGGCCCACCCGTCCTCCCAAACCCGCACCAACAAGTAGCATCCCCCTCCCTCTCCACCTGCACCACGAGATCCATACCATTCCTAAGCAAAAACTCCCTCACCCTATCTCTCACATCATCCAGCGACGACCCCTTCCCTGCCACGACGTGCACGATTCCCAACAACTTCCTCCCACCGACGCTCCCTTCAGCCTTCTCGGTCTTCTCATCGCCGGCGCTATCGCGATCGTCGAGCCAGAATTTCGGCACGGCGCATCCCGCGACCCCCCTCTGCTGACTGATGCCCGCCAGGATGTTCCGCAAGTTATACTCGACGTCATCCGGTACGCTCAGCAACAACCTCTTGGCCGAGGAGATGACGAGGGGTCGGGCCGATAGGAAGATGAGTACGGAGATGAAGACGGAGGCGGTGGGGTCCCAGCCGCCCCAGTTGGTGAAGTGGGTGAGAAGGGTGGAGACGATGACGGAGGCGCTACCGAGGGTGTCGGCGAGGACGTGGAGGTAGATGCCGTGCATATTTTCGTTATCGTGGGAGTGGCCGTGGTGGTCGTGCGAGTGGGAGTGGGAGTGGGAGCAGCCATCGGAATGGCTATGGCCGTGACTGTGTCCATGATCGTGGCCATGATGGTGGTGGCCAAAGGCGGTAATTCCGACGAGGTTCACGAGCAGACCGAGGATACTCACTACTAGTAACTCGCCGAGGCGTGTAGGTTTAGAGCCGTCCCATATCCTCTCAACGGCTTCGAAGGTGATTTCGACACTGAGCAGACTAAAAGGGAGAGTTGTGTGTCAGAATACCTTGTGAAAATCGCAAGGGAAGGGAATCCCGGTGTAAGTCACTTACATCAGGAGGACTCCATTAGCAAAACCGCTCAAGGTCTCCATCTTCCCAAGGCCATAGGGGAACCGCTGGCTTCTCGGCCATTTGCTCGCAACGGCTGCAACCAGACCAACAAGTAAAGCAACGCAGTCGAAAAACATGTGTACTGTGTCGCTGAGAAGGCCTAGAGAGTCGGTCGCAAAGCCATAAAAGGCCTGGACAACCATGAAGGACACATTGAGACTATGTAGATGCGTGAGTAGTGGGTCACGATTTATACGGGCAGAAATTGACAGCTGCAGGGAAGCTAGACATACAACATGTAATAAAATATGCGCCTTGAGTCTTTGTCGGCCAATATCGCGTGTAGGAGCGGCCATGACACGCAATGCTTTAGGAGTACTCGAGTCAATAGCGACTTCTCGGAAGAGGCTCCAGGGCTGTGGTCATGGGAATGAGAGTGGGAATGCGAATGGTGATCGTGCGAATGGTCATGGTCGTGGTCGTGGTCGTGATCGTGACCATGTGGATGGTCATGAGTGTGAGAGTGGGAGTGAGAGTGGTCGTGTCCGGAATATTCATGATGGTGCTCGTTGCATGTAGTCTCAGTATACCGAGGTAATTGGTACTTGATGGGCGTCGAGTTGGTTGCCGGCGTCATCAGAATCTTCCCACCACCGCCTTCCTCCTTCCACGACGCCGCGATGTTTATAGGTGCTGGCGGCGCCATTCGCTCCCTGGTAGCGTGCCCATTAGCAATGGACTGGAAACCGGAACTCGTGCGCCCCAGGTGCCCGCCTCCACCATCGTCCCCTTCGCGGTCCAAGGAATTGACCCGACCGGCGCGGCCATTGGGTATTATTTGGGCGTCAGGCGTGAGGTAGGACGATATCGAGCCGTGCGGGTGGAGCGTCGGAATGGAGTTTGCGCTGCCATTTGAGTGTGTGTGGGAGTGGCAATGCGAGTGATGAGGATCGTGGATATGTTGGAGCGGAGGAGCTGGGATCGAGTAGGACGAGGTCATGGTTGAGGAGGATGTCGAGCCCGGAAATATATACAGGGAGCTTCGACTCCGGGAGGGAGAGTGGGCGCGGTACCTGTCGTCTTGCTTGCTAGAGGCGGCGAAGGTTGTGCTTCTCTAGGCGTGCGACGCACTTCGGGTAGGTCTGCAGGCGGTCGTAAAAGGCCAATGGTGCTGGCCACGGACAAGGGTCATGAAGTCATATGGTGATAGCCAGAAATTGATATTGATGGTAAGATTCAAAGGCCAGCAAAGAGGAATGTCTCAGCTAAAGTGAACACGAAGGAGAGGCTGGCAGCGACATGAGGGGGCAGCAACGAAGATTGACAGTTTGCCCAGATCGTAGTGTGGCGTCCGGCGCAAGGGGGGCGCTTCTAAGGACCTAGTGAATTGTGGACTTCTACGCAATACAATGCGATCTAACAAAAGAGCAAATTGACGAGGAAAAGTGGATACGATAGGCGAAGGCTAGAGGGTACGGCGATCGGTGGTTATCATTTGGGATCTTGAGGTGTGTCCTCTACGATGGGTGATGATAATGATAACGGCGATATACTTCGTAGAGAGAGAACAGATCGCGTCGTAACTGGGATACCAGGATAGGGGAAAGACCTCGAGCAAGACGCATCACTGGCTGAAATCTGCATCCCTAGTCCGATGCGGAGTCGTACCTGTGCAGTAGGGTCCATAAATGGTAGTGTGGCGTGGACATTAGATGGAAGACTATTGGACAAATACGAAGTATTGGTTGACGGATCCGTTTTGCTCGCCCTCAGAACAACTTGAGGCTGTGAAGGCTCGGGACGAAGCCAGATGTCAGGTACCTCCTGCCCCAATTGGCAATTGGTCCCTGATCTCCACAATTGAAAAGTGCAGTTGGTGACAATTGACAAGAATACACAGGTACAAACACTGAAGTCTCTCGATTGCCTGAAGAGGTGACCGACTTCGTCGCACCTCGAACCTCGAGAGAACGATTGAAGACCTCCGAATGAAGATCAATTACCTTCGGACACAGGTGTAACATTGAAGTTTTACAACATCAACAAAAACTTCTCCGAATGTGAGGCTCAGGTTCACTGTGTCTTTTATTTGGCAATCCCGCATCGGATACCATATTAATGTTAATTACAGCTACACACCAATCGATGGCTTTGCATCTTGGCTTCCCAAGGCGGCAGGCAGTCCACTGATAATAATTAACAGAACGGCTTCCTATTGCTGGCCTTGGTCTATTCAGTCACGCACAACCAGGAATTTCGACAGAGCTGTTGAGCATACCGTCTTCAGATCCTCCTAATTCCAGCGTAGGAGCTTGAATTGATTAATCTGTTGTAGCCTCACCAACGAGCCGTGATTGACTTTGAGGGGGTCGTACAAGTCAATTTTGAACCCTTTCTCTAAGCTGGAATCGAATCTCTTCGGACGACCTGCCGAGCATTTCCATTGCTCAAGGTCCCTGGGGAGGTAATAGTCCCTTGACGCGCTTGGTTTATTAATTAGAATCATACTTGATCCGACATGCTCTCCTGTCGAGACCATTTGACTCGCCAACCTCAACTCGGACAATGCCTGATCACGACGTAGCTCCAGACGAGAGCCTATTTAGACATATCTTCGCGAAAAACCGGCCCTCTTCAGTATCAATCATTGTCCAGAACTGGGGCAAGTGCATATTCACAGCCGTTCTCTCAAGTCCCCTCAAAAGTAGTCGACATTCGTGTGTCATTCGGTTAGAGGCTCAGAATGGCACGTCAACTCTCCATTTTGCCATGGTCGCTGCTATGCAGGAGATCGCTGCCGCCTGCATCCCCGGCCTTGTCCCGAAGACTCTCCAAGTTGGTAGTGCAGTCAACGATAAAGGAAGGCCATTCCAATTTAGTACAATGGAATGAGTCAAAGGAGTCACCCTAGAGGAAGCTTGGGATCAAATGACTGGAGAGAACCGGAGAACTGTCGTAACCGCCGTTGTCGAGGCGTTGTCGAAGCTGCAGACTGCCCGACTTACCGACGCCAAAGTTCAACCGATTCTGCATAGAGTACTTGGTGAAGGAAGCAAGGAGATTCTCAAATATGGCAGTCATTGGGGGACCCGAGACCGGCTTTCTGAATGATGGGCCCTCTTTACTATCTTCCATCGAGTAGAGGTCAAAGTTGAAGAGGTCTTTCTACACCATTCAGCTGATCCCGGAACCGAAAGGACTTGTAATCGAATCTGATTTCGAAGATATTGGTTCACTCACAGTCACCGATTCTGACATGGAGCAGTGGCAGAGAGAAGCAGTCTTCTGTCATAACGATCTTACGCCTCGCAATCTAATCCCCCAGTCAAGTGAAACTCTAGGCGGAAACAAGAAATACAAGCTTGCCGCGATCATCGACTGGGAGCTTGCCAGCTTCTACCCTCCATCATACCAGCCGAGCCTACAGGGTACGTATTTAGGTACTGCTAATCGACATCTTTCGTTCTACTTGCTACTCAAAGAACGAATGAAGGACATCACTCCTCACACCCCGTCGCAGATTTCCCTCTTACGAGCTATGGAGCTTATTTTCGAGTCTCGGCAATGGATGCTTTCGGAGGGCACGAATATTCCCGAAGAGATTCAGGTATTTGCTCCGATTATCCCGGGATAAGCACCCATACGTTGGCTAGGTACGCGAGGTAGAGGGAGGATCATTTCCTGAATTCTCGCGGGACGATGCCTAGAAACTAGAGGACGATGTCGTTGCAGAAATGATTAGTAGAAGACAGGCAAAGGCTGAACCGGACTAGTTTTGCCCATGGCTACGTTTGAATCAACTCCTCAGGCTTCCACTAAAGATCTTTCAGAATGGTACGATATTGTCTATCTGAACGACATGTTGTCAAAGGAGTCCCAGTCGATGAGAACGCCTCCGGTCGTGCCGCCCTTCGTGAGAACATGAGAACAATGAGATCTTGGAGCGTCTCTGACATCACCATCGCTACCAACTGGGGGCATGGTAGTACCCTTCTTAGATAACGACGAAACTAAAGCTCGGCTCTTTTTACAACTGCTGCAAAGGTCGCCCAACATTTGCCAACCTCTTAGCATTTTTAGGTCCTCTCCAGCCAGCGTTCACATCGGTGTTGGACTTCGCTTGAGGTTCGCCAGCTAAGCGCAATTGGCGGCAGGCCAGTCGGGCCGCCAACAGTAACCTCCTCTCTTGACCGCCAGCCAAATCTGGCAGGCGCCTAAATTTAGAACTGTTGCCAAAAGGAGCAGGTGTCTGGCACCGTGAGAGGCAACTGTGACAGAAACAGCACATCATCGATGTTGTAATGGTTTAACATCAATGTGTCTTCATTAATTCGTTGAAAGCTGTTATATCCAAGTACTTATAATCAAACACACCCGCATCCATATTCTTTTTGCCGTTCCGTTGTTTCGTTGTTACGATTGGAGGCAAGCCTCGACTCCAGACCATCCCTTGAGATCGGATTTTGGGATTCTGACAGGTGGCTGAAGCTCTCAAGCTCCCATTTCAGCTTCATCTCAAGCTCTATTACCACAAAGCATCTGCCACAGCACAACACAACGAAGCAAAAAGTGAGGTTTGGCATGAGGCCACAACCTGTCGCTGCCACCGCGATACACGCGACACCCAATATTTTTATGAATGATCCCTGCCTTTGACCATGTCGAATACCCTTGCTTTCCTCTTCACCTTTGTGGCTGGCATTGTAGCCGCCCTCATCCTTATCACCTTCTCCAAGTACCTCATTGCCATTTTCCCAAAGAGGTACAAGCCTGCGCAAGATCCCAAGGATGACCATTACCAGGTCCTCGTCCTCGGTGACATTGGGCGCAGCCCCCGCATGCAATATCATGCTCTTAGCATTGTGAAGAGCGGTTCCAAGGTCGACCTCGTTGGTTACAAGGGTAAGTGGACATGAGGCCTGCACATGGGGCCTGAGATGCCCAGGCCCGCGGCTTTCTAACTCGTGTCTGTGAATTACAGAAACTGCCCGACATCCTGGTCTTGTGGGTAATCCCAATGTCGGCCTCTACCCTCTGACACCGCAGCCAGAGTGGCTCCGATGGCAGATGAGTCTGTTTATTGGCTTGCCGCTCAAGGCAGTATGGCAGTCGTACGACCTCTTTTGCACTCTCGCATATACGGCGCCCGCTGCCAAGTGGATCATTATTCAGGTTCGTTAGAAGCCTTAACATAACCTAAAAGATTGAAGACACCAGCTCACTTACATGACGCCCGCCCTGCTAGAACCCCCCTTCCATCCCGACTCTCCATGTTGCCCTCATCGTCGCCTGGCTTCGAGGTAGCAAGGTCATGGTGGACTGGCACAACTACGGCTACACCATCATGGCCGTCAACCGGAGCCCTCGCAATCCCCTGGTCAAGTTGTACAAGCGCTACGAATGTTTCTTCGGCCGTCGCGTACCCGACGTCAGCGTCACTGTTACCGAAGCCATGGCTCGCCATATGCGCGAGCCGCCCTTCTCATTGAAGATGCCGATCCTAACCCTCCACGACAGACCTGCGGCTACCTTTCAACCTATGACTTCCCAGAAAGAACGCAAAAAATTCCTCTCGGAGCTTCGCGAGACCAAGGACCATGCCGACGACATCATCGCCGGAAAGACCCGGTTGGTGGTCAGCAGCACGTCCTGGACTCCCGACGAGGACTTTGGCATCTTGCTCGAGGGCCTGATCAAGTACGCGGCAGGCGACCCATCCGACGAATCCTCCAAAGGAAAGGCGACGCCTCTCCTCGTCATCATTACCGGGAAGGGCCCCCAGAAGGCCGACTTTGAGAAAATGATGAAGAACCTGAAAGCGGGAGGACATCTCCCCAACGTCGACATCACCACCGCCTGGCTCTCCACGCGGGACTACGCTAGTCTTCTTGCGGCCGCAGATCTCGGCGTATGTCTCCACCGCTCTAGTTCGGGCGTCGATCTACCGATGAAGATTGTCGACATGTTTGGTGCCGGCTTGCCTGTTGCCGCCTACTCGGCCTATGAGAGTTTCGACGAGCTCGTTGAAGAGGGCGTGAATGGGTGCGGTTTCGAGACAGCTGAAGACTTGAGCGTCATCCTCAGGAGATTACTCTCCGGTAAAGACACCGAACTCAAGAAGTTAAAGCAAGGAGCTGTGAAGGAAGGGAGCAGGAGGTGGGATGACGAGTGGGATCCCGTTATCGGAAAGGCTCTGGGCCTGGTTACATAGAGAACGAGGAGAACCAATTTGTACTTGTAATGTATTGAGATATTCATCAATAAGTTTGTAAGGCTATGATGCCTGCGAAAGCAAACTAGGGACAACTCATAAACCAGAGGGCCAGTACCGAACGCCTCGATCCTTCCGCTCCTCACAGCTGATCTCATGCTTCGCTGACAATGACGAAAATACGTCAAGGAATATACCAAGGTGGAAGAAGAGAAAAGCTCGCAAACCTCCCCCGAGTAACATAATGTTCCAGCTGGCTATGCACACTCCGGAAGAAGAAGGAAAATTCAAAAATGACAGTACCCTCGGAGCAAATGCTGTGCATGATAAAATCCTCCCCGGCATAAGAGTTATAGTAACCCCCGCTTTCCACTCCGCCCCTCTGGCAAGCTTCCGAACTGTCAAGCCCCGGCACCTTTTTTGCATATGCCCTTTTCCTTCCTATTCAATCTTCTCCAAGACTCTCCCTAACACACTTCCTACACCTCTTCCTGAATTCTTTATGCTTGCCATCCCTCTCCTCCCTGAATAGCCTCGCCGCCTCAACGTTGGCGGGTGACTCGTCGTTTGGAGAATAGAAAAGCGAAATGACGCTGAGCAGGATTGTCTCGGGGGTCTGGACGGGACTCCAGCGCTCGGAGGCGGATTCGTAGCCGTAGAGGTCCTCGCCGGGAGGGTGCAGGATGGAGATGCAGAGCTTGCCGTCGGCGTAGATGTTGGGGTGGAAGGGGATGGGTTGTTGGAAGGTCATCGAGGGAGGGCTGAGCGGGTAGTTGCTGGGGAAGTTGAGGTGGGCTCGAAAATTGCCCCCTGTTTTTTATAATAATTTATGTCAGTAAAAATGTTAGAAAAGGGAGTTTGACCCCTTCCTGGAGGGTGTAGGGTAATGTGGAAAAAGAAAGGTGGTTGTTCAGGGGGTGGTCGGGGAGGTACTGGGCAAGAAACTCACCGCCGTAGTATTTGCAGTCGTCATTGATCATAAGCATAACCTCCCACTCAAAGATGTTGTTATCGTTGACAAGGCCGCAGGAAATTCCAGGGATGTCCTTGCTTCGTTGCATCTCCTTCAGTTGCCGGCGGAGAAGGGAAGCCGCCGCGGCGCTTGAGGAGGAGGTCATCGCGAATCCGGCTCTCGAAGCTTGGCGATATCTATGATGGAGGGGGGAGAAGGAGTCGGCGGCTATTCAACGGAGCAGGCCGAAGTTGCGTTCAGAATTCGCCAGGAGAGTGTAATGGGTGGCTCGGAGGAATGGGTGGAAGACGAAGACGCTGAAGCTGGTAGTAAGAAGACTTTAATATTTTCGACAGGAGGGTACAAGAGGGTGGCTTTGTAGAGAAAAGGTAAAATACCAAGACGTAATTATCGTGTCGAATTGTCGCTGCACGTTTGAGAAGGTGCAGCCAGAGCCGGTTTTGTACTTGGAGGTTGTCAGGCAAGACTCGGGACCCTGCTAGATTTTGACCGAGACGCAAGGGTTCCAGGCGCGGGGCAGAGTGGCGGGGTCGTTTTATGATGGCATTTTGGGGAACATCAAGGTTACAAGCACTTGTCGGTATCTTGGCGCTCGGTGAGACCTATGGAGAACCTTCAGGCTCATAGATAGTGAAGAGTCAGTTGTATGCTTATTTCTCAGGAAATTCACCCATTGGAATTCTTCACGGAAACGCACGAATAGCCCAGAAGTTGTCTGGAGAAAAAAGTCCAATTCAATTCGCTATATCTTCCTCCTTCCACTTGATTCGTTTCGATAAATGGCAACTATTCTCTTGAAATCCATTTTAACTACACCAATCCGTTGAAACAGGCCCCAGTACTCCAGAACCCTCTGACACGAGGAACAATATGAAATTCTGTTTGAGAGCATGTATTATAATCCAGGGCGTCACATTTCAAGAGCTGCCACTCCACCTTATCGGAGCTCCTTTGTCCATGGAATCGCCTATCTGGTCCGCTGGAAGCGGTTTGTGTTTCGACCCTTCTAGATGCTAGTAGCTCTCAAAAAAGGCAGCAACTATATAGCCGTCTTAACCGCGGGTCGCCCACCACTCATAGGAAACAGCCGGCCTCTTCGCATTGCGATTAGAACGCTTTCGACACCACCTTGAGAGGTTCCCCCGCTTGGCCGAATCTCGGAGCGAGTTCTGTATCCTATGAGCAGTTGGGAATGGATGCCATACAATGGCCCAGAGCGGAGTCAACGTGCTCGAGACCGCAGGCAGGCCTTTCCCTATTTTCCACTTCGGAACCCATGGCTCATTTCTTCGAAGTCCCGAACCCAGTAAACCCCATCTGCGCCATCATGTCATCCTCATCATGCTCTCCTTCTATCCGCACATCCTCGCCGTAGTCCATCTTCGCCCTAGCAGCCTGCTCTTTCTCCGCCCTCTTCTTCTCCTCCTGCTCCCTCTTCCTCTTCCGCCGCTCCTCCTGCTCTTTGATCCTCTCCTTCTCCCTCAAGGCCAGCCTATCTTCCAAGGACGTCGCCTTCTCAGATTCGAGATCCTTCCTCCTCTGTACATGCCACAATATCCTTTCCCGAACCTCCTCCACAGTAGCCCTCTGCACTTTCCCCGTATGGCCCGTCGCGATCAAATGCTGCATCGTATTCAGATGATCGATGAACTGCTTATTATCCTTAAACGTGAGATCGCACGCCTCGCAGTAGAAACCGGCTCCTCTCCCCCTCTTCCCCGTCGCCGCTCCCGCCGGAACTAGCTGCACTTTTCCCACGCGCTCGCTGACATCGAGGGCGGCTTTTCGAGCGGATATGAGCTCCTCGTTGCCCGTGGGCTGTCGGACGTATTTTTTCCCGGCGAGTCGGGCCTCGTAGCGGGCTTTGGCTTCTTCACGCTCTTTGGCCTCCTTTTCTTTTGCGCGGGCTGCATATTCTTCGGGGTCGTATTTTTTGCGGAAGTCGGTGTCGCCGGCTGGCGCGCCGTAGGCGCCGCCGTCCTTGGATGAAGACATGGTTAACTGGTGCTTTTATTCGCGGCGGGAGAACGTTTTGAGATGGGTTCTGGAGTTAAAGTTAAGGGCTGGAGGTGGGATTGCGTGTAGTATCGGGGATTTGGTGAAGGGGCGAACGTGGGAGGTCGTGGGAGCAAATGTTTGGAGAGGTTGGTGGAAAGGAGCTTGGGTTTGGCGGCTTCTGGGGGCAAGCTCTGAAGCACCAAAGTACCAGACTGTCCCTTACATTAGCACAACCCCATTGGGGTGTCCCTAGTTATTATCGCGGGGTACGTGGGGCATCCAGCATTGTCGCCAAAATTTCCTGCAACCCCGCCAGCATTGGGAGGTTGAACCTTGAACCGGACTTCATCATCGCTGGACTTGTGTAAACTCCTTGTTAATTATACTCCTGGACACCACTTCACGATGCTCTATCTTGTTGGATTAGGCCTGGGTGATGAGACTGACATCACCCTCAAGGGCCTTGAGGTGGTCAAGAAATCTGCGCGAGTCTATCTTGAAGCGTATACTAGCATCCTCCTCGTCGACAAGTCTATCTTGGTGCGTTTTCACCCATCCCGACCCAAATATACACTCATATATGAATCCTCAACATAGGCAGGCTAACAAAGTGGGCTTATCATAGTAGGAGTCTTACTATGGTCGCGAAGTCATCATCGCCGACCGCGAAATGGTCGAGTCCAGCAGCGACGAAATCCTAGAGGGCGCTGACACTGTAGACGTCGCATTCCTGGTTGTCGGAGATCCTTTCGGGTAGGTTATTCCCATTTATTCGGAGGCGGCATCTTCAGATACTCGAAGGCAGCCCCGACTTACTTGCCCCTTCTCCCCATTCAGTGCCACAACCCACACCGATCTCGTTATCCGCGCCCGCGAAAAGTCGATCCCCGTCCGCACAGTTCCCAATGCCTCCATTCTATCCGCCATCGGCGCTGCCGGACTCCAGCTCTATCACTTCGGCCAGACCGTGTCCATGGTCTTCTTCACAGACAATTGGCGCCCGGCGTCTTTCTACGACCGGATACGTGAGAACCGATCCATCGGCCTGCACACCCTCGTTCTCCTGGATATCAAGGTGAAGGAGCAGAGTCTGGAGAATATGGCGAGGGGAAGGAAGATATACGAGCCGCCGAGGTACATGACCGTCGGTCAATGCGCGCAACAAATGCTAGAGATTGAGGAGGAGAAGAAGGAGGGCGTATATGGACCAGAAAGCCTTGCTGTCGGCGCCGCGAGGGTAGGTGGCGAGACGGAGAAGTTTGTTGCGGGTACGCTCAAAGAGCTCTGTGATGCCGACGATATCCTTGGAGGGCCTCTGCATAGTCTTATACTCCTTGGAACCGGCACGCATGAGCTCGAGCACGAATATGTGCGAGAGTTTGCACTGGATAAGGAAAACTGGGATCGGATTTGGGCTGAAAACTATCAGAGCAAGAAATAATGAATATCTAGAATCAGGTACTTCTCATTCCTCTGTCCGCCGTTGTCCCGGAATTTCCCGTTTCTAATTTCAGTAGAGTTTTTCTTATTACTTGTTACATTTTTGAATTTTGTTGGTCATATCTAACTAAGAAAAGAAAAAGATCCCCGACTTGTTCATGTTCATACAGTCCAATCTAGTCCCTGACAGCTTCAATGTTCCTTTCTATCCTTAGGACGACGCAGTAGCAGTAGCACTACCGCCCGACCTCCACTGGTTCACCTCTTCCGCCGTAATCTCCCTCAACTTCGTCATATGGCCAGGCTGGCCCATCACCCCATGAACCGCCTCAGCCGCCCGAGTAAACAGACCCCCATCCGACAGCGAACACGTGGCCGTATCCATCTTGACGCGAATCATGCCCAGACGAGGATCGGAAGCGGAGCCGTCGTGCTTGCCGTCGCCGAGATCGCCGAGCCAGGTCTTCAGCACGGGGTTATAGTAGCGTTCAATCATGGCGCGGTCCTTGATGATGGAGGCAGAACCGGCGATGGAGGCCCAGTCGCCGGCAGTATTGACGAAGGAGACGTTGACGTGGGGGTCGACGGAGAGTTCTTCGACCTTGTGTGAGGCGGTGTTTGTGTAGAAGAGCAGATCGGTGCCGTTGGATTCCTTAGCCCGTCTGTATTAGTGTTTCTGTATTACCTTCATTGGGCGTTTAAGGAGGAGGACTTACAGTGGCGGACAGCTGCATGCATCGAGAGGCGAGGAGCCCGGTGTTGGAATCCCTCGTGGTGAGCATGCCGTGCTTGCACTTGTGGATGAAGTTGAGGAGGCTGTCCATCTTGACTTTGAGCGGCACATCGTTCTGGTGGACCTTGGCCGTGTAAGGGTCGGCGGGCTTGTCGCCGACCTTGGTAGGGTTAGGGTTATGTGACATAGTAGAAGTCATTTTGAATTCTTTGAAGTTTTCGAAAATCTTATAATCTTGATGGTATTTCTCTTGTTGGATATCAAGCAAGTTATCAAATTATGGGAAGCCCGGACTAGTCTTCTGATCTTTATATATCTCTCATTACCCCCATCGAGTTTTTCCTTGCGAGTCCGACTTTGGATTATCTTGAGTAGCGGGGAGTAATGATGACGTCAAACCGCCTAATGAACTACGACAACGGCCATTGTCTTCCATCAACCTGGTGACAGGATGCTACCATCATTGTTTAATATATCGATCATGATCCTCGCATATGCCGTAGATCGAGTTGCCATTGGCACGGCTTTTGACGGTTGTAGGAGTCAGATCATCCCTTTGGAATTGAAAGTGGATCACAGATGTCGTATCGGGAGCCCTCGTATGGAATTCTTTGTGTAGATCAGGTTCTAGGTGGTGGTTTGAAGGCTCTCAGTTCATATTAAGCTCGAGCCTACATGGACTCCACTGAAAAGAGATACTCCAGGAGAGGATGGTCGCCCCGCCGGATGAACATGCCTGAGAATGATACCCTGAGGAAATAGACTTTCTATGACCCCTTCCGACCACGTCTATCACACGTTCTACCCTCCATGGCAATGCCTCCTAACAATATGCTTTGGCTCCGAAGTAACTCCTCTCGCCCCCAGGGGGTATGCTGTTCTACCAGGGCAGGTCGGTCACAGCATCACAGCTTCCCAACAGCCTTGAGCGCCCTCTCCCCGTCGACGAGTACACACCAGCCCTCACGCCCCACACCGCCTTCGCCAGCAACTACCGCCTTGAAAGCAGCTGGCTCCTCCCTTGCGACGCGCAGAACCTCATCGTTGAAGCTTCCAGGCTGGAGCCAGACCGCACGTATGCCGAGCCGCTTCGCGTCGCGCAATACTTGTAGAGTGGCTGCGGGCGGAGTGACGATGGACAGGGCAGTCTCGGTAGGCGAAGGGAGAGCGGAAATGCTGGGCAGCGCGGGGAAAGGTTCGGGTCGGGAGGCGAGGGTGATGGTGGAGGCGGTGGGGTTGATGGGCGTTACGGGGAGGTCGTGGGCATGGTACCAATTGAAGACTGGAGAGGAAATAGGGGCCGTTGTTAGTACAGGTAGATTCAAATTACATAGGAGAGACTTCTGGGGGTTCGTAAATTTGTAGTCTTGCTAGAGCGAACGAAGCACAGCGTTGAGGAGAGGAATGCGACGACTTACTCTTGTTGCCGAATTTGGAGGGGTTCGAGCTTGCGCCGACAACGGCGAAGAGCGGCGAAGAAAAGAAGGCCCTCGCTGTCGCTTCGGTGGCTGCCATGATTGGGCTGATCAAGGATTTCAATTGATCCAAAACAAAATATTGGGATTATGCGAGTGCCAAAAAAAGCAAGTAGCTTTTTGACTTTTAAACTTCGCAGGGAACGCAGCGCAGCACGAGGTGTGATGGCGACGCAGCTTGTCAGCTTGTTGGAGAGCGAATCTGGGGAAAGCTGGCTCGGCACGCGGGTCGAGCAAATAGCAGAGTGGCGGGGCCTCGGTTGTGATGATGCAATCTGGAGTTTGTGGGGGGTTGCGCTGGTCTGCTGCTAGTCTCCAGACTCCAGGTCAGCTGGTGGTCTCTTGCCGCTTAGCTTTCGTTGATCGCATCAATCAATTTCATCAAAGTTGGTCCAAGTGCTCGCTCACTCAATCCCTTGATCGATGGTCTGCGAAGGGCGCGGAGGTGTCGGGAATCGGGATTACCTCCGAGGCATCGGTTGCAACTCTCCTCTCGATGCATCGCAAACGTAGAAATCGATGGGTCATTTCCGATTGATATATTTGGACTGAGCGACTGCATTTCCGAGGACAAACATTACTCACTTTCCCTGCATTTACTTGTCCATCGATCTACCAACAAATCTAAGTAGAGTTGGGTCGTTTACACATCCATTGAGCCGTCGCCATCCATTAATAATTGATATTGGAACACCAGCGATGTCTATCTTTGGGTAATAAATAAACCTATCACTATGATGACTTGTCGGATCAGTCTTCCTTGTTACTCTCACTAATACCACTGCCAGACGCACCACTTATTCGGCAGCCAGCTATGCCGCCTTTCGGCCGTCATACCCCCCGGCCCTCTTTAACAGGATTCTTTCGTTCCACGAACAAGGTCGTCAGATCCGCTCGACTCCCGATGCAGGGACGCTTCTTGACCTCGGCTGCGGCCACGGCCTCATCGCCCGGGCCCTAAGCTCCGACTTTCGTCGTGTCATCGGCCTTGACCCTAGTGCCGGCATGGTTGAGCAAGCCCGATCGATGACCACCGGGAAGGCGAGTAATGTCGAGTTCAGGCAGGGCAAGGCTGAGGAACTCGGCTTCCTAGGAGAAGGGGAAGTCGATATGGTTGTCGTGGGACAAGCAGCGCACTGGTTTAATCTGGATAAACTATGGGCAGAGCTGGGCCGGGTCGTGAAGAGGGGAGGTACGCTTGCGATATGGGGGTACAAAGACAACATCATTGTCGGACAGCCACTGGCGACTAAGATATACGACGAGTTTACCTACAGCGAGAAGGAAGTTGCACCTGGGATGGAGAGCATGAACGCCTACTGGGAAAAGCCGGGAAGGGACTTGATCCGGGCTTCATTGGACGTCGTCCGGCCGCCCCCGAGCGAATGGAAAGAGCTAGCAAGAGATACGTACGAACCGAACCGGGAGACATGTAGGGTAAGTCAAGCTGAAGCAGAGTCTGCATGGTTACAGAGGAGGATGAAGCTTGGCGAGTTTGAGGGATACGTGAGGTCGTTCAGTGCTTATAGGGGCTGGAAAGATGCTCATCCGGATGCGAAGAGCAGGGCAGAAGGAGGCTCGGACGGAGATGTTGTTGATGTCATGTTTGACCACATTCTTGACGCTGTCCCAGCGTGGAAGGAGTTGGGGCCAGAGAGATGGAGAGAGGCCGAGATAGACGCAGTCTGGGGAACGGTCTTGATTGTAGCGAGGAAACTGTGAGAGAAGGAGTGCAGCTCGGTTACTTCACACTTGCATCTAACGCAGTCCATGTAGCTATGTACAAGCCCAACTCTTTTTTATTTTCTGCTTCTCTGCGTAAATGTATTAGATCAAGGATGAAGTCTGTTTGTGGTTGAGCGCGGCGCGAGTTCTTGAAGCTGGCAGGCTGGCAGGCTGGCAGGCTGGCGCCAACTGTTCAATCAATTGAAGGCCGTTGCCCAGCGACCGTCAATTGATTGTTGACTTTCCTGTGCACCGTATGAGTGGTTGCAGGAAGTTTGCCCCACCTAACTTCTTAGTCGTCGCCCCTGATCCCCGGCAGCAGCCTGAGCTGGCTGCACTATTTTATACAGCGGGTATAATTGCAGGACTATTTGTGCCTCTCCTTGTATTATGGCTTGGATACTGCCGAATATTGGTCCTTGCTTTAGCATTAATCCTTAATATTAAGAGGGCCTTCGAGGCTTTGACTGACCCTCTTCTTCTCCTTAACATTCTCTTCTCTGGAATCTTAACAATCGTATCTTCCTCAAATCTGACTCGAAAATCGCCTTTCTGCCTTTGTCTCGCTTCCAGGTCTCATTCCAGCACACCTCCCTTACTCTAAAAGACCCTCGCACTTTATCAAAATGGTGAGTTACACTAGATCGAGCCGATTCAGCTCAACTTCAGCTGTGTTTACAGTTGGACGTCTGTTGCCCGGAACTCCCACTGTCGACGTAAACAATAATTCTAAGTGGGCGAAAATGCCCGCTTTTCGCAAATTTTAGTGCCTCTTGCGCCTTGAATCCGTCGCTCTGGGTCGCTGCTCTGTTCATAGTTTCCTGTTTTCTGCCCCCAGATCGATGTTTCTTCACCTCCAAGCCATTTGACTACGGACCGGTCCAACGTTATTTCCATACTTGGAGCCGAGCCATTCTACCACATCGTTCCACTTTACATTTTGTTCATTCGCTCAGTGATTTTCTTCTACCGTCGATTTCGCCCCTGGAACAGCCCACGCGCCGACGCGACGAGCCGAATATTTGGGGTCGATAGCAATTTTTTGCCTCGCAAGATGTCTTCTAACCAGTTCGATTCTCAGGCTTCGACCAACTACAAGGAGGCCTTCTCCCTGTTCGACAAGCGAGGCACTGGTCGTGTCCCCGTCGACAGCCTTGGTGATCTCCTCCGCGCCTGCGGTCAGAATCCCACCCTCTCTGAGATCCGCGACCTTGAGAAGAACGTTGGCGGCGAGTGTACGTGGCCCCCCCTTTTTGAATATGCACCAGCCTTCGCGCATTTTCTAGTGAGCCTTGCTGACTTGTGTATTTTTCGATGCAGTCGATTTCGAAACCTTCCAGCGAGTTCTCAACCGACCCGGTGGCTTCCGCGAGCCAGGCGAGCCCGAGGAATACTGCAGAGGCTTCCAGGTCTTCGATAAGGATATGACGGGGTTCATTGGCGTCGGTCAGCTAAAGTACATCCTTACGAACCTTGGCGAGAAGATGACCGAGGAGGAGGTCGATGAGCTTCTTAAGGCGGTCGACACGAGCTCCGGCCAGGTCAACTATACTGGTACGTATTTGCCTTCCCGCCCGGCAAAATGAAGTTGCCCCTAGATATCTTAGATGGTTGGACTAACCATCGAACGCGCACCAACAGAACTCGTAAGGACGATCCTCGCCAACTAAACGGGAGAGTTACGAAACCTACCCCGATGTATTGTTGTTTTCTCGGCATTGTTTAAGTTTGGCATGAACTCGGGCCGCAGTTAGTGTTCGCACTTAGACAGCGGGCAACACTGCAGGTCTCGAATGGGACATGATGGGTTTGATTTTGATTTCGGCATGGTTCGACCGGGACACTGGGTTGTCGGCGTTTGCCCTTGAGAGTCTGTCTTTTAATAGATTCTACTTCGTATATAACACGGCGTTTACGTTCATTGACTTTGTTGCCGTATATTTGCGCACCTCCCCTCTGCGCCTTAGACCATCAGAATGGAAGAGTTGATTTCGATGACGACACCACCCCGTCTTTCCACCATGACGAAGCCTGCATCGAAGACATATTTCTGCCCTTTTGCGTAGCTCAAAGATCTTAGTATATAGGGTTTGCTAGCCTGCTGCAAAATTGGTTTTACTCGAAGAATGCAGGATGTTCTAACCCATTGATGGATGGGTTAAGAACACGAAATACCGTATTCGCCTACTGCCGCTAGGATCCGTGACGGGAAGGCGGCAGCAGAATCAACGATCCAACACTCTAGCACTTAAATAACCTACCAGGGCGGCGGGCTTGCCATCTGCTCCATTGACGACGTAAGCCGTCTCGTCAGCTTATTCAATCTATAGCGAGTCTTCTATCCACCCTAATCGCCTACACTCTCCCTAGCGATTCATGGGACGACAAGAAGCGAGAGTGGACAACATACGACTAAACTCTGGCCGGCGTCGCTGTGCTTGTTCTACCCCCAAAGCTCCTTGAACACACCGCAACCCGGCGTTGAATATGATGGGGAACCCTAGTCAACCATTCTGGGTCGGCCTTCTGCTCACTTGTGGAATACTCTGGCCCCAGCTCGTAGTCTCCCAGCGACCCGAAGCATGCCTAGCCTGTGTACCAGACGTGCCTCGCCAAGAGCCTGCACTCGGACTACATCTAGGCCAATCCTACGGGTGAGTTCTCACGTCGGCTCTGACGGGGCGAGCAACCAACCGGTCGGGGCTAACAACATCCCTTTGAGTGCTCGTGAACTACCTAGATAATGGAACTGCATTGACCTTGGCGAAAATCCCAGGGCAACCTGGTTACCCTGAGATGATAGAGAAACTCATCATAACGAAACCATCTTGGCTTGAGGTGTTCGGGAAAGACTACGCTGACCTGCAGATGTGGTTCCGGGCACTGCGGCGTCTGCCCGGCTTTGGATCAAGCAGTGAGGCCAACACGTTAGCCAAGATGGTAGCCGACCTCCGCAAGACCGCCGAGGCGGGCTCGGGATAGAGCTTTAAAGGCTCTCCAGTGTCGGTTACTGCACCGTGGCAACGGGCCTGGGAAGGCGGAAACCATTGGGATCATGATATCAGCGAGGCTTTCTGGGCGGCCGGCCTAGACCCGTGGAATCCGTACGCGATAGCTCCGGTGTACCTCGGCGAGGCCCAGACATCACTCGCTGCCAGCGGGAGATACTTGTGTGAGCCCTATGGCTGCTATGGCTTTCAGTGGAGCTTTCCGGTGAGCAATAATATCGCGGAGTACGTTTATTACATTGGGTAAGCTTTGGCCGTTCCGAATCAACCAAGCCAGATAAACGTGTCTCCTAGGACTGACACGGGGAGATGTGCCACCGCCAATGAAGTTTCACCGACCGGTCTCTTTATACAACTTTCATACAAGGAAACTGTTTCTACAGAGGACACCGCGAGAATCCCGGAGTAATAGAACCGCACTTCGGCTTTAACCGCCTTCAACAAGCCTCCTCCCCAGAAAAATACTAGGCGAGTTTGAAGGATAGACTTCTCGCCCGCAGCGCCGATTTCGGAAAATGGTCCGAGAGACGTAGTATCACCACGAGCAAGCCTCTTGTCCTAGTAGCTGGTGAGGCAGCCAAGAATTCCGAGTTCCAACTCATCGTGAAGGCGGTGGCCGCCCAACTGCCAGCGAAGGTACGAGGCGGACAGGAGCCTACTGCGCAACGAGTCGAGGATAGCGCTGAGCTGGTGATCCTGGAAGATCCTGTGTCTGCCGCGGCTAGAGGGGTGGCACTGTGGTCGAGGATGAAGATCGAGGCGGGTTCCTATTGCGAGACAGAGGCGTGTTGCAGTGGCTATGGAGAGCCGGAGGAGGGCTACGAGGGCCCATGGGGCGAACCTCACCGAGAGCTGTAGATATTGTACGTTCAAGTACTCGTCATGGTGGCATTCCAAGTTCACTACCTTTGGGCACCGCCTCACCATTTTGTATCTGATACAGCCCCATTCAATCCCCCTCGCCTCGGCATTATGCTACTGTCTCTGACCAACGACGTTCTGTGACTATGAAGAGAGATACAGTTCGTACCTATCATTCGTTTCGAACGGTCAGGTTTCTCTTATCATGATCTACATTTCTTTTCTGGCGAAGAGCTTCGTCCATGTTTCAGAGAAGACACCGTTTTGCGTGCCGCATAATTAATTGCCAGGAACGGAGGGATGTTTGTTCTCGATGTGAAATTGGATCGGGGTCCGTGATATTATCGAGAAACAATATCTCAGGCCACGTTCTTTCAGTGGTGGAGTATTAATTGTTTGTCCGAAGTAAAATGGTCGGATGCGATGAGGGCGCGGGGCGAGTCCAAGTCAATAAATCCGGCCAGATCCAATTTGCTTCATTCGCCTCGCCTAGCAAAAGTTCTTTCGTCATATCTGCCTTTGCGCTTGCCAACGTAGCTGCCACTTTCTGCTTCTGTTTCAGTGCCACCTGCCGCATCCGCCTTCTGCCACTTTCAGTACCTTTTGCAACTTCTGCAGGTGCCATCGAATCATCTCCATAACCCACCGTAACTGAACCGCAGCTCAACCACAGCTCGATAGACTAATTTGCTCCCCTCCCTCAACTCTGCGTTCTCACCCCTCCTCTTGTTAAACCCCCCTCTTCCCCGCAATTGAAGCCCTGCCTGCTGTGGTCGTACCTAGGCAGCCCCGTTCTGGCCCAATCCCCAAGTTCCCACTCAGCTATTCCGACTAGCCCGTCATCAACCTGGCGCCAGCGACCAAGCTCAGGTCCCTCCTCCTCCCCTCCCTCCTCCTCTTCGCCATCATAGCCGTCATCCTGGCTACCCCACGCGCCCTCCCCCGTCTCAACTCCATATTCCTCCAACTACGGTTGCGGCCTAGTTCGAGCTCGGCGTCTGCCATTGCCACGATCACCAAAAGCCAACGTCCACTCTACACTGCTGCTGTCATGGCTCCCGACAAGTATCGAAAGCCACCTCAGGCCCCGCCGCTCTTCACCGGCACCAAGGAGTCCATTGTCGCCGATGCGAAGAGCCTGTGCGATTCGACCCGATCTCTCCTCGACAAGATCGTCGCCGATGAATCTGCCGACAAGGGAACCTTCACGAGCGTGCTCCTGCCCCAGCTGCTGGATGAGAACGAGGTCGGCTTGACGGCTCGCATTCTTGGCTTCTACCAATATGTCTCCGCAAACGAGGCCCTCCGTGGTGCTTCGACCGAGGCCGAGAAGGTTTTGGACGAGTTCAGCATCGAGTGCAACATGCGAGAGGATGTCTTCAAGCTCGTGGAGGGTGTATACAACAGGAAGGAGTCGGCGACTGATATTGATCCCGAGAGCTTGCACTTGTTGGAGAAAGAATACAAGAGCTATATCAAGAATGGTCTGGGCTTGCCAACCGGCCCGAAACGGGACCGGTTCAAGGAAATCAAGAAGCGACTTAGCCAGATCTCGATTGAGTTCCAGCAGAACCTGAACGAGGAGAATGGTGGCATTTGGTTCACTCGCGAGCAGCTTGAGGGCGTCCCCGAAGATGTTCTCAACACTCTCGAGAAGGGCGAGGGCGAGAACGAGGGAAAGCTGAGGCTGACCTTCAAGTACCCCGACCTTTTCCCTACTCTCAAGTTTGCCCTCAACCCTGAAACCAGGCGTGAGGTCTTTACGCAAAGCGAGAACAGGGTATGTCGTTGAGCGCATTCTATCCCCAATCCTGCAATTCTTCTAGTGTATCCTGTGTCTGACTCCTCATATCTTGGTTTAGGTCAACAAGAATGCCCCTCTCTTCCAGGAGGCCATTGAGCTTCGAGATGAGGCCGCACGCCTTCTCGGCTACCCTGATCATGCTACTCTTAGGATTGAGGACAAGATGTCCAAGACTCCTCAGATCGTCAACGAGTTCCTTGGCGGCCTGCGCACACGCCTTGCTCCTGGTGGCAAGAAGGAGATCGAGCACCTGCTGGAGCTCAAGAAGGCCGATTCCGAGGCCCGCGGTATTCCATTCGACGGGAAGTACTATCTCTGGGACCACCGTTTCTACGACCGCCTTATGATTGAGAAGGAGTACAGCATCGACGAGATCCAGATTGCCAACTACTTCCCTCTGCAGTCCACTGTGACTGGCATGCTCAAGATCTTTGAAGATTTGCTCGGCTTTGTTTTCGTTGAGGTCGGACCTGAGGAGAGGGCCCAGATTAGCCCAACGGGCAAGGCTGAGGATATTGTGTGGCATGAAGATGTCATCCTCTTTAGCGTCTGGGACGATGCTGGAGAGGGAGATGGTTTCGTCGGCTACCTCTACCTGGATCTTCACCCCAGGAAGGGCAAGTACGGACACGCTGCTAACTTTAACATGCAGCCTGGCTTCTTGAAGAAGGATGGATCCCGACGCTACCCCGCCACTGCCCTCGTCTGCAACTTTAGCAAGCCATCAGGCTCTAAGCCTTCTCTCCTCAAGCATGATGAGGTCGTCACTCTCTTCCACGAGTTAGGCCACGGCATTCACGACCTCGCTGGCCGTACGAGGTTCGCTCGTTTCCACGGAACAAGCACCGTCCGGGACTTCGTCGAGGCGCCTTCGCAAATGCTTGAGAACTGGTGCTGGACGCCGAGCGTCCTCAAGTCGCTCTCCAACCACTGGGAGACAAAGGAGAAGATTCCCGACGATCTCGTTGAGAAGCTGATCGCTACTAAGCATGTTAACGGTGCCCTCTTCAACCTCCGCCAGCTTCATTTCGGTATCTTTGATATGACTGTTCATACGCCCAAGTCCCACGATGAGTTGAAGACTCTCAACATCCCCAAGCTTTATAATGAACTGAGGGCCGATATCTCTCTCATCAAGGGCCCAGAGGAGCTCGGCGCCGGCTTGTAAGTGTGCTTCCATACACCTCCTTGACTTCTTACAGCTATTTACGAATGAATGACTAACCCTTGCTTGTAGTGATTGGGGTAACGGACAGGCTACTTTCGGGCACCTTATCGGCGGTTACGACGCTGGCTATTACGGCTACCTCTCTTCTGAGGTATACTCGGCCGACATGTTCCATTCAGTCTTCAAGAAGAACCCCATGGATGGCACTGAGGGCAGGCGCTATCGCCACACAGTTCTCGAGAAGGGAGGAAGCCAAGATGAGATGAAGACTCTCGAGCAGTTCCTCGGACGCAAGCCAAGCTCGGAGGCTTTCTATGAGGAACTTGGAATCTCCCAGAATTGAGAGGGGGATTATATGGGGAGATGATGCGAAACCTCCATTCTTATCAGTCACAGTATACTTTGTAATACGGATGGCTGTTAGGATTTCATGTTATTATCCCTCTGTATTCTCAATATTATTACCTTGAAGATGACTGGCAACTGCTTCGTACGAAGTAGTGTTGTTTGCCCCCCATTCAAGTGCTGTTACGGTACAAAGGTACAAAGGTACAAAGGTACAAAGGTACAAAGGTACGGGCAAGACTCTGGTCTGGTCCTTTGCTGTTGTGGGGTTTGGTGGGGCGAAGCCATTGCAGCAATTGAACTGTGTCGCACCCGGAACCGAGAATATTCCGAATGTAAACAAACGCGGTGCTATGAACCAATTGGCTGACAGAGCCGCCAACAACATCCAAATCATAGCACAGATTCATTATTACCATCTCAGAGCTTCAATTAACTGTCCTGCCTCTCTCCAAACACACCTGTCAAATCTGGGATGCCTTTTCCTTCTTTCCCAAACCGTTCGTTATTTCCATTCTTTTTTTGACCAGGCTATTGGGTTTACTCTTCTTGTCTGTGATATTAACCCCTCAGACCTCCGAAACGAATCGATATCGCGCCGACGACGCGACCCTTTGTAAAACTCGACCACAACACTAGGACCGACCAAATATCACGACGGTGAAACACTCGACTGCTCTCTTTCACGCTCTCTTCGCAGAGCGCGGTTGAAAAATGGAGTCTACCGATGACTTCGTCACCCATGAGGCCCGTGTGGCATCCTTTAAAGTGGTCCAGAAGAAAAGAGCTTCAACGACTGGATCGAGGACCACCAAGACGATCAAGTGGCCGCATCCTCACATATCTTCCGAATCGGTGAGTAGTCGACTATTCCCTACGAAACACCCCCAACAGATACCACCCGGGGTGTGCTGGATTGTCTTCCCGTGACCGTACGAGTGCTGACAACGTGGTTGTGAAACACAACAGCTCGCGAAAGCCGGATGGATCTACCAGCCTCACCCAGAGCACCCCGACCAAGTAATATGCTTTCTTTGCCGCAAGGGACTCGATGGGTGGGAGAGGGGCGACGATCCTTTACTAGAGCATCTTCGACATTCACCCAATTGCGGATGGGCCGTCCTAGCCGCGATCGAAGCCGAGATTCCCGAGTATCTCGCCGAAGACCCGAAGAGTAAGCGCATGGTCGATGCGAGGAGAGTCACTTTTATTGGGAAGTGGCCTCATGAGGGAAAGAAGGGGTGGAAGTGCAAGACGAAGCAGGTAAGTGGCGATTGTTGAGCAAGTCAGTCCTGATACGGTGGTTCGCTAATGTGATGGTCCCGACAGCTTGCCGAAGCTGGATGGAAGTACACACCGACCCCAGAATCTGACGATATGGCGACATGTGCATACTGTCAATTGATGTTGGACGGATGGGAACCCGGTGATAAGCCATTGTATGTAATTACCTTTATGTTGGGCATCAGCATACAGAGCACGACTAATGTCGCCCAGGGACGAGCATTTCAACCGATCGCCCGAGTGTCTCTTCTTCAATTTTGTCGATCCTAACCCCGCCCCTACCAAGAAGACCGCTCGGGGACGAACGGCCCGAGCCTCCAAGACATCGAGGGCATCGGTTCAGTCTACCGGCATGGGAACCTTCATAACCGACGCCCCGTCCACACTAGATATGCCTGCGGAAATCGAAGACAGCGTCATGACCACGGCGTCGAAGCGCGGCCGGACTAAGAAAGCGGCCACTGCGACGAAGGGCACTAGGAAGACCCGAGCGAAGAAAGAGGAGTCTGTCGAGGTCGAGGAGACTGAAGTTACTATGGATGAAGAGGTACCGCCGCCTCCTGTACCTGCTCCTGCTCCTAAGACACGGAAAAGTCGGAAGCCCGCGAATACTTCCGTCGATGATTCGGAAGTGACCATTGGGGAAGACGAGCCAGTTGTCGCACCGAAGCCGAGAAGAGGGAGGAAGCGAGCTAGCGAGGCGATCGAGGATTCTGTCCTTACTGCCAAGGAAGCTCCTCCCGCGAAGAGACGGACTACCCGAGCTAAGGCAGCTGTGAACGACATGGTTGCGCAACAGGACCCCGACGTAACGGATGCGGAGGCTCCCGCAGCTAAAAAGCCCGCCGCTCGCAAGCGGGGTCGCGCGTCCAACACGAAGACTACCACGCGAAAAGTGTCTGACACGTCGCTTCGGTCCACCGCATCCACCGCATCTCTCCGCTCCGAGGCAGAGGGGATCCCCGATGACGACGAAATCGAGCGCCAACTAATGGCTGACCTTGAGAGGCCACTTTCGGACGACGAAGACGTAGCGATGGATTCTGACTCGGAGAGGAGACGGAATGCCAACCGCACGACCACCAAGAGGAGGACGGTCAAGGCTGTCAAGGAGGAGAAACCCCACGTTGACGAGCAGGGTGACTACGCCATGTTTGATCCGGCTCCGGTGGTTCCTGATGAGGCGGAGGTGGAGGCTGAGCTGGATCGACTGGAGGCCGAGGCGAGGACCGTGGTCAAAGCCCCTGAACCTCCTGAGCCCGAACTTGAGAAATTGGAGGTGCCTAAGAAGGGTAGAAAGGCTGCTGGCACAAGGAAGGCGTCGAGGACAACGAAGAAGACCAAGCCGGCGCCCGTTCCGGAACCGGCTCCGCAAACTGCTTACGAGCCGGAGCCGGAACCGCAGCTAGAACCTGACGTCCAACCCGCACCCGACCCGGTTGGAGAGCATGAACTAGAGCCCAAGCCGATTGCTGAACCCGAACCGGAGCCTGAACCAGAGTTTGTGGACGCGCCTGATGCGCACCTAGAAGCCCCAGGTGAGACTTCGATATACGAGGACGCGGCCGAGCCTGAAGTTGCCCAACCGTTGGCCCATGACGCCCGTACCGTCGTCAAAGACGATGCACCAGAAGAGGTCGAAGAGGAGAAGCCTGCTCCTGCGAAGAGAGGTCGCGGAAGGCCTCCTAAGAAGAGAGCTTCCCGCGGCCGATCATCTGCCGCATCTGTTAAGCAGCGCATATCCGCTGTGGCGCCACCACCACCTGCCCCGGAGCCTGAAGAGGAGATTCATCAGTCAATCGAACTCTCGCGGCATGAGATTGTTGATGCTTCCCCTGCTAAGCCCAAGGAGAGGCGGCAACAGTCCGAGGATTTAGTCGACTCGGAACCCGAACTCGTAGTCGTTCCAGCCAACGATTCGGAGCCCACTTCGCCGACTGTGCGTCCTCTGCCACAAATTCCTCCATCCGCCGCTCACGTCGCTCAAGACGCTCCCTCCACCCCTGGTTCCCGCGTTTCTCCCGCGGTATCGACCCGAAACGGCGTCCTCTCCCCATCACAATCCCCGCAGTCATCGGACGCCGAGAACCACCCTCCTTCGTCGAAGCCGACCGCCAGCTCACGGGCTAAGCGAACGGTGCTGGCACCCATGCTCGCAGCGGCCAGGAGCACGCCTAACAGGATCCTCAACTCGCCCACGAAGCGGACGGTGGTGTCTTCGCTGCAATCGATGACGGCCTGGACGAACGTCGACCTCGATCTCATCCTCGGCTCGCCCGACAAGAAGGACGACAAGGAGAACTCGGTTGACAGGTTATTGAGGAAGGGGGCGGAGCTGACGAGCCCCGAGAAGAAGATGACTGTGGAGGAGTGGATCCATCATAATGCGGAGAAGGCGGAGGAGGAGCTGAAGACGAAGTGTGAGAAGTTGGTAGGGAAGTTTGAGGGGGAGGGGATGAGGGCGATGAGGGTCCTCGAGGGGTTGATTGTTGAGCAAGATTGTATTTTGCTTGTTAGGAATTGGAAAGGGAACTTGGGAAGGGTTGGGGATGATGTCTGGAAATGAAGGATTAATGATTTCGGGAGAGAGGTTGGGGCAGGGTTCAGACGGTTTGGGTTTAGGCATTGAGACTCGGCGTTTGTTTACATTCGGTTTTTGGTAATGAATGAGTGCATCATGAACAATTTCACCTGGACCTAGGCCTCTAATTCATGCTGTGTCAATATCCCTCCTTGTCCTTACTCCCTATCGTCCTTGGCTGTCCTTCAGGAAGAGCAGGCCGAATAGTACCGCATCCACAGTTTGAATTCAGGGAAACAGTATCAACTCCGTCACGAAGCTCCACATCACTCGTTTCTGAACGGAATAACTTTCAAGTATTTGTACTCTTCAAAGAGCGGACGACTGTTGAGTCTCAATCTCTGATTCCACCTTGCTCACCTTTTCCCACCGAACATTACCACCAGAGGCTAATATCATATCATCCTCTCCATTCCAAGTCCTGCTTCCAAAGTTCTGTTCGTCCTCCATACTAGTATTCTCGTTAAATCGTTACAAGGCCAAAGCCGACGGAAATGTCCGCGCTCTCCAAATCCACCGAGTCCAACAAATCTTTCTTTTCTCGTCGCTCGCAGAAGCCCAAGGTCTAATTCTTAACAAAGGAGCCCTGCATTAAAGACAAAGGAAATAATAATAAAAAAAAAAGAGTGGTTAAAAAGATGAACAAGAATCGAAGTCTCCACGCTCCTCAAGTTTTTGTCACTGTTCTCCTCCGAGCGATTTGGTACTTCAATCGTCGTACTCGAAGAAGCTCTCGTTTCGCCTCAACATGCTCAGGTCTACAAGACCCATGACGCGCCCATCCCACCTCCGAACTCGGTCGCCCCACACCCACCAGACCGCGCCGGCGCCGAGAGCAACGAGCACCTGGGCGCAGGACAAACCGACGGCGTGTCTCGCCAGCTCTCCCCTGTCGGCAGCGACGGCCGAAGGCACGGCTTGGACGAGGATGCCCGCGAAGAGCGTGCGGAGACAGGAGACGCCGGTGGACATGTCGGCGACGTTGCGCAGGCAGGAATAAAGATTGGAAGAGGTGAATTGGGACGAGTTGAAGATGAGAGGGGAGACGGTGGCGTCGAGAGCTGTGAAGCCAGCGGCGAGGAGGGCAAGAAGGAAGGCGAGGAGCGGGTAGTTGAAAGCGGAGACGGTGTTGAGGAGATTTGGGGTGGTGGCGAGGCCGAAGGAGAGGAGGCCGGACATGAAGAAGGCGGTTCCGGCGATGAGGGTGACGAAGTGCTTTTCCTTGTCGAACCTGGCCTGGTAGGGCTTGTAGTAGGCGACGAGGGAGACGAGGATGGTCATGATCATGAAGGGACCGCCCATGAGGCTGCTGATGCTGTCCTCTCTGAGAGCGAAGGGCTCTGTAGTGAAGAGGAGCGAGAGGGTCTCGGAAACGGCCCAGAGGGAGCCGTAGGGCAAGAATGTAACGACGAAGAGGAGGAGAGTCGTAGGGGCGGCGAAAGCGCGAGGAGCCTGCAAAAGCACGTGAGTCTCCAGGTTGCCCTTGTAGGAGACGGGTGGAATGGTCTTGAGGTAGTCGAAGACATCTTGCTTGGTGATCTTGAGGGGTCCCTTGGGGATGAGAGGCCGGCGGAATTGGCTCATGGCGGTGCCGGGAGTCTGAAGCGAAACACTCCAGATATGGTCGAAAGTGGTCTCGGCGGTGCCGAAGACGAGAAGAGGCACGGCGACGGCGAAGAATGAGTTGATAATTTCGAATTGAAGGGTAAAGCGACCCGCGTTGCGGGAGGCGAGGCCGCCGAAGAGGGGAGCACCCCAGGTTACGGCGACGGTGACGATGTTGTAAATGGCGATTCTGATCCCGCGCTCATGTTCCTATGGAACGGGTTAATTGGTTTTTCCTTACTGTTTCCCCCCCTCATCTCTGCAGATGACGACTTACAAAAAAGGTGTCGTAAATAGATCCGAGCACCAGCGTGTCAAAGGCACCCCAGCCAAGGCCTTGAAAGACTCGCGCAGCCATGCACTGCCGGTAGCTGTCCAGAGTCCTCATGTTCCACATCGATCCGATGAACACCAGTGTCATCGAAACCAGGTACACTGGGCGCTTTCCCCACACCTTGGCGGCGGTGACGCTGGCCAGCCCGGAAAATGCCGACACTATGAGAGGAACGGCCGTGAGAGCGGCTACTGATGAGTACGAAACATTGTATCTCCTCGCCATAACGTTGTTGACACTGATGAAGATGGTCTTCATGGCCGATACGAGAGCGACGAAGACTATCAAGGAAGCAAAATTGAGTTCTTTCCTCCATTGCGGCCAGTTCTGTGAGAAAACAAAGAAAATTAAGTTAGCAAATTGTTCCGGCCAGGTCGCTCGTGTAAGCCGTCGACTACCCTCCCCCCCTTTAAAACAGAACCCGCCATCTCATCGAAAGCGACAGTCTTGAGCAACATTGCTTCTTCCTAGATAGCCCCGGCCCCTCCCACTATCTCCAGCCCCTCCGGCCAATACGCCAATTCTACTGGTGCACACATACCAATGGGTCCTCTGGATCATCGCTGGGCTGTGGTGACAGCTCGGTTCCTGCGAACCTGCCCCACTTCGCATACTTTATCGTCCTTTGTGAAGTAGATACTGTTGTCGAATACGAGAGCCTTTTCGTAGATGCCGTACTCGGTCTATACCCCTCATCCTTCGGCGGTGGCGGCGGCGGAGGGAGTGAGACGCCGCGAAAGGCCGTGAAGGGCGGTATCGCTAAGTTCGGGGCGGCCCCAGCCGCCTCTAGATCTTTGTCCATTTGATGAGAGAATGTAGTCGTATTGGACTTTAAGGCGTTGATGTCATAAGGAGAGTCGGCTGTATGTCCTGTTTGTGAAAGCGTTGTTGGTATAAAGTGAGCGTCGTGAGACTCGATTGTCTGTTGTCGTGAGAAAAGGCAGATGCAGCTGAAGCAAATCTTCTAGATCGCGATACCAGCAGCTGCGTTCTTCTGCATATCCTCTGAAGATGAAGGAAGGAAAGAGAGTTCGTCGATGCGCTTTGACTCGGGCGGGAGAAAGAGGGAATGGAAAGAGGAGAGTAGAAGAGGAGGACAGGACGAGGGAGGGACGGGGAACAGGGAAGGAGGTAGTTCATAGGGCGGGCAGGGAAAGGATGGGTTGGGAACGACTGAAGATGTCATCGCAGCTGAGGTGCGCAGTGACATGGGCTCAAGGGGGCAATGCGGTGGACGATCGAGGTACCGCCCATTCCACTGCTCGACAAGTGCCTGCATGGGATGAGGCGGCGCATTGTGGACCTCTTAGACGAGAAACCCACAGACATGCAAGTCGTAGACTTTGCCCATGCACGTCCACCCATGTAAGAGGTGTGAAGTAACCTTGTGTGTGTACCTCTCCGTCGTCGGTCTTTGTGGCAAACTCAACTTCACTGCATCCACTATACTTGCCGAGTCCTATTATCTCTCTTCTCCCACTGGGACTGAGATCTGGTCGACGTGAACCGATTACGGTGTGGCACGGTACCTGCATTTCCAGGTTTGTATGAGGATCGGATGTCCATTGAGAAACGGACCGGGCAAGAAAGCAGTCACAGTGTGATCATGGTGAAAATCCCCCTTCCAAGGTTTCGTGGACGACGATCCTGACCGTGTCTACGAGGTAAGCTCTTATGAAAGCAGCAGCTGAAGATGGTGGGCCGAGAAGAATTCTTCGACTGTACCCTTGTGAACATCACGAGCTACGGTATCAGCGTACCTGGATCGACTCTTCACTGCTTTCATGCAAAGTCATCGACCAGAAAAAACATCTAGTGAGGTGAGAAACAGGGGGCAGATCCAGATGGACCAATGAGAATTGGAAAGTTCCTGAGGTCAGCCATGGGAAGCAAAAGGCCTTCACATCGCCCGGCTGCGAACTCTCGGGACTATGGAATACGGATTTCTGGGTCCTGCCAGCAAAGCTTGCGTTGGACATTCGACTAAAAGACGCCGACTCTCCACTTCCCTGCGCTGGCGCCTTGGACAAAGACCTGGGTAGACACTGTGGAGCAGAAATACGAGAGTCGAAGGTCCCGTCCGGTGTCTGGGGTGGGTTGCATTTATTGAGTGCCGGAACATTGTGCCATGTCATGCCTGGATCTGGGTGCTTTGACCCTGGCTAGTGTCAACGAAAGCCGCTTTTATCGAGAGGCTGAAACTGACTTGACGCGGGGTGGTCGTGCATCTCAGGAACGGGACCTAATCCCACCCTGGTAAAGCTTGAGGCTGGGTCTTGGCACCCATGGTAACGAGGGTAGTGAGAGGGCGGAGAGAAAGACTGTTTCTGCGATCGTTGTTCTTCTTGTGCAATTTGTTGGCTGGATGAAGTGAGATCGAAGATTATGTGTTTATCCGGATTAGAAACAGCGGAACTTGAAAGATGTACGAAGGAAGCGAGGTCGAATATGGGAAATCATTGAAACTTTATTGAGAATCGGTTGATGTGAGATTCTCGAGGACAAACGCAAAATGTTTGTGTGTGCGAATGCCGTTGCATTGTTTCGCCTCTTTCACCCTTGAAAGAAGCCTGAGTCCAGTGTTACCCAGCTAGAAGGCCATCTTCGCCAATGACTCGATCGAAACTCCAGGCCACAATTTGGAAGTCGACCGTAACACTGGTGAAGATCAAATGGAACCGGGAGAGTGGGATCCAGCACTGGGGCAGGGACTGGGTTGTTGAGGTGCCCCTGGGGAGGGTATCTTCGCCAGCCAGGCTCGGCCAGCCTTCTGCCAAGTGTATAAAGTTGCCACTGAAGGCGGATATGGGTCTGGTCATCCTGGTCCTGTAGAAACTCACAAACCAGCTCTTAATGCAAGGTGGGCGGAACCAACCCCTGGAGCGGGGATAGCAAATTGTCTTTTTTTCAAAGATCGGCCTCACCTCGCGCAGTTGACCGTACAGAACCCATCATGAATTTTTTCCGGACCTTTTTTTTCCCGCCCGCATTTCTCTCAGTGGAGTGGCGGTGGCATTGCTCTGGCCTCTGGCGTGGGGGAGGTGAAAACGAGGGCATTTTGCTTGGAGGTTCTCGATTGTGATCCTCGATAATCCTAAATAGGCAGAAGAGCAATGCTTTAATCACACCTCGAGGTGTTTGTCGTGTCTGGCATGGCTGTATGCAACGCCGCATTGCATATGTAACTGAAATGGGAGCATGATGTGAAAGATGAGGCTTGGCTTCGCATCGTCAAAATGCTGGAGAAATCTTAGATCGGTGTGATGTTGTGAAGTTGGTCAATGCGGCCGGATCGCCGAATCGCATCCTTCGAGTCGAGAGGCACTCGTCGTCCGTCGCCACCACACTTCGTCAATCCCAGCATGACTTCCAATGCCTCTGCTTAATAGCTTCTCAGAGATCTGAAAGGCCATCCTGAGTCTGTCACGGAGCGAATGACCTCGCTTCTGGTTCTTTCCCAGTGACCAGGAAACGCTCCATTTTCATGACTACTTCGTCCTCGCGCGGACCTGGAATTCAACAGCCCCCGTATGATCGACGCGAGCCGCTTTCCATACTTAGACGACTAAGACTCGGTTGTAACTGGATGTGATCTCTGCCGTGTCCTGGACTTGCAAGCTCCTGGTTTCGACGGGTCGGGCAATGCGAATCCGGACCAAAAAAGGCATCGCCCATTTGATGTTGGCTCCTCTTAGAGTTAATCCATCTTTTCCTCTTCATGAGGCATGTGGTCTGATAATAGAAGAATATTGCCTTGGGGGGCCCGTCCATAGAGATGATGGCAGACACTCCAGATCCGGCCGGTTTTCGGCGTCTACTTGCTGTGCCCTTACTTCAGATACGAGCCCCGCGAGCTTCCGAACAGACAATGGGGAGACTGACTGAGGCCGCGAGGCATCCTGGAAGCGAGATCGATGCAGCGAACATTGATGCAGCCCCAGCAAGAATTCGTATCCGACGCCGTGAGAACTCATGCACTCGGAACTCGCGATACTCTCCCTCGTTCCTTCCTCCTCATCACTACGAAGTACAATGGTACCTGCACCTTCTACAGCAATGTGCAAAGTATCCCTGCATCGGAGCCAAATCCTCATCCCAAATTCATGTGATCCATTCACAAGTCCTGAAGCAATGGAAGGAGCATTGCTGGCTTCTCCGTTATTCTACCAGTCAAGTGACTTCGAAAAAGGCCTTCCAAGTGGATTATTGGGACTCTTCCAACGGAATGATGGAAAACCCATCCTCTGGAACTTCAACCAACGGCTCCAGGTTCACCCAATCTTGACCGAGTACGAAGGGAAGGAGTCCGGGACTTACATCCCTCGCGCCTTGCAGTATTTCGAGAACAATGGGAAGCGAAGGGCATGACGACGCATAAAAAGCCTCAGTGAACCAGAGGAGGCAAGTAGAAATGCATCCCCCCTTAGCCACCTCGCGTGGGCGAATCTGCAGATGTAGACCCAAACCTCTCGCCAGCTTGGTAGAGGAATTGGGCTGCTGGTGCGGAGCAGAGTCCCGTTCTCAGTGCCAGTCTCTCTTGAACCAAGGGCCACGATATCATGATTGACAAGTTCCCCCTTTTTGATCTGCTATCGTCACCACATTTTCATCAGGAATGGAATGTGCTATGCTGGGTGCCAGGAACAGGAAACGAAAAGGAAAGAATAATTCCTTCCTCTCTGCGTCGAAGCTGCAAATCCACTGCAGTTGCAGGGGGTCTCGCGCGAGGCGTAGAGCTCTTGGCAGCTGGTTCGCACCTTTGATGTTCGGTCATCGACGCCAATGCAGAGGGAAAAAAAAAAAGAAGACGGTTCGTTCCCCCTGCAGAAGGCATTGCAGCGCAGTCTGACTGCCTCTAGGACAGCGAAACTGGCTGATCTGCCACCAGCAAGGTTCCATTGAACTGGATAAAACCTCTATCCTTTCTGCATCACGGTCCAGTCTTACTCGGGCAACTCTGTTTCTCCACTTACACGAGAAAAAGCTTGCCATTTCTCGCGCTTTCTTTTTCGTTCTCCACATTGTGTCTTGACCGAATGGACTTGGCCCATGCTTCACCAACCTCACCCTGCGTACCTGTGTAAGGTAAGACAAATTGAAACCAAGAATTCGCAAATACCTTCCAAAGACCCCGGGCCCATGATCCACAATCTGTCCACGTCACCGATCCTTGGCCTTGTAGGGAATAGTGAAAGGACGAAGCGGGGAAAGAGGCTTGCATTCAATCCGCGTTTCTGCGTCTGTGAGGAGAATAACACTTTAGAGGCTTCGACGCGTCTACACCGCTGGATTAAACGCTGGATTAAACGGAAGACAAAAAGACATTTTCTTTTTTGGGTGATGATACTGGGCACTCAGCTGGTAACAGTCTCCTCAATCTTTTCAGCTTTTCGGACCAAGGCAGAAGCGAGAGTTCGCTTCTTCGCCAGGCGAGAGACACGAGCATCATGCAAATTGAGTGCTGCGAGTGAAGCTTGAATCATCACGTTTCCAAATTCTCGTCACGTACATCAAGAAAATTATGCGCATCGCTACCGGAATAACTCGCACGACCTTAGAACTCTCTCATGAAAAATATATATTATACTATTTAATAGATCGGTGCTGACGTAGAAGCTCGTGAGAATTGCCAGTCTTGGGCGCGCCTAGCATTGATCACCAGGGTCGCCTCGCTTGATTGACCCAGGATCATGGATCAATGGAGCACATGGAACACATGTTGATAATGCCTTTCCGGTAATATGCCCGAAAGTATATTTGGCTCGCTGAAAAATATCCTCTCCTCGACAAGACTGATGCATTTGCCCTCATATGATCATCAGTTTGTCTCCATGTTGGAGGGAACAACAGATTAAACAAAGCATAGCGTGTCTTGTCCATGCAGGCACGCTTCCGCTGTATCGCTTCAAAAACGAAAATAAGAAAATAAACATGAAAAGGAAAGAAATAAGAAAAGCGCTGGAGTAGGTCGGGCTAGCCGACATGGTGCCGCCGTTTCATGCAAACCAGGCGTCTTGAAACGTGAAACAATCTCGCAAGCAGATCTCCAAAAGTCTTGCGATGGACAAGAAGGACGTGCAGCAATCGTAAAAAGGGAAGAGGTGGGGGAAACAGAAAGACGATATGCCAGCATTATCATTGCTCAAGTGATGTGTTCCATGATTTGGGGCGATCGTGGGCTTTCAGGCTGGCACATGGATAATGGTAAGTGACCTGCCTGATACATCAATAGACTCGATACACGACTGCTCATAGGCAAGGAGAAAGAGTATTGAGTTAACGGCGACTCCTGAGCCAAGAAGAAAACATGTTAGCTGTGAGGCATGAAGCCATGGCGGCCACCCTGAACATTGAATGGCGACTAACCTTTGAAAGTGAGCTTGTAGGCTAAAGGAGGCTTATCGTCTACGCTGATGAGCAGCGGCATCCGCGCCGATGCCGCCGGCGCCACCTGAAGGCGTACCCCCATGTGTTTCGATGAGCCAGTCCAGAGCATAGTGTAATCGCCATCTTGTTCTAGGATGGGCGCAGACGCCGCAGCCAGCCACTCGCGACTGAGTTTAAGACGACCCTCGTGGACGGTAACATGGCTGGGGTAGAGCCCTTTAGTCTGCCGCCGTTTAAGTATCGTACGGGTCAAGAGGTGCGAGGACTCTTCGTTTTCCGCGAGGTTCACCTCCATAGAGTACTTTCCCCCTTCAACAGCATCATCCAACTTCTCCCTCAGCACGCGAGGGGTCCCCAGGTATGGCTTGAACCACAAGTGCCACCTTCTGGGATCACCGATTGGAGGGCCACCAGACACGGTGTCGGCTGTGGACACCCGCCTGGTGTCGCCCGTGGTTTCTAGGTAGTGGCACATCAACGTCGGTGCAGTGAGCCGCGTGGTCTCGGGGTAGCACTCGAGCACCATGCTATAGTCGGGCTCTGCCAAGGCATGGCGTAACCGGACGTGGAAGAGTGCCCTGATACAGGTAAAGAAACGCTTATTGACCCGAAGAATATGGAGGAGACAGTGGGTGGGAAGGAAGGCGAAGATGAGAGAAAGAATCTGGCAAGATATTAGCCAAGTGGCCCCGGCCCGAGCTGCAACAGCAAGAGAGCGGGGGACAGGCGCACCTCGTTGGGTAAGTCCTCGAGACTAGCAGATGTCTCCATTGTGTGAGTATGCGAGAATAAGATTAGTGTAGAGCTGAAGAAGCTAGTTGCGGACGGCTTGCATAGGATAATTACGTTATTTTAAAGACTATTAGAGGTTATTCGGGAAAGAAATGCAGCTATGAGGATTCGATGCAGATGAAGGTTGAGACAAGGAGTTGAGTTCAAGAGTTGAAGAATTGAAAGAGTCGAGACCGAGACGAGCTAGCGGATTTAGTTGGTCTTGCGGCTCTTGCCTAATGAAGTCATCACCCAACCAGCCTGAGAATACAGGGAAGGAGCTCTGGTGTTGGTCAACTTGAAGTTTAATCTCGGCCATCAGCATCTCTCAACTGCCTTGCGTTCACGCCTTTTTGCCCTGCGCAAACTCAATTATTCTTCTCCTTCATCGAATGTTTCCCGCCTTTTAGACTTCCCAAACTTGTCAGGTACCAATTTTTTGTAAACAATCAATTCAAGCCTCCCACCATCAGTAGATGCAAACATCTGAAGTTAACGATTAAAAGCTAGCCCCAACAGGACGGCATTCAAGTTGCAGCCTTCCAACAACACGGCAGTCACAATGTGCATCGCTAGACTTGCCTCTCAACAGGCGAGCTTGACGGCTGTCTATCATTTAGATAGGTATAGTTGCAATGCCAAAATATTATGTATCACTCCGCCGTATCCGAATTCTTTCATTATCCCTGATATATATCTAATTGACTTTCCATAACTCTTCGTGATGACCAAGAACCTGCCAGGTCCACTCACGCACTCGTTCTCCCTTCACCAAATAACACTCAGGCAGTCACCGAAGGTCCAGGAATCTCATAGTTGCTGAGATCCGAGGCCCAGATATCAATCTTGATACCGGGATCGCTAGACGAATAAGCACCTGGGAAGCTAACACCAGCCGGCGTCGAGCCACCACCTCCAGACACTCGAAGTTGCTAATCATCCAAGTTAGTCAGGTTCTGCAGCTTCACGAGAGAGAAATAAAAAAGAGAGAGAAAAAAACCCGATACATAAGACTTACGTAGCAAGACATGTAGAACTGGGCACCTCCCTCCTGACCGGCCGCGTGAAGAGCGATAGCTTCCGCCCGGAGAAGATAGTCACCCGCAGGGATGTCGCTTGGAATCGAGACCTCGAACTTGCCGCAGTTGTCATTGAGCACGTCGGTGCCCCACTTCTCGGAGGCGGCGTCGTAGCCAAACTCGCCAATCTTGAAGAACTGGGTCGATCCGTCGGCCGTGGTGGCATCGTCGACCTTGCTGAGATACACCATGACGGGACCGAAGTGGTTTCCGCCGATGGCCGGGCTGGAACAGTCACGGGTGTCGTGTTCGTGCATCTCAACGGCAATCTTGTCACCGGCTAGATGATGGATCCATGTTAGCGTGCAAACGAAAGGAAAAAAGGAGCTCTATTATGGAAGCTTGGGCGTACCGATAGCTTCGCAAACATTGGCGGCCGGGCTGGGGCCGGCGTTGCACCGCACGTCGTTTGAGCTGACGCTGGTCACTGGGCTGTTGTTGCGCTGTTGGAGAGACAAGTCAGAGGAGGACAAAAGAGAGACGATATAAGACCTCACGAGTATACGTACCGGCATACGGATACATGACGACTCGTGGTCCTCGCCGTTGATCCAGAGTTGCTGAAAGGTAGCATGTCCGGCTACAGCGGCCGCGGATGAGAGGGCGGCGAGGGCAAATCCGAAAGACTTCATCTTAAAAGTTCTGTGTGAACTGGATGCTTATAGAGAAGTGAGAAGAAGAGGGATGCTCAAGGTCTTGGCCTCGGGTCTGGGGTGTGTATGGAAATGAAGTGCTCTGGGTGGCTTCTTCGATGCTTGCGCTTGAGATTGGGCGATTCTGGATATCGGTCGGTGATCGAACTCATTGCCTTCTTATACACTTCAACATCGCCCTCATCCCGACTATGTGAGGCCGAAAATCCACATCGTATTCTAGCGCATGAGTCCTCTATCTCACGGACAGACTCCATCTTTTCCGACATATCGTTCATTCATTTACTCCAGCCCAAAGGGGAAGTGCTGATCACTGCCCTTACCATTGCTCTTAGCAGCCCTCAATCTAGCATCCCGGAATTATATTTCCCCCAGTTGGTGGCAAGGTATCTCCTGCAATCACCAGCCGACCCAAAAACTTGATGTTAGGTTGATGCCGTGTATGGGATGCCTTGGTCATAACGTCTAGTGGATGGATATCATTTATTGCCCAGGTTATATCTAAAAGACGGACATTTATGTGGCCTCACCCTAATACTATATTATATCGAGGTTCCATTGGCAGTCCAAACGTCTTGGGATCTTCATATGACTTGGGAAGCGACTTAGACCACCTAAACTGGATCTCTTCTATAATAGCGAGATGCGGTTTTGGGACGACCCACGGCGCGTGCGCTTCGAATTAATTCGGGTAGACGACGGAATGGGAAGTAATAAAGAAAGTTATGGAAGGGGAGACGTGAAGGTGGCAAGGGATGCCGTTCCCGAGATTGATCGCTTCCCAATTCGCTGAGAATGGCAATCGAAGATGATGAATCCAGTCCCACGGGTACGGAGGCATAATATGTCGAAATATTGAAGTCACGTTCTGGGGCTGTTCATTTATTCGCATGTGTCCTGTTGAAAGGAAAGGGGCAAGCTGGCAGTGCTAGAGATGATCTACAGGCGGAATGTTTGCATTGAGCGCCGCATAGAAAACATCATGCCGGCGTCTGGGGTTGATGGGCTTAACAAATGGAAATAGACACGATCCAAGAAACAATCCCAAAGTCCCACTTATTCCTGCCATCTGACCTGCCAAATCTCATGCGATACTCCAAGCTGGACAAGATCCTCAAGTTGAGGAATGGGGAAGGTGTCGATTCCTGGATTGGCTGGGCGGTGATGCGAGTGACGCGAGGACGGGATCCTCGATCTTTCACTCCCGCTCTTAGTGGGGCTAATTCGTCTTGGGGAAGATGTGCTGAGTATTGAATAGAACCTCCGGTTGAGTTTTGATCTGCAGAAGAGTTAAGTACCGACGTTCGATATCTCGACGATCATCTCTCTCGGAACTGACCACGTCACCATTGAACAAGGTAGAAGAAGCATGGTTTATATAGATATCCTCACATCATCCAAGCACATCTAGCCGTGAAACCCGTAACGCCATCAAGATTACAGAAGTATCTCACCTCAAGGTTGCGACACCCAGACAATATCTGGGCTGGTCAGAGCCTTCTCCGCCACACCGTCCATCGTTAACCCATTCTCGTCACAGACAACAGCCCACACATGCCCATATAGATGTCCTGGCACGTCCGCATACCCATCTTTAATTTCTGTAAATGTAAGGTCGCCATATGGTCCGAACCACGCGACATATCTTCCCGTGCCCTTTACCTTGAAGTCTAAGTTAACTGTCATGACTCTCCCGCCGTTGGGAGAAGTCTCCCTGGTCGATACCTGCAATCGAGGGAGGGGCTTTCCGAAAGCTAGCCCATCTTCGTCCGGACAAAAGGAAATATAGTGAGAACCTAGGAACGAACATGCAAGTTTAGAAGGGAGCTGAGGTTCTCCGACTGCTGCTGCGACAGGCCTGTTCTGCATCATATTGACGAGGCCAGCTGCCCGACTCTTAGCGCCTAGCGCCGATGCGAGGGCTGGTGCAAGCCAAGAGTCTTCACTCGCGGCAGCCGAAGCCATGAAATCCACATATATTCCAATCTCTAGGAGTAGCAGCGTTAAGAGTGTGGTGAGAAAAGAGTCAATGGTTGCGAGTGGTAGGTTATATGCGCACGCCCCCGGCATGCGGACTTCGAAATGCTGCAACGGAGTTGTTGCTATGGTGCGATGGATATAAGCCTGCGCTGAGGCGGATGAAAGGCTTTCTAAAATGGTAGGTGGGAAAACACCCTGCCATTCCCCCTCCGTGAGGCGAGTGTATCCGTCCAGAAGCGTCTCGAGGAGAATGTTGTCTGTGAACTGGAGGAGCTGAAGGAAGGTCGCTGTTAAATTTGAGAGGGATTGCCCCCAGTTGTAGGAGGTTACTGGACCGCCTCCGGCTTTGAGGAGGAAGGCTTCGTCGATATGGCCGAGCTCAGGTATGGTGGAGAGGAGGGAGGAGTTGAGGAGATGGAGATGCAGAACTGAGCCGTGGGCAGAAGGCACCATGGAGTTATTTACGGTAAGTTGCCCTCCCTGGGGAGCATACGCCGGTATTGTGCTTTGGGACGCTTTTCGAGCTTTAGCGAGGAAGGAGTTGTACGTTTCTCCAGTGGATGGACTACATATGCATTGTTAAATTGGAGCAACATAAGAGGGAGAGAGGGAGATGAAGGAAAAAGAAGGTGAAAAAGAGGAGAATGCGGGATGTAGTCCTCGGGTCTGGAATGGCGGACCTACGCGTTTATGCTCCCTACCATGCCGTTCTGGCAATGGGAATCTATGGGTTGGGCATCATAAAAGTACACGGGGTTGGTGTCGTTGAGAGCGATAGAGAAGCCGACACCTGCGGACGGCGAATCGATGGGGATGAATCCGCTCGAGAAGCCTCCCTCGAGGGGATGGCAAGGGTCTTCATATGTGGCTTGGACAACCGAATTGTTCTAACAACGTTAGTCTCTCGATGACGTCCGGATAATGAGCATTCGTGGGTTGCAGAATTTACCTTGGGAAAGAAGTGGAACTGAACAATGGTCCCTGGAAGTTGGTCTTTGGCCTCGTTCGGTGAGAAAGTTAACTTGTCATCGGCACCGACATCGATGTTGAGAATGCGCTGTCCTCCGAACGGTAGCTTGCCGTCTGAAGAGCCGTTATTTGCGGCACTTGATGCCAACGTCTTCAAGTCTTTGAGAGCATCTCCCGATGGACTGGATTTACGCGCCATTAGCTATAAACTCCGAAGGGGAACAATCGATCCTATCCTACATACGGGTTGATGATCTGGACCATTCCCTTCTGGCAGCTATCGCCTTGGTCGCTATACACGAAGATGGGCTGCGTGTCATTCACAACGACTCTCCAAGTCACTGGGGACGGCCCATGTTCGACTGGTACGGGTGCCGAGTAGAAACCGTCTTGAAGAGGATGGCATGGGTTACGAGCGGATGCTTGGACGACCGAATGGCTCTGGTTTCCATGTTAGCATTACCTGCTTTGGGCAGTGGTGCATGTGAGGTAGGCTAAGACGTACGCCCGAGTAGAATGTGTAGGTTAACACATCTCCGGGGTTTGCAGACAACGTCTCAGGATCGAAAACTAGACCGTCTCGGGCAACTTCTATGGTGTGTTGTCCAGCTTCGACGGCCGAAGTGGCCGCGAGGAGACAGAGGAGCCGTAGTTGTAACCGCCGCATGGCCAGCAAAGTCTCTCCGGGCTTAAGGGAGCTTCCTATCCAGACGAGAAGAGGGAAAGGTCCCAAGCCGCGATGCTCGGCGGAGGAACGCCGTCGAGTAGATATCAATAGAGAGTACAGCACAACACAGGGGCGCCAGTCGGATCCATGATCTGCAAGTCCGCAGCGTCTGAGAGAAAGAACAAAAGGTAAGCTCTCATCATCCGGTGCAAGTGACACACAGCTCAGCCACTCCTCAACGATAGAAAGAAGGCAGAGTTATCCAATTACACCAGAAGTGTACGACATGCTTGGTGGTTCACAGCCGGCTCTGGTGTGCGACCGGGGATGTCCTTGTGTCAGTCTGGCCACAGCTCTGCTGTCTTTCCCCTTCGCGATATGACGCAGAGTCATTAGTCCCTTTCATTTTTTTCCTTTTCCCAGAATTTGTTTACTACCTTATTTGAGACTTTTCTTGCATATGGTAATAGTTGGGATTCAAGGCAGTGGATGAGAAATGGGCGCGCGTCCTGGGTTATAGGTGGATGTATGAAAAACAGGAAATTATCCTTGACATTCCCAGCTTGGCGCTCGTTCTGTACAGGATTGCGCAGCTTTGTTTATTTGCCGGCGTATATTGCCTTTGTGTGCTCGACCATAGGGATTCTGCATCTCGTGCGAGTAAACGGCTAATATTGTCTAAGACAGGGGGAGGATGAGGAGGAGGAGGGTCCCTTCAAGTTGGTGTCGTCCTCTTCGTCTCTCTCCGCCGCCGTCATCGTCGCAATTGTATCATTCCTGTCCTACACCAAAAGGGCTGAGTGAGACAAGCCGTTGAGATCTATTAATACCAACAGAGACATTCCCTTGAAAATCTAGGAGCCCGTTCTAGCCACCGGGTTGAAGATGGGAAAACGGCGCCAGCCCAAGACCGACGAAAAAGTCGAATAAACCCGTCCTCCCGGTCTCATGAAGAGAAACTGGTAAATCCTTGACTTCAGCCACCATGCACGACGCACAAAACAACCGGGCCACGGCCTGGGGAAATCCCGGTGCTGCCAATGACAGGGCGGCAATGCCACAATCCCGGATCTCCGCGAGCAAGCCTCTTTTATCCAAGATATTACTATTCTTGCTGCCAAAACCTGTGCTGCTGCGCGATATCCGGTTCCCGTTGCCACTGCAATCAAAAGAGTCTGGAGTGCGGCCCTCAGATCTCGGATTCGACGGCGGACAGGAGAAACGGCAGGTGTGCTACATAGTACCGAGATGAAGAAAGGGGTGGGCAGAGCCTGGTTGTGTGCGAGCGTCAGTGACCGACAGTGACATGCTTTTCGTCTAATAGAACAGAGCGTGATGGAATGTCGGAAGATTCAGCCCTGGGCATCGGCCTGGCTGAGGCCGGACATGGTCAGGGAATGTCAAGTTTATTATTGTCTGTCTGGTGTTTTTCTGTAAAAAGCAGAGTTACTTCGTAGGAGGATCATTCTTGTGCGACCTCACTCTTACTAAAAACCGAGAGACGAAGAGAGAATCAGATTTTTTGGTTTCATGATGGTCGTGAAACCGTGGCTCTGTATGTGAAGGGGGTAAAAAGTACATCAAGGATCGCGCCACTCGACCCATGTTTTCAGCTCTCTCGAGAGGCGGGAGAAGCAATTTCGTTTCTCGTCATTCTTTCTTTTTCTTTGTTATTTTCATCTGAGAAATAACTTGAATTGTCGTTTTGTGTAGAAGCATTAGTCTGTTTTATTTCTTTCTCAATTCTTCGAGGCGCGACTGGCCGATGCGGCATCCCTGAGGATTCACCTCCACCGCCATTCCCATCACGAACACCGACGCCAAAGGGCAAAAGACCCCTCATCGAGGGGCACCACGTCCTCCAAGATGGGCTTGACGGCATTCTACAAAGTGACGCCGTTCGTCTTATCCACGCTAATCGCCATCCTCCTCATCATCGTCCTCGTCGCGGGGTCGTCTCCAAGCACTCTGCCCAACCTCTACCTGTTAAAGGCAGGTTGCTCTCAACTCCAGCTCGCCATCTCTCATTCATCTTCCTCTTTGATCTCTATTTGCTCTCTAACTAACACGAATAACTAACATGGCCATAGGTCAACACGACGAACCTCCACCTCCCATCAAAACTATCCACATCCCAATTCCTCGCGGATCTCTCCCAAGTATCTGGCACGGACCTAACAGGCCAGCCCTTCAACGCCACCACCCTCGGCATCGCGGACCTCTACACAATCCACATCTTCACCTGCTGTGCCCAACCGGACCACTGCACCGCGCCCGTCCTCGGCCCGTCTTTCGACCCCCTGCTACACTTACGCCTCGGAATCGGCGCTGTCGACAAACTCCCCGAAGACCTCGAAGACGCGCTAAGCCTGTACCGCTCCGTCTCGCCCATGCTCGGCGCCGTCTTAATTCTCGGCTTCGTGTTCGTCCTTTCGGCGCCGAGCGTGACCCTCCTCAGTAGGCGCCTCTACATCGCGGGGCGCGTTGCCCTTACCCTGGCGGCCCTGAGCGCCGTGTTGCTTCTCATTGGTTGCATCGCCGGTCGTGTGATGGGCGAGAGGCTTTCCCGCGCGCTGAACGATGCATTCGAGGATTTAGGTATCACGGCCGAGGAGGGTGGCTTGCTGTATCCAGCTTGGGCGGCTATTCCGGTATGTTTTGCGAATACGCTGCTTATCTTCTTGCGAACGAAGAAGGAGTCGCCCCTGGACTTTATCGAAGAGAGGGAGAAGGCCAAGGAAAAGGCAAGGGAGAGAGAAAGATTAAAGGAGAAAGAGAAAGGGAAGGAGAAGGAGAAGGGGAAGGGAAAAGAAAAAGACAAGAAATTGGCAGAGGAAAAGGAAAACGAGAGAAAGGCCAAGGGAGCGTCTGATGAACACATCTCCGCAGCCGAGATAGGACAGGCTTATGGCAGCCCCTCCGACTATAATCCGTATCAAGCGCACGCGACGCAGGAGGAGGGCGTGAAAGAGCCCGTCATGAGCAAGGTGGCGAGAACAAGCTTTGCGGAAGGAGAAAGCCAATGGGAAGACGGACGGAGTGCGAGAGCAGAGCAGCGCAGCGGCGAGCCGCCCTTTAGGACGCCGAGTGTGAGGAGGCATCATGATTCGGATGCGTGGTATGTCAACTACAGAGGAGTGCAGGTCCGGCGATCTGATTCCATTACAAATTGAGCAGGAATTTCCTTCGTATTAAGTAAATAATAGTAATATGTTGGATGTTAAATACCTTCTTTTTTTCTTCTCCCCCCCTTTTTCATATTTTTCTCTTCCTTTTTTTTCTTCAAGGAGTTGAAGAAGTGAGGTGAAGACATGGAGGACGTTGAGGAGGCAAGCATGCAGACGTAGAACTGGCCCCTACTCTACTTCATTCCAAAGAGTTTCGAGCTGCATTAGGCGTTCCCTCAAAGTAGGGTCCAAGTTAGGAGAGGACAGCGCCCATCGAGACACCTCCGCAGGATCTGACGTAGTCGGCTCGAATATCTCTCCATGATTCTCCAGGGATCTCTCCGCCTCCTCCCTGGCGGCTCGCAGTTTCCGAAAGACGGCATCCCTGTGTCTCATAATCGAGTTGAAATCGGACAGCGCCCCTCTCGCATCCGGCGCCCTCGAAGCCTGCGACCAGAATAACCTCACTCGCGGACTGTAAAAATCGCACTTCCTTGGCGCCGGCACGATTGCGTCGCGGTAGGTCATGAACATGGAGAGCGGGGACCTGAACACGACATCGCGTGCGCAGTTCGAACAAGCTGAGAATTCTCCTGTGCCAGTCCATTGATGCTCTTCCGAAGAAGGGATTGATCCAGGACACGGTAAGGATGTAGAGAGGTACGAAGCCGTGGAAAGAAAGATGGATGGTTCCCCCTTTTCGGCGGCTTCAGAGACTTTTTTGATATACTGATCGAGGCGGGGATTGGCAGCATTGAGGGCGCAAATGGTACCAGGCTTTGGACTACAGGTGCCCTCGACGAGATAGTTGTCCAGAATCTTAATAGGACGCACAAGAGATGCCACGCAGGGGGCGCAGAGGGCAAAGTCCTTGATCCCCGGGAGAGTGAACCACGGCGTTCCTGGTGGGATCCCCGACGGATCACATGGGGGATTCATCAACACCGCTTCGGCCGCCTGCGTGAAGAGCTTCGGCTCCCTGAACTCGACCATGAGCCCAAAATTGACCGAGAGCGCCGGGTTGACCCCGAAATCGCACACAAGCTCCTCTTTAGACCCAGACCTGCTCTGAGGGCGGCACTGCTCAAACATCGTCTCCTGGTACTGCGTCCCGCCCGCAGCATCAAGATAGCACTCCTCGCAAATGACCAACCCCCTCGCCCTCACGTACTTGGGCCGATACCACTTCCTAGAATTGACATGCACGGCCTCTGCGCCCGCACACCTCGGCACTCGCGTCCGCCTCAGCCCCGCGATGATGAACTCGTCGTAATCCCCCGCCTCGCACGCCATGCGCCGCGTAAAAGAATTGCCAACGTCGCAGAGCGCCATCTTCGTGGGCGGCTGCGCGACGGTCGCGGCGGGCAACGACCGCGTGAAGCTCGAGGCGGCGAGGTAATCCTCGTAGCAGGCGTGGCAGGCGTCGACGCCGGCGGCGAGCCGGTGCCACTCGAAGTCTTCGTCCGGGGCGACGGGGTTGGAGAGTTTACATGGCTTTACGCGGACGCGGTGGGCGATGTGGTCTTCTAGCTTCTTGAGTGTGGTGTGGGCGTGGACGGACGGTTGCGCTGCGTACTGGGAGACCAGCAGCTTGATCCGTGGCGTGTTATAGTTACAGTAGCGATCGGGCCCGGATATGGTCTCCACGACAGGATAGAAGTGGTCCTGGAGCCCCGCTGGTACGATGCTTCGTTCATAGCAATTCGAGCAGGCGTAGAACTCGGGCGTCTTCTCAAAGGCGTACCACGTTGTAGGGTAGGAGATTGGGTAGGGGATGGGATCACGCGAGGGGCAGTGGCGGAGGGGCGTGGATGCGAATGTGGGGGATGCTGCCATGTCCATGGTTTCGGGTCGACGAAATGGTGCGAAGGGTTACAAAGGAGAGGAGAGCGTAAAATGCTTGATCATGAGTTGGCAGCTCGCAGGAGTTATATAGACCATGCTGATGGTTCATTTCCCAACATCGGCCTCCTAAGGAGTTCCTACATGCACCTGTCCCGCCATACTAATTAACGAAAAGGGCTGCCCAACGAGAGCAGACATTTTCACTAACAGCACGCATCAGAGACTCAAGGGACACTGCTAGCACGGTTACCCTGCGTAGGTTTTTCTGCTTGATTGGATGAGGATGGCCGGATTTGGGCCTGCAGGATCTCGGCGGCAATCTCTCGAATAGCGAGTGTCCAGCGTCCAACGCGGTTACCGCTTGTAATTCGTGGAGAAGGGGAAAGATAGGGGCGAATTGAAGCAAGGAGCAAAGGCTACAGAAGCTGCAGAGGCGTTGAAGCAGTAAAAGCCCGAAAGGGAATGGTGGTGTCTGCTTCGGTTATGGAATAGCCCCGTTAACTCACTTGCCGCCTGGAACAGCTGCCCGCGCCAATCGTTCATCTCTCAACTGTACGTCTTGTCCGAAAAAGAATCTTGTCGAGGTGCAGCTTGACCGAATAGAATTCTTCGAGTTTTGTTCTGTTTTCTTTTCCTTTCTTTTCCTTCTTCTTACAGTTAACCGCTGTTTTCCTTATCCCGGGCACTATTCTAGCCGGTCCTACCTAACAATGGCTTCCTCTTCCTCGACGACGCGCAACTGGCGCGACTCTCTCTACCTCGCCTTCTTCTTCATCTCCTTCGCCTCCATGTTCTGTAAGTTCCCCGGCCCATACCGTGTGCCTCATCCCCCAATCGCATCTTGGTTGCACCCATTGGCTTACACTTGCACCTCCTCCTCTTCGTCTAAAAAGTGGTCGATCTCGTCCACTTCATCCCTCACTCCCTCTGGGTTCCTCCCTCAAGCCCCCTCCACTTCCTCCAGCAGATTCGCAACTTCTACACCAGCACCTACCACGACTTGTTCCTTCTCACCCCCTGGCCCCAACAACCCACTTTCTTCCGCCTCTTCACCATCCTCGAGTTAGTTTACCAGCTACCAGCCGTTGCGTGGATTCTCCGCCGCTATTTCCGTGATGGCCGCGAGGGTGCCGTAGCCGGTAAGACTGGTGGGACCACACCGGCGCTAGAACTCGCATGCCTGGTGTATGGTGTTCAGTGTGCGTTGACGACATTGACTTGCATTTATGACTGCTTGGAGTGGGAGGGTGAGCTGTACACCTGGGAGGTCAAGAAGGAGCTTATCTTCAAGCTGTATATGCCGTGGTTTTTGATTCGTGAGTGCCCTTCATCTTCTTACCTCCATCTTCGCCTGTTGTGTGATGGTGTTTGGGAAGTCCCTAACATGAGGTTTATAGCTCTGGGTATGTCGGTGGACATGTATCTGAGGATTCTCAACAGATTCAGGGGCCAGGGTGAGAAGACCCTCAAGTCTCAGTGAGGCGGATGATATGGGCGGCACATCTTGTCAAGCATCCTCCGCACTGCCATGCGACTTTTACTCATAGAGAGCACAATCTAAGTACACTAATAGCCTTTCCACGTAATCTCAATATTTGCTACTTCGTAGACCTTATGGGTTGATGCGACATTCATAATCGTCTCATATTCAGGGAGTTTGGCATATCGCACGTCATATATACAACCATTCCCGCCGAGGATCATATACAAAACTAAAAACCCCGGAAATACTCAATTGTTCGGATTGTCCAAAACTCCTGGTGATATACAAGCAGCCGCAAATACAACAAGTCATAATCAAAGCATGTCTCTAACACCACACCGCTAATCTATCCTCTTCGCATAACCCCAGCCATTGCCAACACCTGAACTGAGTCCATGTCCAAGTGGCGTAGCTCCTCCTAGCGCCCTACCCCGTAACCGGGTCGGCAAGACCCTACCGTAAAAGTATGCCCCAGAGACAACCGCACCAGCGATGAAAGAGACCATGACGTAAAACACCGTGCTGGCAAATACATGTCCACCCATCCCCTGCCATTGCACCGTGCCGTCCGTCCGCGGCAAACGAGGGTTAGGGAACCACCTCACAGAGAAGCGCAGCGGCAGAGGATCCCCGATGACGATGCGATGCGAGCTGGACTCCCTGCCCTGGCCTAGCGGGCTCGTGCTGTACGCTATACCGCTGTCCAACACGCCCGTATCATGGGGCCGAATGCGTCGGTTGGACTGCGTGTGCAACAGGACGTTCATGTGCGTGCTAATGTGCATATGGCTGAGCTGAAGGGTTCCCGCGAGCGCGAAGACAATAGGGATGTACTCCTGCTCGTAGGGCTTTTCGCCAATGATTTCCACGTGCGGACGCGGTCGCGCGGGGAGCCGGCACGAGAGGGGCGCGTCGGAGTGGATATAGAATTCGAGGAGGTGGAAGAAGGGGTCGTCGATGGCCGCGATGGTGCAGTTCTGCTCACCTTCGACGCCGTAGTGGAATTCGAGAGGTTTGCCGGTTTCTTCGCAGAGGGAGAAGGGAGCCCATTGGATTTCTTGCCTATCGTTTTGTATGTGCTCACCGGTTTCGCTGTTGTACGGTAATATTAGAAAAGTCCGTTGTCAAAAGGGTTTCTCGAGGCCGGCTTTAAATTTCTTTATATGGATGTGAGGGAGCTCTGTACTTACTAGCTACGGTTCATGCACTCGACATGCAATGGCGTTCCATACAGAAAGGACGGAAGCCCAGCCGTCGGTTCTGCCACGGCATGCGAAGCGAGGCTGAGAGCCCAGAGGGCGATCGGAACCGCACGCGAGAGCATCCTTGGAAGATGTAGCCGCTTAATATCTAGCAGCGGATGCAGGCGACCCGTGGAAATGTCGAGACTCGGCGGAAACGTGCTCACGCATGCGCCCGTTCGAATTTGGGCCGCGTAGGAGAACTCTTTTTTTGGCACCTGTTTCCGTGTTTCTACGGATTCATGGTGGTGCCTGAGAGATCCGGATCCAAGGGGTTCAAAATCAAAACTCCCGGCTTTCGACGCGATGTTGGGATAATTATAAACTAATAAGGACACTTGGCTACGATGATGCGACAGCTTTGGTAGCATTGAGATTCGGTTTATCTGTACGACCCCTGATTTGCCGGGTGGCAGGTGGCAACGAGCTGGAAGAGCGGTTTCAGATGACACCAGTTGCTGGAACCAACAATGCTCTTCTCCAAGCAAGAGAGCCGTTCAGAGGACAAACATTGATGATGATCATTGTACAGAATGAATGGTGCTGATAAAAAGGAAAAAAAAAAAAAGACAAAAAGTCATTGCAAGATTCTAAACTCGCATGTACCCTTCTGGTATTCGCGTCTTGTCTGGGGGAATAATTTAGAATAATTACACATCAGTACTCAAGTCGTACACATGCCGCCTGCCTCCGTCTTCAAAATCACTTCCGCTTCCGTTCTTATGCAAACCTCAAGCTTCCAGAAGCAATCCTCTCAACCAAGCTTGACACCTCCCTCTTCAAAGTCCGGATGATCCTCCTGAGCTCCGGCAGATCGGTGCCTCCAACGTTGTTACCACCAGGAGGCGCCGGAAGCGCCTTCTCACACCTCTCGAGCAAGTCCACGAGGCCCGGACCCATTAGGCCCGTGCCCTTGGCGCTGGCACCCCGTCTCCTGATCTCCTTCGCCCACGAGTCCACCACGTAGGCGATAAGCTCCACAAGTCTTGTACGTCTAGCGACGCCAGTGAATCCGTAGGCCTGCGTGTCGAATACATGCTCAAGTACACGCACGATCATGTCATGAGAGACACCGACGCTGAGGAATAGCTGGACTGGCCACGTCGGGTCGGCTCCGATGGTAGCGTCTTGGCCGTTTACGCAAGCGTAACGGCAAACTTCAGGTAGAAGGGTATGGATAGGGAATATGACGCTGTCGAGGGACGTCCGGTGCGCAATGTTCTGAATCTTCACCGAGACAGATTCGTAGGGGAGGCGCTTTTCATCGCCCGTGGCCTCTTGAGCCTCGTCATGCTCGAGCTGGATCAGATTGGTCCAAGTTTCGGCGATAGTAGTGGGGTTCCTATAGTCTGCGGCATGGTAGATGAGTAGGCAAAGGTCATAGTAGCCGGCCTGGTCGGCGTAGTCATTGAAGAGCTGTCGATTCCTTGTTAGCTGAAAAGTAGAGAGCTAGAGGGTGTGGGATTGAATGCCACTTACATCCGTCAGATTCTGAATCTTGCCGTCCAACTTCTCCTCAATCTCGACCAGCCTTTGCGGGTCAATTCGGGGGTCGACCCTTAGCCTCTCGAGTATATCATCTTGAATGTGGGCGATTTCGAGGAGCTCGGTAATCTTGTGGTTGAGGACTTGTTGCTGCTGTCGCGCGACGCCGGGGGACGAAACGTTTGCGTTCGTCTTTGCTAGGCTCAGCAGATTGATCCTGTCTTTGATGCTGATCGGCAGGTCCGCCTGCGCCAGCTCAGACTGGACTACCGCAGCTTGGTAGTACTGACCTTGGTGGGTATAGAAGCGGCAGAGGAGATTTGCGTGGGCCGCATTTTCCCTCGCCAACCCTTCGAGGAAAGTGACAACGTGCGGCGAATCGATGGCAAGGATGCGGTCTGTCCAGCCTTGGTCGATGTACCATTGATACAGGCCAAAGTGGAACAGCTCATCAGTCGAGCCATTCACAACCTCGTATGCCTCAAGCCTCTTGGTTGCCGTCAGCGTGAGTTTCCCATCCACCATGTCGGGCTCCTGGCCGGCTTCGCCGTCAAGCTTCTGCAACACCTTGTGTACTAAATCGTAGCAGAGTTTTCGCTCCTGGAACGCCGAAGCGCGTTGGTCATTAGCGGGTCGCCCATCGTTAACCCACGCAAGGGCAGCGTTTCCGCGATCCTTTTCACGCGCTACATTGAGGCAGAGCCTGATGGCGCCGGCATAGTAGCGCATCTTGATGTACTCCTCCACCGCGACTACCAGATTGCCATAAGAGAGGTTGCCAGCCACTTTCTCGAAGAGGCTTAAACTCTCTTGCAGGAGACCCCGCGCCGCGTTTGAGCCAAGGGGCTGCTCCGACGCTCGCTTGAGCTGCTCCTGTGCCTTGAAGATGACAACATCATCGGGGCTGCAGAAACTGCCACAGCGCCTCCTTAGGGCATCTGCAACGGTCTCGACATTGGAGCCGCTTTCGATATTGCGGTTAACAATAGCCTTGACTAGCACCTTTGCGAGGTCCTTTCCAGGGGCTGTGGAGAAGAGCCTCTCGTAAGTGAGGTCCTTAAGTCCCTGGCGGGTTTCGTCGTCAAGTCGGGTGTAGATGTCGCTGACTCGCTCATCGAAGAGCATGAGAACGAAGGAAATTCCCTCGGAGATGCTCTCCATCAACTTCTCCAGAGCATGCAGCGCTTGGTGTTCGGCTTGCAAAGCAACCTCCTCCTTCTTACTCGCCACGCGCTGCAAATCCGAGGGGCCCGAAAGGCCCTGGATAAAGGATCGATTGGCATCGAGGAACCTCCTTAGCCTCTCCAGATTATCCTGGACAGAGAGAAGCTTGCTGGTGGGAACCATAGAGTTCACAGCTACACCACCAGCCGGGGCGACACCTACAGAGATGACGGGTGACCTCCATAGCATCCGGATCAGTCTGCCAAGGTAGAGTGCGAGGGCGTCATGTCTTGAAGAGAGCTTCACGGAATCTGTCGTCAAAGGTGCTCCGTCTGTCTCGGCAATGGTAGGCTGGCCACCAAAGTCGACGAAGATGGCGCGTGCTCGACCTTCTGTCGCAGAGTCGTTAGCCCGGGTACCTCCAGGTCGCGCATCACCCCCATGCCCACAAGCGACAGCAAGAGCAGAGGCAATCGTTTCCACTCGGCCGTACAGGCTGATGAATTTACGCGCGATACTGTCAGCACCCTCATCACCAGAAGAACCCTTGAGCGAGGAGGCAAAGATATCGACCAGACGTCGTCGTCGCACCACGTGTACTCCAGAGTTGGTGAGAATGGCAAACTCGCTCGGGGCATCGTCGAACTGCACGGCAAGTTCGTTACCGAACCCAAGCGGTTGTTTCGCTGCCGCAAATGGTTTCGTTACCATACCAACAGCTTCGACGCGGCTCCCCAGCTCGATCCAGTTTCCTTGCTCATAATATCTAAGAGGCGAACCTTGGGAAATGTTGCGGATTCGAGCAGTTTCCGGCGCAGACACAAAGAGAAGATCCGCATTGGGGTGAGATTCTTTGCTCACGAAATCCAGGAAATAACCGGGAGCGTATCGAACTCCGGTGCGGCTCGTCTTCAGAGACTCGGACTGAGTATCCGTGATGGAATCGCCAGTCAAGACCAAACCGGAGGGAGGGAGTTGTGACGCGCGCCTTTCAGAGGGGGGGAATTTTATAAACTGAACTTGCATGCTTTGCGGGGCGGCGTTAGAAGTTGCGCCTATCGTATATGCGGCCGAGCTTGTGGCGCTCAGGAAAAGTCGGCACCCGGTGTTGGTTAATGCCATAAGATGGAGTTTCGCCGCTTCGCGAGACGAGATCGGACTGATAGAAACGAGAGACATCCGGTCGTTGAGCAAGGGAGAGAAATTGATCATGTGGCTGATTTCCCGCAGGCAACTGTTCTTCTCCTTGTCAATAACCTTGTTGAGCTTATTAGGCGCCTCCATGTGGTATGTCCGGATCGTCGAACGCGAGGAGAGGGTGTACAGCAGACTCCGGGAGTCATCAACTACAATGCTGATCAAATGTTCCGGCTCCTTAGCCGACCAAAAGTGGCTTTGTAGCGAGACAACGGAAGTCCAACCAGGGTTGGTATGATTTATCTTGCCGCAGCGGTTGGAGAACCACTTTTCCTCCTGCTGGTAGTATAGTTCGTAAACATCAGTGTCGCTAGTTCCACCGAAGAAAATGCGGCCGCTTGCAGATCCCGCGATATGGCTGACATCTGCACCACGGATAGGTAGGACCATTTTCGTCTGGTAGAGTGATACGCTGCGCGTACCCTTGGGAGTAGTCTCGGCGGCGACACCGAGGAGGATTAACTCGGAGGTCGTAGCCACGACAAGGATGTGAGTAATGGTGCTGACGAAAATGCCAGGCTTTGGTGGGACCAAAGCAACCGCGTGGATGCTGTGGGGTTGATCCTCGAATCCAATCAGTTCAGGATCGGGCTGAGTGTAGTCCCACAAGAACAAGCTGTTGTCGATGACTACCCAAGCATGGTTTAACTCGGCAAAGAGACCCATGAGTGTTTGGAGCTGGCCGGCATTGATATGGTCGAAGACTTGGTTAGGAATCGGATAAGTTTGGGCTTTCTGGAAAGGAGCCGCGGGAGAATCAACAGAAGAGATATCGTAGTCAGAGGAAGCGCCAGCTGGGAGAAACGGAACGTTAGCAAGAGATGGCGCCAGGGGAAGGTTGGACATCTGCGAGGGGGCATCTCCTTACGTCTAAGGTAGGAGTCGAGATCTGGGAAGCTCCCGTCGGACTGGAGCACCATATTGATGGCCCTCGCGGCTTTCGCGACTGGTGAGGTTTGGCTCACTGGAGGTAGCTTGACCAAGGGATCGACTGAGGATCGGGGAAGGGGTAGTCCTGCCGAGGTGCCATGAGACGCGGTAGGGGCTGGCCCTCCCGTAGCGAGAGGGCCCGTTGGAGCGCCAGCAGAGCTCGCATCTGGGAATAACCGACGCCTCACAGGATCGTTACCAGTTGATGTAGATCGTACTATCGCAGGTGTGTTAAGAAACGCGCCGGGGACTGGTCGCATGGGGGTAGGTTGCGGAAACGACATGGCGGCGATGGGTGTGTGCGCGATGCCCGTCAGGAGTTGGACTAAAGATGAGGTCCGTAATATCGGAGCGGACTAGGAATAAAATATTCGAAAACAGGAATAGAATATTTGCAGGTTGGATGGCGCTGTTGGGACATCAATGCCACGGATGCTCGTCGATCGATGCCTGCGCTGCGGGATGGACTGGGTCACGGAGGAAGGCCCCTGTAGACGGGCCGGCCGCGAGAAGTGGAGATCGAGGAATCGAAATCCGGGATTACGGCCTACTACAGATGCAGTGACCTTTGCGACGGACGGGTGAGGGAGGGAACAAGGCTGCGTCGCCCTTCCTGGTGGTTGGTGAAGGTGGATTTCAAATGTTCGTGCAATTGCTTGTATTGGTGGCAGTAAAACATTTTCGGAAAAACATCAATCAAGGCTGAGCGAGCGCAAGCTTGGACCACTTCATTGCTCCAGCCTAACCAAGCAGGAGTGATAAAAAGTTGAACAAGACGCGGAAGTTTCGCGACAAGAAGGAAGAAAGTTCGCACTGTATACATTGGTACGTGAATACATACCTGCAGCCGAACAAACCTTCTTTCATGTGCTTTTTAACTTTTAGCTTTTAGCTTTTAGCAAGATCGATCCATTTTCCAGAGTTGATTCGATCATTTCCCAGACACCGGCAGGCAACAAATATGATTGATCCCGGTTCCTTGTACCTCTCTCTAGACATACTTAAATAGATTGAGCAATTTCAGACCGCAGTGAAGCCTTTCTTCTTGTGAAACAGAATTGTCTTTTGATATTATAATCCTACAAGGTAAGGCGTCGATAACATGCCCATGGCTGGGTCTCTAAGATCCCTAAAACCCATCCGGAACGCCTCCAGCTACTTGTATTCAGAAACATATTGCCATCGCCAGACCCATCCATTGCAGGTCCGGCGTTACACGAAACCGCCTCGTTCATTTTGACATTAACAGTCGACCGTGGTGCATGTCACTCTTGTTACTCTTGTCACTCTTGCACCCGGATACAGCGACATAAATGCGTGTCTCCAAACAACCAGTTTAGTTCTTCTTGGCCTCTCTCTCAGCCTTGCGCAAGGCTCGCTTCCGAATGTCTTGGTGCATTTTCAGGTTGATAGACACAGTGATAGGATGCATGGGGCCAATGGTCTTCTCGACGATCCAGAGGAAGAAAGCATGGGACCACCAAGGGGTGTAGGTGGAGGGTGCAATCTGGTAACTGCCTGTTCCAATCTTACCAAGAGCCGCCTTGACAAAGTTTCGGGGGTTGGGGATCATGACGCTCGATCGTCGGATCTTGGACATGGCGGTAGTGATGAGGTAGCTAAGGACAAGCTGGACATCGACACCCTGGGGTTTGAGCTCGGCCGCGAGAGACGAGCTCCAGTGCTGGAGGAAGGCCTTGCTACCAGAGTAGGTGGCAAGATAGGGGGTAGGAGTCCAGCCAGCGAAGGAGCCCATGGTGAGGATGAGACCCTTGCGGCGACGGGCCATGATAGGAGCAACCACCTGAGTGGTCTTCAAGGTTCCGAGGCAGTTGATAGTGACGATATCTTGCAACTCTTTTGGTGAAGTCTCCAAGAACGAGACAGGGATGGAGTGGCTCTGACCGACATTGTTGATCAAGATCCCAACGTCAAGATCGGCAATTGCCTGGCCCAGCGCCGCATAATCTTCATCACGGTCCTGGGAGTAATCCATGGCCACGATCTTGACCTGGAGACCCTTGGAAGAGAATTTCTCTTGTAGTTCGGCGGCGAGTGATTCGAGCTTCGAGCGAGTCCTGGAGACGAGAACAAGGTTGAAACCCTTGCTAGCTAGTTGAAGTGCGAATTCTTTGCCGAGGCCGTCGGAAGCTCCGGTGACAACAGCCCAAGTGCCGGGCTTGCCATATTTGCGAAGCTAGTTGAAAACAAGGCAGAATTAGTACCATAGTGTCGTGACAATGAAGTGAGAGACAAAAGGGAGGTAGGTTGGCCGGGGGTTGCATGGCGGGGGAGGGGTCTAGTTGAACGGAGCTCACATTAGATCCTGTGAGGAAGAAAGCAGCAAGAATCAGCTTGAGATAGCTGAGAAGAAAACAGCCAAGGGAGATAGACCCGACGCCGATCAAGAGCAATTGAACGGGCGTCGGGATTGCTGAAAGAATATCAGTAGCGGGCATTATGGCCAGGAGGAGGAGCCTTGGAATAAAGGCTATGAACAATCCAGGGGTAAAAAAAGGGAGATGTCGAGACCAAGACCGAGCTGGAGGAATTTACGAGGTACACGAAATGTTGAGATCGATGTTGACACGACAAAGTAAATTTAGGCCGTTTGCACACTGTGAAATGGACTGTTCACATCCCACCCGCTCCTTCCCGCTTTTTATTCTTGGTGGGACATCAATTGATCTCCATGTCTTGATGAGCTCCGTCAACGAAATAGTAACATTTCAGCGCAACATTCGAGCCCGAAGCCAATTCCAACCCTTTCTCGTTTACTACCTACCCAAGAAACTCATAAACAAGCTACGCTTGTTCTAGCAGAAACAAGAGAGAAGATCAATTCTCTCAACGAAAAGATGCTCTCTACACTCTCCTCCTGGCTCCCCAACCCAACGGGCTATTTGCCTTACTACATGCTCGTTGTATGGTTCAACCCCTCTCACTTCATCAAAACAAGCACTAACTCACAAAATAGCTCTCCATCATCTCAATTGGCAATTCTGCGCAGAACTTAATAACCCTGCACTACACAAGGCGGATGTATGACGCGCGCTTCGTTCGTAACCCAAAGCTTCCACCGGCGTCTCAGGGGTTCAACCCCGATGATTCCGTGAATAAGCTCGTACATGCACCGGCCGGGAAGGACGGCTCCGACCAAGTCACACCCCTTGCGGCACGCCTCTTTGGAACTTGGACTCTCCTCACCAGTGTCGTTCGTCTCTACGCGGCCTACAACCTCCACATCGGCCCCATTTACGACATAGCTGTCTGGACTTACGTCGTTGCGCTGGGCCACTTCCTGAGCGAGTTGCTGGTGTTCAAGAGTATGACCCTTGGCAAGCCCCAGATTTTCCCGCTCATTTTTGCCTCCACTGCCCTGATCTGGATGCCTAGCGTCCGCGACCACTATGTCCAGGTTTAGAGGGCCTCGGCGGTATGAATACGGTTTGTTTGACCAATATATCAATATTTGTGTATCTCAAATTCATATTTTTCCCAAGCACGTTCTATTTCATGAGAATCCCAAGTTTTGGAGCAGCGTGGAGCGGATAAATTTTTCTTTCTTATTTTTCTTCTCTTTAGTTATGGATGAATCGAGAATTGAGTCAACAAAACCTATAGGGATTTCCGGTAGAGTTCTCCTCCACAGTCTCGAAGGCGTGCCGCCGCCTGTTCAGGTGTTATATCTCGCTGCGGCTCCGCAAGCATTTCGTAACCCACTTGGAACTTCTTCACCGTCGCGGACCTTAGGAGAGGGGGGTAGAAGTGCATGTGCAAGTAGCTCGCGTTTATCTCTTCTGCTGTTCCATCCAATGGGGCTTGGTGAATGCCAGAGCCTAGGTTCAAAGAGATTAGCACCAGCGCTTCCTAGATAGAGACTATTGCGCGGCAAAGACTCAAACCTACTATATGGAAAGCTGCACTGGAAGAGGTTGTCGTATCGCCTCGTGACTTCCTGGATAGCTTCCGAAAATTGCAATCTCTCGTCATTCGTGAAATCCACAAGTGCCCTCACATGACGCTTCGGTATCACAAGAACCTCAAAAGGCCAGACGGCCCACCACGGCACGACAACCAAGAATCCTTCATTCTCCCAAACAACACGCTCTTTCTTATCCAATTCGACCTCCGCGTAGTCACCTAAGAGGTGTCTTCCCTCATTCTCCCCCAGATACTTCATCATTTGCCTAAGTTCAGATTGCGGCTCTTCTGGCATGGTCGACACGGTCCAGATCTGGCAGTGCGGATGCGGGTTGGAGCAACCCATGGCAGCGCCCTTGTTCTCAAAGATCTGCATATACCGTAGCTGAGAGCTTGGTGACGGAAAATTGGCGTACGGTGAGACAGGAAGGTTTTCCAGGGCGCGCAACCGAGATAACGAATTCTGGGGCGAGAGATGCTGCGCGTAGGCACGGGTCCATGTTTCAACGACAGGAAGAATTTCCTGGGCTGTCATGTCCGCAAGCGTTACGTTGTGCTTCGCTGCAAAAGTGAGAACATAGCACAGGCCCGTCGCTGGTTCCACCCTCAAGAGCCTCGACGATAAGTCTGTCAAGTCAGCTCCACCCATGGCCAAGACTTGGACTATTGATGGGGTTCTCACTGTTCCCATTCCTTTCGGGCGTATACTCGGCCTGTTGCTCTTTGACGGCACTGTAGTCGTTGACGAAGACGAAAATGTCCTTGTACTCAGGGTTTATTTCTCCTTGAGCCCTTGCATTGCCAGGACAAAGGTAGCACTAAAACTCGACGTATGAGGAGTCAGGGTGACGATACAATTTACACGACATAGCTCCCTACATGCCTTGGAATCGTATTCGGGGAGGTCTATTGTTGCCGGCGCCTCTTGCTGGCCCCTACCGTAGATGCCTTGCGTAAGCCAGCCTTGCTTTATGTGAAACTTAGACAAGGATAACATACTGCCACGGTCTTTTGGTTCTGTGAGGAGACACCAGTACCCAAGACCCTCTTAGGGGGTTGTGTCTCCGATGGGAGATGTCACTTAAAACATCATCCGACATAATCGAAGGGGCGATGATAGGAGCGACAGGGAGTAAGCCGTTGAGACCACGATGAAGCTCTCACGATAATGCTTGCGGGGATGGCTAGGCAAGGATTGAGTTTCAAACAACCGATCTTTGTCGGACCCCACTTCGGTGTGCGTGAAGACTTGGAGTTGCGTTAATTATTCGTCAAACTGAAGATCCCAATTACGAGCGCTTTCTCTCTACGTTAAAGCTGCTATGTCCCATTGATCAGACCTGGCCTATTATGCTCTATAAAAGCGTACGTGGGAGTACAAAGATGTAGACAGCCGCGCCAATCGCAGCTCCATGTTCTGCAAGAGCTTCCTGCCTGAGAGCGGTGTTCACATCATCCTTGAAAGTCAGCAGCGCTTGTTCACACGGGGGGAGGTGGTCGGCTAAACCTCGGTATATAAGAAAGTGGTTCGAGAACCAATGATGGGCCCCAGGATGGCAACTACCAGAATCCCGAAATCCAACGACGATGCAGACGACCTGGCAACATCCATCAATATCTTGACCTTACGAAGCAAATTCCATCAAAATACGCGTCTATTTCGAATCTTATCCCGTCAAGAGGCCATTTTTACGGGCGCATGTCCCCATAAACGCGCTTGTTTCGCGCCACCTCCCCCCGCCCAACTCACCCCCTTGTACCCTTTGAACGTGGAATCTGGGGCGGATTTTCTCCTCCCCAATTAATCACAACCCACCCTGGACGAAATGGGCGTCATCCGCAAAAAAACCGTCGTTCGGGGCGGCGAAGGAGGAGTGAAATATCATTGCGACGTCTGTTCGGCTGATATCACATCTACAGTGAGTAGTTGCCCCGGCAAGCCCAAGCATATGATGCCACATCAAGCTACCAAATATGGACCCGCATTTATGTCCGCCAATGTCCACCTTAATGCGCAACACCTCCCCCCCTCCCTTTTCTCATTCCTCCACACCTTCCGCACCTTCCGTTCTGGCTTGACTTTGTGTGTGCTGTGCACAATGCGATTCTCTGTTGCGCGATTCCTAGGTATCTGTTACTAATACAATTCAATTCCCCAGGTCAGAATTCGATGCGCACACAGCGCGTGCAGTGACTATGATCTCTGTGTCCAATGCTTCGCGAGTGGAGCGTCAAGCGGAGCGCACAAGCCTGAATCGCATCCATACCGGGTTATCGAGCAGAACTCGTTTCCGATATTCGACCGGGACTGGGGTGCGGATGAGGAGCTATTGCTCCTTGAGGGCGCCGAAATTTACGGCCTGGGGTCGTGGGCTGACATTGCGGACCACATCGGCGGTTTTCGGCACAAGGATGAAGTTCGCGACCATTACCTAAGCGCCTATGTAGACTCGTCCAGATTCCCTCTCCCAGAACGATGCAGTCCGCAAGACATGGAACTGGCAAACGAGATATCACGAGAAGAATTCCAGGCCAAAAAGAAGCGGCGCATAGAAGAGCGCAAGGAAGCCCAAAAGAACGCACCAGCACTCCAGCCAAAGACGAAACCTACAGCGAGTGTACCGTCGTGTCACGAGATTCAAGGCTACATGCCCGGTCGACTGGAATTCGAAACCGAATATGCGAACGAAGCGGAGGAGGCGGTACAACTGATGCAATTCGACCCCGGTGACGGCATCAATCCGCGAACCGGCGAGCTCGAACCCGAAATGGAGCTGAAGCTAACGGTTATGGAGATTTACAATTGCCGATTGACGCAGCGAGTCGAGCGGAAAAAGGTCATCTTCGAGCACAACCTCCTTGATTACAGAGAAAATACCAAGACAGAAAAGAAGCGGACGCGAGAGGAACGAGATCTTGTAAACAAAACGAAGCCATTCGCGCGAATGATGAACCACGACGATTACGAGGCTTTCTCGCAGGGTTTGATCGATGAGTTCAACTTGCGACAAGCGATAGCACAGCTTCAGGAATGGCGCAGTTACCGCATTGGCGATCTTCGCAGCGGCGAAAAATACGAACAGGAGAAGGCTCAGCGCATTCAGCGATCTATGCCTATGGGCTCGATGGACCGTGAGAGGCTGGCGACATCTCAGCGTAAGGCCGCCGCCGCCGTCCCTGACCCCCCAAGCGGCGCTGCTCTCCTCGTAGCACCCGAATTACCGATACGGTCCGCAGCATCTCCTAATGGCACTCTTGGCATCCCGAACGGCGAGGTTAAGAAGGAACCAACGACGAATGGCAAGGTTAATGGAACTGCCACAGCGAACGGCGGCAGCATCATCGTTACCAACGGTCCAGGCCCTGTAACTCGGCAGAGAGCCAACCCGCAACCCCTTTCCGGAGTTACGCCGCTTCAGCTGACTCAAGATAATGCTCCGGATCTCCACCTCCTGACCCCGGAGGAAATTAAACTGTGTGAGGTGGTACGGCTGCAGCCAAAGCCCTACCTAATGATCAAAGAGCAAATCCTCAAGGAAGCGCTGAAAGGGAATGGAACACTAAAGAAGAAACAGGCAAAGGAGATTTGCAGGCTCGATTCTCAAAAGGGCGGAAGGATATTCGAGTTTTTCATAAACTCGGGATGGGTTGGCAAGGCGTAACTTCATCCGGGCCGGCTTTCCGGATGGCTCTGCCCTCCCCTCCAACACAGATACCCGAACCATTTTTAAGTTTTTGTATTTTTATCATTTGAAGGTTTCAAGGCTCGGGCCTATGAGCACAGCGGTGGGGTTTTGGTGTTGCAATCGGACATGCTTTTTCTTTTTTGCTTATTGGGACTTTTCATGGAGGGGCTGGCAACCTGGACTTTGGTTATGATATATACCACGTAAGGCAATGAGAAAAGGAGATGAAATATAAACTTCCGCTTGTTCTTCATCGTGGTGACCTTGTGCATTCTTCGTGACTCCGGCTCCCGCTTGTCGTCTCGGAGGTCGCATGCGCCCATATGTAACACGCACGAGAGGGTGCCGCAGAAAGAGTCAGAATGAATAGGATAACCTGTTCATGGCCGGTCCCTCACACTGAAACGATCTCCGAAGACGATCATCGCAAGACAAACTAATCTTGTAGGCATAGGGTGCTAATCGGGGCGGATTCCTGTCTCGGACTGGGCAGCACAAAAGTCCAGCCGGGCTCTTCGGAGGAGCAGTGCAGCTGCAGCATCAAATGGCATCGCTTCTTGAAGAAAAAAATTTTCCTTGTGACCAATTCCAATAAAGCAACCTGAGGGGACCTCATGATCTGTAAGTATAAAGTCGAAGGCTCTCCAACTCCAGCCGTCAGCTTAGAAGTTTGGTTTATTATGCCTGGCTCATCTGCGTATAATTTGACCAACTTGATTGATATCGGTCTTGATCAAACACAGTGGCGTTGTTAAGTGGCACTGGCCCAGACCGTCATCCTCTCTCCACGCATAACAGTATCAAATCTATTTGTTTGCACATTATCTTGGGCTTCCTTCTTCACGTCCCTCGATTTTCTACGCGGCTCTATTTTGTTCTACGCAAAGTCCAACCGGATCGGCTTCGTTCTAATTATTTCCCTCTCTTTCCCACCTGCACTTTCTACAAGAGCAGCCGCAACCCTGCACTCCTTCCTGACCCCTCCTGGCGCCCGCTCTCTCATCTGCTTCGTCAAGAGAGCCAATCCAATCACTAGCTATTACGACCTACCTCATCTTTACATGCCATTTGCACCACTAAGTCACCGAGCTACAAATCTACGGGTTTCCATCAGTACGCTCTCCCGCAGCTACAGAATGCCTAGCATAGCGAGTCTTCGGCGGATTACCGCAAAATCCCTCTCGGACATGATCCTGGCCGAGTCGAGCGCCTCGGAGACCACTTTTGCGATAATAGACGTCCGAGACGATGGTATGTGCTCCAAATGGCCATCTTGGTACAGGAAATGTTCAAGGGTGTCCCGAATAATACTAACTCAAAGATCTTGCCCTTCAGACCACATTGGCGGCCATATCAAAGGCTCCATGAACGTCCCCTCACGAACGATAGACGCCATGATCCCCACCCTTCTACGGAAACTCGAGACCAAGCAAACCGTTGTTTTCCACTGCGCTCTCTCCCAACAGCGCGGGCCATCCGCAGCGTTACGGTATCTTCGGGAGGTCGAGAGGTTCAAGGCCGAACGATCTACAGCATCGTCGGAGGCGGAAGCGGAGGCGGAAGCGGCCAAGACGATAGGAAAGGCGGAGGAGAGAAGCCAGACGGTATATGTTTTGGACCAAGGGTTTGTGGGCTGGCAGGAGCTCTATGGTGAGGATGAACGGTTAACGGAAGGGTACCGGAAGGAGTTGTGGAAGAATGGATATTGGGGTTGAGGAGGGGTGGCTTTATTTGACTGGAGTGATGTTAGCCCCATCTGAATTTTGAAACAGCGGACCGTTCTTGGTGCTAGGAAGAGCGAACGTATCCATCGCGATGGTATGGAGACTTGAAGTCCAGAGGAAACGTTGGGGCCCATAGGCAGTTCAGGGTCTCATCTCATGGATCTATTGCGAGACTCTCTTCGCTGATTGGCATCGGGGATCGACTTCATTGTTCTCATTCAAGCAATAATCCGGGCATTGTGTTTCAGCTTGCTTCCACAAGCCAAGTGGACACCTTCCTACCACGGCTCTTTCTTGCCGCCGGGAGGGAACATGCATTTGCTTTCTCTGCAGCCGTACAATGTACGATATTTTCAGCAACAATAGAGATGGAATGATAAATCTGCGGATTTGCATTGTCCAAAAGGCGTTATTCATGCCGGCGCAAGTACAGGCGTCCGCCGCGTCGATCATGTTCGCATTCTAACTCAACCCGCATCCCCACCTTCTCTCGACTTCTAGAATTGATGCGTTCATGCTTGAGGCTTAGTTGTTCCGGAGATGGAGATATCGGAGGAACGCAACGGGCCAAGAAGATGCCATACATGTATCTGTATTATATGATACCTGCGTCGCTCTCTCTTCGAGACTCCCCACAGAGGGGGCAGCCACCTAGGAGAAGCAGATTCTCATGGTTACTTCCCCTGCTGGATTCCGGCCATCTCAACAATCTGCGGGCTCCAGCGGGCCATTCGACTTGAAGTTGCCCAATCCACTTTCTATTTTTGGCAAATTTTCTCTAGGTACCACCATGGCATACTATTTTGCAAGGCTGGTCAACAGAATCACTGTCCTTTCTGAGACTAAGGGGGACTGATTCGTATCTACTTGCGAAACGGTCAAAGGTCCGATTTGGGAGTGGCGGGCGTGGTATTCTTGGCCTACGGATTGACGGGATTCTTCCAATGCTCCCACGCCTCACCAACCAGTTCATGCCCGTTCCATAGTCTCGTACGTCGCCGGTTGGACTGAGAGTCCAGTAGGTCCACATAAACCGCTCAGCTGTTCAATGGTCTGAGGTGCAGGTCCGGCGTTGCACAGCCTTGGGAAGCTGGGGAAGTTCAGTCCGTGATGTTTGTAGTCCTGCTAATGAACGCAGAATTGAGGAAAGATGGGCGAAGATACCTACAATTCAACAAGTTCCAGGGTGAAAGGGGGCGGAGACACAATCAATATATCTAAAGGGGAACGGCAGCTCTCTGAGAGGCTCACACGCCTACCGTCTGGACGAATAAATGAAGTTACTATCAGTGTCTCAATGGTATCTCAACGTCTTATCTACATCTCGAAATCCAAGTCTACTCCCGAAAATACGAAGTGGCCGCGCAGACGTTATGCCACATGAAGTCTTTTTCAATGTCTCGCGGCTGGCTGAACCTATTTTCTCGGACGCACATTATATCTCCAGACCGCCACAATCATCCGTTGGCATTAGAAAAGAAAAGGGGAGTTAATCCGGGAAAAAGGCAGAGGCATCTCTAGCCAATGTAGCCACATTTCCGGTTTTACAACGTCTACTGGAACTGGGTAGATGAATCATAGGCGTCCTGGGGATAGGGAGATAAGGATGAACACTGAAAAGATACACATATGGCTCCAATCCTGACAGCCCATAGGGAGAGAATCTGTGACAAGCCGTTCATCGATATTCAGCTGCCAGTCATTCGCCCGCCAACGCCTCTATCACAACAGAATAGGCAGGGAAGCTACCCACGCCGCAAACTATAATCACGAAAGGGTTTCTCATGCTGAATCGAAATGGGGCACAACGGCGGCCGCCAGCTTTGACATAGCTTAGAGGCGCCCCTAGTCCCAACGAGAATGAAATGAAGGCATTTCTTCAAGGTGCTGCTAGATTCCCCAACCGGGCCGGAATATCTAGATTTAGCCGAGGCATCGAGGCTACTATCGGCTTCGTGTCGCGGCGACGCAAGGGGTCGCTCCAATATCCCTTTTGTCATGAATTGACCCAAACGGTCCCCTGCTCATGTCGATCCCAAATGTTTAGAGGTGAACTCATGACAGACAAGAACGGCGATGAATATACAACAGCGACACGAGTCAATCACATAAAACGGTCTGAATAGAGTAGGCCCCGATCTGCCTCTGCCACGAGGAGCGAAGTACGTAGGGGTACATGAGCCGCATGCGTACTATCCAGGTGCATGTGGCAAACCGCTTACTCTAGCCTCATGACACCGCCCTTTTTGCGAGTTAACCTTGCTTTTGGCCGGGCTAGGTGAATTGTCTTGCAGATTCAGCTGCCGCTATACGAGTTATAGACGGGACGCAAGGGGTGTTGGACTACTTGGCAATGTGAATGTTCATCATGCCAAAGTCGAAAAGGCTGAGGACTGTTGGACAAACTCTTCAACAGCAATGACACCCCGCAATCTGGAGGCCAAACCAAGAAGCCCCCCGATGGAGATCAATGTGACCGTCCGGCTCCGAGCCACCTGCATAACATGGAACCTGTTTGTCAGTTTGTTAAATGAAAATCTTCCTGAATACGCACACAATAGCTACTCCCCGCTCTATCTCTATTGATTATTGTATTGAATGTAGAATCACTTTTAGCGTTGCAAACATTACAAACAAACATTTCAAACACCATTGACCTCCACTTTTTCCGTCCGGTTCTTAGAGACAGTTTCGATAAGCTACTGCAAGAAACCTGGCAAGTATCGTCCCAACATCGTGGCTGCTTCAGAATGCGCAGGCTGTGGGGCACTGGGCAAACATTCCACTAAGAGCCGTTGTCTACAGTAGAATGAGCCTTGATGCAGGGTCGACCAAAGGAGAGGTCGCTATTGGAGCCAGAAGTCCCACCAATCTCGGTGGAAGAGCGTCTCCGAAGTCCTTCATACCAGTGGGGGCCAGACCGTTGAAAGAGCGGTGTTGTCTTTTGTGAAACATACATCGGACTAAAATATTCCTAGGACGATTTACCGAAGGAGTCGTTTACGATTCGGTAGCAGATTTCCGATCCAGGGCGGCAGCGGCGCGGAAACTAATAAATCTTCAACCTGTATTGTGCTGTCGATTGGCCCACGTGCGGTAGATTCACTGGCTTCACCGAAGAAGACGCCAGCAAAATAATGTTAGAAACGAGATAGGCATGCATGCGTAAGTAATGATGGGTCGAGAACTTAACCAGTAAGTTCAAGGAGCGGCCCTGGCATCTCACGCATCGAGAGGTACCGTAAACCGAAGCAAGGGAGAGACCCTCACGTCGAGTGTCGTCGCCCGACCAAAGAACCAGCAACCACTTCGAACCACTTCGTACTTGGGCTCGGAGCCCTCGCGTCCCAGCCTACGAAGCAAAAATTCCGACAGGCTTAAAACTCCGGCCTGTACTACTTTGATCTCCACTGGGTAGGGTAGTATCACCTCGACCACCTCCTTGCTATCTGCCTCCCCCCGGGTTGATCTCATGCTGGGGATTGGGGCCGTAAAGCAGACGGGACATAGTGGATGTGCCTACTCCCGCCTCCTAATAACCGATAGGACCGTAGGCTTGCATAATACGTGTAGCAAGACCTGCAGCGAGAGTAGATGGCTTCCCCTGTGGCGAAACCGGGGAACTGTGGCTTTGTACACGGTCTAAGCCAGGAGCTCCCTTTCATTCGGAAATTGTTACGAGAGCGTCTCGGAGCAGATAAAATATGGCCTTTTTCTCTGGAAACGTATCTGAGAAGGACTGTGTCATCATTGAAGAAAACGGTGATTCCACTCCGTGCTCTCTGGAGTACAGAGTCAACGTTCAGGTGACATGAATGGGTGGGTGCCCTGGTTAATCTCCTGCGAAGCCAACGCCCGTCCCCGGATCTCGGGAATGCAAAACGATGTTTTGTAGATTATGTAGTATCACCGTGATAGTCAACACAAGACATGGAGGGGGCGGTCACACCTCCGATTGCCGAAGGAGTACATATTTCAGTTCTGGTGCTACTGCATATATGGTACATACGCACAGCTTACTCTCTTCCTGGGACTTCATTTTGCTCGGTCCTGGTTGGCTTTGATTCAGGCTCCCTCGTTAGAATCGAAGGACGTCAATTGAGCGCTCAACCTTTCCGCAGTGATGGGTAGCCAGGAAGGTCATTATGCTAGTGTTGAATGGGGAGGCGAACGCAAGGGCGACAAGAAATGCATCAACAAATGCATCAATAGATGTGTCAATGTGTCAACACTTTAGAAAACCGGGATAGGTCTCTACATGTAGGACTTAAGTCGAGAGAGGTGGCGCTCAACCCCTCCAAAAAAAACCTTCGCCCTACGCGTATTATTAGCTTGCGACCTTTTGTGGTCATATCGTTGATCTTTGATTGTCGAAAAATGACTCGGGACTTGGGTGGCTCTGGCCCGGCCGGTGTGCCGGGGAAACTGTGGTGGCCGGTTCTGTGCCAGGACCCGGGAATCGGATGTTGCCGCATTTCAACTCGCACTAAGCCAAAACTGGAATCTCGACTTGCTCCTTCTCACTCAGAATGTGCGGTCTTGTCACCGATCGTAAGCATTAAAGTCATCATTGATGGCTTCTTACCCTTTGCCGTATGGCTCCTTAAATGGAGCATGGGATGTCTGGTGCCAACAAACATCCACCTTCTCCCTGTCTCCCTGACATGGAAAGACCACGAAGTAGGGCTGGACGACATAAAACCACAAATTTGGGCTATTTGGATCCACTGTTGGAATATTTGCAGGGATATGGAAACAAAACTTAGCTCGGACCTGATCGGACAATCCAATACCGTCGGATGTCACGGAATTCCCAAAATGCCACTGTAAAACAGGCCTTTTTAGACGGCAGAGGGTCTTCCGAAGTCGCACCAAGGTCACACCATAGAAAGGAAAACGTTTTGGAAATGGGAACTGGTTTCGGCTAGGGTTTGTGACGTAGGAACTGTTTCGGCAAGGAAGAAATTACTAGGATAATTTCCATGGAATTGGCCCACTCTTTCCAACATAAAACGGAAGGCAGCGAAGGGCCAATTCCTTCCTATCTAGTCAATACAACAATGGCTCCTTCCACAATTATTTAATATCCACCTCTGGTCGCTTCTTTGGTGTATCTCGAGATTTGATCGCCCGGGGCGAAGAATAGTCATTTCCGCCATATAGGCAAGGCCCACCCTTGGGCATGTGTCTCAAACTGCGAGCTTTTCTTCATGCAATGTATTGTCGTGTCGTGCTTGCCGCCTACTCCATAGCTCCTGCTCCTGCCTGAGTCTAATGTTCGAAGGAGGAGGAAGGAACCGCGGACCCGGCTTCCAATGATGCTATACTTGTGTAATCAATCGCACCTGTCAGCAAGGTGACATCGGACATTGGATAGTGGAGAACTGAAGGGGGAAATGGAGTGTTTACGTTTGTTGTTTCAGGTGCTCTCTGCACCATACTTTTTCAGCAAAATTCCGCACTCTATACTTCGTACAACATTGGAGAATACCAGGGACCGTGTTGCACTTCATTCCCATCGCGATCATGGAATGGTTATTTGGATCGACTTGGCGATTCGAGGGAGACTGACAACTGGCCTTTGAGAGGGGCCCATCTCAGCTAATCGAACCGAGCCATGGTCAAGAGTACTCCGTAGTTGGTATACGAGGGATTGGACTTGGGATCTCTTTTTTTAGCCCCGAGTTCCGCGGACCTCACTTATTGTATGGGTTGACGCGCGAGTCGTGATTGAGCCCTTCCTTCCAAAGGTGGCGGCTGAAACGGGAAGCAATACCGGTCCAGACCACGAGAACGAGTTGGCCCCGGAAGGAGCAAGTTAAACGGTTGAGCTTTCGTCATTTCCATGAACGAAGTAGGAAGGTACTTGCCTAAAACCGGAAGGTACAACTAATTACGAGACATTGATCAACTGATCTTCTCTTCTGTTCTCCCGAACCGCTTACAAGTGACCAGAACTGAGGTCTTCTGTCACCCTCTTCGGATGATGGTATCTCGTCGGTCCTCATCGGCGCGGTCCCTCTTCAACGCCTCCGCCTAGCCATACTGTCGGATTCGGGTTGTATTGAAGACAGCCCAAGCGAACCATTGGACTGGACAAATCAGAGCGCGTATTGAACGCCATCTCCGTGTTTCGTTGGCGCTAATTCAGCATTGATTGATTGATTGATTGATTGATTGATTGAGAGGATTTACATCAACCCTTCCTGGATCATCCTCGCTTTGACCGGGCGCCATGCTGGAGCTGCATATCCCCTCTCCAAGCTCACCCTCCCTTGATTCTCCAACGCTGGTCTAGGCATTGGCCATATCAAGAAATGCCTCCGGTTTCTTTTTCTCTCATTGATCCTGGCCAGAGAGAATTTGAGGACCTGAACTGTGAGTGTAAGCCAACTCCTCGGTTGAAATACATCTGATATTTGATATTTCCTTGGGATGTCAAGATTCTCCGGAGTCCAACATGCTTTTCATTCGGACGCACTCCTCAACTCGTACTCGGTCACGGCATTCCTCTTTCAGGGAGCTGCATCGTCATATCTGCTTTCTTCACTCATATATTTTTGTTCATTTTCTTTTCATGACCCAAAGGCCGTTCTGAGTGGTTTTCTTGGCACTACCGTCATACCTCCACTTTGGCATGATCCCGGATCAACGTCCCTTCTCGCGGAGAGTTTCTTTACCTCTCAAGCTTAATACTCGTTGCCAGTTTACATGTAGCCTACGAATAAACCTATTGAGTTTCCAATCATTTCATTTTCTCAACAAAGTGCAGCTTGATTTTGCTCAGAATCGGGCATTGTTCCCTTTCTCAGAATACTACTTATTGCTGTTTCTCAATGAAAGGTGGAAATATCTCTCTACATGGGAATCGCGTAAATGCATGATCTGGAGAGAATCCTGCCTCCCCGAAGCCTTGCTCCATCAGTCCAACTGGTCGCGCTGTGAGCAGTCGGTATCAATATTACCCGAAGCCTCCGCTTTCCTAGGGAGCCGCCCCGTCGAACGGCTTGGCTTTCCTGCAATCACTACCGACGTCAAAGTCTAGCCCGGTATACACCGGTCCTTGAGTGCTGTTCCATCATCACGGCTATCGGTGGTATTTCTCAAGAAACTGCAGGCCGGAACTGCAGGTCGGCCCGGGTGTAGCTGTGAGTCGACACACCCAACCAGCCAACCAACCGACCAACCACAGATACCGAAGGCCCGAATGGCACCTTTCCTCTGCATAATAGGGATTGGTGTCACTCTCTGAATGCATCAATCAATGCTCGCTCTGCGCCTGCCGCTCGAAGTTGACGTCCGGTGGCCTCTGCCAGCATCCCTTTGAGGTGCCTGTTTCCTCAATGCCCGGTCCGCTTTCCGACTATTATTCAATTGTCCTGTCCTCTCCTTCTGCTCTTCCCTTATTTCCCTCCTTCTGCGCCTATCATAATTACTTCACCCGGGCGACTGGGTGGACCATATGCCCCCTGCAGAGAAGCAAGGCGTCATCGATCTGCCAGACACCTGCGGAAAGTGCAGTGGGCTTAAGGAATGACGTGGCTCATCCCCCGTTTCTAATTTCTCATTGTCTGCATGTCTTCTTCTTTCCACCGTTAGTATAGCCAGCTCAGGGTATAGATGCCGATGCGAGTGTACCTTCGTCGCGTGGGGTACCTGTCCTGCAACTATGAAGATCGGAGTCGAGCTGATGCGGCGTGCAACGGACCATGCGGTGTAAGTGGATCACCGGCATCATGGCCTCTCCCTCTACATGTACATGTTCGACGGATCTAATGACCGTGCTTTCTTGAAAATATGCCTCCTGGAATGAAATGCCGGCCGCAATGGGAACCGTAACCATCATCTCACGGATACGGTCTTCGTCTTTTTCACACCTGCTTTCCGAAGTCCTCTTCAACCTCACGAAAAGAAATGTGGCTTTGATTTCTCCTTCAGCTGGCCAACTGCGGCCGCATATAACCCTAACTATACTGCCTTTCTGTTTTGATTCCTTTTTTTGGTGAATACTGGCTTCTCCAACATAACCCACTTTCGATGCCTCTAACGAGCAGCTGCAAAGGGCACCAACTCGAATCTATCTTCCGAGGCTGTTCATGTTCTGCTTTACCCAGTCAATCCAACTACATCTAAGTGTTTGCGGATAGCCGATGCATCCCCTCCCTGCCCATGACGTCCTTGTAATCGTTCACAGTTCACAATCTTGGCCTCCTTCCGCGGCCCTTTCAGCAGCAACTCAAGTCTGGGAAACTGGAATTCTAACCTGTGCAAATCTGAAGAGGACATGATCCTTGCTCTATAGATGGTGGTGTGGCCCCCGGATTACCCTTTTTGCACCTACCCTGCATCGCCAAGTCAAGTCCAGGACCGAGCTCCATGAACTTCGTAAACAAGAGAGCTTGATGGTCTACATCCAACATCCCTTGCGTTCTTCCTTGCGTCTTGCCTTGCATCTTTCATCAAGATCCCCATCAATAATCCCCCGCATTGCATATGAGACTCTCTCGAACGGTACATGAAGTACACTTCAAACCAACCTCGTTTATACCTCCACATGGGGCCCTACTAGCACTCATGAAAGTCCGTTCGTTTTCACATAAGATCCCGACGTTCTCTCTTGCTACCACGAGTGTGGGGACACAGTCTCTGTCTCCATCTGTTTCCGACACTTTAAGCTAAAGCTCAAATCATCTTTCAACGAAATCAGCACAGGGAGACCTACAATGACTACTGAGTTTAAGACTGGCTTGGCCACGCCTCGGCAGGTTCCCCACACGCCGCCCGACCTTGACAAAAGGGCGTATGATTCTTCTGCAGTAGCTGTTTGTGGGATTGGTCTCCGTCTTCCGGGAGGCATACGAAACACCCAAGACTACTGGGAGCTTCTCATCAACGGTCGAGATGCTCGTGGTCCCATACCTTCGAGTCGTTATAATGTCAAAGGCTTTGATGGCTCCCTGGGTGGCAGAGGAGCAATCAAGACGAATTTTGGGTACTTCTTGGATGAGGATCTTTCGGCGTTGGACACAACTTTCTTCTCGATGACTCGGAAAGAAGTAGAGAGTTGTGACCCCCAGCTGCGTCACCTTCTGGAAGTGGTGAAGGAGTCTCTCGATGACGCTGGGGAAATTAACTACAGGGCCCAAACGGTCGGCTGTTATGTCGGCACATTTGGCGATGATTGGATGTTGATTGGTTCCAAAGAGACACAGCATCAAGAAGGTTATGGATATCTATCTTTCGGGAATGATATGATGCTTGCCAACCGTGTGTCATACGAATTTGATTTTAGAGGTCCGAGGTATGTTGGAGAATGGCAAATGTGGCTCACATCCCACAGCCCTACCGCTATTACATTCTGGTCTCCCCAAGAAAATGATGTATACTAATGATTGATACAGCTCCGTTGTGAAAACGGGATGCTCGGCATCACTTGTGGGCCTACACGAGGCCTGCCGTGCGATGCAAAACGGTGACGCAACATCAGCCATCGTCGCTGGTACTAGCATCATACTGACCCCAACCATTTCGGCATCCTTCACCTCGGAAGGAATCTTGTCTCCCGACGCATCATGCAAAACTTTTGATGAAAGGGCAAATGGATTTGCACGAGCGGAAGCAATCTGTGCCATATATGTCAAGCCTCTTGGGGCGGCGCTCCGCGATGGCAATCCGATTCGTGCAATCATCAAGGGAACAGGGACAAACTGTGATGGCAAGAGTGACGGATTACTGAAACCAAGTGCGATTACCCAGGAGGCCTTGATACGATATGTCTATTCTGAGAATGGGCTGAATCCAAGTGATACAGCCTACGTCGAGGTAAGGTAGCCATTTCCTGTCCCACATCTTTCTCGTTCCTATACACGACCCGACTCATATCGGAAACGGTGCGAAGTGGTCTTGTATGCTGTGGAATTGGTAAATCCTGCTCCCTAAATGGGCATAGGCCGTTGCTAACCCGAGGTTCGACTTCAGTGTCATGGTACCGGCACCTCAACAGGAGACCCGATCGAGGCCAACACCGTGGGTAAAGTCTTCGGGGCTTCCGGGGTCTACATTGGCTCCGTAAAGCCCAACGTCGGCCATGCTGAGGGAGCTTCTGGTTTAAATAGCCTCATAAAATGCGTGCTGGCACTCGAAAACAAAATCATTCCACCAAACATCAAGTTCGAGAAGCCCAACCCCAAGAGTAAGTTTGGCGAGGTTGCATCTCGGAAATACAACATGTTTCCCATATGAAAGGCTTTCAATGCAAAACTGATCCTTACTTCCTCTACCATAGTACTCTTCCAAGAGAGGAAACTTCAAGTGCCCATTCAGCCGACTCCCTTCCCTTCTGACAAATTGGCTCGCATCAGCATCAATTCTTTTGGCATTGGGGGTTCAAATGCACATGTACGTGGGCTTCCTGTCCCAAGATTCTCGTGCGAAGGATCTAACGGCGCTTCAGGTCGTTCTTGACGCCTTTGAGCCATTTGAACCAGCTACTTTCTCTCCTCAGCAGCGCCGTATGAACCTTCTTCTCTTGTCGGCAAACACGCCAAAGTCACTAGAAACAAATGTGGACAAGTACCGCGCCTTCATTGGGCAAAACGCTGAGATCCATACATCAGACTTCGCTTATACTCTGGCTCTACGGCGAGAGAAGCTCGCTCATAGGGCCTTTGCTTTGGTTCATGATGGCACCATCACTAACGTATCAAGCTCCACGCATTCATCTGGAGTGCAGCCTCCCGTATATTTGATATTCACCGGACAGGGGGCTCAGTGGGCTGGCATGGCGAAAGAACTCATAGAGGAGGATGGACTCTTCAAGAAGGACATTTGTTTCATGGATGCTGTCCTGAGTCAGGCCCTGCACCCTCCATCGTGGACGATTCTCGGTAAGATGACCACATCTACCCGCACTTCTTTCACGGCTGTGGCCCGTTCTAACAAACTTCACAGAGGAGATCAACAGGCCTGCGGGAGAGAGCAGGGTTAACCTGCCAGAAATTTCTCAACCTTTGTGTACGGCTATCCAAGTTGCGCTCTTCAACCGTCTCTCCCACATGGGGATCCGCCCTACCTGTGTAGCAGGTCACTCTAGTGGCGAGATTGCGGCTGCGTATGCTGCTGGTGCCCTCTCAATGGAAGCTGCCATTATCACTGCATACTATCGTGGCTATGCAGCGGCCAAGCTGGCTGCTGACGGGACCATGGCGGTAGTAGGACTCTCTGCCGCGGAGATCACGCCTTTTCTTTTAATGGGTGCTGTTATCGCATGTGAAAATAGCCCGAAGAGCACAACCATTTCGGGGAATCGCACAGCAGTCTTCAAAGTCCTCGAAAGGATCAAGGCTGTATGGCCGGAGGTTTTCACGAAACCGCTAGGTCTCAGTATCGCATATCACTCTCGTAAGTCTCGTACCTTTTGCCTCATCAGTCATCTAATATATTAACCGTTTGGCATTAGACCATATGCTTGCGATTGGAGATGCATATGCCGATCTTTTGCAGCGGGAGTTTCAGAGACTTGATACGTGGTCGGGTGTTCCTTCAGTACCTTTCTTTTCCAGCGTTACAGGCCAAGCTCTTGATGATTCAACCATACTTGGGCCCGGATACTGGCTCTCAAATCTCATCTTGCCCGTTAGATTTTCGACAGCCATATCTTCACTCTTGCGTACTCTGGGCAGTGGCCTCTTTCTCGAAGTTGGACCTCATGGCGCTCTCGGTGGCCCATTGAGACATATTTCAAAACAAGAATCGCAGACGTGCTCCTATGTCTCTACGTTGACCCGTGGAGAGGATTCCTTCAAAAGCTTCCTGATCTCTATTGGAAAGTTATACCAAGAATCTCTCAACGTTAACGTGGCGTCTCTTTATCCCAACGCAAAAACTCTACCGAATCTCCCCACGTATTCGTGGGATCATAGCAAATCTCTCTGGTACGAGAGCAGAGTCGCCAAAGACTGGCGATTCAGGAAATACCCTCACCATCCTCTTCTGGGTATTCGTACTCCGGAGACGTCTGGGGTCCACCCACAATGGCGAAATGTTTTGTATCTGGGAGATGTGCCTTGGCTCGTTGACCATAAGATTCGGCAGGACATCGTATTCCCCATGGCCGGGTATATATGCATGGCCGGAGAAGCAGCACGACAGATCATGGGAGGAACCGGTGGCTATAGTGTCAGACATGTTGTTGTGAAATCGGCCCTGGTGGTTCCGGATGCCGTCGGAACTGAAATTATCACGGCTTTCCGGAGACACAAGTTGACGGACAGCAATGAATCCGAATGGTTCGATTTCAGCATCACGTCCTACTCCGGGTCTATCTGGATCACCCATTGTGAAGGACAGGTTACAACCATTTCTACCATCCCAGGGACTTCTCAACCACCTAAGAACTTGCCACGTCAGGTCTCAACCGCACGATTCTATGAGAGGCTCTCAGAGGTCGGCATAAACTTTGGACCTTGGTTCAGGCGACTTAGAAACGCATCGTCTTCGGTCACTGAGGACTGTTCCACGGCTGAGGTTGAAGGTCCCAACCAAGGGCAACATGACACGTCGTATGCCCTCCACCCCGTGGTTATAGATGCCTCATTCCAACTTGCGATAATGGCAGGAGTGAGGGGACTGGGCAGAAAATTGACCAAACTTCGTCTACCTACGCTTCTTGATCGGGTAGATGTCCTCCCAGGTTCTGACATCATACAGGCCGTTTCCAGGGCCCCTAGAGGCGACGGATCGGAGGTTGTGGAGTGCTCTTCTGACGGCTTACTGGTGCTGAAAGTTTCAGGGCTTCATACAAGCATCGTCGATGATGGCGGTGATGTCGACGATTCGGACCCGCATGCCGCAGCGAGACTGGAATGGGTTCCCGATTTTGACTTCGTTGATCCCGCGCCGCTCCTCAAGCCTGCTGATTTCAACACTGATGAAATCCGCTTAATTGAGGAAATGGCATATCTTTGCGTTCTGAACACCTTGGAGAGGATTGAGGGCCTCGAGCCAAGTCAACCGCACTTCCATATCTATCGGAGGTGGCTGAAGCGAGAGGTCAACCTGTCAGAAAATGGCGGCAATGCACTCGTTCCCAATGCCGCTGCGTTCTCGAAGATGAGTACGGATGAGCGATGCCGTCGAATCAACGATCTGTATGAACTGCTTCTAAAAATGGGCAAGAAGAGTCTCAGCCTCGGCCTGAAGCGAATTTTTGACCATTTCGATCAAATATTCACCGGCAAGGCGGAACCCATTGATCTCCTCACACAGGATGGACTGTTGACGGAGCTATATAATGCAGTCAGCTTCGGATACGGCAATTTTGTTCGTATTCTGTCTCATAGCAGACCAACACTGCGAATCCTGGAAGTTGGCGCCGGCACTGGAGGAACGACCGATCTTCTTCTCCGTGAATTGGTCCACAACGGCTTGCCTCGATATTTGAATTACACTTTCACCGATATCTCGGCTGGGTTCTTCTCGCAAGCCAAAGAGCGTTTTTCATACGCTCCCAACATGGAATACAAGGTACTTGATATCACGAAAGATCCTCTCGGCCAAGATTTCCAACCCTCTTCGTACGATCTCATCATCGCCGCTAACGTGGTTCACGCAACTCCATCCATAAAGGAGAGTTTATCAAACCTAAACAAACTCTTAAAACCGCGAGGAATGCTGCTCCTTACTGAGTTGTGCAGCGAGCTTCGTGTCGCCGGATATATTTTCGGCACCTTCTCTGGCTGGTGGCTTGGGCAGAACGATGGCCGAGAATTCTCTCCCTATGTGGAAGTTACCCGATGGGACCAGGAACTGAAAGGAACTGGTTATACTGGCGCCGAGACAGTTGTATATGATGGGTCGCCGCCATTCACTTGCTGCAATACCATCCTTTCAAGGAAAGTATGGGACGAGCCTAAGCCGAACCATAAAGTGTCTCTCCTTTCCTCGACGCCTTCCACAGGGGTTGCACAAGTCATCAGAAACGCGCTTGAGGAGAGGGGCATTGAAGTTACGGATATCACAATCGGGGGCGAGGTCCCCGAGAATCAGGAGATTATTTCCTGCCTTGACCTCGAAGGAAATTTCTTCAAGGATATCACTTCGGAGGACTTTGCAGGATTCCAGGCGCTTATTTCCCATTTCAAGTCGCGGAGGACCCTTTGGTTGACCAACCCCGTCCAGATCAAATGCAACGATCCGTGGTCAGCGCCATGTCTAGGCGTAACACGAAGTCTCCGTTCTGAGCTTGAACTCCCTATCTTTACTCTGGAGATTGACGCAGAAGAGGAAAATTTTTCGGCTCTCGTGCTTCAAGTTTTTGACAAAATTCGAAGGGAAGACCCCCCCGAGAACCTAGAAACAGACAAAGAGTTTGCTGTTTGTAATGGTACAGTCTGTATTGGGCGCTATCAGCCATTTTCGGTCGTAGACGAGATGGCCGAGAAGAGCGTTCAGACAGTGAAGAGCACTGTCGCCCTTGACATCGGGAAACGTGGTTTATTCGAGACTCTGCAGTGGAGGCGACGGGAAGCCATCGACACAGTACCTGATGACTCGGTTGAGATTGAATGCCGCGCTGTTGGCCTCAACTTCCGAGATGTCTTGATGGCTATGGGCGTGATACCAAAAACCTCCTCTCATTCGGAACTCGGCATTGACGTTTCAGGGGTGATTGTGCAAGCTGGGCCTAAGGTCAAGGGTTTGCGTGTCGGCGACCGCATCTTTTGTATTGCCCCTGAAGGTTCACTAGCGACGCGGATAGTACTTCCGAGCGCGCTAGTCAAGAGAATACCGGATACCTTGAGCTTCGAGGAGGCAGCGAGCATCCCAGTCGTATTCACGACAGCGTTGCAGGGTCTGATCAACATCGGCCGCCTCGAGAAAGGTCAAAGTGTCCTCATTCATTCAGCATGCGGAGGCGTTGGTCTGGCAGCGATTCAAGTGGCTCAGATGGTCGGCGCCGAGATATTCGCGACGGTTGGAGATGAAGAAAAGGTGACGTACCTCACCAGAGTGTTTGGGATCCCGAGGAACCGAATATTCAGCTCCCGGGATGAATCCTTCTACGAAGGAATCATGAGGGAGACGAACGATTCCGGTGTAGACGTTGTCCTAAACTCTCTGTCTGGTAGCCTGCTTCATACGTCCTGGAAGTGTGTGGCGCCGTTTGGGATGCTTGTGGAGATTGGAAAGAGGGATCTTTTGGAGCACGGCAAGTTGGACATGAATCCATTCCTCGCCAACAGGACTTACTTCTGCTATGACGGGATTGAGGTTTCCCGTAAACGACCTGAGACTATGGGAAGGTAGCTATTGCCGTTTCACTTTCTCTCTTTCCCAGTCATTGTGTATGATTAATCCCCCGTCATCTTCATCCACTAACAGGCTGTCGGCAGGCTACTGGAGAAATTCCTTGGGCTTTATGAGGCGGGCCTTCTTCGGCCAGTGCCAGAAATTGCAACGTTCGACGCATTGAAGGCCGAAGCAGCCTTCCGATTCCTTCAAGACGGGCGTCATATTGGCAAGGTCGTCATCTCATTACCGCGGGAACTCGACACAATATACAGTCCGGCCCATTTGTCTTGTCGCACACTTCAGTTCGAGCCGGCAGGCAGTTATCTCCTCATCGGGGGACTTGGTGGGCTTGGTAGGGTGACGGCCACTTGGCTCGTCGAGAGGGGTGCTCGTTCTCTAACTTTCTTATCACGGAGGGCTCAGAGTGAAGAGAATGCAGGATTTATCGGAGAATTAGAGGCTATGGGATGCAAAGTCGTTGCCGTGTCTGGCGCGGCGGAAAACCTCGAGGACGTTGAGCGGGCCATCAAGGAATCCCATGCACCTATCAAGGGGGTATTCCATATGGTAATGGCATTAGAGGTAAGTCCCCCATCCCCGCCCTAATGGGGCAAAGATTTCGCGAAGATTTCGAGAGGAAATAGCTTTAACACGCGATTATAGGATGCGCTGTTTCCGGAGATGACGTTGGCACAGTGGAATGGGGCCATGAAACCGAAAGTTGACGGCGCGTGGAACCTTCATACTGCCCTTCTTAACCACAAGCTGGACTTTTTCTTCCTGGCAAGTTCTATCATCACGGCTGTTCATCAGCCAGGGCAAAGTAACTACTGTGCAGCCAACGTCTTCCTAGAAGCGCTCTGCCAGTATAGACAGGGCCTAGGACTGCCAGCATCCGTTTTGAGCATCTGTCCGATCCTTGGCTCCGGATTTGTGGCAGAAAGTGCCCAGGCACAGCGAAATATGAGAGCACAGGGGATCTACAACCTGAACGAGCAGGCGTACCTCGACTATGTCGAGCATTCGCTACTCCTCAACACGACCCAGCTTGCACCAACGGGGCCATTAACAACTAACCTCACACCATGGAAGAACGATGCTCACGTCATCATGGGGCTTCGTTCGGAGACGGATCTCGAGGACCCTTTCAATCGGACAAACTGGCGGAGAGACAGGAGGATGGGAAGTTATCATAACGTACAGGGAGACCGAGTAACCAACACTACGACAGACCTGGACGAGCTGAAGCTGTTCCTGTCGAGGGCGCAAGAAGGCAAGGCGGCTCTCCTATCGGAAGAAGCGATCTCCTTTCTCGGCCAGCAGATTGGGCGCAAAGTTCACAGCATCATGCTTCGCCCGGAGGGAGAGGAGGTTGATCTTGCAGCTAGCCCAGCGCAAATGGGAGTCGATTCGTTGATGGCGACGGAGCTGAGAAGATGGTTCAGACAGGTGTTTGGCGTCAAGATGGGTGTGTTGGAAATTCTCAGCGCATCGTCGCTTACACAGCTTGGTCGGGCTGTTGCCGAAGGTTTGTCAGAGAAGTTTGGAGGCCGTAAGTGAAGCGGTGATAATGACAGGGAGGAGCAAAAAAAACGTTGAGGGATCTCAACCAGATGCTGGTGGATGTGGTTTCCATTGGGGGTGGTTCCGACCAAACCGATGGGATAGATGCATGGGTTCCCCAGCTGTTTCCTATTTTGGGCTTCCTCTGACAGGGGGCACGGTTTCATTTTCTGTTCATCCTGGTATAATTCTGGTATAATGCAGTTAATTATGAAGTGCGAAGGACGAAGTATTGATTTAATTGATTGAGGCTACGAAGTACGAAGTACATCGAAGGACAAACATTGAATCGTCTCAACGACGCCGCGATTGGGTCTTCGGTGAGTCAAGCTTTCCTTCCCTGTCACAGACCCAAGACCGAGGACAGTGCAACTGCCTGCAAAATGACATCATCTGCACGGTCTGCCAGTAAGATTCCGATTCTGGACCCGGCGTGCCCTTTCCCTTCGCCGCTTCTGGCAAGCTGCAGCCAATCGGAGGCGAGGTGCTAAAAAAGCAGGTTGCTCAATGGTAGCTCCTGCCCCGCCCCCGCCAAACTGCGCTAGTCACAATTGCGCAGTTGCGAAAGTCACCGTTTGTCTCGCTTGTTTGCGTCTTCAGCCCACGAGGAAACCACGATTGTTTCTTTTGGCTGTCGGATCTCGTTGGGCCCACACCGTCTTTCTCTCTTTTCCCATCTTTGAGATTGCTTCCTCGTCCGTCCTTTTGCTTCAGTGATTTTGGTGATTTCTTCTGTTCTAGACTTCTCCCTCGTTGGCTCAAGCTTGCCTTTGCCTTCCTCTCTTTCCCCTTCCGGCGCGTTAACTCTTTACAAAAAGGGACGACCACCCCTGATCTGCCACCACCAAGCCAGCCGAACGGCCTGCTTATCTCTTGATTCCTCATCGGCGGCTCAACCTGGACAACATGGCAGACCAAGCACCTAAGAAAGAATTTAGCGATTCGGTAAAAAGTTAGAATCAGGCTTTACTAATACTCTTGTCCCGTGTCTATCCACTTAACGCAATCGAGTCGCTAATCTTTGATGGATTTCCTACAGACCTTGGATTTGCGGCCACCGCCAAGATCGATGGAGAGTGGACGGTCGATAGAGTGCTTGAACAAGTGTCGGATGGACCAGCCCTCACTACAGGATCGACATCGCCGCTGCCATTCTTTCACCTTCTCGAGAGGCTGAAGACCACGCAGAGAGAGGGATGGCGGCGATTTGGAGTTGAGACGTAAGTGGCCTCGCCTATACTCCTCCCTCCTCCCTCCTCCCTCCTCTATGAAATAAGAAAAGAGATAACGCCAGACACTAACACGCCGCTTCTCGCATCAGGTGCGAGTCCATCGCCGACCACATGTACCGCATGTCGATTCTCACGTTCCTGACCCCTCCCGCCCTCGCCGCGCGCATAGACACCAATAAATGTATGAAGATGTGCCTCATTCACGACATGGCCGAGTCCCTCGTCGGCGACATTACCCCCGTCGATGGCGTCCCCAAGACCGAAAAGAACCGACGCGAGGCCGCCACGGTTGACTTCATTAGCTCCGGCCTTCTCGGACGCGTCCATGATGGCGCCGCCGGTCGCGAGCTACGAGATATCTGGCAGGAGTACGAGGACTCCAAGACACTTGAGAGCCTATACGTACACGACATCGACAAGATGGAGCTTCTGTTACAAATGTACGAATACGAGAAGAGGGGGAAGCATGAGCTCGACCTCGGGGAGTTTGCTTATGTCGCGACTAAGATTGTGCTTCCGGAGGTTAAGGAATGGGCGGACGAGCTACTGAATGAGCGAGAGAAGTTTTGGAGCTCGTGGAAGCACGTCCAAGGTGACCAGGGGGTTAACGGCGGAGTTGCGGAGGGCACGAAGAAGCAGCAGGATGAGTATTACTCCAAGGAGTAGGATAGCCGATTACAGGCTAAGCGACCGGCAGTGAGAGGACGGACTGAGGTTTCTTAATTGTCATTGTGTTACTTACGGGGCACGAGGGCGGTTTAGAGGAGTGAGTAGGGCGCAAGTCCTTGTCGTTTGGTTGGTTCCAAGTTGGGGGCGCCATGGTCACGGCCGATGCGACTCCCGCATCCAGAGAAGTTGGGTGTTTGGTTCATTCATGCATGGTTATATCCGTTCGTCCCACGAAATAAACTCTCAATCGAGATCTCGATATCCTTTTGCTTCGGACTTGGCATGTGCTTTACCAATTGCGCGAGACGGATTGGGAAACTTCATCGGTCTCAAAACAACACGCCTCGACGGGAGACGCGATAAATTACGCATGTCGTGTGTAGCAGGGCCGCTGATAGTGGAAAGGCCGAAAATATGGAAAAGGGATCAAATTTGCTTTCGCGGGGATATTTCCCGACGGCAGGCAAATGCCAGGTTCTGAGGCAGGCGCAATTCCGTTTTGGTCAATTGCAACGATGTTTTGTTTGATTTGTTGAGGTTGGCCTGGCAGTGGCGCGTCGCTCCTTCTTCCCAAAAAGTATCATCACGGGACTTTGGCAGAGTTTGTCGCTTGCGAGGTACTTCGAAAGTACAATGCAGCGAGCTCTTTCCTCTTTCCCCAGGCGGAAAGCACAGTGCTCTGCAGCAAGCACAACACCACCACAGCCTTCTCCACGAGGAGAATTTACGAAGCAGGTCACCTGGTCCAAAGACAGATCAGAAGGCTGCATGGCGAGGCGAGGATAGCTGCGGGACCCGATCCATCAAACTCTCAACTTTTTTTTTCTTTTTGCGCCTTCTCTATCGATAAGCGTTTTGGCGCCACGACTCTGGTACACAGTACGCCATCAGCGGTGTGGTCAAGCCAAGAACAACCTCGCGACGATCAGAAACGGTCAGCCATTGTCGACTGGTCGATCCATCGCCAACCCTTCGCAAACGGTGCTCGTGAGCGGACGCCCCATGGGTGACATAGCTTTGCTCCCGAATAACGGCTTTATCGATCAACGCGCAACAAACGAAGAAAAAAAAGTGTAACCAAGTATTAGCTCCAGGCCCTTCTTTCCGTTTTCTCCAGGCGGAACCGACAGACCACAACGACCAAAACCATGACTTACTCGACCAAGTTCCACATCCCCGGAAGTTTCGTCGATCACGCGCCACGTACCGCTCCGGCGGTGCCCGTCTCGGGCGTCCACCCAGACGTCTTCCGGCCACCAACATCTCCCTCAGCGTCGAGCTCCGCATATTTAACCAAGTCGACGACTATTGATTCAACGGGCGCCGAGGCCTTAGTTGCCAGCCATGCCGCGAAGAGGAAGCGAGGCCCCGACGCCGATGCGAGGGAGAATACGCCGATAAGGGACTGGGCGGGCGCGGCATCCATGTGGGATGGCGATGCGAGCAGGAGATATATTCTGGCCGGACAGATTGATACCCCCGGTAGTGGACGTGCAGCCGTCGTTGGGGTGGGCGGCATCGATGTTGGGAGAAGCAACGTGGAGGAGGGCGCGGCAATGGAGGAGAGCGTATATTCTGACATTGGATATCGGCGCGCGTTAGGGCCCGATCATGATGTGATGATGGATTCTCCAAGTGGGCTGTTCGGATCCGTTGCGCTGCCAGCGCCCCCGACGCCATCTTCGGCAGGATGGAGCCGGCTTGCTCTAGGAGCGATAGGTGAGGTAGTCGGAAAGGTGTGGGAGTTTTGCAAGGCCGGCGCTTTCAAGGGCTTTTATGCGGGTGGTGGTAAAGGCTATGCTCTCAATGGTGATCAGTCCGCGGACGCGGCACCGAACGGCGCGTCATCGGTGGAAACATCAGGACCCGGCGACCCTCTTGTACCAGGTGGCTTTCCAGGTCACGCATATGTCTCACCCTATCCCGATGCGGCGATGTTTACTTCTACTCCCGACTCGACACCGTCTCGTCCCGCGGCAAAGAGGAGACAAGTTAGGGAGGTGAGGAACGACGAGGACTTAGGCCGGAATTGGGTCATGGTAGGCGATCCAACAAACGACCGAAGACGGAGGACTACAGGTGGTGGGGGCGTCTATAGCAACGGCAATTTCACAAGATCTACTTCACGTCGGTCGTCGCGCAACATGGCTCCCTCCGCCACGACTGGTCGAAGAATCAACGTTCCAACTCCACGCCTGAGTACGGCATCCACCACCCCCGCATTTACCCGCCGCCACTCGCACCGCGTCTCTCACGCAGGTTCGCCCTCGCTATCGGCGAGAGAACCGGCCAGTTTTGCAGGATCTCGTCCTGCATCCCGAGCATCTCCGTCAGCCCCTGCCTCATTCTCGTACGCTCCCCTTTCTCCGTCAAGGATACCTGTCCCTTCGTCAAGGCTCTCGTCTTCTCAACCCGGACATAGGCGGACGAATAGTTCGGCATCATCAGCTTCTCCGCGTCGGACGTCGTTCCGGACAGATGCTATGCCTAAGATGAAAACTCAAGTGACCGGTGTAGGGATCGGAGGCCCTATACCTAGACTTGACCCGGAGACGATAGAGTCGAGTCCACGGTTGGATCCCGAAGCTAAAGAGCTTGCGACAAGGAAGTTGAGGGAAGAGAGAGATGCGGATGCGAGAATCGCAGCATTTAACGCGAGGTTGCGAGATATGATTAGGGAAGGGAAGGAGGCGTTGGGGACTAAGGTTGAGGTTGAGATTGAAGGAGGAGATGATGGCGGATGGATGGATGAGGATTAAGAGAAGGTGGGGTGAGGAGGAGAGGAGAGGAGGGAAGTTGGCTCTTACGAATGAATCTTTTACGGCTAGGAGGCTTTTTAATCTTGTGATATCTATTCTTTTTTCTTTTCGATTTTTATTTCTCTTCTGACTCGAAGCTGGCGATGGCGAAAATTGGTGTATGGTTTTTCTATGGCTTCGAGGCTCACAGGCTCGCAACTGGGTATCAATTATGACTTATATCGAAGAATGAACTATTACCCTTCTGTTTTCACCGCTTCAGCTTTTCTACTGTCTGTTTTCCGTTTCCTCCCTTTCTTTTTTCTTGATAATCTTTGAAAAGTATGCCTGCTTATCTTCTCATCAACGGGGGCAGATTGTTCCTCATGCCACTCCTCAACCTTGCCTCCTACAGGTTCCGCATTAATCAAGCACTTCGCGCACCTCCATCCAACAAACGGTTTCTCGCTCGACCCACACTCCCGACAATGCAGCCCACAAAGGTACCTCGGACACCCCTTCACCCGGCACGCCGGGTTCCACCCGCAATCCTGGCCAAGATGGCTCCCTCCGCACCGGCACTTCTTGAAGCGGCACTGCGCGCCGCTGTGGCCGGGAATACCACACATGCAGCACCGGCTACGACACTTCATTGCGCACGGATGGCGCGTGCTGCCGGTCGGGAAGGGATTGCCGCAGGGGCGGGAGCAGAGGATGGGGCAGGTCTTGGCGGTATGGTAGATTGGGAAGGCGCGGCATTTACAGCGGGCGTGCTTGGGGTAGTCGCAAGCAGAGGAGGCGTGTTCGGGGGAGGCGCACCAGCCGCAAAAGCGCGAGGAGTGGAGGGCGTGGGCTACGGCCTCGTCACAGGATACGTCCGGGAGAGGGGGAGGCTCGTGGAACATGTTGGCGATGTGGCGGCGGCTGAGGCTGCGGCGGCGAAGGCGATGGTCGAGGGTCGAGAGGGAAGGACAGGGGACGAAGAAGATCATGTCGTCGCTGGTGGTTACATGGTGGACGAAAGGGGCGGGGCTGTTCATGGAGGAAGGGACCTGAAGGGGTAGGGGCGGTGCGTGCTTCGAGCGACAGAGGTTGCTGAGAGGGCCGGGTGCCCCGAAGGCATTCTGCAATATTATGGGCATGTGCTCTCCCCGGCTGGGTTCGCTCACCGAACGCCGTGTCCGCGCCATGCGCGAGTCGCGAGCTATGGCTTGTAGTTGGCGGGGTAGAAAACCCGGCACCTCGTAGCCGGGCTCTTGCGGGGGCAGTTTCCAGAACCTGTTGGGAAGGAGGCTTCTTCCGACGCGGGAGTCCCTTTCATCAAGGACGGGAGGGACCTGCTTTTTTGTATCCGAGAACCAGTGGGAATACGTAAAGTCGATTCTAAGGTGCTGGAGGACGGGGCCCTTGGAAAACAGGAAATTTACATGCTGCAGGAGGAGGTGAGGGGCGTAGTTGGTTAGGTGCCTCAGCTGGGCGTCCCTCTGAACGCCCAACTCATAATGGGGATATACATCATCCCAGATCAACATTTTATCTAAATCCTTAAGGCCATATACTGGCGAGGTTCGGTCAAACGGTCCCCCGATGTAGTCCTTGGCCACCAACTTGAGCCAGTGTCGCATCTCGGGGTGGCTCGTCTCAAGGACGTGGCGTCGCAACGCAGCGAGGACGACGACGTCGAGAGTGATCTCGCGGGCCGAGAACCGCGGTTCCCCAAGTATGCTCTCACTATAGGCGGCGTCATTCGCTGGGAAGCCTCCTCCGTAGCTTACTTGAGATCGCTGTAAAACCTCAATGTCGAGGGATAGGTCCCGGTCGCGAAGCTTGTGTATCTCCGCGTATCCGCGTTCACACGAGAGAATTGTGCAGTGGTCCCATTTATCTTTGAAGGCTGGGTCAAAGAAGCGTGCCCAGAGCTGGTGGGCGATGATGTCCGTGGAAGTCAGCCGGGTGTGGTGGTATTTTGAGAATGAGAGATCCAGTCCGTTTAAGGGGTAGTGGCGAGACAACGAGCTGCTGCTCTCCGCACTAGACGAGGATTTGCGGTCGGAATCCGCCATTCTTGGGAGGCTACGCTCATCCATTTTCACGTCCCGAGCTGTCGCGCCTTCTCACAGATGTGGCGTCTGGCAAGCCGTCTAGGGAGGCCACATTATACAAGGTGCCGTGGGAATATTCTCCCCGGAGCAGCGCAGACAGGTGTGTTTCCGATGTCTTGGAGACGACCAAGAAAAATCTCGAGTGTTTGTTTATGGGATCTTGCCATCTAGGTTCTTCCCACGGATGAGTGGTGAATTGTGATTCACAGATTGTGTTCCACCGTCTTTCTTGCCTTGAGAAATCACGACATCACGTGCAACAGGTGGTGCCTGCCAAACTTAGGAAGGCGATTGAGGTTATTTAAAGAAGTAATTCCCAGCGAGAAAATACCAGACTGAGATACGATAAATCGTCACTATTTCTCAACCGCAATCCGTCCAACATGGCCGAGCAATGATCAACTCTATAACTCTACACATCTATGGAACAAACATGGAGACCTGGAGCGAGCCGACTGAGGCATCTCTGCTTGGCCATATCGAAGCTGGCTTGGGCGACAACGTGACTGTGAGACAGCCAAAGGCTTCTTCTGGAAGCACATCAAGAATGACTACACATATTAATAGGATTGTGCCATCTCATCCCCGATCTCAAGGCTGCCCTAAGTGCTCTGGTGGATACGGTGCCGGGACCACGCGCCCCACCCGGAAACGGGGGTTTTGATCGCCGGTTTAAGGACGGACGACACGGACGATCGGAGCATGGAAGCTTGCTGCTACCTACTAGATCTGACATAATAGAAGACGTGAGCCGAATATCACGAAACCGCACAATTTGAGAACTTTCAGCTCATCCAGGCCGGAACATGCCAACCGGCTCGCGAACTGCACCATGACAAATGATCCCAGAAAGTCCGCAAATGAATACCTCGGTAGCCTCTGGTCCAATTGAGCGACGGTGATTGGGGAAGCAGTTAATATATTCTTTGCGGCGATATTCATTTGGATAAATTGCAAGAACCCAAATCAAGGTTGCATAGGACCACGGATTCCCCGCCCGAATTTAGACAACCAGCCGTCCGAGGGGCTGGCCCGCATCCTTTTTGTTCCTCTCGTCTGTTGTTCTCGGCGATGATCTTCTTCTCTGTTCTTTTTCTTCATGCCTCGTGACTTGTTGTCTGCTTGGCCCAGCATTTTTATCTCGCGTCCCGCCATCCGGGTCATCTTCTGTCGCACAACGGAGCACCCGGCGTATTTTTAATACGCTGCCACTTGATTTCCGCATGAAAACGAGAACGGGTCTGACGATTCACAGTGCCTAGTAATGCTCCATCTTATTACGAAGCCCCCTGGAAAAGGAGAAAAGTATGTACGTTGATGGAGTCGAAGTCGGAGGCAAGCGATCAAGTCCAGATGAGAAAGAAGAAAGACAGAATTCATTTCACTCGCTCGGCCAGTATTATTTTTAGAGGACCATGGTCAATGCCAATCTCTCTTCCCGTAAATGACCAACGGGAGCGAGTACCTCCCGTCCGATCAAATATCTGATCTCTACTACATGGGACCGAAATATATGCTGTAGAGGACTGAACGGCTTAACGGCGGACTATGTCCGGATCCGGTCCCTGGAAATCAGCATCAGATTAGAATTTGTATCTTTTGTATCACTGAATAAATCTCTCTGGACTGTTTATCCCTGCTATTCTATCTACTAGTTCCGTGGTTCATGCTTGTCAGCGCCGTCCTCGTTTTTGGACATCTACCAAGGAAGCTTTGGCTGGTGAGGTCTCAATGACGCAGTGAATGGGATCATGCTTCCTTTGGCCTTCGGCCATTCATGTACGAAATCAACTAAGCAACTCGTCGCTTCGCCAAGAGAGTGGCACGCTTGGAAGCTACAGAGGTTGGTATTTGGTGTTGTTATACTTGCTATGTATGTGCGTCGCGGGATTTGGTGGACCGAAGGATGCTTGATCGGGGACGGTTTTAGTCTGAACCGTCAAGTGGTGGCAACCTGCAAGGAAATATTACATGTGCGGAATCACACAACTCACAACCCGGATTCGCTTATTTCCCTGCCCTACTGACGATCCGCCTCTGACGTTGGGAGAGACTCGTGGACTCGGCTGTCATCAAACTTCACTAGAAAACCAAATCAAAAAGGATGAGGTCTATCAGATCATATAAAGGGAAGCAGGTCTTACAACATATTCTTTTTTCCTCGTATCCACTTGTGGAGGATAGAGACGAAGACATCCTATCGTATGTGGCCATTTAGACCACAGATGGAGTTTTCCAGACCAAGATATCGTCAAGACCAAGACTAGGGATTCCACTCTTGGCAGGCGGAAGACCGAATTCCAGCCGCTACCATTTTGCTATTTTTGGTTTATTTTATTTATTATTTTCTGATCCGGTCACAGACATTAGTGATCAAACCTTGGTTGAGAGTCCCTTCCACGGCCTCCAATGATCAATATATCCATCTGTTCAATCAACTTACATGAACTACTGGAGCTTCGAACCGGGTGGAAGTGAACCCAGCACTGATATTTAGCTCCCCGGTCACAATCCCTTGGAAAAGGTGCGGCCGAACAGCTAGTTGTTACCACCTTACCTTGAGCAACTTAGCCCTTCTCTCGCTTCCGGCTTTGGCATTTCTGCTATTTTCTGAGCCGCGTATGTTGAAAGAGCAGAGGGGGCGTTTTTTTCTGGGAGCACAACCGAATGGGAATAACGTACTCTAAAATTAGCTTAGAACCCAGTCAATTAATATTGGATGCTATACATCTAATTCTACATATCGAGAGTATTGCCTGACGTGGTGTGGTGTGTGGTAGCGGAGGCTGGCTATATCCCCTTTTGCCGGTTATCCAGTTATAGCGACGATATTGCCCAACGGTCGGATGGCCTCGCCAACTCTCAATCGAGTTCGTCTATGTTTACCTCTGGGCCCGTTCTTCATGCCGGATTTGATTCGCCTATTCTGTTGTAAGACGCTCGTTTCGCCCCCCGCGGAGGAAGACGCTCGAGTGTTTCTTCATCAAGTCGAGTGCCGGCGCAGTTCGCTTTCTTCCATGAAGAAATGATCAATAGGCGGATTAAATGATAGGTTGTTGGGCAACTAGATATCCATACACCTGGGACAAAATTAAGTCTTAGTAGATGCCCGATACCTATAATGCCGCGTTTGGCCCTCTAGTATTCTCTATCCTGCCACGGCATTTTTAGGTCCAGGGATGTCGGGAGTTTGGTTCATTTCAGCGGAATAGAATGAGAGGGTCAACCCAAGGCAGCGCCGAGAGTTCCAATTTCGGTGATTCGTCCTGGGACTGGAGACGGAGAGACCACACATAGCCAATATACTCGTACGAGCCACTTCATCCAAGTCCTCCTCTCACTCTGACCACCTTCACCACCTTTACCACCCTCTTTCGATCTTGGTCTGGCCCACACCACCTCTATATCGGTTTCTCGTCCACGATTCCATTTTCGCTCCTTTTTTCCTGGTTTGCTATAAATATTGGACTTCAAAAGATCAAGACGAACCAAGAGGCATGAGCCGATAGTATTCGCAATCCGACTAACACCTATTACCCGTGCTGGCCCACACCTTCGATTACACAGAAGTTGAATACACCATAATCACCCTCCAGTCTTTTCTTTCCGTCGAATCATTGATATAAAACTGCTTCCCCTAGCCGTTCTCCTCATTTTGGTTCATACAACCCCCAAAAGCATTGAAGCATACGACCCTACCTGCCACACCTCCTGCATTTCTTGATATCGTCTTCCATCCACCAACGCTACCTTATCCCACACAAAGAAGTGGCCACACACTCCTTCTCCACACTAGATCCTGCGTCAATTACCGGGGAAGGTCGACTAAATAGGGTCGAGGGAAGCAGCCATCCGAAATTCCAGACAGGCACCAGGGCCGTCACCAACGACCATCCTTGGTCTTAAATTAGAGTTGCATCGGCCCCCCTTGGCCTGGCATCTTGTCAACGCCCTGAGTTCTGCAGAAGCAGGATAGGAGAAATTGGGATCCATACTAGAACAGGAAGCCTATAAGAAGGGAGGTTCCCAAATCACTGGGAGGACGAGTCGGTTGTGCCTCGGATTCCTGTCGAGGTTTCTGTAAAGCGTCGATACGAGTATTAAACTTATACGACGAACGACACTTCACCTGTACTGCACTTCAGACAATATCACACATCTCACCTTTCTTACACATTCACGATGAAGGTAAGGACTACTTATAGATTCTTCTTTATGAAATCATTGGGCACTCACAACATCCACTCGTCAGATTCAAACCTTAGCTTTTCTGGCTGTCCTCTCTGCTTCCGCCGTTGCGGTCCCCGTTGGCACCAATACTCTCATCTCCACCTTTGCCGTTGATGCCGACGTTGTACCCAAGGGTTACTCCATCGAATGTCGATCTGAAGCGGGCGTCAAGCTCTGCAAGGAGAGCGACGAGGCCAGAGAGTTCCTACAGTGCCGAGGAAACGGCGAAATCACCGGAGTTGAAGGCTCGCGGTTCGAGTACTGTGCTAGGGACTGCCAGTGTCTAACTCTAAACGGAGCGTGTGGGAATCGGTCGACCTGTTAATAGGGGTATATCTACTTCATCAAGTATCGGGAAAGGTGGTGTACATGGAAGCAAACTTGCACATATGTTGGAGGGGAGGGCCGAGACATTACACGGAGAAACGAACTCGCATGGCTTGGAATACGGAGTTAGAGGTTGTTATTCAGGACAGGCCGCCTTTGGCCTACCGACCACCACATCGCTCAATCAAAAGCGACACGGAGGCTACACGAACGATGGCGGAAGTGAAAGCTAGCTTTGGGAGAATGGGCGTCACAGCATTAGGCATCTGGGTTTTCCGAGTGGCATGTTGTATGAGTATGGCTTGAAGTTTATGGAAGAATGAAAGAATGCCCCAACTTGCAGAAACCATGCTTTTGGCTTGAATTCAAAGAGTTCGAGATTTCTGAGCCATTGAGCCGCCCGGCGATCGACCTCGGAGGGTAGTCAAGTGAAATGGCAAGGTTTTGATGAACGACTGGTTCCCTCTTCATGTGCTTGTTACCTCGTAAACCCCAGAGAGCCGATTGCGGATGATCCAATCTAGGACGAAGGCAGTTAAGGCAGTGTAACTGGAGACTATGGCTGTGGCTGAGAATTAGGCTGATACTCTGCCGGAGGGAGTCCAGCAAGCACCAGTCCGTGAAAGTCATTTGATGCATTGTGATTATCTTTCAGAGATGCACAAGCGCCAGTGCCAGAGGAGTGGAAGTGGCTGTGGCGCAGCCTCCTGGGCTTAGATGTTCTTTGTCTTTCCCTCATAGCATCACCAGCCTCTCGAGAGGACCGTTGAGTGTGAGGCGACGCTAAGTTCTTAAGGGCTTAGTTGGAGATTATCGTAATAAGTATGTGGCTTCCGCATTAACAGCCCTTTCTGGTTTGGTATGAGAGGCGTCTGTGAGCTTCATTTTCACATGGATCTCTTAGCCTTTCTCGTCGTTTCCCCCACAGCCTCAACCTTCGACATGCTGCTTTGCCAGCCGTGGCGTCCGGACAAGCTTTTCAGATTCCCCGGTGGGGCGCTTCGTACATACGCAAGTACCATGTAGTCGAAACCTAATAAGACCTACGTTAGGAAGAAAAGGTTGATGAATCTATGGGTCTCATGGCTCTTCTCTATTCATGAGTAGCCCAAGTGAAGCAATCGCGATGTCTCTTGAGCTAAGAGTATGGAAAATGGTCAACTAATCTTATCGTCGTTTTGTTCTTCTGTTCCGCACGACAGATGGTCCAAGCCAGCCTATTTCCGCCTTCGTTAATGCCTCAGACTCTTCAGCGCATCAACTGGTCAACTTGCATACTTTATGGGCAAGGACCCGCTTGAGAATTAGACTTAAACCACCTCTCCTATCATATTCCTGCCTCGATCAATAGTGCTGCACGCCAGCCCATTAGCTTCAGGTGGGCGGTCCAGCCGCACTGCGCGAGCCACTCAGGGCGTTTTGCCAAGCCCACTATTCCAGAAACGACGGCGATCTGGTGGAATCGGCCTGTGAGGGTTTCACTTGCCTTTCGCTTGCTGGTAAGGCTAATGTTGTTCGAGTTAGGGGATATGCTTGTGGTGGTCAGTGTTCTTTGGCAAATATCTTTCAGTTTAAACAGGTAGTTGTATTAGTTGATGAGACATGCGCTGGTCGCGCTTGGGTTCTGAGACCCGCGCTCCTGTCGAGGAGAATAAAGAAATAGAGCTGCCAATCTCAAGTCGCCACAGTCGAGCTGCTCAACTCATTCTACTCTCCCTTGCTCTGACCTAAACGTGTAAGAGCTCCGGAAGAGGCTGCTCAGTACCTCTTCGAGCCTGCAGTTATACTATTTCTTCCTTGACTGGGCGTGACCGGAGAAGAGGTACGAAGCGTTCCTCCTCCCTTTTCTCCATTCTCCTCGTCCTCTGTCAGCATTTGTGTCCGCCACTTCTTCTCATGGCTTACCAGCAAGCATCACAACATGAGATCCCAACCAACATGGGGCCAACCCCTTCCCCATATCCTCCTTCATATGCGAATCCGCAATTCACAGGGTACGAGGGCGTAGAAGGATACGACAATCAACAGAAGAGCAGTGATGTCTATCGACATAGTCAGGTCGTGACGGTACCCTCTTCCAGTTGGCCGCTGCCAAACTTTAGGCCAATGACATTGCGATGGCCATTCCTCTGTGTTATTATTGCTGTCATCATGGGTTACATGGCAATGACCGAATATGCTCTCCAGCGTCTACCACCAGAAACCGGCAGGGGAGAAATCAGACCATATTCAGACGTGGATCCGGAGAGGAGGAAGTCAATTGAAGCCGGTGGCATCACATCTACCATCGGCCTGTCAACTGGTGCCCTTGTAAGCTCGTCCTATTCAACGCACGGTTCAGAGGATCGTTGTTGGGTTGGGGTTCTTTGGACTAACCTGAGAAATGTTGTATTAGTCCGTCATACAAACACCCGCTCCCACCGCGCCGGCTGTACTGCGACGAAGGCCTCAGGATGAAATAAGCCCTTCTGTGGAGGTGCCACCGATCAGTGACCCACCCGCTCCCGTAGACCAATCGCCGAACCAAGGCACGCCGTCGGATGACCCCACGACTCCAGACCCCCCATCAACTCCTAGCGATCCCGATGAAAGAGGGAAGGACGAAATAACTATCACGGGTTCTGTGCCGAAGGAGAGACACGGCAACCTAGAGACAACCATTCCCATTGTTGAGACGCCTGTGGAGATTCCAACTGTGATTGGCGGTAAAAGCACGACGATCACGTCAACCTCGACAATGAAAGATGTTGTAACGACTGTGCCACCCACCCCGATTTACGTTACTCCAGATGTGGCCACCTTGACTGACTCGAACGGTATCCCGACGGCGACGGTGACGAGTACTCCAGGACCGATATCAACACCAACGGTCATCACGACAACTGACAATCAAGGGCGGCCTACCGTTATTACAACAGACGTCCTCGCAACGGTGTCAGTCAGTACCCTTACCGACTCGAACGGTGTCCCGACGGCAACCCAGACTTTCTACCCCTCAATGCCTACCAGTCAGACGCGTGTTATTGTTATCCGCATGAAGAGGCGGGATTACGTCGTCGGATTTTTCCTTCCTACTATCCTTAGCGTCCTCCTGGCAATACCGATCCGCATGATCGATCTCAACGTACAACTGTACTATCCTTTCCACGAACTTACACGCGCCGACGGCGCGCCCGCTTCCGAATCGATGCTCTTGCGCATGGGTGGAATTTTTGGCTTGCAAACGGCTTGGCGCGCTCTCGGCCAGAAGAAGATGTTACCATTCCTGTCCACGCTACTCGTCTGGTGCTCGGCCGTTCTCATCCCATTATCGACCGAGGCCGTCGCATTGAAGCTGTATTCTTTGAATGGCAAGTGTTCGATCCACAACTTCGAAGGCTGTATGATGGCACTAGCAGTCTTCACGATCCCCGCACGTGCAACGATGGCTCTTCTGGCGTTTATGATCGTGCTTCTATGTTTCATTATGATTTCCTTGCGGAAATGGCAGTCAGGAGTGGCGCATAATCCTTGGAGTATTGCTGGCATGGCCGCTTTGACAACTAATCCGCAAACCCGGGCGGCGATTGCAGGCTTGCCCACGCGGATCAAGGACGTAAAGTACTCCCGCATACGTGAATACCTCGAAAATAAGAACTTCCGACTGGGTTACTTTGTCAACGCCCGTGGCGAGGTTGAGTATGGCGTGATGATTCACAGTGAGAGCACTCCGCTGCAAGCTCCGAATCCGGGCAACGAGGATGTGTGGGAGTTTGATGAGATGACCAAGGGGAAGAAGGGCCGCCGTATTCAGAATCGGCTGCCATTCTTGATGCTGTCGGTGATCGGACGGTTGGTGTTCGGACTATTCTTGGCCGGTTTGCTCGTATTGATCCTATACTACCGCTTCACGGGAGGGGAAACTGGCTTCAACCAGTTCATGAGCTCGTCGACTTTTGGGGTTCGGTTCTTGTTTACGTGTTTCGGTGTGATCATCAACTTTTTCTGGTCGTCAATCTTCGAGGGTGGGTACAGTTATAATGATCGATCTAGTGGGGGTGGCTTGATTTGGCTAACATGAGGAAAATCAGGTCTGGCTATAATGAGTCCTTACCAGCTCTTGGCCTCTTCTCCCCAGCCCGCAGAACGCTCCATTCTTCTCGCGCCGCCCTCAAACTCCTTTACTGGTCTGTGGTCCGCCATCAAGCGGCGCCACTTTTTCCTAGTCATCGTCGCCCTAGCTGCGAGCTTCGCCGAGTTCCTGCCGATCCTACTTAACAACGTGCCCTTCCGGGTAACTCAGACATGGGAGACCAGCATCATTTGCACGTATACGTCGATCGGCACACTAGCGCTCATGCTCATTGTCATTTTCGCTTCGTTTTTCATCAGGTGGCCGGCCATGCCCGTGGATCCGACGACGGTGGCGGGCGCCATGTACTATATTTGTGATTCGAGGATGGTATGGAGCTTCTCCGAGCTGTCCATGACTGGGAAGGCGGAGAGGAATGGTAGGGTTAGCAGGATGGGGGCGATGTACGAGTACGGGGCCTTCTGGGGTTTGTCCGGCCACAGGAGGCTCGGGGTCGACATGGTGGATGGCAGCCGAATGGGCTAGATCCAGGGGATTTGGGGTATCGGCTTATCATATTTGGGTGTTCGGAGTTGGTTATATTGGCTGCATCTAGATTCACGCGAATACGGCTTGCGAGGCACAAATTGTCCTTGGAATATCATGGGGCATAATTGAGTAACTGATTTAGAGTAATCTGTATTGGGTAGTCCATAAGGCGAATGTTTGGGAACCTCCATCTTTGATATGAAGTCTGGGATCCTCCGGGATCACATCTCACCTTCCGATGTTCACCGAAAAAGTGGGGCAACCCCGACTACCATTTATCGGGTCAGCACGAAGCACGTGACCATATTCACACTCACCTCATTCAACCTGACGCCAGCCCAAATTGACCCTATCCCTCTCTCCCAAGAAAGGACTCGACGCATTCGCTCTACTTTTCGTCAGCCCACATTAAGACCTCGTGAGAAAAATGTCACGATGGCGTCGGCGACGTCTAGTTCTGCCCTCGGCCGCGGCAGGACGGGACGCATCCCTGCAAACCCGGCAAAGAATGGACATGGACATCCCCAAGCTACTCGAACCCTGGTGATCCCCTCTGGGTCCTCAGCCTTGGCCCCAGGAACGTCGGGGCCCGGAATGAAAGCCCTTATTTCCCCTGCCTTGGGAAATGTAACACCGATTTCGAATATTGATCTCTTCCTGGCCAATCTACGTATTCTAGACTTGGACCTCTTGCCTGACTGGCCTGATATCTCGGCCCACACTTTCGCCTCGAGTACAGCCTCCCAAGGCCAGAAACGACGCGTCCAGGCAGTTGAATGGGCACTCTACCACCTGTTCTTTCTCTGGGACCGCGATGAGGCTCACAATGTACGCGTCTTCCCTTGCTTCTCACCGCTCTCCTCCCAAGCCGTCAAAGTACAGCCCATCTAACCCCACTTCCACAGAAGCTCGAGCCATTTTTCCCAGCAGAAGACCAAGTACAGTCATTAAATCTTCGCGCCGCTCTTTTACGATGTCTCGAGCAAGTGAAAAAGAACGGATTCCTCGGCCGCGACACAGTCATCCGCAAAACCATGCTCGACGAGTGCAAAGGCGATCGGCTCGCCGAGGTTCTGTCCTCGTTCTCCTTCGCGGTTGTAAGGAAAGTAGTATCTGATCGGTCGGAGAAGACGGGAGAACATCCTGCTTTGGCGCAAAGCCTAGCTCTGGAGAATAGGGGCTACGCTGGGGAACGAACCGAGCTTACGATTCTGAAGTTTGCGCACCAGGTATCGCTGAGCAGGGCATTGCAGAGGAAGAACGACGCGCGCGCCGTGTATGCCGACTTTTCGGAGCTTCTGGATGTCAAGGAGCGCGGCCTTGCTCGGAAGAAGGAGCTTGTCAAGAGTATTGATGCTCAGGAAGGGACCCAAGAAGTCTCCGAGGCAAAGAAGGCCGAGGTTATACGCCTCGTAAGGAATAATTGGACGGGGAATGAGCAGTGGATGGAGACGCTATTGTATGGTGACGAAAACTCTCGCCGTGACGGCCTTCTTGGCGCACCATTCGACAAAGTCTGGAGGAGAATCCAGGCCGGTCGATTGTCGGAGCTGGATGATCGCGGGACGGGTTTGCTGGAACAATTAGAAAGTCGGGTCCGGTTCCATCGTGAGCGATTGCAAAAATGGCAGGGTTTCAGGGATACTCTACTTGGCGATGCCGCAGGCAAAGAAGTACCCGTCCATGACACTTCCTCTGCCTCAAAGAAGGGCTTAGGCCTACAGCTTAATGCCCACCAAGATCTCCATCTGGGTTCTAGAAGTTTGCAGGAGGGTGACAAACCAAACGAAGGCCCGCCATTGAGTCCTGAGTACGCTCAGTTGATCAGGTCCCTCAAAGAAGACCTTACCGCGCCTGGGAAACCAGCCAGGAAGCCACTCAGCGAACTAATCCCGAAGCCGGCTATATTACCATCAGATAGGCTCTCCGTGGTGGAGAATAGTGAGTCTGAGGCGATCTCTGAATTAGAAGAGGCTGAAGCGGAAGTATCTAAGCCTGTCGAACCTCCCCCGCCCGCCATTAGGAGGCTGCCCCAACGCAAACCCAGTCACCTTGCCAGGCCAAGCCGAAAGCTAGTCGAAGAAGAGTTGCCTCGCAGGGAAACGCAAACCAAGGAATTCGAACCGCGCCGTCCACGCCGCGAACTAAGAATCCCCAAGGCTTACCCAGTCGCCCCAGAGCGAGAGAACGCTGTCTCGCCACCTCCATCACCGACCCGCTGTCCTGATCCTGTCCCACCCCCATTGACTCGGTCTCCAGCAAAGGAATTGATATCAAGAGAGACAACGAGGCCGCGATGCCCTGACTTAGAACCCCCGACACGAGAACCAATTATCAAACTTAGTAAAGATGAGGAGGAACGCGAGCCTCCTAAATCGCCAACTCAGCAGGAGGCGGACGACATACTTGCCTCAATGAATAACTCATCTCCATCCCCAACCAAACAGCCCCGCCCGAGACACACATTATCATTAGCGGAACGAACTCGACTATCAATGGCCAGAATGTCCCATTCAAGTAGACTCTTCGATGAAGAGGAAGATGGAGAGGCAACTTTATCACTCCAACGACCAAGGCCAAAGCCGACCCCCGAGCCTATTAGCGAAGACGGCGCTGAGGAATACGAGGATTTAGTAGCTAGAACGAGGAAGAGCATGGCGGGCTTTGAGGCCGCTCGCCAAAAGGCGCAACTGGAGAGACGCAGGTCACAGAGAAAGTCTCGCGCCCCTGCACGCCGTGAGGGAAGTTATTTCCCCAAGGTGGAGGAACATGGACAGGAGGATACCTCGATATTGGCGGAGGAACTGATGCAGGGAGAACAAAACTACGAGGATGTGTTCATGAGCCGACCCAAGATCAAGGCGAGCCCTATTCCCTCACCGACAAAAGAATGGTCGGATGAGGATGAGTGAGATACAAGTGTGGGTGTGTGAGTAGATCTAACACGGATGCAAACTACAACGGAAATGATAAATCAAGATTGTTTATAGGTTCTTTATATTGTTACAACGTGAGCCATCTATACATTCTTTAGTGTACAACTTCTAGCGCATCAGGTGATGATGTTTGCTTTCCCATGGTCGACCAAGTTCCACTCAAGACCAAGGGCATATTACCATCCCTGCCTGACCAACTCCTGCACCCTCACAACCGTAGCATGGAATCCCTTCTTGAACCTCGCCCTCCACCGGGAGCTCTTTAGCCTCTTCCTCTTCAGACCGGGCCTCTCGTAGAATCGTTGCTGGTTGGCAATCGCGGCGATACGGTTCTGCGTACATCGTTGGTTCACCATGGCGAAAGCCCTCGCGGCATTGACCGGTCCGCTGACGTGAACGGTACGGCCCGTCGAAGGAGCGGAGCGAACAGGCACGCGTAGAAGCTTCGGGGAGAATTCCAGGCTGGAGAAGGCGGTCGTCATGTCGGCGCCGATGAGCTGGGCGATTGAGGACTTGGTAGCATCGTAGGGGTGGGAGGAGCGCGAGGACTTTAAGTCGGCGAGGGGGTCGTTGGACTGGGAGGACTGGGAGGACTTGGGCGCGGAGGACTTGGGGGGGAGGTCTGGGAGGCCGCGGCGTGCTTTGTTGAAGGCTGGAGAGGATGTTGAGAAGTGGGAGCCGGATGCGAGGCGGGCCGCGAGCGGCTGCACGAGCGAGGTCGTTGGTGAAGACCTCAGGACCGGGAGGAGTCGACCGGAGAGAAGCGGCGCCATTGTGCTGCGTGAAACAGTTAGAATGGTTGCTATCGTGTAATTGATACCTCACGACATACAGAATATTGGGCGGCGCTAGTCCACGTCGTTCAATTCGGGAATCGCGGGCTGTTGGAGCTCGTTCATGAGATTTGATGTTTAGCTTGAGCAAAATTATCACCACATGAGGTTTCATGATTACGTAAGGAACTTATTCCTCCCGATGATTAACCGCTATTCAGCCGTTACACCGTGATAGTACGTACCGTACTTCTTATTGACAAGGTCGGTCCCAAATTATTATTATTTTTGGCAGGCTGTCAAGCGCTATTCTGAGCTGAAGCCTTGCCAGTACTTTTGCCTCTCAAACTTTTCGACACCACGACCCTCCATCTTGCATCGCGCAATTGATTGATTCGAAAAAATCATGTCTTATAACCCATACGCCCGTATGAACCAGTTCCCCATTACCATGACTTTGGCTCCGAATACGATGACTGACGGCTATTCATCAACAGCTCCCGGCTATGGCCCTCCACCCACATATGGTGGCTTCCCCGGCGCGGGGGCGCCCATGGGGATGGTCCCGCCTCCCGGACTAGGTACGCTCTCATCTTCGTCTCTGTTTTGCACCCTGAACGCGCGGATCTTTTGCTAACTCATTTCCTTTCTCTTCTTCGCAGGACCTCCGCCAGGCATGTCTTCCGCTCCGGGCATGGCACCGCCACCCGGTGTGCACCAACCTAGCGCGACGCAAGCTAATCGTCCAAGTGGTCTTCCCGCCAACTTCCAAACACCCCCGAATCTCCCCAACATCAACTTCAACGCCAAAGTAATACGCCTCGGAACGTCAACGCCGAAGCCAAGCACCCCCACCGGCTCCGGGAGGAGGGGTGACGATGCGCTTGGAGGTTCAGCAGGCCCTAGGGCGGGCCTCGGTGCCGAGCGCGGCGGCGAGCATGGGCGATCATCGGCGAGAGAAAGCGCGCAGTTGTTTATCCCATTTTCGCATGAGGAAAGGCTGCGGACCGTCTTTGTACACAAAATCCCCGAGAGCGTGAGCGATGATATCGAGAAGATACTGAATGCCGTTGGCAGGGTAAGGCGATGGGATTCTGCGGCATCAGTATTGTCGGAGAGCGCGGGGAAGAAGTTTGGCTTTGCGCTGTACGACGACGCCGAATCGTTCGCGAATGCGCTGGAGCTCCTCAAAGATGTCGAGGTGCCCGTCAAGCGTCAGAAGCCCACCGAGCCCGATACCGAGCAAACAGACGATTTCGAAGGCATCGGCAAAGTCAAGTTGCAGATTTCGGTCGATGAAAACTCCATCAAGTATGCTGAGTCGTACAGGGAGAATAGGGGCGAGGATGCGGATGCGACGTCGAGACTAGAATCCGCGAGGGCAGAGTTAAAACGAGTCATCCGCGAGCTATTTTACCCAGCGCCCGCTAAGAAGCCCGATAAGGATGGAGATGTGGCAATGGGAGAGGCGAACGGAGAGAATGTCGAGGTTGTCAATATTCCCCTTGCGCAAGAAGACGAGCTCGCTGATATACCCGCTGAAATGCGCGAGATTGTAGCGGCGGAGATCGCGGCCTTCCGTGAGCGCAGTAACAAGAGGGATATGGAGCGTATGAAGAGGGAGGAGGAGCTGGAAGAGATGGAGCGCATGCGGTCTAGTCGAGCGCCGCGCTCCCCTCGGCCATCTGAGTCGGCCGGAGCTAACAACATTCCTCTTGGGCCTAGAGGGCTTCAGAATGTACCGTCGGGACCGAAGGGTCAAAATGGCACCGGTCGCGGCGTAACATTTGTCAACGGAGAGAGTACTTTCGATGAAGATGATACAGATGCGAGCGACGAAGAGCTTCAGCGCAGACACCTCGCCAAGCAGAAGAGCGAAGACGAGCAAATGTACCTAGAGGCCGAGCGGAAGTGGGTCAACCGCGAGCGGTCAAGAGCCGCTGCGCTCGGCCGTGAGAAGGACCGCGAGAAGCAAGAGGCGGAATCGCTAGAGAGGCGGCAACAAGAACAACTTGAACGAGAAAAGTCGTGGGATGACGAGAAGGAGGCGTCGCGGAAGGCTCACCTCTACTACCGAGATCACGCGGCGTGGGTCCGGAAGCGAACTGGGGATAGGGCCGACGAGCAGGCTCGAGACCAGGCCGATCGCAGGGCAGAAGAGGAGGAGAAGCGGAGGGAGATGGCCGAGCTGGAGAGGACGCGCGGTATGGCCGATTCGTTCCTCGACCAGCAGGCCAAGGAAATGGAGCAGCGGGAGACAGCAGCCGCGCCTCAACCTTTCAAGCTCTCTCTGGGCGCCGCGGCGCAGAGGGCGCAGGCCCAACGTGCTGCACCCCAGAGGCGCACGATCGCCGAAGTCGAGGGCCTTCTCGACGACGAAGAGCAGGAGCAGACGGCCAAGAGGCAACTCATCCCTATCCAATTCGAACCCTCGGCGGCGAGCGCAATGTCCGAAGAGGAGATTTCCAATGCGATGCGCTCTCTGGCCCAGGAGATACCCTCAGAGAAGGATGGGCTCTGGGCCTGGGAGGTGCAGTGGGACTACCTCGACGACACTATTATGCGCGACAAGCTACGGCCGTTTGTTGAGAAGAAGATTGTGGAGTACTTGGGTGTGCAGGAGGAGGTCATCGTCGAAGTTATCGAGGAGCACTTGCGGAATCATGGAAAGCCTAGTGACTTGGTGGAGGAGCTTACTGAAGTGAGTTATTTTCCATTTACTTACTCTTGCTACCTAGGTAGCTGTGATGATCGATCATTTGCAGAAAAGGTATGCTAACTTGGGTTTGTCTAGGCACTTGACGTTGAGGCGGAAGATCTTGTGAAGAAGCTGTGGAGGATGGTGATCTTCTTTACAGAAAGCGAGAAGAGGGGTCTCCCATCGTAGAAGGGGAAAGGGGCTTTTCAGCAATGTGTGACAGCCCGAGCTCAATATCCAAAACCATAAATGATGTTGAGGGGATAGGAAGCCGCAGGTCTACATGAGGATCCTGCGTCTGGTATTTCCTGTTCGAGGATTCATGAAACTGGCTTCTAGAAGACCTATTCTCTCCCTGTATTCTTTAGTGTTTGACAGGAAAATTAGAAGGCATATGATCCACGCATTCCTGTATTACATGGCTCACTTGATAAGTTTCGACGTCAGTGTGTGAACGGCATCTGTATTCTTATACTTGTGCACCAGTGTTTGCCAACAGCCAGTCCCCCCATTCTGCGTCATTACAATGTTCCATCGGAATAAGTTCGATCGAAGGCAGGCCTATTCAGCATCATTGGTGCTTCTTCAATGCGGATATTACTTTCCAAACGCTTAGCACTTCGTATGCAACAAAAGATACCTGCTGGTTTATCTTGTTGGGGTATTTCTGCTAGTTTCAGAATGCTGGCCCTAGATGTGGTGAAAACGAAGACTCTCCAAGTCTATTGATGGGCTACACTCACTCCTTCCGCTGAACATTACATATTGGACTTGGCTTCCAATGGGACCAAGAGGCGCAAAGCACCTGGACCCGAAATTAAGTGTGATATTCCTTCCTAAATACATGAAACTTGGCTCGCTAACAATCTGTGGGGGATGATCAAGCCCAGACCTTTCACTCGAGGTCGGAGTCACGGGCCATCGATTTTCCTATTCGATCAAGAATACCCTAGAGCTCGTACGCTCGTACTGGTGGTGTATAGCCTCCTCAGTTGGTTGGAAATAGTTTGTACGCGAGGATCATCCTTCTCCAACAGCGAGTCGACAATCTTCCTCGCCGTTCTGCGCAGCTGTGCCTTTGATGAGCGCCATGAACGCATCGTCTCCGTGTGGCGCCTAAGCCCATTAGCCCAATCAGTGAGATCATCAGTGCTCTCCTTGATGGCTTGGTACTCCACCACTCGTTCGACGACAAAGCTGCTTATTTCCTCTGTAATCCCACCAAGCCAATCGCAATAACGTTGTAGACGTTGAGCGGCATTGGTGGCATTACCAATAGCAGCCTTGTGCTCCTTTAAAGTCGATATTTCTGAATATAGGAATATTTCGGTTTCCCCAGCGTTGCTGATTTTGTCTCTAAGTTTGAATCGCTTCTCGCGTATCAAACTCTTTCTGTCAGAACCGAGCCTAACATCATGAAAGTAAGTGAAGGTAAGGACTTACTACGCGCCTGCTTCTAGAGTAACCGCACCTGCGGCGACAGGGGTGTGAACTATAGATGCTCCCCAAGCTATAATACGGGCCTTGGTTTGCTGTTCAGCCTTTGCTAGATCGAATAGGAACAGTGCCATTGCCTACCCTTCTCATATCGTCTCTCATCTCCTCATATTTCTTCAGACGTGTTTCCAAAATCTCCAGCTCGTGCTGGACTGAGTCAAGGCGCGTGATGGCCCGCGACAACTCTGTTTCTTTCTCCCAATGCTGACTCTGAGCGGCCCGAAGAGCACTCTGGATCCTGGTACTTGATGAGCCGAGTTTGGCGCAGATGATGCATAGGTCGCCGTCAGTATCGTTGCTTATTTTCTTAATGAGCTCGGCTCGTTCCAGGCCCCAACTGGCAGCGTCATGGAGGTCCGCGAATCGAGTATCCATGTCTCTAAGGTGCTCTGAGATGATGGTCTCATGCGTCAGTCCCGGAGAAGGGTCGATAGTGTTGCATGTTAGAAGGCGAGGGAAGGCACTAGTGCTGCCTGTCTCAAAATACTCGACGGTGTTGTTGATACATTCGACGCTTTTCTGGAGCTGGATGAGCATTTCTTTGCGATCTTTATTGATGTAGCCCTGAGAACGGGTGCCAAAAGCATGTAAATGTTTCTGTACGTCTCTGATTTCTTCTTGGATTTGCTCAACCTCGAAAGGTAAATTCATCTTGGGCAAATAGGTTAAGTGAACAATGATGATGTATAAGGATGGGAAAAGATGCTGGTGAGAAGAAGGGATAGAAAATTTACTTGAAGATCGATCCGTACGTACTTCAAGAGAGTGTCGTGCCCCGTTCAATGTGAGGTACCCGAGCCTGGTCCGTCTAGTTCAGAGCCTGGCCACCACCTCAAGACTCATCCAGGAGTCTGAAACGCCGCCAACGACACACCACACCCAATCATTAGCATTGCCAGCACACCGACTCATGTTAAAAGGAACATGAAGGACAGATGTCGTGGCGAATCCTACTCACCAGTGCAGGGAATCGTTCGGCTCTACATGTTCTATGCACAGGGAGCAATGGTGGTCGGAGGAAAAACTTCACAAACATCAGCCCAGCACTCGCTTGGCCTGCCTATTTTCGGCGCTGCCCTTTGAACGAAAGGGGGGGAGAAGTGGAAAAAAGCGTGTGCCGCATTGCCTAACATAGCAGCTATCCCTACGCCAATACCACGCGGTACACGTCATGGCCGAGACATATGTCGAGGTCTCTAAAAAGTGCCGTATTCCGGAAGGGAAGTCGGTCGAAAATCTCAGTCTGCCTAGCTCCGCAAATGTATTGCGAAGGTAGCAGGCAGCAATGGTGGGCGTGGTGCGTGAGCCGGCGAAACGAGCCGGGAAGAACATCAAGCTTCTTGCGGATCCAGTGAGCCCCAACCCTTTTAGCACTAGCTAGGGGTGATTTGGGGGTTATAGTACACCCAAGCGATAAGTTTATAGTAACGGCAACGGTACAGAGGAAGAATAAGCTTCTTATGGGCATGGTAGACTAGCGGAGCCTTGCCGAGAGGTTGCTTGGTTGAGTGGCTGTGTGAAAATTAGCTCTTTTCCAAGAAAGAGGGGAGATCGAGTAGAATCAAGTACGAAGTTGATTTAAGGGAGACCTAACAGAGAGATAGAAAGAGAAGGATCTGTTCTGGATTTACATTCTGACGCGTGTCGCCGCCGAATATATTGTCCACTTCCAAAGGAACTTGGAGTGGTGATCCTCTCCGCTCCTCCATCCGCTCGAATGGAACCGAAAGAAACTCAGCATTTAGATCTCAAGCAATGTTCACGTAGAATCCTGCAGCGTAATATCAGAATGGATCATGTTTATTGCATCAAAGTGCATATAAATCAATATCAGTAGATTCATTGAGAAGGTACTCATTTCCCACTTTTGACTCTCCCAACGCCCAGCTTCGCGCCCATGTCAAGAACGTCTCAAGATTTCCTTCGGTGTTTCCTACATTATTTCTCGTCATTACCCCAAAAAGTCATTTCCTAAAATAAAAGCCAAGTAACTCGCTGAAAGCCCGAACTCCAAACAAACCAAAACGAGTCTCTCGTCTCCTTTACAATCCCTTGATGGCCTTCATCTTAGCCAGCGACCGCATATGCAACTGCCTATTCAGATCGACCCTAAAGGCATAGGCGACGATGCTGAGGACCATGACGAAGGCTATGGAGCCGCAGACGCTCCAGAAATACGACTCGTCCTTGTTCGTGTCGACGACGCCTTGGAGGTTCATGCCGAAGTAGGAGGTGAAGAAGGAGAGGGGGAGAAAGACGATGGTTACGCCTGTGAAGAGGAGGACGGCTTTGTTTTGGCTGTCTGCTACGATGGCCATTTCGTTTTGTTCGATGGAGCGGAGTTGGAAGAGCTGAGAATGCGTGTTAATGATGATATCGAAATGAAAACGGAATGACAAAAGAAAGAAAAACGAGGGAACCAAAAAAAAGACTAACCTCTGTAAGAGCGGTTTCGAAATAATCGACCAAAAACTTGGAATCATCCCTCTGCTCCTTAACCATGTCAATAGCCCACTCAATGCGCTCCTTCATCGTTTCCCTCTCGTCGTCGTCATTCGGTAAGATGCCTTCCTTGGCGTACTCCGCTTCGAAGCGCTCGGCGTCGATGAGCATGCCATTTAAGATGCCGACCTTTTGGCGGGCGAGATCAGCAATGGCGCGGAGTTCTTCGAGACAGTTGAGGTAGCGGCGGACGAGGCGGGGTGATTCGCCACGCTCCCAGGGACGTTTTTGGCGTTGTTTCTAAGGAGGATGGGCGGTTAGGTTTTGTCATGCCGACGGGGAAGAAGGGCAAAAGGATTGCTTACAAGTTCGCGGGCGATGTCCTGGTAGGCGGTCAAGAGGGAGGTCGAGTTCCTGCCTTGACGGATGTTGTGCGGGACGGTCGCAGCTTCAGTCATGATGTAGACGATAAGCCATTCGACGGTTGGGAAGTGCCATCTCGACGTGCCGGAGGAGGTGAAATTTTCGGCGACGTGGGCGAGGATGGAGGTTTCAGAGTCTGCCATGAATTGATCCGGTTGCTGGAGCCATTCTTGGAAGGGTTTGCCGAGATAGTCGACCCCTGTCTGGTTGGAGAATGTTAAGAGGTAGCCTGCCCGAGAGAAAACGGTTGTTAGTGAAATGAGGCTCGAGATGGAGAGTGCACGAAAATACAACGAGGCTGGGTGGGGTGGGGTCACATACCATCAGAGCGGTGAAAAGCGCGAAGCTGGCAGCTCATCAACATGGAGTTGAGGAAATGCCCATGCTCGCTGATAGCCTGCTTGTCATTCTCCGTAGGCAACGGGCCCTTCACATTCGTATTGCTAGACTGGCCCAAGAATCTCTCGGGCAGCGGGTTCGGAAAGTCGGCGCGAACAATGTCCCAAAAGTCAATGGGCTTGCCGATGTGATCGGCCCTCCAGGTGACATCGTTTATCTGGCGGCGCGTGAGGCCCTGGAGAGGGTCGTCGCCGACGCCGTTGGCGAGCACTTCGAGGTTGGAGAGGAAGCGGAAGGCGTCCATCTTTTCGATGTAGCGCTCTTGGTTGACGAAGGTGAGCATGCTCAGCTCGGGATAGTTCCAGGATGGGTCGGGGGAGCCCTTGAGGAAGGGTTTTCCGATTTCGCCGCTCCCGGTGTAGCGGAACATGTCTTCGATGGTGGATTGCAGAGTTCCCTTGCCCAAAGGAACATGGCTTGGAAGAAGATGAGGAAGTTAGAATGGGGTAAAAGCGGCGATAACGAAGCCCATGGTACTTACATCCAGCGAACATTTACATCGTCAGGTTTCGACTCGAACCCTAAAACCCGCGCATTAGAGGCGAGAATTGAACAGAAAGATAAAATGATGGCAGCGGGCCAAGAGAAAAACCAAACAACACCGCCGTACAACAACTCACAATTTTCAATGTGGCCCAAAGTGTCCGTATACCGACTCCCACCCTCATGTCGAAAGTCGCAAATATGAATCGGCACAGAAGCAGGCTGCGGAAACCAAAAATTGCAAGCTTGGCGAGCATCGCAATCCTCGGGCTCGTGATGCATGCGCAGCTTCTCCGACCGCGTCGTAACCCTCCATAGATGGCTGAGCCTCGAGCGCTTCCCGGGCTCGGCCACCCTCTCCATGGCCTCGAGGGCGCTCTTCCTCTTCGTCTCCCATTCGGCTTTGCGCCGCTCCTCCTCGGGGTTCGTATAGCGCGGAACGCTCCCGGTGAAGTGGAGAAGGATGTGGCGCGTGCTGCGGGTATTGTTGGAGCGCCGGCGCGCTTCGTTCAGAGGCTCCTTCGCGAGCCTCGTCGCCGTCTCCGAAGGTAAGGGTCGTGTGTATTTGGGCTGGGAGGGCACTTGGAGCCTCGGGAGCGGCACCTCTAGAGTTGCGGGTGAGGGGGTGTGGTCGGGAATGGGATCGGAGGTCTCGGTGACGGCAGTGCTGCTGCTCTCCTTTTCGTGCGGGGGGGCGTCGCCATCGTCACTTGGGGACATTTTTGCTCGGCGCTGTGCGTAAGGGTTCTCGCTGTAGTGATATCAAAGGGCGGCTTGCGCCTAAGGAAAAAGAGAGGCGGTCGGTTTGCGATTGCACTCTCAAGGGATAGCGACGGAGAAACCAAGAACATAAAGGTTACAGAAATACAAATTCACCATGGCCTGGGGCGAACATCGGCGACCGAGCCAGCTTGAAGTGGAAAATGGGTGTGATCTCATGTTATTTGCCTCAGCTAGAGACGGGCGAAGGCGGAGTATTTCAGGATTGAGGATCCCCTGGGCGGTCGTGGCAGGGCAAAGCAGTAATCTCGTATGCCCCAGTCACGCTGCATAAGACCCTGGTTAATACATGCCTCCAATGCAGAGCCGTTATATCCATCCATCCAGCTCCCTCTCCTCATTCCCCCCTCGCGAGCGGTTGGGTGGGTGTGGCACACTCTCGTCTGTCATTCACTGGAGGACCCCGAACATTTTGACAAGGCTGCCGGGGTGTGTGGGGGACGCAATGGAACGGTGGAGAGGAAGGGTGGTGAGACGAAGCCAGCCAGACGAGAGGAGAACGGCAAATGCAGGGCCTCAATCTGGACCCTGATACACAGGTACTTCGTACTCTGAAGGATGAAGGACATCAACGCTGTGAAATGCAGCTGCACACTTCGTGCCCCAAAGTCGAGTAATCATTTTAACACATCCATCATTGATGGAGGACAACCAATCCGCGCTGGCGGCAGGCTCGAGACGCCGTCCTGTTAGTGATTGATCGTATTACGAGGTACGAAACATTGACAATGGTAATGATAGTTCAAGGTTTCCAATTGCGTTCGGGATGGGACGGGATCTGTACAAAGTACAAAGGTATTTCGTCAAGGGCATAGCGGGCCAGAGCTGACCTGCATTGTTGGGCTCTCCATCCATGAACCAGTCTTGCTTCTTGCCTCGATATCCGATCCCTCCCTCGTAACTCTTGGCGCTCCTCCTCGCCCCCTCTCCTGGTTCCAAGGTAATTAACGTCTCCCGAAAGGGAGCTCCCGCCCGGTTGATTAGCCCACCTCCGCATGGTCTAGTGGAAAACCAGCCCTGCCATTTCAATGGGATGCATCCTGGAGTAAGAAGTGCTGGCGAGAACAAGAGCATCCACCAATTGTCATGACCGTTAGTTCGGGACGCTTCTCTAAAAGGCCAGGCCTTCGCGCTCAACGGTCAACCTATACTTCATACCAGTTGTGAGCCATACACGACCGCTTTTAGCGCATGTCATGTTAGATCAACTGTGTCTCATCAATGCAATTTGAGGTCTCCTCCTGCTCGACATGAAAGCATTTGATGCCTTCTCACAGCTGGCACTATAAGAGCTAAGACGGAGCCTCTTGGCTGAGAAGCAAATTTCGACTGCAAATGTACTCTTGAGCGTGGCAATAGACTGGGGGCGGTCGAGCCAAGACATGAGTCGGCTAGCACGGAGATATTGCCAGAAAGAGAAACAGGGCTGCCCCGGCCCTGGGCCAACGGGACGAATCTTCAAGCTGATTCTTCTGCATCAATCTCGTTATCCTGTCACTCAAAGGCTAAGCTCCACTTGAAGCGTCCTGGCACTGTTGATTCAATGACAGAACCGCATCCAGCGAGTCCGATCTTTTCAGTCGCCTATCCATATTCGCCCTTGTACTTTATAATCTAGACCTTTGAGATCCCTTTCTTATGGACCAAGTTCGAGCAAAATGCGGCTGATTGAGCTGATTGATGTACCGGGGTACATTCTAATAGTAAGACGGAGGATCTTTCTATCTATGGAGTCGATGCCATCGATCTCGAGATTGATTTTTCCATGGGGAACGGACCAGGGGTTCAACTGTCACTTCTGCATTGATTTCAACATCATTCGAAGAAATCAAGCTCAGCGTCGTCAATCTCTGAAGGCTGGCTCGTGTCCAGAGTCGATCAATCCCGCACGCCGTCGCCTTATAGGGCTGGATCCCCCTGTGATTCTGGGCCTTGAAGATTGTAAACTATCAATATCGCCATCATCCCCGTCATGTACTTCGTAGTGATTTCTTTGTCGGGCTGATCCGTACAGGGAGCAATTAATGTTCCTTCCACTCTTCAATTTGATGCCGATCTTAGATCAAACCAAGAGGAGGAACAGAGACGGGGATGGAGCACGAGGGACGTGCCGCTCACACGGCACGGATCAATCGATAGTCCATCGCAGCTGCAAACCCATGCAAAATTGAAAATCATTTGATTGTTGCTTCGTCGCTGACTGGTAAAGTCCTCTCCTCTTCCCAATCAACCAACCACTCTGCGGCTCAAGTTCCATTGGGCTCCAGAGACCCTTCTCCATCCTCCCGGCAGACTCTTTCCGATTTCTTCAGGTTGCTGAGACGGATATAAACTAGACAAAATCAAGGACCACGTGGTTTTTGCGTAGCCATTGTGGCTCAGTCACTGGCCCCTTGTGCAGGGATCGTAAACAAGAGTCCTTTAAGAGGGATTTTGCCGCCTTCGCCCGAGCCAGCAGCCAGCCCAAGTTGGGGGCGGGTGGAAGGTGGCAGTGCACGTCTCCATCACAGCCGACATGTGCGATGTGCCGAAAGTGGAAGTTCGAACCCTACGAAACTTGAAAAGTCCGAATTATGCAAGTCTTGAGTCGTTTCGATGGACAGACAGTAAATCTTGGGACCGCGGCACCGCAGAGCCTTTACAGTGTGGCATCGCGGGTCTCTTTTCATGTTAGCCATAAACGAAAAGAAAGGGAACTGGTTATATTGCAACTACTTGCAATCAGGGAGTCAATAAGGCTAGTAGTCAATCTCGGACATCTTCAGCAACGTTCAGCAACGCGCACCTCTTCTCCAACACGAACACCTAAAGTCGGCAAGATGGAAACGTTCTTGACAACTCCCCTTACGCGGAGCAGCCCGAAATATCGCTAAGTCGGCTCGGACAGGTAATAGGGTTATATATAATGTCCCATCCATTGAGCTCGCCCCTCGCCCAGTTATATCGCCAATAGCATCCGCCTTGCAAGTTGCTCGGTAGGTTCGCGCAGCTCTCCTTCGACGTGACACCACCGTAATCGGCACCCCTAGAAGGCAGATCAACTGTCATTATCTCGTTCGCACACACATTGGATTTGACATTACTTGAGAAAGACCACATACCAGGCGCCAGCATACAGCGCACCATACTGCAGCCGGCATCCGGTGTTATAAGGCCCAACACCACCACCAGGGGTCAAAATGATCAAATCATCCAACTGCACGTCTGAATCCGCTCCAGGCGTGTTGGCGATGTTGATGATCTGCACGATCATCTTCTTTCCCGATGCCGCGCCTGTGAGCCATTGCGCCTCGTAGCACCGGCAGCAGTTCGCGTTGTCTGCCATGGGCGAGCCTCCAACTTGGATGGCGAAGCCGTATGAGAGCTCTTCGGAAACGGGCACGGGCTGGTACGAGTCGCAGAGGAAGGCCGTACCGCCTGCGCAGCTGGATTGAGCGAGGAGACCCTGCTGGAGGGGGAGCGGCTGGTTGCTTGCGTTACATACACCGGCGACACCCCTGGGCAGAATTAGAAGTGTAGGGACTGGGGGCGGTGTGTGATGGTGTTTTGGAAAGGGGGCCGAGGTTGAGATCCCTACCTGTTCGTGAGAATATCCGGACGAAGCGTGACGGTGTTTGCGCAGACGGGCTTGCAACTAACATCGTGTTAGGAGAAGCCTGGATTTTCATTCGATCCTGAAGGCAAGGCCTACCAGTCCCATGATGTAAACGACTTAGCTACAACCCTCGAGTCCTGATTCTGAGCTGAAGCGAAGCCCAGAATAAGGGATGATAGAAGTGTAGGCTTAAGCATAGTGGCCTTTCGGAGTGGGTACGGGAGATCGTAGTCAGACACTATGTTCTCTCTTCAGGGGAAAGGGCAAACGGCTGGGAAGAAGGGAAGCGGTCTGGCGAAGGACCGACCGTATTTATGAGACTTCCGAAGACCTAGTCATATGGGAAGCGATGAACTATACTAGCGCTTTAGCATCGAGAGCCAGTGAGTTCTGCCCTCGTACCACAGATGGCGGCGGACGAGCCCGGGAAGGCGGTACAGGTACAACACAACAATGATGCCCTAATATCCCGACTATCTCCTATCCCATCCGTACCTGAACGACATTCAAAGCTCCTCCATAACTGCTTTCGTCGACGCTTACTGGTTGGGTAACTCGGCCGTGCAATGCGCAGAAGATATTTGTCACAGAGAGGCGCATGGGGGCGGCTGAGATATGACTTCGGTTCCAGAGCGAGATGGATCGATGAGCTGTTTACCCTTCCAGCAACCTGCCGTATCACCCCGTTGTGATCCGGACTCCTCCTCTACGGCGTTCGTTCATCCCTGATTTCCTGCAGACCTGGTATCGGCCTTTCCAGTGTTGGCTTCTTGTTGAATAGTGGCAATATATTGAAGCGGGCCTCATGGACGGGGTTCCGGGTAAGTGAGTGATTTCCTTATTACTTCGCTTCCCTCTTTCTATTCTGCTATATGCCGTTGGTGAACGTATCTATGTAAATATATTTATATATTCATGGAGCCAATTTACCCAACCGTAACTTAGTTTCTGGCCGCGTCGAGGAGGTGTTCGTCCCAAAATGCCGGGTAAATCTCTCCCGCTCCGTGGGTTTGGGCCAGATATTGTCGGAACTCTCTTCCACCTGGGACCTTGCGAATGCATAAAGAGTATAAGAGCTATTTATTTCTCTTAGCACGGACATCTCGAGACTTCAGTGTGAAGGGAGCTATCCAATTATTCACAATCACCTGGAATTTTCATAACATTTTGAGCTTAGTTTGAGACTTACCGTGGTGCCTCGTAATTACTCTAACACCACGAGAGCCTGGATAAAGATGACTAGCTCCAACGAGATCGGCGACATGACATGATCGAGCTATGAAAGCAAAGGAGGGGCATAGAAAACATTCATATATTTCTGCCGCTGACCTTCCAAGCAAGGCAGACTGCAAAACGGGATGGGTATTCCTTCCCGTCCCATATGAAAACCGGAAACCAAACATGCTCATATTCCGCAGAACCAGGTTAAAATTCCGTGGCCTGGCAGTACAATTCCTTCCCACTCGTGTATCTAGCGGAACCAGAATCTCTTGTTGCTTGTACTTTGCAATAAAGGCGGGAACTCGAGCTGTGTTGGACAGCGAGGGTCGGACGATCGGGGCCAGGGTCCGACGATACCGGTCCTACCGCAGTAGGATGAAAGAAACTGACCATGCCGTGTTAGAGCTAAACGGGAATTACTACTAAAAGAGCCTGGGATTTTTGAATCATTCTATTACCGGTTATATGTTAATTTGTGTTGGAAAGCTTATCTATACCGCGGAGCGTTGGGCCATGTTCTAGCGTTTTCACTTCCAACCCGTTCAAAACACCTCTCCCCAAGCACTTACTTCCTCTTGCATGAGCAACTAGAAACATTACGAAAGTTTTTAAGACCAAGAGCAGTCGGTATTTCGCTCTTCGGCCGATAGTAAACAATGAAGAGTTCGTAGCAAGATGGTCTAAAAACCTCCCTCTCCCCGGCCCCCTCCCCAAAACCAGGTCTTGCTCGGATATGTACTGTTGTTTATCCACTTTTGACCTTTGATCCTAGGTCATCCCATGATACTGCAATAGGTTCATGGTTGCCTGCAAACCTCTGTCCTCCAAACCAGAGCTCAAACCTCAAGTCTGCGGGAGCAACGATTACTCTCACGTCAAACTGACATATGTAGAATTTGTATCCACGCGTGAAGCAGGTGCCTCTTTTCTCTCTCAGGACCAGCTGCTCTTGTTGGACACCTGTGAGGTTGCTCTTTACCTCACACAGTTTGATGGCGCCAGCTACAGGATACCAAAATGTTGTTAGTCGTCCCCTTGCCCTACGTAAAGGGCAAATAAGACACACCTTGCTTGAGACTCCTAGGGAGGAACTGGGGTTCATTTGGAGACATGACGATTTCTGAATCCCAAGATCTGGTCATGTCATTTGGCCCTAGCCGGATCTCAAACGATTTGACGATAGGCTGGTTGGGATCGATGGTATCGCCCTGGTGCTCTTGTCAGGATCAAAGCAAGACCAAAACGGTGGCTGACACTGAGCACAGTCATATACTGCTAACCTTTTTTATCAGCCATTGTATTTGATTAATGGCCCACATCTTGCTCGGGTCGTACATGTCTTTCCTCACGTCCTCGTTGTAGTGTAGCTGTGGCGAGTAAACCTCTTGAACAACCACGCCATAGCTAGCCCTCGCCACGGTTGTTGCAAGGGTTGGAGCTATGTTTCCGGAGTCCATCTGTTGCTTCCTGTTTAAAAGAAGGCCTTGCACTACGACGAGCTGTGGGTCTTTGCAAGAAAGGACTGCAACCTCTGCCGCATTAGGGTGGGGGAAGGACATGAATTGCTGCTGTAAGCGCTGGCGAACGTAAATGGAGCTTCCGAGACCTCCAGAGAGAACCATGAATTGCTTTTCTCGAGTTAGAATTTATGATGCCTTCTTCGCGGGGCTTGGTTCATGGAAGGCTTCTGCTTGAAATAGTAAAATGGACGTACCACTTGTTGGGGCAGACCATTGTCCCTCAGCCAGTCGAGTTGCTCTCCGATCTTCTTCGTGATGCCCTCTATCTGTAGCTCAAATAGGGACTGTATTTCTTGGCTTCAATACCGAAGCTATTGTTAGAATCGGCTGCTATATTCCCTGGAAAATATGCCAACTTACTAGGAGAACACCATCTTCCCTCCCTCGATTCCGAGTCCCGCATGTGAAAAATCGGCCGCCACGCCCTCCATAGCAATTCTGTATACGGGGAAAGTGTAGGCCTTCTCTCCGAACTTGTGCTTGACCATCCTAAACGCATAACTCTGCGCAAAACGAACGGGATAGTCTGGAGGTAAGAGCCGTTGTATATCTGGAAACGCGGCGAACCTCTGGGCTACAAGTCTCATGAACGCCCTGTCGATCAACGTCGCGCCCACACCCACGCCCCTGACAGCGGACATCTGCGATAACTTGGGGAAGGCCTCGTCTGTCGACGTGACTTGCATGAGCGCGAGGTCCGTCGTACCACCACCGGCATCCACGGTAAGGAAGACGGTGCCGAGCTGGAACCTGACAGGGCTGTACTTCAGAGTGGCGACGGCTGCCGCTTGTGCCTCTGTAAGATCGACAGCAGCTTTGTGCCTTGGACCCTCTATGCCGAAGCCGGCGTTGCGTATGATTTTCTTGAATGTGTTGATAATGGAATGGCTCGTCCACGTCGTCGGCACGCTAAACATGAACTCTACCGCTAAATGTCTCCAATTCCCATACGGAGACAACCCCATCTGCATCTCGACCGTCTCCTTGAGTTGCGCGTATATCTGCCTCAGATAATCTGTCGCGAATCGCTCCGCTTCAGATGTCGACCTCGGTACGTTAACGAAACCCTGTTGCTGCGCCGCCTCGAGTGTATCCTGATCGATGAAGATCTTGAAGAATTCCTGCCGTACCTTGACGTTGTGGGGGTCATAGTCGTCGGCACAAGAAAACCCCCAGGATGAGAGGGTTCCGTCTGCGTTATACAAGAGGATCGTCGGAACTTTTCGCTCGGCTCGGTCGCCGCTACCGGGCCATTCGTTGATAATCTGGATAGGTGTGCGTTGGGTCATCCAGGCCACACCTACTCAAGAGTTAGCTGGAGATATAACAACCACTCAACATGAAAGTCCTCTCTGAGTAGAAGGAAGCCCGGAGATTCTGGGTAAACTTGGCATGATACCTGTGTAGGTGGTGCCTAGATCAATAGCTACAATGACATCGGGTTGTTCATTCATTTTTTTTTTTTTTTGAAAGGACTGGAGATATCAGATATTACTGAGTGAAGCTAATCAGAAGTGTCATCTCTGATCGGAAGAAAGCGAGTGCTAGCCCGGAGGGGAGAATGAATGCGTATAGGATACAATAGGAAGAGCTCTGATGAATAGTACAAGGTGTGAGGGAAGGAAACACTCTTAGCTATTGGAAGCAAGCATCGGAGAGTGCAGATGCAGCTGTATTCCCTAGTTTCATGGGTGACAAATTGGGAAAAGGGCTCGCATGTGTATCTGGCGAGGATAAGACTGTCGAGTGCCGGCGACAAGGCTCCGGGCAAGGAAAACCCACGCCCCCCTTTCTCTGGACCTCCTCTTTCTTTTTTTTCCTCTTCCCGAACGGATTTTGGCTGGGCGAGCCTGCTGTATGTTGTCCCTTGATCACTCCAAAAGAGCCATGTAATGATACCGTTGAACCCCAAGCTTTTTACGTGTTCGTTAGGTAGGTCTTTGGCACGCAATATGACCAGACTGGTGGTGGTGACACTAATGCTTGCTCCCGCATCATTGGCGAGGCTTGCCTGAACCGAGCTAGACTCGATCTGGGACTTCGGCTGTCAAAGCATCGCAGAAGTATTGAGTACAAAGACCTAGATTCGGTCGATGAGATCTAATAATGCCGGGTTTCCGATGAGAAGAGAGGGAGAGAAAAGGATCAAATGGGTCATGGTGTCTCGAAGCAAAACGAACAAGGACCAATACCACTCAGTAACGCTCCAATCCTCCAGAACCGTGACGGAATGATAAAACATTCGAGGCGTAAATCCACTTCTCAGGTCACAGCTCTCCGCTGATGCCCACTTACACACACCCACAATCTTCACGGAGTCTTGACCAGCCGGTCCCCCGGTCCCTTCTTCTTCCTTTCATATATTTTCTCCTTACTGCTAAGGAGGTAATTATAGCTTCATTTGGTTGTTGCCTTTCATAATCCCTTGCTAGCCTCTGCCGACAACAGTACGCCTTCCAACATGGCCAATGTTCAACCAGATCAACAAGGCCGACAAGAGGGCAACGGAGATCCTAACGCCCAAGTTCCCCAGGGCGCGGGTATATCTTCTACAAGCCTCTCCGATGCTCCTTCCTTGCCAGGCCCGACAGCTGCACCTGGGACATTAGAAGCAACCAATACACCACCGGTCGCAACAGGAGGCTCTAGTACTGCAACGGAGTCCCCTAATAATGGCTCCGGTTCTCTCACTACTGGCGGCGCCGTAGGTCTTGCCATCGGCCTTCTCGTCCTGGGCCTCATTATAGGCGCTTTTGCTGCCTTCGTTGTATTCAGGAGGCGCCGCTCCAAGCAGCACATCGAGTCAGCACCGATCTCAGCGACGGCTGTTGGCACACAACCTCCAGCGCAAAAACCTAGCGAGGACCTGAGACTGAACCAATTCCTTCTTGACTCGACCCCGGAGAGAGAAATAGTTTCCGAATTGTCTGCTATTCGGGGTCTTTTGGAGACTCACGTCGACGCCAACTACCACCTTCAGCCAGTGCAAGTAGACGCTTCCAGCCTCACCCAGGTGCTTACGGGCCTGGGCGTGGGGCAGCAAGGGCAACTCTCTCCTGCCGAGGCCGTTTCACTGGCATTAAACCCCCAGACCCGCCGTCTCGCTCTTCAACATATCCTATCGGAGGTGCTCTTCAACAGTGCCGATCTCCACGGTCAAAGTCCCATCTCGACCCTCCCGGCCCCCATCGCCTCCTTTGTCAGGTCAATCCCACCGTTGGAAGTCAAGACAGGCGATTCTGAGGGCAAGTCTACCACTGACCGACTCAACAACTATAGAATCTGGACGCTAACTATTATATTCCCTGAAGCTACGTCGCTCGCCCTTACAAAATGGAGAACTCTCTCCGCCTTCCTTCTTCATCCGACTCGTAGCGACCGCTCGCCACTCAACCCCGACGGAGCCGACTCGAGCAGCCAGATCAGCGCTCTCGCCGCCGCGCTCAACGCCTTTTTGGAGCCCTTTGTCAACCCAGACCCGGCGAGCCGTTTCCAGCAGACCGAACACCTCCAGGCCGTCATACACGAAGTCACGAAGCTTGGATACGTTATTCTCTCGCAGCCTTCCGAGTGGCGCTTTGTGCATCGCCTGGATCAAAAGAGCTTCGGGACCTCCTTCATCGTGGCTCCGGGTTTGATCAAGGTTAGTGGTAGGGACGGAAAGGCGTATCAGTCACCAAAGACTGTGGTCGCTCCTCTTGTCGCGCAGCCGTGAGGGTTAGAGTAGAGAAGCCAAGTGTCATTCATGTATGCGCAATCTCGTCTCGTGGGAGATTTTTCTTCCGTGTTTTTCCTTTTCCTTCTCTGTCTCTTTTCAATTTCTCTCCTTTCATTTTCTGTCTTTAGGTCCTAATAAAAACCTCAGCCTGTCTGGTCACTTCATCTACTCATAAGTCAGCTCCCTCTCGCCGGCTCTGCATATTTCTCGTTCAGTTTGAGCAAACTTGCTGAACTAATTATACTATCACTCTCGTTATTTAATTTTAGAAAAAAAAATGTAGAAGCGAGCATTCGTTCCATGTCGATTGTGCCAAGGACCAGGCTATGTACCTCATACTTCGTCGCTGGTTGAGACTCCATGTCGAAATAAACTTGATGCCAAGAGAGTATGGCCCCCCTGCAGCCTCGCGCAGTTTGTTACTGTTCTGGGCAATGCCGAGACAATAGTTTGGTGTATGGTTCCAGCATTGGATTCGGAGACATGACATTCCCAGCAGAAGGGAGCATATCTGAATGGCGATGCGGAAAGGGCAGGCTGTAGCTGAAAGTAATATCCGACGACAATCCAATAATGCTCTGCAATGGATACTACGAGATCAGCCGTAATGCCTCTCCATCCCTTTGATGGGCTCACTCGATTGACCAGGGATTGCAATGGAGACTTGACCTGAGGGATGAGCCCAAGTGTATGTCCGAATGTCGTGCTTGCAAGAATCGGTGGTTGCGGTAGATATGCCAAATAACAGGGAGGGAAGAGGTTGCAGACCGAGAGGCACTAAAACTGTCATAGGACTCTGCCAACTAGCTCCTTCAATGTCGAGGGCTCAGTGTCCCGAACTCAAGATCCAAGTCCCACCTCACCTGACGTGCTCTGTGACAGAGCTTCTCTATGCATGCAGAAGCGGTCTGTCATTGGTGATACTGCGAAGTCAACACCAGTCTTCGACGAGAAGTTTTCCGCCCAACCTCTGGCCTGGCCCGAAATTCAGGAGTAACCTCGTACTGGTACATCTTCTCGGTTGCACGCCCATGGCGCACCGCATTCTCGATCCCCTCATTCAATCCCGTGGCTGACCCTCGGCAAAAGCAACCTGGAAGTCTGTCAAGGTAATTGCAATAGGCTAATCCAGTATGGTGGGGGTAATGTAACGAAGGTTGGATGAAAAAAAGCCCGGCCGGCAGCTGTCATAACTCTTCCTCAGACTCGGACGCTGTTCTGAGAGCCTCGGAGGTAGTGGCCATCACTCGACGACTCGCCTACAACCGGGATACGCTATCACCCTCAAAGAAAATGGAGCAGATCGCTGTTGGAGTTCTTCTGAAAGGCCTGTACCAGACGATCGTATTCACCATCGAGCTGGATCAGGTGCCTACCGCCCTCCGAACTTGTGTTGAACTTGTCCGTACCTGCTACACTGACTGGTGCGATCTCGTCGAACTCCGAAACGAATATTTGGCCCTCCTCGAAAGCCAACCCAAAATCCTCGATCGCATGAACAACATCATCACCAACGCACATGTGTCGCTTCAAGAAGTTTGTGTGCTGGTCGAAAAGTGTCGACCTGTCGGTGGCGGGTCCAGGCCGTCCCTGATCAGGCGTCTGGAATGGGTGCTTCTAGACTCCACGTTGTTCAAGCAATATGAGCCCGTGATTAGTCGCCATCATAGCTCCGTACTTGCGGAGCTTAACTTTCTGAGGAATCTGGCTTTCTCTTCAGGCACCGGCGGCCTTCAACAGGAGGCGGAAGGGGGGAGCGATGGCGACGACAAGAAGCCCGCCAAGCCTAAACCTACCTTCGAGAATTTAGATATTCTAGGAGATATCATGGGTAGATCCAGTAGTAGGTCCTGCATCTATTGTTGAGGCTTTTTAGTTGGCGTATCATTCTTCTCGAGATCGCGAACTAACAGCGAGCTCAGGCACAACCAGCGGAACGCCCACCCTGGGCCAAAGCATTGCACAATTGGGAGCCGCGGTCGCTTCTGGGCCACCACCACCACCACCACCACCACCACCACCACCTTACACTGCCTCCTGGGAGCCCCACCCAAGCTCTCCGGCAATGGAAAGCACGGTTGATACATTTCAGACTATGGGTGTTTGCAATTGGTCGGACTCAGTCGGGAGTGTGGGAAGACATGGGAGTGGCATGAACCCCTTAGGTAGACCCACGAGTTACACGCCAGTGTCGTCAGCGTCAAGTGCAGCGAAGAGAGAAATCTTTCTCTCAAATGAGAGACTTCAAGCGCTGCAGCAAGCCCATCCCTCCACCGTTGTACAAACCCGCCAGATAATCCCGAACACTACCTCCCAGTCCCAACCAGGACCATTTACTGCGTACTCCATTGGGAGCGCATCCAGAGTAGAGCCAGTTGACCATCAGAGACCTTTGTCCGTTGACATTGGGGCTGGCCCTCATAACACCTCGTTAGCATCGAGTTATCAGCGGACATCTGGTGAGAGTTGGCGAGGTAGTTTAGGGTGGCATACACCAACGCAGGCCCATGTTGCAGAACCTGGCGTGCCAATTTCGCCAAGGCGGGAATCGTCTACGAGACCATCAGACGCCGGGATAGACGCACGCCGTATCAGCCTGGGATTTCCTGACGTGAAGGTTGCGAGCCCGACTTACAGAAAACCTGTTCCGAGCAACTCGTATCTCACTCATGTGCCACCATATGCAAGTTTTTCGACGGCGACGCCCTCAACAATAAGCGATTCCTCTTCTTCGTTTTCACAACCATCCACGATTTCGAATTCTCCAGCTGCGTGTCAGACCGCCACGGTAGCCAATTCGGGCCAAAGGTACCCATGGAACTTATCCTATCATACCGGACTTGGGCCGGAAGCTCTCAGCGATGGGGCCTATAACCAAGGCAGTTTTAACCACATGCTAGCTCAACCAACACATACGAGAAATACTCCGATAGGTAGTGAACCGCAGATAACTCGAGGTAACAACCGATATAGCCAACCCGAGCCGGAGCCGCTGAAGCATTACCCTTCCGCGGAGGTGGTCGGGAAGCCAACCGTGGCTAGGCTTGCCGCTAATTCCCCACAGACCGCGCAAGGAGGACTCGGACGTAAAGAAGATATTCGTTCCGAGGAGGGGGTTGAGAGACCGGTATCTGTCGTTGGGCCTGCGTACTTGCACCATATGCAGAGTCCCTGGGATCTACCGTCCTCGCCAGCGCCGTATCCACCTCGCTCAGAAAGACAGAGGAGTACCGGCGAGGGACGGATAGGGAGTATTGCAGAGCTACCCACCATTAATCATCTGCAATTCGAGGTCTGGGAGAAGGAGTGAGCAGCATGGCTAAGGCAGAATCCCTACTCGCCCTATTCCAGAGTTCAAGCCAGTTATGCTGCCGCAGATGGGAACACGAGCCGCTTGTCGCCCTTTGGAACGCGTAGAGGCCGCGACAAGTTGAAGAAAGCTTGCAAAGCACATAAGGTTTCCATATTAAACATTGGCGTCGAAGTATTCCGAGGCAAGTTGGTTCATTGGAATTTGCCGCTGGGTCCTAAATGCTGGGTTACCATGAAATTAGAAGATGGACCGGAACCTTCGTGAATACCTTTCGCCGACCCAGGGGGATGGAGGGTGCTAGACCCAGGGAAGGCCCAGGGAAGCTTGACGAAATCCTGTCAGCGTCGGAACAGAACGCTCATGTGGCAACGAGCTGCGCAACGTTGGTTGGCAAGGCAGGCTTGATTGGGAGGTAACAAGGTAACAGCAATAGATACCGCACTGACCAGAACAAGCAATTAGCAATTGGGTTCTGGTCCTCCCATCTCCTCAGAGCAAGTTGAAACGAAAAGAACTGGCACATACGCGCGTGTCCAACAGGAAAGAGAATGGCATCGCGCGAATGTTGCACACGGAGAAGTCAGTGAAGTTAGAGAAGGCAACGGCGAATACTTGACTGAGCATCCTTCATACCATCAGTGCATCAGTGGGAGGTCAGGAAAGCTGTTAATGCGAGGCGACCCATGTACGAAGTACCGATGATACTATTAATATATCTCTTCCGTCGCTCGACTCTGGCCCGACTCCATGGTACAGACGGCGTTCCCGGGCATTGATCATGATTACTCAGGTTAATCAGCTCGATACCGATACGAAGTGGGACTGCAGATGCTGGAATTGCACCCATCGATTGCACTGCCCTCAATGTCGATGAGCGAGGAGCCCTCAGGGAAACCTCGTAAAGCCTCGTATCGTGTGCGTGTTATTTTAACACTGTACACACCATAATCCAAGTCATCTTTTTGCTACGCCACTCACAGTGTGCAGTACCCGGTCTAGAAGTCTCAAATTAACGCCCTAAAACCATCGCCAGACTTTAAATCATGGCAGTGCCTGGCAGTGCCATTGGTGCCACCACGAGCTAAACGAGGTGCTAGAGCGAGGCAGTAGCAGGCCCATTGATAGCAATCAATGCCTGGCTGGTGAACAATTGAAGTCTTTCCTTAACTGTTAGTTGCACCCCACAGTCAGCGCTTGAGTATCATTTCATCATCATTTCGGGTTCCCCCTTGCCCTTCCCATCGGTACATCTTATTGCTTGGTCCCAACGCCTGGATTTGAGGTACTGCCCCGCCCCTCCCCTCCAACTTGCCCCCTCAAATCCCAGTCTCAATCCAACAACAACAATTCCCAACCAGGGATCTTCGCCTCCTCATCCGCAGTTCCCCTGAGTTTATTAGCAAGCTCGACGTTATCTGCCCCCTTTTCTCGGGCTCCGAGAATCCATTTTTAGTCTTCGGATCTGCCAGCACGACCGCCCCTGATATCAAGTCTTTCCTTTAGTTTATTTTATTTTTGCGTCGACTTGTCTTTCGGTTTAGTTTTGTCTCTTCGCTCCCTCGAAGAACTGGTAACTGAGCTCGCTCAAATCTGCCGTTGGTAGTGCCTTCCTCTTTCACTGGTGCAGCACCCACCAGCGGAGTACGTACCGCTTCGCACTTGATTGACACTTGACCCCTGCTTCACTGCTGCGGGGCATCATCTTTCCTCACCAAGACAACAAACTTGTCTGCCAGGATCACGTCCCATCCCATCACCAAACCGAGACAACGGCCTTCGAGCTTGGTGGTTTGAGGACCTCCCTACCCGTCGACTACCGATTATCGATTATCCCACCTCGAGCGGCATTCATCTTGGCGGCATTCGAGCGGCGTTCTTATTCTCCATCGAGACAGCCTCCTTCTCGAGTCCCCTCGGCACGCTTTCATTTATCGTCAACGAGACCTGACCAGTTGCGACGATCATCACCTTAAATTCGAATCCGACACAGCAGCCCAGGATACCTCCCTCGCTGTCGTTTTCACCCCATCGTCGCATCTCCACACCCTCCTCCGTCCAACCCCTTGCCAAGGCATCGCCATGTCTTGGAAGATTACGAAGAGTGCGTTTCGTTCTTCTGTCCTCCCTAATCCTCCTTCTTTCCCCTCCCTTTTCTTAGGACACGTCCCAAGTCCTTAGCCCCCTTGCCTGAGCTCCCTACCACGTCTAACTGTACTTCGACTAACCGTCACCAGAGTTGAAGGAAACCCATTTGGGTCCCCTCGCCAGCACCTTCTCGCGATCCCCATCTACCTCTACTATCACCGATAAGGACGAGAAGAGTCAATCCATCGCCGGATCCGTTACTCCTACCAACGAAGGTGCCATCCGTAAGTCGAACTCGAATCGTTATATCCTCGTCTCCTCTAATGCATGTGACGCTGACCTTTTGGTCCTAACTTTGCTCTCTAGCATCCGAGGCCATGTCACAGGCTCCCGTCGTAAAGCCGCCGAAGCCGGGAATTCTCATCGTCACACTACATGAGGGCCAGGGCTTTTCCCTTCCCGAGCAGCACCGCAACGTTTTTGCGTCCCAGCACACCCAAAACTCACTTTCTAGCGGAAGTGCCCTAAATATCGCAGGTTCGGTGCGACCGACCTCGGCATCACAGCACGTTTCGGGATCCTATATCAATGGCGGAAACCGCCCTCAAACTTCTGGTGGAGGCTTCACCGGCATTCCGACAAACCACGGTCGAATTTCGGGCAAGTACATGCCTTATGCGCTTCTCGACTTCGACAAGGTCCAAGTCTTTGTAAACTCCGTCGATGGCAACCCAGAAAACCCCCTCTGGGCTGGCGCCAATACCCAGTACAAGTTTGATGTTTCTCGAGTCACCGAGCTCGCCGTCCACCTCTATATGCGAAACCCTCTCGCTCCCCCTGGATCCGGTCGCAGCCGAGACATCTTCCTTGGAGTTGTGCGCATTAACCCCCGATTCGAAGAGCGTGCCAACTTTGTCGATGACCAAAAGTCGAACAAGAAGGATAAAGATAAGGATAAGGACAAGACTGCCGAGAAGGCGCTTGGTCACAGTGGTGTCGAGTGGGTTGATGTTCAGTACGGTACCGGAAAGCTCAAGATTGGTGTCGAGTACGTGGAGATCCGGGCCGGCAAGTTAAGGATTGACGACTTCGACCTTCTCAAGGTCGTTGGTAAGGGCAGTTTCGGTAAGGTCATGCAGGTGCGCAAGAAGGACACTCACCGTATCTATGCCCTCAAGACCATTCGAAAGGCCCACATCATCTCCCGCTCCGAAGTTGCACACACTCTGGCGGAGCGATCCGTCTTAGCCCAAATCAACAACCCCTTCATCGTTCCCCTAAAGTTCTCTTTCCAATCGCCTGAGAAACTCTATTTTGTCCTCGCGTTTGTCAACGGCGGGGAGCTTTTCCACCATCTCCAGAAGGAGCGGCGATTTGACGTTAACCGCGCCCGATTCTACACCGCCGAACTTCTCTGTGCTCTCGAGTGTCTCCATGGCTTCAACGTCATCTACCGAGACCTGAAACCCGAGAACATTCTTCTCGACTACCAGGGCCACATCGCCCTCTGTGACTTTGGTCTCTGCAAGCTCGATATGAAGGACGAGGACAGAACTAACACTTTCTGTGGAACTCCCGAATACTTGGCCCCCGAGCTTCTCCTTGGCACCGGATACAATAAGACGGTCGACTGGTGGACGTTGGGTGTCCTGTTGTACGAGATGTTGATGGGCTTGCCTCCCTTCTATGACGAGAACACGAATGAGATGTACCGCAAGATCCTTTCAGAGCCGCTACACTTCCCCACGGACATCCCTGCGGCTGCTAAGGACCTTCTCACAAAACTCCTCAACCGCAACCCCGACGAGCGCCTCGGAGCTAATGGCTCCGCCGAGATCAAGGCCCATCCGTTCTTCCACGCCATAGATTGGCGGAAGCTTCTCCAGCGGAAATATGAGCCCGCTTTCAAGCCGAATGTGGTATGTATTTATTTCCTCGATGCTTCCGTCTCAGCAGACTCTTCGCTCTTCAAGCCCAAAATAAGATAGAGAAAGAGTCCTCCTTGTTTCTTTTTTTTTTCCCCCTCGCCATATGCTGACACATATTCCTCAACAGGTCGATGCTCTTGATACTGCCAACTTTGATCCCGAATTCACATCCGAACCACCAAAGGATTCCTTTGTCGAGGGAGACCTCCTGTCGCAAACCATGCAGAACCAATTTGCTGGCTTCAGTTATAACCGCCCGATTGCTGGTCTCGGAGATGCTGGTGGCAGTGTTAAGGACCCATCGTTCGTTGGTAGTCTCCAGGATCGTCGTTAGAGGTTATAACTTCTTTGATACCCTACTGCTTTCTTCATAAAGCAAAAAAGCAAAGTGTTGGTCACCACCCCACATTTGTTACCTGGCGGTGACACCCTCCATGGCTTTCACCATTAAGGAGGCCAAGGGGAATAGATGGATGGATTAGATGATGGTATGGATTGATATCAAGGAAACGTGCTGGCAATGATGCATTTTCAGGCGGATTTGATGGAGCCGGAAAGAATGTAGTTGACATGATATGAAGCGGCGGTTGTCATTTTGTCTTCATTGTTTCATTTCTCGCCTTCGTTTTTGGGCCGTGGCCTCGGCCGTCTGCATTTTGGTTTTTTCCAGTTTATACCTTGAGGTTTCCAAAAGCGGAGTTGGCAGGGCACCTTGGGTCTGTGTACAACGAGTTATGCGCATACTTGTTTCTAGCCACTTTTTTCCGTCTATCTGACGACTTGCGTCAATGTCGCCTATTCTCAGCTGCATCCTTGAAGGGTAGCTTTGAGGAGTAGACGATACGGGCATGACGTGCCAGAGAAGTTCTAAATCTGATTTTCGGCCCTGGACTCTTTATGGGTGTCCGTGAAACCTGCTCTACTTATATGTACTATACTACACCGATCAAGCCTCCACCGAACCGCTCGAAGTAAAGCTCTTTACTTACAATAGTAGGAATAGTAATCAGGAACGGGTTAGAGATTACTGCGGATGCATGTTCTGCGGTCAGTGGCTGCGTACCGTTCCGTCGTGCTGGGAGTCGTCCGAAGTGAGCACGGTCCCGGATACCAGTTCAGCCGCGACAAGAGAGCAGACGAACATTTCAATATGCATGATCGTCCACATCTGTTGAAGTTGGGGCAGAATGCCAGAACTAAGCATCAGATATTACGATCAAACAAGGAATGTTATTACTGTAGAATTCGTTATTTAATCTTATCGTGCAGACACATCAGATATGGAGGAAAAGTTGCCCCCACCACTGGCGGGAGAAGACATTTCGAGGAACTAGAGTGTGCAGCTTCTCCTTCCCCAAGGTCGCCGGTAGCCCCAGAGCCTACTATCTAGTCTAGTGTGCAAGCCGCGGAGAAGGACAGTATTCCCCCCCCCCCCCCCCCCCAAAAAAAAAAAAAAAAGTGGGAGAGGAGATGGCCTTCGCATTGATGCCCAAGTCCGAGACAGCTGCGTCAGGTTTGCTTGACGACCTTGTCCTTGACCAAGGTCGAGGAAAAAACCATAATGCTTGAAAATGGATGACACATTTCTTATGATCAAATTAGTGCTTGGTACAATTGTACAAGTTTGATGTGTACCGGCCTCAAGTGTGATTTGTCAGGCGCGGGGGACCATCAAGCTGGCAGGAGGGAAGGTGCGAGGGACATGAAAGGGACCCGGTTGGATCATGAGGTGAACTCCAGACAATGGCAACCGATATGGTGTACGCTGAAATAATCTCGAGAGGTCAATGACTGATTCTATCCTACTGAAGTAAGAAGAATGCAATTGAAGAAGGCGCGCAATCTTGCAGAGGACGGCTTCTGGCTCCTTAATTCAAATGACTTGAAACGGCGCATCTTCGCTTGCCATCTCGGCGGGGTCGGGCTCATTAAAAATTACCCCGCCAAGTTTTAGTTCCTGATGCTGATGCTTGAGCTCCCTTCGTCTCCAGCTGTTGCGAAGGCCGAAGTCCGGCCCCCATGTCTATGTGCTCTCTGCCCCTCATTACCCCTCCAAAACTTCCCATTGTCATCAATGATGATGCGTCAAGTCTGCTCCATTGTTCCCCCTCCTCGCCACCCCGTGCCCGAAAATCACGCCCTCAGATCCCTTCTGCCTGACTTTGGATGTCCCAGACTGTCAATTAATTGGTTTGTAACAGTGGCAGTACGTAAAATAGCCGGTCGACTAGTTTACGATCCGACCAGAGGAAGCTGCCATCAGTGGATGATCCATGCATCGTACACTCTACCGATTCCGATGCTATAGAGTGTGTGTCATCGCGTGGTGTCGGTGACCTCGTAAACCAAAATGCTGATACTTTTGGTTGATAGCATCGTGCTGTCCTGGGTGGTCCTGGTCTAGCCAGCTCGAGACTAACGTTCAGCCCTCGTCTTTGTCCAAGTATGGTGCTCCTCTGTTACAGGCGTACCACACATCAATCATGCACTTCACGACAATGGAGCTTCGAACCCCGCCAGACGAGACCTGGACTAGCAAGCTCCAATTCTCATTTGTCTTTGCTTACCCTATCCGGGTCTATCGTGTAATCACAGCACGCACTTCCTCGACTGAACTGACCATCCAACTTTGTAGTGTACCGTTTTGGGACAACTCCCCTAGTAAATACAAGTAGAAACCCAGACCCAATCTCCCACCACTCAACAAAGTTACCCACGGGAACTCTGTTTTATCGGAAGCTGTCCCACGTCAATTATTTCTCGGCATTCTCTCCATCGAGCATACCTTCTCCTCATCGTCTATCAGAACCAAAAAAATCTCCTCCCCCAATTCCCCTTGTCGTCTTCATAGTATAACCCCTCCACCAGATACCCCTCCATCCCACAGCTCCAAATGGCCCCCGCAAACACCCTCCCCGCCTGGAGCGAGCTCCAGAACCATCGGGACACCGTTGGCAAGTCTTTCGTCCTCAAGGAAGCTTTCGCCTCCGACCCCGATCGATTCAGCAAGTTCAGCCGCACTTTCAACAACGGCGCCGGCGCCGAGATCCTCTTCGATTTTTCCAAGAACTTCCTCACCGATGAGACTCTCGATCTCCTCGTCAAGCTCGCCGAGCAGGCCGGTCTTGAGAAGAAGCGCGAGGCCATGTTCAATGGCGAGAAGATCAACTTCACCGAGCACAGGGCCGTCTACCACGCCGCGCTCCGAAACGTCGGCGGCTGGGACATGAAGGTGGATGGTGTTGATGTCATGAACACTCCTGGCGGTGTCAACGACGTCCTGGAGCACATGAGGGTCTTCTCCGAGCAGGTCCGAAGCGGTGAGTGGACTGGCTTCACTGGCAAGAAGCTCACCAACATTGTCAACATCGGTATTGGAGGTTCCGATCTGTAAGTTTTGACCTATGTCTTGTATTTGGAGCTCCTTTGGAAATGGACATGTAAACTAACCACCGCTCACCTCTGACTGATAGCGGCCCCGTCATGGTGACCGAGGCCCTCAAGCACTACGGTGCCAAGGACACTACTCTGCACTTCGTCTCCAACATTGACGGAACCCACATGGCCGAGACCCTCGCCGCTTCCGACCCCGAGACCACCCTCTTCCTCATCGCCTCCAAGACCTTCACCACCGCCGAGACCTGCACCAACGCCAACACCGCAAAGTCGTGGTTCATCGAGAAGACCGGCGGCAAGGGCGAGATCGCCAAGCACTTCGTCGCGCTCTCCACCAACGAGGGCGAGGTCACCAAGTTCGGCATCGACGCCAAGAACATGTTCGGCTTCGAGAGCTGGGTCGGTGGTCGCTACTCCGTGTGGAGCGCCATTGGCCTCAGCGTTGCTCTCTATGTCGGCTATGACAACTTCCGCAAGTTCCTTGCCGGCGCTCACGAGATGGACAAGCACTTCCGCACTGCTCCTCTCAGGGAGAACATTCCCGCCATTGGTGGTCTCCTGAGCGTCTGGTACTCCGACTTCTTCCAGGCTCAGACTCACCTTGTCGCTCCGTATGTCCCATCCAGGCTTTTAGTCTTGGGGCAAGAGTTCAAGTGCTAACGTAGGCATCTCTATCTAGCTTCGACCAGTATCTCCACCGATTCCCCGCCTACCTCCAGCAGCTCTCCATGGAGTCCAACGGCAAGTCCATCACTTCTGATGGTACTCCCGCCAAGTACACCACTGGCAAGTGAACCCACCCCGCATGTTGTGATGATTCCTCAAACCTCTAACAAAAGCTGTGGCGTTCCAGGCCCCATCCTCTTCGGCGAGCCCTGCACCAACGCCCAGCACTCCTTCTTCCAGCTTGTCCACCAAGGAACCAAGCTCATCCCCACCGACTTCATCCTCGCCGCCAAGAGCCACAACCCCATCAGCAACAACCTCCACCAAAAGATGCTTGCGTCCAACTACCTCGCCCAGGCCGAGGCCCTCATGGTCGGCAAGACTGCCGACGAGGTCCGCGCTGAGGGTGCTCCTGCCGAGCTTGTTCCCCACAAGGTCTTCCTCGGCAACAGGCCCACTACCAGCATCTTGGTCGGTGGTACCATCGGACCTGCTGAGCTCGGTGCTCTGATCGTCTACTATGAGCACCTCACCTTCACTGAGGGTGCCGTCTGGGACATCAACTCCTTCGATCAGTGGGGTGTTGAGCTCGGCAAGGTCCTTGCCAAGAAGATTCTCAAGTAAGTCGAGTGGAAATAGTTTTGCTTGGCTCACGTTGCCATGATTGTCGATCTAGAGACTAATGCAACCGCGCAATAGGGAGCTTGACGAACCCGGCAACGGTTCTGGCCACGACGCCTCGACCGGCAGCCTCATCGGCGCTTTCAAGAAGTACTCGCAGCTCTAAACTAAATCCAGCTGTTTGCGGAGCTACACTTTTAACGAAGGAGAGAATCAATGCGCCGGGACTGGATGGAATAGGTGACGATGACATGAAAAAAGGGGTGTTTATCACCTAAATCATTCGCTTTCGAGTGGACAGTAATTTTACCCTGATGGTCGGATCACGACTAAAGACTGTCGAAAAGATAAAAAATCAATACAAACATGTTTGACACAAAGGATCCCAGCTAGCTCTTGGAGCTAAGCTCTCTTGCAAGGGATTTTGTCAGAACCACCTGACCTGAGGCGTGCTCTCGTTGCAGGGGCTGGTTGCTCCAGCCCTCCCACCATCCTCGTAAGGAGACGATCTTGGGGAAGGCAGACCGGGTGTTGAGAAATGAGCTCTGGTGGGGGTTGTATTGTTCAATTACCACTACTCGGAGCTTCAGGAAGTGAAGCGGGGTGGACTTGCGTTGCTTCCTCACCGCTTGAGCTTTCGTCAGGTGAGGGCAGCAGGGGTGGTCAAGCAAATGGCGGACAACGTGGAAAAGGTTAAGGATGGGGAGGTCTGGATGCATCAGAGATCGCTTAATCTCAGAAATACATGATGATTCCCGCCAGACTGGTTCAGGGGAGGGGGGGGGGACAAAAACAGCTGGCGATGCAGGCGGAGAATAGTCGAACAGCTCAGTTCGAGGTCCATCCCCCTTTTAGAATCTACTAGTTAGGAATCTCGCTCCACTTCTGCTCTGGGTGTTGAATTCTATTTTGAGCACGAGCTTCGACTCAACACAATGTAATCTTACACAGGTAGTTTAAGACAGCTCGCAAGATCTCGTAATATCCACGGGCAAAAGAGCACTGAACGTCGTAAAATATTTGACCCCTGGTCACCAATTGCATCTTTGGATGTCCATGTGACGCGCAGAATCTTTCCCTGGCCCTTGTCTTACAACGCCCGTGTTTCTGGTTCTCACCCCGGCCAGGAGCTGGGGGTTGAAGCAGGTCGAAACGGGGTTGAGGATCACAGATTTTAATAGGAGGTGGTGGTGCGTGGGCTGGCCTCACCGTTTAGATTGGGGGTACATCTGCGCAAGGGTAGTGATACTTTCATTTATGTTTTTGGGCAGTGAATTCGAGATACTTTGCAGTTACTCGTCATGGAAAGGGCGAGCTTTTAGTGATTCATCATTCATCCCTTCATCCTGGAGCTTTTTCGGCGGTGAGCATCTGACAGCATGTGGTTGGGGATGGTGCGCGGTCAGGTCCTGCGTCGTCCGGATTGAGCACGTTCGGAGCGGAGGAGTTAGACAGGCCGCTAATGCGTTCTCTCTAGGTCGCGGGTTAGCGTTGTCTGTTGTCTGCCCGCGGAACAGAGCGACTTGATCCGGTTCTGGTCCAGGCTTGGGTGTCTGAACCACGAACGTGCTCCGTAGTGACAAGCGGGACCAGTTGACCAGCCAGGAGATTTCCACTGTTGCACTAAGTAAAGGAGTGGATGTAATGTGGATGTAGCAGTGTCGTTTCCCCCTTTCCATCCCACCACGAGGATCAGCATCAACGGGCCTTTCCTTCCCCGCCAAAAAATCCGAGCTAAGCCCTCCATCAAAGTGGAAACTGCAGGATTCAAAGACCGCATCTCCTTCGTACGAAGGAGTAAATATGAATACTCACAGTATTCGTGCCTAGACAAAGACGGAAGAAAATTTATCGGGTTGTAGTGGCTTTTTGCAAACGGCTCAGGATTCCGGCGTAAATGAGACGCTGTCTCGACGGCAATCCAATATCAAATCTTGAGGCCCAATATGAGCACGTCGACCCGCCCGCTGGGTGTTAAACATAGCCGACTGCGGGCGGCTCGGGTGGACATGGCATGGCAGGATAGTTTATCGGATCTGGTATCCGATATCGAGGCGTATCTCTCTGCCTTTGATATCGAGATCTTTACAACGGCGTAACAGGTATGACTGCTTCCTCACCTCTACTTCGGCCTCTTTCCCAAGGATGTGACTTGAACATGAGTATTACGGCGAGGTGCGGCCGGAAAAGACGCAATATTAGGTGATGGGATTTGTGTTGCTTTGGGAACGGAAAATTATCAAACAATCAACGTACCGTTTATCGCCTGCGGTCTCCCTCCCCCATCTCCCCCACGACCCACGACATTGGAGCCATCGGGGTTGTGATGAGCCCGTCTCCAACATGCCCATCGAGTAGACATCTCGGGATGTATACTACGTTGCCTGAACTGCCCGTGATTTCAGTCAGATTTCAGTCTTGAACCAGAGCCTAATAGTTGCCACCGGTCTTGAGCTAGCAGCGGGTTTGCACGAAAAGGTGGCGGATGCAGCTAATCTTCTTGTCGCGTTGAGGGGGGGAACGCATCACGAATTCTCGCCCTGCACCTCAACTTGCACCTGCACGAATGGCGATGCGATTGACCATTGATGGCGGGGGCGGGGGAGGGGTCACAGTGCGTGAAGCCTATGAAGCACGAAGGAAGTGAAGCTACCCCTCAACTCACGTTTGATCGATCGAGGCCAGAAAGGCCCATCGACATGACATGAGAGGTACCAACATTGAAGCAGGCCAGGCCGGTTGCCCAAAGCATCTCGATCCGAGGTATACGCTAAACCGCTAACCAAAAATTAATTTTGCATTCCCTGGTTTCGGGCCATTAGCAATGATTGCTCTTTAAATTGTTATCATTGTCTCTTGGCGGCTTAGCACAGTGGAGACTCGTCTAGCGCTGGAAGTTTTGGGAGCTCGAACTATGAGGTCATTTTGATCTTGGTCGAGGGGCAATCCTGTTCTGAGTGTACCTTGCCTGTACATGGCTGGATTCAGATTCGGCGACAGGGAGGGCCGGTTGCCACCCATGCGTTGGGCTCAGGGAGGAGAGACATTTGGTATCCGTAAAGCAATGGTTCTGTCGAATGAGCATTGGGTCGACCATCTCTCTGTGCAGCCTGCATCTGTCTCAATGTATTGATTAATCGGATCATATATGACAACAGCTACGTGAGGCTTCACGGGCCTGCTCCAAAGCAGCAGCAACCTAGGCCCACCCTGTACATCCAAAGTACTTCCTTGTAGTATTGGCTAGCTCGACAATGGTCTGGATCTCGGCGGCACTGCCAAGGCACCCGTCTCTCAGCTACGAGCAAAATCAATGGTTGATCAAGCATTTATTCAGAGAGCCAGACACCGTATAATACACTAGGGAAAATCGTCGCTGCATGCTTGTAACGGTGGTATTTACGGCCTCCATGAACTGGTTTGGAATCCAAAAAATTGCTCGAGCTTCTTCGCTACCAACAAGACACGAAGCAAGAGATGCTAATGCACTTTGACCTTGAGAGAGTACACTACCTTAGCTTGATCTCCGTGCAATCGCCAGGCGGTACTACGGCGCTACGGCTGGTGGTACTCGTCCCGCTAGCGGGAGCTGCCCGCGGCTGCTTGGCTGAGCTGCTTAACCAGCTAGGCCTAGGCGTGGCTCCTAGGTGCTGGGACCATAGTTGACAACTTGACAGCACTAGGTAACTACGGCTTGGACAGGACAGGAGAAAGTGATGGAGCTATAGGAAAGAGAGTTTGACCAGCAGCAAGAGCCGTGGAAATGTGTTAACCAGAGGCTGTTCGTTTGAAATTGTCCCTGATTGACCTTATCCAAAAGCTCCGAGGCAGGTGAGACGCCCAATGGCAAAGTGTGTACGAAGTAGCTGCCATTTAAACACAGCTTGGGTCGCCTTCCCACTAGTGGTCCTGTTGCAGCACGATGCGTATCAAACAACAGCAGACAAAAGTGGCAGCACCAGTCTCAATACATGTTCGTATATGGAAATGCTACTCCAGTAGCTCCCTGCGGACTAGAACGTGCTTCGCGAGACTCGTCGTCGAGGAGCTGGAAAGTACGAAGGACCTTGCGAGGGCCCCGCACTGGTAATAAGCAAAGGAGGCACCACGCATCCCACGTCGCACCACCCCTCCGTATCCCTCACCGTCTACTTCGGGCAAGTGGTGACGTTAGAACCACAGCCAACTCGTTCCTGCCTTCCCTCCCTTCCTCCACTACCTGGACTTGCCTCCTTCCTTCCTCCCCTGGTTCTTGGTTCTTTCGGCCCAATGCATATAAAGAGGTGGAAGCTTCCATCCTCAACAATTCCCTTTCACTGACTTTTTCATCTCTCCTCGGAGCTCCAGTAGAAAACAAAAACATTGATCTCGTAAGTCTACTTTCCTCTCCCCAACTTGAGCCCTCTGCCAAGCTTCATTTCCCTTTCTCATCCCTCCACCACCAACCAGTACCACCACCTCTCATCTCCCACCGGGCTATGTGAGTGCTCCATCATGATATTGATCTCAGCCATCTCCTTATCCTTAGCCTAAGCTTCGTGTTCAATTAAACTATTCCCTCATCATCATCTTCGAACGCTGCTAACGTGGATCCACTCTCTGAAGCTCATCCTCTACCAAAGAATCCACAAATAATCAATCATCATGGGCAAGAAGGCTGTTCACTTCGGCGCTGGCAACATTGGTAAGTCTACGTCCAAAACTGAAGCTACCCCTACCTAGTAGGAGAAAATAAAGGCTTGCTGACTGAAGATTCCCTTCCTATGTAATAGGCCGTGGCTTTGTCGCCTGCTTCCTCCACAACTCGGGCTATGACGTCGTTTTCGCTGATGTCGTCCAACCTCTTGTGGACTCCATCAACGCGAACTCCTCCTACAAGGTCATTGAGGTCGGCACCGAGGGCACCGAGGAGCTTACTATTTCCGGCTACCGCGCCATCAACTCTCGTACCAACGAGGACGAGCTCATCAATGAGATCGCCACTGCCGATGTTGTGACCTGCTCCGTTGGCCCCACTATCCTCAAGTTCATCGCTCCCCCCATTGCCAAGGGTATCGACAAGCGATCGGCTGACCTTCCCCCGCTTGCTGTCATTGCCTGCGAGAACGCCATCGGTGCCACCGACACCCTCGCTGGATTCATCAAGGACCCCTCCAATACCCCTGCCGATCGCCTCGCCGACCATGACAAGCGTGCCCGCTATGCCAACTCGGCTATTGACCGTATTGTGCCTGCGCAGGACCCCAACTCCGGCCTTGACGTGAAGCTCGAGAAGTTCTACGAGTGGGTTGTCGACAAGACTCCCTTCCAGGAGCATGGCGTCCCCACCATTGAGGGAATCCACTGGGTTGAAAACCTTGAGCCCTATATCGAGCGCAAGCTCTACACCGTCAACACTGGCCACGCCACGGCCGCCTACCACGGCTACGCTCTCAAGAAGCGCACTATTGATGAGGCCCTTCAGGACGAGTTCATCCTTGGCCAGGTTCGCAAGGCTCTCGAGGAGACCACCGATCTCATCGTCACCAAGCACGGAATCGCCCTCGAGGCCCAGAAGGCGTACGCCGAGAAGATCATTAACCGTATCAGCAACCCCCACCTTGCCGATGCCGTCGAGCGTGTTGGTCGTGCTCCTCTGAGGAAGCTCAGCCGCAAGGAGCGCTTCATCGGCCCCGCCTCTCAGCTTGCCGAGCTTGACAAGGATGTCTCCGCGCTCGTTGATGCTGCCGAGCAAGCCTTCCGATTCCAGAATGTTCCCGGAGATGACGAGAGCGCCCAGCTCGCGACGATCATCGCCGAGAACTCCGCTGATGATATCGTCAAGAAGGTCACCGGCCTCACAGAATCTGATAAGCTGTACCCCAAGATCCTCGAGGTCGTCAAGAAGGTCAAGGGAGAGTAAAGGAAGGGTTTCTCGCTTGCTTGTATTTTTTTTTCCTTTAGGGATGAGTGTCTAGTCGAGCGACTATAGACGAGCTTTTATGACATGCTTAGACAGGAGCAAAAACGGAAATGAATTAAAGAAGTTATGACCCTTCCTTGTACCCATCGTAATCTAAAAAAACGATTCCACAGGCATGGCGAGATCTTTTTGTAGAGAGAGGCAACGAGGCCAATTGTTTGGTAAATGTTGCGCCACCTGTTTGACAGTGACACTGCTGCCCGAACAATTGGCATTGAATCGTAATTGATCCAAACAGCAGCTCCACCCAGGGGGGGAACATGTTCAGGCGCCCAGGTATTTGGGGCAGACCGGCTTTGAGAGGTCCCCCAGCACAGGCCTGCGACAGTGATAGACTGGCAGGTTAGCCTCACTGTATTATCACGTGACATGCTCTTTCGAACTCCTGGATGCCACGTACGTTTTGGGCTGATTGCTATCGAGACACATTTCGTTGAAGCTCAAAATTCAAGGTGCCGCCCCAGTTACGAACGAGCCTCGAGTAGTCCCTCTGCGGCGAGATCCTTGATTTAACGGTTCTCAAAAGGGCGGGAACCTCTCCGAGTCACGCAGATCCCATTCCCAGCTTGCGCCAAAATACCATCAACTCTAAATTCGTTGATGGTGGGAGCCTCTATCCGAACAGAACCCCACCTACATACAACTCGACAGTCTTCCCCTTGCGCATCCGTCTCCAAATAGGTCCAAGATGCGCCTCGACGTCAAGGTATGTTGGCGCCCTTTCGATGCGGAATAAATCCTTCGATCGAGGAAGCCGTTTCCCTACCCCAGCCCACCAAACCTGCCTGCGGATCCTGCCAGGAGCCATCTCCTACCCCTTTTCTCATAGCAGCCTCGCACGCGTCTGAGCTTTCCAGCTGATTACCTTGAATACTGTAGCGGCAATTGTTTGCCAGGAGCGAACGAGTGAAGGGCATCGACTTCCATCCTCACGAGCCATGGATCCTCACAACACTCTACAACGGTATCCGCCGCATGCTGCCCCCTTTACGAGCCCATCGAATACTAATGCGCCTGTGATGTAGGCCAGGCATATATTTGGTCGTACGAGACACAGCAAGTCGTCAAAACATTCGAGTTGACCGATGTCCCTGTTCGAGCCGGCCGATTCATTGCGAGGAAGAACTGGATTGTGTGCGGTTCAGATGACTTCCAGGTCCGGGTCTACAACTACAACACCTCGGAGAAGATCACTACCTTCGAGGCTCACCCCGACTACATCCGAGCCATCGTCGTGCACCCGACCCAGCCATTCGTCCTAACCGCCTCCGATGACATGACGATAAAGTTGTGGGATTGGGAGAAGGGATGGAAGTGCGTGCAGGTTTTCGAGGGTCATGGCCATTATGTTATGGGACTGGCCATCAACCCAAAGGATACTAACACCTTCGCTTCTGCGTGTCTCGACCGAACAGTCAAGATATGGAGCCTCGGATCGCCCACCGCCAACTTCACTCTCGAAGCCCACGATACGAAGGGTGTCAACCACGTCGACTACTACCCTTTCCCCGACAAGCCCTACCTCCTTACCTCCTCCGACGATAGGACCGTCAAGATTTGGGACTACACCACCAAGTCTCTCATCGCCACCCTCGAGGGTCATACCAATAACGTTTCGTTCGCCTGTTACCATCCCGAGCTTCCCGTTATCATTTCCGGTTCGGAGGACGGAACAATTCGCATATGGCACGCCAATACCTATCGCTTCGAACAGTCTCTGAACTACGGCCTCGAGCGGGCTTGGTGTGTGGCGTATCAGAAGGGCCAGCAGGGCATTGCTGTTGGCTTCGATGACGGTGCCATCGTGGTCAAGATGGGTAGGGAGGAGCCTGCCGTTTCGATGGACGGCTCTGGTAAACTCATCTGGGCGCGCCATAATGAAGTTATTTCGGCCATCATCAAAGGCGGTGGTGAGTCTATACCGGAACCAATGTTGCCGAAGCACCTCGTTGTTGGCTGACATAGCATCTAGATGCATCCATTAAGGATAACACTCCTATCACCCTCCCAGTCAAGGAACTCGGCACTTGCGAAGTCTATCCTCAAACCCTCCTTCACTCGCCCAACGGCCGGTTCACCGCAGTTTGTAAGTCAGACCACCAGTTGCATCATAGCTTAGGGAATGGTTGGGAGAGTGTGCAGTTATTAACCTGACCTCAACTAGGTGGTGACGGCGAGTATATTATTTATACCAGTCTTGCGTGGAGGAACAAGGCCTTCGGTTCGGCCCTTGACTTCGTGTGGGCCTCCAAGGAGAACAGCAACGATTTTGCTATCCGCGAGTCGGCGACCAGCGTCAAGGTCTACAAGAACTTCACCGAGAAGCAGGGAGGCCTTGATGTTGGGTTCCACGCCGATGGCTTGACAGGTGGAACTCTTCTCGGTGTTACAGGCCAGGGTGGCATCTCCTTCTTTGATTGGAACACTGGTGGTCTCGTCCGTAGGATCGAGGTAGAGCCTAAGCAGGTATGTCGTGGTGATTGTTGCCAACGTATCGGCTATGACCCTAATGGTACTAACTCCGTGTCCAGGTGTACTGGTCTGACAGCGGCGAGTTGGTCGCCATCGCGTGCGAAGACACCTTCTACGTACTCCGTTTCTCGAGGGAAAACTATGTCGAGGCTGTGCAATCTGGTCAGGTTGACGAGGACGGTGTAGAGGCGGCCTTTGAGGTTATCACAGACATCAACGAGAGGTAAGGCTTTGACGTGCGAATCCCCTGGTTGTTACGGTTCACTAACAGGGCTTTTCCTGCAGCGTACGGACCGGAGAGTGGATCGGTGCTGTCTTCGTCTACACCAACACAACCAACCGACTCAACTACCTTGTAGGTGATCAGACCTACACAATATCCCACTTCGACGCGCCCATGTACATCCTGGGCTTCATCCAACGCGATGAGAGGATCTATCTGGCAGACAAGGATGTCAACGTAACGTCGTTCGGCCTGTCCTTGCCCGTCCTCGAGTACCAGACCCTTGTGCTTCAGGATGAAATGGAGACCGCGGCGGAAATCCTCCCCAGCGTCCCCGCCGATCAGCTTAATAAGATTGCGCGGTTCCTGGAAGGTCAAGGCCACAAGGAGCTCGCTCTCGAGGTAGCAACGGATCCGGAACATAAGTTCGAGCTCGCCCTCGCGCTCAATCAGCTAGAAGTTGCCCTCGAGCTTGCCGAGGTGGCCGATGTGGAGCACAAGTGGAAGACGGTGGGAGATGCAGCCCTGGCGGCTTGGGATGTTGCTCTTGCCGCTAAGTGCTTCACTCATGCTAAGGATATTGGCTCCTTACTACTTCTTCACTCCTCTACAGGCGATCGGGGAGGTCTTGCGGCGCTCGCGAAACAGGCTGGAGAATCGGGCGCTCACAACGTTGCGTTTAGTTGCCAGTGGCTCCTGGGCGATGTCGATGCGTGCGTCGACATCCTAACCAAGACGGGAAGGCATGCGGAAGCCGTTCTTTTCTCGCAGACGTATAAGCCCAGCCTTACCCGGCCGCTGGTCGATGGCTGGAAGGAGAACCTGGAGAAGAACAAGAAGGGGCGGGTGGCCAAGCTTCTCGGCACGCCTGGCGAGGATGACGATCTCTTCCCGGAGTGGGATGAGTGGCTGAAGCTGGAGAGTGAAGGAAAGTCGGCGCTCGGCGATAACGCCGCGGGTAATGGGGCTGAGAATGGTGCTGAGGAGGAGGATGCGGAGGCGGAAGACTGATTTAGATGTAGAGGAATTGCGTATCATATGTTTTTTTTTGACGTTGCGGTTACGAGCTATTCTCGGCGTTGGGCCGGTGGAAAAGGAGACGTCGTCACGAAAACCATACATGCAGAGGATAATCCAAATGGCCTTTTTCTGAATTACACATATCCCGTTCCGCGCTGAGTGTCGTCTGTCTGTGCGGTCTGATTTGAGAGGGCGATACGAGGGGGGATCGAACAGAAGTTTTGATTCCTCTTCATTCCGTGTGCCCCCATGGTCTTCAAGCTTTTAACGAAAGGGCTGAAGTCCGTTGGACATTTACAGTGAACCGATCGACCAGCGGGGAGAGGCACAGGGTCTCGATTTGGCCGGAAGCGGCTTAGCTCCAGAAGATGGTTGCTGTTGAGAGCGTGATTGGGGGGCCTCCAAATGGAAAGGACCCCTGTAGATTATTGGACAGCGCCAATCAACAACGTGCCCAAGGTGAGCCAGCTGAATCGACCTGCATTGATTCCCACCAGGGTTCAACGAGAGACGGCGGCGGGACCCTTATTTTGGATAGAAAACTAGAACAGAGACCTTCTCTCCTTGAGATAACGACTCCGCCAGTCTCTTCCTCCTTCCCTCGGAGCCAATCCGTTCAACGTTGGGCTTTGCCTTCACTCCACGCGCTTAACGAGTCTGGTCTTCTTTTGAACTTTCAATCGCCAAGGGAAAAAAAAAAGAAAACACCATGACTACCACCTCAACTCTCCCTACACCGCCCTCGGCAATGGAGGCCCCGCCGAAACAGGCGCCCATGGATGCCACCCCACAGCCAGGAACGCGCACTGCTACCATTATCTCGCAACAGCCTGTATGTCTCACGCCTTTGCCCTCGGGGTCTCTCTCCCTCGGTTTCCTTTTTAATGTTGTCGCGGGAGGGGGATTGTACGCGACCTGCCAACTTCTATTCCCCTCCACAAAGACGTCTGAGGGGCAATCCAGAACTAACCTAACTTTTGGGGGTGGGGAATAGACGAGCGAGCCGAAGCCCGAGATGAGGAGTCACTTGCGAGGAGGTGGCATGTCGCTTGGTTTCGATTGCTGCGGAGGCTCCTGCCGCTTCTACAAGACTTGCTGCTAAAGGAGCCTCGAATATCAATGTCCTTGTCGTCTCGCGAAGGGAGTTGAGGGGTTAGTGGTTTTTTTGGCTTGGGATTTGGAAGATCTGCTGCGTGGTTGACCAGACGAGTGGAACGATGAAACGAACCCTTTAATAAGTATGAATTAGTATCAATATCTATTAAAAATGCGGCCCTTCTGTCATGTGTAAAGTCGAGAACTGGATTCATGGATTGCGAAACTCTCTCAAGAATGATTTCCTTCGTGCCCGGCTGGTGAGTGTCAGTCACTGCCTATTTTCGGAAAAGGCCTCCTGTCGTAACGGCCAATGCTTGTAGATTGCGCAGGACACTGATAATAGATCCTTCCTGGAAAGAGAGGGGACTAATGGGAAGTGAATTGTGCGAGCACGCGAGGTTGTCGGGAAGTGAGTTTTTGGGTGCCTGAGCACATCTGAACGAATCGACAGCAATGAGGTTGGCAAGGCGTCCTCCCCTCGACACCGAAACTTCCTAGGCATAAGGAAGGTGGAAATCGAGACTAATTAGAAGACGAGAAGGGCAGAAAAAAAAAAAAAAAAAAAAAAAAAAAAAAGAATTATCAAATGCTGTCCAGACCTCCACTGCGAAGAACCAAAACTGCAAAAGGATATTCGAAAGGTGAAAGAAAAATTAAGCGACAAAGACAGGATTCGAACCTGTGCGGCCGAAGCCATCAGCTTTCGAGGCTGACCCATTAACCACTCTGGCACTTTGCCTGTTTCTGCTTGGAGGTTGGAAGGCGGAGAACGGTTACTATAAAGGGCGCAGCAGACTTCTCAGGGCTCCAGGTTGACGAACAACTGGTGGCGGTTGGCCTTAGAAAAGAAAATTTTCTGGTGGGTGCCAACTCCACTCGCCCATGGATCAAGCCGTGGTCAGCGCCATCAAATTTCATCTATAAATATGAGCCAAATCCTCCCATTCTTTCCCTCTCTTTTTCTTCTTTCTTCTTCATGTCGACTTTACTTCAGTAAGTCTTACCCCCTACATTCCACACACATCATTCACACACCATCGAACACGCCGATCCATTCTACGCCATCTCTCCTCCAAGTCCATCGTCTCTAACAACTTCAACAGGAGAATCATTTCTATAGTTGTCGACCTCTTCTTGGTTTCCCAAAGAAGCCACAGAACCCACCCTGGTTGATGAATCGATACCCCAGCGCCTTAGAGTGAAGAAAATGGTCATCTTCAGATTTCCATTTGTGGCTCCCGAACTGTCTGAACAAGACGGCGGTCCTTATCCTCTGGGATTTGGGCTGTAGAGGGAGTGGTTGATGATCTCGTCCCCGTCTCTCGGTCGGCCTTTTGGCGCGAGGGCGGGGTGGGTGTTGGGGGAGTCTGACAGGCCTCTTTTTTTTCATTGCTGTCTGGGCTGGCTCTCAGATCGTGAAGAGGAAATTCTACGGGGGGTTTTAGTTCGGGCCTTGGCTCAAATCGACCGATTGAGCCTCCCAGCGCGTGCACGGGTAGAAGAAGTCTTACCTGTATTGGTAGAAAAGTTTTTGTCTGGAGTCGGACACACACCTGCACTCGACGAGGCTCGGAGTCTAGGACCAAACATCTTTGACTTCATTCCTCTGTTCATCTAGGGCCGCCTCTGCTTGGATTTGGAGAGAATCAATGTCTATCACCGGCGTATTCTCGTGAAGGTTTACCCCATGCGCTCTCTTTGAAAAAATTTCCCCTTTATTTCAATCGTGGTGATATATTTTTGATTCACCCTTCTAGATTCAATGTCTATCCACTCAACCACCAAACCGCCAACCACCTTGAACAGCTCCATGGTCTACCTCACCAGGATGCTTAATAATGTACCTTCTTGCCATCGTCCCACATTTTGTTGACATTTGTTGCACTTGCATGATGATTAGCCCGCAGCTGTGCTTTTGGGCTATAGGTGGACATGTCCCTCCTGGAGCCATGTTGTTGTTGACACTCAAATGTTTGGAGCTGGGCTGTGTTGACTGCTGCAGTAGCCCCAAAAGCCGCCTCTCACATTGCATATTGTTGCTTCATACAGATCAACTAACGATTGTTATCATGCCGTGATGTGCTCTGAAGATCTAATTTGCCATGTTTGTTTTCGATCAGCGTCGTCTTTTCCTTTCCCCCAGACTCATCCGTCCGGCATGCTTCAAGAAAGATGGCTCCTCTACTCCTCATGCCCTCGCTTCTTCTCGCTCCTCCTCCCTCCTCCCAGTTATCAGGACAGTTCCGTATTACACCCACACTCTCTCAGGTGTTCCCGATGTAGTCTACGAGACGTCGCCTTTTCTGATATCAATTTGGCCGACGCCAGCCCGAAACCCACCGAGAGTCTAATCTCTCTGGATTTGGCGTGCCCTCTCCTCTCGCTGACACTGACCTTGAAGACTCGTGGATTCATTTGCCCTCAATAGGAGACTTAGAGTTCCATATGTGCAGCTTAGATATGATCATCGCATTATCATTCAGCCTTGCGTAGGCAGAGTCGCGGGGGTAATGAATGTTGAATGAAGATATGATTGAAAACGAGGCATGTCTACGTCCCCATCCGCCGCAATATGCCAGAGGCCCAGTGCAGAAGCCCGTATACGTAAGTAGTACCCTCAACTCACTCTCTTGCCTACCGGACTGTAGGGAATCTTCGTGTTCTCCGAGATCTCTTCTGTAATTAGAATCTTGCGCCTCGGTGGATTGGTGCTATTGTCGACTTTACGATCTCCAACGGGCATTCCTTACTGGGAAGCGAAGCCTGGTGCCCTCCGCTCATCCCTACCACTTAACTAGGTGTCAGTTGGTCACCGTTATATCCTCCGATATGGAGCCCAGTACACATGGTTCTGGCTCTGGAGATTTGTTCAGGATCTGCTCAGTATCGGGCCATGTCGGCAAAGGCTTCTATTCGGAGCTTACATCTGGACGTCCCCTGGCTTCCCCTGATTAAAAGTTGGTTGGTTACTCCCACGCACTGGAGATCTCCGGAGAGTGAGCGAGCGAGGAAGGCAGCCGGATGATATATGGGGAAGGTGACATCTTGAAGGGGAAGCCAAAAGAGAGAGAGAAAAAAAAAAAAAAAATTAGAATAGTCAGTCTACTCACATCAAGTTCGAATCCGTGGCCTTCAGCTCATTTCTTCTATGTACCTTGCTGACTCACCGGCTTTCCTTAGGTACCTTCGAAAATTTCGGAGAATCTCGAGGTACCATCTCGCGACAGCTTCATCATCATCAGACAGCCTCGCTTCCCTTCCTCCCAGCCTTATGCAGCATTCCACGCCAACATCCCTAGTAACGCCCGAAAAAGAATATCGACAAGATGCAGTGAATGTAAATCTTTATTAAGAATGATTTTATATTTCAACACAAGTGTGAAGCGAGGAAATCCTTGAACGTTAACGACAAAAAGGATAAAATTGTCTTGTCCAACTGGCAAAAGAGTTCGGCCCCGAAGGACCTACATCTCTCTCACCCCGACCTGGGGCGCCCCACAGCAGTTTGACCTGATCCCACGAGACTCCGAAGAATCCCGTGAGACGCCTCAGCCTAACGTTTGACCGCTAGGCTATCTGCTGTGGTTGAAAGACTCCCCCATAAACTCACTGATAACACATTCTCGCCCTCCCTGCAGCAAATTCGCACTACGCAGACCGAACAGATCTTTTACTTTCATCTTTTTAATACTTGACGCGACTTGAGAGCAGGGACACTTAATCTCGGACTTTGTAATTCATCGATGGAATTTCTAACTCAAATATCACGCCGACTTCGAGTGAATTCTGTGAACACGGGCAATTTACAGTACTGGCAATACTCTCGCGGGCCTTGTCACGAACCTCAGAGCTGGGAAGAGGCAGACTCCGACCTAGCGTAAAACTGTAACCTAGTCTCATTTATGGCGGGTTTCGGAGTCTTGGTAATTCCCTTTGCGGTCTACCAGGCACATGTGTTGATTTGTATGTATTGGACTCGTGCCCTTTCGAAGATCATCTAATTCAGCCAGATCGAGTCTAGCCATATAATTTGATGGCTCTTTGAATCGAGTGGCAGATTTCCAGAAACACAAGTGTCTGCGTCCCGTTCCGTCTTGTAACCAGGAGTATTATATTAAGACACTCAGGGGTCCAGGTTGAAGCTGTCAACTCCCCAACTTGACTTGTAGTCAACATTTTAACCAACCACATCCATAACTACGACAATGGGCAACCTACAGTACACCCCAGCGGCCCCGTCTGGGTTGAGACGCGAGTGGAGATCCCCGAGGATGCTTCGAACGTGGGGCTGCTTCTTACTGCAAGCCGGGCAATCGGACATTGTCCACGGCGTCGACCACTGCAGTGTGCTGCATCCCATCCTCGGCTTAGTTTAGCGTGCGTAAACTCCTTCGAAACGGGTGCCGAGAGTCCGATGCATAGGCCACTTGGTTATGGTGTGCTTGGGACTTAAACCGCTGCCATCCGTGTCGAAGCAACCCAGAGAATCAGAGATAGGAGGTTTGGATATGACACACTGTGTGGAAATGTGGAAGTATGGACCTTGTTGGTGCTGTAGTGCTTCTCCCACGTCTTCTGTGCTGTTCCTTCAACTGAGTTTACCCCGCAAACTAATATCCGCACCTTGCGCCGGGATCAAGTAGCGCTCCGCCCAAATGCAGCTACCGGAGCATTTTTGCCACAGGTGGTACTCGGATTGGGCAAACCCCTTCTGTTGCTCTTGACCGCATTCGGGGCTTCTTCTGCTAGCCCGGATCCCTCATCATAATCGCCCCAATCCCCTTCGTCAAGGCGCCGATCCCGCATGCGTTAGCCCAGTTCGCTTCGGGCCCAGAGTTACGGCATTGTAGTCCGAATCGATACGAAGGTTGCTGATACTCTCTGGATTAGTCGCCCTGCTGAACCGAATTACATATCACATCTCCGTTTCCTCGGCCGTGCGCCCGAGCTTTCCATCGCCGCTGCCTACCCCGCCTCCGTGTCACTCTTGGTTCACATCGTGGGTGTGCACATGAGGCATTGTTCTCCACTAAACCCCAACATACACCGTAAAAGAGGCCATAGATGAAGATTGGCAATAGTCTAGTAATCTTAGCCAATCGCCGAAGGGGGGTTCCGGGGTAAGGAGTAGATCTTAGGGAGTTATCTGTCCATGCAGTCACATTGCTACCTCCTCTGCAGGCTTGAACCAAGAGCCTGTGTATATAACCCAGCTTCCCTCTCTTCTGTGTGGCACGTTTCCACCACCCCACCATTCTTTCCCCCTCCCACCCTTGACACTCCAACGGTTCCTCTCAACACTCTCTACTATGGCTACCGCTGAGGTCGACGTCCCATCCAGTCTCCGGACGGTCCCCGGGTCTGTTAACATCTCCATAGCGACGTTCCCCGTCACTCCCAACAAGTCAGCACCGGCAGATGTCTCAAAAGTTGCGGTGGACTTGGTGAGCTCTTTCAATAAGGCTATCGAGGCTGGTGACTACCAGGCCATCGCTGATCTCTTTCTTGACAACGGCTTTTGGCGTGATCACTTTGCTTTGACGTGGGACTTTCGGACAGCCAAGGGACCCGACGGCATCCTGAACCTTCTCAAGGAAGCTGCGGGGTCGAGAGACGGGTTTAGGCTCAAGAAGATTGAAATCGATGATAGCACTGACGTCCGCGCCCCCAAGTTCAAAACTCTGGATGAAGAGGGTAAAGTCTGGGGGATCCAGGCATTCATTACTCTAGAAACGGCAATTGGCAAGGGTCGTGGTATCGCCCGTTTGGTTGAGGTTGATGGCAAGTGGAGAATATTCACGCTCTATACCAGCCTACGGGAGTTGACCGGCCACGAGGAGGATATTTACTCTCGGAGGCCAGTGGGCGTGCAGCACGGAGGCAAGCCTGGACGCAAGAACTGGGCTGAACGAAGGACGCAAGCTGCGGATTTCAACGACGGTACTGCGCCAGCAGTATTCATTCTAGGTATGTGAAGACGCCACGTCTTTCTCGCAAACAGGCAACCTAGCTAACAAATGGATCAGGTGCTGGCCAGGCCGGATTAACCGCCGCTGCGCGGCTTAAGGCCTTGGGTATCGATACCCTAGTCATCGATCAAAACGATCGGGTGGGGGATAATTGGAGAAAACGATACCACCAACTGGTTCTTCACGATCCAGTATGGTATGATCACCTACCATACCTGCCCTTCCCACCCCAATGGCCCATCTTCACTCCCAAGGACAAGTTGGCGCAATTCTTCGAAGCGTATGCGACTCTCCTTGAACTTAACGTCTGGACTCGAACTGAACTCGTGCACGCTCGGTGGGATGAGGACAAGAAGAACTGGACGGTCATCGTGCACCGCAGGAAAGAGGACGGCACGAGTGAGGTTCGAACATTCCACCCCAGGCATGTCATCCAGGCCACCGGGCACTCCGGAAAGAAGTATATGCCGTCGATCCCGGGCATTGATACCTTTAAGGGCGATGTCTTGTGCCATTCATCCGAGTTCCGTGGAGCTAAAGAAAACAGCCAAGGAAAGAAGGCGGTAGTTGTCGGCTCTTGTAATTCTGGTCACGACATCGCGCAGGACTTCCTTGAGAAGGGTTACCACGTCACGATTGTTCAGCGGTCGACAACACATGTCGTTTCTTCTTATGCCATCACAGATATCGCCGACAAGGACACATATTCAGAAGATGCCCCGCCAGTTGATGACGCTGATATTATAGTTCACGGCAATCCCAGCTCTGTCTTGAAGGCCCTGAATGTCACAATCACCCAAAAGTCTGCGGAGTGCGATAAGGAAATCCTGGAAGGTCTTGAAAAGGCTGGCTTCAAGACAGACTCCGGCCCAGACGGTTCGGGATTGTTCATCAAGTACTTCCAGCGCGGAGGTGGTTATTATATCGACGTTGGTGCTTCTCGCCTCATCGCAGAGGGCAAGATTAAGGTGAAGCAGGGACAGGAGATTTCGGAGATTCTTCCGAATGGGCTACGCTTTGCGGATGGCTCCGAACTGGAGGCTGACGAGGTTGTCTTTGCTACTGGTTATCAGAACATGCGCACGCAGACGCGCTTGACATTTGGCGATGAGATTGCGGATCGAGTTGGTGATGTCTGGGGGTTTAATGAAGAGGGCGAGATGAGGACGATTTGGCAGAAGAGTGGACACCCTGGATTCTGGTTCCATGGCGGTAATTTGGCGTTGTGCAGGTATTTCTCGACCTTCCTGGCTTTGCAGATCAAGGCGCTGGAGGAAGGTATTATGAGGTATGGAGAGAAATAAAGAGTTCTCTCCAGTTAGCAGGGCAGAAGTTGAGAGCGTGAATGATACAAAGTAGCTATCGGGTAGTTCTAACTTCTATATCATGACTTAACCTCCAAAGCCGCCTGGCTCGTTTGTGCATGACTCCCCGTCCTTACTTTATAGTTTCCACCCGGTGCTAAAAGTTGCATCGAAACCTGCTGTATTCGAATCATCGCGGCTCAATATCGCAATCTAAGTAAGATATAATGGACACATCCATGAGAGAGGAATGCTCGGAGTTGAAGTGCGGGTCAGCATAACTCCGATGCCGGGGCGGAGTCCGCCAATCTGCAGATAATCCAATCCCCTCCACTTCCTTGGCAGCGATGTTTTGTTCGCTTGGCTTGCTTCTTCAGCGGCGGGAGACAGTTCCATAACGACCTTCAAAATTTCGACTTTGAGCCTGGTTTCGATAAACTCAACATGTCTACTGCCGGGACGAAAAAGCTCCGCATCGGTGTGGATGTGGGCGGCACAAACACTGACGGCGTTCTTCTCGACCCGACCCAATCGTCCTCACCTAGCAGGGGGATTGTCGCGTGGCACAAGTCGCCTACAACTGCCAATCCCGGGGATGGCATCAACAACGCAATCGTGACCATGTTCGCTTCGGCGAGCATCAAGCCCGAGGACGTGGCGAGCGTTGTTATTGGCACGACGCAGTTCGTTAACGCTGTGGTAGAGCGGGATCCTCGGCGGTTGTCGCGAGTGGCTGTTCTTCGTCTCTCGGGCCCATTTGCTAAGCATGTCCCGCCATGCGTGGACTGGCCTGACGATTTGCGCGAGGTTATACTGGGATATCACTCTAGGGTTAAGGGAGGGCTCGAAGTCGACGGGCAACTGATCTCCAGTATCGACGAAGCGGAAGTGAAGGAGCAATGCGCTATGATTCGGCAGCTGGAAATTAACACTATAGTCGTCAACGGCATATTCAGTCCGATCGACACAGTAGAGAAGCAGGAAGAGAGAGTTGCCGAGATTATTCGAGCGGAGGTACCCGGAAGTTACGTCGTGTGCGCTAGAGACGTAGCCAGCCTTGGCTTCGTGGAAAGGGAGAATGCCGCAATCTTGAATGCGTCCATACTGCCCTTTGCCGCACGCACCATCCAGTCTTTCCAAAAGCCGGTGAAAGCTCTTGGGCTGCACTGTCCTGTCTTCATAACGCAGAACGATGGAAGCATACTGTCAGGAGAGGTGGTGGCGAAGTTCCCCATCAAAACCTTCTCTAGCGGACCTACGAACAGCATGCGTGGAGCCGCCTTCTTAGTACAAGGTGAGGTCGAAGAAGATGTCATGGTTGTTGACATTGGGGGCACAACTACCGATGCCGGCCTCCTTCTAGCAAGTGGATTCCCCAGGCAGCAAGCCGCATATAGCGAACTTTCCGGAGTGCGAATGAACTTTCCATGTCCAGACATAAAGAGTATTGGTCTTGGCGGTGGCTCGCTGGTCCGAAAGGGTAAAAGTATTACCATTGGCCCTGACAGCGTCGGATACGCCATCACAACGCGAGGACTGGCTTTCGGTGGCACAGAGTTGACTTCAACCGACTGTTCCGTTCTTGCAGATCACTCCATAGAAGTTGGAGACCGGAAACTGGTCGAAGGCTCTCTCTCAGCCGAGGAACTTGAAGAGTACCTTGCAGTTGTGAAATTCAAGTTGGAAAGTCTGATCGCGAGAATGAAAACTTCTCCGGCGGATCTCCCGGTTATCCTAGTTGGAGGCGGCGCAATAATCGCTCCAAAGGAACTCTCGGGAGCCAGCAAGGTCTTTACACCGAAGTGGTCTGAAGTTGCAAATGCTGTTGGGGCAGCCATAGCCAGAGTGAGCGCGACCGTCGACACAGTGCAATCCACTGAATCAAAATCAGCACGGGAGGTCTTGGAAGATATAAAACAGGAAGCTATGAAGAAGGCTGTCGAGTTTGGTGCGCTGCCATCGTCAGTTAAGGTGGCCGAAGTGGAAGAGTTGCCGCTGTCGGTGAGTATTCCACACATAAACGCTTGTGAATTACTCTGTCTAACATCTACATTTATCATGGAAAACAGTACGTTGCCCACAAATCCCGATTCATTGTCAAGGCGGCCGGTGATTTTGATTTCACACGAACGTTTACCACCACGGATCATCTGGATTTGGCGATCGACCAGATCGAAATCCAGGCCGATACCGAGATGCCATCCGCGATATCGAAAGCAAGTCCTACGAGAGACGAGATTGACTTATTAAGCTACAAGCCCACTGTCAAGCAAGGAGTATGGTATGTCAACGAGACAGACTTGAGCTTCATCAGCATCGGCTGTTACATCCTGGGAACTGGAGGCGGTGGCTCTCCATATTCGCAAATGGTGCTTCTTCGCGAGAAACTTCGAGCCGGTGCAGTGGTAAGGGTTGTGAGCCCATCAAGCTTACCGGACGATGCGCTCGTCGGAAGTGGCGGCGGTGCCGGCTCCCCCACTGTTGCAATCGAAAAGTTATCGGGGGACGAAATGATCGAATCTCAGCGTGAATTATACAAGATGGTCGGACGGCCGGCAACGCACATGATCACTGTTGAAATCGGAGGTGCTAATGGCCTTCAGAGCATGATCCTTGGCGCGACCACAAATATGGACGTACCAGCGGTTGATGGAGATTGGATGGGCCGAGCATATCCCACAAAATGGCAGACGACACCGGTCGTGTTCAATGAAAGATCGCCTATATGGGCACCTATAGCAATGAGCGACGGTAATGGCAATATCATAACCATGACCGGAGCCTCTTCAGATGCTCACGTCGAGCGCATCATGCGTGCGGCGCTGAGTGAAATGGGGTCCCAGGTGGGTTTCGCTGACGCGCCAGTCAGCGGCGCCGAGGTGAAGCGCTGGGTTGTTGAGAATACCATCTCCCAGTCTTGGAGGATCGGCCGGGCCGTCATGAAAGCAAGGAAGACGAACAATCTTGACAACGTTGCCGAGACGATAATTAAAGAGTGCGGCGGCCATGAAGGCGCGAGAGTCATCTGGAAGGGGAAAATAGTGAGGGTAGAGCGAACGCTGAGAACAGGTCACGTCTATGGGGAGTGTGTCATTGAGGGGATGGGTGGCTCCCAGGATGCCCAGGCTGGGGTTGGACGTGAGAACAACAAAGGCACCGAGTTCAGTGGGTTCATCAAGATACCGTTTAAGAACGAGAACATTGCTGCTATAAAAATTCCACCTGGAGCACAGTCGTCGCTTCAGGACCTAGGCGCTAAAGAACGACAAGAGGACGTCCTCGCCATAGTACCAGATCTCATCTCTGTCATCGACGCCCAAAACGGTGAGGCTCTTGGTACTCCGGAATATCGATACGGTCAACTGGTGATTGTTCTAGGGATCGCAGCTAGCGATCGATGGACGTCCACCCCGAGGGGAATTGCTATTGGTGGTCCGGAGGCGTTTGGCTTTCATCACTTGACTTACAAAGCCCTTGGAAAATTCGCGAAACCCAGGAGCGTTATTGAAGAGTTTAATGAGGGATAATTGCAAGAGGTTTCGGACAAGGCAGAAAGTGGATTTGGCTCATAGATCGATATCGGCGATTATAGCTGGTGATATAACGCGGAGATGATGTTTGTCCTACCTACTATAGCCCCCTGAGAACTGGAAGAGCGAAGAGAAAATGGAGAGGTGGGTGGATTCGAGGAATACTCCAGGTTCCTATTGGTTCACTACGTATTTAGATTCGAATGATATTGCAAGGGGCATTCCAGTCTTCCAAGGACACTCCCAAAATGTTTTATGGGATACTCGCCGGTATCCGAAGCCTTTAACAGGCAGACTGCCCCGGAAAGTAATCTATTCGCAGTGATGGGACTGGCTCGTTCATGTACCGTGAATGCATTGCGCACTGGTTGGCAATTTCGGCACTTGAAACTGTAGCTCCATCAGCAATAAATATAAAGTCCTCATTAACCATGACAATCATAGCCAAGGAAGGCTATAGTCCAGGTACTTAGGATCGTCCAGTTATACGCATATCGTAATATAGGGGGTCTGTATATGGAGGTCATATGAACTTGTCTTCGAGATACAGCACTGATATTAATTTATATTTTGCTCATCCGTGAATTATAGCCAGTCCGACAATGTCCAGATGCTGGCTGATATTTAAATAAGTTCTGCCAGTCCACTCCCCACCGCCATGGCCCAGTTGTATATACCACTGTTGCTCTCTACTACCTCTAAATACAGCCGCAAGTGGACTCGGTCGAAAGAGACCGATCTCAAGATGCAGCCTCTCGCGTGTCTTCTCCTCGCCGCTACTGCGGCGCAAGCCCATTGTACGTCATAGGAACCTGGCTACCACTGGCGTGATGATCTAACGCAAAAAGACACCTTCCCTCGACTCGTCGTCAACGGGGTACCGGAGGAGGCGGACTGGTCCGTCACCCGCATGACGAAGAACGCTCAGAGCAAGCAGGGCATCGAGAACCCTACTGTACCGGATATTCGTTGCTACCAGTCGCGAAACGCCCCCAATATCGCGACTGTCCCCGCCGGATCGACTATCCATTACATCTCCACGCAGCAAGTCAATCACCCTGGGCCTACCCAGTATTACCTTGCCAAGGTTCCAGCAGGTCAATCCGCGAAAACTTGGGATGGCTCTGGTGCCGTCTGGTTCAAGTTCCACACCGAGATGCCGAGAATAGACGCCAACAAGCAGCTCACCTGGCCCGGTCAGAGTAGGAGACATTTTCTTGACCGTATGTGTTTCAAAGGCTAACCTTTGGCTTTCAGACGAATACGTGACAACGAACGCTACGATCCCGGACAGTATCCCGGATGGCGAGTATCTTCTTCGTGTCGAACACATCGCTCTGCACATGGCGATGCAGCCGAACAAGGCTCAGTTCTATCTGTCATGCTCGCAAATCGAGATTACTGGTGGAGGCAGCGCGATACCCGCACCTTTGGTTGCATTCCCGGGTGCGTACTCGTCCAACGATCCTGGTATTCTTGTGAACCTAGGCTCGATCGGACCGGACTCGTACCAGCCTCCGGGGCCCGCGGTCTGGCAAGCCTAGATAGCGAAATTAGATACCCGAGAATGAGTACAATGTTATTTCACTCATTCCTAACAGAAAACGTCCACTGAAGGGCCCCGAGTTGTGAACGTATTTTAGTGATGACAACACAGAGTATCGTGTTATTTCAATGTACAAAGACTCTTAAATTCTGCAAACGCAAGTACATTCTGCTCTAATCTCTTGTCCCGTCTAGATATCAATAATAAGACAGCCAGTAATGGGGCGGGCTTTCCACCTTATCCGAGTACCCGCACGTAGCGCTAACAAAGCCGAACTCGTGGTCATTTCTACACTCGGGAAGCTCATCGATCTCCTCGCCGAAATCACCTCTGTGCGATCCATCCCCGGCCCACTCATCAGCCTCCCTAGTCCTCTTAAACACAAGATTCGCCACCGCCGCTACAGACCCTCCACGTTGGAGGAAATTCTTCGTTACTGGAGGCCACTCGCTCTGGTACAGTCGAAGCACCTCAAGGACCGAATACTCCGATGGAATCCTTTTGCGGCACAGACATTCAGCTATGTGATCAAACATGTTCGCAAACCCTTGCCGCATGGACTTGTTTGTTCTCAAGTTGTCTCGGACGCGGGCGGGTAGGTAAATCAGGGAATCTTCGTTATCCTCGACCCAATCTGGTCCGCTTGCTTCGTAGATGCCACCAGTCAACAAACCGTACTGGATTTTGGCTGTACTTTGGAGCGCAAACATCATCCGAGGGCTTAAGAAGCCGCCAATACATTTTCCACATGTGCAACCGTACTTGAGTCTCAAGGTGTTCCGAATTCCGGGAATGTCGAATTGAGGGACACTTCGCACTTGATCCTCTGTAGCATATGAAGCGGCCTCGATATCTAGAATGGACAGAGTCGAGAGATCAAAGGCATTGGTACCCTGGAGAGTGGCCATGCATTCAATGGCTGGAGCATCAAAGCCCTTGAATTCGTCGGGCTCTACTAAGAGTCTTCGCCCATCTTGTCCTCTTGTTCTTCGATGCTCTAGCCGATTCCGTAGGGCTTCTTCCGGAGTGTAACCTTGCTTGTTACGCGCTGCGGCCAACTGACTTGCTTTCGACAAGATGAACCTCACAGGCTTTGGTTTCAGTGACATCGCGGCGATGTGAAGTGCAGTGTTGCCCTTTTCATCGACGACTAGCCACCGGGGGTCTTCGAGGTCATTTGGGAAGTTCTGCTCCAGCTCGCTGACACACTCTGCCTCTTCCGTGGCGGGGTCCTCCAGCTTCCGAAAAATGTGTCTGAGGCCATCTGGAAGTTGGACACGTGTGTCATCTGGCTGTTCCCAGTCTTGTGCTGGATCCAAGTGTCTTGATGGATGGTCTGGAGAGTCTGTTCGGGCAAACCATGACGACGTACCGACCCTGCGAAAGCCGAGGGATCGCCAGAAACTCTGAGCGATTCTCATCTCTCTTTCTCCAAAATCTTCCGATCGATCAAATTCTGAGAGAAGGAAACCAGGTCTAACTACGGCGTAGAAGCCTGTATTCTCATCAACTTTCTTCCTCGTTCTCTCCAGAACAGCGTCGACAACCTTTCTTCCAATACCACGTCGTCGCCACTCGTAGCCGACCTGAAGGCTTTCGAACAGAAGCAAGTCTCCCCTGTCAAGCTCATTACCCCAAACACCGGTACCCTTCCTGAAATCATGCTCGTAATACTCTCGATCGAGGCGTCCATATCGATCGAATAGGTTGAAGGCAAGATCCGAGGTCTCTGAAGATGGCTTCTCCAATTCTTGCCAGAATGACGCGCGCATTTTGTCGCGTCTGATAAGTCTGGCCTCGCAGCTTACGATTTGGGGCCTTTCAGTAGGAGGTGAAGTGCTCCCAAGAGGTTGCAATGCAGCATGGCCACCAATATCTTCTAACCACATTTGAAAGTCGCCATTGCTCTTGTCATCCTCGTCATCGCTGGCACTACAGTCATATCAGTTTGGCATTCTCTAATCCACATTCATCGGAAAGAGCCACCAACTCACTCATCATCTTCGCCAAGACTCTCTTCTGTCAAAATTTGTCCCCTTCTGGCGGCCGCCGCCATGGGTTGCTGTGCGGTTTCTCCAGCGTTGGCTCTAACTTGAGATACGGTCCCGGCTCCTGAAGGTGCCTGCAGGCTATTTGAATCGGCTGATATCCCCGCTCTCCTGGTGGAATCCGTTAGATTCGACCCACAATCAGTACTAGTAACAAGAGGAGGGTGACCTTACCCGATAGGAGACCGTCTGGGGTCATTCAGTTCTGCCTTGCGAATTGAACCAAGGCTCGTCCAGATGCGGAGCTTAAAACGTACCCTGCCAGATTGCCCAGTTTGGGGTTCCCTAGAGCCGCTCGATGATACCTTGGGCTTTTGGGCACTTCTGCCTTCCTCGGCAGAGTTGTCTGGGCTGCGTTGACGCTTCATGCTGGATATTAAAAGCTCAGATACGATAGCTGCTTGACCTTAATGCTGTGTCAGCAGTATAGAGGTCAAACTGAGAAAAATTGTTTGGCGAAGGAGGAATGCAGGAATACCGCCGCACTTGCCAAACCTGGGAGGAGGACTAGAGCGATAAGGGATAGATAAGATTGGTTAAAGGATAGGGTTCGACGGTTTGCCATGAAACCCCAATTTGGAGCACAGGAGGCAGCCGACGGGAAAGATGCTGTTGGTTCATACAGCTTGAATACTGACTGTCGCATGATAGGATGGAGCGCATGAAATCCAGGGGAGGCTGTGCTGAGGGACGGCCCGGCCTGGCCGTACTTGCGGCGGAAAGGTTCTGTTGGTTCATTCATCTTGAATACCCGCTCGAGCATGACAGAATGGAACGCACGAAAGCTAAGAGGGTCCGTAGAGGCCCGGCCGGGCCACGTTGACAGGGGAAAGATGCTGTTGGTTATGCACCTTCAATCCTTGCAAACGAAACGCCTGAGAGCTATGAGGCTGTGCAGAGGTGGTCTTTATTGCCAAGTCGCTCTTCTCTGGGACTAAACGGGTACCGGCAACACCTCCAATCTAGGACTCTCGGATAAAACACTGAAGGAATGGCGAGTCTCGCCTGCAGCCTGGGTCTTGAATCGATTGGTTTTGAATGGCCAAACTGTTTCCCACCACCACCATCGGAGGCCAGGTCTCGGATCCACGAATAATAGATAATAGCAAAAATGTAAGCAACCACGAAGTAACTACAGCGGCATTTTCGCGGTTCTTACTACTTTTTTGATTTCACGACAATGGGGACTCCGGTGATGAGGAAAAGGTGCGGCAAGCCGTGAGCACGTATTCGTTGCGGCAACACGTGGCATTTGGTTTGTTCATGCGAGGCGAGCAACTAAGGAGCAAAATATTCTCTGGTTTGACGGCCAACACCCTTCAATCCCATTGGCAGGCCAACGTCGTTAGTACTTCCATTCCCTCAAACATAGCAAAGGCGGGAGGATGCCACTTTCGTTAAAAGACTGCTTCATTCTACGAGAAACGCTGCCCAGATATCCGCCTATAATACAGTGCCATCTGACAAGAATTAAGAAGCACACCCAGTCAGGAGAATGATTGGTGCTTTAACGCCCGAGGCCTAGAACGGCGAAAAGGGTCATCGCCCAGCATGGCCCACCCTACCCAGCAAAGACAAAATAGCCAGTAACTGCCAAGTAAGGTCGCGAAAGCATACGCAGTAAAGATAATTGTGGTGAAAAGAAAAGTAATAATGGGAAATGCGAGCAGACAGGTGAAATGTATGAGCCTGGTTGCAATTTTCCACCCCTTCGGAATATTTGAAGTATTTTCAGCCAAAGTCGCATCATCAAGCATGATGAGGTTGGAAATATCACTCCTACCCAAAACAGGGCGAGGATACCGTTGAGGCCTACCTGGTGTTCATTGATTGTAAATGCTCCGGCAAACTCCCCAGAACCCCGAATATCGTTGAGCGATCGAAATGCGACAGGATAGGGGTATGTAAATGTGCAAAAAGGCTCGAGGCCAGCGAAAACGACGAAAAAGGTGACGAAAAACACCCAGCAGATTGTCGCGGAGGCAAGGGTGGAAAACCATGGCATATTATGGAGCTGGAACCCCTCGTCATATGTTTTTTGAGGAATCGTGAGGCCGCAGAAGGAGAGACTTTGGATCTCATTCCAAGGCGTGGAAGGTCTGCTGGTTGTGTGTCTCTGCGCTGGCATCGCTGGCAATAGACCTCTGCATCGGTAGACGGCAGGTAGTGGATCTGAGTTCCGAGCTAGTACAAAGGGTAAACAAACGGAGAAGTTAGTGTCAGTACATGGCAACCATAATACGAGAGTGTAGAACTAGGCCAGTACCGTTAGACTCGGCGCATCGCAACTCGAGGAAATGCTCGAATGCGGCAACCAAAGGCGCTGCTAACATCACGACTGATATCACCTGACCGAATCCCCAATCGTCCTCACCCCGGGGCCCCCGGGAGCGATCGAAAGCTAAGAGAAAGCCTCCCCATAGAGCAGCGACTAGGATTGTCCACAACTGGGTTATGTGTTATCTGATTGTGATAGAAATATTTCTGTAGGCACGTAAGGACAGCCAGGTGTGTGACTGTTGAGAACCAGGCCAGTCGGCAGATTATTCGCCAGTGGTGTGCTGAAACCGGCCGGTTCAGGACCGTGTAACCACTTATGAGTATAGCGACACCAGGGATAATCTGCAAATCGCCCATCATCATCAGGAGCTAGAATGATGAGCTTAGAGATTAGACTTTCTGTATCTACATATGAATACGTTGAACAATTTGAAGTTATACCTTGGTAAAGAGGGCGCCAATTTCCTCAACCCGTTCTGGGTTCCAGGGTGCTGTCCACCTCCATCTGTCCGGGACTCCTCGATATGCGGCCACCTTTGAGTCGTAAATCCGCTTATCAATTACGTTAAGGCTCTCCAGATCTAAGGCGGGATCAGTGGTGTCATGGTCCTTGTCGGAGAAGGGCTTGTGAGATGGGTTGAAGCCGAATATGTAGTATAAGATGAGTAATAGAACCGAGAAATAAGCTGTCCCCACGAAGCCAATGACGGCCCGCAAAGACACACTAAGGTTAGCTTAGCTTCAGAGGGGATACTCGTTCCTAAATGATCTCGTACTTACTCCGAGGCCGCAATGTCGGGGTCTGCATTGAGCTCGAAGCGCTCGGGACAGTTAACTGACTTGACAGGGCCAATTTAATACAAAGATGACGGCGTGGGGGCAAAATCATGTCAGCTGCCGTGTCTGTGTACTGGGGCCGTCGGGTCTTCATATGGTCTTTCTATTATTAATACCTATAGTTATTAATAAGTTGAGGCTGAGTCCCTCGAGAGTCACTCCAAGAATCAAGGATCGACGTCCGAAGGTATATGAGCACCGTTTGAAACCCCCTTATCCGTCTTAGATATTCGTAGAATATATTTAGGCACTCATCACTGGCAAAAGCAGTGATATTATCGAGCAGTTTGAGGCTGGGGCATTTCCAAGTTCCCCCCATAAATTGCGAAGTACCTCTACCAAGTCGACGCAAGATTGGCCATTAATTACATAGGCCAAAAATCGAAGGACATCAAATGTCACTCGACAGTGAAAGCCCATGATTTGGAGCCGAATCTGTTGTTTCGTTCTTTCAATTGCGGATAATATCTCGGGATTTTGTCTAACAGGCAATTCTCAGAAATAGACAGTTGTGGGTAAGTACAATATTATGGAGTTAAAAGAATCTGATAAGGCTGGAGAAGTACGATTATCGGGGTGGATACATGCACGTAAAGTCCCCCCCAGCCATAACTTTTGGTCGCGTGCTCCATGTTATTCTGCATCCACGGGCTCATGGGCTATTGCACAGGATCGACCCGGGCAATACACCCGCTATGCAAGCTCAAGCCAAGGAAATGCAGGGTCGCTGGACGTTAGAAGCTGCGTATTGCCATGGTGTCGTCCCACGTAGTATGCAAGTTATGTAACCTGGCGCTGTCATATAATTTGACAGCCGCCCGTCAAGTGTGTGCCTTGGACGGCTTGCTGCAGCTCATAATTGCAATCACATCTTGGTTGCCCCAACCCGTGGTTCCCTCCGGGCCCTCACCAGCAAGGGATCACAAGCTTTGTAGACTGGACTGTCGGCCCTTGGGTATGCTTGCAAGTATCGCACAATAAGATCGAAGGCCGGCTGTTGAATGAATAACCCCCCCCCCCCCCCCCCCCCACCCCCCCCCCCCCCCCCTCCCCCCCCCCCCCCCCCCCCTTCTTTGTATCGGCACCCTTATTGTGATGGTGAGAGACGAAGGCCAACTTCTAAGTACCTAGCTTATCGCCTTCAATGTTTGCGTGCATACCTTTGTATATTTGTGCATTTTTGATGTGTATGCCTACAATCGCAGCTATGATTATGATATTATCATCAGACTCGGATAGTTTGGTCCGCCAGGGAGCACAGGCAGGGAGCACAGACAGGGATCACAGACAGGGAGAAACTCAGAAGAGGCGGGGAGGAGAGGCAGGGAGCAGAGGCAGGGAACTTTTTGAAGTTGGATCAGCGACCAATACTACGAAGCTCAAGAGGACAGACTTAGATCCCCATTAGCCGCCATATGCTGGGTTTCTCTTTAATCTTTTGATTGTTTCTGTGAACTTTGCCAGTCGCTACCGGCGTAGTTGTTCTTCCCTTTATCGTCTTGCAGCCACCGTCGAGGATCCAACACTCTGTCACCTCCACAAAGAACCAAGACGCACAGTTTCAAGCCCGATCTGGCCTTTTACTTCTTCACCATTTCAATTCCTAGTTAGTATTAAATGGCGACCGATACACGGGGCGTGGGGGTGAAATTGGATGACAATCTCTTTGCAGGTTAGTGATCGACCCGAGAACCTTGGCTTAGGCGAGAGACTGTTTTCTACTATCTGCCTGCCGATGCACCTCAAAGATTAATTTTTTGTTTTACCACAAAAAAAAAAAAAAAAAAAAAAAAAAAAAAAAAGCTTCATAGCTCTGCCTCAGGGCGGAAAGGTGGTCTCTGCTTCTTCTTCGGGCGTAAGTGACTATTGCAACACGTTTAGAATTGAACTGGAGATGCTGGATGGATCATCGCAGGTAATCTTCCAAAAGGTTCGAGGCCTGCTCTCGGTGTCCAACATGCCATAAGAAGACCTAACTTTAGAACGGAATAGGAATCTCGGGGCGAATCGGGGAAAGATCTGATCGAGCCCGCATGGATATCGGAGATTGCCTTGTACAAGTTCGTACCACGCCCTTACAAAACAGGGGTATACAAATCCTCGCCTCGGACACATTTCTTCCTTGCAGAATTTGTAGACTTGATGGACGACCATATCCCGCATCCGGTGGCGTACATGGCTGCCATTATCACGCTCCACACCCGAAGCATGGGAAAGCCACCAACAGGGAAATTTGGGTACGCCGTTAACACTAGATTCGGCGACCTTGAGCAAGACAATATGTGGTGCTCCTCTTGGCAAGAGTTCTGGACCTTCCAGATGCACCAGTTTCTGGATCGCGAAGAAAGAGTTCGAGGTCCACATGATGCTAGTCTAGTCCAGCTCAAGAAATTCTACTTTGACAGGGTCCTCCCACGCTATTTAGGGCCTCTCGAGTCCGATGGCCGGTCGATCCAGCCGTTCCAGCCGTGCGTCCTTCACGGAGACCTGTGGCCTGGGAATGTCAAGTATAAAACTGGCTCTGAAAGCGTTTGTATCTACGACGCAAGTGCTCTATGAGGGCACAATCAAGGTATAGCGTTCATTAGAGCAGCTATCATAATACCAGTTGTCAATCACTGACCCACCAATACTCCTCTCTAGTTGACTTGGGCGTCTTCCAGAACACCAGATACCTATTAGGGGAACCTTACCTTGGCGAATACAGGAAGTTCATTCCACCTTCAGAAGCCAAAGAAGATGCAGACAGCCGCAACATTATGTATCTCATCCGGAACCAGGTTCTGATTTCCACTCTTTACCCAGAGGATCCAAAACTACGAAACATGTGCGGAAGTTCCTACTAACCACAACCATAGATATGTTCTAATTGAATTTGCAGTTTCGTGAGCAATATGAGAGCACTATGTGAGCGTGTCAAGGCCGAGGAAGTTGGTCTGTCGAACAAGTTGGAGGAAGGAAGAAGAGTTGAGGACTTGAAGTGAAGATATGAAGGAGTTTCTAGCTAACACCCATGATCTTCCAGGTACTCGGTTCCTCTTGAAGGGGCTATGTAATCGCCTTGGACAAGGTCGCCATAATACTTCTGGGAGACGGAAGGCGTGCGGTGGTATCCGCAAGATTCCGCTTTTCTGTCCAGGGCAAACCAAGTTGGAAGACAAACTGAGGAAGGGATACTAAGGGTCAAAGTGTTGTGTAACTATGGTGGCCATGTGTGCTGAGCGTCTGTCATGAGCGAAAGCGGCTGTCATGGCCAATAAACTAGAGATGCAGGACATCGTGAGTTGTCATCTCATGCACATATACTGCAAGGACATGACGCTGTTACTTGCAGCCGAACGCCTGAAATCTTGGTGCGAGAGCCAATGCTCACGTATATTTGGATAGTGTTTATGCAGAGCCGTGGCAAACCTTTGGCCTTGAGCATTGAGTTGTTGGAGAAGGGCAAACAAATTCCTCAAAATCGCGAGTATAGATTAGAGAATCCTCAGTCAAGAAGAACAATTGGCGCACCAATCTTGATATTGAACGGGATAAGATGTTCATGGCACATGAACGGTCGGTCTCCTTGCAGGCTGATTCTAACACTGAACATCCAAGTAAAGTGGGCTGCTCGGGAGTTAGAAGCTCCCACGAACCCCGTAGATCCATACCTAAACTGACTGAGTTAGAGATTGTTGTTTGTTCGTTGTTTGTTCATTGTTTACCTTCAAGCAGAAGTACCTCATCGCATTGTGCATTATTAATGTACGTCCGTCGGCCGGAACGATGCAACCCCCGTCCCCCAGCCTCGGGATATTAACAGCCATCCGCCTGCTCCCCCTATGCTCCGCTCTACTGATAAGGGCTGCTTTCTTTTTTTTAAAAAAAGGAATTCCTAGGCTCGTTCTCGTCAAGTGATTTTGAGCAGGGCATTTTGCTGGATCAAATCCCCCTTTCCCCTACCTCCCGGTGAAAAGGGAACCAGAAAAACCCTCATCGGCAGCAGTTTTGACACCTTCATATATTGTCATGGCGTCCCACGATATCCACTACGATGCTTCCGAAACTAAGCTGAGCCGGGAAGAAACCGTGGATCTCAGCTCTGACCTTGAGTCAAGGTCTATAGATCAACCGTATTCCATCTTTACGAAATGGCAAAAATCATGGATATGTATCGCAACATCGATAGCGGCCATGTTCTCCACGTTGAGCAGCTACATATACTACCCAGCTCTACCCTTGGTATCGAAAGATCTAGGAGTCTCAATCTCCCTCGTCAACTTGACAGTGACATCGTATCTCGTCGTCGCTGGTATAGCTCCGTCGTTCATGGGGGATCTCGCTGATAGTAGTGGGAGGAGACCTGCTTACATGCTCATGTTCGCGCTCATGCTCAGCGCCAATATCGGTATTGCTGTGCAGAAGACGTATGCGGGCCTCCTTGCCCTTCGCATGGTTCAAAGCGCCGGCTCATCGGGTATGATGCAAGACAAATATCTCCTACCCAATATCGTGCTGACGGATTTTGTGTCTAGGGCTTTACGGGATTGCATATGGCGTCGTCGCTGATATTACAGACATTGAGGAGAGAGGAACATATGTTGGCATAGTATTAACAATGTATAATCTCACACTTCCCCCGTTTTCGGCTATTTCGGAAAGCGTATACTGACAGGAAACTCAAATCGCAGCACAGATCTTGCGCTCAGCCTCGGGCCAGTCATTGGCGGCGGAATAGCAGAATCCCTTGGCTGGCGCTGGATCTTCTGGTTCCTCGTCATTTGGCAAGGGTCCCATTTTGTGACTATGCTTCTTTTCGTACCGGAGACCCAGAGAAAGATCGTAGGGAACGGCAGTACGCGGGTGAAAGGCATATACTGGAGTGCATTTTCCTTGCTTCAGCGAAAAGACAGTCCCGGCAAGCAATCCGAGTTCACACCTCCCGCCCGCCGTTTTCCGAATCCATTTATAAGCATCAAAATCCTCCGAAACAAGGAGTCCTTGCTGATTATTATTATCTTTGCCATAAATTACGCAGTAAAGAACACGCTCCAGACATCTCTAGGATCACAAGGCGTTCATATATATGATCTAGATTACATACAAGCGGGCTTGATATATCTCCCGATGGGAATTGGCAGCGCCATGGGCTCATTTTGTACTGGTAAGAGCGGCCACATCCCTTGAATGATTGGGGCAATCTTTCAAATCGTAGATCCTAACAACTAACTTAGCTTGACAGGACGGTTCGTTGATTATACGTACAAGCAAACTATGCTGGAACTGGAGAGGGAAGATGTGGTGTCTAGCAAGGAGTCCCTAGAGTTTCCCGAGTTCCCCCTTGAGAGAGCTCGACTCCGGGGTATGTGCGTGCTAACTGGGATTACGGTACTTGGCACAGTTGGATATGGGCTATTGCTGATGACACGGATGGTACGTATGTATAGCAGACTTCTTTTACAGGTTGCTGAGAAGCTAATGTTTAGCAGCACATTGCGACAATTCTTACAATTCAATTCCTCATTGGAGTATCAACTTCAAGCTCATTCGTTGTACGTATAACCTAGGGGCAAAGTTTTTGAATTTCTCCAACGTATAGCAATGATCATTAACGCCTCGAGAGTAGATGTGCGGTACCCTCCTCACCGACTTAAATAAGACCCGGTCAGCTACTGCTCAAGCAGCCTCAAACCTGATTCGATGCATGTCGGCTGGGGCTGCCATTGCTGCATTGCAACCACTTATCGACTCCACGTCACTGGGGTGGTCATTCGGCATCTACAGCCTCATAGCAGTGGCTCAGGCTCCCCTAGTGTTGCTACTTGTCCACCGCGGACCGCGTTGGAGATCTGAAGTGCCGCGTTAATAACTCCGGGAGGGAATCTAACTCGGAGGCGAAGTCATTATTAGCTTCGGGCAAGTGGCTAGGTTTTCTGACCAATAAGGATCGCACACCAACGCAAATTAAGTAAGACGAGGACTAAGATCATGAAAATAAATAAAAAATTAGTTCGCGGGTCGCGCTAAGTCTCCTTCGATCCTCTTTCATCTCTTGACCCTAACCTTAAAACGAGTTTGCCCCAGCCCCGGTCAACTAGGTGCTCCAGAGCCATTAAGATCGTATACATGCCTTTGAAACTGGAAGTATTTCCTAAATGCGTCTCTTTGGAATATCTCACCATCTCTTTGGCCACCCAAGCCCATGACATCTACCAGTCATTTCAAACCTTTGTTTCCTGCGATCTTCTGGGCCAAAGACCGTCTCGATTGCCACCGCAATTAGCCAATCTTTCAAAGGGCCGTATGCAGTTTGACTGATGTGTGAACCATCGAAGCCGCAAATAACTTCCGGTTTCCTCTAGCTCTAAAGCCGAGTTGTAGGCTATTTCCCTCGCTTCCGGATAGGGTCAATCTCCGACTCGGCTGTACCAAAACTGCCAGCAGCGCTCCACTTAAGAAAGTTGAAAATAATAGAGGCCCCATCATAGCTATCTCCCCATTCGGCAGTGTTCGACGATCCAGGGATGTTGTTGGACTTGTTCGAGGGGAAGTCTCTTTTCAGGGTCGACGACGAGTAACTTGAGTTACGTTAAAAAGTCTGCCCAACAACTGAAAAGGTTCAAAGGCACTCACTTGTCGAATAAGGTCCTTAGCCTCAGCAGTAACGAATGAAGGGATTTTCATATCTGCTCTTGCAATTCTCCTAGTTGTCATGACGGGAGAGTCTTCAAACGGAGCCTCGCCTACCAGAAACTCGTACGTCAACACGCCCAAGGACCATAGGTCAACCTTTTCGTCGCAGGAGTTGTCTGACCTGCGCGGGTTGACCATTTCTGGCGGCAGGTAGTCGAGTGTTCCACAATAAGTGGTCCGGCGGTTACTAGGCGCATGTACGCTCCAGCCGAAATCTGAGATCTTGATCTCACCATGGATGCCAACCAAGATGTTCTCAGGTTTGATATCACGATGGATGACATGTTTGTGGTGAAGATAACGGAGCGCGCTCGCCATTTGTGAGATATATTGTGCTGCCTTCGACTCAGAGAACCGACCTTCTCTACGAAGGTATTTATACAACTCGCCCTTCCCAGCAAACTCGAGAATAAGGAATATACGCCTATTGTCGTGGAAATGGCCATATAACCTAAGGATATTGGGGTGGCGTAGGTTGCCCAGTATTTCAATCTCCCGCCGCACCTGCTTCTCGACTCGGGCGTGATGCAATTCATTCTTATGCAAGACTTTCAGTGCACGGATGAAGCCATGCTCGCGCTCCCGCGCCAAATACACACGGCCAAATTTGCCCTTGCCCAGCGGCTTGCCGATCTCGAACATACCTAAGTGGAATGTCTTTATAGCAGGCTGTTCAATGAGTTTGGGCTCTAGTCGAGGTTCTGCAGTCGATTTTACCGGACTAGCTCTCGACTCTGGGGTTCGGGTCGTTGCTTTAGGAGGGGACGTTACCGGTGTGGTTTGCTTCCGGCTTTTAAGAGCGATCTTGGGGAGGTTTGGCTTGCTCGAGTTATGTGACAGCGATGCCGTAATTCCTCTGGTCTATTTCGAGGATGAGCTCTACCGGGATACTTGAATGAGTTGAATCAGTAGTCAATACCTTCGCTTTCTGGTCCTCTCCATTCTCGTCGCTGACGGACATCCGCTTGAAGCGAGCCTCGAGAGTGTAAGACTCCATTGTTGCCTCAGAACTTAGAAGAGATCAAGGAAAGGAAAGCAAACTGTGCTTAAACGATGCCGAAGCCTTGAGTCATGAACGCGCTGCTCTTTCGGAGGCCCCCTGAATATCGAATATAATTGTTTTCCCATGGTGCCACGAGCGTTGGCGCGGAAACCTCCCATTGTTTATGCATTCTCCAGCATAGAATATGAGCGACTTGTGCGCGTGAGCTGGGACAGGGACAAGGTATTTTTGTGATGACGGATACAACGCTATTCCTACTTTTGGACTCCTCGTTTCTAAAGAGACCTCGGCATGCTGATAGGATTGTCTTCATCAGTTGATATTTTTAGGGCACTATCTATGGCAACTGAAGCAGACTAGCAGATGGTACTTTCAGAAACACTTTCTGTTTTTCCCCCGGTGTACGTTTCTATGTGTAATTTGGTGGTGTGTAACATCAATTAATGGGATGGCAGCATCAGCAGAGCCGCGAGGATTGCCTTTAGAAATCTAGGCCGAACCATCGATCGGTTGGCGGATCCTTTTTTACCAGCCTTATTTCCAGCGCCACCCCAGTAAATTTCACTGGAATACCTGTTCCAAAACCCTGAAGCTGTGATTTGATTGTTAGTTCAGACATTTCAATGTTCCAACATTAACGTGATTATCCCGCATTGGGTGGCCTCACCTTGGAGATCAACAACGCTGCGTATTGTCTCGATAATTCTTCCCCGATTATCCTCCTCCTCTCCAAATAAGCAGCAGTGATATCCACCAAGATCTCTTCCAAATTATTTTTAACGCACCACACGTCAAGCAGAGTGTCGATCGTCCTACCCCACGACGCCGCTCCTATCTCCAAGTCCATCTTTAACACCACTCGCCGAACCCTCTGCAATGTCTCCTCGCCAATAAACTCAGTGATATCCATGGGCCGCCCAGTACACGGGGTGAAGGGAGGGGCCTCATGGAGGATGAGTGGCTTAGTTTGTAGGACTAGGAGCGCCTCATAGGTTATCTGGCGGTTCAGAAGCAACATCGTTGGGGTTGTAAGTCTCCCAACGTGAAGAATCGGGAAGGTGCATTTCGGATCAGGCGAAGCCTCCATCTCCTTTCTCGCATTCTTGCATTCTCGGGACAGTCTGGCGAAGGAGGGGCGAACGTCAGGCCAATCTAAAGCCCAATGGTAGATCTCCCTGCGCACTTCATACGGAAGGGAGAGGAAGGGTAGTATATGGGAGTCTGCGGTGTCGGGTGTAGAGGTCATGCTGGGTTGATACCGTACCTTGCCAAGCATGAATTGCAAAGAGGTGTGAGGGGTTTGTTACGTGGTTTAGGGTCGACGATATCGAAGAAGTTCTACAAGTACTTCGTAGGATCGGAGGGCTTAGATAATGGATCCAGGTGACCAACTTTTTGTCCAGAAGCAGCCGCATAATCGCCGATCCCAACAAACAGTTGGTGTCTGAAAAACAGGTGATCTGGCCGAAGGATTTTTGCATGACGGTCCACTCAATGCTGTGTCTGTGAAGAGAGGATGTTGTTTGCCGTTGGCCAAACCAAGATCCGTGCTTCGTTCCTAGAAAAATAAATGTACCGAAAGCCTGGTGTTGGTTTAATTTTAGGTCATTTCTGCAAGTCATAAAATGCTACCTACCTGGTCCAGAGTTTGGTCTCTTCCCATTACACCACCTCTTCGTTCCTAGTCTTAGTCTGGCTAAAGTGGAGGATCATCCAGAGCCAATTCTCATCTCCAGCTAGCGATGTAACCTCGGGACAGGGGAATGGCCGGGTAGGCAGAGCACTAGAAATCCAGAGAACTACTATGTAAAAGAGTGTACTTTTAGGTTCGGCGAATCATTCACGGGCCACTATATCTCGGACAGTTGCGAATAATAGTCCCAAGAAACTAGACTTCATACTCTCAAATCAACCACGTTTTGTAGCCAACCTGCCCGCCACAAGTTCTGGTGCGAGACCATATGTGTGAAAAGAAATGAAGTACGTGGTGAAATGGAGCTGGTAAAGAGATGATGGAAGGCTGGGAAAGAAGATAATTAGAGGCAAGGAGTCACCCGAACCGAAGGCTCACAACACAAGTTCCAGCTATTAGTTCATGAAGGCTTTGCTAAAACCGGTACGCTACGCAGACCCATATAGCATACGTCGCCAAATTGACCCGTAATCTTACCGATAAATGTCAAGCGCGCCGCCCAAATTCCTACCACCAAAATGCAACTACTGAATATCAATATAGAGACCTGCATCGTCCCGCTCTGTCGCTGACGGCTATGCTCTCACACGGCTCACTATCTACCAGTATCTAGCAACAGGAGTAGTGGGTCACCCGAAGGGGACCATTTGCCGCCTCCGAAATAGCTAGCTCTCACGGAAAACACAACATCCTCAACGCTCGTGGAAGGACGTACAGATGTAATACAGACATTATTATTAGCTTAAAGATATGAAGCCTCCTGCACTTCGAATGTCCAGACCAGTTATTCGGGTATCTGATACCGAGGCGCTGTCGCATGCCAATAGCAGCTTCCACCAACATAAAATTCGATCGCCTGGAAATACCGCAACACCTGTTCCGAGACGGGTTGCCTGAGTCGCTCTTCCTTGAGCTTTGCGGCCTTTGACTCTTGTTCAATGATCACACCCAGAAGCATCACCTTAGCAACATCTGCGGGAATGTTGTGCTCCTTCATCAAAACTCTAACGCCATTCCTTACACGATCGGTTTGCTGATCCTTCTCAACGCTCCAACTGAAATAGTCATTAGTTAGGCCAAAGACATTGCCCATGGTAATGTCATATTCCCGGATGGATTCTCGATCCTCTTCACTAAGGATAATGCCCATCCCCCAGCAGATGAAGTACGATGCCATCCTATATGTACCACGTCTCTGTCAGGACTCATAGCTAGATCTCTTTAGGAGCAGGAATAAAACTCACCAATATCCGGAGTTGCGGCTACGGTATGGCCCATAGTCTTCCATTCGCACAAAGCCGTCACCATGGTCATCATAAGTATCCAGGTAGCTTTTCAACGTTTCAATCATCGCAGGAGCCTGCGTAGGATCTATATTCACGGCCTTTCGGAGTGCAAAAGCTAGTGCTTTCTGCCGTACGTTTTGTCCCTCAACGGTCGATGGGTCAACATCTATTCTGAGGACTTCGGCTTAAATAGCATGCTCTCTGCAAGCCTGCGCAAGGATCAATATACGGTTATTCATCTTCGGAATTCAAGGCTATCCTACCGTTTGATGGTCGAGTTCCTCGACGATATCTTGATGGAGTTTGATTAGATGTTGTTCCCCCTCCTGGAGGATGGATGCTTACCATCGTGAATCCACAAGACCTCGATGATGCTCGCCACGACTACCAGTCTGTCAGGGAAGGCAGAACAGTGGCATATGGAAAAGACATCGCCATAAGGGTTGGAGTGCCTGGTGCGAGCTCGGCGCGATTCCCGAGAGCCGATCACGCATGCTTCTTCATCAATGCTTTTCAGCGCATTTTCAACGTGTCGAGCTCCCACGCTGATAGCGGCGGGGTAACGAGAGAAGAAAGCGGGAATCTTCCAACTCTCCACAACTTCAAAAACCGATGGAACAGACAATACCTGCATTGTTGACTTGTGCGGAGCTGCGTAGATATGCGGACTGGCTTTCAAAGTCGAGAGTTCAAGACAGCAAGGACTATATAACCTCTATCCATAGCCTCCGGGCCGTTGCCATTAGCAAAGCATTACAATGCCTGCATCCACCCATGTTCACCTGAGTTCACTAAATGCCACCCATGTTCGCCTGAGTTCACTAAGTGTCACCCATGTTCACCTGAGTTCACTAAGTGCCACTCTCATGAATCTATCCGTGAGGGTGTCCACGGATAATGTATCCAGCTCCTCAGTTAGTCTGCCGGCCATGGGTCAGAAGTCGCGAGTTCTTTTAGAGCTTCCCAATTCGAGGAAAGAAGTAGAAGAAGAAAAAAAAGGCCTGGCTTCTGTTTGAAGCTGTGGCATGCCGGACACGCCGAGAGACATGCGAGGGCCTCCAATATATCGTTGTCCGAACCAAAGAGGTAGGGGCGAAAAGTGATGATAAATAAAAATAAAATAAAACTATAGAAGGTGAAAAAAGCGATTGGGGAGATCCTGTTCAAGCCCTCCAACCGGAGGTGCCATTGAACAGCGTTCCGCTCCAGCTGAGCACCCCTGCCGATTATTACACCAACACGAAAACAGCCCTACTTTTATGTCTGCTGAGCCGTCATAAGGCGGTGCGCCAAGTACCACTCGAAGAAATCCGAGCCAATATTAATAGTAGCCGCGACAAACGGCACAGATGACGCACAAAGCGGGAACACCGAGGCAAGGTCGATGGCATCTATGATGCGCATTATTTTTGCAACGCGCCCACAAAATAAAAATACGGCAATGTTTGTAGAATTCAGCAAGCTGAGCGAGGTAGGTTCAATAAATTTACATAATCACGATATCATCCCCATCAGAGGCGGGCAAAAATAGTCCCAAGAATATAATTATATTGAGGATAAATCACGGCATCCAGCTCTGGCATTCTCCCCAAACATCGTAACCCGGAGATCCCTTCGAGCCCAGGTCATCGATGCTCTTCCTTCACTAACCAAAGTATTCGATGGGGAAACAAGAGGTTGTAAACTCAAACCAAGAGAAGGACGAAAACGGGAGAAAAAGAAAAAAGGAGGGTACGGATCACACACGCATGGGAAGCTGTTGCGTTGTAGCGTGCCCCCAGTTCTTTGATAGATGACGTGTACCGACTCTGGGGACAGGTTTGTATCAGTGCCTCTTGCATGAAGGTCTGGTAGCAATTGGGCTTCTAGTGCTGACTCGACAAAAGTCCTCAACCCTAAAAGTGGATAAACTGGCACGGCAGACAATGCGGCGTCGTAATTGAGGTTGCATTGCAGTCGTATCTCGGCTTTTTAAGGTGGCTGACGCTTGGCCCTCTCGGAACTTTGAGCCGCCCAGCATATTACAAAGTAGCCAGGGAAGTCCCGCAGGCTGCCTCATATACCTAATATAAGATCGTGTGGTGCCAGGCTACCGCGAGTTCCAACTAACGTCCTTATCGTGCTGCACAGAGCCAGGCTTAGCTTCCAGCTCCCACCTCAACCGAAATGGCTACCGAAAAACTATCGGGGAGTATCCCCGTGACCGGAGTTTCCCAAGCGCCGCTGCCAGGAGCTCTATCAGCGACCCCCGTTTTCCGAACACCGTTTGCCTGCGTCACAATGAATATGACGGATCGTTTGCGATTCATCAATTTTCCCAAGGCTGACTTCGAGGCAATCAGGGCTGCGTGCGAAGCTGCTTGGGACCGTGGAATTCAAGAGGTGCGCCCTTACGACCAGGCCATGGAAATTAAACTCGCCGGCAATCCATGGAGGCTGTATTATACAGGCGACGACAAAGTGCGGCGGCTCATGCGCTGTTTACTGGAGAACCTGTTCAATCGTGGATGGGTCCTTCAGGCGTCCGTGGATTGTTGCATGAAAACCTACGATAAAGGTACGGTGGCCGTAATAGGGCGAGCAACCGAGCCGATTTCATGGAACGTAGTTCTCTAACCTCCTGCTCGCAATAGACTCTCTCATCTTCCGTCACCAGTCGCCTCCCCCGCCTCCGCATGAATGGCTCGCAGTCTCATTTGAGGGGAACGACCGCCTATCATTCTTGGAAACTCCCAACTCTGATGTAATCAATGGTCTCGTACAAACTTATGGTGATTCAGTCCAGTGGCACGGAATAACAGAGGGCCACTTTGAAATAAAGTTTGGCGGGATGCCATGGCTCCCTTCCGGCACAGACACGGTCTCGACTCGAATTCTGTTGCTCAACCTGCTCCAGGCTCTGGAAGGGTTCGGTTATTCTTTGTATGCTTCCATTGCCATGGAAGTCACAACGGACGGCAAAAAGGCCGATGTGTTGTATTTCACTCGTCAGGCCGACTGGGCGCCTGGTCTGCCGGTCTGGCATCGTTGATATTGATGACGCGAGTGGACTTTTTTTTTTTTTTTTTTTTTTTTTTTTTTATCCATATATATGCCTCAGATGGGCGTATCCTTATATTTATTCTCTCCATTTTCTTCCCATTCTTATGTTACCCCATTTCTAAGCTTTTCCTTTCCTGATTTTCGAATCCTCATATATTACTAGTGTGGTCTGGGTGATTATTGCCATTGATGGATGGGAAGAGCTTGATTACGGCGAGAAACCAAACAACTCCTCATTTTCGTTCGGTAGTTCCTCTGCAATATGAGGACCAGAAGGGGGAATGAATCCACAAAACAATCAACTGGATGACGGCGTGGGCACTGCGCTAGCCCAGAAGCAAAGAGCTCCATCTCAGGGAAGGTATCAATAATATATGCCGTCTCCTTACCATTCAGGCCACCATCCCGAGTAGATATGTAGTCGGGGGGCACGGCGAGACTGATGAGATCCAGGTTGACAGCGATAATGCTGAGTCCTAATGCTAGATGCATCTAAGCCTAGAGGATTGAGATATAGACAAAAACAAGGCAGCATACTAGGGCAACTAGAATGCCCGAAACTCTCTCCTGTTTAAAGAGCAGCGATAATTAGTGGATAGCGTTTATATAGTATTTAATTGAGAAAACAGATTTGAAAGCGGCATCTGGTATTCAGCAAGTCTCGTCCAACGTAGTGTCAGGGGCATGGACAGCCTCTTTCAGTGCAGGGTGCTCTTGGCATAGACGAGGTGCAGTACCATCCCAGAAGTTACAAACTATCTACTTAAGCCCTGCCCTTATTGGCAAGGAGAGATATCCAATCGTCGGTGTGCGTTTGTGTCTTAAGATCCTGTGGATCGAGATAGAGGTAATAGAAGACCACAGTGCTGATACTACATTCATTCCGAAGTTGTTTCTAGCTCCAGACAAATCGTTATTGCTTTTGTCTTGCTTTCTCTCATCTGTTCTAGGCTGGCTATGATCGAAATGTGCCCCGAGCTAGGACGTGATCGCTTTCCAGCTATTGTAAAATCCGCCTGGGTATTTGGAAGGAAAGGAAGCGGCTGCAATATCTATGGTGTACAGCCCATCTTTGCTCTCATTAGGTGATCGCTCAGTTTGTAAGTTCTCAGGTTAATCGGAGAGAGTGTGGTTTCCGAGCCGAGAGAGGTGTAGTTTAGACCCGGGCTGAGGATGTGGTAGCAAAATGAACCAAGAACAACTATCCATGTAGACCCTGTAAGCATCAGACCAGTGGATTCCGGGCTGATGCTCTATTTCGTAAAGGAGGCCAGCCGTGATCCCTATAAGAAAATATTTTCATAAGCTCAGTATCTTACCACTCTGAACGGCAAGCCCAGGCCGGAGTCCTAGCCTGCCACCCCTTGTTGCTACCTCTTCCCCCCAACCGAATCAAACAGCGACGTAACACGAGGCTCACATTCCATTAGGAACATCATCTCCTACCACGTCACGAAGTATAAATACACTAATGCATCGCACCTGATTTTAGCTGATTAACTCACAGTAACTCACGGAAAAAAGCAGAAAGAACTCCGTTAATAAATGTACTATTATTCTTCATTTCTAAGTGGGAGGTTGATTTGATGGAAGATAACGGGGATTCTTAAAACTTTCTACGTGAACTATAGCAGCATTTAAGCTGTAGTAATCTGTAAGACGACTCCTAAGAGTAGAGAGAAGGATGAGCGGGAATGCAAACGTAGGAAAATACAGAGTTATCGACAGGATTTTAAGGATAGAATGAGGTGTTGTTCCAACACTGAAACAACCTCTAACGCGATTATTAGTAATTTAATTTTCCTCAGGGAAACATGAAATAATTTGAAAGACAGGAAATGGTGATAGGTTAAAGGAACAACAATATTTCGTGCAGTATTAGAATCCGAATGATACCAATATGGAAGCATTCGGGACGAAATCTTCCCTGTCTATGCCCTTGGATCCCAGGCTGTATCAACTTGGTCAAGTAGACCTAGATGCTTGAGCGGCTCAGCTCCAAGAACTTTCTCCAAGCTCACCAGCTTAAAGCTCGATTCAGCACTCGTTCCGCCTTCTGGCAGCTCGTTAGAATCATCGTGTACTACTACCAAACCGTAAGGGAAGTCTGCTCCCAGGGCCGTTCCAACAGCAGCGACACCATCCGTGTTCGAAACGGCATCAACCCGGCCGTCACTCGACTTTGCGATCGTGAAAGTGGTGACATATTCGTGAGGGCTAGCACGACGGTAAACGTTATACGCACTAACGCCCTGGTTGGAAACGATAATAAAGCCCTCGTCAGCGTTCTTGCCCAACACTAGAGTGACTCCCTCCACATCAGCGTGAAGAGTTCCGTCTCCGACATAGGCGATGCGCTGACCGGCCGTGGTCGAGTCAGGTTCCGCATCGTATTTCCAAAGAGCAGAGGGTTCCTCGCCGATCCATATCCACCCATTCTCCTCGTCGGTGACGCAGCCCTCAACCTGGCCGCCGGAGCCACCAGTGAACTCGCGAACGAGCTTGGTTTCAAGAGTTCCGTTTGAGGTGGCAGTAAGCTCGTATTGGAGGTAGCTCGCTGACTTTTCATTTACGAAAAGGTATTGTTTTCCGGTACTGCGTGACCGGTAAACGCAAGAACCATAGACTGTATAGTCGTCGATAACAGGCTGGCTACCTCCAGGGATGGTCGCAAGGGTTCCATTGGGCAGCATTTCGAACAAGCTACACGTTGCGTTAGGAATTGCAAGTTAAGAGCCAGGCATTAGTAGTAACTTGTCAACTCACCAGAGAGTATCATCCTCGCGACAGGCAGCAAAGGCGAGATCAATCTTCCGATCGCCAGCTTCGAATCCATATATTATATCCACATTATTGGGTTCACCTGCCGGGATAGTTTGAAGCAAATTGCCGGTGAGATCAAAGACTCCAAGTCCGGCACCCTGAGCGGACTTGGTGGTGGTGATGATACGGGATTTTTCAGGTGCCTCAGGTGAGATCCAGATAGCCGGGTCATCGCCGTCGCCGCCGTTCTGGTCTGTCTCGTAGGAAGGCTGGACCACGATGAATGAACAGTGCAGACCACCCCAACCCTTCTCGCACTGACACTTATTAGGTCCCACGCATCTCCCATTGCCAGAGCAGTTATCTGTGCATTGGAACTTGTCACACTTCTTCCCGGTGAATCCAGCGAAACAGGAGCAGTCGGACTTCTTATCGCAAAAGCCATTTCCAAAGCACTTCTTGCAGATGGGAGAGTGGCTAGGACAGGCCGCTTGGTGGCGAGGATCGTATTCCGAGTTTACAGTCACTCCCAGCTCCTCGATCACGCCTTGAAGTGAGCTGACTCCGAAGCCAGCCACATCGTCATCAGCCTCAATTGCATATGAGATGGCGCCGAGCGGATATTTAGAGGTGGCGGCTTGATAAACGCTGAGCCCTTGCACCTCGATATCCTCTAGCCCCGTCAGGCTCAGTGTACCGACGGGCTCGAAAGATTGAGTGTAGACTGCAATGGTGTCCTCCTGGGCGACGAAAAGATAATCGGGCGTGCCGCGCTTGGAGACATACACTGCCAGTCCAGTGACATCACTTTCCGCCTGACCCAGTGTGGAGAATTTGGGTGATTTGGTCGACTCCGCTAGGTCAAAGTAATAGACACTCTTGTCATCGTCTGCCGAGAGGAATAGTCTTCCTGCAGAGGGTGATACGGCGCAAGCGGAAGCCTCAAAAGGTACTTCAAATGTTTGAACCTAGAAACGATTAGTTAGTTGAGAACACATTGGGGCCCTCCCTTCGGTAATCCTAACACGTACCTCCAGTAGTTCAATCGCGGTCTTGCTCTTTCGAGCTAAGAATTGCACACCCTGACCCTTTCCGAAAAGGTAAAGGTAATGATTTCCCGTTTTACTCTGCCACGAACACAAGGCAGACCAATCACCAAGGGCCGTGAGCTGGGCTGACTTCTCCTCCACTAGCTCCGGCAATCGGAAAGCTCGGATTATAGAGTCAGGTTGGGCGATTGAGATGGCCCAGTCTTTGTTGTTGATTCCGTGAACGGTAGTGACGAGCTTCGTGCGTCCGGAGACAGTAGATCCAAGCACTGGGATGGGGCTGTCGCCGTTGAGGTTCCAGGCATGGAATCCTCCAGTGGATGTTCCGCCATCGTTGCCGAGAAGCAGTGGTTGGCGCTGGGAGTAATAGACGGCAGTCCAGTCAGACTCGACAGTGTCCGTCAGGGCCGACACGTTTAGTTCGAGCTTGACGACTGCAAAAGCCGTCCATGGTAGGAAGGCAGCCGCGAGGAGGGTTGCTGAAAGACCGGATTTCATCTTCACGGCGGGTAGCTGCAATCACTTCACGATACTGGATTGGCAAAAATCGCGGTCTCCATCAGCTTGCGAACGGAGGAGACCCTGATGCATTTATTCACATTATGAAGTGCCCCCTTGTAGGGAGTATTAAAATAAGATTAGTAGCTTCAAGGTTGCACTTTCCCATTGTAACAATACCTGCGTCCAGGACGGCAAGTTCGGGGCTTCGACGCCAACATCGCGCATCATCCTCCTCAAAGTTCGCCTGTCGAAGGAGCCAAATCTTACAAGATCGCCCGCAGAAGGAATCGTGGGGCGGTAGAAGCTATTTATTGGTTTGGTTCAACGCCACTTGAAAAGCGCCTAGAAGACGCGCTTCCGTTTTGGGCCACCGACTGGCAGGTCTGGGCGGGGTGGATCGGTTCTATTTCCTTTCTGGATCTTGGTCTGGCTGCGGTCCGATGCTCCCTGCATTATTATCAAGCCCCAGAAATGCAACCTCATACGACGAAGTACTTCACAAAGTGCGGGAAAAAAAGGGTTAGGAAAGCAAGTCCAGATTCCGCGTTTTATCCCGGCTCTAAATAAGACTATTAAGAATAGAGCCCTTCAGCTCGGGCGTGTATGGGCGAGGAGAGACGGAGAAAGCATCTCCAGCTCCGGCCTTGTACTGGGAACCAAGTCAATATTGCCCCGGAGAAGCCAAGGAGAAGAAAAAAAAAATAAATAAAGAAAACCTCTCTCCAGGAAAGCGAAAGAAAGTATAAGAATCCTACTCACTCGGCACAGAATTTAATCCAGGTAGATGTCAGTCAGAACATTTGTCTGTGCCAAGGCGGATTCTTCATATTATAATATGTCGCAAAGTCACGAGAACGGAGACTCGCCCGATGCTTCTTGCCTCTTGAGACTGGTCGGAGCAGTGATAGGACTCTCGTTAGTGGTGTGAACTTCCTCGAATAGAGATGAGATACTTCCCACCCTATAATCATTGATGTTGTAGGAATGGCCTTGGCGTGGGCATGAGGAGGCACGCCTTTCCATTCCTCGCTGCTGGCTTAATTGGGAACTCATATTGGTATCCCTTTCCTCATTACCTTTATGCGCGTCTCATAGATCTCATCCAGATATGTAGGTTGTAAGCGGAGTTTCCAGACGGCTCGACTCCGCGGCAGTTGGCATGGGCAAAACTGGGGCCGATCTGTCATTGACCCGTATCTTTCGAATGCAAAAATATGATATCTCGACCGGGCTCATCGTGATCGGGCATTTAGTTTCCACCTCCCGTGTTGCCGGGTATACTCATCCGTCACCCCTATGGCAAGACACCGGCAAATTCTTTGGCTCAGCCAAGATTCATGCCCGGACCAGGCCCAGATTGATGCAGGTGCTTGAAATCTTGGACGCCAAGGACAAGTTAAATATAATGCGAGTCGGTTTCTGGAATGGCATAACAAGTGCTCTAAAAGGCCAACCTCTTGATATTACTATGGCAAGACGCAGAACATCCGACCACGATGCCGAAACCTGCTGTTATTTGGACTTGTGACCTCGGGAACCATAGTGACCGGCACTAGATAGAGGAGGAGTAGTAATGGGTTATCAAGGCGATAAAATCTCTCGTTATGAGTCCCTTCAATACCCAATTAATAACGAATAACGGCGATGGTATACTGAGGTATATGTCTTAGGTACGGTGACATTTCGGCGAGAACATGTTAAAACTAAATTTACTACCACACCAGAACTTTCCGCCTCACGGTCCATCAATCGCGCTGGCGGACTATAGTACTAGTACACATACAGAGGCCAGGTCACATATAGGAGGACTCGCCACATATACATAGACCGACCACTCCCGGAAGGCTAATATGAGGAGGTGGCCAATGGGCGTCGGGCACATATGTGAGCCTCTCACGAACTACTTCCCCATCCGTTGATGGCGAGCCAGGTCTTCTTATAATCGAGGAAAAAGATCTTTATTTATGTTCCCATATCTCGCTGGTCCCCTCGTTGAGTTAGTGAGTCTCTGAGGATGCAATGCCGTAGTTTTTCCATGGCCTGTCTTCACGCGTGTGTGTGGGGAGACTAGAAGTCGGCAGATGTCGGCAGTTAGTGGATATATTGGCCGTCTTCCAAAATAGATGAACTGATGGATTTACACGGATATTGCGGGGCACGACGCCGGAGTGTGGCGCCAAATTTAGGTTTTTGACGTGTGTTCGCTAGGATGCGACTGAGTCGGCCCCGCTTTCTAATAATCCACAAAATAGATGAGGTTAAATAGGCGACTTTTACATAGATGAGGCCCACGTAAACTCGCCATCAAGTGTCCTTGGCGACTTGGTAGATGGCAAGTCCTCTGGGAAATGGTGGATGTTTAGGGGTGGAGACGGCGACCTCGGGCTCCACTCTCCCCGGACCCAAGTAATGACAGCCTGGGTGATGGGGAGGAGCGGATAAGGGCTTCTTCTCTATATATGGCTGTCGAGGGTCCCCCCCTTTCTCCTTTCGAACCTCTGCCCTCATCTTGCCTGTCCAACCGTCACGTATTCTTAACATTCCATTCATTCTGCAACAATGAAGTGGCTTCCCATCGTTTCCGCGCTCGTCGCGCCTTCTCAGGCCGCCCTCCGATTTGGATGCTCGACCCTCACGATCCAGCGTCTCGATCCCCTCGTCGAGCCGGGCGCGGTCCCCTCGGCCCATCTTCACCAGATCGTGGGTGGAAATGCCTTCAACGCCACCATGGAGGGTGATGTTGGTGAGAGGGGAACCTGCACGACTTGCACGTTCTCCGAGGACTTCTCCAACTACTGGACTGCCGTCATGTTCTTCAAGCACCCCAACGGCACCTACCAGCGCGTCCCCATCATGCAGAACACTGCCTTGCCTAATGGTATCAACGGCGGTATGACCGTGTACTACACGCAGCAGGACTTCTCTTCCAACGGAAACCAGAAGATCACTGCTTTCCCTCCTGTAAGTCGCCCCTAGGGCACGCAGTGCAGTGGCACCCCGAAGACTAACAGCAACAGGGCTTCCGCATGGTCGTCGGCAACCCCGGTGTCAAGACGTTGGCCGAGCAGCAAGCCAACCAGGGCGCCCCTGGCCTCCGCTTCGTCTGCCTTCAGAACAAGGGAACCCGCTTCCCCGAACTCACCAACTTCCCCGAGAGGCCTTGTGTTGGTGGTATCATGACCGTCCACCACTTCCCTGCGTAAGTCACTCCCTATTTTCACGAGCAGTGGTGTATTTTCTTCTTCTCTAACCAGAAAACAGCTGCTGGGATGGTAAGAACGTCGACAGCGCGGACCACAAGTCCCACATGTACGATACCCAGAGGGGAACTTTCGTCAACGCTGGTCCCTGCCCTGCCTCGCACCCCGTCCGCGTTCCTCAGGTCGCCTACGAGACGCTTTGGGATACCACCCAATTCAACGGCCTCTGGCCCGAGGGAAGCCCTAACCCCTTCACCCTCAGCTACGGCGATGACGCCGGCTACGGAACCCACGCCGATTATCTCTTCGGCTGGAAGGGTGATTCGCTCCAGCGCGCCATGGACTCGAACTGCATGTTCAACGCTTGCGAGAATGGCCGTCCTCTCCTCTCGCAGGGCGTCAACGATATGAACAAGTGCAGCGTCGCCCAGCTTGTCAACGAGAACATCGATGGCTGTAAGTCTTTGACCTGCTTGAACTTCTCCCCAAGGTCAATTAGGAGGCTAACTACTTTATTCCAGGGCTCACCGAGATGCCCGGTCAGGGTATGATAATGAACAAGAACAAATAGGTGTACTAGAGATTGAAATTGGAAAAATTATATGGTAGCATCTATACAAGTAGTACGTGATAGTGCAGGGTGGACGATCCGGACGTTGCCGTGCGCCCTCGCGAGCGAGGAAGTTCATCTTGCCTTATTCTCACCAACATAACTAGGAGTCCAACTTTCTCTTTCATTTATCTAACTTGATCGAGGAATTTTTTACTTCGAGCAAGCTTTTTTTCTTTTGGCCGAATGAACCTCTTTTTGTCCTGTTACCAGAATGCCTAGACAGTCCGACTACTTAATTATATTTTAAGATCTCGCTCGTTTGGCCTCATCATGCTGTGAAAGGTGACAATAATCACGACCCATGCGGACAGAGTACGTTGGCAGATGTGTTTTCGTTACTTTTTACAAGTCAGACTTTTACAGATGGTTGTTACACTGCCTCGAGTGCCATGGATACCCCAGACAAAGCCTGCTTCTTACCGTCACGTTCCCTGCAAGAGAGCGGGTCTCTCTCTCGTTCTTGGAATGCAATCTTGTGGGGGGAAAGTGCAGGGACGGACCCTAACGGGGTTACTTTCGGGATGTCAGATCCAACACACAGGATCACAAATCCTCCGAGCTCCGAGGAGCAAGCAACCATCCCACACCCCTGAGCCATATGGGAGGGGAAGGGGGACGATATTCGATTTCCCGGTTCCTATTCAGTTAGCAGATTCGCGGGACGATCCAAACAACGTAACATTTGGTCAGGGAGATATTTTCTTCCAGCCCGGAGATGTTGTTTTGTTGTCAAAAAGTCGTTTGGGCTATCCAGGAAGTCCATGGGTATCCATGGGCCTCCATGCCTTCAAACCGGTAAAATTGGAAAGTATTAACAACCCTACAGTATCAGCGCGAGCAATAAGTTGTGTGCCCGATGACTGGTCGGGAGCTCAGAGCAGACCACTGTTATTCAAAAAGGAGAGCGTGTTTTCTTCGAGGGTATTGGCTGTGGTGTGCTGGAAGCCCAGGCCTGGGTTAAACAAGGGAACAGGCCAATATAATCCAATATATTTGCGACCTGAAAAAAGTGGCAATCTTCCTCTTTCGGCAAGGGCAAGAACAGCCGGACATGATCCACACCACTATTTCCTTACCCAGCCGTCCGGCTCAGGCGTAGCTTTGGCCAAGGCGGGACCCGATCCGGCCGAAACGGGGAATTATCTCGTTGGGGTGGAGAGCAGGTGTCATAGGCGGGCGATAATTGACAGAATGCTCTGGAATCGAGATAATCAATAGATTTTATCTTCTCTCAGCTCTGAATGAAGTTCCGCGTGGCAGTGAAAACGGACATGTCCGTGGATGCAACGGAGGGTGTCACCGGGCCCCTATGTTCCGCCGCTAAAGCAACCGTTTTCATCTCTGAAAGTTTTCAATCAGTTCCATCGAAGTAACCAAGAGTCTTGTACCGGCGTAATGTCACCGATATAAGGACCGTATCGAAGATATCTAAGTCATGTTGTAGATGGCAACTTTACCAAGCCCCTGTCCAGGCCAGCATCCCTGACAAAAACGTCACTTAGAACTCTTTATTCGAAGAGCATCCCCACGTTGAGCTATAAGTTGGGAATCATGGTAGGACCGTCGTGCCAATATATTTTACTAATGAAGACCATTGTGCTGTTACTTCGTGGCATCTTGTATTACCCTCCACGCCCCATCCCTACCTACCTACCGATACACATGAACTCGTTTGCTTCAAGCGAAGGCATATAATTGGTTGTATCCCTTTCATTTCTTATGGTTGGAGCTTAGAGGTCAGCTTTGCTCATTCCAATGCTGGTCAGTAGCGTGCTGTGGAGTCCAGCAAAACTAGGAGGTCGTTATGACCTTCAAAGTAGGGTAGCAGTTTAATGTTTAGTTCTCACGTGCAACCTCGCCCATAATAATCTCCATGATATCCCTGCCACTACCTCAAGTAGTCGGCATCTGAGGAAGCGAAAAGTGCTTGTCTCTTGCGAAAGGTCGGTTCTCCTTCCCTAGTGATACCACATACAGTACTCGTCCACCGCAGAGAGACCGGCGTAACAGAAGGCATGGTCCTCAGAGGATCGCATGTCACCTATGAGTATCCAACTTCATTTAGGGATTCTATCTTCATGACTATGATGCTAACGTTGGAAGATTGGATGTACCTATCCAATCTCACCAACCTCCCCTTTTTTTTTTTTTTTTTGCCTCCCTCCGCTTCAACGGGTTTCAACTTTGGACGCTCTGGTTGACGGCCAGGATCTTTCGTGTTAACGGGACCTTCAGCATTACTAAGATTTATCACACGAGTTCGTTTCCTCATTCCTTTCCGCTCGTTCCTCCACATAAATTCACCGGCATGTGTACCCTCAATAAGGTCCTAAGATGCGTTCACACGCTCGTCCAAGACAGGGAAGAACCTCCGCAGAGCTTCTCTAATGCTCTAGAAGAAAGCCTGTGGATTCGGCGCGTTGGGGTCTATAACTTGATGCACATCCCAATGTTCAATGATACAGGTCCCATTCAGCCGATAAATGTCTACTATGGCCCTGGACGGGACGCCCGGCTGCGTGCGGTGGACATGAAGGATGACATAGTCAGGCACATAGAAAATTCGCGTAACATTGTTAACGAGCCCAACTCTCTCAAGGTTCCCCTTTAGATAGCGCTCTGCGACTGCTTTTCCCGACGGAATATTCGGATTGTGCTGGATGTAGGGTTCGGAAGTGTGGTTTATATAAGTGTCGACGTCTCTATCCGTGTAGGCTTGAATCCATTTAGCGGATGATTCTTGCTGTTCTCGGAAGAGAGCCTCGGGAGACTCGGAAATAGAAAGTGGGAGGTCCGGGAGAAGTTGGCAAGATAGAGCCGAGACGAGTGGTGTGAGTGCGAGAACGACGAGACAAAGGATGGAGCATGTATGCTGCATGGTTGAAAGATGCCCACCGGAGAAAGGATTTCGCAGGTTCCAGTAAGAAGTGGAGTGATTGAGCAGTTTAATATGATGTGAAGTTGTAGTAGCGGACGCAACAGAGGATGGTGCCAGAATTCCTAGATGGGGAAGAGCATGAAACGTGAGGAGCGAGATGGTTGTTCTTTATATGCTCATATGAGGAGCCGACATCAAACCTATCAGTTATACTACTTCTTCTGGTGAAAGCTAACTGATCAGGAAATCGAGCCTTTCACTTTGATTGTTCCGAGATCTCAGAGATTTTCAAGAAGCAATACGAAGGAAGGGGTTTGTTCACCAGGACCGGCGTTGCACGTAGAGGAAGGCAAGCTGGGATTAAGTTAAGGTAGCCTAGCAAAATCTCCAGACTTCTTGCTACTTTGCCCGTTTACCCCTGAGATAATATGAATTCACTAGCATCGCCATTTCCAAAGCAATTGATCGATGTTGGGCGTACCCTCAGTCAAGGGGCTAGCGAAAGTTAGCAGAAGACTCGGGGAAAACTCAGGGCCCTGTGGACGTTTAACGCCCTGCTGGAAGCTTCGCGGCTTCGAAGTTTAAAACGGGATACTATCCTTGGTGGTTTGGGGGAAGGAAAATATAAACTAGTCGTATATACGGATCAGGGACTGCATTTCACGTGCCAGCTATTTCCTGGTGAAGAGACACCCAGTTATGGTCAAAGGGGCTAATGGAGCAATTACATTCCTAAATCCTTGACAGTCTTGGTGTCCGTTGTCCATGCCAACCGCGGAAACATGTCGAACGGTGTTTTTCAGAATAGAGTTTCGGTGAAGCTCAGCCGCCGAAGTTTGACGTTGGTTACAAACACGGAGATGCTTCATCGGACAGGTGAACACAATCATGTTTTTTGTCAATAAAGACTCATGCGGTTAGTATGTAGAATATGGAAGTATCGGCTCAGAGTGAGTCGGCCCAATACAACTAAGGCAGGAGTTCGTGATATAAAAAAACTTTTATGTAGCCACAAAACTAGAGTTCAACAAGATCCCTACGCGCATTATGGGCTTGCTCTTGTGTGGGACCTTGACCCTCTTCTCTCCAGGGGTGAGATCTAATCCGATGGGGAGTCCATTGTGGGATTTCCTTTGATCGAGAACGGAGTCATGGCCTGGTCGCCATTAATGAAGGTCCACATGAAAGTACTAAGGTGGTGCATTCCCTGTACAGAGGAATTCGGCTTATATCTATCCTCACATTCTGCTTGAAATGAGATTGGCCTTCCGGGCTACATCCATATAGGTCTTTGGGTGCAGCAAGATGAAATGTATACCAACTTACCACAATTGTCAATATGGGCAATGAATCAAAATGTCCAAAACCGTGAATCCATATTACAGAAAAATGTCGAGGTTCGTTTGTTTCGCACCTTCCCAGCTTCAGGACGACAGTTGGCGTGTGAGTGTGTTATGTATGAGATTTCAGGTCAGGATTCTCAACGTCTCATGGAAGCTCAAGTGGTCGAGCGGTGACGCACTGCTTGCAAATTACTTCCGCAAGGCCGGCTTGGAACCCGGTCTGGTCAAACCATGAGACGTGGAGGAAATTGGGATATGGGAGTCGGGAAATGGAAATTGGGATTGGAGGGAGAAGTGGGAATCCTTTTTTTTTTTTTTTTTTTTTTTTTTTTTTTTTTTGCTAGATTATACCTGGCTTTTCCGTTTCTTCTTTTCCGCGAGGGAATTGCTCACCAGGGCGTTCTTTTGAAGCTCTGATATCCCGAGGCTGCGGGGGTTTTGGGCGGAGTTGAGGCAAAGGGGGGAAACTTTGGAGGGGTTGCTGGTTCGAAACTGGGAGTGGACTTGTGCCTACATTTTTCTACTCATTTTTTTGTTTGGTCTGGGACTGGGACTGGCAGCATGCCACCGGCTCAGATTAACTGCACTTCTACATCAAGGGCGTCTGGTCTGTGTAGACTTAATATTAAGGCTGTTTTCTTTTCACCTTTCATTCACGGAGATCAGATAAGATGGTTTCTGCGAGATGGATGTCCATCCCACACACACCTGCCACATCGGATCATCGTATCCCGAGAACGGACTAACGGGACTAACAGACACTAGACAGGGTGGCGGCCTCCTTAATACGAGAAACAGGACGTAGCCTAGCACATAACTAATAGCTCGAAAAGTGGCGTACGAGGAAAGGCTAAAAGCAGTGTGAGAGCGAAGAAAAGGAAGGCTCGGCGTGGGTAGCTGCTCCAATATTGAACTTTTTCTTTTTCTGGTCTGGGCAAGAAGAAGTGTGGTGCCAGTTCACGGATGAGAGAGGGCCAAGACTTCAACTACCAAGCTTAACCATGCCAACACGACTGCTGTGTTGAACCACCATTACATCAGAGCTCTGCTGCGGCAGTACGAATGCGTCGAAATTGAAAAGATGGGATGCTGTAGGGCGGGAAAGCGGCATTTAGTATTACCACAGCGCGGAACGAGGTGCGGAAAGACGAGGAGTACCGTGTGGGGGAGTATTGAGAGCTTGCTTGGCCCTGCTGGGGGTAGGGGTGGGTGGACAATGTCCTCCTTCTGGGGATGATCTACTTAATGGGTACGTATTTGAATGACGTATGAGAAGGGGACGGCTTTAATCGCCCAGAGGAAGCTCCAGGAACAAAAACAAGTTTGATGAGAATAACAATGAACTCCTCCGGGGACTTCGTAGGGCTTATGATGTGGACCAGAATGTAAAGGTTTTTTTCACGCAAAAGATCCCCTTCAAAAACAAAAGGCTAGTTTCGGCCGAAGGTTGTCGAACTCTTAAGGTTCATAAACATCGGCTTACTGCGGACTTCGAGGAATATCCGGGTAGACGTCAGCTTGAAACGGGTCTGTTGTACGCAAAGAGCTAGAGCCCCGGGCTTGTTGAAGACTGGAGTACTGGATCGAAGGTTCGAGTTGAAATAACATCACACAACTAAAAATGCCAAGCCTTGATTATTGATCCTTGTCACTGGGAACAAGGGTTGGAGAGAGTTCAGAGATTGATAAGGAAAATTTGAGCGAGCTAAAGTTCGGGTCTCCTGATGCATTTCAGTTGGCGCATGTACAAGTACCAGGTACTTCATACTTCGTCCTTGCGAAGATCACAAAACCCTGGTGGGTGCGAGGCGAGTTCAACTTTGGTAGCGTTGATGGTAGAGTGCGAAGTAGTATATCCATCAATGGAGAACCCACCCATGTCCGTACGTCATACACATTCCAGCGTCGCGGAACTCGCTCATGAAATGAATCCATCCCTGCAAGGCTGCCGATCCGGAATGGAGCGAGTGGGAAATGATCACGAACCTGGTCTTAAACATCATTAACCATGCATAGATCAGATGGTTACAATACCGCTAGAGGGGGTAGACGTGGGTCTTTCAATATACACTACTGCTTACTTCGCACTTCGTCAAAACTGGGAGGCAACAGTGGACCTCGGTGCGGAGAGGCCAGTCAGGGTGCAGGAAGGCAACGCTCTGTTCTCCATAGGGCATGGCAGCATGGGACAGGGACAGCTCCGAGGAGAAGAGAAAAGGTTTGCAGAGTAAAGTACGAAATTATTGGTGCATGAGCAGTCAAGGAAACATCAACAGAAAGCTGGGCTTGGGGAAGCTCATTTCCGATCCTCATCCGAGTCATCCATTCACCAAAACACAAAAGCTAAATTTTGCCTGCCTAAAGGGGATGTTATGCAGTAGGAAATGCATTAGGGCTAACAGAGGTCTCTGAAAGGTTCTTGGTAGACTTGAAGAAGCTAGCTCTGGGCCGGGATGGCTGCAGTCTAGCCCATCATGCTCCGATTCCGGTATGCGTCCTCTTCGGATGGAGAAAAGTACACTAGTGTACCATAAAGAATGTACCTTGCTTCGTTGCCGAAGACATCGAGATCCCGTTTGAAGATAATCAGGACTGGGCTTGTGGATGAGGGCGTCGCTAACTCGATGAGGGATGGCGCGCATATTCAGTGACAGGTACCCGGTCCGAAGGGGGAACAACCAGAGACGTACACTAGTGGGCTGGCTCAGCAAAGAGAGTAAATAGTGTAGAAGTAGTGGGGTGGGCAGAGAGGGTCACGATTAAATCGTGATGCGAAAAAACAGTTGAGGGTTTGAAGAGATCGTGATGGATGTTCCGTCGTCGTGCGGTGTAGCTTGGCAGCATCATCAATGGTTTGATCGTTAATACCTCAACTCTCGTCGTAATCTAGAGTAGTAGCAACAGCGGTCGACATCAATTGATCTTGGGGGCGGCACTGAGGATGGCCAGGCCAGGCCTAAAAGTGCAGTGTAGTGGAGGGGATACCACACTACACTACCAAAGAGCGGGTTGTGGGGGACCAAGTAAAAGTGGCGCGTCGTCAAATGTTCCAGGTCCAAGATTGATTGATTTCATCAAAAGCCACAAGATTATCAGATCATCTTATTGATTGATAAGATTAAATTGATCGGTGTGGAAGTACGAAGTAGAGGTACAAGTACTTTGTACCTGGATCGAAAAAGATGGAAAGAAAATTTCATCTCCTCCATCAACTCCACCAACTCCGCCAACTCCATCACACTGATCGCAAGTGCTGATGCTGGTGCTGGTGCTCCGACGACCGAGCCGGGCCAAACGAAGTACAACATGCACCATCATCCAATCCAATTGGCTCCACCGAATCCACCCAACCTCCACTCCCACGCTCCCAGCTTGTTCCCCAAGGGTAACCCTGGCCCATATCTCAAACCATGTGTCATGCCAAGTCAACCTCATCAGCCTCATGGCAGCCGAGCCGACGACGATAAAGTCCAATCCAAGAGATGATCTACTATTGATGCCGTGTATCCACTGATGGCATTCGTTCCCGTCTAGCCTGCAGCCGTACCTCCGTACCTCACTTGAGTGGCCTCATTTGGGCGACACGCATCTCGAGCGCGTTACAACATCGAGAAGGCGAAGCGAGTGTTGCGCCTAACATGCTTCGGCTGGTACGGACGGACGACTCGCCATCCGTAATGGACGAGCCTTGCCTTGTGGAAGCTCCTAGTTTGGGGGGGAAGGGGGGGGGATCAATACTAGTGCGTATGGAGAGTCGAGCTCGCGCTCCTCGGCATTGATTTTCAAAGCCCGAAATAGCCAGCACATACGAAGTAGTGTAGGCTAGAGACAACTGAAGGCAGAGTACGACCCAACTTTGTAGCTACCTACTTCGTAGCTAGGCTCGATATTCTCGTCCCATCATACCCCAGATGCCGTCCGATCTCGTAGCCCACCGGCCCTCTCTCTTTTCACGTTGAGCGCGCCCAGGAGTCGGGTCACCATGTCACTGGTACTTCGCACCTGCCCCAGATGTGCCCATTTCCACCCATGTCAGGCTGGCTGCCCGAGTCTAGTTTATCTGCACCTACACCACGAAGGACACACTAATCATCACACTGCGTTCGCCTAGCGGAGTCTATTGAATGTGGGACCATGGGCTCCACGCTCCGCACATTCTCCACCCTGGTCCATTTTCGGTTCTCCGGCTTCGACCACGAGCTCGAACGACATCCACGGCCAAGCATGGTGAGGGTGAGAGCTCTCAGCGACGTTCGGAATATCCACCGCGCCCAGAGCTTCGGCATAGCTCTTGATGCACGCCATGCAGGCAGCTGCGTGTGTCTATTTAACCCCATAGACATCCCCCACCTCTCTCTCTATTCTTAGTCCTTCATTCCCAAGTTGTCAACCACGGGCCTAATCAACATATATTGGCAAGTGCTTCCCGTCACCACTCGACCAAAGTCTGTGTGACACGAGCACCAATCTTTTGCCCCTTCCCGTTCCTGCCTCGTCGTCAAGCTCACTCGCTCGTTTGAGACGTCTGCTGTTGGATCAGCAAACATGAGGACTTCACTGTCCCTCAGCGCCGCCATGGTGCTGGCCCTGGCCTCCGTGGCCAAGGCTATCCCGCTCTGCGCGGTGAGTCCGAAGGAATATCCGCTAACACAGTGACCAGGATGCTAATCCTTCCCTTCAACAGATCAACTGTTTCCAGGGTACCATCACTGACTACCCTCCGCTCGACTGCACGGAGCCCAACATGTACCTCTGCTTCTGCAAGAGCGAGTTCCTTGCCATCACTTACAAGGACTGCACCTACACCGCATGCAGCACCCCCGAGGATATTGCTGATGCTATCAACTTCGGCATTGACCTTTGCGAACGTAAACCTTCCCTCTTCCCAACTACTCCTTACATACCACGCAACGCTGACCCTTCTCTCAAGAGCTCGGTGCCCCAATTGACATCCCCACTGGCCCTCCCACCACTCAGCCCACTGTCGAACCGACCCCTGAGCCTACTCCTGAGCCTCCTTCCAGTGAACCCCCCAGCTCTACCGCTACCTCCGCCCGCCCCAGTAGGACTCCCTGGCCCGAATGTGTCTTCACCTGTGTGAATCAGGGAGTTGCTGCCGGCGAACCCTTCGGTTGCACCCAGGATAACCCCGCTTGCTTCTGTCAGCATGAGGAACTTGTGACTGGATACAGGGACTGTGCCTATGCTGAGTGCCAGTCGCCCGAGGAAATCACTCGCGTGATCAACTACGGCTTGTACCTCTGCGAGGAAGCCGGAATCCCCGTCACTGTGCCCACTGTCCCACCTACCCTCGTGCCCACCGACATTGCCAGCACCACCTCCGCTGCCCCCACACGAACCAGGACCCCTTGGCCTGAGTGCGTCTTTACTTGTGTGAACCAGGGAGTTGCCGCCGGTGAACCATTCGGCTGCACCCAGGACAATCCCGCTTGCTTCTGTCAGCATGAGGAACTTGTTACTGGTTACAGGGACTGTGCCTATGCCGAGTGCAAGACCCCTGAGGAGATCACTCGAGTCATTAACTATGGTCTGTACCTCTGCGAGGAGGCTGGCATTCCTGTCACTGTGCCCACTGTCCCACCTACCCTCGTGCCCACCGACATTGCCAGCACCACATCCGCTGCTCCCACCCGCACCAGGACCCCTTGGCCCCAGTGTGTCTTCACCTGCGTCGATCAAGGTCTTGCCGCAGGCACATCCTATGGCTGCAATTCCAATGAGGATTTGGAATGCTTCTGCAGTCATGATGAGCTCATTACTGGATACCGTGATTGTGCCTATGCTGAATGCGAGTCTGAGGCTGAAATCACGCGCGTCATAAACTATGGGCTTTACCTTTGCGATTCAGTCAACATCACCGTCACTGTCCCCACTGTTCCTCCCACGCTCGTTCCCTCCTCAACCCTCCCCAGCGGCACTGCCGACACCACGTCTAGTGCCCCCACTCGCACCAGGACTCCTTGGCCTCAGTGTGTTTTCACTTGTGTGGACCAAGGTCTTGCGGCAGGCACATCCTATGGCTGCAATTCCAATGAGGATTTGGAGTGCTTCTGCAGCCATGATGAGCTCATCACTGGATACCGCGACTGTGCGTACGCTGAATGCCAGTCTCCGGAAGAGATTACCCGAGTCATCAACTACGGCCTTTACCTTTGCGACTCGGTTAATATGACCGTGACCGTTCCCACTGTTCCCCCCACGCTCGTCCCTACTACCGCCCCAAGCGGCACTGCCACAACCACCGCACCCACTCGTACCAGGACTCCTTGGCCCGAGTGTGTGTTCACCTGCGTTGACCAGGGTCTTGCGGCGGGCACGTCTTACGGCTGCGATTCCAATGAGGATTTGGAATGTTTCTGCTCCCACGATGAGCTCATTACTGGCTACCGGGACTGCGCCTATGCTAAATGTAAGTCGCCTGAAGAAATCACCCGTGTTATCAACTACGGACTGTATCTCTGCGACTCGGTCAACATCACCGTCACTGTCCCCACTGTTCCTCCCACGCTCGTTCCCACCACTGTCCCCAGCGGCACCGCCAGCACAACCTCCACAGCGCCCACTCGCACCAGAACCCCCTGGCCCGAGTGTGTGTTCACTTGTGTCGAACAGGGCCTTACCGCCGGCAAGCCGTACGGCTGCGACTCCAACGAGGATCTGGAATGCTTCTGCTCCCATGAAGAACTTGTCACTGGCTATCGTGACTGCGCTTACTCTGAGTGCAAGACGCCAGAGGAAATCACTCGTGTGATCAACTACGGTCTCTATCTCTGTGACTCTGTCAACATTACCGTCACTGTTCCCACCGTCCCTCCCACGTCCCAGCCCACTGTTGTCCCTTCTGCAACGACAAGCTCTGCTCGCCCCAGCAGGACCCCCTGGCCTGACTGCGTCTTCACTTGCGTCGATCAGGGCCTTGCCGCCGGCAAGCCCTACGGCTGCGACGACGATGAGGACTTGGAATGTTTCTGTTCCAACGAGGAGCTCGTCACTGGCTACCGTGACTGTGCCTACGCCGAGTGCAAGACCCCCGAGGAAATCACCCGCGTGATCAACTACGGCTTGTACCTTTGCGATTCGGTCAACATCACCATCACCGTCCCCACTGTTCCCCCTACGGCGCAGCCAACCGCCAGCTCTACTCGTCGTCCTACCAGTCGTCCCACCGTTACCGGCGAGCCTCAGCCCACTGGTGGCGATGATGACGATGTGGACTGCCCTACTGAGTCTGCTAAGCCTCCCAAGCCTACAAAGACGCCTTGCCAGACTGGTAACTGCCCTCCCGGCCACGATGATGACGACGATGATGATGAGCCCCAGACCCCCTGTGAGACTGGCAACTGCCCTGGTGGTCATGATGACGATGATGATGATGATGATGATGATGAGCCCCAGACGCCTTGTGAGACTGGTAACTGCCCTGGCGGAAACGGCTCCGACAATGGCAGCGGTTCTGGCTCTGGTTCGGGATCTGGCTCTGGTAGCGGAAGCGGCTCTGGATCTGGATCTGGTTCCGGTTCGGGATCTGGCTCTGGTAGTGGAAGCGGCTCTGGATCTGGCTCCGGCTCCGGCTCTGGATCCGGTAATGATGACGGTTCTTCTCCCGTTGTCGTCGCTATGGTAAGTCTATTCCCAAATTCACCCACCGTTCACAACGCATCTAACAAGGTTCTTCCCTCTAGGGCAACTCCCTCACCGCCGCCCCCGGTCTCATCATCGCGGCCGGCCTTGCCTTCCTGCTTATCTAAACCACAACTCGTGGCTAACACGATGAAGCATGCCACAAGGTATCGCATCCGGCCTGTCATACCGCCTCGATGCGTGTAGCCTATTCTTCGGTCTGTACATGATTAACTGCTTTCTTTTCTTCTACTTTTTCTCTTCTTCGTCCTTTCGGGTGGATGGGTGGGTGTAAAGGGTGGAAAATCTTCTTTCTTCAGACTTAAATAATTCCCCGTCCCTTTCCAAAGGAATGTGAGGTGTAATGAAATATGGCTCACACGGCGTGCATGGGGAGTGATGTGGGAAAAACATGACGGAAAGCCGACCAAAAACAGAATACTCTTATAGTCTTTCCTTACTTCCTCCAACTTGGCCGGCTTGGATTTTTGGGTCTTTTTTGCTTGTATAATTCTCACAGGCTGCCAGCCGCGCCCTTTTTAAACCTTAATGATATTGTTTATTTGTATAATTCTTCTCCTATTTACTCGGTATGCGATGAGGTATGAAATTCCCAATTGAGTTAAGCATCAACATCTCAACGGGGAGACCCAGGTCCTCATGAATCCTGACCTCCCGGAAGTCTCGAGGAGAGATTTGCGTACTAGAGTGCGGAGCTGATCATAGTACACCAGACAGCTGCCAAGAAAATGGTCTCAGACAAGACTCGGCTTCGAGTCTCTACATCGATAGCGATCGGCAGGCACGCGGAGAAAGCATGAAAACTCGTAGTTTTACGGCAGATGGAGTCCGCTCAAGAATTAATTCTTGCTTTCATTTCTTGATGCTATTCTATTCCATATCCCACCACTTTTCGTACCTCCCCATCACGTCTATCTAAAGCGTAAGCCAAGGTGTCGCACCACAAAGTCGTTGAGGACATGGCTGTGGCGTAACACGTGTAGGCAAAAGAGCCGGCTGAATGGTTTCCTAACTGGAGCGCATCATGGTATCTGTGTTAAACAAATCAAAAAGAATTACCGAGTTCCGAGGGGTATCCTGAAAACAATATGAGAAAGTTCCTGCTCCAGTTAACGCCGCGCTTCTGTCTTTTTTTTTTTTCTTTTTCTTTTTCTTTTTCTTTTTCTTTTTCTTTTCTTTTCTTTTCTTTTCTTTTCCTTTCTTTCCATCGCCTTATTCTCCCTTACGTAGGGATAAGATTTCTGTCTCTAATAGACAGGGTCATGAGTCGGGGGACCAGCGTAGTTCTTGTGGCCCCAGACGATGTACCACAATGCCGAGATGAGAGTGGCGCCTACGAAGACGACAGGAGCATAGTTCACTGTGGCCGCGGTGACTGGGATAAATGAGGGCATGCAGAAGAGTGGCATAGCAAGAATCGACCAGGCTAGCAGACATGTTAGTTAATATTCAAACCCATCACATGCAAGGGAACAGTTGGAGCTCCCTCGAAAAGAGAATACTTACCAAGCGCAATGACGTTGCAAGGAACGCCGAACCGGCCGAGGTTGAACTTCGCATCGGCGAGGTGTTTCCGACCATTCGCCAAGCTAATGGCAATAGGTGCGGCATACGACGCGGTGAGGCAAATGACGCCAACGCCAGAGAAGGCGTTGAAAGCGGCCGGGGAACCGAAGTAGATGAGACCAAGTAAGATCTGGACAACCATACTCAACATCATGGCGTTGAGTGGCAGGTCTAGCCCCGTGTGAACTTTCTTCCACCACCTAGCGCCGGGAATGGCACCATCACGCGCGAATGCCCAAGTGCAGCGAGAGGCGGCGGTCGTGCAGCTGATACCGCAAATGAGGGCGAGAACCATGATGGGAATGAGAAGTCCAATGGCTCCCTGTGCAGACCCGACAGCGTCCTTGATGATAGTAGGAACTGGCTGTCCGCTAGCGAGGCTGACGAGCACTTGGATGTCGGGCAGGACGAAGACAAGGGGAACAAGGAAGAGAAGCCCGCCAAAAGCATTGATAAAGATGGTGGCTACCATGGCCTTGGGGACTTGGGTCGCGGGTTTGTGGACTTCTTCGCACATAGAAATGATCATTCCAGTAGATGAGGTAGCATAGGCGGCGTGGAGCAGACCGACGAAGAAAGACCATCCAGCGGGCCAACCAGAGTTGGATTCGAAGTGACCAAAAACGTAGGCAGCAGAATGGCGTCCATTCTTGGCGATGACAAGCACGCAAACCAAGATGGCAATGACACCAGCGAAGGTCCAGAAAATAGCCACGGTCTGTTCAGCATCGTTAGTAACTCAAAGTCATAGCCTCGTGCCGATAGCAGGACGCCGGCAGGCAATGACCACTAGTATGCGGATGGGGATGGGGATGGGGATGGACGAACATCGAGGATAGGCAACCATTTGTTTCCAAGAGCCGCGACTAAATTCTGGAAAACGGTAACGGCAAGGAAGATAAGGAAGACCTGGTACGTAGAGGCTTCAAAGACACCGACCCCAGGCTCCTTTTCAAACACGTTGATACAAGCGACGAAAAAGAGAGTGGTGCCGAAGCTCACTGCGAGAGTGATGGTAATGTTCCCAACGACATACAGCCATCCACAAATCCAGCTGGCTAACCGTCGCCATTCTGGGGGAGCAAGCATGAATGCTTGATAATACACACCTAAATCATGTCAGCCAATATTACAAGAGCGAAAGTCTAACCGTCACAATTGAGGTGAATCTTCTTGCACAAGCCTGAGGCGGCAGATGCTCTCTCGAGACCGCACACATATCATCGGCAAAGAAAGAATCACTGGGGAATGATTGGCTAGGGGGAGTAGCGTGGGTGTGCAATTTACCTCCTGCAGTTGGATACACGCTAGTGATCTCTCCCAAAGACGCGGCGACACAGGCAATGATCAGCGAGACGGCAAGCCAACCCCAGATAATGTTAACTGGGCCGCCGCCGATCAACGGGTAGTAGAGAGTAGTTGCAAGACCGTATGGAATTGAAGCGAGGACGAAGGACATGAATGCCACCTGGAGAGTGGATCGACGACGCGAAAGCTCGGGTTTGTAGCCTAGCGCTTCGAGGGCCTGGTCGGCTTGAATATCCTCGAGAGACGATCGGCGATATCGGTCGGACTGGGCGTCATCAAATGACCCTCGACGTTGCCGGAGGTCGCCATCAGCGACGCCCTTGACATCCTTGTTATCGGAACCGGAGGAGCGGCCGGCAGGTTGAGTCTCAACCTCGGCAACGTAAAGCCCTCGATCCATAGCTGAGGTCGGGCTCTCCAAGAGTTAGGGCACACGAGAGTGGAGCGAGATGAGGGGGATGGTAGGGCAGAGGGGAGAGGAAGGAAGTGGAGGGAGAGAGAGGGAGAGAGAGGGAGAGAAGAAGGAAAAAGAGATAAGGTAGCTTCAATTCGTGGAGAAGAGACCTTGGGGTTGTTATGTATCTCTGACTTGCATACTGGTCTGGTTACATCCGAAAGTTGCACCGAGAGTCGAGTCTGCAGCCTGTAACTTTTAAGACTGCCCTGGACTGGACTGGACTGGACACTGGATGAGCCAACTGATAAGCAGCAGGCGTAGCTGGAGTATTTCGTAGTCTAGGATTGAAGCTGACCACTTCCCGTTGAGAAGAGATACCAGAGCAGAGAGACCGGAGGAAGTAGAGAGAGAAAAAGCTAAGAAAGAGAAGACAAGAAAAGACGTGACTTCGCCCACTTTGTTGAATTGTTCTCAGCTTGGCCCATAAAAAGTCGTCTCCACCCGTTCCTCAAACAGCATACTACACTAAATAGCTTTCCATGTCGTTCCCGAGGGATTGGCGCCATTAGTTCTGTACGATTGTATTTTAGCAATTTTTCTCAAGCTCCAAGCGTGTCCAAGTGTGTCGATGTAAGCGGGCACACGACAGTCGGCGGGAAAAATCGTTCGAATGGCGTGGGGGCGCGGTCCCCTTGATGGTTCGGTGCGTCCGCTCGGTGGTGAAGAGGGCCTCGAGCAATGGCGAGAGCCTATCAAGTCTGCGGACCAGCTTCCTATTCCAGAATGGTGTGGCGAACCAATGCTACTTTTCCAGGATTTGGGATTAGTTATCTAACCACATCCAGATGCGGGTCCAATTGACTTTGTCTTGATTTTGTTAGTCGTTCATTTGTTTGGTCGGAATCCGAATCATGGTCGTTTCAATGGTCTCTATTTGTGGCCTTGTCCCCCAAGAATCAAAGGCCACAACCGTGGAGTGCCCCATCTTCTCGACTCCGGCGCCCTCATTCGTGACATAATGCCCCAGGCCAGGCCCGCTGTCAGGGTGGATCAAGGTTGCTAGGAGGACGAAGTCGGAGCATCAGTCGAAAAGCTGGAGAGAAAGAAAGAAAGAAAGAAAGAAAGAAAGAAAGGCAAAGTGAGGGAGAGTAACGAAGCCTTGCTGCCGGCAGAACGCAACTGCATTGTTTGATTTAAACTACCAACGTCACATTATGACGTACGACAAGGAGACAGGGAAACGGAAGGCACACGCACACCTTCCTCCTAGATCGAGGGCAACTTACAGAGTGCTACACTAATCTCGTTTACTTCGGAGGCTGAATTCTCTTGGATGCACATGATTAGTGCCGCGGTGCGCCTTCGGTGTCCTTATTTAGCATAGGGCAGCTCTTGCCTTACCCAAGAGATTTATGTAAGAAGGCAGCGAAAAACATGTGACAGCGCCGATTGAACAAGCGAGCAATGAACAAGCGAGCATTGCCAGCGCGGAATACTCGACAAGAAGACTCCATCTCGATTCGATGGACAAGTTGAATTTGCGTTCGTCTCGACTTCTGCTTCAGCTGCTTACTACTCATAATATTATTGTCCGCGTATTAGACCTTGCCATGAATGCGTGCGTTGTGGCAATGTGTTGGATATTGTGTTAATGGAGGGCTGATGTAAGACGAGACGGCGCTGGGACATTGGAGACGATACTTGGAGGGACCACCCGAGCCAACTAAAATCCCCTGCACTTGTCGTCTCTCAGCACATCAATGATATTCATGGTTGGAACTTGAAGCTAACGCACCCAGTTTAACAGTTTAACAGGCGCAGCGCGTGAGAGTTTGGTGATATGGGTTCACAACGACGACAAATCATCTTTGAAAGTCAGATTGGCTTGGGATTAGTTGAGATTAAAACACACCAACCCCGATGGTAGTTAGGGCAGCTTTGCCTGTCCCTGACGAGGTTTCAATCTCCCCAGCAACATACATAATCCCAACCCCCAGCCGCGACAATAGCTTGCACGTTAGCCGACATCTCGCCAACTTGCTTCGTAGTTGTAGGGACCTTAATCGGGGTAAAGGACGTAGGAGTCACTTCTTTGATGTTTTTCCCCCAGTCTATCATCCTGACAATTCCATCACAATGCCAGACCACAGAACATTCAAGTTCGCCAAGTTTAGTGGCGGTAGCAAAAATTCAGCTTCACAACAAAGCAAGCGGAGGCGGGGGATCTAATAACAACACAGGAATCGAAAGGATTTTGGTTAATACTGTCTTCAGCTGTAATGGAGTGACTGCCAGTCTCCTCATTTCGATGCATTGAGACGAGTCCAACTTCTGTCACCGCTCCCAAGTCCGCACATCAACAAAGGCCCGGGATTCACGATTGGGTCAAGTCTCCTCCCAATACATATTGAGTGATGTGTCTAGTCCTTTGGATTTACTGGTCCCAGTGCTGCCAGCCGACTACCGCATGCCGCATCGCATCGCAGCGCATCGCAGCGCAGGGTGCGCAAGGACGGAGTTCATCCTCCACCAGGTCTGGCTGACCTGATTGATGTACAAGCCGCAACACACACACAATAACCCCGGACTAATGCCCGCAAAATCGGGCACCAAGCCCGAAAAGAAAGGTACAGCCTGGAGCTTGGAGCCTGGGGCGCACTGGCGTTTAGCGGGGGCATTTCCCGGTCGTATCGCCCCGTAATAATTCATCAATAGAAGCTCCACAGATCCATTCAATCCCGAGAAAGCTTCTCTTTCCACCGTACGTGGCACCAAAGATGCGTTGCCATTGTTTCCCAACCAGGCTCGTGCCGTAAAAGCGCATTTACACCACCGCGGTCTTTACGACTCTGCGATATACGGAGATATGCGTCCGAGTTGTTTACCATCAAGATCCCACAGATTCAACAGATCGACGTCTTGCTTTGGCCTTAGCCAGCCAGACACTGCAACACTACTACACTGCATAGCTCATCAATCATCCTATGGACCGGCACCCACTCTCGGGTAGAATCTACGAATGGACGCTCTTGGGCTGCCCGAATGTATTACAAAACTGATGAAGCTCCCATGTAGGAATAGTACTTCGAGTCCGACCTCCACCTGCAACCCACATATCACGAAAGATCTTCGTTGGCCAGTTTGGAAGGTTGTGCTTACCTGGGGAGCCCGTCCGCGAATAATATCGTGGAATATCTGTGCCCGAGGCGAACATGCCGCATAAGAGCGGCTCTTGTGGTAATACAACATTCGTCGTGTCCGAAAAGGCTACCCACAGGCTCCAGCCTGGTCATAACCCCCGCTCTTTGTCTTGGGGAGCTGCAAAGTCAGGGCTGTCCCGTTCCCTAGCTATTGATATATAATATAAGACTCCGAAAAGCCATGGCAGGCTAGACCTTCGTAGTTCGGATGCACACACTCTTCATCGCGGGCCGTCGCGTCGAGTAGGATCCCTAGATGAGGAAAGCTAGTCCATCACCCTCACTTACTTACCTCGCTTGACAATCCAGTTCAATCCAGTTGGCCAGCATTATTTCTACTTTATCCACGGCACAAATACATCCGAATTGGGGCAATGGCTCTTTGCCCCGTGGCACAGGCGGGCCATCCCGACATGTACGGGCTCGGCATCCGCCTTGCCTTCTACATTCAGTGGATCGGCCTTATCATCGTAGAATACCTCGACGAGTCGGAACTAATCGTCATCCGACTCCTCGGCCTCGCCCTCTCAGCCGCCGCCTTCATCGGTCTCCTGTTCCAGGCCCCAGCAAATCATCTTACCCTGGCTGAGGCTTACCTTGTCCTCCTCCTCGCCATGAGCATCTACATTTTCATGATACCCATCTATCTTTGGAAAGCGGCAACACGCTTCGATCCGTACTGGGACCCGCTCCGCTGTACGGCAGAGAAGAGAAGTCCTGCGTTCAGGATGCTGAATTTCGTCTTGTTGATGGCCCTCAGCTGCCTCGGCATATGGTATTGGTGTGCCTTCGTCGCCAATCGACAGCAAGACTGCGACGATTACGGCTTCTTCTTTAGCCGTGTCAGCGTTCAGAATAAAGCCTTTATCGCGTTCAACGCCATGATATCCTTCATTATCCTGTTGGGATCTCTGGGTCTCCTTGTCCTCAGGGCCGGATGGGCAATGAACGTCTTCGAGAAAAGAAAGAAGGGCAGGAGGATTAGGTCAGTATCTCTCCTCTCCTTAGGTCTAACTTTACCTGTCATACTCGTAGAATAAGAGACCCCTCTACTTGCGCGCTATGTTACCGCTCGGTCCGTTCCCCTACATCTTCGCCCCACGGCTAACACTCAACTCTGGTCGAAAGACGCGTCCACAAGGCAGCCCTTCGAGGGGCCAAGACGTTCAGTAACATCACGGTTGCCGCAGTCCTCATAGCGGCATCCGAACTCACCATCTCTTGGAATGAGCTACCCCGCGCCAACGACATAGCAACCGTCGCTCAGGTTATTCCTCTCCTCGTCAGTTCCGGCATCGTCATCCGCGTGATCTTCCTCTATTTCGCCCGCACACATATGGAGGTGAGCCTCGGTGCTGCCTGGAGCGGCAGTAGCACGTCGTCGGGGTCGTCACGACGGAGCTCTCGGAAGAGCTGTGGCTCCGGCTCGGCTCCCCGGCCCCGGCCCCGGCCGCCGCCGCCACCACCACCACCACCAGAATTTTACCCTCCACCTCCACCTCCGCCGGCTGCAAGGGGACCTTTTATGCGCCCTCCTCCTCCGCCGCCTACAACTCCTCCTCCGCCGTGACCGACAGGAAGATTCCTGTGCGGTAGTGTGCGCCGAACGAGTTTAATGTTCTAAGGATGAGAGTGTTTGTTTTAGGATGTGCGAATTAAGCTTTTTTGATTATTGCGAGTGTAAAATTAGACGAAAACAGGATCGCGGGCTGACACGAAAATGATGGACAGATGCAAAAAGAAGGCTCAGAATGTTTGGGTCGGTTGGTTTGAGTCTTGGCCCGCGAGATGTATCCAGTATTGTTAGTCACTTAGCACTGTGGAGCCACATATAGATTGTACAATTAAATACAGTGTAATACTGAACTGCGCACTCAGGTTACCATGCTGCTCTGGTGACCCCGCAACCAGCACCATCCCAAAGTAAACAATTTAACCTCTTCGAGCTCATCGTTCCAAGCCATCATTCCCCTGATCAAGACCACAATCGCCGCCTCCCTCCTCCCGCCCACTCGCCCGCCCTCCCTTTTACCTCAAGGAACAGATACCGCGAAGTCATGCCTCCCCCGAAATCTTCCTCGTCCAGTGCGGCCAAGGACAAGTCCAAGGTCCACAAGCTGGCTCTGAAGGGGAGTGCCAGACTTGTTGCCGAATTCGTATGCTTCTCAACTTTGTGGACCTTTCGTGGTGGTTTGGACTAATCTAACCTTCTTCTTCGAATTAGTTCCAATACTCTATACACTCGATCCTGTGAGCCGCCCCCGATCCTCTCCGCCTGCAATCCGGAACTATCCACTCCCCCAGTTGTGCTAACCACATCTTCCAGATTCCAACGAGGGGTATACCCTGCCGAAGACTTCATCGCGTACGTCTCAACCCGTTCAGCTCTCCTTCCGCTACGCAATGCTAATAGCTTCACATCTGCAGCGTCAAGAAATATGGCCTTAATATGCTCGGTTCGTACTCAGCTCTTCGCACCACAACCGATCCTTTAGATCACCCACGTTAACCCCAGCTCACCGGGCATTCCAGTTTCCGCCGACGACCAGGTTAAGGCATACATCAAGAAGATCATGTCCCAGCTAGATAAGTGGATGGTCGGCGGCAAGATTTCCAAGCTCGTCATTGTCATTACGGACAAGGACACCGGCGAGCACGTAGAGCGGTGGCAGTTTGACGTATGCATGCCTCATATGCAACCGATTTTCGCCTCGAAAACAAGTCATCTGACGATTATACACAGGTTCAAATCTTTGGGAAGAGTTCTTCAAAATCAAGGTCATCCTCTAAAGCTGCCGATCAAGAAAATCAGGCCCCAGGGTGCGCCCATGCCTTCCACACTCCCTTGAAGCCCCTCCCTACACTTCTTCGCGACCTCTGCTAACCCTCCATCCCCCTCCAGCTCCGACAACCAGCCCCTCGAAAAATCCGAAAAAGAAATCCAAGACGAAATCGCCGCAATCTTCCGCCAAATCACCGCCTCCGTCACCTTCCTCCCCCAACTCGCCGGCGACTGTACCTTCAACGTGCTCGTCTACGCCGACGCCGATTCCGACGTGCCCGTCGAGTGGGGCGACAGCGACGCCAAGGAGATTGATAACGCCGAGAGGGTGCAGCTCAGGGGGTTTAGTACGAGTAATCATAGGGTGGACACGATGGTCAGTTACCGGCTTGCCGAGTAGAGGTGTGCTGGGCCGGCCATCCCGGCTGCATTTAGATCAACGGAGTTGGACGAGTGGAGGGGGGATCTTTTGGGAGTTTATGGCGAATGGGGTTTCTTTTCCCTGGTGGACATCTACTCGTACTTAATAGAATAGCCCACGTACTGGCCGTGTGGCTACGTCTTAATCTTGGTGAACGCAGGTCGCTTTATCATACACCGCCATCGTCCAAGGCGACCCCACTATACGAGGATGTGTTTGCGGTCTATTCGAGGGAACAGAATCAAGTGGTTTGCTCAAGGGAACTTCCTGGCAAAAATGCAATGAATTCGACGTTATCTCTCTTGTTTCATTGCTCATCATTTATCATCTAATTTTCTTATTTACGAAATGTAACCCCGGCCTGCCTTTTTATCTTCCAAACTTGAATCTCTATTGTGCAGCAACTTGCCTCATGAGAGCTCAAACATCGCAGCGCTTTAAACTCGCTTGAAAAAGTAGACGTAGGCGAACTTTGACATCTCGTCCACATCCGTGGCCTCGACGACTTTCTCGTCGTTAAACAGGACCCATGAGGACTCGCTCTGGTCTTCGGAGAGGTGCTTTCGGATGAATGCGACATAATGCCTAAAACACAACTATTAGCAAGGCTTGCAAAAAAAAAAAAGGAGCACGAGATTAACTTACCCAGTATGAATGCTGGTCCCCTTGTGACACACGATAGATTGGAGTCTGTAGTTAGCCGGCAGGTCTGAGCTACCTGGAAGCTCTTTCTCAGCACCGGTCTCAACAGGCGTTGCATCGCTCTCATCTTCAAGGCCCGTGTCATCAGGATGGCTAAACAACCATTCGACCGCCCTTTCGGCATCTCCGCCCGTCTCTCGCAGCGCCTTTTTAGCTTGCGGTTCGCGGAAGCCCATGGCTACAAGCATCTCCACTTGGGCTGGATCAACCTGAACCGCTGAAGCCTTGCCACCTGAAAGGTCGAGCGGAGCGTCAACGTCCGGGTCATCCATGTGGGCAAAGATCCACTCCATGGCAGCGTTGGCGTCGGAGTTACCGGTGGCATGAAGGGCTCGCTCGCAACGATTCTTCGAGAATCCCATCGCCTGAAGTTGCTCGAACGCCGCGGCGTCAGGAACAAACGCTGCAGCTCCAGGCTCGGGGACATCGGGAAGCTCGACCTCGTCGGGCTGCAGGCCCGATGACATGTACTTCTCGAACGAAATCTTTCCTTCGGGTACAATGACGGGGACATCAATCTTGATAGGAACCCAATTGACAACAGTCATTTTGCTTGCATTGACAGCCAGAACGGCAGGGAGAGTCCTGAAGCGGAACTGCTTGGTAAAACCGTCCTTGCTGCCACAACCAGAACATGCAAGTTCAACTATCTCCGGTGCTGTCAATCTATCCAAGCACTCCTCGAGAGTGACGGCGCGATAAACATCGGCGTTAGTTTCACCACCCTCTGTCAGGCTCGGCTCAGCAGTTATTTTTTCTTTTGGGATGTCGACAAAAATATTATCCTGTTCCGTGGTCGTGTATCGGACCTTCTTGCACCCAAGACACTGAAGCCTGTGTTCAGAAACAAACCGGAAATCGTTCGTCGGATCTGATTTTCCGGACGCTTTGTTCGATCGCTGGATGAGAGTGAAGATGTATTGCAAAAACTCGAAGGCATCCTGTTGGCGCATAGTTGAGAACTCGGCATGACCTCGGCCCACGAGATGCTTCAACATTGCTGGGGCGATACCTCTCTGATATCTCAACTCTGACTGGTCCGTGGTGTGGTAATCGGTATTCGGTTTAGAATACCGACCAGAAAGTAGGCCATGTCCCATTTTCCTGAGCTGCGTCTCTAGATCGGCAGCAGGATCGCTCACGGAGGGAAGCGGGTCGGAGACATCGTAGTACCGGCTCTTGAATGCAGGGAGATCGAAGAGACACTGGACAATACTAGCTAGGTAGCAGCTGTTGCCTAGATTTTTGAGACCCGTGAGGCCAGGTCCGAACAACGGCTTCAACTCCTTACCATCCTCGGTAGTCATGGAAAAGTCCCACTTGAGATTGTGCTCGATTTGCATCTCCGTCAGACTCTTCTCTGTCTTTTGGCGATCAGCAATGTTGATGCCCCAGTGGGCGAGATGCGTTCCAAGAGCATCATCGATACGTTCTTCGTCACACTTATAGCAGTAAACATCGGCATTTCCCTCGGGGGTAATTGAGCCCAGTTTGACGGCGACACCATGGCTAGAGTCAAGGGCATGAGCAAGACCGTGAGAATTTCCTTCGACACCACCCATCTGCTTTCTACCGCAGCCGAGGTTTCCACACTCGAGGCAGAGCCAGAGATTTTCTTTCAGGTCGCACTTGGAACAGTGGCCAAGATCACCAGACTCGATCGTCTTCGGGTCCTGTTGTTGGAGAAGTAGGATGTGTTCGCAGGAAGTGAGCTCTTGCTCCCATGCCTTTACCTCCTCTTTGCGCGAGAAGGTATTCGCAGTCAAGATGCCATCAACTATAGGGGCAAACTTCGAGCTCGTTTTATCGAGATCCGTATCACATTCAAGACATCGGACAGTGGTAGCGGTATCGTACTTGTCCTCTTCGGTTTCGGCGGCGATCGCAAGCTTCGACATCTTAAGAGGGGGCTCATCTCGCACGACTACCTTCCGGGTGCGACGAATATTTAGGACGAGAGGATGGTTTCGGTAAGCGCTGTGCAGCTTGTCATGATGCTGGGGGCCAGCACATCCTCCATTAAAACATTGTAGGCATACATTGAGCCCATCGGGGTCGTCCTGAACAGAGCGAAGCTGGTTTTAGTCTCGTTGAAAGAGCAGGGTCGGGAGCCAACGCCCCTGGGGACGAGGCGTGGGGGGCATACAATCGAGTCGAAGCACTGAGTACAGTCCTCACGATAGACTGACTGAGTTGGATTGGGGGGGCGAAGAGCTATTGAAGCGAGGGCGTCAGAACTTCCCCATCAAAGAGAAGAACCCAGATGAGAGGGAGGATCTCTGGGAGGTGAGGGATCATACCGATAGCTTCGCTGTGCTGGCACGACATTTTGAAGGCTTGCTGAGGCAAGTTCGTCTCTAGTCCATACACAGAGGTGCCAAGCGAGTTGGAAAGAGTAGCAACCAGGGCAAGGTGATTGCAGACCTAGGGACCTAAGATGTGGATCGAAACAGTGTTTATCTGGGTTCTGAAAGAACGGAGGGCGAGAGGTCGGGGGAAATAGCCAGCTTGTTTCTTCCTTCTACTAGGGCAATCTTTCATTCCCTCTGGTACAGGCATCAATACAAGCAATCGTCAGCCTGGTGGTTGTCTGGACTTGGAGCTGTCAAGGGTGTGTTTGCCTTGCTGCGGGGTGACGCTATGTGCCTGCCTTCCTCGAATTGGTGGGGCAGTTGAGCTCCAAATTCGCCAATTGTTCCGGAGCTCCCCACACACTGATGGCACCCGCTTACAGTTGACGCCAGAACCCCCCCGCCAATTCCCCCCAAAACAGCACTGTCAAAATAAACTCAAATTGGTTCTTGGTGGTACCCTCCACAACGGGCTTGGCAAGACACGGAAGCAGAGACTTCGACAGCACATGAGTCACTGAAACAAATATATTGGGAGATTATTAGAAATCAACATTGAAGTTGCGAGGCTCTTATTTTCGGAGGCAAAAGAAGTCAAGATATAACTAAACTGAAGGAAGATAGAGCTACGACTACGGTTCACCCTTTCGAAGAAACGCCCCTTGGCCTTGTTACTCCAAGACTTGCTCTCGAGTGGCATAACACTAAGTTACGTCAACGGTAGCGTAGTGAATATCCTCTACCCCGGGAGTGTACTTCATACTCTGCAGGTCCGCAGCATATGAATTCACACAATTCCCTATCGAAGATAAGATTTTTCGAGATGCAATTGAATCCCATCCCTCCGATCCAGCGCGGAGATGAGACATGGACCGGTGTTACGTCGGCAATGCGAACGGCCGAGTCGGTTATCAGATCGATCCAACGCTCCTGATAGAACAAATTTCGTGCTAGCCTTAACAATTTTTCGAATTAAAATTGGGCAACCCACAGTGCGAGACCTTACTTCCCCTCCCATCCTCGTGCCTCTCTCGTCATTGGTTCGGGGAATGCAAGGACACTGCAAGCAAGCACTGCAATTGCAGACTAGCTTTGTTCTCTTCCCAATTACCCACGTTGCCATGTTCAATGCTCTCCGGGGGCTTTTGGAAGCGGAGCGAGCTGTGTTTAGCCCGGCCATTAGCTCGGTAATTCGAGTTTAGAGAGGCTCAACCAGGTACACTACTTGGAGTGCAGATACCTCAATAGTGCATAGAGAGAGACGGACGTATCGGTACTTGGGAGGACCCCAGGGAGCGTTCAACGGGAAATACAGTGTATCAGATCCTTTTTCTACACGGTATGAAAACTGGGACCCAGCGCCCAAGAGAACGAACAGAAGGGCAGCCTGTCTTCCATTGGCTCAATTCCTCGGGACTATGATGCAGCTTTCCCCACCCATGCCACCCTCGCCCTTTGAGAAACAAAAATCGTGGACGTCCTCAAGTCGCCATTACTAAAAGAGCTTCTTTTGCTCTTGCCACACTTTTTCCCCCCCTTCCAATTCACCATCACATATCTACAAAGCATCCTCACACTACCACATCCTCTCCTTTTCGACGTCTCTACCATACTCAATAACTACTATCAAATTCCGCCAATAATATCGGCCATCGAAAACCATCGATTTCGTGCATTTAAGCGCTCTTAATCGCGATATAAAAAACTGCCCCCGGTCACCGATCTCCTCGGAGACTGCCAGCCCTCGCTCACCAATCCCTCAGATCTGATAACTGTATGTTCCAAACACCATCTATGTGATCCATTTTCCTTACCATCAATCTGGTAAACCAAATCAGACTCGATTCTAATTATTTCGTCTCGATACCTCTCTTTAGCGCATTCAAAAATGTTGTCGCGCGGCCTTCGTCTCGCTCCCCGAGCGTTAATTGCGTCCTCGATCCGACCCTCCGTCTCGATTTCCCGACACCTCCCTCAGTCCGCCTCTACGCCGTCTGTCTCTCGGTCGTATCATGAGAAGGTTATCGATCACTACGAGCGACCGCGAAATACGGGCTCGCTGCCAAAGGGAGATGTCGATGTCGGCACGGGTCTCGTGGGAGCTCCTGCCTGCGGCGACGTCATGAAGCTCCAGATCCGTGTAGACCCTGACACCAAGGTCATCTCCGACGTTCGATTCAAGACCTTTGGTTGCGGTTCTGCCATTGCTTCGTCCAGCTATCTTACTGAGCTCGTCAAGGGCATGACTCTCGATGAAGCTGCCCGTGTAAAGAACACGGATATCGCCAAGGAACTCTGCTTGCCTCCCGTTAAGCGTAAGTCCTCGCAGTCCTGATATTCTCAACACATTATCTGGGGCACTTCTCTTCCTCGTCTTCGTCCGTCATGATCCATTTCTAACTGGCGTACACAGTTCACTGCTCTATGCTCGCCCAAGATGCCATTCAATCCGCGATATCGAACTACTACACGAAGAACCCAGAGGCCCGGCCTACCAATCTCGGCGGAACTGAAAAGAAGTTGCATGAGGCTGGCGGAGCTGCGGCCTCTGCTGCTTAAAAGAAAAATTGAAATCCCCCCCCCAAAACAGCCGGGATCGTCAATCCTCAATTCCCCTCGTCGACATCCCTGGCCGGGACATTAATGTCCCGCACATATTTTACTCTTTCTGAACTTGTTTTCGGTGCTTCCTCGTTGGCGCGGTGGCACAAAATGTAAATGAACCCATGAGATGGAAAGGAGGTGATCGAAATTCGGTTGAAGGCGTTATGGAGCTATCGTGCTTTTTTTTTTTTTTTTCTCTCTCTCTTTTCCCCGCACTTGAACATGTACGAGATTAGAATTGGTGGGTGCCTTTCAGCCTCCGTTTTTTTCAGCAGCAGCATGAGAAAATTGAATCACTCAACTGTGTAATTATTATTCCATGGAAATAGTAACTTCGCCGCTCGTACAAGTACTTAATTTGCAGTTTGCGGCTGGATCGGTGATATGTATCAATTGCCCTTTCTCCGATTCTCCGAGGATGCAGACGCAGTTCGAACGCGAAATACGGCATGTGGCTGGTCTCCCTCTCAAATACGGCGTCCCGTCCGAAACTTCCGGTATGGCAGTTGGACTTTGCGATTGCAAATAGCTTCCCTCTTCCCCTGAGTGCCTCTAACACTACATACAGTATCTCGCCAGCTCCCTGGCTTGCTGGAAATCTGGGGTGTGGGTGTAAATTCTGCATTCATGGGGTTGTCGAATTGAAAGCGGAGCTTACTGCACCGCTCTGTTCATATCATTCTGTGAACACGGTATTCAATATTCAGTTGGGGTTTCCTGGGCGCCGGGTTGCAGTCTTCAGAAGGCAACATGAGACGAAGCAGAAAGTTGATGGCCAAGCTGCTACACATTTTAGTATCAATTAGTGTTCATTTTTCTCCTGATTGTGTTGATATGTCATCGATTGATGCGTGCCGGTTCTCTTGCTTTTACCACTACCGAATTTTAGACGTTTACCTGAATACAGCTCAGTCTGCTGGTTGTGCCGAGGTAGCTGGTTGCGCCAGTTATTCCAGAACTGCGGCGGTCCAAGGTATGCGGATCCGAGACAGCGAACATTAGATTACCTTGGCAGGAGCCTCATTCGAAGGAATATAGCGAATTTTGTTAATCAAAGGTTTAGAATTTCCTTCAAACTCCGTAGAGGGCTTGGCAATGGGTCTCTTCTCATATCCCCGTGTTAGACTAATCGCAGTCTTACCAGTGTGGTGACTCAAGTTTCCCAGCACTTCTTCTTGAACATCATCCCACTCTACCGCATCGACCTATCCTCCGAGTAAACGACTTTTCAGTATCTGCCCCTTCCACTACTCTACAAGACAGCCTTTGCGAGCCGGCCATGGAAGCCAAACCCGACTGCAAATTCACACTCAGCCCGACCAAGTTCCTTCATCGTCCTGGCATCCAGACAGAGCAAATAGCTTGCTCGGTTACTGCCGTCCAGAACCACAGAGAGTAGTACACCATCGTCCTCCATCTCATCTTCCAAAGCACCAGATCGTGGACGTGGGCAATAGATGGCTTCGCCGGGGGTATGGCCCGCGGGACCTTGCCACATGAGGACTTCCCGCGTCTCGGTGTCGGTCTTTATGATGCAGTCGAATAGGGTACTGAGGCCCCGACTTGAGACGCTGTAGACGTAACGGTGGCGGCGAAGAGAAAACTCCGGGTTAAATGTCGGCAGCTCGCCGGCATGCGGAGCCGGAATCTCGAGGATGGGCTCGATCAACTCATCGTGAGAAGCCACACCTCCCTTACCGCCGGAAACGCCCTTCGTCGGGAATCGATATCGCACCAGTCGCGGGTGCGCATCAGTCTTCCGGCTGCCTTCTTTCCAGAATTCCTCGGTAGCATTGTTGCGGTTGAGCATGACGTCGTAATAGAAAGCTTTGAGGATGTCACCGCTCTTAAACTGAACAAACTCACAAATCACATCTCCATTCTCTTCAAACGAATTTGTCGAGTGAAAGAAGAACGCCCCCGCTGTTTTGAACTCGGCAACAAGGCCCTTTCCCCCCTTCCGGTCCACGACGAGCCACCGACAAGGCTGTGTCGCGTCAAAAACAGAGGCGTCCATTAGGTTACCTTCGAACGGGATGGTGGCGCCGCCATACTTATAGTGGACCGATGGAACGCACAGCATAACATAGCTGGGTGTGAGGAAGAAACTATGGATATACGCCGGTTTCACATGGCTGCTGGATATTGTGGCGAGAATCTTGACCTCCCCAGTCGCAGCGACAATCTGGAAAATCCGGTAAGTAGCGTTCCGTCCGAATTCCATATTGAAGTTGAAGAAATCCCCCGTATCAGGGTCACGTTTTCCGTGGGCGGCGGAAACAGGACCCTTGAGATCGGGGTGTAATTTCTTCTGGCTCACGACTCCGATAGGCTCAAGGGTGGCAGGGTCAATTTCAGAGAAGACGGCAGCATCGGTAGCAAGGAAGACGTTCTTTGCCGAGGCTCGATGGCCAAGATCAGCCAGGCCATTGGCGGCGACGGGCGGTACTGGTTTGGCCGATTCTAGTGATGACGATGATGCGGAGAGAGCTTTCTTGCCGACGAAATCGGGGCTTACAGTCACGCATATATTTGCCAGATTCGATGGCCGTCGGAACATGCTCATAAATTTTCCAAACATGCCGACACAAGGGTCGGCCTTTTGAGCGAAAGACATGCTCCTGTAAGTGCCATGACGCTTGATGTCCTCCATGACATGGTCGGATTGGCGGCGAGAGGAGTAAAAGACACGGACTTTGGGACCCGACGAGTCCGGATTGGGCGTACCGTCACCAATAGGCACAATCTCGAATCGATGTGTATGGGCAAGGCCGTCAAACCAGTGGGATATGTAAACAGTGCCTCGGGGCGTGTCTTCAACTTTGCAAATGCCCGGTCCTGTACGGTAGAGACTCCCAGCAGCCCAGATGGGGATATCTCCCTTGATATTCGGTTCAATGGGACCTCTGTGTTCCGTAAGACCATCGAACTATGGGTGCCATATGTCAATCATCAGCAAACAACTCTCACGCATTGCTAGCAAGGAAAGGAAGGACATGACACTTACGCCGGCATCGTTGGGCCAGTCCTTGAAAGCTTCTTGTTCTAGGTTCTGGATGATCTGCTTGCTGTTCGTTGCTTCATCACCGGACGTGAACCGCACCGGATTGGCGGCAGGTGTTGAGTCCATGGTTCTCTGGTCCAAGGCAGGGTAGGACCTCGAGAATAGAGCGGAAAGAGATGAGCCTTTTGTTATATACGGCGCTGTTAACCTCGCAGGGTGTCTTACACGCGAAGTGTGAGACCGATATGGCGTGGTGAAATGACGGTGATCCAGGCACTGGAAAGTGAGGTTAGAAGGCACGAGGAACGTGTAATGGGAGTAAGAAAATGAAATGTTTTGCTTTATGACGATGGGAAAAGTTTGGAGACCAAGGTTCCTGGTCATTGAAGGTCAGGTCCTAGATAGTGATTGAGGTCCTCATCTGAAAACCCAGGGCTTGAGCTGCGTTCGTTCCGACGAAGATGGTGAAGAGAGCACGGCTATTTATATTCATCGGGGAGGGTGGTAGCCGCGCATTGGGGAACAGACGCCAAGGATGGAGATATTATCAGTTGACTCACGAGCAAAGCTTGAAGTTGAATTTCGTGACATGTAAACGGCAGCCGACTTTTGACGTGATACTACGAGATTCTGGAAGGGCGGTTGTTTTCGCACCGCGAACGTCATTGTAGCGCCCTGTGGCCACGAACTACAATCCTTCTTTCCCTTTGAGGACACGCGGAAATCATCGCGCGAGTTGAAGTAGGGGCATCTAACCCCACAAATTGCCTGGAGGCTGGCACTCAGCTGAGGGTTGCTGGAACTCCCCCCGCGAAGTTGGCGGGTTCTTTCCGAGGTACAGGGCTGTTGGAACAGGTGCAATTCCTATTGAGTCAAGATCAATCTATGTAGTTGCCAAGGTATGTCTGACATGTTCGCATTCGCACCCGCATCTTGAGACTGCCATTCAGTACTACTAGCGGGCAGGATTCGTAATAGAACATCACTTGTGTGGATGACAAGATCACCATTTGAGTCTTGGTGGGTGAGAACGCCCACATGCGACCGAACCCCCTGTCTGGAAACTTCCTATTATGATCGTCTGCATTTGATCTCTCCTCTCTTGAGAGGATGGTGCGGAAACGCTCCGTCTTACTATCGGAAAAGATTAATTGGTGCAGAGTGACGAATACCGAAGAAGTAAGTCTATGGCCTGGTAAATACCATCGCTACACGGCGCAGTTGCCAAATTAATTTGATCTCGCACTGGCGTATCTGGGGTAATTGTCCCCTTCATAATTTCTTGCACGGTGAAGTTCAGAGTTCTTCATTTGATCCAATCTTCGTCGGAAGAATAGTAATCAACGCCGACCATAGCTCGGCTCCTGACGATGGTTAACGTCAGCCGTGGCTGGTGAAAGAATCAGCACCGCTCCGCGAGTCCGAGTCCGAGTCCGAGTGCGAACCCGATCAATATGTATGGAAATTCTCAAATCCCGAAGCTTATTAATTTTTGTGTACTCTTATTTTGGAGATCTCAAAACCTTGACGGCGGTCTGGATATCTGGAAACACTTTGACAGCTTTTCGGCTTCATATTAATACTACGTCAATTGATCAATTGATCAATTGATCGAATTGATCAGTTCCAAGTCCCATTACCGAGTCAGATCGAACAACGGGGTAGGATATATGATGGTTGTAATGGAAAATATAAGCAATCCCTCCAACACCTCGGAATTCTAGTATTTGGTTACACGTAATGGATGGTATCAACAAGGCTTTTGCCACTCCCCTCATGTTTCCCCGTCATTGATCTAAGATTACTTGATTTTAGACAATCATAGTTCGTCCTTGCCACCCGTCTTCTCCTCCTTGGCCTTGTTCTTCTCGGGCAGTTCCTTGGACTCCTCAGTCTTATCAGCCTTGGGTTCTTCCTTTGCCTCCTCCGCCGTTTCCTCAACGACACCCTCCTTCTTCGCTAGCACGTTGGCATCAATCTTAATGCTAATCACCCTCTCCGAGTTAGGGTTGGTCTTGCTGGGCCACGCGACGACAGCGCCATCCGCATGCGTGGGTTGGTACTTGCTGAGATCAGAGAATTGCTCTGCACGACGAGAGAACACACATTAGAAATTTCGTTTCACCAAGCATCCATGCACCACAAATAGCCCGAGAGCAGTATGGATAAGGTAAATGGAAACATAACGATGGCCAAGGGCACCGACGCGCGTAGTCCTCTCATGACCGGGGTAGGGGGTTCAGTCTCGGAAGAATGGCTTACCTTCGCAGTTGCTTCCTTCCGCAACCCAGAGAGGAAGAATCTCATAGATGGCGCCAGGAGCAAAGATGGCGACTTTTTCGCCATCCCCACTCCTGTCAACACTCTCCTTAACCTCCACAGTGCTGTCAATCGTATCGTCATCATCCTTGGGCTTCTGGAACACGGCAAAGAGGCCCTTTCCAGGTCCCTCTGTCCTCTCCTGCTCCTCGATCCATTCCCTGACCTTCAGAGGCATATCCGAATACTCCATCTTTAACAAGTTCCTGTCGTGGAGGTGGCGATCCCACCCGCCCCATCCACCAGGGTACTCGCGGCCGGTGAAGAATTCCTTCAGGCCAGTAGCCCAGGGACCCAGACCCAATGGAGGCTTGTCCATGAGCGTGTGAAGGGTGTATTCTTGAGCGTCAAACTTCTGAGACGCCTCGCAGGCGGCGTTGTAGTTGGCCATCGCCTCAGGCTCGAAAGGGTACTTCCACTTGAAGGTTTCGACTTTGGTCGGTTTCGGTGATGGCTTCGCCCCGAAGGCGTGGGCCGTAGAGGCCAAGAAGGCCAACATGGCGGCGGCTGCGTCGGCCCTCATCGTGAAGTGTAATCTGCTACTTTCTCGACTCCAGTTGAAGCTATTAAAATATGGGTGAGAAAGCGGTTTTTCAACCGGTGCCTAGCTTGCAATCCTGTCCGAGTGTGACAGAAAAAGAAGATCCAAATCTGCACGGAAAGATCAAACGAATGAAATATGATCAATGTATTCGATTGCCCCAATTTCAACGCGTTTTCAGGCTCACCAATCTAAGAAACGAGAGCAAGAAGATTAGAGAGGAAACACTTTATAAAACAAGGCAGGAAGAGAAGCTTAAGCTCTCGCTTCTTTATACCCTGGACCTCATGAGAAGAGGCCAAATAGCATATTTCACCAGTCCAGGTGCAAATGCATTGCTGTCCTTAATAACGGATCTATCATACTCCGGAATTCCCATCTCGGAAGGCCTCCCGTAGCTCTTCCCCAGGAAAATGGAGCCAAGATGAAGGCATGATGGGTGGATAAATGCATCTGACGGGCCGTTGATATTAAATCCAGCAATGGGAGGAAATTGGAGCTGCCCATGTTCCAATTCATTCCTTATTGGGACAATTGGCCCACATCGCTCAAGGGATTGCTGCGACGTCAAGAATACAATATATTGTACTGAGCCTGGTGTGATTAGGATTAGTCAACTATGGAATCCGCACGTGACTAGCAAAGTGCGGTCCACATTATGACCTAGGGAACGAGCTTCATTAAGATCGCGAACGAGCACATTCACGGTTTAGATTGGAGAGCTCACCGCCTCCCTGAGCGCGTGGCCAGGAAGTGCGCGGGGGGTACGGCGGCTGCATGCGGCCTCGAACCTGGAACTCTTGCTCCTGCATACTGCATTGTCAAAAGGGCTCTAGCACGCTCCTATCCCCATCCGTCACGTCTCTTGCTCTCTCGTAGCTCCCAAGCCTCATTTTGCTGGAAGCTCCTCTCCTGTATTCCTCAATTCCTCAAATCAAAGGAAAATGTTGGCCCCGAATAGATATAGAAACATCAACCTATGGTTTTCGTATAAACAGGCCACGAAAGGGAAGGAAGAGGCTATGGGCGATCTTCCTGAGAGAAGTGTTCTCTCCTTCCTAGTCATGTCCGCGATTTCCCTTTTCCCAGACTTGGCGAGTTGCTCTTTCGATGCTCGTTATCCGTAAGCCCGACCTTCTAGAAGCGAGATATGGGCATCGAGGATTACATTTTTATTTAGTTAGTTCACCGACATGCGTGAAACCGTTACGAAAAGTATCGTTTCACCCCAGTGATCGACCTGATTGTGTTTCATCGCTCACCTGCGCTCGGTGTTCCTCTCTTCGCTCTGGCTCCGTCCGCTCAAGCCTATTTTGACAAGTCAGTGTCACACCCTAAAAGTAGCCTCCCTTTTGAGGAGTTAACGCAGCTTTAGACGCTTGGGAGTCTGCAGAATCGAAATGCAGATGCACACTCTGGGCGTAAGCCTCCACGGACATCACGGATATTCCCATGACCGGGAGCCTTCCCCTTTCTTTTTCTGGGGTCGGTAGGGCTTTTCCTTACATCTTGTCTCGCCTCAACGCAAGGGCTGACGGCATCTTTACCGACTTGGCTTGGATGGTTGCTGATTCCACACATGAAGAGGTATATCCTAGTTACAGAAGAGCGAAGGCCAGCTCACAGGCTGAGAAAAGCATTATATTTCCATGTGCCTACTTGATTCCTATGCTCAATGGTAGCATTGGTAGGGTAAGAGGAGTCTCAACTTCAGGTGACATCTGGAATTATAAATGGGTTTATCAATTCCTCATGGGAGGCGGCTCACACACCCAGAATTATCCGATTACTCTATCATGAAAAGACTTCGAGTGCATGCACCTCAGATTCACCGACGGCAGCAAAGCAAAACAAACAAATAGAGAAGCGGAGGGGTGGCGCTATGTCGTCAACTGCCGTGAGCATTCCCCGGTGCTCTCTCAGGCCAGTGCATGTCCCGCGACGTTCACCATCCACACCAGACGCTTGTAAGACTAGCCCTTGCCAATTGATCGACTCTTCGCCCGAGAATCTTCGCCCGAGAAATGAAGCCAAGCGTGCTGGGCTTTGGCTTCTGCCTCTCACCCGTTTATGGAGTGCAGTTCGCTTCCAAAGATCCGAGGCCATGATCTTCTCCAGTCACCTAAGCCAATCGTGCTTGCATTTCTCACCAAGTGGCGAAGCATTCCTTGATATGCCTTCGGAGTATCAAAAGAATCATGGGAGAAACAATCCAAGCAGGGACACCCTGACTCAAAATTAGAGAGGTCGTACGTGCCCAGCCCTCTCGTCTCAACTGCTTCAAGGTAGTGTTAGAACACACTATCTAGTGTAGTTCCCCCCGACGAAAATATTGGCATCGTGAATCTACGAGGACCTCGTTTGAACGAACCTTTGCGTCTGCTTCATCGTAGCATAACTTAAAATTCAATTCACTTGATATTGCATTTGCAAAGTATTCCAAAACGTCGGTGGGATATTGCAGCGAATTGCCGAGCCCGCCTACAACCTAGAACCGGACACCTGGTTTTCGTTGTCCACCGCCCCCCTTCGCTTCAGCCCCAGAGACGGCCGGTTCTATACCGATCCGCTCCGAGAATGGAAATGGAAGACTTAGCGAGGCCCCTTTTCGCCGAGGATGCGGTGGGAATGCAGGGAAACGCATCAATCCTTGAGGACTCCGGTAGTGCAGAGAAAACTTCCAGGTTCTCCACTACTATGGCAAGCACATCCTAATCCGTTTCTCCAGAATCAGAAACGAAATATACGAACGAGATGGCATCTTCATATCGGCGGATTCCGCCAACCCCATCCCAAGCAGGGTAGGGCTGGAAAGAATATTTAGAGAACGTCCGACGAACACTATCCGAACAACCCATGCCCTTGCCCACAACCTTCCTGGGGAGTGTCGCAGAAGTGCGTTGGGCATGTCGCGATAACATCAGAAAGGTGTTCAAGCCTCCAAGCTAAGCATTGAGTATCCAGGAGTGCCCCCTTAAAGCAATTGATTGTGTCCCTCAATTACTCGAAAATTCCATTTGTAAAGACGCGGGTTTCCGTCAAAGCTGTTCAATGTGCCACAGAACCCGGCATTTCTGGAAAGATGGCACAAACTTGCTGCTTGATCGCCATTCCGGCAAAACTGCTTCCTCATGCAAGCTGAACCCCTGGGCGAGTCTGTGCGAAACTTTTTCTGCATCCCCGCGCTGTGATGTCGACCGGTGTCATCCGAAAACATTTCCAAGATGCCGTGCCAAAAGGCCAAACCTTAATTTTATCGGCGGATACGACTTCAGGATAGGTCCAAAGACAGAGTTATAAGAAATAGAAAAACAAGAAGAAAGAAAAAAAAAATCAATAGTAAAGGATGTTGAGAGGGATCAGCGGAAGTAAGTCGGCTTAGACAACATCATGATCAGAGAGGATGAATCCTCGTATCCTGATCATACCTTGCACCCCGGATCTCACTGCGACCGACACATTGTCGCGACTGCACTTGGTGCAGTCCACGCTCTTGGTCGTGCCGGATCGTCGTCAATCGTTTCTCGCGTTTTGGCCACTGGACCCCCCTTTTGGCCCCCCTCCCCACCTTTCATTTGAGCATTCTCCACGGGTAGAATGCGGAGAGAGGGCATCCACCGAGAACATTGAAGGCATGGAGGCCGGGAGGGGATTGTGTGCGATCTTCCTGGGGTAAGAACATACAAGGTCTTCGCACGGGAGGTTCCTCGAGTGTTGCTCTTCCGACTCTTCCTCTCAAGCCTTCGTGAACGGCTCTTATTATAGCTCGACCTCCCTGTTAACCCGTCGATCTGATGAGCCTTTCTTTCTCCACCCATTCTCTCGTTTGGTTTAGGTCTGTCCTTATTCCTTTCTCTTAAATGCCTTTTCTCTTTGTCTATCGCTTCAGTCTAGACGCGACGACCTAAGGCGGTTCTCTATAGCTTCATGCTTCCTGGCGCTTCGGATACGCCTCTGGTTGGTGACCGTGCTCACCAATTCACCTACACTCTCTACGGTTCTCACTACATTCTCTCGTTTTTGCCGCAGGTGGCTCGGGAGAAAGGACAGGGACTGCCAGGCAGTTCAATCTCATAGAACCTCCAGACTCCTGAACCTTCTCCACCTAAGCGAGTCCTCTGACCACCATCGACTTATGCAACGAAACTGAAGCCTGTCTCTCCATCATGGCGGTTCCGGCCCCTATCCGAGGCCGCCAGATAGCCTTCTTCCCAACACCCATCCTCCCCGCGAATCCAATACTAACACCGACGTCGACCACGACATCCACGATACCTACGATGCCTACGGCCTTTCAATCGGCAGTCGTAACCTCTTCCGCTTCGGCTACCGGTGCAGCGACAACAACCTTCATCCCCATCATAGTTAATGCGGCGACGTCTTCGATAGATGCTGTGGTAGAGAGCGAGGTCCCAGCTGCGACGGTTCCGAGCAGCGTCCCTCCGGGAGTGGATCTTGGGCCACTGTTGAACTTTACGACGTGGCTAATGACGGGACTCGCGTTTGCCATTCTCATGCTTAGAATATACTGCAAAGCCTCGAGGAAGAGGCGGCTCTGGTGGGATGATTATGTCCTTTCACTGGCTTGGGTAAGTCAAGGCGAGATACTCTTCTTTGCGCAATTCACATAAACATTATGCTTTACCCTTCTCACGACTTCCGTTTTTTAAGCTCTTTGCTAATAGCATAAATGTTCAGATATGTCTCGCAGTAGCCGGGACGATGACTACGGTGTCCGTGAACTTCGGATACGGGCGTCACCTCGATGCAATCGCGAAGGAGGACTTGGACAGAATGCCCACCATTGCCAACGCAGCTGGCTTCACCTCCGTGCTCGCGGCAATGTGGAGCAAGACATCTTTCGCGCTGACCCTGGCGCGCATCTCGGAAGGGTGGATCTTCCGCTTGACTTGGATAATCATCGTTTCGATAAATCTCATTATGGGGTCCAGCGCAATAATGGTGTGGATCGATATGGACAATGACACGAAGATCAACTACTTTATCTTTACAACCGGTGAGTACGCCAAGAACAGGCTGTCGTGGCTTGACTTGCCGCGAAAATTCGCACATCTTGATGAGGACGTCTCTAACGGAGTTGATATATAGCTTATTCGGGCGCAATGGATGTTCTTCTGTCAATGCTCCCGTGGAAGATCATTTGGCATCTCCGGATGACCAAGAAGGAGAAGATAGGAGTGCTTGTTGCTATGAGTATGGGCGTATTGTAAGTTTCCCTTCAGGCAGTTAACACCGTTCCCTCTTCAAGTTGCTTTTTCGGTTCGGTCGACGCTAATTTTCCCCTTTTCTTCATCAGTGCTGGAGCCACCTCGTTCATAAAAGTTAGCAGAGTGCCGACTATCAATTCTCCTGATCCAAGTACGTTGTGTATATTCGAGCCATGTTCCAGAGACCAAGAGTTGACGCGAAGCTAATCTGACCTGTCTCGCGGTTATAGTCGACAGTGTCCAACTCGTCATCTTTGGCATCGCCGAGAGCGCCACAACCATTATCGCGGCATCAATACCCGTCCTCCGAGCCCTCATCCATGAGGGCAAGTCTCAGCGCCCCAAACATCAAGCGCCTATCGAGCTGGACTCAATTAGCTCGAAAGTGCCCCTGAGGAGAGCTGGTAGCGTGGCGACGGACTACTCGATCCAGGACGATGTTACCCACTACAATGTTCCGGTCCGAATCGACTCGCGATGAGCGCTGAAGCACGGATTCACTCACTGTGTACGACTATACTCCCGAAATTGGGCGTTGTTTTTATTATGACGATTATTACTGTCGTTTTTTATTTTCTTTTTGAAGAAGCCGGATATCATGACCAAGTCCGGAGATCCAATGGAGTTGGTTTGAAACAGCCACACAACAAACCCATTTGCCAACAGAGCGAAACTTACGCGAAAGAAAAACCAAGAAAAGCCGAAAAAAAAAAAGAACGACCGATTGTGCGAGATATACTGCTTGAGTTTTGGAGTTAATGTGTGTTAGTCTTATCCCGGTCCTGTACGATCATGTTTGGAAGCGTTCGGGTCTCTTTTTGACCTTGATGATATGGAGTGGTTAGGAACATTGAAGCATTAGTTTTTTTTTTCCTTTGCTTTTTGGATTGGGAATGAAGAGGAGTCATCGCTTTGGTCTGGGTTTTCATGGCATCCGGGATTGATTTCAACCCTTGTCGGAGGAGGATGAGGTGTGTGGCGAAGAAAAGGCCGTCGTTCCTGGTTCCTGGTGTTGGGTGCTGGAAGTTATTCACGGCAGTGTGTTGTGAGTTGCCTCTCGCGATGCCACGAACTACTGATTTGATCGATCAACATGGGCCTATCTTGCGGGTTTGACTTGATTAAGTTTTATGCTTTCTTTGTCCGATAACGATGGCGAGAGCCTGCCGAATTGACTGATATTCCAACCCCAATTGGTCCTGCAACTGGTCCCGGTGACAAGATGCCACGGCGCGTGGGATGGGATTCAGATACGATGATGAATCGTTTCAGCGTGAATGAACTCAACATGAAGAATTTCTGGCATCTCCTTTGGCCCCCATCCAGCCCCGACTGGCCTTGGAGGTTTGGTGAGTCGTACAGGGATGGGATTGGACAAGTAACATTACGCCCACAGGTTAGATCCGGAGCAAGACATCGCATTTTTGCCGATGCCCGGATTTAACATAGTTTGGGATGTCTGAGACTGAGAGGGAGCCCAGGGTCAAAGGTGCCTTGGCCACGAAATGACCAAATGACGCCTCGTGGCTGGCCAGTACGAGACATGACCTAAGTACCTTCGTAGTGTAGCGTACACTACATTGACGTCTGGTCCACTCCTTCATTGATTGATGAGCCAGTCATTTTGCGGTAGCCTTGAGTGTTTGAGTGTATTGTGACGAAATAGTGTATGAAGTACTTCGTAGTGTACTTCTATGGGGAGAAGCTGCAGATGCAAGCCCTCAACGGCCTTTGATCTCAGATCGATTCCCGGGGGGTGGATACCTACGCGTTCTTGATGAGAAGTGGACGTAAACCCCTTCCTCGAGATAAAATGATGGAAATGAGTTTTATTCAACGCGGTCAATGACGCGAACCTCATCAAAGGCCTCAAGTAGACCTGGAATGGCTGAATTGCTGCCCGTTGAAAAATACGGTTGAAACGTTGTGTGTGCCTTTCCGACGGACTGCATCATCTCGATCAATGGGAATGTTTGACGGGTATGTTGCAGTGTGGCACTCAAAGACGTGCGTCGCCATGGGGTACGTATACTTCGTTCTCCATATTTGATGCCATCGTTTTCGGGCCAACAGGGACGGGCCCTTGTCAGGGTCCACCCACCTGGATAGCAATGCAACAGTAATATAATACGACCAGGGACATACTGGTAAGCTACCACGATAAAGGGCGGCACCGCTCCGCTTTCCGATCTCCATCCCGATCGCGATAAGCGATTGGTCACATCGAATGGAAGGCGCCAAGATTCGCTCGGGACCGCCGACTTTGACGGAGCAAGAAAGAAAAAAAAAAAAAAAAAAAAAAAAAAAAAAAAATGAACAGGGAAAAAAGTTCCGTTTCGGGCCGCCCGGGTATGACATCGGAGTCCATCTTCTATCGCGCTATGAATATGAAAATGAAAATGAGGAGGGACGTGGACGTGGATATTTTGCCCATTGATCAAAATAGTATCGTTGGGAGCGAGTTACCGAAGAGGCACCTGCAGTTTTAGGATGTACACGAACCAGGGTTCTCGAACTTTGTGTTCTGGGGCTAGCTAGTTTACTTCGTGCTTTAGTCGAGAGCCACAGTTCGGCGGGGGTCAAAATAATTTGCGAAAGGCTTTCGCTTTTCAAGATCCGACTTTGAAAGTCAGCATTGAACTTTGTTTGCTGTGGTAGTTTACTTCATCCTTGGTCCGTTCTTTCCCATCCCCCGCAGGCCCGGTTGCGGTACATTCCTGTACTCGCTGGTACCGACATGCCGGTGACGATTTGGCCTGGGCCAGGCTTCTCCACCCTCCTCCGTCCAAGTGCCACCGCTCCCAAAGGAAATTGATAACTGACAACATCCAGACCCAGGCTGCTGGTGGTAACTTGAAATGTCCGATGGTAAAACGATGGCGTCTCCGTGGCGGCGGAGATTATCTGGAAAGCGAACAAATGCTCCATCTTGGGATTTGACCGAAGGAAATGGTGATGGTGTTTGTCTCAGTTGGGCATCCAACTGGTGGTAATAAACCCCTTGTACCGAGGAGGAGGCGTTGGGATTGATACTTCGTACTGATCCAAGAGAGCAATGCCCGGCCGGGATAGTCGTCTGTTTGCACAAGAAGAGTAGCACCATGCCCCGTTGACCGTACCCAGGTTGGTGGGACGTCCGAAGAGGGACAGCAACGTGTTGTCGATGTGTGGACTGGCTTCAATGTTTGTGTGTTTTCCGACCATTTAGGACGTCGGTGGTGTTGATGGACACGGATGCTCATGCTCGATCTAGTCCTGACTTGGACAATTGCAGGGGGAAGGAACGGGCTAGGCTCGTTTTTCTTCGCCCTCCTTGCACTCAGCACGCCACCTGCCTTTCGCCATCTGTGTGTGATCAAGGTGGCTAATAACGGTTTTCCGATGACCGCCCCATCGTCAAGAGTGGACGAAGGAGTTCACCGTCACTGTCCGCCCCCGCAGCCCGAGTTATCTCGAGTTAAGATCACTTCGTATCTATGACTGCAGCAGGGTCGCCAGGTAAACTAATCTACTTGTAGAAAAGTATTCTCAAGAACTACCTTTGTAGAGTTCATAAAAAGACCGACTCCGTATATAAACTACTTATTCTTCAGCGCGGGTTTAAACTCCAGGGTTCCCACCTGCCCTGTTGATTTCAAGTCTCAAGGGTTGGTGCTTCCTCCGAGAAAGTGTACGAACCGTGTGCCATGAAATCAGATCTTACTTCGTACTTGTACGAGGCGGTACTCGAAAGTACGACTGGCCTCTCCCTTGGTTGAGGGGTCGACTCTCCCTGCTACTGGTCCACTATTTCGCGCTAGCACAACGGCTGGGGAGGCCCTTGGATGCACCTTCGTGTCCTGGTCCCTGGTCTAAGCTTCGCCTGGACTCGCTCGCCCCTGCCACACGAGGTGACCCATCCGGTCCCATGCACAACCACGATCAACAATTGTGGGTAATCCCGCCTAATCTGCCTTTGGAGTTTACGAAGGTTTAGCACTGACAACCAGCGAGCGTATTTCCTAATTGGTCAAGGCACTCGTGGCCGACCAGTGGCCCCTTTGCACTTCAGATTAGTAGCAGTGTACTTGGTACGGTGGAGTTGTATTGTTCAATTAAGGACCAGGACCCCCGACGGCACTGGCAAAATTCCATTTCGGTCTTTAATTCACTTGATCTCAGCCTCTCCTCCAGCTGCTCATCCCATCTCCGATTTTTACAAACCCCCTCCTCTCGCCCTCTCTCTTCTCAAGCACGAGTAGAACGCGGCAAATCATGAGGCTTCATTGCAAGTGCTGACTTTTGTTCTCTCTTGCCTCCGCTTCCGGTCTTCTATCTTCGATTTTCACGCCAGATGGTTTGAAAAATGAATTGGTCGCCGCTGCTGCTGGCGAGAGTGGTTCGTCATCCCTCCGACCCCCAACCCCCTCTCTGCCTCTCATTCATCTGAGCTGGTCTCCCTCGATACTCGCAACCCCATGCTTGCTGCATACCCTCTCTTCCCGTCCGCTCCATACTTGTATTCGACGTGCTTCATGAAACTATTGCGACGTGCTCTTCACTTTCCACTCTGAGACTACTCGAGGCGAACCTTGGTCTCACTCAACTTAATGAGATGCCAACGAGACAGGTGAAACTAACATCTCGCGTAGAACCTGAATATCAGCGAGGAGAATGATGGCAGAATCGGGTCTGCGCAAGACAACGCCACAGGCACCGGAACGCTGAGCAAAGTCAAACTCGAGCCAACAAATTCAGCCTCTCTCGCCTCTCTCTTCAGTACACTCGTTCCAGTTCTTATCTACGCTGGTGTCTGTGTCCTCATTTTTTGGTGTTTGCGCCACCGCCTCCCTCGTGTTTATTCCCCCCGGACCATCCTTACGAGTCTTCTTCCGCAGTATGTAGCCGTGCCCCGCCCGCCTTGGTTCCATTTTCAGATCCCGACCCTATCACCCCCAGGAGCCTGCCTCCTCTGTGCTCCTCCGTTGCTGACGTGTGCGCGCTCGTACCTCTGCCGTTCTGTTACAGAGAACGTAGTAGCCCTCTCCCGAAAACATGGTTTTCTTGGGTTAAACCTTTCTTCCAGATCGAAGACACCATCGTCCTACATCATACTACCCTCGACGCCTATCTATTTTTGCGTTATTTGAAGATCCTATCTCTCATCTGTCTTGTTGGCTGCTTCATAATATGGCCGGTGCTCTTACCCCTCCACGCCCATGGCGGCGGAGACAGCACGCAGCTCGACCGTTTGACCATTGGTAACGTCACTAAGCCTTACATGTATTTTGCTCATGTCATGGTTGCGTGTTGCTTCTTCGGTATGTTGTTTGGGGATATTTGATGTTCCCTCTGCCTTCTTTCGGCATCGATGTGCTCTTGCAGGAGGAGCTCCTAACCCCGACCCCGCGCTGGACGACGTCTTTGCGTACTAATAACCACTCCAGGCTTCATCATCTTCACGATATATCGCGAATGCATTTTCTACATCAATCTTCGCCACGCTTATCTACTATCCCCTTACCAATCAAAACGCCTATCCTCAAGAACCGTCCTATTTCTCTGCGTTCCTGAGAGATACCTCGACGAAGCCCGATTACGAAAAGTCTTTGGTGATGGCGTAAAGAATGTCTGGATTCCGAGGAATACAGACGACTTTGAGAAGCTTGTCAAGGAACGAGATCAGACTGCTAGACGTTTGGAAAGGGCCGAGATTCGCCTAATCAAAATGGCAGATGCGCGGCGAAGGAAGCAGGCCCAAGCTAATAACGCAGATTCCCCTGCTCCACCTCCTACGCCACGAACCGCCGAGCCAAGTGCTTCTCATCTCGAGCAAGACGACGTCGAAAAGGCTGTTCCAAGGCTTCCAGATGTGAACGGATCGGTTGCGGCACAATGGGTCCGAACGCCCGAGCGACCACACCATCGTCCCCTCGCCAACTTCTTCCGTCGAGTCGATACGATCAAGTGGACCCGTAATCGCCTCAAAGTTCTGACGCCAGCCATCCGAAAGATGAAGCGCGGGCTCCTAGCTGGCGCTGGAAAGCCTCTGCCTGCCGCATTTATTGAATTTACGACACAAGCCGAAGCAGAACGTGCCTACCAAACGCAAACCCACCACAGCCCTATGTACATGTCGCCGCGTTTCATCGGCATCCGACCGGACGAGATTATCTGGAATGTACTCAATATGGGGTGGGCGCAGCGCATTGTTCGCCGCTTTGCCGTCCTTGCTGGCATCACAGCCGCCATTATCTTCTGGTCATTTCCTGCGGCCTTTGTTGGTGTCATGTCTAACATCTACTTTCTCGCCGATACCTTCCCTTTCCTTAGCTGGATTACGAAGCTTCCCGCCGCCATAACGGGAGTTCTCCAAGGCTTCGCACCAGCTCTTGCACTCTCATTGTTGATGGCCGCAGTGCCATGGATGCTCCGAGGTTCGTCTCGCTTTTCGGTCCTGGGGACGCTCGTTCTCCTTGTCATCAGAACATACGCGAGGTGTTCTGTAACTAACCCTTTTTATAACTTCCAGGTTGCGCAAGAGTCGCTGGTATTCCGTCTCTGTCCATGATTGAACTTTTCGTCCAAAATGCGTACTTCGCATTCCAAGTCGTCCAAGTCTTCCTCGTCACCACCATTACTTCGGCAGCGTCTGGTGCCGTCACCGATATTATCAAGGATCCCCTTTCTGTTAAGGACCTCCTTTCGAAAAACCTTCCCAAGTCATCCAACTTTTACATATCCTATATCCTCATGCAGTGTCTTGCCGCCGGTGCTGGCAGCATGGTTCATGTCATCGAAATTGTAAGGCACCATATCATGTCAAAGCGACTCGACAGTCCACGAATGATGTTCAATGTGTGGCACCGAGTGAGAAGAATCCATTGGGGAGGGATCTTTCCCGTATTTACGAACATGGGAGTAATCGGTAAGCATTTCCCAATGCCTCAGCCAACGCCGGTGGTCTGCTTTACTTCGCCGCGCCATCACACCTCCCGCGGCGTAAATACTAATCGTTCCCAAAGCCATTAGTTATGCGTGCATCGCGCCATTGGTCCTTGCATTCGCGACCGTCGGTCTCTACGTCATCTATCTCGTGTACCGATACAACCTTCTTTACATTTATAACACGGAGATTGACACACGGGGCTTAGTCTATCCCCGCGCCTTGTTGCAGCTTCTTGTTGGACTCTACCTGGCAGAAGTATGCATGATAGGCTTATTCGCTCTCCGATCCGCTTTTGCGCCTATGCTTATCATGATAATATTCCTCGTATTATCGGTCCTTATTCACCTCTCCATTGACGACGCGATCAGTCCCCTCCTCTATAATTTGCCGCGAACCCTTCCGATCGAGAGTGAGGAGCTCGCCGGTGGGTGCATGCCCTTCGAGATCGGACAGAACGATGTCATCACCGGCCAACCTCCATCCCAATCGTCTCCCGCATCGAGCTCGACTCTGCGTCCGCATGATTCATTTGACGTGGTTGAAGATGACGATGGAAAGGAAGACATTGAGGAGAACATCACACCAAGAACCAGGGGCGGGGGCATACAGGTCGAAGGCGCGGAAGGGTTCATGTCCTCGATTCTCGACAATACGAAAGAAAAGGCCACTAAGCGCCTTCGGACCCATGCCGAAGCTTTGGGTCTTACAGGCGTGCTGGCATATTTTCAGTACTGGATCAAACCGGACCGGAACATACAGCCGAATTTTGTCCTCCGGTGGCTTCACCCAGGGATCTTTGAGGATTTTTCCACCCTCCAAAAGATGCTTCCGCCCGATATGCCCGATCCCACTGAGTCATATCCCCGGAATTATGCGCACGACGCATACTGGCCTCCCGTCATGACAACCCCATTAGAATCTCTCTGGATACCGAGGGACGAAGGTGGCGTGAGTCGGCAGGAAGTCAAGCACAGTGGGGAGGTAATTGAGATCACGGACGAAGGAGCGTGGCTCGACGAAAATGGACGTGTGAAGCTGGACTTTGAAAAGGCACCCTACTGGAAGCCTAGAATATTGTACTAACTGACGGTTCTATGGGAATTTTTTTTCTTGTAATTTTTGGACCAAATTGGTCTTGGTCTTGAGATATACCACAGGGAAAGATGCGAGGAGTTATCAGGCGTAGTGTAAGCGATCGGCTCTGTTTTGCATAGAGATAGAGTCTTAGGCGGCTTCGTGAATCCAACTCTTTTTTTTTTTTTTTTTTTTTTTTTTTTTTTTTTGTGATGAGATGAGTGAGATTGATACGACCTGCTTCATCTACGACGAAGTCTTGTCGTCCTGCAATACTTGATGTATAAATCCAAACTCGATCAGCTCCAGACTTGCGTCGACTCTGTGGTTTCTTATCGCTTATCGATAATGAATCACGCTAGCCGATAAGAACAAAAAATGTGGGAGAAAAAAAGAAAAAATTCGCTGGGGAAAAATTGGCAGAATCTTCCCCACCGCCAACCACCCTGCTCCCGTACTTCGTGGCTTCTCAGGCTGTAATTTTCTACTGAAATAGAAAATCTTTGACTATAATCCCCGTTAGTATTATTTGTCCGTTTGTTTTCCCACATCTCGACTCTGGCCATGCCTTCGGCGGAAAGCGTTGCGGTGATTACCGCGGAGGAGCCTGTTGTCGAGAAGGCCAAGAAGCAGAAGAAGGACAAGAAGGATAAGAAAGAAAAGAAGGAGAAGAAGAAGTCCAAGACCAAAGATGTGGAGACTCCGGATGTCGCCGACGCGACAAATGGTGAGACCGTTGTGAGCGACGGTCCAGAAGCTGAGGAGAAGAGGAAGAAGAAGGAAAAGAAGGAGAGGAAGAAGGAGAAGAAAGACAAGAAAGAAAAGAAGAAGAAGGCCAAGCAAGTCGAAGACAATACACAAAACGGCACTGAGACCGAAGACACCCCGATGGTCGATGCGACAGCTCAAGAGTCCAACAAGAAGAGTTCAAAGAAGAAGCGCAAGCACGACCAAGTCGCCGAAGACGCCGCCGACAGCACGAATGCCGCCGACTCCGAGTCCCGACCGAAGAAGTCCAAGAAGGAAGGGAAGGCGCGGAACGGAGTCGAGAGCAACGGCGCTGCCAACGGCCATGCAGCCTCGGGTGACACCTACACGCAGTCCGCCGCGCTCGACGCAGTCCCTCAGTCCGAGATTGACGACTTCCTCAAGTCCAAATTCGTCGCTATTGCCGACCCCACGGGTAAACTCAGCCATCTCCGCCCGATAGTGCAGTTCTCACACCTCCCTACCACCCGCCTCCTCGAGAAGTCTCCCTTCAAGGCCTTCAGCGCCCCGACGCCCATCCAAGCCGCCTCCTGGCCTTTCACGCTTTCTCACCGCGACGTCATCGGTGTTGCGGAGACCGGGTCCGGAAAGACTATGGCTTTTGCACTCCCTTGCGTAGAGGGCTTGCTTAGAGGTCCCAAGAAGCGAGGCGTTAAGGCCGTCGTCGTATCCCCGACCCGCGAACTTGCTATGCAGACCCAAGAACAAGTCTCCCAACTAGCAGGTCTCGTCGGCCTCTCCTGCGTGTGCATATACGGTGGCGCTCCTAAGCACGAGCAGCGAGCGCTCCTCGGCCGCGGCGCCGACATCATCGTCGCCACGCCCGGCCGTCTGAAGGACTTCATGTCCGAAGGCGTCTGCGATCTCAGCAACGTGCAGTTCGTCGTACTCGATGAGGCGGATCGCATGCTCGACACCGGGTTCGAGGAGGACATTAAGCAGATTCTCGCGGCGACGCCGCCTCGTGAGAAGAGGCAGACCCTCATGTTCACTGCTACGTGGCCCGTGTCGGTACAGGCTCTCGCGGCGTCGATGATGGTCGATCCTGTTAAGATTACGATCAGCAATGGGGCAGATGACCGGGCTGATGGCGAGCTGCAGGCCAATAAGCGTATTACGCAGCGCGTCGAGGTTGTGGACCCGCGGGCGAAGGAGGGTCGTCTTCTTCAGATTCTGAGGGAGTATCAGCAGGGCAGCAAGCGGAATGATCGCATTCTCGTGTTCTGTCTGTACAAGAAAGAGGCAACGAGAGTGGAGGAGACACTGTCTCGCAAAGGTATCCGCGTTGCTGGTATTCATGGAGACCTCAAGCAAGAGCAGAGGACTAGGAGTTTGGAAGCGTTCAAGGCCGGAACTACGAGTGTTTTGGTAGCGACTGATGTTGCTGCCAGAGGACTCGACATTCCGGAGGTGAAGCTCGTTATCAACTTGACGGTAGGTTTTCTCGTCCTACTCATATGTGTAACGAATACGCTGCTAACTACTCATTCGTTTAGTTCCCCCTAACGATCGAGGATTACGTCCACAGAATTGGTCGTACGGGACGTGCTGGAAAGACAGGCGAGGCAATTACCCTGTTTACCCTACACGACAAGTCTCATTCTGGAGAGTACGTTTCCCCCCAGCCGCCACCTTTATTCATTCTTTCGTTTTCTTTATCTGGTCTTTGCTAACTCAGATTCTAGATTGATCAACATTCTTAAGCAAGCTGGTCAGCCTGTTCCCGAGGATCTCCTCAAGTTCGGCACCACCGTCAAGAAGAAGTTGCATCCCGTATACGGAGCGTTTTACCGCGAGGTAGACACGACTAATGTTCCCGCCAAGATTGTCTTTGATGATTAGTCGGGAGACACTTCTTGCGCACAAATGTGTATAAAAGCAGCTGAGATAGACGGGGAAAAAAAGAATGGGTGGGAAGAAGGTATTATGTTCTATGGGTATTACTTTCTATTATGCTACACAGAGATGAAAGAGAACAATGGACATCATGTCGTTTTCGATTTGGAAGCAGAGGCCGATGTTGTGCCTCGGAGGGAAGAGTAGCATTCTATGAGGAATCTCCTCTCGGCGAATGCTCTATATCAATTTGTTAGTTACATATCGAGTGGTATAAAGAAGGAACGGGGAAATTTTGGGTGTGTGAGGTCAGGGATAAACAAAAAGAAAAAGGTTCACAGGGTACATACAATAGAGCTACTATCGGGATAGCTGTCGCTCCAATCACAACGAGTGACATGAAAGCACTTCCTCGCACGACATCCTCTGCAAGAAGAAGTGCCCTCCGGACAAGATACGGGGTGACCGCGCAGATGGCCACGGTCATCCCGCTAGGGCTCAGGCTAGACAGATCAAACCCGACACCTTTCTCTCGGAAATACCGCCCCACGAAGAAAGCGCACCACACAATTCGGCAGACCATATTCGCAGCATTGGCGCAAACCAAACCCACAGGCGGGTCCATGTCAAGGACGCGCAGGGCGGTGAACGCCGAGAGGCCGAAGACGACGGAGAACCCGGCCATGTAGGCGCTTTGGGTGTGGACCTGTGCCTCCGTGGCCACGGAGGCGACGAAGGCTTCCGAAACGCCGTTGAGGGCAAGGAGGGGGATGTAATAGCAGTAGGCGACGAGGGCCGGGGAGGCGCTGGCGGACCAGGAGCGGCCTGCTACGAGGGATAGAAGATAAGGGGCGGCTAAGGGTCCGAGGGCGACGACTATTGTAGAACCGAGGATATAGAATTTGAGAAGGCGGTGGAGATCGCTGCGTGCCTTTTCCACGGCGGGTTTAGTTGCTGCGGGCTCGTTTTGGCCGGACTTGCTTGGTTCCGCGGTTGTGCTCGACGAAGATGTCGATAGAAGGCGGCTAAAGTAGGACCTGCTGCTCTCTTCAATAGGCTGGAATAAGAGTCTAGCTAGCAGACCGCCATAGTTGTTTACAAGGGCATAGATGCCTTGAGCGTGAGGCGTCGAAAGGATCGAGACCAGGAAGGTATCTCCCTGGGTCAGGAAATGCTTCACGACACTCTGTGCCATCATACTCGACGCCAGACTTAATGTCGGCTGGTAGAAGTATGAGAAGAGATAACCGCCGGTAACACTCTTTGCCTTCTCGTCCTTGCTCCCGGTCTTTACACCAATCCGTCGCAGGAATATGGAAAAGTGATCGCGTGTGGCTAAACCATACCCAGCCCCGAGGTAGACGACTAGCAAAGTCGCACCGTAGGCGAGCTGTCCTAGGGCGAATGGGAGAACACCTAGATCCAGTCCGTTGCGACTTGCGTATATCGCAGAGCCAAGCGTGGCGCCGCATCGTAGGAATGCGCCGGCGGATTCAGCAAGGGCACGAGTACCGAAACGAAGCCGCACTTGCATCAGCACGAAGCATGGTTCGGACAGGAGTTCGAGAATAGCAGCGAGAGCGTATAGTCGTAGGGCTTCGTCAAAGCGCTCCTCGCTACCCTGACCGGAGGATAGATGCATGAACCAGCCCAGGACAGCAGTGACCACAGCGCCTAAGACGACGGCTAGGTAGCCCAGGTTCACAACCGCCTGCGCCTGCTCCCCATTCCGATCTGGCTCGGTAGACTTGGTCTTCTTAACGCGCTTGCTCTCATCACCACCAAGTTCGCCTTGCCTCTCAGACTCCTCATCGTCGGTTGAGATAGGTTGCCTCTGGATAGCCACCCGTAGGCTCTCCCTCGCAAAAAAAAGAACAGTGAGGTAGTATGCCTCTAGCCGCGCGGAAAGGCCCAGCAGAGGAGCCGTCAGGAAACGCAGTAGTAATTGGTTGGCGAAGAAGGTGAGAAGACGCGATGAGACCTGGAGGATGATGAGGAAGGACGCGCCGCGGAGGGCCGAACTGCCCTGCGGCGAATTAGACATCTGGCTCGTTGCGTCTGCGGATGTCTAGGTAGAGCGGCGCTGAATTGAATTGAGATGCCGCATTTACGGAGAGCTCGGGATGTCGTGGAGATTTGAGAGGAAAAGCTGGTGAGGAATCCTGATGTAAAATCAAGACGTGGCCGATTCCCTCACCAACTCGAGATCAATCAATTGATCAAATCGATCAGAGGGCGCTGAGAATTAGGTGGCGCTGTGGTACCATTAGTGGCATAATCATATTCTTACTGTGTGTGAAGGCCCCGAACCCCACCAAAAAAACTCTCGGTTGTCATAGATGCCCCAGGAATACAGTACAAACACTGTGTTAATTCATTCAAGAGCAAGTCTCAAGATCTAGAATGCGATCTCTCCCCTTCCTTCATCGCTTAGAACTGCCACTTGTGCCTCCACTTTCACCCACCTTCTTGAAGTATCTAACCTCGAAGGAGAGGTTTTAGCGAACCGAAATGTTATTCGATATCCAGGATGCTGTTGAAAATCGGAAGACACAGATCATAGCGGCAGGACTCGGTGATGGACTTGGGAAAGAAACCCCCATCCAAATATTACTTGATCAGGGAACGTATTCCGCCATTTCGTCCCAATTAGCACCGTAGGAGGTGAAAGATGCTGGAAGGAGTGTCTAGACTGGTCATATATCAAAATTGCCGGATACTGGTTCGAACATCCTCTGCTGTCTCTCCAATTGAAGTTTTTGGCAAATCTTGCTGGCGCAGAATCCCCGGGCCCATAGAAGCTTCCTCGAGGGGTATTTCAATATCCTTCCTCAGTCCTGCCGCAGAGTATTGAGAATACATCAAATCAATACAGTTCGAGGCCTTTGATCAGGACAAATACAACGAGTTGCTACAATTGTTAGTTCGGTACTTCAATGGTTCGAATAGGCTGCTGACAAATATGCAGATGCTCCATTCTCCTTCCATTGTCCATTGTCCTCGGAGATCTGCTTCGAGGTCTTCGAGGCTCCTTCGGTTTCTGGATTGTCATCAATCGACGTCGTTGCACATGCAAGCTTCGTGGCAGCTGTGACCAATCAGGGGCCACGCAAAGTAATCCCGCCCAGTTTGCCCCACTGTTCCGTCCGCTGAATCCTCTGCTCCGCGACTTGGAGTTGATTGATGCTTTGATACCCCCGCCCCCTCCACTTCTGTTTCCAGTGACAACCGGATTTACTTCGCGATCCAGATGTCCTAATTCTTGCAGTACACGTAATATACGGGGTATTGAGCTTTGCTGCGTCGAACTCAACCTCCGGACTGTGTCGAATCGGAATCTTCGCAGCAGTCTTGGGAAGTTTCGAAATGGACTTGGGACCTGGCCCTCCTGGCGCCGCTGTCGTCATGGACCCAAGGATCGATTGATCTACCTTGAGTCAAGTTCTAGGTAGCTTGACTGGTTGAGAATGAATCAACCTTGGTGCTCCTCTCGTATGATAGCTCCCGGCCCCTCTCCTCCGTAAACGCTTGGTCACTCGCGCTTGCATCATACTGATATGCAGGAGGAGACGTGTCTGGCTCCTGCAGGTGTTCCATTGTTCCATTGCCGTCGCATGTCCCCGTTTGGAGTCGTCGTCATTCTTCAAACCACGGCAGCACATCATTAATCCAAACAACCCCGCCCACCATTGAAAACTCGCGGTTCTCCCGCTCATCTCTTCATGATTTCCAAACTTCCCCTCCCCCTCCATACACGAACAGGAGTCTCAATAGTCTCAATACCCCTCCTTTCTCGTCTAGCTTCCCCGTATATTCGACTTTCTCACCATCATCTTTTCAACCAAACAAGATTCATTGCTGGTTACGGTCCAAAGTTCACAATGGCAAAGGAATACAAGCTCAAGGACCTCTCGGCGCTCTCGCTGAAACCTGGTGAGATGCAGGAAGTGGAAGTAGAGGGGGTCGAAAGTGGAAAAGTACTCCTCATCAACGCTGGCGGTTCCATTCAAGCTGTCGGCTCTAAGTGCACACACTACGGCGCTCCTCTTGTCAAAGGCATTTTGACGGCGTCTGGTCGTATCACTTGTCCCTGGCACGGTGGTAAGTTGCTCTCGGGATTAGGTTTTCTTCTCCTTTCCCTGTCCTAAATTCTCTATTACCGTGGTTGAGGCGTAGCTTATGCATAGGCAGCTTGCTTCAAGGCAAAGTCTGGTGATATCGAAGATGCGCCCGCGCTAGATTCTCTCTCGGTCTTCCCAGTTGCCGAACGCGACGGTGCCGTATACATATCCGGCGAAGAAGAGGCTATTAAGTCCGGGCGCAGGAAGCCCAACTTCCAGTGCCGTGCCGCCGCAGCTTCTAAACCGCAAGAACAAAAAGTCTTGGTTGTCGGAGGCGGCTCCGGAGCACTTGGTGTTGTTGACGGACTCAAGGAGAATGGATACGAGGGACCCATCACTGTCATATCCTCGGAGGGCTATCTGCCAATTGACCGACCTAAGCTTTCCAAAGCCTTGTCGACCGATCCGGACAAGATTGCTTGGAGGGATGGCGCCTGGTACAAGAGCGGCGCCGTAGACATAGTCGATGACGAAGTAACTGGCGTCGATTTTGCCAAAAATGCTGTCCATACCAAGAAGGGTGAAACAATCTCATACTCGAAGCTTGTGTTGTCCACGGGAGGAACTCCGCGAAGACTCCCTCTACAGGGTTTCAAGACGCTGGGCAACGTCTTTACTCTACGAACGATTGACGACACCAAGAAGATTGTGGGGGCCGTAGGTGACAAAGGCAAGAAGATTGTTATTATTGGGTCATCCTTCATCGGCATGGAGGTGGGCAAGGCCTTGTCTAGCGGTAATTCAATTTCCATTGTTGGTATGGAAAAGGTACCGCTCGAGAGGGTCTTGGGAGAAGAGGTTGGTGCGGGGCTACAAAAGGGCCTCGAGGCCTTGGGCGTCAAATTCTACCTGTCCGCTTCGGTTGAGAAAGCAGAAGCATCCGCAGCCGATGCGAGCAAGGTCGGCGCTGTTGTCCTAAAGGACGGTACCAGACTTGAGGCGGACCTCGTTATCCTGGGTGTTGGCGTGGCTCCAGCCACTGCCTACCTCAGGGATAACAGTGCAGTTAGTCTCGAGAGGGACGGCTCGCTTAAAGTGAATGAGAAGTTTGTGGTGGAGGGACTCAAAAATGTCTACGCCATTGGCGACATTGCCACATTCCCGTACCACGGCCCTGGCGGAGACGGCCGGCCCACCCGCATCGAACACTGGAGTGTGGCACAAAACGCGGGAAGGGCTGTGGCCCGAGACATTACCCATCCCAAGGAAGCCCCCTGGTCCTTCATCCCCGTATTCTGGTCTGCCCTGTCAGGTCAGCTGAGATATTGCGGAAACGCGTCTGCTGGGTGGGATGATATTGTCATTCAAGGAAATCCCGCGGAAGGAAAGTTTGTCGCCTACTACTGCCGCGGTGAGACGGTGTTGGCCATGTCGGCTATGGGCAGGGACCCTGTGCTTGCGCAGTGCAGCACACTGATGTATGAGAACAAGATGCCTTCGAAGAGTCAGATTGTTGGGGGGTTGGATGTTTTGACAGTAAACGTTAACTGAGGGGCCGGGCAGAGGATGAACGGGACATGGCGAGGCAAGTCACTTGAGGACTTATGGATGTATTTTCGCGTCTCAGGGTCAGACATGTCAGGCTTTTCTTTTTCTTCCTCCTTGACATTTGCCGATCGTAGGACAATGTCCCCCAAGGTCCTCCTTTCCATCTCCTGCGTAGGTGGCTTGCTTGGCAGCAAACCCTTATTCTGATATCTACAGGAGCCTTCCTGGGAGCCGTCCTGTCTCAGTCTGAGAGAGAGTCGGCTCTAACCTGTCACGAGTTACCATTTCATGGAGCAAAACAGCTGCAGGTTGACTCGCTGAGAAGCAGAAGCTAACCTCAGCTTTGTCGTTGCCCCGAGGCAGAAGATTGGGGAAAGATCTCCCGATGGCCCTGATCTTCGGGTCCTGGTAACCTAGAACCTCCTGGTGAGCATCCTCTCATGTCATTTGAGTCGATACTGTCCCCAGCTGGGGGGTTCAGCTTCGGCGGGGCATTCGGAAAATTAGAAAATTCGATATTAAATCCCGACCAAAAGGCCAAAATACCTGGTAATATTTTTTTTACTTTTTCTCGGATCTTCCACCCGACCCAGCTCTTCAAGCTGAGCGTGAAAGGATTTCTTATTTTTCAGCTGGCCCTTTCGTTTCCCTCCTTTCCTTTCTCTCTCTCTCTCTGTCGATTTTTTTTTCTTTTTCCCTTTTCTTTTTCTTTCCAGCTTCGTTGTGCTGTGTATTTCTCAAGTCCCACTCAGTAAAGCGGCTCTGTATGTATTTGGGTTACTCTATCTGTGTATCAAGGTAGCGGCTGTGTTATCAAATTCTGGGACCTTCGCAATTTAGAATATTCAGGCAAAGTCACCCAGTACTCTACGAAGTTGGTGCAACAGGTACTCAAGGTACCAGTCCAGTTCCGAAGCGGTTAAAGCAGGACGCGCTACGTCACAAGGCCCAAGCGAACGCGACTTCCACGGTCCACCTAAACTACGTTATCTGACCAGGGAAGGTGCGATAGTCACCGCCCCGCTTTTCTCCTCTTCCCAAGTATTTTGGCGCCTTCAGGCTGCTTCAAATTGTTCTCTTCTTTCAATGAAGGAGAGAAACTTTCGCTTTCCCGTCCCCAGTTTTGTCTAACACTGGATTCACAAAAACTCTATTCCCCAGGCCAAAAATCTAACCCGGTCGCTTGATTTTCAACACCCTCGATCGCGGATTCGCTCAAATCCTGTGCTCTCAAACATGCGTCTCTAGTGTGCAACACTTTCTTCTCGTCGACAGGTCACCGCCCCCAGTGTCGAGCAACACCACACACCCCTTCGAGCCGCTCCCGCCCCTACCACTGCGCCTGCACCTGTGGCTTGCGTCCGCCATGCTGACTCGGGTCTCGAGCGGACAGCAAAAGCAGAGTGCGTAGGGATAGTTGATCAACCACGAGAATGACTGGCGACGATGCCTCCGAGGCCCCGAGCCAAGCCGAGTCAGACGGCCCATCGCCGTCTTCTTCTGATGTACCGCCCCTTCGGTGCTGCTGTGGCGATCTGAACTGTATCGTCTTGAGACACAACTGCTCGATCTTGGAGAGCGTCGAGAAAGATGTTCATATGGCAGCAAAACTTGGCCAAGTATGTTGCCCACTTCCTTCGATCCTGGAGCTCATGGTCGTTTCGTTTCGTTTCGTTTCCCTTCTATCGCGGCTTCTTTTGCTTTTTTATTTTCTCGCCTTGTTTTCCCCTGTCAATCGTAATTCTATTCGCCTTGATCGTGTTCCCCGAGCCGTTCTGTTTTCTACGTAAATATGGCCGGAGTCGTCATATTTAGGTTCCGTCCCCAGGGGCCTTTTTTGCATGTCTTGCCCTGTCTCTGAACTATTTCCTTGTTGGTTTCTCCGTATCGCATATCGAACAATTTATATTGTTCCTCATGGCTGCCTTTACTCTCCCCTCGCATGTGCGCCTCCACTGCCTGAGCCCCCGTCTACCCCCTCTACCTGCTTTCTCTATCTAGTCTAGCTGGAACCGTTGTGAAATGGCACCCTCGCTAACTTTTGCTCTGCAGGCGCTATTAGTTCGCCATGAAGCCTACATGGTTGATACCGAGCGAGACCGCGCTACACTAACCTCCCGCATCAAGCAACTTGAGACCGACAAAAGGGAGCTGGAAGCCATGAACACGAGGACCATCGAAGAAAACCGCGCCCTGCTAGATCAGCTCGAAGAGCTAAATAACTCCGTTTCCGAGTCTGAGAGCCGCATTCAAGTCCTCGAGGCAAGTTTGCAGGCTTCCGAGCAGACCATTCGTCGACTCGAGATCACCGCCTCCCGCGCCGCTGATATGGAAAGACACATCACCACCCTAGAGAACGACCTCGAACACGCGCAAAACACACTTGTTAACACGGAAGAGGAGTCTCGATCTGCTGTAAGACGGTGGAGGTTAGCTGAACGCACAATTGCCGACCTCCAGAGTCAACTTGACTTGATGGAGCGGGGTGCTCGCGAAGAGAGAGAGCGACAGGCCGAGGTTATTGATCGTATGGAACGCCAGCGTGAGATTGAGAGGGAACTTAGCACTGCGGCAGGCCGACTTAAGGGTGCCGCTGCCGTCAAGTCGCTCGGTTTCGGGCCTCAGAGCAGCACGGGTGCAGGAACGAGCACGGTCGTCTCACATTTCGTGAGGGATCTACTGCAGGATAACGCGAATTTGCAGCTAGGGATTGCTGAGCTCCGAGAACTCCTTGCCAATTCCAGTGATGAGATCCAAGTGCTTAGAGAACGCCTTTCCCTTCATCAGCCTATTCACGAGACTTCACCTGCCGCCCTTGTCTCGAATTTGAGAGCCGAACTCGGAGCGCCCCAGTCTCCGCCATCTCGAGAGGTCCACATACACCATCATTACCATGTCACGCCAAAACAGGAGAACCGAAAGCCCAAGAGGAGAAGGCAGGGTATGAACTCATTGTCGGGATTCATGCCACCTACACCGGAACATTCCTCTCCCACCCTTCCACCTACCGCCCGCGAGCAATGGCAGAGACAGGCTATTCATGATCCCTATTCCCCGAGAAGCCCTATAACAAACGAGTCGGAAACAGAATCCTCTGTTCGGTGGTCACGCGCCTCTAATCTCATCTCCGAGTTTGCGCTATCGACTTTATCTAGCTCGCCGCAGAGCAATCCTCGCTTGTCAATGTTTGATGGAAGTATGGCTCTCGATAGTGACGGGCCACCCTCGCCATCTACAAGCATAGATCCATTGTCTCCGACCCCCAAGTCGGATGGAAATGGAATGCAAATGCCGGTTATGCCCTTGAGCAGCAATTTCCAGGGCTTTATGCCCTCCTCGCCCTACCCTGCCTGCACAACGGCACTCTCACTCGGCATTGTAGAGTTGTCTCAACCGTCTTTACCCGTGCAACATCCGGAAAACGTGGGTGAAGACACAGTAGAGGAAGTTGACGACGATGACGACTCTTCGACACGGACAACTACTGAAAGAGACAGTCCAAGAGCCGAAGTGGGGCAGCTAGAAGAGGTGGATGACATGTCTAGCCCCCCAAGCCCCCTACAGCCTGTTCTTCGTCGGACCGTGTCCCATGAATCCATCATGTCCCTCTCTGGTGGTCTGGATATTCACACTCTCAAGAACCGTCCAAGCCAGCTCACTTTATGCCATCTGGGCAGTGCGCAGGCCATCGTAACGGGGATAACGGCGCAGCCAACTCTCTCTACCCTCGGTGGAAAGCGGGGCTCTGCCGTTCTGCGGGACAGCCTCGCCGCGCTCCCATCCCCCACGCCTCAGCAGACCCCAGGATCATCCTTTGGGACTCTTGGTAAATGGAGAGGGTGGCGACCCTGGGGAGGTCGAGCTTCTACGGGTGGTGATGAAGGCAGCAACAACAACGACGATCCACCCACGAATGACACCTCGGCAGAGACGGAAACCGCCGTCTCCGTTCGGATTAAGCCCAAGCCTGCCACCAAGGAAAGGGAGAAGGATATCATTCGTACTCCCGGGATCAATCAACCGGGAGCCATCCCCGGCTTCCAAGAGTACTGGGCTGCCTCACAACGGCGCCGCGGTGCGCCAAGTAAGGTACAACCCGACACTGTTGATCGAGCTGCCCTCAAAGACATATTAGAAAGTTGATGAGTTTCCTAACTTTTTTTCCTCTTCTATTTCCTTTGTCTTCCACTTAATACAGCCACCATACGCATCCGCATCACTGGAGTTTTGGATCATCACACACGACGAGTGCTCACTACACTCGGGAATCAAGATGGATACGCCCATCCCGCGCTTGCTTTCGCTTGCGGTTTCCTTTGTTATTTACTTGTTCTCTCGGATGGACGCTTTATTCGGTTTATGTCGTTGCTGGGTGCTGTTTGCTTCTGAATTCGGTTTTTCTTTTCTTTTCTTTTTTGGATCTATCTTCGCGGCAAAGTGATTAAGAGCATGGCAACGGAGTCTTTTCGCTTTTCTTTTTTTTTTTTTTTTTTAAAAAAAAAAGGGGGATAGTACACTGCATTAGGTCGAGATACCTTGTCTTTTTGTGCTTCTCGTTGGGGGACTATTGGAAGTTTATGATTAATTTGGATTGATATACCACAAGACTAGGGATGATAGAAGAAGGTGGAGGAGAGAGAGATTGAACTTAATACATATACCCCATTGTTTCTGTTAGCCATATCCCATCCTTGTTGCCGTTTTCACTGTGATTAGGGCTTCGAGGAAGTACGTTTCAAGTTGACATTACCAACCGAATCACCAGTACAAGAAGATAGTTGGAATATGGGGACAGAAGAGAAGACATTTGATTCAAAATCAAAACGACGAACGTGACATTATCCCGCATTAGGGACTTCTCCATTCCAGTCATTAAAATTGGTATCCCATCCAAAACTCCCACTCCAGGTTCCCTCTCGCACGATGCCTCGCTAAATACATCGATGCGCTGATATCTCCCAAAAGATAAGAAATAAATAAATAAATAAATCGCGTCCGTAAAATCCCCGCTTCATATGCAAAGGCATAATAAATATACACAAAAAATAAATCGTTCAAATCCGGATCATTAAACCTTCTCATTACCCTCGACATCACACACCGTCCCGTCGTGTTCATACTCCTAACCAATCCCTAGTGGCATCAACGGCATAAGTGCCGAAGTTGATGTACTCCGCCGTGACAGGAATGACGCCTCCGTGCCCGTCCCCGCCACTTCCGTTCGCCGCCGTCCCGCCGGCCAGGCCACCGCCGGCAGCCGCAGCATCCACCATTCCATGGGCCATCGGGTAAAGAGCGTTTTCGCCTCCCGGCGGCACTCTCGGGTAGTTGAACCAGTTAAACACGTCCAGGTATTCCAGCTCGTTTGGTGCCGGAGTTCTAGCGGGAGTGAGGCTGGGCATGCGGGATGGTGCGCCGCTTAGCCCGCTACCGCCAGCACCACCACCACCATTCCCAGCATAGGCACTTGGCGGGGGGTGTCGTGGCTGGTGTGAAATGAGCCACTCGAGGTCAAACGCCGTGCGCCTCATATCAGCGAGGATCTTGACCGACTTGGGTGTCACCCCGTCACCCTTCCTCTCGCTATCTCTATATTCATCAAGCACCCTCTGAAGCAGCTGAGAGTACCTGCTTGCGACCTGCCAGTAGCGTCCCATCTCGCGAAGCGCCGAGAGGAAGACCGCGATATTCGGCGACAAGGGATGCTCCATCGTCGACGCGTGCACTAGGAGCAAGCGCGCCGCAACCCACAGACTAAATGCAAACGGCGGACCTAGCTTGTCGAGCAGGCCGTTCGAGTTCACGTATTCATATATGGCTGCAATATTCTCAACTGCTACCTGGCAACGCTGCATCGCTCCATAGGAGGGCGCAAATATTGCGGATCGCATAGTGGGATATGCCGCGGATGAATGGAGCCGGATAACCGTCGTGTGGAAAGTTGTCTGGAGCATGACCCACGAACAGGCGGCAGCTTTATTCGCTGCAGATTGGCACCCCATGCTGCCGAATTCAGCGGGCAAGCCAACCTGCCATTGAGATAATAGGGAGTCAAGCTCTTTATATCGTCTCTGCCACCGTTCTACGTCGGGCCCAGCGCTGATATCCACAGGTTCCTTGAGGAAGAGGTGGATCTGAGATAGGATTGACAGAATGTCAATGTAGTACGCAAATGCTCCAAGGTTCTCCGGTCGCCCCAAGCCCTGCTCAATAACGCCATCTCCAGCAGTTTGGCCCCTCAGATACCACCGGGTCTCGACTTTTTGGTTCTTCGCCCACAACTCGTCTCGGCAGGGCAATTTCCTTTCGATATCCCTATCCCCGAGCGCGAAGTCAAATGCCGTAACAATCGTGGCATACCTATCTAGAAGATAAACCATCCAAAAGAGCCGCCGCCGGGACTCTTCCTCGATGAAGTCTCTCGGCTCAGGGAGGATAGTAGCACGTAACGTGGATATAGATGGAAGGTTGGGCGCGACAGTCAAGGGAGAGCTCTCGACGGCGAGTCCGATTTGCACAACCGCCCTCGTAATCAAGGCCATGATATTCCAACTCGGTGGGCCGTGGCTACTACCAAATAAATCGAGGGCGAGGATAACAAGTGCCTGTAGGGATTTCACAGATAAGTTGTCCAAGCCGTAGAGCAGCACTTTTCTTTTGGAAAGATCGTGGTAATGGCGTTTTCTGTCCTCGGTTAGTCGAGCGTCTTGGGAGAAACGAAGTGTCGTCGCCACAATGGCATGAAGAAGGACGCGGTCAGCCTCATCGAGTGATGTGTGGCCACCAAAGAATGCATCAAACGTCGTCTTTCTGTGTAGGATCGGACACCATGTGTGGATTTGCTTAAAGTAGAGCTCAACCAGGGCGTAAAGCAAATCGTATGGAGGTAGTTCCTGTTCAGGTCCGGCGGCGGGGGTATCTGACGGTTGTGTGAGAAGACTAGAGGGGTGGACTTTCACATCGCCACGCGAATAATAATCCTGGTTATGTTGCTGTTGATTCTGCTGCTGGGATGCGGTTGCGGTTGCCACTGTATGTGATTGCTCTGGGTGTTGGGCTTGAAAACCATCGTGTAATGGCGCTGACACTGACGCGGATGGGCCTAGGCCTGTAAAGCTGACTGGATTCGCAGGTTGAAACCCCTGTGGTTTCGGTTGCAGGAACACCCTAGCCTCGCCATGGTGAGAACTCTGCATCGGATCTGGATGCCTAAACAAGGAAGAGTGGCCCTGCTCTCTCGGTGTGCCTTGTTCACTCGTCACGCTCGGGACGCTAGGGTTGCTGAGGCGCAAGCTAGGGGTGTTTGACGCGAGGGTATTGATGTTTGCTCCGCTGGTAGAAGCGGTAGCGGCCATGTAGGCCTCGAGAATCTGGGAATGGGTCCTTTGGATCTCCTCGAGCCTATCGAGGCGCTGCTCAAGCTCCTTCCCGTAGCCAGCTCGAAGGCCAGGCTTCTTTCGTTCCTTGTATTCGCAGAGTGCTCCATTGCGACTACACCAACCACAGGCAGGTTGTCCACGATCGCATTTAACCTAATTGATGGCAATAGAATCAGCATTATTCTTGAGAGCTCTTGAAGGGATTGACTGCAAGAAGGTGTAAGGTCTGTTAAAGTACGGCGCCCGCCGCGTGAAGGTGCCTGAAGGCGAGTAGGGAATATGGAAGTGGGGTACGGCACGAAACAGTACGTGACACGAGCTGGTTGGTGGAAGAGCGCACCTTTCGCTGTTTGCAGAGTTCACACCTAGGCAAAGTAAAGAGGTAAGACATTAGTAACCAATGTTAGAGGCTCTTCGGGGAAAAGAAACAGCTCGCGGGATTATTCTCAAGACGTGATGGGGAGAATGCAGAGAAGATTCGGTAGTGTTAGAGCGAAACGAAGGATGATCTCGCGAGCTTCAATGAGGCATCTGAGTAGGCTAAAGGTCGGGATTCGGGAGGGGGAGGGCTTACGACACAGAGAGCGGTCGCTTGCGCTTTCCAAGACGGACCGAGTCGTTGTCTTCATTTTCGTGGTCAAGGTCATCGGGGCTGGGGACGGGGTTGCCCTCATCACTCCCCTGGTCGGTGCTAGGCATGGCGGCAGAGTTGGCATCTGACGGCGGAGCGCCAACGCTAGAAGCTCCTAGGGGATATGCCAAGCTGGGTGATCTACTTTCTTGCTGGGTACTGCCGCCCTGCGGCTGGTGCTGGTGCTGGTGCTGGGACTGGGGCTGTTGCGCTCCCGGCTGGTGTTGCTGATGCTGCTTCGTCATATCACTAGTGCCCCCAGGACCGAACACGTATATACCAAAGCATTGGACGGTCGGGCATGCGCGAAATGCCAATAAGGGCGCAGACGGCGGGTGCGGGGAATGCAAGAATGGAAGCCAAAGAGCCTATGGGCCTATGGCGAGAATGGTGGGGGGCCCAGACTGGCGGTGGTTCGTCGGGCCGGACGTACTACATTCGCAAAGAAGGGGCCAGAATCAGGTATTTCCTAATATTAAGCAAGGCTGTGGATGCACGTCGACGATGAAAAGAGACCAGGGGTGGGAGGAGCCGGCGCGATACGGACGGGTAGGTCGCGAGAGCGTCGGCGCTCGGGAGCGGGCAGAATGACAGGTCGAGGCCGGGGCTCTAATGCATTGTGGATTGTTTAGTGGGGGAGGGAGCGAGAATGGCGGGGCAAGCGCACCACAGAGAGAAACAGGGCTGATGGAGTAATGAGACGTTCGATGACTGGATCACGTCGTTTGAGGCGGCGAAAAATTGTGATAGGAAGGATTGAAGAGAGGCTGGTGACCTGGGCACCTCGTGGGAGAATGCCGGCTCGAATGGGGGTGGTGAACTTACCAGGTTCGGTTCCCCCAGAACACCAATGCTACGCCACGAGCCTGCCAGGACTGAAGTGCCAAAGAAACTCGGTAGCAGTTCTGGAGTTTAGGCCTCGCACGTTGCAGAGAGAATACGCAGAAAGGGCAAGTAATGGAGGAGATCAAATGTGGGTGGTCTGGATTGGGCAGCAGACACAATGCATCTGGCGGCCCAAACAATCGAGGATATTTTCGGGTATAATGAAGCTTGGATGCTCGCAAGGAAGGAGAAAGGGAGGTCCTGGACAAGGAGCTATTGTCGGTCGTGGGGGGAAGGAGCCCTGCGAGCCAGACAGCCCAGACAAGGACAGAGCAATGAGAGCAATCCATTCATTCGTCGAATCACGTTGGCTCGTCGAGTCCGGTCGGGGAAAGGGCGGCTTCGATGCGCCAAAATCGATCAATTGTATCTTGTACCTTGTTCCCGGCCCTCGGTACTATTATTGTACGCAATCGCCGTACCGAATCTAAGGTCTCCGTTACATATCTACTCCACTCGTCCCATGGGGAAGCAAGAGCACAATGAAAACACTCCATGTACCTCAGTATCCTGGGCGGGGTCTTGTCTCGACAATCCAACGTTCGTTAGACACCTGGCGACGGGAAACATTGACAGTTGACAGATGGTTCAATTTGCGTTCCTAGGTCTCACAGGACCAAAACCAGGGCAGGGGGTCCAAGTCGAACCGTGGAGGGCATTAAGGGGAATCCTCGTCCCAGATATTCTCTCGTCCCATCCGCCTCTGAACCCTTCCCATGCACGATTCTGTTTGTAGGAAATTACCTGCATTACTGACATTCCAACCATGTTGTACCACAGCCGGTCACCTGGTATCCTTCCGCCAAGGAGGATGACTCTGGAAGCAAGCGTGTAACATTCGGAACCAGTGACAACATTTAATCCGATGCTCACTTCCTCTAACCTCACTTCGGCCTCTAACCCGAGGCTTTTCTCCTATTGACTTCGGAGGACTGTGGATCGCAGGTTGGGTATCGACGAGCTTCCCTACATACCCAGCCGGCCATATATTGGTCGACCTTCTGCAGTGTGTGGGAAATCTTGCCATCATTGGCTTGCTGGCCCATCAGCCTGACGTGACTGGCCCAGAGCCTAGAATGCAGACAGGGAGAATGTTCGTGTACTCAATCGCATCGGCGAAGCAGAAATCCTTACCATGAACTTAACTAGCTCTTCCGATCTCTACTCTCCCTCTCATAGGTAGTCACCCCCTACGATGCACCGCCTAGGCAGATGGGGTAAGGCTCCAGATAAGGTCGAGAACGGATTGAGATATAATCAGACTGGACACGCATTTCACCCCAAAAGCCAGTCACCATACATGACTCTGGAGGATGTGCTCCTTGGAATTCCTTTCCTAGGTTGTCAAGATAAGAATCTGATCCGTCTATATTCTAGAACCCGTCGTGTCAATGAATCTATCGCGATCACTGTTCCTCCCTGCCTTTCTCGCCTCCTCTCGGCCTCCACTCGTCCATTTCCTAGCTGTCGCCCAACGATGCCCCAACGATGCCGGCGCTAGCACCTTCTTGGTATTAGTCCGGCGCAATACTCTCGCGAGAGGAAAGTAATATGACAATGCTAAGAGCAATACGTGGTAGCACCGTGCAGTCGTACCGGAATTTCCTGCACCTATGACGGTAAAGTGGAGGGCCGTAAGAGGCTCTGAGTGGTGATATACCAGGAGCAGGAGAAGAAAGGGAGCGTTGTGGAAGAAGAACAGAGCCTCGGCATTGACGACAATGGCTTGATAGCGTCGAATGAATCGAGACGAAATCGATACCAGATGCCAATGAACGAAGTATTCGGACCCACGGTGAGTCTGTAAAGTGTAGGTTTTAATGTTCTGATCCCTCAGGGTTGACCTAGTCCGAGGATCTTCGTCACTCTCCTAAGAGGCTCCAAGCTCACCCCACTTACACCTAGATCCGGATTGGCGACAACGGAGGGGGAGGGGGATAACAAGTGAGTGAAGATGTCGGTTCGATGTCAGTTCCAGACCCCAACCTAAAAAAGACCCCTTCTTATCCACTTTATCCACCTCATTGGTGAGAATTCGTCCCATTGCTCCCCCGTCGTCCGCTCGGTGGATTTCCTCCCGATGGCCCATTAACCTTGGATGGACTGGAACAGAGACCTTGGCCATGGAAAATACGCATTCTTGGTTCCAATTGGCACCATCCCACAGTATTATCGCTATTTTCGCCCTTGATCCTCGTGCCTTTTTGTCTTGTTTCTGTTTCTCGCGCTTTCTCGCCTTCTCCCCTTCTCTTCATCAGACCCCTTCGGCCTCGTACCCAGATAACCCCCCCTCTCTCTGTTCTACGTTTCTCTTCCCGGCTTCCGAAATGTCGCTGGTATGTGACGACTGTAGCCATTGACGTAACTGTCTCTGGATAGGTTCGTGATGGACCAGTCACCGACTCCCTCTTGTAGACTGGACTTCCAGGATAGACAAAAGAAACAATGCAAAGAACGAGCTACGTGTTCATCGCTCACGAACCCAATTGAAACCACGTTAAGAACTGACGAGACACTGGACCTGTTTTCTATGCAATCAATGACCGAATGACTGATGGAAAGTGATCCACTCCAGTCCAATGCTGCTTAAACCTACATCAATTTGATGTATTGAGTTGAGCCCGTGATTGAATCAAATGCCACTAGTCCGGCCCCATTTAGTTCACCCAATCCCCACTTCACATTGCTCGGTGCACAGAGTCTCCGACATTTCATCACTGGGTCTTCCATCTTTCATATTTCTCCATCTTCAACCCGACCAGCTTTGCTATATAAAGGCACACCCTGCGGACGCTTCCTCGTCCTCTTCTACTTCACCGATATACCTGTACACACCACATCTCTAAGACAGGATCTCAATATAATCACCAGCCTTCTACCTCACATGCACCATGGCTTCCTCATCAGGTGTTCGCGAGTTTCCTACTATTAAAGCGATCCGGTCTTACGTGATTAGCGGAGTCGGCGCAGGTATGTCAGAGCAGAAAAACATCGGTGTCGATGATGTTGCGTAACTTCCCGTTTGCTGACTGGAAGGTGCGAAGGCGGTGACTATCACAATGTTAAGGGCGGCCATTGGTAAGTAAAAAGTCCTAGTGTTATCCCACACGTGTGCCTTTGTGTACTCTGTGCAGAGAAAGAAGAGCCACTTACACGAAGAAACTCCTAAACTAGGCTCATAGACACTCCCATCTCCACTCCGTGTTCAAGATGGGAAGAATATCGCAAGTCGAGGACGAGCTGGGGCATCAACGTCCTCGGTTCGTTCTTCATCGAAGTCGAGGCCTCTGATGGCACCGTTGGCATTGCCACCGGCTTCGGTGGCCCCCCAGCCTGTTGGCTCATCCACCAGCACTTCGAACGCTTCCTTATCGGCGCCGACCCGCGGAACACCAACCATCTCTTTGAGCAAATGTATAGAGCCTCCATGTTCTACGGTCGCAAGGGTCTTCCAGTGGCGGCAATCTCGGCAATCGATCTTGCGCTTTGGGATCTGCTTGGTAAACTTCGCAACGAACCCGTCTACAAGCTTATCGGCGGCGCGACGAAAGAGCGACTCGATTTCTATTGCACAGGACCCGAGCCCGTGGCCGCTAGAGAGATGGGCTTCTGGGGTGCGAAGCTTCCCCTACCTTATTGCCCTGACGAGGGCCACGTCGGGCTCAAGAAGAACGTCGAGTTCCTCCGCAAGCATCGCGAGAGCGTGGGACCTGACTTTCCACTTATGGTTGACTGTTACATGAGTCTCAACGTTCCTTATACCATCGAGATTGTCAAGGCATGTCTCGACCTCAACATCCACTGGTGGGAGGAGTGTCTTTCCCCCGATGACACCGACGGCTTCGAGCAGCTTAAGCGTGCCCATCCAACTATGAAGTTCACCACTGGTGAGCACGAGTACTCGCGATTCGGTTTCCGCAAGCTCGTCGAGGGCCGTAATCTCGATATCATCCAGCCCGACGTCATGTGGCTTGGTGGTCTCACCGAACTTCTCAAGGTCTCTGCCATGGCCGCCGCCTATGATATCCCCGTCGTACCCCACGCTAGTGGGCCGTACAGCTACCATTTCGTCATGTCGCAGCCCAACACGCCTTTCCAGGAGTACCTGGCCAACTCGCCGGATGGCAAGAGCGTACTGCCCGTCTTTGGCGACCTATTCCTTGACGAGCCCATCCCTACGAAGGGATACTTGACCACGGCTGACCTTGATAAGCCTGGATTCGGACTTACTCTGAACCCAGCGGCGAGAGCAAAGCTCATACCTGCTGACTACCTCCTGTCGCCTCCTCCGGCCAGAATACTCAGCCCGCCTACCCCCGAATCTGAGCCAGAGCCGGAGCAAGATCAAGACCAGAAACTTCAGCAGGAGAAACTGCAGCAGAATGGAACGGCTGTCCAAGATGGCATAATCAGCGAGTTGGCGGCGAAGGTCGAAGCGTTGGTGACAGATGGTACGAATGGTACGAATGGTACGAATGGTACGAATGGTACGGCCTAAGTATGTATTGACAAGGCGTTTGTCTGAGTGACTTGGAGAATGGTATAGAACGTGAATATTCTTTTGAGGCATGCATTTATGAAATTGCTATGGCCGAGAACGGATTAGAAGACTCTTTCGGGTGCTGGATTTGATGATACTAGTCACGAACGTTTCCTAGGTTTTAGTATTCGACTACTTTTATGCTTGTATTTGGCAGATTGAAAAACATCAGTATTCCAACGCTTGAACTCCTGTGTTTTGAGGCTCTTTTCTGCCGCCCTGTTTCTTGAATGAGCGAACTGCAGGTCACGCGTTTTATCACGCACCCACACCTGTCCAGCTCTCGTTTTCTGATCCCCATTCAGCCCCAGTCGTCCACCGTTATGATTCCAGGGCGGAGCCAGGGGACGCACACCTTCCTACTTGTCCGAGTGATCATATCTCGAATGGCTTGCATTCTAGTGACGGCACAGGCACCCGCGATGCAGGAGATATTTGCTTTCCGCTCACACCTGTGCCGAGTTGAACGTATCGCCTAGTTCGGCCCTGGTCAAACTTGCATGGCTCCGGATTCCCCATCCCACCTCTTTCCTTTTTGGTTCTTGTCTGGGGAAACCCTTGTCTTGACATGGATGTGCCATTCTCCCGAGTCTTGTCGGCAGAACTCTCTTCAATATCCTCGTGTTCCTTCTCTCCGGCGCAGTCGTGTTTCCATTGGCAATCAGGCCAACGATGTGGGGTAACATCGAAAATGGCTCTTTGGTGTGATGATTTTTGACTTTCGCTGTTCGGTACAATGAAACCCCGAGAGGAACATCTCGGATCTCGGGGTCTTCCCAATTGTCAGGAAAGTACATATGAAAGCTCGGCCGATGGTCACACACGTTAGGGTTCTTTGCTTCAGACGACGACAGCGCCAAGGAGGTGGCATCGCGGGTCTTTTCATGCAGCTCATTCTCGATGCTCGGTGCTCGGTGCTTCTTGTCGAGCTCACCTCAATCCGTCCTCGGTGCTAGAACCTTCACGGACCCCAGGTCGTCCAATTGGCGGGATACTTATCGTTTTCTGGCCTTTCTGTTCCTCGATTGAGCGAAACTCGAACGGCCCGCATCCAGGCAAGAGCTTCTCGTCTTATTCCACAATCTTTTTCTCCTCTTGATTTTGGGGAGGAGAGGGGTCCCTCTTTTTGTTTTTCCTCGACGTATTTTCAACGGCGCTATAAAGCATCAGAAGAATTGAATGTGCTGGGTTTTTGCATTAATTCTCAGTCAATTGATGTAATTGATGATCATTGATGTGAGACCATGATTAAACACTATTGATGTTCTCCTCCTTCAACTGAACCTCTCGACTCGGGTTCAGAGCTCGCTCGCCCCGAACCGCAGGACAAGCCCAGAGCAGAAGTGCTGCCGCCGTCTGGTGACTCTACACGAAATAGCCGAGTTTTATTGAACCTGGATATACATCTAGCGATGCCTCTTAGCATCGGCTCAATACTGATCCGCGAGGGGCAGCTGCAAAGCTCAATATGCCATCGCCTCTCTTTTTACTCCCCCTTCCACCAATACAATTGTATGAGCTGGCCTCCATGAACCAAAATAAAAATCCAGACTGCTCCTCTCTTCCTAGCCTCACAAGATAGCGCACTCTTGCCTTGCGCCTCGTAGACTTCTTTTGCTTTTGTTATTGCTCCTCCACATTCCTCATCAAATGTCTGCCCAATTACCCCGCGTCCACCTCCTTGCAAAGAAGAATGCCATCATCACAGGAGGCACCACCGGCATAGGCCGCGCCATTGCCCTCTCCTTCCTGCGTCACGGCTGCAACGTCACGGTGAACCACCTCGATCTCGAAAAGGACAAACATCATCTCAACTCTCTCATTGCAGAAGCCGACGCCATCCGCGCCGATGACCCCGAAGCCGGACTCCTCGCCCATCTTGCCGGCGACGTGCGGGAACCGCAGACCGCGGCAGATCTAGTCACTTATGCGGTGCAGCATGGCGGTACGGGAAGGTTAGACGTGTGCGTCTCCAACGCAGGCATCTGCACATTCGCCGAATTCCTAGATCTCGACGCGGATCTGTTCGCCAACACCGTCAGGACAAACCTAGATGGCGCCTTCTACGTCGTACAGGCGGCAGCTCGACAGATGGCCCGCCACCAGACTCCGTCCGGCGGAAGCATTATTGCCATCTCGTCCATTTCTGCGCTCGTCGGTGGGGGCCAGCAGACGCACTATACACCAACCAAGGCGGGCGTCCTTAGTCTTATGCAGAGCACCGCCGTGGCGCTGGGCAAGTACTCCATCAGGTGTAATGCACTACTACCCGGGACGATACGCACGCAGCTCAATGAGGAGGACTTGGCTGATGATGCGAAGAGGACGTATATGGAGGGTAGGATACCTCTGGGCAGGACGGGAGTTCCCTCCGATCTTGCCGGCCCGGCCGTGTTCCTTGCGTCTGATGAGCTGAGTGGATATGTGACTGGAGCACAGCTCCTAGTTGATGGCGGGTTGTTTGTTAATCTCCAGTGATAGAATCGTGTATTTTTTATATTCCCTTCCGAGAGAAGCTATGTATACAATGAGTGATGAATCATCGAATCGTGAATCGCGTAACTGCTCTCAAGCTGGGATGATATCTGCCTCAAGCACACCTTGGCCTTATTCGAGGACCTGCCTCTCTTCATAAGCCCGCCCTTCCCGAAACTTGAAGCCTCCCCAGTCAGAGCTGACAACCCATCCAGCTTCATCTACGACATCCTGTATCCTCTCCCTAGTTGTTAAAGCTTCTTCAGCCGAAAGGAGCCCGCCTCCCATTCCAAACCCGACCCCGTCCCCATCAAGGTCGACCCTCACCCAGCCCTTCCAGCCGGCATTGATGTCTCCCCCAGGACCCCCGATCACAATCGTACCCCACCACTCCCTCCTACGACTCGCATGTCGTCCATAGAGCATCCATTTTTGGGCCTCAGCGACCAACTTACGCACCTCCTCCACTCCGGACATACATCTCGGCGGACGGTAGACATAGACGTGCTTTAGGTCGGCCTCAGAACAACTTAACCTTGTGGTATCAAACCGACCCTCTAGATCGACAACCAAGACGGTCTTCCCACAGCTGTTGCCCGAATTTGCGCCTTGCCCAGGATGCTCTCCAGGAACAGGTGGAGATGGGGAATGGGGAGACTCGCTTGTTACGAGTCGTGCGACAATGGCGTAGATAAGAGGTAGAGCTCGCCCCGCAATGGAGACTTGGGTTGAAAGTGTGTCGCGGAAGTGCTGTGAAATGAGAGCATCGAGTGCCGCAATTGAGGTTTGCTTGGGCTGGGCGGTTGTGGTTGTTCGTTGAGTGGTGCTGGGGTCGGTCGAGGCTGCTGTGAGGGAGGCGAGATTTTGGCGGAGGGTGGAAAGGATCTTCGAGGAGAGGTCAGTTACGAATGGCACGGGATGAGAAATGAAGAATGGAAAAAAAAAAAAAAAAAAAAAAAAAAAAAAAAAAAGAAGTATTTCCCTTAATCGCAAACAAATCGGGGATATGCGCTGTATGCGAAGAAAACGTGGTGATCAAGCCTCATCATTGATCAATCTCGTAGCAAGCGAGATCAATGTCGATGTCGTAATCACTCTGGGTCGGTTTCTAGAGAACGGACCAGAATTGAACTCACCTCATCAAGACTTGTCTCTTCCACCTCTCTCAGCATATTCCCACCCACCGCCGCGCCCGCGCCCACATCCATCTTCACGACTCCGTGTCCCCTGCAGGTCCCCTCACTTCACCAAGTCGTACCACCAAAAAAAAAATTAAGAGGGATCGACAAGAATGCCCCCTCCAGTCCGAACCTTCCCGCCTTCAGCTCTCCCCGAGGAGATCCAGCTCGATACCTCTGGTCGGAAAAGAAAGCCCGCGCCGGGAGCGCCAAGCAATATCAATCTATCCGCCTGCGAACTGTTCACTATGTCGCAGTACGAGTGTGTCGTGCCGCGGCCTGACATGCAGGAGAGTCGGGTCCAATGCTATGAGGTTTTGAGATTTTTCCGGAAGTGAGTGCAAAAGGTTTCTTTGCTCTTTTTCTGTTTTCACTTTCTTGGGGGGCTGTAGTGTGCTATGAAGGAGTCAATTTCAACTGCATGATCTTGTTTTCGGGGATTTTGCTTGGGCGAGATTTGTCTGGTTCCGGCTTAAAAAGCATGAGGCCTCGACTTGAGGTGGCATGACGAGGCTGTGAGGTTTCAAACACAATCACTTTATCTGCCCACCGCCGAAACAACGCCTTCGCAACGACAATTACTTTGCAGTCTATATAAGAGCACTGACCGTGTAAAACTCTCTAGATGTGCTGATAAAAAGGGGCCTTTCATGGTCGAAACCACGGGTTGGGAGCAACAAACAAGATCTTAGCCGGAGTTTACGTTGTGGTTTTAACGCAGGATAAACGGAGTTTGGGTTTAACATGTAAATATCAATAACAGTATTGTGATCTCATTCACTACGTATAGAACATAACAGCATAGATTCCAGGACATATTCCCATAGACATTGTTCAACGGGAGCTTGACCAAGTCTCAATTGCTGCGTCAGGAGCTGGTGGGGTTGACTTCGATGTAATATCAAGATCACGCGTCGGCAAAGGAAAGAGGCACGATTGAAAGGAGCTCGCGTATTCAATTGCTTATTCGATCCTCGGCAAGCCTCCCCTTCCAGTCTATATCTATGATACAACACAAAAACCCCATTCAGACCCCTCAAATGAGCTCGGCAGCAGCTACACAGAGCATCAGATCACTGCGCAGCTGCCCCGAAGCGCACACCGTCTGTCCGGCGCTAGTTCACATTCCAGATTTCAGACAAATCACGCCTTCTCCGCCGCCCTCTCCTTCTCGAGCCTGGCGTAGAGGTTGTCTCGCTTGTGGACATTGCGCATGTGGAAGCCTTGCCTATAGTGGTAAAGTGAATTCGTTAGAACAACGTTCTCGGTGGTTTCCGTCTTCGGCTCGTAGCTCCTAAGTTAGGGTCAATCGGATTCAATAATATCGTACCAGAACAATGTGGCCATGCCACCGCCGAGAGCTAAGGTCGAGAAGTGTTAGTCGAGCTTGGAAATTCACGCATCAAGGTCCGGGGAATTGGAGCTCGAGGAGCCACGTACTGAGAGCAATGGTGAGATCCATGATGAGGTTTCGCCTCAGCATCTAATTGAGAGCACGAAGCGTCAGCCTGCCATCCCAAGTTCGCGGAAGAGATCGAGTCGTCTGTTTTGCACCGGGCCATTCGTCGGGACAATTCGTGCGCCGAGACACTCAGCCATTGGGCTCCAGGAGGTAGATACGTACGCCGACAACGGGCTTGATGGCCATTTTTGCGATTGGTAGAGTCGATTCGACGTGGGAAAAGGGTGGTTGTGGTTTGCGGTGAGAAACGAAAGTTGTCGACTTGAGGATCGAGTTTGCGTGATGGGAAAGAGTCCGAGAGTTCTTGTGGTCTGATTCTACTTCCGTTATTTCACGTCCAATCCCGCGGCTATGATTGGGCCCCATTGGCTCACGTGATTCTATGGGATCTGCATTCCCAAAGGCCTGAGAGCCCCTCGGAGGAGAAATTCTTCCCTGACTTGGACTTGACCTGGCACGACTTCCATGACTAAGCAGTACGGATTTTTCCCTCGAACCAAAATTGTTCCTCCGCTGAAGGCTTTCAAGGACGAGACTTGAATTGACGCACGACTCGCTCCAATTGATCTCAATCGTTGACCGAACAGGGCCGCCGCTATCGAAGAAAGGGCCCCGCGCTTTTTAGGTCGCCTGGCGCGTCGTCAATATGAGCCTCAATCAGCCGGCGAGGCGCATCGCGATCGCCCTCTCTTGTACGTGTGAAGCAGCTCCGTTGTAGAGCTTCAGTGTGGCCGAAAGATGCCTGGGACGATATAAAACTTGCTAACATGGGAATTCATCCTGTTCTGTAGCCTCCAACATTTCCCGTCAACAATGCCTCACCCACCTCTCCTCCCGAACCTCACCACTAGCGACGACCCTCACCGTCCTCCCTTCAACCCGCCGCTCTAAATGGTCCTTTAGCAACTTGAACCCCTTCCGCTCCAAGAAGACCGGGGCCACTCCATCCTCCGACCTCGATGACCCGACTATCCGAAGACGCATGATGGAGGAAGCCTCCACGCCTCAACTCGACTCCTCCATCTTCGCCGAGGAAGTTTCGGCTGTCGAGGAGAAGGAAAAGGAGCAGGGGAAGAAGCAGCAGGCGGCACCTATCCGGGCCCAGCACCTCGCCCCGACGGCCGACCCGGACCCGCAGAGCAGGCAGCGCTGGGAGCGTAAGATGGTCATCCGCATGGTCCATCGTAACGGCCACGAGACCCGCCAGGAGATCATCCGCCGGACCGAACGCGAGATGCGGTACCGCTCGCCTTTCCTCGCTACCTCGATCAAGAAGCTCGTCCATCTCGCTCGCCAGATTGCCGACCGGCCCTTGGATGAAGCCCTTGTTCAGATGCAGTACTCGAAGAAGAAGATGGCTCGTGAGATTCGCCATCACCTCGAGCTCGCGCGTGATAGGGCTATTGTGGAGCACGGTATGGGTCTGGGCCAAGCTAACGGCGAGGCTCCCCTGGAGAAGCCCAAGAAGATCAAGTCGAAGGATGGCAAGTGGCTCGTCATTAGTGATCCTACTAGGATCTACATTGCCCAGGCTTGGGTAGGACGTGGGTCTTGGCGTGGACAGCGTCTTGTCCATCTTGGTCGTGGTCGAAAGGGAATGCACAAGAAGCCCAGCACCAGTATGTTCAAACTCAGCCCGGTATCCCTCTCTAACTTCTACTAACTTAAAATCGCAAGGCATTTCCTTTGTCCTCAAGGAGGAAAAGACCAGAATCCGAGAATACGAAGAGGCTCTTGCCAAGGAGAAGAGGCAGGGCCCTTGGGTCCACCTGCCGAATAGGCCGATCACTGCCCAGAGGCAATACTACACCTGGTAAGCTAGATCTATGGACTAGCTCCTTATAATTAGAGGTAGGGCGAAGGAGGATGTGCATTACAGGGTTGTGTGTGTGTGTGTGTGTGTGACGGGAAGTACCTGTGGGTGGAGGCTTCCATATGTGTTGAGAGGAGGGCTATCGTGGGATCGGCTCCTAAGCTTAGAGTCATGCTACTGTATCATCTCTTGTCAGATACGTGATTGGGGTATGCGGTTCAGCCGAGAGTCCCCGTTGTAGAGTATACGCCAAGCGTCACTTGTACAGTATTGTTTTATAGACAAAACGGAAAATCTTGACCCCCATCCCTTTGCGTCAGGACAAATCGTGTCTTGAACTGGCGGGTAACCTCATTAGACAGTGTAGATCAAGTTGTTCAATCGCAGGTCTTGTATTCTTAGACTTGGTTTTCATGCTATGTACATCTCCCGAACAGAATCTCAGTCCCCAATTTCAAGGACATCAAAGAGATACTCTTTTACCATTGAACTCCTCAACACCTGATACAGTTTCAATCCATTCATTTCTTCGTGAACTCGCGATTCTACGCGTTTTTTTCTTTGCTGTTTCAACATACTAAGACACGGCATTTGTGTAGACGGCTGGCCCCGAATGTGACAAACATAGCAAAATATGAAAGGAGGAAAATCAATTTGGATATGAAGACAAAGAAATATTTTCGGGGGAAAACAAAATCCTAGATGACCAGGCAAAAGAGAGGCCCGTCAAATGACCGAAGCGGGCTGGGCGCGAGGAAGCATATCCTCGTACCGCCTCGACGTCATCTCCAGCTCGGAGCCATTATGTTCCTTTCCAAAGTCCGAGTGGGAGTCGGCGTAGTCTCTTCCCGAGCCAGGCATGGGTCCGGAAATGCTGTATCCGCTGCTGTTCAAGCGGCGGCCGTTCTTTGCTCGGCGGCGGCGGAGGAGAAGAAGAACGGCGAGCAGGATGACGGAAAGTCCGACGACGCCGACGGAGACTCCGATGCCGGCTTTGGCGGCTAGGGAGAGACCGGATGCGCCTCCGTTGGACGAATTGTCTTCCTCTTCCTTCTTGTCTTTCTCGTCGTTGTCGGAATCGTCGTTGGACGGCTCGGAACCACCAGCGCCCGCGGCAGATGACGTAGTAGCGGAAGATGTAGTGGCGGCCGGGGCGGTCGCGCTAGTGGTTTCAGTCGGCGCAGAGGTCTACAGAAGTAAGCTTTTGTTAGTATAATAAGGCAACTTGATTCTCCCAACTCATCACTACATACTGTTTCGCTGCTCGACGCTTCGGTGGCTGATGATTGAGGTGCCTGCTCCGGAGTTGGACGCTCAACGGTGCTGGTAGGAGCAGGTTCAGCCTGTGTTGGCTCTGGCGCAGGAGTCGGGGTCGGGGTAGGCGGCGCTTGGGCTTCGAATCGCAACCACGCATCATGTTAGTATCAAGGAGCTATCCAGCGGGGGAGACAAAAAAAAAAAAAAAAAAAAAAAATTCGAGAGAACTGCGTACCTGCACAGAAGGTCGCGGAAAAATTGTTGATTTGGTCGACTTGTCCGCACGACTGCTGGGCACAATCCCGGGCACTGGCGGCGAACTCTGGACTGGTACACATGCAGGTTGTGGCACCAATTTCACATCCAAAGGTATTGGCCTTGTCGCGCAAGCCACTGATACAACCCAGCTATATAGCCACCAGCCGCACGTTAGCATCTACACGATTCATCAAGTGGATGAAAGTTGCAGTGTGAGAGATCGCAGCGGCAGCTATGATAGCCCACACCCGCCATCTTAAAACACAAAGATACTTACAGCGCAAGCATCAAGGGATTCCAGTTGTGCGACGGCGACACCTAACGTTAAGGCCCAGGCCAGGCCCCTCACAAGTAGTTTGCACTTCGCCATTGGGGTGGATGCTGGCTCCTCCCAAAAAAGTCGGTGATTGAAGATTAAGCTGCGGATGTCGGGGTCGTTACGAGTGGAATCGAACGTTTTGCGAAGGCAGGTCGTCGAGGTGGGAGTGACAGGATGAAGGGTGACTTAAAAAGAGCGGTCCACAACGTCGTCGTCGCAATGTGGTCGAATGGACGGAGGCTGCTCAATAAGCGGCGGCACGGTAAGGTCAGACAGAGTTGTTGTATCTGGTGGCTGTCTTCTTGCGGAGTCCCAAAGAATAGGTCGACGAAGCGACAAAAAACCAGTTGTAGTATTCAAACCCAGTTGCAGTATTCAAAACCACTGGTAGTACTGCCTTTCTTGTCGTGAGGTTCGGCAATGGGCGTGGTTTTTCATCTAGCCACCAGCCACTTATACAAAATCGCTATGGTGGTGGGATGGCGGGGACAGCGAGCTGCAAACAGGTTGGAGAAGGTGGCCGATTGCTTGGCAAATAGCGCGGATACCCTTCCAGATTCGCGGATCTGCGGTCGAAAAATCCCGGGCGTCGTCGTCACGCGAGGGCTAGAGGCTCCAGGAGGCGGGCGCGCAGGCGGGACGAAAGCGGCGAGCTTGTAATATGGCCAGAGATGCGGAGGGCGGGACGAATCAAGGACTCTTCGGTTAAAGCAGCCGGATGCAAGTGCGGTATATCTTGGGCTAGATGGCTGGACGTCGGCGGGCTCTTATACAGGGAATATCGTGAGTATAGGAATTCGAATGGAGGCCTGGAGGCTGTTGCTGCAGTCTTTCCGATTGCTCTACACTCTACTCTCTGTTGGAGGGCTTGGAAAAGGTCTGTGGAGCAATGAAGAAAATCTAAGGGCCGCTTTGAAAAGGAGTGTGGTAGTCAAAGTGGAAGCAGAAGCGAATGAGAAATAGTGCCAAAAGAGTGACGAAAAATATAAAGAATGTATGCAGTATTAGACTAGGCAATATGAAGAAAAGAAAGTCGAAGAGGAAGAAAAAGAGGGTTGGCGAAAATACAAGTACAGCGCCATCCTTGGCTTGAGGGGAGGCAAAGTTGGGATGCAAGTCGCTTATATCAAGCCATCGGGCAACCTGGACGGGGAACGAACCAAGTCTATCAGGGACGAGGGACGTTGTCTTGGTCGTGGCTCGAAAAAGCCTCCTCCTTTCCAATGCAAGTGCGCTAGTTACGGACACCCCTGTTCCACATTTCCAGGGACCGAATAACCTCACCCCCCAACATGACACCCAGGGAGATGGACGGACCGCTGGCTGCGTAGTGTACCGATTACTTTTCCAGACACTAGAGGGTGATTGACCAGGATGGCTTGGCTCCGTCGATCAATGCGTGGGGAGAGGAAGAACCGAAGAACTGAAGATCTGGCTTGCCATCACAGCTTCGGACAGAGACAGGGGGGGATGCGCGGCACAGTTGCTAAGCCACTATTATTTCTAGAGTCCAGGGCCCAACTTGAGATTGACGAAGGCCAGGCCGCCAACGGCATTCGGCACCGCTGGCGGTTACGGATACAAATATGGGACCGACAACGACCAACTCCACCAGTGACCTCGGATTATAGTGACCCGGCGTGTTTCATCAAGCCAAAAGAGTGAGGTTACTTCAGGGGTGATGAAGGGACTGTCTCGATTACTTTGAACCCATGGCCGGAGGCTTGTCGCATCCTTTGGATTGCTCGATTCGCGGTTGGAGGAATTGGCCAAATGCCGTTGCTCAGCAGAACTGGATGAATCGATGATGTGCGTTTTCCCCTCGTCACATTCGTCACTGGATACCATTGTGACAATTCATTATCTGGATCGAACATGATCCTGAGTAATGCGCCCCCGCATTTCCTCCCCTTTCCCAGGTTGTGGCCAGTTCGTTCTGTGGAATGGCAGGGCAACATCGGGTGCGCTGACGGTTGCACTCAGGGGTGGGCGGACTCGGGATGCAGGATAATTACGTAGTCTCTTTGTGTCTGCCTCTTGATCTACAAAGGTATTGACGGATTGATCCCGTCAATTGATGTAATCGCCCATCAGTGTGCCTTGGACTTCAGTAAGAACCAACACACCCGTCAACTCCTTCGTAGTCCGCATATGCAGGGAGCGCTGTCTTCTTGTGCGAGGCATCGAATTTATTACTTCGTCTTGAGACATGGTGGAACGACTATGGGGGCAGGCAGACCCTGTGAGCCGACGCCAAGGGGCACTGGACCCTCCTTGAGAAGAAGGAATGCCAACCATCACTCAGTATCCTTCTCAATGCCATGAATTGTACGACACAGCCTGCAGCACCAGGCGAACTAGCGTTCTCGACGTACAGTAGTGTGTGCTGTCCAGAGCTGAAGCCAACCAAGGTGATTGCCCTCCTTGCATACCTGTGTGCACTACTACACCTGCATGCATACAAGACATGCCCTTCCGACTTGCCGAAGTCAGACGTCAATGTCTTGACACGTCGTCGATCGCACTCGATAAACTTGACCATTCTCTCCCCGGCACCTATTGTAATCTTACACTACGAGGTAAACTAGACATCGCGTCAGCCGGGAGAGTCTGCTGATCCATGGGGAGAGCAGCCTGGGAAACGGGGCAGGTTCAGGTGGTGAATTGGCGATGGAATTGAGCAAAATTGATCAGTGGAGTGAGTCTACAATTCTGCATTGTTGGAAAACGGTATCATGTGTTGGTTGCCCCTTTATTCCCGGGCCGTTAGTGCAGGTTCCGTCCGACGACGGATTGAAAACCGTTTGTGCTTGCAACTGCTCCGTAACACACTGCGAAGTAGTTCGTTTTTTCGACACAGGCACATCCCGATATTCCTCTGTTTTTGTTCCAGCCAGCGTTGTATTTGGCCATCTTTTCTCTTTCTCTCCTTCGCTTTCCCTTCTTTCCTTCCTTTCCTCGTGGCTTACGCTCATGGCTTGATACAATTGGAGCTTTCAAAGTGAACTGTGCGTAGGTTTGTGTCCTTCGTCCGTGAGATTAATGGAAAAAATGGCAATTTACGGCAGGTGTTGTGAGTGCCGCCGTCTTAAACCACTTCTTGGTTAGTGTGGACCCGCCCTCTCGTTTCCGCTGTCGCACCATCAACGAGGGACATTAATGTGGACCCACCGAATACGAGTAAAAATAGTTTGCGGAATCGAAAACTGGGCAAGGATTTCGGTTTTTGGCTTTGCGGGAGGACTTGGAATCGTTGGGATTAGGGACAATCCCAGTCTCGGGATTCATGGGATGGGTCAGGATGGACCATAATGCTCCGGGTTTTCTTGATCAGCTGCTGAGGAGCTGATGCACAATGTGGGGGCAAAGATCTTTGATGGTTCTACTTGGGATCTGAGAGAAGGGGACTCCTTCATCCACCAGTCACTCGGGATCAATGGTCGGTTGGCTTGGCCTGGCCAGGCCATCTCGTGTCATCAATGTCACCCTTTCCTGTTGGTAAGGACCGAGCTGGCTGTACCAGACCACGGGGATTAGTGTAGGCATTTGAAGCAATAAGTTAACTGTAACCCTGATGCCACCTGATGGATTGCACGCGACGGCGTTTTGCTAGCCTGTTCAGTTATACTTCGTCTCCGACGAGCTTGGAGACAACAACCTGAGATCCTCGGCGCCTTTGTGGTAATCGGCAGAACAAGTCCACGAGCAACCGCGGTTACAATTGCATCTACGAGTCGACTGTTTCACTACATCCTAGCAGAGAGCTGGGTGGAATCATACAAACATTGGGAGTTATCTCTAAAACGTGTTCTCTGTTGTTGGAATCCATCGCTAACTAACCGGAGTATGAACAGTTTGTCAATCCTTCACGGCCTCCGCGGATGGCTTGATGAGCCACCTGTATGCCTACGGCACAAGAGGGGTCAGTCTCCTTATCACGGAAACGTCTTGATTTCTAAAGGCATTACGTCGACCATGCCATGGATCAGCTTAGGACTCCTAAGCTGTAGCAGACGCAGCCTCAACCCCCGAGCTATGCCCATTCACACCCTCCGCCTTCTTGGGTGGTACATTTGTCAGCTTAGGCTCCTCGAGGAACTCAACTTTCTCAGTAACAGCGGAATAGATGGGCTGGCTGATAATATTCTGGTACCAACGAGTGACGTTGGGGTTCGCCTCACGCCAGGCCCTGCCGTAGAAGAACTGGAAGCCGAGGGTGATGATACCCGCGCAGAAGATGTCGGCAAGAGTAAGGCTGTCGCCAACGAGGAAGTTCCTGCCGTCTAGGTGCTCCTCGACAACAGACACGGCCGCCTGGGCCATCTTAGCAAAGGTATCAACGGACTCTTGGTTGTAGGGCCGGATGCCGACAAGGGGAAGATATTGCTCGACGAGGGGGTAAATGATCTCTGAGTTGAAAAATGACATCCATTTAAGAATATGAGCGTACTCATGCTTATCCTTCCCGAGAAGAGTGGTTTTCTCGTCTTGCGAGGTAACTAGAGCAACGTTCATGTTAGTTTTAGCTCAAGAAAAAAAAAAGAGAGAGAGAGAGAGGGAGAGCATTCATGAACCAGAAGTCTAGCAACAATTTACACATACTGTAAATGGCTATGGCAATACACTCAAAAAGTTTCATGCCATCCTCACCGCGGAAGGCTGGGACCTTGCCGAGCTTGCTGATCTCAAGGTGCTCGGGGATCCTGGGCTCTTCAATAATTTTGAGTTCCAAATTCCTCGACTTTGCGACGGCCTTGATCGCGATGGTACGTGGCTGGTCGCCCTGAGGTGAAATTAAATGTTAGTATGCCGTGCCAAGCCAAGGCGTAGAAACATATTGATAGATGACTTACAGGAGTCGTATATAGAGTACCAAACACCATTTTGGTCGAGGATGCCACCCTTCGCTAAACAATGTTTACTAAGAAAGTGGTATAAGTGGACGGAAGAATTGCTCGGCGTTGAGCCACGAGGAGGTAAAAGGCAACGAAGTCTGTCAGGATGCAGCCTGGCACGGCATAACGCTGTGTATGATGTTTCGATGCTGAAAAGGAATGTAGATTGGGGTCAAAGGAATTCGCTCTGGACCATATCGAAATGGATCAATTGATGCTCCTCAACCAGCTCCATCCTTGATCGAGATTCGATGTTGGCATTCGGAGCCCGGAATAGGCTCTAATGAGTTCGGCGACTACACCAATTTGGGCTAGTGCCGCCTCTCCCGACCGGACCTGGCAATCGGGGGTAGCGCTCGGACATGGCGGGAGATTGGGCGGGAAGCCTCCAAGCCATGGGATGACAACCTTTTTTGGAAATATGGCATTGTCTTGATCTCAGTGTGGTACCTCGGTAGTGAGTCAAGATTATCCCCTAGATGTTCTTGTTCGCTTGGTGAAGTCTCCGTGGACTCCCATTTACTTTACGATGATGAAAACGTCGTCGGCGCTTTATGGCTCGGTTTGTACAAGATCGAAAAATCCGATATACTCGGTGGGGAAATATAAACTACTCGTGCATTTTCGCACCTTCAACTTGCCGAAACGGCTAGGAAGCTTGGACCTGCCGCGTTTGGTGCTGGCCCTTCTCTCCATTGAGTTCATCCATAGGCCCAGGATCGACCCAGCTTCGTCTTCGATAGGCCCATTTACACAGATTACTGGAATCGGTACGGGCCACCTCTCCAGGGTCATCACATCATTTGTGTTACACTCGACAGCAAGAGTGGGTTCCTCGCAGGGGTACTAATACGTATTTGGGAGGTTGATTTTGGAAAGCTGGAGTTCTGTATTCGACCCGACAACATCTATAAACATCGAGCACACAGGTCGGAGAGCTATGTAGACCCTATAGAATCCTAAATCTCCCAGATCATTTTATTGTGTGCCGAGAACATCAGCAACATTTCCATCATGGCCGACGTTGAAGAACTGGTCGAAAAGCTCAACACAGTCGATGTGACCGCTTTCGAAGACGACCATGTGTCGCGACAGAAATTGGCCATGGCCGCCCGCAAGCTTTTCCACAAGCTAGAAACAAAGGAAGAGAAGACTATGAGACTGGCCCTCGAAGAACCCATCATGTTCTCTGGGCTCCAGGCCCTCATCGACGTGGGTTTGTGGGAGGACTGGGCTGCTGCTGGAGGGGGCGAAAAAGACGTCGATGAGTTGGCCAAGATCGTCAAGAAGGATGTTGACCCCGAGTTGCTACGTAAGTGGTTTATGACTTCAACTACTTTGTATTATTTGGCCGCCAGCTTCCTAATAAGCGTATTTTCTTAGGCAGCCTCCTACGACTCTTGGCCACCCACCACATTGTTGAAGAAACTGGGAAAGATCGTTACGCACCAACGAGTTTCTCCCTCGCCATCGGCGATAAAAGCACCCTTGTAGCACCAGGACTTACAATAAGGTACGCAGGACACCCTGGAAAGGGACGCCCTCCAAAGCAAACGGGACTAATTCACTAATGACGAGCCACAGGACCGACCACGTCTCACAATGCGCCCAGAACTTTCCCGCGTTCCTCGCCAAGACAAACTACCGCAAGCCTTTGGACGACAATAACAGTTGCTACATCGACGCATACCCCGAGAAGAAGAACTTCTGGGGAAGATGCGAATCAAGCCCTCATCTCCAAGAGAGCTTCTCGGGCTTCATGACGCTCTGGGCTAGGCAGAAGAGGCCGTGGCCCGAGTTCTACGACACAAAAGCACTTCTTGAGGGTGCTGACCTGAGTGATGGCAGCGCGTTCGTCGTAGACGTTGGTGGACACCACGGCATCGATCTACTGCGCGTCGTTGATAAGCACCCTGATCTCCCGGCTGGGTCTCTCGTTCTTGAGGACCTGCCCGAGACAGTCGCTGCGGCTACTTTGACCACGGACAAGATTAAGGCCATCGGGTATAACTTTTTCGAGGAACAGCCTGTTAAATGTCAGTCTCATTCTTCCTAATTTCTCACTTTATTTTCTTTTTCACAATAATTCTATTCTGTCCGTTTCTTTCCCGCTGGGAAGTTATCAGTGACAAGCTGACAATCTGTAACAATATAAAGGCGCCCGGGCGTACTACCTGCATGCCGTTCTCCACGACTGGTCGGACAAAGTGTCAATCGATATCTTGAAGCAGGTTGCCGCTGCCATGAAACGCGGCTACTCGAGGGTGTTGATCAATGATATCGTCCTTCCAGATACAGGGGCCAGCTCCTACCAAGCTGGCTTGGATTGCCTTGTAATGCAGGCGTCGGCCAACGAAAGGACCGAGGATGTCTGGAAGAAAGTCATCAGCGAGGCCGGGCTGAAGTTGGTCAAGATATGGCCTGATGGCCGCGGTTACGAGAGCTTGGTCGAAGCTGAGCTGCCGTAAACAGAGGACTGCTTGCAGAGAACGTGGGACACAATGAAGTGGAGACGATGGTTTCAATAACTTAATACTAGCAGTTTCTTTCAATGATGTGTAGGACTTTTTTTTTCGATTTTTTATTTTTATTTTAGATGAACTCTGCTAGAAGAAGATCCCTCAATGTTTCCTAAGATATAACTTAACTCCAATATATGGTAGTAGACTCTTTAAAACCAGCAGATGTGTCCAAAATGCCAGTGTCAATTCTAAACTATTGACAATGTTTTTCCACAGATCCCCGTCACTCACGTCTCGGTTGTCTCCAGTGATGACTTCTCCCTCGCCTCAATCGCTTTGTGCTTGCCCCAATTCATCTGAAAATACTCCTTAACTTTGGCTCTCGCGGCTTCCACTACAGCCGCATCCTCCACCGTGCTGGGAACCGTGACCTCCTCGTCAAACTCTCCATGTGTCCCATTCTCAACGAGTTCCCGCAGCACCCGCCGGAGCGTCTTCCCCGATCTCGTCTTAGGGATTATGCCTTCTCCTTGAACGATGCCTCCCAATGCCGCAAACGCGCCGACTTGCTTGCGCACGAGCGACTGAATCTCCAAGGTAAGCTGTGGATCTGGTATCGCAGATTCTGGGTGTTTGGTGACGGAGAGGGTGATGAATGCAAAGGGGAGCTGGCCCTTGAGTTGGTCGGGAATGCCCACTATGCAGGATTCTGCCACGAGAGGGTGGGATGAGATGGCTTGCTCGATGGCTCCTGCAGGGTAGATATCTTGTCAGTTAACCTGGAAACAAAAATGGCCGAGATGATTCTCCAATGGCGAGCGTTACATACCACTTGAAAGCCTGTAGGCACTGACGTTCAGCACATCGTCGTTTCGACCCATCACATGAACATAGCCCTCTTCGTCAATCCACCCTGCATCTCCGGTATCCAGAAACTTTCCGTCAAATCTCCTTAAATAACTCCTATAGAATCTTTCGTCATTGGCCCATAGAGTACGGAGCGCCGTTGGTCCAAGAGGCAGTCCCAGCACTATATTACCCATTGATCCCCTTCCCACTTCCTTTCCCTGCTCATCCACGACACGAACATCAAATCCAGGCATCGGTTTTCCAGCACTCCCGGGCTTAATTCGTACCGGAGTGTAATATCGTACCTGAGTGCGGTCTTGGGCGGCGTGGGGATTGAGTGCTCGACCGGTAATTGGTGATCCTACCTCCGTTGACCACCAATTGTCAATAACATGGGGAGAGGGTGCAGCATATTTATCGAGGAGCCCTTGGTACATAGTTACCAACGTCGGTTCCGAGCGTTCGCCTGCAAGGAAGAGGGCCTTGAGTGATCGTAGGCCTCCACGCTCGCCTACTTTGGAAAAGGCGTCGTTGTTTGGGTCGTCATGTCTGATGGCCCGAAGTGCGGTTGGTGCCGTAAACATCGTGCTGACTTTGTATTCCTCAATCACACGCCAGAACGCGGATGCATCCGGGGTCCCCACAGGTTTTCCCTCATATAGGACGGTAGAAGCTCCGGCGAGTAATGGAGCGTAAAGAATATAGGAGTGGCCCACTACCCAACCGATATCCGAAGCCGTAAAGAAAACGTCTCCCGGGCCCCGGATATTGAAAACGTAGCTGATCGACAGATGTAAACCTACGGCGTGGCCTCCGGCGTCCCGGACCACGCCCTTCGGGCTTCCAGTCGTACCGGATGTGTGCATAATGTAGATGGGATCGTCGCTCTTTACCGGTACACAATCGGCTTTGATTCCTCTCGCCTTTGCGCTCCCCGCAAACTCTTGCCACGACGACTGGTTGCCACCGGTGGCCTTACCGCCGCAAACAAGTCTTTGTAGTCTTCGCCACCACGGCACACTCCACCAGGTCCTTATTCCCCAGCGCAACTGCTGTCGCTGCCAGATCACAACGCGGCCCGGCTTGTGAGAAGAAAGGTCAATCGCCTTCTCTACTAGTGGTTGGTACGCGATGGGAGGCCTGTTTCCGACAATGCCACATGAAGCTGTAAGGAGAACTGCTGGCTTGCAAGCCTCGATGCGCTGAGCCAGGGCGTTTGGTGCAAACCCGCCAAATACGACAGAATGGATGGCTCCGAGGCGGTTAACGGCGAGCATTCCGATTAGAGCGGCGGGTATCATGGGCACTGAGTTTCTGAAAGTTAGAAAGAATGGTTGCTGTTGGAGCATGGAGGTAGTCGTGCACTCACTATACAGCATCACAACGTCACCCTTCTTGACCCCATCTTCCCTGAGTGCTCCGGCTAGCGTCTCGACCTCGCCAAGGAGTTGCTTGTAGGTATACCTTTCCTTTGTGGCCGTCACAGGGCTGTCGTAATAAACAGCCACCTGGTCTCCGTTGCCCGCCTCCACATGTCTGTCGACACAGTTGTAACACGTTGATATCTCCCCGCCAGGGAACCACTCCCATGTGGGATGAACCGCGCCACTCTGCAGCATCCTCTCCGCCATTCGAAGAGTACTTTCGGGTTTCTTGTGCCATGAAAGGTGCTCGGCTTGCTGAGCCCAGAAGTCTTCTGGGTTTTGCAAGCTCCGTTGTAGAATTTCATCTTGAAGATGGACCTGGGTGGGGATCTCGGGAGACATGCTGGATCGAACAAAAAGAAGACACGATAGTATCAGACTAGCCTTGCGGGAAGGCCTGTCGATAATATCGTTTGTGTACTCTACTGAAAATAAACTGGAGGTGGCCAAGGCGAGATTGTGTTCAGTGGTTTTGGTGATCTCCAAACGTGTAGATTGTGCACAGCAGAGGTGAATGTCTAATACGGATCAATCACTAAATGTATCACTGCGGCCTGGCTATATGAGATCTATTCTACTTACTTTCATCTTTTTAGTCTTGGATTGATAGGTATGCAGCCCTACAGATCAAAGTGCAGAGCTCCGATCGACTTACAAGATTGGACGTGGACAGGGGCAATTTTTGGCTGTTCGGCCCTTCGGTGTGTACGGCGCTTCCAGTAGTTTGCGGTTAGGCCGCCGACGCCAAAGATGCTCAGTGGAGCAACCTTTAAACTGCAACGGCCCAAGGGAAGAATCACCATTGGCTTTTCCCATCCTGATAGGACCTAGTAATGACAAAGTGTCATGCGTCTGAGCAGCCTGCGGGTGCAGCATCGGTTTAACTGAACTTGATTCAGTCCCATGACCAAGCCATTCAAACTTTGACGAGTTGAGCAGGATTACAAGGCATTTATAAGATGGCCGGTAGTCGGAGAGGGTTTCCACGATTTATGCGGTTCGTTAGATACTGCATTGTCTCTCCCCGGCATTCAGTCAATATCGAGCCCGTGGGTCAACTATTTACATCTCACTTCACTTGTCCTCCAGAGCTGCATTGAAAATGGTTTTACTTGCCTGAGAACGTCCCTGTCATTATGGTGCCGATACTGTCTTAGTGGTTCTAGATAACTCTCGAGTAGGTAGTAGTTTGGAATCATTTGGACGGGGCACCACTTGGGCTCCTGTGACGGTCTTGACCCACCAGAAACCGTAAGAATACCCGCTTTCTATTCCCAATTCGCTTGACATACTGTGCCTCCTAGACGGGATATCGACTGACCGAAATTACGCTCCATTAACTTTTCCTGTGTCTTTCGAGCCTGTCGGCATTGGCACCGGGCCTCCTGGCGAATTCTCCGTTCGCGCAGTCAAGACCTCGACGCCTGTTTCCGTGACAAGTAAAGTGTGTTCTACACACGCGTTAGTTAGCACTAGGGCGTAGGCGCGAAAATGGCGTCATATACTCACCGAATTGAGCAGTTCGCTTGCCATCCACGGTGACGTTTGTCCAGTTATCCGGCCAGTAAACCTCCCGAGGCTTTCCCACCGTGAGGATCGGCTCGATTGTGAACGTCATTCCAGGTTTGCACACTCCTGCTATCTTGCTCTTGCCATAGTGAGGGATCCAGGGCGGGGGATGGAACTCGGAGTTGATACCATGACCACCCCAGGTCGTGACGACGCTGCAGTTTCTGGCCTTGGCGTACTTCTCAATGACGTTACCGAAGTCTCGTATTAGTGTACCGGGCTTCACGGTCTTGATCGCCTCATCCAAGGATTCTCGTGTCGTTTCAATCACTCTGACCGAGTCCGGGTCCGCCTTGGCTCGATCGCCAACATAATACGTCTCGCTAAGATCGGCGTGATACCCTCCATGATATAATGAGACGTCAAGGTTGATGATATCGCCGCCCAGAAGGACGCGGAAATCGGGTATTCCGTGACAAACTACTTCGTTGACAGAAGTACATATGGACTTGGGGAAATGGTTGTAGTTCAAAGGAGAAGGATACGACTGTTTCAGGGTCAGAAGTTATTCAGACTCAATCTTGAGAAGAGAGTCGTGCTTACATCCCGCTCGACACAAGCCCTATGGCAAACCTCGTCCAGGTAATCTGTGCTAACTCCCGGCCTGACCTCGGCGGCGGTGATGTCCAAGACTTCTCGAGCCAATCTGCACACCTTGCGCATTGCTTCTTGCCCCTTGGCGTCGAGAAGGTCAATCTTGGACCTGTTCAAGCGCCGCTCCGCTTTTGGTATGCCAGTCTCGGCCCAGTCTGGTCGTCGGATCGACTTGGGGAGCGTACGCCGCGGAGAAAGCGGATAGACAGGCCGGACAGAGCCGGTGAAGCTGTAGGTCGGGAAGGGATTGAAATACCCAGGAGCTGCGTTAGATCCATTCTTATTTTGGACCGTTTTGTGCATGGCCTTATGGTCATTCTGTAACACAGGCCTTCCGTCAGCCGGAAGTCCTAGTAGGGGAGCGATACGGTAAGACCAACCCAGTTCTTCTTGAAGCATTCCTGGGAGCAGAAGTAGCTGTCTTTCAGGCCCAGCTTCAAGCAGGTTGGGCACTGTAAAGATCCAGCATCATTCTCGCAGTCTGCTCCTAGGCACTTGCGCTTTTCTAGCGATTCTGATAGGTCGTCCGCCATTTTGGTAGGGCTCGCCTCTTATTATGGGAGGCAGAAACACCCTTGAGAGATGAGACGAATAACCGCAGTGGTGGGTTAGAAAAAGAAATTGATGTATTTGGTCAGAAGTCTCGCGTCAGAAGGCAGCCTTAGGAAAACTCGGATGTAGCACAGGGCAGCGTGCTGAGGTACCAAAGTACACTACAAAGACCAATCCTGGTGATTAATCAGCCCTGAGATCTGCAAAGCGGGGTCCAACTCCTCCTTCCAGTTTAGCGAAGGGCATTAAATTAGTGCGCATTGCTGAAACGGGATGGAGGCTTGCGCAAAAGAACCTTGAACCAACGAACAACAAGCCACCAGCTGAATCCCGACGGGGTTTTTCTTAAACTAAAAATAAGTCGTGGGAGGCCGAAGGGCTCCGGTGTGCTTCCTTCCTAACTAGAATTGAAGTGAAGATTACGGCCCTCAACGCCACATACCCTTTCCTCAAATGCGTGCATTGCGCTTCCATCGACGACCTCCCATGTTCTTCTTCTTCTACCTAAGACCCTCCGTGACAGTAGCCAAAGTAGCAGCGAAAATACATAAGAAAGCCGGGACATTAACCATGAGAGTCCGGCGGTGATGGGGCGGCAACCAAGACTCCAGCGCATCTTCGTTTGGGACTCCGGCGGCCTTAGGATCGGAAATGCGGGCAAGAATGGCAAACATTGAAGGGCCCCAGGAAAAATGCGCGATGCTGAAGAAGGCGCCGGCAAGATACAGGCCACGGATCTCCTGGCTCTGGCCACTTAGACCATTGGCGATGCAGAGGGCGGTGGCAGGCAGGTAGGTCAAACCGATTCCCCAGAGCCCGGGCTTCATGAAGGCTGGCAAATAACGGGGCAGGATTTTGCCACTCGGGTGGGTCGGATCGTTGCGGAGGGACGGGTGCAAGAAGGCCCCGAGAGAAATGTCTTGAGCCCAACTGAACATGACCGACGCAGAGGAGAGGACTAGTGGAGAGACGCGTAGGAGCGCGATTCCCAGCTGAGGGGCATTGCCAGAGCTGAATAGAGATGTCATTTTCTTCTTCCTCAAGTCGGTTATCCGTGTGTTGTGATGATTTCCATGAGCTGGTGGGACTTTGATGTAGTTCAAGAAGGTCTATGAAAGCTTCATTGACAACAAGCCCAATTAATTAATACTGGCTACTCTCTGCTTTATGGGCTCCTAGTCTAACCTCGAACGTTAAGCCCAATTCCAAGCCCGACACAGGATATGCTCCATCAACTCGTCGGGTTTGCCCGCCAATCGTGCGAGACTGGAAGGCTCGGTCGTATGATTTATTTAAATATGTAACGCTTCCTTTGGTTCCTCTCGCTGCTCCCCGCTGTTGGCCTGGTCGAATTTGCAAGTATACTTGGGCTAGGAGAGGTGTTGGTTGCCTGCAACTGCGGTGAGCGATGATGGCCGGATTCGCCCGACTTTTCGGATCCGGTACTATTTCCTTATCCGGCAGTGCGGGCCGAATCGGCTTGGCACGAGACTGCCGAACCGGGCGATTCAGCGGTCCTCGCCAACGCACCAGCGGGAAGCTGGAGCCGGGGACGCAGGGCTGCAGCAGCTCAGGGTCCAATCCCAATGTTTGAGTTAACTGAACACTTGGTGATATTGATTGAATACACGCAACGTCCAAGCTGTAATTGCCAATCCCGACCACTCGTGAAGAAAGTGATTCCCAATTCTAAAGGTTCTATATTGCGCTCGACCGTACTGAAATCCATCGCAAAACCTTACCTGTCGCGTGCTGTATAGCCTATAATGTCGCAAAAGGCTGTGGACTGCGATGCTGTTGTCATCGGTGCAGGTTTCAGTGGCATCAGGAGTCTCTGGGAACTGGATCAACTCGGCCTAACCGTGAAGTGCTTCGACGCAGCATCAGATGTTGGAGGCACATGGTACTGGAATCGCTATCCTGGATCTCGAACCGATGGCGAGGCATGGATCTACATCTTGAACTTTGCGCCAGAGTTGCTTGAGGAATGGAATTTTCACGAACGTTACCCTTCTCAGGAAGAGATTCAACGGTACCTGGGTCGTGTTGTTGGTCAGTTCTTGCCTCTCATATTCGCTCGGCAGCCGCCATACCCGTGATATTGGAGAAGATGGAGGTTTTATCCGCTAACTAAGAAAAACAGACCGATACAATCTGCGCAAAAGCATTCAATTTGATACGCGAGTTGTGGCAGCCTGTTACAGTGATAGCGAGAACATCTGGACAATCACCACCGCAGACGGATCGTCCACCACCTGTCGCTACTTTCTACCGGCTACTGGGATTCTGTCAGTTCCAAAGAATCCGCCTTTCGCCGGACTCAAATCCTATAGGGGCGAGTGGTATCAGGTGTCCAATTGGCCAGCGCACAAGCTTGATTTCCAAGGCAAGCGCATCGCTATCGTCGGCACGGGCTCGACTGGAATCCATCTCATCCCCAAGCTTGCGCCGGTGGCTAAGGAATTGACTGTGTTTCAACGCACGCCTAACTACGTGCTCCCGGGGCGGAACTATGCCATCGACGAGTATCAGGCTGTGGACATCAAAGCGAACCACGATGCCACCTGGGAAATTGCAATGAACAACCCGGCCGGTCATGCATTTAAGTCATCGGGGAGAACGGTCAAGGGAGTGGGAGACCCGGAAAAGATCAGGCAGATTTTCGACAGCGGCTGGGAGCGTGGAGGTTTCAATTTCCAGCTCGAGACCTTTGATGATTGTTTCATGGACCCGGAGTCTAATGAAGAAATGTCGGAATTCGTTCGCCAAAAGATCCGCGCCATCGTCCAAGACCCGGTTACTGCAGAGATCCTGTGTCCCAAATATCCCTTCGGCTCCAAGCGCCCGCCTGCTGGCCACCACTACTATGAGACATTCAATCGTCCCAACGTCAAACTGGTGGACATAAGCCAAGACGAAATTGACCTTTACGAAAAGGGAATCCGAGCGAAGTCCGGGGCGGAATATGAGTTCGACATGATCATTTTCGCTCTGGGGTTCGATGCGGGGACCGGCGCGATGAACGAAATAGACATTGTGGGGAGCCATGGAATGCCGCTAAAGGAGTATTGGGCAGATAAGCTGCGAACGTTCGCTGGAGTCCTGGTCCACGGATTCCCCAACATGTTCATCGTCTGCGGGCCCCACGTACCTGCGGGAAATCTGCCAACCTTTGTCGAGATAGCCGGAGCCTGGATCGGCAAGACTATCCGCCACATGGAGGAGAACAAAATTGCCACCATCAACGTGACGGAGAAGACTCAGGATGCCTGGACCGATCATGTCAACAATCTATGGGGCTCCGTATTCATCTCGGAACATGCCAAGGCAAACCGCTCTTGGTTCGTGGGCACAAACGTACCTGGGAAGCCTGCGAGGATCATGTTCTACTTCGGAGGCCCCCAACTGTGGAATTCTTGGCTCGAGCAAGAGAGTAATGGAGGGTGGGCAGGCATGGACTTTAGTCCTCCTGCGTCCACCAACAAAGTGAACCAAGAGATCTTGGGTCAAAATGGATCAGTTAATGGGCTACCCGTTACAGCTCAAGCGCTCGAGTCGATTATTCTGCCCTTGCAATCCGACAAGGTTGGTATGTCCCCAGCCGAGAAGTTCAATCACATCTCCGCTGCCTCGGCTCGGTACATCGATTGGGCGGTCAAGGAGGTCCAGGAGCGTCGACTGGCCGTCAAGCAGGATTATCGCGCCCACTGGTGGAAAGTGTTGCGAGATTTCGTAAACTCGGAGTCCGGGCAGGCTATCATCCAGCAGAGTCCAAGTACGAAACAAGAACTAGAGCAGCTTACTTCTAAGCTGGGTGTTGAAGGCGAGGCCATTGCCCGCATCGGGCCTGAGATAGTGAACCTGCTGATTGGCAAAACCCATCCCCTGGTCCACATTCTCAGGGATGATCTGCTCTTCCGCATGTACCTGTCGGATGAGGGTGCCAGACCAAACCGGTATGCGGGTGAATACGCAAAGATCCTCACCTCTCAGAAGAAGGACTTGAGGATCTTGGAGATTGGTGCCGGAACTGGAGGCACGACCTTCCAAGTTCTTCAAGCATGCAGCCCCGAGGGCGAGAACTTCTGTGCGGAATATGTGTACACCGATATTTCAGCCGGCTTTTTCAAGACTGGTCAAACTACCTTGAAAAAATGGCAGCATCTGCTGAAGTTTCAAACTCTGAACGTGGAAACCGACCCCGTGGCACAGGGTTTTGAGGCGAATTCCTACGATCTAGTCATTGCGGCAAACGTCGTTCACGCAACACGTTCCCTAACCACGTCGCTGGGCAACATTCACAAGTTGCTGAAGCCAGGTGGTACGCTGGCCCTCGTGGAGCTCACTCGGTTGACCCCTTACTTCAATATGGCTTTTGGCTCGCTTTCGGGGTGGTGGGCGGGTGTTGATGAGGGTAGAATAGAGAGTCCGCTGCAGTCTCCCGAGCAATGGGATGAGCAGCTCCGGAAGGCGGACTTCTCCGGCGTTGATCTGGCGGCCTATGATCTACCAGAGCCTGAAAGGCATAGTGCTCTGCTATTGTCGACGGCACTGGCAACTGGTCCAATCGTTAATGGACATTGACTCTTCAGGTCATCCTACTAGTTATCGATAACATCAAGCAGTTCAGGCTTTGGATCTATTGTTGCCTCTATCACATTGAAAATCATCCGTGGATCTTCCGTTTCCCGATGTCAACAGCATAGTAAATAGCCTGATAATTTAGAAGAATTTTCTAATCAAATGCCCTATCGAGCTGCATCGAGTAGACTAGTTTGTACGAACTAGTAGGGAGCGTTGTAGAGGAAGGGGGCGGGAGTGAAGGGTTGGGGAAGGGAAAGAAAAAGAAAGAAAAGGCAAAAAGCTCGCTTGCAGGTCGCTCCCAGGATCGAATCCTGGTTGCTTCCCACGAGCTACGAAAAATTGCAATTTTCTAACCTTCTGAGCGCTCCAGTGACCACTTGGCCATTGATCGCAGTATTGCTGCTTGAGCTGCTCGGTTGATGGTTCTTGCCCAGATCTGGGACATAGAGATATTACGAGAGGAATCGTGGGAATTTTTGGAGGAAGGCACGTCTCGGGCGCCTTCCCTTGGAGTTGAAATCGTGGGAGGGAATAAATTCCGTTTACGATTGAGATAGTTTAAGACCCGGAAGGCTTCACCACTGAATATGATTCCATATCAAAAGAAATGGTTTCTAGTATATAATAGCAACGTTCGTACAATTTGATAGTCCCTGTATAAGCCCGTCTATACTTCCACCCGGTCGGAAACCTGGTTCCGGGGTCCAAACCAGAGTAGACAAGAAGTCGAGGAATCTGTTGGGAATTCCTGAAAAGAGTGTTGGTCAAGATAACAACCATGGGTATGCCAAAGGCGGCCCAGAACTTGGGGTTTTCCCTTGCAGCTCGCCTCTCAGTCGAGGAAAGATGGGGAGCAAGTTGCTGCCAAGAAGCCAGAACTGTTGTGCCGATTGTGAGCATTCAAGTCTTTGACTAGTAGACTATGATGACGAGAAGTCCAACTTACACCATACCAACAGTACGACACGTAGTCGTCTTTCTCGTCGTAGCTAAGAACATAGCCAGCCAGGCACCTCAGACCCAGAGCAGCGAACAGCGCACTGGCAACAACCGGTGGCTCCCACAAGGCAATCAGGCCAATTGTCCAAGCCACGATCATAGCGGCGAGGGACCAGCGAGCGACCGGTTGCGAAAGTAACAGCGGAATCGTCTTGCGACCCCGAATAGCATCAGCTGAGCGATCACGGAAATCTTGTGCGTGGCCCTGCATGATTGAATCTCTTCTCAGCTGTGTATCAAAAACGATTCAGATCGTAAACCTACAGTTGTTGCGAATATAGCACCTATCATGAGCACAGCGATAGCCTTCTTGCTATGTAGCTCACTACCCTGGTCTGGGTTGGAACATATCAGCATAACGACTAATTATAAACAAAACATACATGTCGTCGAGGTCTCCTGTGAACATACCGAGTATGACAGTGGTTCCCCAGCAGTAGCACGCGAGGCCTATAGACCCGATGACATTTTTAACGACTGGAATCGCGGCCAGGCCCCCTTCGTTGTATATTAGGATTGCCACCGAGTAAGTCAAGGTGCATGGGATCGTGTTCTCGAAAAGCGCCGCGGCCCACATCAATGTAAACAGGGCGTAGTATAGGATTTGTGCATTACTTATAGATATACGACCGGATGGTAGTGGTCGATGGGGTTTTGCTATTCTGTCTTCTTCGACGCCGTCGATCTACTCACCTGAGTAAGTATGAAGACGTTCTTTGATATGGTAAAGAGAAAAATGCCATGCTAACCTGGTTTTTGACCTATGTCCATGTTAGTCAGGTTTTTAACCGTGCCTTCTGCTAGGGAGTCGCGTGAAGGTACCTGGAAAGTGAGTAGATGTAACTGGTTCCAGAGAAATCCTCTCACGATCAAACCTAGACGTGATGGTCCTGCGAGAACTAGGGCTACTGCCATCTACTTTACCACTTAGTATTCAGCCAATGAAAGCATTTGCGTGACATGAGTCGTACTGAAGGTAGCGCGGCGGCCGGAATATCGGACTTTCCAAACAGATACAAGATCTGCAGAAATTCGACAGGGTGAGATGCAGCCTCGAGTAGGCTCTTGACATTCGCCATCGTGGGGCTCGTAGGAGGAGAGAAAGTGAATAGAGCTGTGAACATCAGTCAAACGTTGTGCAATGTGAGTTGTATTGGTAGCCTCATTTGTGCTGGCTTTTGTGCTCCTCACGATTGATATTGAGGTGTCGACTGTCTACATCTATTAACTCAGGGGTAGAACCTCGCAACGCCACGTTATCCATTGGGCTTCTTCTCTGCATTCCTACGGGCACTCTACTTCCTCATTAGGAAATACCGAATCAATGAACGCTGTCGTCGCACGATGGGGGGAATTTCGCCGAGTACGTTTCGCTATTTTGACCTGTCGACCTTCCGGAGATAGCTCCGACTTCATCTATTCCGTTCTCCGGTAAAACGGGCCCTTCTCGGACCAATGGCAACGAGTCCTTTTATCATCTCTCCATAGCACACCGGAGGGAGCGGTTTGCGTATCAAGGTCGAGACTACAGAGATTGCCCAACGCAGAATCGACACATAAGATCTCCCACGAACGGGAGAGTTGTTCCCTCAAGAGGGCCTATCAGACTAACATTCGACTGTAGCTTTACCTAGTTTCTCTTGCCCTTCTCTTTTGCCTCTCCTCGGAATCATGGATCTTGACTCACCCATTCTCCAAGCTACAGCCTTGGTAGCCTTCTTTGGGGTGCTCGCCTACCAGTGGCACTCGAGTCAGAAGGGAAGCTATGCTATTCCACCAGGGCCAAAGCCTCTACCGATTGTCGGCAATGTCCTCGATCTTCCACCCAAAGGGGAGCCGGAGTTCTTACATTGGTTCAAGCACAAGGATACCTATGGCCCCATCAGCTCGATCAATGTGATGGGCCAGAGGCTCGTCATCTTCCATGACAAGGACGCGGCGCATGCCGTTATGGGGAAGAAGGCCCAAAAGACGTCAGCGAGACCCCAACTGAACTTTGCGAGGCTATGTGGTTTCGACAACTTCTTGATCACCCATCAATACGACGACAAGTATCGAAAGCACCGAAAGATGGTCCATCAGGAGATCGGCACTAAGTCTCTATCGGCCGGTTTCTATCCTGTCCAGGAAAGGGAAGCCCTTCATTTCACTCTACAGACTTTCCATGACCCTGACGGAATTCTCCAGCATCTCAAGAGGTGAGTGTCAATTTCTTCTATATTCTAGAGACAGTCTGAAAGGAATAAACAGGATGTATTCAGTTAGCTGACAGTCTTATTTACAGAATGGCAGCGGCGGTCGTTTTATCAATTACCTACGGATATACGATTGAGAGGAAAGGGCCAGATCCACTCGTCGATCTGATCGAGCACGCCATGGAAAACCTCTCCCGTGCATTTGTTCCCCTTTCCTGGGCCATAGATGCTGTCCCTGCTATCAATTATCTTCCCGATTGGTTCCCTGGTATGACATACCGGAAGACAGCTCAAGAATGGAAAGCGATCAACGAGGCCGCGGCAGAGCTCCCATACGCTTTCGTCAAGCAGCAGTTGGAAAAATCGGCTCACCGGCCATCATATGTTTCCAACCTTCTCGAGAAGAACATGACAAGATCCAAAACCAACGACATAAAACTGGATGGGGATGACGAAGAGGCCATCAAGTGGACTGCTGTCAGCCTCTACGCCGCCGGCTCTGATAGTACCGTCGCCATAATAACCAGCGTCATTCTGGCCCTGGTAATGTTTCCCGAAGTGCAGGAGAGGGCACAAGAAGAGCTTGACCGTGTGGTCGGCGGCGACCGACTTCCCACCTTTGAGGACCGGAAAAATCTGCCCTATATCGATGGCATCGTGAAGGAAGCATGGCGATGGAATCCCGTTGGACCGATGGGCTTGACACACAAATCTGAAGAAGACATCGTCTATGGAGAATACGTCATCCCCAAGGGGTCGTATCTACTTCCCTCCCTCTGGTGGTTCCTGCACGACCCGAAAGAGTACTCGGACCCAGAGATTTTCAAACCGGAGAGGTACTTAGAGCCGCTCAACGAGCCGGACCCGAGTGAACTCGCCTTTGGCTACGGGCGGCGATCTTGTGCTGGCCGCTTCTTCGCGGACGGGAGTGTCTACATCACCCTCGCGCAGATGCTTTCCGTCTTTAGGCTCTGCAAAGACACGGACGCGCAGGGGAACGAGATCCCCGTCAAGCTTGAGGCAATTCCAGGGATGGTGAACCGGCCCAAGGAATTTGCCTTCAAGATCGAGCCTCGAAGTCAGCATCATATCGAGCTTCTGGAACGCATTGAGGCAGCGCAAGAGCCTGAGACTAGCGATGCTAGATTCCTCGACATCAGCCCACTGGAATGAGATCTCGGAGAGTACTTTATGTTAATGAGATTGCTATTGGGATTGAGGCTTGATGTAAACAGTTCTATTTCTAGAGGAATACATATATTCTTTCATGAAATTGAAATTACACAGAACGGAGCTGTGTTCCAGCCTTTCTATTTGCCCTTCATGCCGTCCCTTTCCCTTTTGATCCCCCAAGCCCCCTAATGCGTTTCCTTTTCCGTTTTCTTTTCCATGCCATGCCATTTTATGATGGCGACGATATCACCCGATAGCCATTCAGCTTTTTCTTCTGCTTCAATCTTCCATTTTCTATTTACAACTGCAAAATTCAACTCTTCCGTTCATGGTTTCTTTGTAAATCACTAAACGCTCGTTTCGCCACGTCAGTAGCGTCACTTAACAGTTTAAACGCCTTTGTGCCCTTTTTTACATCATTGCGCAGATGACCAAGAAGCCGGTAAAGATCCTGAATATGCATGTTGACTATGGCAAATAGAAACTCCTCGCAAAGAGCGGCGGACCGAACCTGATATTTCCCCACATAAATGCCCGCGGGCGTTAGGAAAGGAGTCGCACCTTGAAGCGCTGATGTCATAGAAGTTGCCGTCTTGACTTTTTGCTGGTATGCGAGAAGCTGGCGACACAAGTCCTGTGACATTGTCGCGAGCTGTTGGATTATTACGACGACGAACATGGAGTTTGTGGTACAGACGGAGCAGTGCTGGCATGGGAGGACCTGCTTACACGTCTCGATCCCGTCATGCAAGTACCCGAGCAAGTCATCGAAGTGGTGGTCGGCATGCTCGGTCTGATCACCGACGTCACCACTGATCCTCTCAAGGATATCAGCCAGAGATCGGATGCAGTCGCACCGGCCGTTTGGAAAACAGTCGGACGATGAAGAGCCGGCGGAAATGGTTGGAGGGTTGGCCGTCGGTGGTGGAGTCAAGACGAGGCTGGCATCTATGATGTTCTCATCGATATGTGAATTGGATCTTGTGTGCGAGAATGCAGCTGGGCTGCCGTGATGAAAGTTTCGCCCTGGCGCCAGCTGATGGGCATCCATACTCTCATCACCAAGGCTTAGCTCCATTCTTTGGTGCTGGGTTAAGTGCGGGTCATGCCAGTTGTGGATGTGGTCGGTGTAAATGGGAGCTGATGATAGAGACATTGGCGTCCAGAAGCCATCGTCTTTTAGATCCAGCGAGGAAGAAGAATGCCTCGTGTCCATTTCTGTAGTAGACATGGGCAATTCTTCAACTGGAAACCGCTCCTCTGTGTTGACTTTCGTATGCCTTTTCTTTACAGGCGCTTTCGAAGAGGAGGGCTTAGGATCCGGTTCGGATTGTCGGCGCTTCGAGCCTGCGGGATCCGCGGATCTGGTAGATGAGCGGTAGGTGCAGGTGGTGAGCGTAGTTTGACATCTCTGGCAACCGTCGAGTTCGCCGCTGCATTTCAGCTTTTTGGGCAACGCTAGATTAGTTTTCAGTTGCATTCACTGCAGTGGACAACACCTGGGGACCGAGGATTACCTTTCGCTCCCGGCAGGCGTCACAGGCCTAAGTGTATTTTGCATCAGCACAGATCTACCTCGGCGCTTCTAAGAACAGGACCGTGTTCTCTCCATCGGAATCCCCTTGGAAAAGTTCAACTTACTCTCGCGGTATAGTTGCGCGGGTCGACCCTGCTATTCCCAGACAGGTCAATGTATTCGAGATCGTTCTGCGAATCTTTGTTGTAACGAAAAGCACCAAACATCGCTCACTGCGATTTTAACAACAACGGTGCTTCTAGGTAAAACAGCCAGGGTAAGTTGTTCGATTCCGCAGTCGTCCCTGACTGTGCTAGGGTGTATAAAGAATAATGAGAGGGCGGCATGAGCCTGAGGTTTTCCTTTTTTTTTTTTTTTTTTTTTTTTCGATTAAATACGGATTTGGCTTATGTTACCTCGGTTTGCCACGACGTGCATGTAGATATTGATGTACGTTTTATCGCTTTGCAGGCGATCGAGAAGCAGCCAGCGTCAATGGATGGCTGGCTGGCATACTTTGATGGATGGATAGGTGGATGCTACTGTACTCGTTCTAAGTCTAAACGCCTTGAGGCGTACTATTTTTCACTCTAATTGGATGAGAAGGAATTGGGATGGAAGGGTTAATGTCCCGGCCGAGACCTTCGCCCGAGAACGATCAATCATCGTCTGCCAAGTGATAAGAAAAGAAACGGAAATGAAGCAGCGAAATCTGTAGAGGTAGGTGGTAGTGCATATGGGCCATCAGCGTGGCACGGCAAAAGGGCTCGTTTCGAGGTCCCTCCACACATCAAATTGACACAATTCATCCGCCTAAGTTTCGGCGCCGGCGCCTGCGGACAACGAGCGGGCGTGCCGATTTGCCAGCCGGTCGCGGCCGGCACACCGGTCATTTCACACATTGCGGCCGTAAGTAAAAGGCATCAATGATCTTTAAAAAAGGACGGGTTCGCGGCATGGGGGCGGGGAATCAGTTGATCCGTCCCTCCATGGTTGATTGATCCTTGTCGATCCCCTTCATCTTTGGTGGTGTGCTGGTGGGGGTGCTGCTGCCGCTCGTAAACACAGCCCAGTCGGTTCATGCGATTTCTGGACGTTTTGACTCTCTTGCATCGGTTCTGGATACCGCATCAATCTAGTCTCGGGCGTCGCCTAGCCTAGACTTGCCCCGTCGGAGAGCAGCTCGAACGCCCTATGAAATGCACGTGGTTTGTTAGTGCTAGGCAGGTTTAGTATGGAGCAGACGAAGTGCAGCGTGTGAGCACACAAAAGTGCCTCTCAGTAATCTCGATGAGGGAACATTGAATGTTGTTCACATTATCCCTGAGGGGTGTGGGATCTATTTGACGTGCCTACGTCGTCAAGCAACCTAACATAATCACAGAAAGAGCTGCTAATATGGCTAGAAGCTAGGCTCTTACAATTGTATGGATATCTAGTCTTCTTTTTTCTTTTCTTTTTTTCACCCTTCGGGGAATTGTTTGACCAAAGTAGCTTGTGAGGTAGCCTTCCGCTTTCGACCGACAGGCGACGACACCCCCAACATGCCTGCGGGACAAACTGAGCCGGACGCCGGGCAATAAGGTTAACTACGTTCCGTGATATCTGTAGACACACTGAGAATAACAAAAGCTGCAAAATAGGAATTGAATTCCGAACGCGTTTACAGACAAGGCAGTACCTTTTCCCTGTGGACGTAGAATCTGTCTGTAGTGTTTCCTCCGAGTAGCTACCGGCATCTTAGGCATCTTGCGCTCCTGGCCTATGAATCCATCTACTGATCTTTTATCGTAGCTGAATCCCCATTCGCTTCTCTCTAATTAACCAACATCCGTTGGCCCTCCTACTTCAATTTTTATGGTTTAGGAATCTTGTCTTCCTCGGCAGTTTTGAAGAGCAACCTGAATACAGAACAAACCATTCCGTCCCAGGATCCATCATGACTACCAACCTCGAAGAAGCCAAGACTCACCTTCACCAGCACGGTTGGGTCAAGATCCCGTCCATCTTGAGCAAAGATGAAGCCGCTCACGCTCTCGATCAACTATGGAAGGCCAAAGAAGAGGCCGAGGCCAGTGGCGAGGAGACATTCCAACCAATCCTGGATCCAAACCCTTCGAACGTGAGGGTGTTCTACCTCCCAGAACGTGGCGAGCTGTGGCGCAAAATGCTCACCAACCCCACAGCCTTGGAGTTGACCAAGTCTCTTCTCGGCGAGAAATTCCTAGTTAGCAATTTCTCGGCCAACATCGCCCGTCCGGGGTCGGAGAGCATGTCTCTACACTCCGACCAAAGTATCGTCCTTCCCGAGCCGTGGTTGGGCGTCTGGGCAGTCAACGTAATCTGGTGCCTGACGAGAGTTACCAAGGAGAACGGCGCAACTCTCTACATTCCCGGTTCTCATCAATGGACACGCTGGTCCGATGTTCCTCCTAACGCGCCGGATCTCTTGGTGCCCTTTGAGGCCGAAGCCGGCGATATCTTGGTCCTTGATGGACGTCTATGGCACACCTCGGGTAGCAATGTTACCGAGGCCGAGGACCGGGCTATTCTCTTCGCCTACTACACCGCTCCCTACATGCGCCAGCTGGTAAACTGGACTGCCAAACTGCCGAAGGAACTTCAAGACAACATGGGCCCTGAGCTAAAGGACTTGTTTGGATTGAGCCATATTGGTTATGTTGTCCACGGCGATCTGAGATACCTGGCCGATCAATACCCCAAGAAGATGAATGGGCAGTCGGTGGTCAGCACTTGAGCTGTGGTCCACGTCTATCAGATATTTGGAATGAGTTTTGTCTACGACGCAAACTTGGTGAGATCTATACATAAAAAAGCACGAAGAGAGAAATTCAGATTGATATTGATTGGTCCTCTCCCATCGTCTCCTTCTTAGATGTAGAGGTCGAAACGGATCACCTGCACTTTTGCCATTCTCCTTTTGCCACTTCCCTCCCGTATTTTCCATCTGATTGATTCAATCCTACCTTGGGACTCTTAAGATATCACATTTTTAGTTACTACACAATCTTATTTGCAGCCTTAACTCATCGACAACCCCCTCCCCCGGCCCTTTTCTCCCCCTCTACCCCTTTCTTCCCCCCACCGTAATACGGCTGGACTGCAGCTCCTCCAGGTGGGTCCGCAATCATCAATTCACCGGCAATCTAGACCGGTTCTTCTAGGAGGTATCGCACTTCCTGCGCGGATCAATTGATTCCTCCGCAGAGATTCAGCTGAGAGCTGAGACGGTATCAGTAAATCGAGGCCCTTCGTGAACTCTTCCTAATCTGACGAACTACATATACATATATAATCGGCTCGCAGCTCGGCCATTTCCAGGGCAGGCAGTTCGGAAAATTTTCCATTTTCGTAGTTTCCTTGTTTCCGACTATATGTATAACTTGAGGATCAAATCAATGTAAGTCGGAGGCTAGACTAGGCAGTGGCCCTGCCTACATATGGCGTCAAAAACCGTTCTGTGGGGGACTAGGCCTTAGGGCCAGATGAAGTTCATATCTGGAATGTAGGGGTTTGTCGACTCGATTCAGTCAACATTCACATCCACGCAATATCAGGTACAATATTGCGACATTATTTTGTTAAGATTTTGTCTCAAGTTGTCAACTCGTTGCCGCAACCATGGACCGGCTGCCAGAATCTTTCCCCGTCGATTACAAGCCTTCGGCCCGCATCGTTGAGCTATCTGCCAGCGCACCAATAGAGGAAATACTCTCCGTGATCGACCGCGATGGCGGCGTTATCCTCAACGATCTAGTCAGCGCCGAGGAGCTCGAATCCATCGAAAAGGAAATTGAGAAATACACCAAAGGCGATAGATACGAGGACGACGAGGCTTTCTTCAAAGGCCTCATCCCGCAAGGGACACTCTTGATTGGTGGGCTCGTAGGAAAGTCCGAGACCCTCGCCAAGATCTGTGCCGAAAATATGGTTCTCGAACAACTCAGGAAAGAAATCTTGACAGATATCGGCACGAGGAGAGTGGAAAATTACGATCTCCCTTATCACATCGACCCGCTTCTCTCTGTGAGTCTGAGCTTCCGAGTTCGATATGGCGCGGCACGTCAGCGGTTGCATCGGGACGACGGCACGCACCTGATTGAGCATGAGAGCAAGCCCTACCACCTCAAGAACTCGGCTCAATTCGGCTGCTTGATTGCAGGTGTTCATACGACGCAGAAAAACGGTGCTACTATGTTCGTTCCTGGCAGTCATCGTTGGGATGATCAACGAGAACCGCGTCTCGATGAAGTTACCTTTGCTGGTGTGTCAAAGATCCTCTTCAAACTCCTAGAGTCCCGTATCCATTGCCTTTCCACTTTCGATTTTGAGAAAGAGAAGGATGAGAAAAAGCAATTTCATTACTGTGCCGCCTCCATGCCTTTTTAACTAATACCTAAAAATAGAGATGAAGCCAGGCGCGGCACTCATTTTCCTAGCTGCTTGTTGGCATGGCGGCGGCCACAACAGCGTTCCGGGCTTCACTCGTGTCCTCCACGGCCTTTTCTTCTGCAGAGGGACGATGCGGACACAAGAGAACCAATTTCTAGCCATTCCTCGCAGCAAGGCTCTGACAATGAGCCCGAAGATGCTCAGTCTACTGGGCTACAAACAGCCTACAGCCGCGCTTGGTATGGTCGAGAATGCGGATCCAATGTCGGATCTCGAGGGATTCATCGCAGCAGCGAATGCGTAGTTCAACAAAACTAAGCCTCGGATTAATATGCCATTTGTTCAATTAAGCATAGGTAAAGTGCTTGAAGAATGATCGGCGAAGAAGACGCGGCCAAGATCAAGCCCGCAAAGCCAAGTTTTGGCCATGTGTTATCTAGTTCATCTGCGTCTACGACTAGCTAGCTCACGCGGAAACCGCAATCTTCAATCCTATTGTCCCTCGTACATGAGATGTTACCTAGCGTGCAGGGCAAGGTGTCTTTGGATATGCATGTCAGACCTCGTATCCAAATGGTCCATTTCAATGGCCCCGTCCCAATGCTGCATGCAAGGTCGATCAATTGACGTGGTATCGAAGAGCACGAAAGAATCGACCATGCCTAAATGAGCGTTAGCTGCGGGACGCCCCGGGTTCCGGTCCAGGGAGGGTTGAGACTAAATGCACGACATCTGCATGGGTTGTCCAAGGATTCCCTTGCTCAATCTCGTCCCCCCACAAGTTGGATCATTCGCCTCCTCAATCTTGCGTCTGGCCCTATACTACTTTGTTGATAAATCCAACTCTGCATCTATTCTTCATTAAACGTAACATGCGCACTTTCGTCCAGCAATCTCGGATCCCTTCCATTTACGGACAGTTCCGGTTGCCGATCCGAGCCGAGCCCTATGGAGGAGGCAAGCTCTCCATATGGGTCCACGACACCGGTCTCATCTAGATGTCTTGTTAGAATGGTGGGGGCGAGATGCTGATGGGGAGTAGAGAGATGATTGATGTGCGTCAATGGAGAGTGGGAGTGAGATGAGGGGGTTTCATTTGAGCTTGCCTGGGATTTCCCAATGATACACGAGAAACTCGCCAAAACCTACCAACCAATCGCCAGCCATTCAGATACGTCATTTCGTAGAAGCGGTGGAATGTGTGTATCGATGCTCACATACTTCACGATAGGGCTAAGATCGAGAACGCCTGTGACGCCTGCCTTTCTCGACGCTACTAAAGTGGCGAGAACCGGACCTTAATCAGGGACAAGACTCTGACAGAAAACTAATTTCCTTTTCAAAATTGGCTCTTGGATACGGTTCATATAATCCCCTCGACTGACTCCGCACAGTAGTGGTTAGTCCTCAAAGAAAGCAACCCTTCCGGACGGAACCATCGCCGGCAATTACTGAGACATCACAGAATCAGGGTCCCAATTTCTATCTTGATAGTTTTGGAAATTGGCGCCGATCGTCTCTCGTCGGCAATACAGACATTGGGCACGATGAGCATGTTCGTCCACGACCTGGGCCTTTCTCGCCGCGCGTGCGATCGGTGCCACGGCCAGAAGCTCCGGTGCAGGCGAGAAAACATCAGTGAGGGCTGTATACGTTGTGCGAGGGCGGGTGTTCAGTGCACCCCGAGGCCCGTCCGGTCTCGACGCCGGGGGCGCTCCAACGCCGCTCAACCGGCTCCGGTACATCAGGATACCACCAACGTCGCACAGACTATGGGTAAGAGGTCCAGTTTAGAGGGAGGAGAGTTCATTGCCCAGGTCATCAGGGAACTGACTCTGCGGAAAGGAAGTCCCGCCGCCGAGCAGACGAGCAAAGATATCTCGGAGCAATTCAGTCTTTGGCCTGCAAGTCTACGTGATATGCCACCTGACCTAGACATGGGCTTGGACTCTTTCACTCTACAGTCTGAAATTGACTCGACTTTGGAACCGCGTGCTTTGCAATCCGGCATGGACCTTGCGGTTCCGCCCAGCCGCCACTCCAGCCAGCCGTCGGCTCAGGAAACACCTCGAGGCCGGAACAGTGGCGAGCGATCTGAACAAGGACGACAGAACGGGCTTAATGGCGCTTCCCAAGACGCTTCTTCTTCATCCACCTTGTCATCTTTTGTATCCACACTCTTGCCTTGTGACACGGAGGCCGGGCCTCCGAGTTATACCAGACACCGACTATCACTTGCAAGAGACCCAACTCCAGAGCACCGGAACGGGACTTCCCAGGGCGAGGCTGGGGCCGGCGTCATGGGCTTTGATCAACGGGAGGCGACTGCGCATTCCTCTGACAGTGAGGATACTGGGTCCGATTCATCTTATAGTCGGGTAGTGTTAAGTCACCGACAGTCCACAAACAGCGATACTCTGCGCGACTCGTACAATCCGGAACAGCAAAAAGTACAAAAGCAACTCGCAGAACCTGCTATGACCTCTTGGATCCGTAAGCTTTCGGATATTAACGTGGACCTTCACCGACACATGCTCTCTATTCCTCCCATCGGGGCATGGCAAAACACACCGTGGACACATACCAGAGATAGTGCAGAGAGGACACGAAACGGCTCCACCTCGTCCTGCTCTCTAAACGATAAGGAACTTGCAGTAGATGACACTTTTCAACTCTCCCATCAGTACACCGACCTTCTCGACGATATCTTCGCTCAATTCAATACGCGCCGGAAGACGTACAATGAGCAAACAACCACTGTCATACCATTGTCCACCATATCATTGGATCAGCCCTCGCAATTACTGATTCTATCCAGCTACCTATGTCTCGTTGAATCGTACGACAAAATCGTACAGCATATCAAGTCGTGGACAGAGGTCCGATTGAAGATGGGCACCTCTTCATCTGATGAGCACTTTCCAATTCAACTTCCAAGTCTAGCGATTGGTTCGTTTAAGACACCCACGACTTCATCAACACGACCACTCGTTCTGACGTGCATGATTGAGGCAATGATAATGCATATGCATGATTTGATTAGCCAAATGATGCGGTCTGGAAATACCAGTCCCACCGAGAGCAGAGCGTCGTCGGGAAGGAATTCTTCTTCGAATACCATCAGTGGCGGCGAGCAGAACAGTTCCCCTAGTCAAAGCGATGATGGGCTGAGCAGCGTGACGAGAGTGACGCTGCAGGCGATAAGAGCTAAGGAGGCTTCTACTATGAAGCTAATTCATGTAGTCTGGAAACTGGCTCTTCGATGTGGTGTCCCTTGACATACGACCGCATCTTGCCCTGCTGTAGTGGTTGGCAAATACTACTTAAGTTGATATAGCTCTAGCAATAAAGTGAAATTTCAGGCGTTCTAAGAGTCGTGAGTATGAAATAATGATGTGCCGAGAGAAAGTGTTATCAGCAAGAGTTGAAGTAAGTGTAAGGCCAAGGCTTAGTAAATCAGAATCAAGAGAATCTAGAATAAACAACAAGCCCGGTTTCATCATCAAACATCCCGTCAATAACCATTTGCATTTACCCAACTCGAATTCACTTATGGTGCAACACTGAGGTCCTTGAACTTTGGATAGTCGCTCTTCCCGTCTTCACCGACATTCACCACTTTTCCATCCTGGACATACGTTTCTACCCAGCCGATGCTGATTTCTGCGTGGATCCCACTGACAAAGGGCTTCTCCTCAAGCTGCAGCGCCTGGAAGTCTGGATCAGATGCCCCCTTGTAAAAGGTCTCCATGTCCCGAAATAGAAACTCGACTTGGGCATCATAGTCCCGGACAACCCATGGATTGCCGCGTTTGGCATTTAGCTCTTGTGTAGCATCTCGGAATGACTTGGGAGTGAAGTACTAGAAGAGCCGAACGTTATTCAATGGGCGCTTGAGACAATGCCGTCGGGACTCACCACAGAAAATCCCTCGATGCCATTCTTGGCGTGAAGCTTGGCCGCGGCCACAGCATGGTTCTCTGTAACCCAGCGATGAAACTCCTCTTCACTGACGTTTGGTTGGCGGTAATGCGACACAGTCATCCGCAAGAGGCGGCGCTTTTGGATAGGTTCTACGGGTTGGGCCATTCTGGAGACCGGCTGAAAAGAATCGTCGAACTCTCAACGTTGATAATGATGCAAGTGCTCTTCTCAGCCTGCGCATGAGAAACCTGGCGGACTGGTGTACTTTCGTGGGATATGAGGGAGCTTGCCGTTAAATTAACCCTTGTAACAGGTGGTCTGGCAAGAGATTGCCGAATCAGCACAGATATGCAAGATCAAGGAATACGGCATCAGTCATTGCCGACTCTGTGTTTGTATATTCGGCGTATTTCTCGGGCTTCTACTTGAATCTACGACCCGGCTTTCATGACAAAAAGAAGAAGAGAATTCCTTAGAAGAAACGTGGAAAAAAAAAAGAAAAGAAAAGAAAAGAAAAAAAAGGAAGAAAGAGAGAGAAAAGAAAAGAAAAAAAAAAAAGGAAGAGAGAGAGAGAAAAGAAACGAAAAAGGCCGACCTAAAACAGTCGAAGGCTTCTAATACAATGCGAGTCAAACGATGGTGGACATCTACATAAATTAAGGTTTCTAAACCCAAGATTTCACCTATCTTTGATGAATAGACGATTTTGGGATCGTTTGTGTAAACTCGAGACCCTCCAGACCACAAAATTACTTGACGCCGTTAACAAGGGTGCCCAAATCCGATTTCGCACTTAGTGGCTGTCTCTCAATACCGAATCTCTTGTCTATCCACTGAAACGTCCTCTGTGCCGAGTATCCAAAAGCGCCAACCTTGGCCTGTAGTCCTCCGTGGGCGATATCTTTGGCGATCCACTTCTCCTTGTCAACGCTATCCTTAAGACTCGTCAGGCAGTCGTAGATCTTATCCGTTGTGGTCGCCGGGTTAAAGTACCAGCTTGCCCCTGCGCCGGTTACAAGCGTGGGGCATTTGACATCAGCTAGATATTCCGTCCCGTTTTCGTTGAGCAGCGTATAGGCGCCGAAGCTCCGCATAATGTCGGCCTCGGTTGTGGTGCCCGTTGCCCATTTCAGGTGATTGAATTCCCATCGCGCCTGAAAGTCGAGCCGCTGCAGAAAACGCAGAATTGCGTTGAACACGCCGTCTGAGAGCCAGCCATTCATGAAACCATTGAAGAGGGGCCCTGGCATTCTGCCACCGACGAAGCTCGAGAGACTGTAGAATCCGTCGACGCTGACGCACGCCTTGATACGCGGGTCTGCTGCCGCCCGAAGTGCGAAATAACCCCCCATGGACGCGCCGGTAACAGCGATGTGATCAAGGTCGAGTTCAAGTTCTGGATGCTTGGCTGAAAAATCAAAGAGATGATCCAGGACTGCACCCGTGACCGCCTCCCAGTCCGGTCGCATAGGTAGCTTGTCGCGGCGGAGGATGATGCCTTGACCAGGCCCTTCAAAGGTGACGACGGCATACCCGACTTCTGGCCCAAACGCCGGGTTTACAAAGTAGATCTCCTCTTGAGTAGAATCACCTCCACCGCAGTTCAGTAAAATAGGGATCTTACGACCGAGAATGCGCCTAGAAGCCTCGGGCAAGTAGAGATAGCCGGGAAGCTTGTACCCATTTTCGTAGGGAATCTCAAGGAAGAACGTCTTCCCTTCCCGGTACTGGACGCCTTTCCGGAAATTCCCAATGGAGCGCTCAATGGTAGGAAGAACACGCTTGTCGGCGCCGATAGGACCCTCGTTTAGCATAAACTGCGCTGCGCGGAGGTAGTTTGATGACCTCAGGTACGCGCGGCGGGCGGCTACACGGTCCCCTGCTTCCTCGGCCTCCTTTGCGATGTCTTCAGCCTTGTTGCCGGCGTCGAGGAAGGCGCTGAACCATGATTCTGGGTCTAGGTCCTTTATTTTGGCGGCTGCTTCGAGGGACTCTCCTATCTCGGCGCCTTCGTGCGGCGCCATCGCCAGGAGGCGAAGGTACTCGAAGTCAAAGAAAGGGGACTTGAAGAATTTGTGCATGGTCGCCATGATGTCGAAGGATGGTTTCTGAGTTTCCTGTGTTACAAGCCGCCTCAGCAATGCTCTTGAACCAAGAAAGTAAATAGAGAATACAAACCCGTGGATAGAGTAAGGAGAAACAGTCTCAGAGGTACGTCCTGCCGGACGAGGCCAACAAAAGTTGATGCCAGTTTCAGGAACATCTCTACGGGGCGGATCGAAAATAGGGTGACCACTAGTGGTGAGGCGGCCAGATGTCCCCCAGATCGGTGAGACCCAGACCGAACATAAGATGGGACGCCCGAACATTCGGTATTGCCTTATTCAGTACTAAATAGACAATTTATACGCACACATAAATTTGTACAAAAGCCCAAAATGAAATTATATTTTATTAATTTTATTTATACATTTAAAATTTAAGGTTTATATAAAAAAAGAAAAGCCTAGTTTTTTTTTAAAAAAATATATATAAAAAAATTATAAGAGTGGTTTTACTAGGGAATTTGACTTCTGTAATTCTTCTATAATTGTGCACGTCTTTTTCTTTCTTATTCCTATCTTATTTTGGATTAAAAAAATCTTTCTATTTCTTTTCTTCCCAAACATATCTTCATGTGACAATTACATCAATATCTCCTTTAAATTCTATCATTGGCCGCCCTAAACTCGCACCAGCATCTCAAGGAGACGGTTTGGCCGTCTTAGTTCCGAATTTCCTCGCACGCCCGAAACACTGAGGCTCTGCATGGCTATATTTTGACATCTTCGTGGTTACGAAAGAAAAAAAAAACCCGGCCGGTCTTACCAGGTGGGAATGGAAACTCACCAGCCGAATCTGTCAATCGGGACGATTTCCTGTTTGGGACTACACCAGGTCGAAATGAGCAGTCATAGCGTAAATGAGTGGAGTAGTGTAGAGAGTTCAGTTATCACCCCGGGTTGGAGATCATAGGGACAAAAGTGCCATCTGTTGTCCGAACCGTTCGGTCGGTTTACTTCCGCTCGGGACCTGCCAGCCGGTCAGATCCGGTCAGGCCCCGGTCAGCCGGATCGGCGCCGCCCCACATCTTGATTGGTCAAAGCACGGCGTGCTACGGCTGCATGTATTTACTTACGAGTGACCACAGCATTTCCCTCGACTGCGAGACCTTGATTTGCTCGCTAGGCTTCAGGTACGACTCTGCGTGTACCTACTCAAAGTCTATTTTCGGTGCACACTGCAGTGTTATGTATGCAAGTCAAGAAAAAGTTGCCCGCAAGATCTACATATCAGCATTCCGCAGTAAGGGCCAACTGCATACAAGCGTAACTTGTCGTTTCAATAGAGAAACCACCCATTCTTCCCATTAACCTCATCACCATCCTTGGCTCGGATCAATAACATCAAAAAAAATGGCATACTCGCATCCGCCCAAGGAACCTATAGCCATCATCGGTACTGGATGTCGATTTCCTGGCAATTCGACGTCCCCCTCAAAGCTATGGGAACTGTTGCTCTCGCCCCGAGAACTCTCCAAGGAAATCACGGCGGAGTCGCGCTTCAACGCCGATGGCTTCTACCACCCAAATGGCGAACACCACGGGTGTAGCAATGTCACCAAGTCGTACCTCCTTGAAGAGGACCCGCGCTTCTTCGACTCCGGATTCTTCAGCATTGCTCCCCGCGAGGCTGAGGCCATTGATCCCCAACAGCGACTCCTGCTCGAGACGGTCTATGAGGCTATGGAAAATGCTGGCCTCACGCTCCAGGGACTCAGAGGAAGCATGACATCTGCCTATGTAGGCGCCATGTCGGCTGATTATACGGATACGCAACTACGGGATCTCGAGAACTTTTCGCAGTACATGATCACAGGGACTTCGCGGGCGCTTCTCTCTAATCGCCTATCTTACTTCTTCGACTGGAGAGGCCCCTCTATATCTGTTGACACCGCATGTTCTTCAAGTTTAGTGGCTGTCCATCTCGGCGTTCAGAGCTTGCGAAACGGCGAGTGTACAATCTCGTGTGTAGCCGGCTCCAACTTGATCCTAGGGCCTGATGCCTTTCTCGCGGCCACGAGTCTGCATTTACTTTCTCCTTCCGGCAAGTCTCAGATGTGGGACCAGTCTGCTGATGGATATGCCCGAGGCGAAGGTATTTGCGCTTTTTTCATGAAGACGCTGTCTCAGGCTCTTCGAGACGGGGATCGGATAGATGCACTGATCCGCGAAACGTGCGTAAACTCGGATGGCCGTACGAAGGGTATCACGTTGCCGAGCGCTGAAGCGCAGGCAGCGTTGATTCGGGCCACCTATAGAAATGCAGGACTCGACATTTTGAGGTCCATGGACCGACCCCAGTACATTGAAGCTCATGGTAGGTTCCATCCTTTGGGTGCAGACGGATTCCTGCAAGATACAATCTTGGCTAACATGGTTCTTGATGAAATTTAGGAACCGGCACGCAGGCAGGCGATCCCAGAGAGGCGTCCGCCCTCAGCCAAACGTTCTTTCCGCCTGGTCAAGATCATGACGACAAGCCCACCATGATCGTCGGGTCAGTCAAGACAATAATCGGTCACACCGAAGGGTGTATGTATTTCAAGCTCTATCATGCACGCACAAAGCTAACTAACTGTACTCCAGGCGCTGGAATCGCAGGGCTGTTGAAGGTATTACTAGCCATGCGGAATAAGACCATTCCGCCCAACCAACATCTTCGTAATCTCAACCCAAGTGTCAGACCTTTCTACCAGAAACTCCGCATACCCACAACTCCACAAGAGTGGCCTCCAGTCCCTCCAGCTCATCCGCTCCGCGCAAGCATCAATGGCTTCGGCTCTGGCGGCACCAACTGCCATGCAGTTATGGAAAGTTACGTTCCTGAAATCCATGATCACGGGCCGTGGGGAAAGCCGGAGGCACTGCCCAAGGCTCTCACCCCCATTTCTCCAGATCTTGATTTTACTCCGATTCCTCTCATCTTCTCGGCCACATCTGAGTCAGCACTCGTCTCAATGCTAGAGAAATATGCCCAGTATATGGAGAGAAATAATGTGTCCCTTCACCGGCTTGCCATAACCCTCAACTCGCGCCGTTCCACTCTTCCGGTGAGGATAGCTTTCCCCGCGACCTCAAAAAGAAATTTACTTGAGGGAATCAACAAACAGCTCTCCAAGGTCCGTAGGAACCCTGGTACTGAACTCGGCACTCGTTCATCTGTCATAGAATTTAGTGAGAACAGACGCCCGCGGATCCTGGGCGTGTTCACAGGACAGGGAGCGCAGTGGCCTGGTATGGGACAAACCCTATTCAAGAGGTGTGCACTGTTCAGAGAAACGATCAAGATGATGGAAGATTCGCTAGCACAGCTTCCCGATCCACCAGAGTGGTCTCTCAAGGAGGAGCTCCTTGCACCGCCCGCCCAGTCGAGACTGGGCGAAGCCGAACTCTCCCTGCCTATATGTGCAGCGGTTCAAGTTGGACTTGTTCGCCTCCTGTCTCAAGCAGGGATAACCTTCCACACTGTCGTCGGCCACTCAGGCGGTGAGATTGGAGCTGCGTACGCTGCAGGCAAAATTTCAGAAAATGACGCGGTAATGATTGCGTATTACCGCGGTGTCTATGCGAAGTTGGCCATTGGCGAAGAGGGCAGGAAGGGCGCGATGATTGCTGTGGGGTTCGGATTTGATGAAGGCATCAATTTCTGCTCAACTGCCCAGATGAAAGGGCGCCTGACGGTAGCCGCCAGCAATTCTCCCAAGAGTGTTACTCTTTCCGGCGATGAAGACGCCATCTTTGAGGCCAAGCGGATACTTGATAATGAAGGCTTATTCAATCGCATTCTCAAGGTAGATACGGCCTACCATTCGTCACATATGTATCCCTGCGGACCGCCGTACCTCGCCGCCCTGGAGAGATGCGATATTCCGGTGGGTGAAAGCAACGGAATTACTGCTTGGGTGTCGAGCGTGTATGAAGACAGCAGGATAATTACCCCCGAAGAGGACCCCGATATGAAGGCACTCTATTGGAAAGAAAACTTGATTGGAAGAGTCTTGTTTTCACAAGCGGTAGAGGGCGCTTTGGATGATGGTAGAGGAGCTCTTGATCTCGCCCTCGAGGTTGGACCGCACCCCGCGCTGAGAGGACCAACACTTGAGACCATCAGGAACAAGATCGGCTCCGAAATCCCTTATTCTGGTGTTCTTGACCGGAGGTCTGATGATTTGACAGCCCTAAGTGCAGCCCTCGGCTTCGTTTGGACACATCTAGGCCCTGATTCTGTCGATTTTAATGGTTATTCATCTGCGTTCGATGAAGGCTACAGACACATAAACGCGGCTCCTTTACCGGATCTCCCGACCTACCCCTGGGATCACAAGGCTATCTTATGGCGGGAATCTAGACTCAACAAACAGGTCCGATCCAGAGCTGACCGTCCCCATGAGCTACTCGGTAACAGAACTCCCGATGATACAGACTATGAGCCTCGGTGGCGGAATCTCTTCAAGCTCGACGAGATACCTTGGCTGCGGGACCATCGTATCCAGAACCAGGTCATCGTTCCTGCAGCTACATACTGCGTCATGGCCCTTGAGGCCGCCAGGGTTCTCTGCAGAGGACGGCAAGTGCTGAGCATAGAGCTTTCTAACATTGCAATCCTACGGCCAATCGTCTTAGATGAGTCCTCGGATGGAACCGAGACCTTGTTATCTCTACGCAGTGATCTTGACTCCACGAAACGCAAGAGTGATCTTATCGAGTCAGAGTTTACTCTCAGTTCTGGTACAGTAGAGGATGGGCACATGAGGACTGCTGTTACGGGGAAAATACGCATCTTCCTTTCAGGAGACCAATCCAGCGACTCTGCCCTGTTCCCCTTGAGAGCGAGTGAACCACAATCCGAACTGTTGTCGGTCAACGTCAACCAGTTCTACGAAACGCTAGATGAGATGGGATTGGGCTACACCGGACCGTTCAGGGCTATGACCTCCATGGAGAGGCGGATGGACATGGCATCCGCCGTCGTGAAGGTCGACGAGGAAGTCGGAAAGTCGATCCCAGTTCACCCGACCTGGCTTGACGTCTGCTTCCAGACCTTCCTCGCTGCATTCGGTGCGCCTCGAGACGGTTCTCTATGGACGGCCTTCCTTCCCACAACAATCGGCCGTATGACGTTCTCCCCTAAGGCTAGAGTTTCTCCCGAAGGGCCAGCTTCGATGATTGTGGACGCACACCTTACCAACTTCACACCGGGGTTCCAGGCAACACTCCCGACGATTACCGGCGATATGAGTATCTACAACTCAGAAACCGGAAAATTGGAGATTCGCATCGAAGATTTCCGATTGAGTTCCATAGTTCCTGCTACGGAGAGAGACGATAGGATTCTCTACCTGAAGACGGCCTGGCAGCCTGACATCCTCTCTGCACCCACGTTCGAAACTCAGCTTACCCCTCCCGACCAAGAGCTGAGACTTATCGATGCTTGTGAAAAGGCGATCTACTACTATCTGGCCAAACTGAAAGCAGATAAATCCTTCAACGAGGTCGCTGAGAAAACTCCAGGCTTGATTAGTTTGGTCGAGGAGGCGGCGTCTCGTAGTCCAAGTGAGCCCACTAAATCCGAGTTTGTTGCAATCTTGGATGAGTTTGGGGAGCACATCGACATGGATCTAGTCCGTACAATCGGCGAAAGCCTCCTGAATAACTCGCAGGGGCCCACGCCCACCCCGGATACTGCTCAATCATCAGGACCATCCTTGAGTGAACTTGTGACTCGTTGGCACAACGAAGGACTTGGTTTTGCCCAACTTCGCAAGCACATTGTGAGCGCAGCCAAACAGATATCGCACCGCTACCCGCGCCTGAGAATCCTCCAAGTTGGCCCATCTTCACCCAACTTGGTGCGAGGAGTATGCCAGGAACTTGACCGTTCCTTAGGTTCATACACCATTGTGGATGGATCAGGGCAGGCTCTGGAAGAGCTCGCGGCAGCCTTAACATCAGATCAATTGAGAGTCAACACCAAAGTCCTTGACGTTGAAAACGGCGCTGAGGAGGTGCGTGATATTGTTACACCCGGCTCTTTCGACCTGGTTATTGTCCACAAGGCTTTTAGGAAGCAGACGACCGCCTTAAAGGCAATCCGAAGTTTACTGCGGCCAGGCGGCTTTCTGCTCATGATGGCCGCAACAGGGAACCAGCTTCGATTTCCCTTTTTCTTATCATCGGCTCCCCCAGTGAATGAGGGAGATGGGTCCATGCAGCCTAAGTTGACGAACCCAACCCGCGAGCAAACCCATGGAGTTCTCCGGAAGGCTGGATTCTCAGGTATTGATTCCATGGGACTTGACAACATTTCGGAGAAGCACACATTCTCTGTCGTCTTATCGCAGGCGGTAGACGATGAAATAAACTTTCTGAGAGCTCCTCTTACTTCGGCGCTGCCCATCTCCTCGCGTGAAAGGCTCCTCATTCTGGGTGGTTCCTCGCCCAAGATCGCAAATCTCATCAGAAGCATACAGAACCGGCTATCTCGCGTCTGGGACGGAGAGATCACCGCTGTCAATTGTTTAGACGGCCTGAAGAGTGAAGAAGACCTCAAGGCTGGAACTGTTCTCAGTCTGACTGAATTGGACCGCCCTGTTCTGGAGCACCTAAGCGCTTCGAGTTTCGAAAATCTTCAATTGCTTCTTGAGAGGTGCAACCCAGTACTCTGGGTCACCCAGGGTGCGAGATCCGAAAGCCCTTATCAAAGTGGTACAATTGGGTTAGGGAGGTCATTTCAATCCGAGAACCCACAGAAGATCCTACAGTTCCTCGATCTGGATACCCTTGATGGTAGCGAGTCAATCATTGCAGAGTGCCTGCTCCGACTTACTAGGGGCATCGCATTGAGAGACGACAGCGAAAAGAAGCTGCATCTGTGGAGTACTGAACCTGAACTTGTTCTCGAAAATGGACAGTTGCTCATTCCAAGACTTGTGCCCGACTCGGAGCGAAATCACCGCCTCAACTCTCTACGGCGAAAGGTAAAGACCCAGGCTCATGTTTCGTCTCAACCCATCACTCTAGTTCGCTCTTTGCAAAATGCAGGTGAAGTTTCATACGCGGCCGAAGAGGGACTCCATTACCATTCAAATCTAGCAGAGTTTTCCATCGGCTCAGACCAAATTTCCCTGATACTGGAGTACTGTTCTTTGAATCCCGTCATGCCCAACTACCACGACCAAGAACTCTTCTGCTGTATTGGTCGTACGCAAGAAGGGACTCGATTCCTAGCACTCTCGGCCTCCAACTCCTCAGCCATCACAGTACCACGCGCCTGGACTATCCGACTTGGCGATGAGGAGCTGCAGGAGCATCTTCCCATGTTCGTTAGCTTGATCAGCGAGATTAGGGCTCATGTCATCGAGGCTTCAATGTTACCCGGATACACTACGCTGCTTTACGGATCTGACGCACATCTTGCTGCTTCTCTTGAGAGGCGTAACGCTATCTCAAACAAGAACTTTGCGTTCATCGACTTCGACTACCAGGCACGACCAGCTGGTGTTGGCCTTCTGGGGAATCATATCGAGATTGGACCGCACACTTCGAGGAGAGAACTGGAATCAATGATACCCGAGAGAACAAGATTGCTCATCAACCTAAGACATCAAACGGATTCTCGTATTCTCTCCGCTATCCAACAGGCCCTCCCAGCGAATGCTGCTGTTGTATCTGTCGACAGCCTCGACGCCAACGGCCTCGTACCACATGAAGTACTTTTCAAAGCTTTGATTTCGGTGCAGAGTCTTCCCTCGCCATCATCGACACCACTTGACAGTACAATCATAGTCAAGGCCTCTATGTTGGTCTTGGATGGGGTCAAGCAACATCCAAATGTCGAAGTTGTTGACTGGGCAGGCGATCAAATTATCACATTGACCAAAAGACCCGTGAATCCTCGCCACCTATTCTCCCCAGACAAGACATACATTCTCGTTGGGCTGAGTGGGCAGATTGGCCAGTCCATGTGCCGCTGGATGGTCGAAAATGGTGCACGAAATATTGTGGTAACGAGTCGGTACGCAGAACTCCCCTAGAAACTCGGCAGGATCTCATCTCGCTAACAAGTAACTACAGGAATCCCGACAAGAACGCGCTTTGGAGAGATGAGCTGGAAAGACAAGGCGCCAACATTGCAATTGAGGTAGCAGATGTCACCAACAAGCAAGATCTAGAGAATCTCCGCACTCGCATTCTCAACAAGATGCCTGCTATTGGCGGTGTGGCGAACGGTGCAATGGTGTTGTCAGACAGAATGTTTGCCGACATGTCTTATGAAAGTTTCCGGAAAGTACTAGCGCCCAAGGTTGACGGCTCGAAAAACTTGGACGAGGTTTTCTCTGCTGACAACCTTGACTTCTTCCTACTCTTCTCGTCCATTTCTGCTGTGACTGGGCAGCGAAGTCAAGCCAACTATGCAGCGGCGAATAATGTAAGTTGCACAATTCTTTTAACAGGACCTAGACATGGATGTTTCGGCGGTAGCTAATGTTGCTATTGTTAGTTCATGGTCGGTTTGGCTTCGCAGAGGCGAGCCCGGAATCTCCCTGCATCTGTCATCGACATCGGAATGGTCATCGGTGTTGGTGTCATTCAGCGGACAGAAGGCGAAGATGGTGTTAGCGCCTTGGAAACAAACCTACGAAAGCTAGACTATATGCCCGTTTCCGAGCGCGATCTCCATCACCTTTTGTCGGAAGCAATAGTCCTCGATAGGAGTGCCGAGTCCCCAGAGCTCGTGACAGGATTGGAGACATACAATATCTCTTCGCAAAATCGCCCGTTCTGGCATAAGAATGCACGTTTCTCACATCTCCTAGCTGACGAGAGTTCCTCGCAAACGGGTCAGAGTTCTGCGAGCAGCGTCCAAAAGACTTTGAAGGAAAGACTCGCGGATTCCCCCGGACCGGATGAAGCCCTCCAAATTATGGAGGGGGCTCTCCTGGCATATCTCATCTCTGCCCTCAAGGTACGATAGTTCTTTTCTTCTCGTTTCCGGCCATGAAAAGTACGCGCTGTAGCTAACTTTAAAAACTATGGTTTAGCTGTCTCCGGATGGCGTCTACAGAGATATTCCCCTCATCGATCTCGGGATTGACTCTTTGGTTGCGGTGGAAATCCGTAATTGGATATTTTCTGAAGCTGGCCACGATGTCCCTGTCCTAAAGATCCTGGGAGGATCTTCGGTCCGGCAGATATGCGATGAGGTAATTTCATCTCTTTCATTCGAGGGAAGGCAGGTGGAGTCTCCTGAAGTCAAGGTTCAAGCTGCTCCGCTTCCAACTTCTCGAGACTGGAACAAGCCAACCCCGGACACCAATAAGGGAGAAGATACCTTGAGCTCGTCTGCCTCTTCTGGGCCATCGCCTAAGTCCGATCCTTTAAGAGATGGTCAACTTACGCCAACAGATAATCTTTCGAACTCATCCATATCTTCGGAGCCATCGCCTAAGCCTGATTCTATTGAAGACGGCAAACTCTCCTCGCCTTCACACCCAGCCACTGCTCCGCATGTGCTTGAGGAGAAGCCCCCTCGCCCAACTCCCTTTCGTACAGAGTCGATGTCATTGGGCCAGTCACGTCTCTACTTCTTGACCCAGTACTTAAATGATGATACTGTATTGAACTGCACCGCATCTTATGACCTCCAAGGAAAGCTCGATGTCGTTAAGTTCGAAAAGGCCCTGCAGGCTGTGATTCAACGTCACGAAACTCTCCGCACCATCTTCTATGGCAACGAGCAAGATGGCCAACCGGTCCAAGGCATCATCGAGAAATCCCTGTTTAAACTAACGATAATTCCCGGGGTCAGTGACACAACACATGATGTTAAGCGGGAGTTCGACCGCACTCATGAATATCACTACGACTTGGAGAGGGGAGATACCTTTATCGCTACGCTCCTGACACACGGTGTTGATGCCCATACCGTCATCTTTGGATACCACCACATCATTATGGATGGCGTTAGTTGGCAGATCTTCCAACAAGATCTTGCCAAGTTTTACAACGATCCGAGTTCATCACTATCATCTTCTAAATCTAAGCCAACCCAGTATATCGACTTCATTTTAGAGCAGCAACGAGCCTTGTCCAACGGAGCATATACTGAAAGACTGAAGTTTTTCAAAAACGAGTTCGGCGAGCCCGTCAACCCGATACCTCTCTTCCCGTTTGCCAAAGTCAGCACCCGCAAGTCCCTGAAGCAGTACAGGATTCGAAATGTTGTCACACACGTCAGTGCCGAGGTAGTGAGCGCGCTGAAGAAAGAAAGCCAGGCTTCTCGGACCACATCGTTCCACTTTTTCCTTGCGGCTTTCCAAGTCCTACTTCGCCGGCTCCTGGATACTGAGCAACTGTGCATCGGCATCGTGGACGCCAATCGTTCCGACCAGAGTTTCGCCGACACAATAGGATTTTTCCTGGAAACCCTTCCCGTGGTTTTCCGTGTCGGGAACGACCAAAAGTTTAGTGATGTGCTTCAGACTACCCGGACTAAGGCGTACACGGCACTTGCTCAGACCGGCGTTCCAATCGAAGAGATCCTGCAAGCCTGCAACATCCCAGCGTCGATGACCGAGACTCCGTTGTTCCAAGTGGTATTCAACTACCGCATGGGAGCAGGCCGGACATCTCAGATGCAAGGTGTGGATATGAGATTCTTAGAATATGCTGACGCGAAGAACCCCTTCGATCTTGTAGTATCTGTTGACGAGCTGGAAGACGGCACGGCGATGCTCACTTTCTCCCTACAAGACTACTTGTATGACCAAGAAGGTGCAGAGTTACTCGTCAACACATATACTCACTTACTCGATGTATTATCCAAAGACATTACTCGGTCCGTTGGCAGCATCCCCATCTTTGACACGCCTTTGACACAGCTGGGTATTACCCTTGGTACCGGACCCATCGTGGAACTTGCACCCCAGTCGGCCGGTACTCTCTCCAAAATCATCAATACTTGGGTCGACAAGGATCCCGAGGCTCTTGCTGTTAAGGACATTAGCGGAAAGACGATGACCTATTCACAACTGTCAGAAAGGGCTAGCGCAATTTCGACAGTGCTATCGAGTGCTGGAGCAGAATCCTCATCGCCAATTTGTGTGCTACTCGACCCCAGCGTAGATGCGATTGCCACCATCCTCGGGATTCTTCGCTCTGGTGCAGTCTATGTACCTCTCGATGTCCGCAGCACCGACGAAAGACTCCGCGATATCCTAGAAGAGTCCGATGTAGCCATCTTGCTGCACCATGCGGCGACTTCGAAACGGGCCGCGGAGCTTCACAGACTTTCCGGAAACGCTCAGAGAATCAGCCTGATCGACCTTGATGTGGTGTCTCTCAACCTGACTCAAAAGGTTAACGATACATCAACTCTGGACAGCCTTGCCATGATCTTATATACCAGCGGCTCGACGGGCAAGCCAAAGGGAATTCCGCTCACCAATGGAAACATCCGAACCACCATCCTCGCCGTCTCTGAGAGAGTCCCACTCGGTCGGGAGGTCGTGCTCCAGCAGAGTGGACAAGGTTTCGACGCGGCCATCTTCCAGATTTTTATTGCTCTCGCCAATGGCGGCACGCTAATAATGGGCGATAACCGCGGTGACCCAGCAGAATTGGCTGCTCTGATGGCCCGCGAGGGCGTCACTTGTACCGTGGTTATTGTCTCGGAGATGCAATCAATGTTGAAGTATGGACACGAAGAACTCGCCGGTTGTTCGTCATGGAGGATTGCAATGGTCGCTGGGGAGGCATTCACGACAAACCTCCTCGACCAGTTCCGCAGTCTCAACCGGCCGCACTTGAAAATCGTCAACGCGTATGGCCCTACAGAAGCATCCATTTGCTCTTCCATAAGCGAAGTATCGTCTAGCGATGTCAAGAGGGGTGATTTCAGCATTCCAATCGGGAGAGCTCTCGCCAATTATGGCACTTATATCGTCGACGAGGAGTGCATGCCTGTTCCTATTGGATGGCCCGGTCAAATCGCCATCAGTGGACCTGGAGTAACGAGCGGATATCTTAACCTGCCTCAGCTTACCGAGACCAAGTTCATACATCGAGGCTTTTCCAATCAGGGTGCTCCGGGGTGGGATAGGCTCTACCTCACAGGCGACAAAGGCCGAATGTTGTCTGACGGCTCTATTGTCGTGTACGGACGTATGGACGGAGATGACCAAGTAAAGATCAGGGGCATGCGAATCCAGCTGGATGATGTCTCCAGAACCCTTGTCCAGGCATCACGCGGCACCCTGGTGGACGCAGCCGTTCTAGGACGACGCGATGGCTCCGGAAACCAGCGACTTGTGGCATATGTCGTGTTCTCTAGGGCCTGTCAAATTGATGACAAGCAAGCCTATCTACGTCAACTCAACCACGAACTTCCGATACCTCAATATATGCGTCCAGTTATCGCTATTGCCCTGGATGTACTCCCAGTAACGGATAGGGGTAAGCTCGACAGCAGCAAGTTGGTGGCTCTGCCTTTGCCCCGGGTTTCTCTTGGCGATGAGGAGACCAACGAGGAGCTCACTGAGCAAGAAGCGCGGTTGAGAGACGTCTGGAGGAGTCTCTTGGGTGAGGTCTCCTTGGCTATCCCCATCCGCCGCAGCTCCGACTTCTTCTCTGTCGGTGGCAACTCGCTACTTCTACTCCGGCTCAAGTCTGAAATTCGTCGAGTATGGGGGGTGGAGATTCCCCTTTCGGAGCTCTTCCAAACCAGCACCCTCGAGCTCCTGGCCGCCCGACTCGCTGGCGATTCCAAGCTCGTCCACATCGACTGGGAGAAGGAAACTGAACCAGATAACAAAACCTTCCTCGTATCACCGCCTTCCGCGAATGGACTCGAATCTCCAACTCGGCGCCGAAAGGAGGAAGGTATATCCGTTCTCCTCACGGGAGCCACAGGATTCTTGGGAACGGCTCTCCTACGCCAACTAGTTAACCTTCCCCAAGTCGCCCATGTCCACTGCGCAGCCATCCGTCCCGGCGTCCCAGGCGAACTTCGACAGTTGGGCGTAGATTCGCCAAAGATTGTTCGTCACTCCGGCGACCTCGCACTGCCCCATCTCGGCATGAGCCAAGAGGAGACATCTGATCTGTTCAACGATGTGGACATCATTATTCACAACGGAGCCGAAGTGTCACACATGAAGAACTACCGCAGCCTAAGAGCCGCCAACTTTTTGTCTACGATTGAACTAGCCCGTCTGGCTATACCTCGCCGCATCCCCATCCACTACATCTCCACAGGCGGTGTCGCACGCCTCAGCGGCGCCGCGGTGCAACCCGAGTCGTCTCTAGCGGCCTTCCAGCCGCCGGTTGACGGCTCAGACGGGTACGTAGCATCCAAGTGGGCGAGTGAGGTGTTCCTCGAGAAAGTCCACCGGCGATACCCAGGACAAATCTGGATTCATCGGCCAAGCAGCATCACGGGCGACAATGTGCCCGACCTGGACGTTGTCCACAGCGTGCTGAAGTTCTCAAAGCTTATGAAGGCCGTGCCTGACCTAACGGGCTCATCGGGAGCCTTTGATTTCATCCATGTCGATACGGTATCGAATGATATTGCCCGGTGTGTTGTGGCGAGCATAGACAGAAAGGTGAAAGCCTCCGACAACGCCTTGGTCTATGTTCACCAGAGCGGGGAAACGATTGTTCCCGTAGATCAACTCAAGGAGTATTTAGAAGGTTCGGCAGCCGGGTCATTCAGAGTCTTGCCATTGGAAGAATGGGTTACTGGCGCGCTGCAGAGCGGCTTGGATGAGGTTCTAGGATCGTTCTTGTTGGCCTCTAAGGGAGTGATCAGAGTGCCATTGCTTCAAAGAAGAAAAGAGTAGGACCTATCAAGTTGATCGGCGGGGAATTAGAGATGATATCTACATGTATAGCTTTTCTTGGCGTTTTCTAAGCGGATTTAGGGAAATTTGATTCCGGTTTCGATTTTAATCCGCAAGTTTGGTTCAATACCTTTCTAAATTTAAGCCTGATTTTCCAGGTCCTACGAGGCATCAAGATATCAGTTACCATGTCGTTGAAGAAGCTGTTGAAATAATAGATTTATGTCTAACCACCACTAGAGTGGCACGTCGCTCATTTTGGGTGTCGTAGTCTAAATCTAACAAAAGCCACTATCCAACCTCCAGCAATGCTTTCCCAGCTTTCACAAGTTCATTTGGCCAAAGCGTAGATTGAAACAATTAGATGGGAGTAACATTTGTGTCATGTCAACACCAATAACCTCTCTATCTAAGGGGGACCGGCCTCGGGTCCGGAATGTCTCCTCTCATCAGACGCGCTGACCCCAAGCAACAATCATCTCAACCCTCCCACCCTCATTCTCAAGCTCCGCCTTCACCCTGGCCGGCAAGGCAGTGAGCTGCTCGTCGCTGAAGGAAGTCGGCACACTCCTCGCAACCGCTGTCAGAGGAGCGACGGGTCCCGTAATCCCATTGACACTCGCCGCAGCCAACTCCGGCTTCGCCGACTTCCCTACGTTAACGAAGAACCGCTTCTCTTGCAAGTTCTGCAAACCCGCCGCTTCCAATGTGGCCTTCAGCTCGTTGGCGAAGTCTCCAACCCCTATGTGCGTCCAGGCTTGCTTGACCATCGACGCAAAGTCGGTCATGGCCGGTCCGTTGCTAGGCGGGCTAAAGGCGTTCATCTCCATGAGCTGGACCCAGCCGCCGGGTTTCACGAGAGAGGCGAGGCCCTTGACGGCCTCGTATGGCCCCTTTGGCGCCGAGCCCGCAAGGCTACCGCGTACATGGACGAGATCGAACGTGTTCTGATACTCTTCTGGCCATGGGTCGTTGAAGGAGTGCTGAAAGTAAGTGATGCCATCTGGTTCGTCAGGGAAGAGCTCGGGCTCGATGTCACTGCCGAAGTACTGGTGCTCTGCCGAGAGCTTGCTGCGCACGCCACGGAGCCAGGTGCCTTTCAGCCAACATCAGCGCCCGTTCAGAAATTCGAAAGGAAGTTGGAGGGGTTATGGGTAGTTCCTTACCGTCGGCAGTGCCAGAATCGAGTATTCTCTTACCCGGCTCCTCGAGGTTAATGGGGGCCAAGATGAGCTTCCCACCCAAGGCATCATCGTAAACAGCGTCGAGGTCAATCAGGCGCTGCAGCTCGGGCCTGTGCCCGGCTTTCTTAGTCATGTCCATGAACTTATCCATTTTGGCAGATTGTCGGTAACTCTGTATTATCACGCTCGCCTCCTGGTAATGGCTGTAGTGTGCAGTCTAGAGACCTTATCCTATACGCATTTAAGTAGGCTCCATAGAATCGCCTCCACAAGACAGTAGGCATCCGTAGACACGCCGTCACGTTCTATCCCGCTTCCAGACATAACCTACGGTATCAGTGGTATTGCCTTGTGCCGAATGGTAGTCAGTTTATAGCCGAAAGTGGATGTTGGCGCCGAAAGTTGGCCGAAAACAACTATTGCCGAAAATGCTTCGAATATGGTAATATGAGAGCTCGATGGATGACTTCTTCGGCGGGCAATAACACGATAGCGACCATCGTTTCAGTGATAATACTATTTTTTTCGACATTTTTTTTTTTTTTCATGAAAGTTCATAAATTAGGAATATCACAGAAATATCATTAACCAGATTAATGAATTTTCTAAAAAACTTATTCTCGTTCTCACATAAATCCCGTACTCCGGGGTGTGACGCTGTAAGTCGGGTTTGCTTGATCGAGTGGGATGAGGCTGAAGAGGCGACTACCGACCCGAGGATCGGAGGAGGGCCGCCTTCGCACGCACGTGTAGCAACGGATCTTACCAGCCTCGAGAGTAGATCCAAATACAAAAGTTTGGGATGAGTAGGCTATCAAGGTTATGGGGTTTCCATTCATGCCGCTAGACTATTCCCAAGAGCCATTCTCAGTAACTCCAGATCGAGATTGTTATCTCCTCAATAATGTTAGAATTATTAGAATTGAATCAGCTCTTAGCCATCAAGCGCGCGACCCTTCTCGGTGCTCTGACGGCCGGGCTATGCTTAAGCCTCTACACGCAGCTCCGGCCCGTCCTCAGGGACATCCAGCATCTTCCCGAAGAGCATACAGTTACCCTGTCAGAAGCTCGGGTTGACACCGAAGAAAGGAGGTCACTTGCCAAGCCGCCATACCCTGCGGATGTATTTCCTGGAGGAAGACTAGTCAAGACTGTCTATGGAACTATCCAGGTGTTTGAATGGGGCCCTGAGGATGGGGAGAAAGTCTTGTTGGTGCATGGCCTCAGCACTCCATGCATCTCGTTGAGCGATATGGCGAAGGAGTTTGTCAGAAGAGGCTATAGAGTCATGGTATTTGGTGAGTCTTATGGGCGGGAAAGGATGTCCATCGAAGACTACTTACGGAAAAAGATTTCCTTTCTGACCATGACGTTTCAGATCTTTTCGGCCGAGGCTACTCAGATGCACCAAATGACTTGGCTTTCGACGCACGCCTTTATACCACCCAGATCCTGCTTGTTCTCTCGTCTTCCCCATTTTCTTGGACTGGAACCGCTGCCTTTCACATCGTGGGATTCTCTCTCGGCGGTTCAATTGCCGTGTCATTCGCCGCCTACCACACGAGCATGCTACGTTCCATGACCCTCGTCTGTCCTGGTGGGCTTATCCGCACGTCGCACATCAGCAACCGAAGCCGTTTCCTCTACTCTTCCGGCCTCATACCCGATTGGTTGCGCCTCAAGCTTATCTACGGTAGTCTAGAACCGCGACATGGAGCCCTAAGTGCAGATGTTCCCGACGAAAATCTGCACGCGGATATAGACTTCGATGAGGTGCCCATTTCATCGGATCAGCCCCGCGTAAGAATCGGCGACGTCATTCGATGGCAGCTGAAGTGGAATTCCGGGTTCGTTCCTTCGTACTTGAGCACCATACGAAGTGCTCTAGTCTACAGACGCCATGATGGGCTCTGGAGGGTGCTGGAAGACGAACTAGCCCGTCGACGAACTGAGGACCCGCCACCGGGGCTGCCCGGTGGACGGATCTGTCTTATTCTTGCCGAGAGGGATGTCATTGTCGTAAAAGATGAGTTGCTAGAAGACAGCAAAGGGCTTCTCTGTAGAGAGGCTGTTGAGATGCATGTCATGAAGGGAGGCCATGAGGTTGCTGTCTCGCGAGGCAAGGATGTGGCATCAATCGCAATAGGATCTTGGAACAGGCAAAGGTAGATAGAGAACTGTATACGATTCTGGTGGCTAGTTAATACACGCCAAGTTTTGCATCCTAAGTCTTCACCTGGCAACTCGTTCAGTACGTGCTGTCTTCTATCGCGTCAACGCCACACCATGTTAGTCAAAATTGCTCAGGTCGCCTCAAAGGGTCTCGTGCAGCGCCAGCATCCCCGCTGTTCACCATAAACCAGAATATGAAGCACTGCCATGTAGTAGTATAGTTATCATTCTATTGTCCCCCAACCCTCGTTTTCTTTTTCGGATTACTCTGATAGTGGAACGGGGACCAATATTACAATCTATGATGTTGTAGTCTCCATGAGCCACATTGATCAATGTTATCCCATATTCAACTCTTTGGCAGCCTTCTCGACAGTCTTGACTCGCTCCGGGTCCCGGGCCTCAATTCTGCAACCGAACTTCATCGGCCTCGGAGCTGGCACTGGCTCATACACGAGCGTCTCTCGAATTTCATTTCCGTCTTGGTCCAGCGGCCATCGGATGTTTACCGCCCATCCCAATTTAGCGATCATGATAACAAGGCTGCGTTCTGCAAACTCAACGCCAGGGCATGCGCGTCTGCCATAGCCGAATGCTTGGAAACCGTGACAGTTAGGATAAAGAGATAGAGGTTCCTTATAGGTCGGATAACTAGGCTCAAGCCAGCGGGCAGGGTTGAATAACTTCCCGTCCGGGTATACTTCCTCATCCGTGAGGATCGACCTGCCAGTTGAGTAGTCAGTAGGGCTGCCGAAAGGGAATGGCCTAATAACCAGGGGAAGCAACTTACGCAAAAGTGGCATGGAAAACTGTTCCCCTTTCAAAAAAGTACCCATCGTAAATATCATCCGTACTCAAACAATGACTTATTCCCATTTCTGCCACTATGCTTCTGTATCGGACTCCCTCCTTGACGATTGCTCTCACCGTAGGTAAGTTAGGGATGTCCTCGTAGCTCGGCATTCTATCTTTGCCAACGACTTGGTCGACTTCCGCCTGAAGTTTTCTCTGCCACTCGGGGTATTCCATCATCAGGAATAGAAATGTGAGCAGATTGTTGTGAGGAGATCGCGTACCGCCATCGATCATGGTTTGAAATGTATGAACCGCCTCTTCATCCGTAACGACGTAGTCACTCCGATTCAAGAGGAAGTGCTTGTAGATAGATTCTCTTGCCGACCTGTCCTCGACGCTCTTCTCGATCTTTCTTCTGAGCGACCACATCTGACCCACGTACTCCTTTCTTAGACTCTCCATCTTTCTCAAGCTGGGGATCAGCCAGAGAGGCATCCGCCTCAAGAACGGGAACACATTACTCGGGAAGCAGTCTGGACGGAAGGATTTCATAATTTCGGCGGTGAATTCCTCATTGTGGTGGAGAAAGGGATCATCAGCTGAGCGGATCGAGAACCCCAGCATGGAGCTAGTAAGGACGGAATAAGAATATCGCAGGAACTCATCGTGAAATGACGACGGGGATTTCAGGAGAGCGTAAAGAGTAAAAGTCGCCTCATCGTCCATCATGCTTTGGTACTTTTTAATGGACGTGATGGAGACGGCGTTTTGTATCATGCTCCTCTGGCGACGCCATCCCTCTATCAATCATTACCATGGTCCGCACAAGTTTGGATTATCCGGTTGTTGGGAGAAGGGTTGAATAGCTTAACTTACCGTCCTTGGGTCGAAAGCCGGGATTTTGGTTCATCGATATGTATTCCACAGCATGGGGAGCTCCGCGATCCGAGTACTTATTTCCCCTCCTGACGAACAGCTCCTTCGCCGCTGCCTCGTCAGACAGAACCACTTGTTTTTCCCCCATGACGCTAAATTGTGCAATGGGGCCATACTCTTGAGCCCATTTCCGAAAGGTCTGGATGATGGTCCGGCTGTTGGATGAAGCCAGCTCCAACGCGTTGCCAACAAAAGGCAGTCCTTTCTCAGGCTCGTCAGTTATTACTCTTGCTGGAAAACACAGCTTGGGGATATCAAGGGAGCTGTATATTACCTTTTGGCCCAGGAGGGAGCTTAGCACTTTTCATACGCTGATGTTTTGAAACAGCCCTGACGATGTAGTGAAGCAGAACTGCTAGGAGAAGTGGGAGCAACCAAACTTGCGACATGTTGGCCCTCCAGCTGTTTACACAAGATATCTCTCTTCTCACTCAGGAATGCCTTCACACGCCCGCTGTATTTCTCTTCCTTCTCCTTGCGCAAATGCGAAATAAGTATACTTCCTCTTCAATGTACATGAATACCTCACAATAATAGCGAAATATGTTCTAATATTGTACGATATAAAATATCTTGATATTCTTAGTACCTACGGGAGCAACTATTCGAAGAGCTCTTTTGGTCCGCGAAGCACCTTCGACCGTCCGAGCCTTCTTCGGTATCATTGACCATTTTCGGCTTTCGGTGCTTTCGGTGCTTTCGGCGCTTGAGGTACTTATCTTCTCGCCGCATCTTCGCTTTCGTCCCGCCTCGAACTTCAGTTGGTCTCCTGGTGTTACAGAAGCCAGGAAAAAAGTAATAGAGGGCGTTTATAAGAAATACACTCGAATGCAACCGGCTCAAATCGTCGAGGTGATACATGCCTGTTCTGTGAGAATAGTTTCATGCGGGCAGCTGCAATACAGATGTAAGCAAGTGTAAAACTGGGATCCAAGGTCGCTTCCTCGTTGAAGGGATTTCTCAAAACCTCCAACACTACGGCATAACATCGCAGCCTCCGTGTCCCCCAAGTGCTGAGAACCATTTGGTGACAGGAGAGTCAAGACAGAGGCAGAGAAATCGTCTGTCATCACTCTCGTACGCGTCAGCCATCGCGATCTGAGTCTTCCGTTTGTTCTTAACAGCCCCTGTCAGCTGCAGTATTCACTGTTTTTAAGGTTACTGGACCAACCCATTATGCTTCACGGTAATGACAAGCGACGGGGGCCATTTCTTGAACATTGCTTTTCACTTAGTGGGGGCGATGGGGTCCTGAATTTACATAGCCTCGGGTCGAGATTTATTTCCCCTTCTTTCCATCCTTCCTTCCCCCTCTCGCGAGGAATGGGAAGAGGCTGGGGTTCAGCTTTGTGACTGTGGATGTTGGTGATCATCCAAGTCCTCGATGAAGTAGAGATTGCGCCATAGAGAATGTGGTCGATGATGTGGAGCAGCAATCGTCGGCGTGGGATTTATGAAAGTCCATCTTTCCAATTGTGGCTGGATTGATGGTTTGATATTTTGAGAAGTCGTCGTCCAAATGCAGATGAATCCATGAGAGGATGTACCGAGAATGGTCTGATTACAAATTGTACTCGCGTTGTCTCCCCACGAGGTCTGGACTCTGGAGTCCAGGCCAGTGGGACACGATCTAGACCAGAGGTCTGCAGCCAATGGCCTGCAGTAGTGGGCACAGGAAAGTATCTCCATGTACTCAGAATCACAAACCCATGTATAGGAAATTCAAATTGCCAGCGGAGGCGGGGGAGAGGAACAGAAAAAAAAAAAAAAAAAAAAAAAAAAAAAAAAGAAGAAAAAACAAAAATAGTGAAGAAATGTGTTTGTATGGAGGCCGGATTTATCTCTTCGAAAAACCTTGATCGAGCTTGCTTGGCCTGTTTTCGACTCTGCTTCGACTGCTGAAATTCTGGATGCAATTGCCATTCCTGATCAACAAGTTCTCGGTTTACTTTTGTACCGAGACCTTCTCAATTGCGCCTTCTGCAATTTTACCAGCCCCCGGTCCATGACCTGAGGAGACACGGAAGGTACAACTCGAGCGTCGCAGTTATTATTCTTATCCTTATCGCCAGGCTGCCAGCACATTACCAAATCTTCACCAGCCGCTGCTTAAGCTTGCTGCCCGCGCCTTGCGAGCCGCGACACTGAACCACTAGCAAACTACCAAATCCGCGTCGCGATTTCTTCAGCGCCCTTCTTCCTCTCTGCAAACGCTTGGCAATTTTCTCATTCACCAACCTCACCCATCACCCACCCGTCGACCATCACCTTGTCGCCCGTCGCTCAACAACCTGCACCCTCGCAGTTGCGACATTTTATCGTTACAGGCGAACGTTCATCCACTACCATAATTAATGCTCAGTGAAAAACAGTATCAACCCTTCCCTTCCTAAATGCCTTCGACGAGATGACCCCTGTACCCCCAGAGAACTCGTCGCCAATAGGCCAGGACAATTGGGTCGCATATATTGAAGAAGCTTGTCGAAATGCCACCGACCTCGAGAAGCGAGTCAATGTGATCGAACTCTATAAGCGCGCAGTCTCTGCAGAGCCCGGCTCTCTCCGAATATGGCTCGCGTATTGCGAATATTTCCACTCCCTTTTTGACGCTTGCCGAACAGCAGATCCATCGTGGCCCAGCGACGAGATCATGATGGGGCGTGAGATCTTCTCCCTCGATGCTGACTTGCAGCTCTGGCAGAGTGCGTATGAAGATGTGCGCTTCCGCATCGGGGATAGTCACGCCCTTTGGGATCGTTGGGTTGAGATCGAGATGGAGCTTCTGGCCACGACCAGAACACGCGAAGGTATCGAGCGCATCACTTTTCTCTACCGCGACCGGTTACGAACTCCCCATGTTACATGGGACGAGACAGCGCAACGCTTTTCAAGCTTCCTCTCCGAGTATAACAGGCAAAACTGGGAGGCAACCATGCAGGAAATAACGACCGATGCCCAAGAAGCAAAGGCGATAATCGGAGATCGGGAACGATTCGAGTTTCGCCTACAGAGGGCCGCCCGTGATCAGGATACCGATGCTGAGCGTGCTGCGATGAAAGAGTACCTAGCATGGGAGATTGCGCAGACTAGGAAAAAGGATGACGGAGCTTATACCCGCGACCAGCTCTGCCGCGGCCTATTTTGTAGAGCCCTTACGGGTGTCTTCTCCACCGAGGACTCTGTCTGGCTCGACTACATGACCTATCTCTCCTCCAATGTCCCGCCCTCTAAATCCGCCGCAAGCCTCCTGTCTCCTCTTCAAAGAGCCGTCGATCACTGCCCCTGGTCGGGTCCTTTGTGGTCCCGGTACATTTTGGCTGCCGAGGAAGCTCAGCTTTCCTTCGCCGAAATCGAGCAAGTTAAACACGCGGCTACGAGTAACTCGCAAATCTACAGAGACGGTATGGCTAGCCTCCTAGAAATGTACGTCGCATGGTGTGGATACCTCAAGCGCACAGCTACGAACCCTGCCGCCTCGGAAGACGCCGTTGATGTCGCGGATGTGGGCTTACCCGCCGCCCTGGAATATGTCGGTGTTCTGGGAGACCGCCTCTACGGGAAAGATTATCAAGGCGACCCAGACTTTCGACTGGAAAGGATATACATCCAATATTTAACAGAGAAAGAGGGCGACCTTGATGAAGCGAGGGTGCAGTGGGAGCAGCTCGCGAAAAAGCCACTGTTTGCGGACCGCTACGACTTTTGGCGAGCCTACTACCTCTGGGAAATGGAAGTATTCTTCTCGCAGCCGAAGAAACAACCTGGGGCTCCCACGAACGGCGAGCAGTTGTCGCCGTCTAAAGCCACCACGGTCATGTCCCGTGCCGTGAACCACAAGACTCTGGACTGGCCCGAACGGGCTATCAGCTCCTACCTTCAGCATTGTAACGATTACGAATCGCCGAACACTATCCGCCGCGCTCGAGATAACGTGCACAAGATCCGCATCGTCGTTGCTAAACGGAGAGAAAGAGAGGCTGCGGAAGCCGCTGCTGCTTATGCACAGCAGGTCCAAGCTCAACAGCAGCAGGAAGCTGCTGCCCCTGCGGCAACTGAGGAGGCGTTCGAGATCCAGCCCACACTACCCTCTGATTCCCCATCCGGTGCTAAGAGGAAGCGAGGCGACACTCTGGGAGAAGATGACCAGAAGACGACCAAACGGTCTAAGGGCGAAGAGGCTAATGGTGATGGTGGACCCCCTGGCAAGGCTGAAGAAGCCCCTCACAGAGACCGAGAGCACACCTCAGTGCTTATTAGCAACCTGCCTGGTGACTCGACTCAGACAGCGATAAAGAAGTACTTCAAAGACTTTGGTCGTATCCAGAACATAATCCTGGTCCATAATAAAGGCTCCGGTACCTCTACAGCACTGGTTGAGTTTGCCTCTGTCCAGGATGCCAACGATGCTATCACCTTCCGGGACTCAAAGTACTTTGGGCAAAACCAGATACGAGTGAAGTCTGGAGCTAAGCTCACCCTCTTCGTCACCAACTATCCCCCGGCAGCTGATGACCAGTATCTCCACAATCTTTTCAAGGATTGCGGTGTCATCTTAAACATCAGGTGGCCAAGCCTGAAGTTCAACACGAGGCGACGATTCTGCTACGTCTCGTTTGAAGCTGAAGAGGGTGCCGCGAAAGCGACGCAGCTGAATGGAAGGATACTGGAAGGGAAATACAGGCTTGAGGTCAAGTATTCCGACCCGGCGAAGAAGAAGAAACGCGAGGGCGCCGTTTCCGAAGGCCGAGAGGTTCGGGTGGCCAATCTCGACGAGTCTGTGAAGGAAGAAGATATTCGGGATGTGTTCTCGAAGTATGGAGACCTTGCGAGGGTCAGTATGGTCCCCAGTCGACGAGGCAAGGGGTTCAGTAGCGTCTTCCTGGAATTTGAAAAGAAGGAGCATGCAGAAAGAGCTATTGCCGAGCTGAACAACACGAAGCTGCGTAGCCGAATCTTGACTGTGGAGCTCGCGTCACAGCCTAAGGTGAAGGTGTCGGCTAAGGTCATCAACCCAACGGAGGAGCAACAACCGTCACGAGATACCGAAGGCGACGAAATAATGCAGGTAGAGCCTGCCGTTCCTGAGCATCCCTCCAACAACAACATCGCAGCGCGATTGCCATCAGCCGAACCCCCTTCCACCAGCAAACCATCTACTTCCGTGCGAAAAGTCGCACTCATGAACCTCCCGGACACCGTCAACGATGCACGCATCATGGCTCTCCTCGAACCTGTCGGTACTGTCCGTAAGCTCGTTCTCCAACCAGGAAAAGGAACGGCGGTTGTAGAGTTTGCGGACGAAGCTACTGCGGGACGAGCAGTGCTTCAGCTTGATGGGGTGGAAATTGAGGGTACCAAAATCCAGACTGGTAGCCTTGCCGACTTAGCAAGGTATACGAGCAACAAGTTAGAAGGCGGCACCTCAGCGCAACCGCAGGGCAAGGGGAAACCGGCACACGAGGGATCTGCTAGTGCGAAGGGTAGACCCGGCGGGAAGCCAGCGTTTCTGCCGCCCACTACAGTGAGGAGGCCAGTCCTCGGCAGAGCTGGAGCCAAAAGAGGCCTAGGGTTTGTACCAAGACCATCTGGCGCGGGGAACGTGACGGTGGACGGGGAGACGACGCCTGAAAACGGCGGGACAAATTCTCAGGGTGTTACGGCGAAACCCATGAAGTCAAATGCAGACTTTAAAGCTATGTTCCTCTCTGGTAGGCCGGCGGCCACCGAGCAGGAGAAAAAGAAGAAGGATAGTGTTTGACATGGGTATTAATGTTTTTATGACAATGTTAAGGAGGGAACAGAGGAGGAATTGAGGGTGAACCAAGCTTCAAATTGTGTGGAGGGCTTGTAAAAGTTACGCGGGAGGTTGTCCTGCAGGGCCAGCATACTAAGGTGTTCTTCTCTCATCTTCATGTTTTTACTTTCCGCTCTCCTGTATTAATATTTTATTGAGAAACTCCGAGGGATTAATCATGGAAGGCTGGTAATATCATTTTTTTTTCCTTCTGCGCAAAGAGCAAGGGGTGTTGGGTGTTGTGGGGAAAGAGCCGAGTAGCGCAAGCAGATGTTCACGATGTATTGGGCTGGTAGCAAAAAAACGAGACATAGAGCAGGCACGGAGTGGCATTCTTGACTCGCTATTGTTTATTCCTTGCTAGAGAAGATATGGGGGCCATGTGTTTTGGTAGAGAAGACGCCGAAAGGCGCTTACTCGAGTCAGAAAACAAGACCTTTGGCGATGCGGCAGGCCATATATCTAGAGGTATATATGGAGAGCATCGGCATGCCTTCCTCTTTATCAGCCATCCTTCATCTACCTTTTCACTTCAATGTTTGCCAACTCTTCACAGAAGGGTATTCTAATCAAGTACTTTGTCCGTCTGTCCAACTCGGCCAAAGAGGACGAAAAGCTATGGATTCCCCCTGGATTGGCCTTTGACAGGAACTTTTTCATCTCTGGGCATCTCTCGTCTCCTGTAGAGCAAAGATCTTCTGCCACACATCTAGCCACCGCAACTGCTGTGCCGTGGGCATCTTCCCAGGCTGCCTGAAAGCCCTATTCAAGAGTTCCCGCAGCCTCGCGCGGAGGACCTTGATGACGAGCATGGTCTTCCAATCGGGGACGGAAAAGCGGGCGCGGTTTCCATCTAAGGTGATGACACCCGAGAAGACCTGGTGGACGATATTGTTAGCTTTCCATGATATTGTTTGGCATTGGCGGGCGCTTGTGTGCTTACATCGCAGCGGACATCACCACAGAGGAGAGCGATGGCGAACGGATCGACAGCCGTCGTTTCGTGGGCATGATATACTCTAGGACGATAGTTAGTAAATCCTCCCCCAAATTTAACAACGCCCCTTGACGTGATAGACACTTAAAACTTACTGCTTTGCTTGCATGATATGATAGTATGACAGCCATCTGAGATCCAGCTGGCCCCTATTCACCGACGACGGATGCAGACTAATCGACTGATTATTTCCAATATTCCTCAGCGGCCTCGAGCCCGGCGGATCGCGCACGAGCAGCTTAGGATAGAAACTCCACGCGATTACCGAGGCAGTCACGGCATCGTTGTCGCTATTGAGATCGACTCTCTGGGGAATCTCGTAGAATTTCTGCTGCCTTCGACTGCGAGAGCCCGGAGAATACCGCATCCGGTTCAGGGCCTTGCGCTCCTCGTCCGCGAGGAGGAGGAAGCCCGAGTCGGCCAAGGCGACGAGCAGCTGACCCTTGAGGTCTTCGATGTTCGCCAGCGTCTGTTGGCTGAGGTAATTCTTGCGGCAGAACTGGAAATCTTTACCGGTCTGCTGGTAAACCCTCCTCCAGGAGACGTAGGCGTTGTAGATGGTGAGGAGGTCTGAATCGCCTCGTCGGAAGGCCATTCTGGCAGCGTCTGCCTGAGTCCGCTGGCCGAAGGGGGCTGAGAAAGGTGACTTGGCGGAGAGGATCGCTGCGACGGTGATAGCCATATCCAAACATTTGAAAACTGTGCCAAGAAGAATGAGTTTTCCAAGGAACACGTCCAGAGGGAGACGAGCTAGTTGCCGTCCCAGGGGTGTCAGCTCCTCGGCCGCCGTCAAAGCCCGCACGTCAACGAGAGCGTCAATGGCACGGCGGATATTCTTCTGAGAGGGAGGGTCGAGCGCTTCATTGAGCGTTTCTTCGATGCCGCCAATCTTGCAGATCTTTACGCGAATAGCGAGATCTTGCAACGAAAGACGAAGCATCTCGGGGGTTTGCTGGTCGCTGATGAGTTTGTCATGCCGGTGCTTTGTGAAAAGGTGGAAGCATAGGCCCTCTTGGACACGACCTGCACGACCGCGACGCTGCTTGGCGTTTGCGCGAGAGATAAACGTATCGATGAGGCGGGATAGCTGTCGCTTTTCGTCGAACCTCATTTCTTTATGCTTTCCGGTATCAATAACGCAGGTGACATCGGGAATGGTGATACCAGTTTCGGCGATATTGGTCGCAAGGACGATTTTCCTGACACCGGGCGGCGGAATGAGGAAGGCAGCTTCTTGGTCTTCCGTCGCAATACTCGAGTGCAAGGGATATATCTGCCAATTGGAGCCGAAATGAGGATCTCCAAGTAGCATATCGTTGAGTGTCCTAATCTCCGCCATACCAGGGAGGAACACTAGAATAGCCTTGCTATACCGAGTGTAGGACTCGTCATCGGCAATCTTAGCAATCAACTGGACAATAAGATCGAAATCGATTCGGTACTCATCCATTTGTGAAAGAGTGGTTCTTGTCCTGGGCGAATACTGAGATAAATCTCCCATCAAGCCGGCCTTTGCGGGTTCTGGTTCTGGCTCGGGTATGTCATCATCCAAGTCAATCATCTCAGCTGTCTTGCGATCCTCGCCAATGGAATACCCGGTAAGTTCGACAGCATCTTCCAAGTATCGTGTTTGAACCGGGAATGTGCGACCGGGAACTTCAAGGATCGGGGCGCCTCCAAGATACCTCGAGAACTGGTTTGCATCGACAGTGGCGGACATGAGAACCACTTTGAGATCCGGTCGCCGCTTAATGAGCTTCTTCAACACAATCAACAAAAAGTCGCTATCAATAGAGCGTTCGTGGACTTCATCAAGCACAAGATGAGTGATTTCCGTGAGATCATTCGAGCCCTCGAGCATGCGCATAACGATACCCGTGGTCGCGTAAACTAGGCGCGTTTCTCTAGACGTGGTTGATTCCAATCGGATGGAGTAGCCAACTAGTGACCGAGTGGTGCCCAAGTCGCCCCTGTTCTCGCCGAGTTCTTCACTCACACGGCGCGCCAAAGAGACGGCCGAGATTCGCCGTGGCTCTGCGCAGTATATCTTGCAGTATTTGCCCTGAGAAAGCTGGTGCTCAAGAATGAACGACGGAAGCTGAGTACTCTTGCCGCTAGATGGTTGGGAGACGTCGGCGTTAGATTTACATTTAAAGCCATCTAAAAGGAGTAGAGTAAGAATTGGATTAGGGATAACACGCTTACCATCCAGTTTCACCACAAAGTATCACCACTTGGTTAGTCTCGATCGCTGCTAGCACCTTTGACTTGAAATTCCACATGGGGAGTTGGCGACGAGATTCCTACATACGAAGGTTAGAATTCACCATTTCTAGCACACATTGGCCTCCTCGGTCGTGGATGCGTCCAGAGTCTTACCAGCATGACGTTGAATTTGCGAGTGCTGCTCTTTTCAGCCCATAGAGCTTGGAGGCGATCGGCGGATTCGACAGTGCTCTTGCCCCGGTCTTGGCTTGAATCGTCCTTATTGTCCGTTTGGTTCCTAGCAGCAACTCTCCCACGGAACTCTTGAAGGATGACACCATCTTCTAGTTCCTGGTCTCGTCGTTGTCTCACTAACGAGCGCATCTCGCTCACTTCAGCCCGATCGGCAGCATCGAGCTGGTTCTTGCGGATCTCGGAATATTCGACCCACAAATCTCTCCATACAGGCGGCAGCTTGAGAAACACTTTGTCTTCCTTCGCCGATGATCCGAAAATATGGAACAAGGCATAGGTCGCTATAAAGGCCTCGGATTTAGCTTTTTCTGGGGTAGCAACGGAAACCATGGTGAAGGTGGAACGAGTCGGTGTTACATTAACACTGACTTCGGGCACAATGTTGTCGGCAAGGATGTCCTGCGGCGTTTTCCATTCGATAGTGACCTTGTAGCGGTTCGCAAAAGCCGAGTCAGACACCAAAGTGTACGCTATCGAGGCTGAAGAATCCCTTTACAAGGTGTCAGTAAGGCTGTCCGACGCTTATTGCCTTTAGAATGTTTAAAAGACGGATACGTTCCAACTCACCTTGCTCGGCATGAATCTTGCAAAATCCTCGTAGGGTTAACGCCCGCCCATTTTGCGAAGTCTCTGATAACCAATCTGGTTCCGCTAGAACTATTCACAACTGTTTGGGATTTTCCAGTCTCCTGGTCAACTTCCGTCGTCGGCAGGCTTGAGAAAAGATCTGCGAGTGCCTCGTCCTCGTCAGCATTGCTCGCAGCTAGGATCTCGGCAGCGATCCTCTCGGCTTCTAAGTTGACGTCGTCGACGTCATTCTCGTTCCCCCCGCCGGGCTTGTTCGTTTCTGGGACTTGGTTCTCATCAGGTTGGGGAGCTTTTGACTCGAGTTTTCGAGCTTCAGAAAACTCTTTCTCTAATATAATCTTTCGGGATCTCCACTGCATCTCCGCAAGACCTTTATCAAACAAGACATCCTTGTCAATCCTGTCAATTTTGGCTTGCAACTTCACAATCTCCATTTCCTGCTCCTCGTTCAGAGCGGGTTCGGGGCCTTTGCCCCTCGCATTCTTGCCTCGCCTCTTGGTATCTAGTAATGGCCGCTCTAATGCAAAGAGCTTTTCCCTGGCTTTCAGATACTCAGGTATGAGATCATCCGGCTCGATATCGCTATCACAGAAAACAGCTACTTTTTTCTTGGCAGCAGGCTTCTTGGATGAGTTGGAGCCATTGCGTTTGGAAGCCGTTTTGTTCTGAGCCTTAGCCTCTTCCACATTCTCTTTGGTTCGATATGCATTAGCAGACTAGTTGACCGGCACCGGGTTGTTTCAGTGTTGGGACTGGGCGAGAAATAACATGCGTACCTAAAGGTTTACGAGCCGGTCGGGGTCTTGCATCATAAGCGGGCAGCTCATCAGGCCCACATTCCTTGGCAAGCCAGTCGAGAGCTTCCTCTAGACCCCAGATAGCATCCTTTGTATTGGATGGGATATTTGGCGACATGTCTAGGACATACGAAATGGCCTCACGACTCCGGTTTGCAGGAATACCAGCTGAAATAAGAGTATGCTGCAAGGTCCAGAGCCTGATGGTCAGGTCTTCCTCCGGAGGCATCTTGCCTGAAGAATTGGTGGAGGCGGCCTCCGAGGACATGCTCACGGCGGCGAAGCGACTCTCAGCCCTGATAAGATCCAGCACATGATCCATGATCTCCGGCGGCAACCACCTTGGACAATTGATGGGGTCCGCGCTGGATCTTTGAAGACGGCGGTCCGTCTCCAAGCGCGCCTTCTGACGTTGGGCGTCACGCCTGACCTTTGGCGCATGCTTCTCAACGAGCAGTTGAAGTTCCGCCACCTCAAGCTGTCTTTCAAACTCCTCGGGGGTAAGCTCAGGCTTCTGGGGAGCTACCGATGCCGCTAGTCCTGCCTGGCCAGATGCTGAAGGTGTGCCTGGGGTTTGATTAGAAGCCGTCCCAGAACCCGGCTTTGCCTGGGTTGCCTTTGAAGATGGGCCATCTGGCTCAGGCTGTTCGATGCGGGGCTTCGAAGCAATGGAAGTTGTGGCAAACCCCCGGGCAGAATTCGCCGCGGGCTTCTTCTTTTTCTTATTTGGGGCCATGTGAAATGTCTCCTGGCTCTATGTTCTTGGACCAGTGTGTGTTGATTAAAGGTTGGCCGGAAAAGGTCCAATTTGATGACGTCTGGATTGCTGGGCGTGGGGGCAAAACACACTGGACTGAAAACCACGGGAGCCAGACCGTAGAAATATGATGATGCTAAGGAAGAGGAAATAGGCCAAGGGAACCGACGATAATAAGATGGCAGCGAAACATCTCTTTAGGCCCGTGATAACTAGTGGACAATCTTCAGAACTGATGGACAATTTTCACTCGTACCCACGTTTTTCAACGTTCAATGTTGCCTTGAACCTCTCGGCAGCTCTCGCCACGAGTCTCGAATCAAATTAGCGGTTGATGCTCCGCTCCAGCGCTAAATCCCATGCCGTTAAGCACAAGGTTTTGTGGCGACTAGTGGTATTAGTGCCCTTCCACCAGGGCTTCTAGTTGGGCATCTTCTGGGTGCTGGGTTAATCACTGGGGCGCAAACGACGGAACCTGAATCCCAAGAGCTCATGTGCTAGCAGAGGGTTCAACACCCTCGTCAGTAGGGTCTAGAGCGTCTCTGCTCAGTCAAAACCACCAATTAGCTGCAGAGGATCGGTGAGGTACATTCCAAATTCCAGCATGGGAGAAACGAGAAACAGCACGAGCTTGAGCCTTCTCGACAAGTAAACCTCTTCGGAGACAGGCGATGGAACTTCAACCTGACGCGGGGTGCCAAGTGCAACAAATCTCGTCTTTAGCTGGCAGCAGCTGCAATGGAGGGACCTCACTGCTCTGATTCGCCAAGGCCATAACCCCACCATGCCCCTCCTTGACTCATTCTTAGTCACAGATCCACACACAACTTTTTATTCAACACACACGTTGATATTGTCACTTTTTTTTTCATCAGCCCAGTCAGTGTACATCATCAATAGTGTACACGTACGAAGTACAACCTCTGGTATAAACTCCCCTCCGCCCCTGGGTGTTGTTTTTTGAGCATCATAAACGGCGCCGGGAGATCTTGGTGAGTCTCGGACCCGGCCCCTAGCGTAGTCTTCAATGTTGTTTGCCCTGAGCTTCTAGAAGCATTGCAACCGTTGCGTAAAATGTCCTGCTCGTAAATCGGCGAAACTTTTGACTTAAGACGTCCCCTGCCTGTCGCCTGTCACATCCCGATGTACTTGGCGCCTGCCTCTCTCGTCTTGGTGCTTGAATGTCTTTTTTTAACATTTTCGCCCTTCCATAGCCTCGATCTCCTCTGTCGTTTCGAGTAAACGCGATCAATCCCAACCACCGGGCCAAACCTGGCTGAACTCTTCACTCGCTAGCAAGTTCAGGGTCACGTCTCAATTGCATCCGACAACCCCAAGGTCTCAATGCGCCCTACCGGGTTGGCATCCTTCCTTTAGCCCGCCCCAGATGCGTAGATTCGATCCTGCCTAATCGAAGCTACCTTTCCCCCTACCGCCGTTTCCCCCCAATCCGCTCGAGTAGATTGACGTTCGAGCGCCGTTGGAGCCATGACCGAAACCACGACAGATGGCCCCGTGGCCTTCGATTTCCCTGCCGCAAAGGCCGCGTTAATGTCCTCTTCGACGACGGCTCGCCAAGCTCAGCTCCGCGTAATCGACGAGAAGATAGCCCAAAAAGGTACCGATTCCGAACTCACATATCTCGGGTCACCGCTCGAGTCCCCTGGGGAGTCCCTCGGAGAGTCCTCGCCGCTTGGGGATAAGTGATGCTAACAGCACTCTCGCAACAACAGACCTCCCCCCCGCCACCATCACCCCTCTTCTCAAAGTCCTCTTCTGGACCCACGAAGCTTACCACGATCGCCCCTCGAGGCGAGCAGTCCAGACTTGTCTCGTGTCCATAATAGAAAGCGGACTCAACCCCGATCTGTTCTCCCCATTCGTCACCGCCGTCGTTCAAGAGTGCCAAAGACCCGGTCTTGCCCCCACAACTGCCTTCGTCCTTGTCGAGTGGTGCAGTCTTCTTACCCAGCATCTCTCCGGCACGTCCCAATGGAATAAGTTCGGCTCTCAGATCCTTCAGGGCCATGCCCTCGTGCTGGAAAAGTGCCTCGGTCCCTCCGCTAAGCCTGGTGTATCGCATTCCGCTACGGTTATTACCAGACGTGGTCTTCGGAAGTTGCTTTTTCAAGACGGCCCTGCCGGCGAACAAGTCCTCATCAATGCAGTTACTCAACTAGCGGCGAAGGGAAGTCAACCCACTGCGCGCAATGGTCCATTTCTGGGCATCATCGCCGGTGTATCATCGCGCATTCCCACGGCCAAACCAGTTCTCGAGAAGCTAAAGAGTCAATACACCACCTTCTACTCTAGAGAAGTCGTAAATTCGCGAACCTCAGTCCCTGAACACATTGCTGGTGCCTTTTCGGACTACTTCTCGGACTTTTCGTCTCTCGAGGAATTCAAAGCAGAGGTCGTCCCCGCTTTAGAAAAGGGTCTCCTACGGGCGCCCGAGGTTGTGCTCTGCAACGTCATAGTGCCTCTTGTTAGCTCACTGCCAAAATCTTTTGACCTGACCGAGATTTTGGCGAAGAACCTCTTGAAGCCAATTCTCTCGAGCGCTAAATCCTCCAACGCCGCCGTAAGGGCAGGGGTATATGCCTCTTTCGCCGCGATCTCATCACGCACGAAAGCGTCGCCCTCGCTTGACGCGGCTGTTGACGAGATTCTGGGCCCCCTAAAGTCTGGAAAATTGGCTTCAGTCGACCAGAGGCTCCTACATGCGCAACTTCTAGAGAAAGTGCCCGTTTCTAATCCTAAAGCTGAGCAAGTTGCTTCTGGCCTTGCCTTGATTGCGCCAAAGGAGGGCAACGAAGCCTGTCTACAGGCGGAAACTTCGACACTTGTCAGCTGCTGTCTCCAGCTCTCTCTCGACATCGCTAAACCTGTGGCAGAGGCCTTCGTCAAGGGCCTAGCTGATAAGAAGATCCCAAATCGGAGGATTTGGATCTTGAAAACCGGCCAAATATTAGCAACTGCCTTAGACGACGATGCATTGACAAAATCTATTGCCCCCTTCGCTGAGGCGACAGTACCAAAACTGCTGGATTCTTATAATGAGGTCATCGCCAACCCTCTTGCAACCTCTCAGAGCGGCCTTATCGTTGGCGGTTACGTTTTTGCCGGTCTTGTGCCCCTTTTACTGGCCAAGCTCAACAGCGGTGCGGTCAAGACTGCCCTCTCCAAAGTCTCTCTTTCGAAGCAATGCCTCTCGTTAGAGCCTAAACCCTCCTTCCTTCTCAATCCTCGTATCTTTAGCAAATTGACCATTGAAGACGAGTACGTTTGGCTTTGTCGGACGCTTCTGTCCATTCCTGCTGAGTCTCGCCAGGTCATGGCGCCTCCCGCTGCCCTTGCCTGGGCGCAAGCTCTTATCTTCCTCGCTTGTTCATCGACTCTCAACCCCAAAGTTACCCGGGAGGCGAGGGAACGTATCTCGGCTGCCTATTTACACGAGCCAGAGGCAATTTCCAAGCTTTTGATCAACGGTTTATGGGGCTGGATAAAATCCGTCGAGGTGGCTGATAAGGAAAGCGTTCCCATCATTTGCAAATCTGAGAACGATGCCTTATTCCCCGTGCTGAGGAGCATATGCTTAAACCGAGCCACTGCCCAGGAATCAGGCCAAGATACTAGCATACAGGAATTGGATGAGCAACTATGCTCACTGGTTGTCCTTGGCCGGACTGAGTTGGTTGGCGGCGCCGGATGGATAGACCTCTGTCTTAAGGCCGAGAGGGATCCCGGTGAGCTTTCTAGGAAATACGAAGACTCCCTAATCAACCACATGATGGTCGCTGCTTCTGGCGAACAACAGGTAACGTACCTCACAACACCTTTGACGACACCATTGTGACTTGAATATCTCTCAGCTGACATTAAGGGTGTCGCCCCGAACTAGGTTGCGAAGGTGAGGGATGCCGCTTGCAAGGCCGCTGCCGAGTTGGCATTCGTGTCTCCAGCCACAATGACTTCCCGTATAATATCCTTGATTGAGGATGATCTAGACCCGGCTCGTCTCGAAAACATTGGCCCTGTCGAGGCTGCAATTTTCAAGACCCCTGAAGGGACTACTTTCATCGATGTTCTTGCCAACAAGAAAAAGACCGTGCCCGACAAAAACGCAAAAGATTACGATATTATGAAGTGGGAAGAGGAACTGAGGGCTCAGCTGGCAGAAAAGAAGGGTCAACAGAAGAAATTGACTGCCGACGAGACTGCCAAGGTAAATGCTCAGCTGAAGAAAGAAGCCGGAATCCGCGAATCCGTGCGCGCCACCGCTGCCAAATTAGACCGGGGCATTGGTATAATCCGGAGCCTCGCAACTGGACCTCCTACCGAAGATATAATGTGGATTCAGCCGGCGGTGAAGTCTTTGCTTTCTGTCATCGACGCCGGAGCTTGTTTAATTACCGGGGATTCTGCCCCCAAGGCATTCATCTCCTGCTCCGACAGGGTTTCAAGCCGCCTCGGTCCCACTCGCGTCTCTATCGGCGCCGCAACTCTTCGTGCAAAGGGCGTTCTGTCACTTCCCGAAGAACTTATGCAAGAGCCACTTGATGACTTAATAACTCGTGTGTTATACCGACTACGATTTGCTGGAGAGCAGCGCCCCTTTGACGCAGTCTCATTCATTTATATGGTTCCCCTCTTGCTCAACGTACTTCACACCGGTGGGGCTAGCAAGACGGAAGATGACCGGGACGCTCAGTTGGTCCTCGCCGTCGAGGTTTTGGCGTTCCATTCGGACGTTTGCGCAGAGGAGGCTGTCCCCAGATCCGATATACTGGAGACCCTCATCAATTCCATGCAGCAATACTCTCAGCACTACAAGGCCATTAAGGACTGCTTCGCTGATATCTGTCGGTGTGTAGCGCCAAGCATGACCACTGATGAGATTGAGGTTCTAGCCAAGGGAGCAATTGTCCCGCAGGACTCCGTCCGGACAGCTGTCCTGCAGTCCATAAGTTCTGAGGTTGATATGAGCGAACTATCTTTCTCGAACGAGACTTGGATCGCCGCCCATGACGACGAACCTGAAAATCGTACTCTTGGCCAGGAAATTTGGGAAGAGAGTGGATTTTCCATTTCACCAGATGTTCCATTCCGAATGCTTCCTTACCTCGAAAGCAAGGATGCTCAGTTGCGCAGGTCTACGGCGAGATCTCTCGCAGAGGCGGTGGGCGCCCACGCCTCCACTTTGGACAAAGTTCTAGAGAAGCTCAAGGCGGCTTATGTAGAGCTCGCCAAGCCGAGAGTTCAGAAGCTTGACGAGTACGGCATGCCCAAGAAGATGGACCTCTCTGACCCATGGGAGGCTCGTCACGGTATTGCTCGAGCGCTGAAGGAACTCGCTCCTCACCTCACGAGAACCCAACTCGATCCCTTATTCGACTTCCTCATCCAGCAAGGGCCACTTGGAGACCAGAATGCCTCCGTCCGATCCGAGATGCTCGAAGCTGCCATCGAAATTATCAATATCCATGGCAAGGGTATGTTGGAGAGGTTGATGAAGGCCTTTGAGAAAACACTCGAGGGCCCAGACAAGAACACGGAGGCATCTGACCGTGTCAACGAGGCTGTGGTCATCATGTATGGTGCGCTCGCTCGTCACCTCAAGCCGGGTGATTCCAAGTTGCCGGTCGTCATAGACAGGTTGATAGCCACTCTCAGCACTCCCTCGGAAACTGTCCAATATGCCATTGCAGAGTGCCTTCCACCACTTGTGGTCGTATACGGACAAAAGTCCTCTCGCTATTTTGCAGAGATTTTGGAAACACTTTTGTCTGCCAAGAAGTACGCAGCGCAGCGCGGCGCAGCCTACGGTTTAGCCGGCCTTGTCAAGGGTAGGGGAATCGGCTCACTTAGAGAATTCCGCATAATGAGCACGCTCAAGGGAGCGATGGAGAACAAGAAGGATGCCAGTCAGAGGGAGTCGGCTCTTCTCTCTTACGAGCTTCTCTCAGTCATTCTTGGCCGTATTTTCGAGCCATACGTTATCGAGGTCGTTCCCCAGCTACTTACAGGATTTGCCGATGGCAATCCCAATGTCCGTGATGCAGCTCTGGAAGCAGCAAAGGCCTGTTTTGCTAAGCTTAGCTCGTATGGTGTCAAGAAGATCCTTCCTACACTGCTCTCCGGATTAGACGACCAGCAGTGGCGAAGCAAGAGGGGTGCCTGCGATCTCTTGGGAGCTATGGCTTATCTCGATCCTCAACAGTTATCATTGAGCCTGCCGGAGATTATTCCACCGTTGACCGCCGTCCTCAACGACAGTCACAAAGAAGTCAGAGCGGCCGCAAACAAGTCGCTGAAGCGATTTGGCGAAGTCATCACCAACCCCGAAGTACAGGGTATCGTCGATATCTTGCTCAAGGCCCTCAGCGATCCCACCAAATATACAGACGACGCGCTGGACTCCCTCATCAAAGTTCAATTCGTACATTATCTCGATGCGCCCTCCTTGGCCCTGGTCACGCGTATCCTTCAACGTGGTCTTGCCAGCCGATCCGGAACGAAGCGGAAGGCTGCCCAGGTTATTGGCAGTCTGGCCCATCTTACAGAGCGCAGGGATCTTATTATTCACCTTCCTGTCTTGGTCGCGGGCCTCAAGGTGGCCGCTGTGGACCCTGTTCCTACCACTCGCGCCACGGCTTCAAGAGCTCTTGGATCCCTAGTGGAGAAACTTGGCGAGGATGCACTCCCGGATCTCATTCCCGGTCTCATGCAAACCCTCAAGTCGGATACCGGTGCGGGCGATCGCCTTGGTTCCGCCCAGGCTCTCAGCGAGGTTCTTGCCGGCCTTGGCACTTCACGGTTGGAGGAGACCCTGCCTACGATTCTCCAGAACGTCGAGTCTTCGAAGCCAGCCGTCCGAGAAGGATTCATGTCTCTATTCATTTTCCTGCCGGTATGCTTCGGCAACAGCTTCGCCAACTATCTTGGAAGAATTATTCCTCCTATTCTTGCTGGCCTGGCGGATGATGTCGAGTCCATTCGTGAGACATCTCTTCGAGCTGGTAGACTCCTTGTGAAAAACTTCGCAATGAAGGCGGTCGATTTGCTCCTCCCAGAGCTCGAACGCGGCTTGGCCGATGATAGTTACCGCATTCGGTTGAGTTCCGTGGAGCTTGTCGGAGATCTCCTGTTCAACCTCACTGGTATTAGCGCTAAGGACGCTGAAGAGGCTGAGGCTGAAGGTGAAGCCGAGGAGTCCCTCATGGAGAAGGCAAGAGACGCAGGAGCGTCGCTCAAGGAAGTCCTTGGTGTTGAGAAGCGGAACAAGATTCTTTCGGCTCTCTATGTGTGCAGATGCGACACTGCTGGTATTGTACGAGCAGCTGCGATCTCGGTCTGGAAGGTTCTTGTTCCTAGTCCCCGGACGCTCAAGGAGCTCGTTCCGACCCTCACACAACTGCTCATCCGCCGTCTTGGTAGCTCTAACATGGAACACAAAGTCATTGCCAGCAATGCCTTTGGTGAACTCATTCGCCGAGCTGGAGATAACGTCCTGTCGACAGTCTTGCCTACACTCGAAGAGGGCCTCCAAACCACGGACGTTGATGCCAAGCAGGGTATCTGTCTCGCCCTCAAGGAACTTATCTCCTCAGCTAGCGAAGAAGCCCTCGAAGACCATGAGAAGACCCTCGTTTCTGTCGTTCGGACCGCTCTCACAGATTCCGATGACGACGTTCGCGAAGCAGCTGCGGAGGCCTTCGACTCTCTACAGCAAATTATCGGCAAGCGGGCTGTTGATCAAGTACTTCCGTACCTCCTCAATCTTCTCCGATCCGAGGAGGCTGCAGACAATGCCTTATCAGCTCTCCTTACCCTTCTCACGGAGTCCACTCGATCAAACATCATCCTACCGAATCTTATCCCTACCCTCATCACACCACCTATCTCTTCTTTCAATGCCAAGGCGCTTGGGTCTCTCTCTCGCGTTGCTGGTCCTGCAATGAGTCGCCGCATGCCCCATATCATCAACTCCCTCTTGGACAACATTGTCACCTGCACGGACGAGACTCTGAAGCAAGAGCTTGATGAGTCCTTTGATACGGTGCTCTTGTCGATCGATGAAAATGAAGGTCTCCATACTGTTATGAATGTCATGCTCCAACTTATCAAACATGACGATCATCGTCGCCGCGCCGCTGCGGCACACCATCTCGGCCGGTTCTTCGAAGTTGCGGAGATCGACTATTCCAGGTATAACCAGGACATCATTCGTGCACTTCTCAGCGCGTTCGATGACGGAGACCTGGACGTAGTCAAGGCCGCCTGGGCCGCCCTCAGCCAATTCACCAAGAAGCTGAAGAAGGAAGAGATGGAGAATCTCGCGCCCTCGACCCGTGTTACTCTACAGCTGGTCGGCGTGCCAGGCGCAAACCTGCGCGGCTTCGAGCTCCCCAAGGGTATCAATGCCATCCTTCCAATCTTCTTGCAGGGTCTCATGTACGGTACGGCCGACCAGAGGACTCAGTCTGCTTTAGGCTTGTCGGATATCATTGATCGCACAAGTGAGGCGTCGCTCAAGCCGTTTGTAACCCAGATCGCCGGTCCGCTTATTCGTGTGGTGTCGGAACGATCAACGGAAGTCAAAGAAGCTGTTCTGCTAGCCTTGAATAACCTCCTTGAGAAAATACCTCTGGCTCTCAAGCCCTTCTTGCCCCAGCTCCAGCGGACGTTCGCCAAGTCCCTCGCGGATCCATCGAGCGAGGCTCTACGGTCCCGCGCGGCTAAGGCCTTGGGCACGCTGATCAAGTATACACCGCGAATCGATCCCTTAATTGCAGAGCTGGTAACTGGCTGCAAGACGTCGGACCCGGGAGTCAAAACGGCAATGCTGAAGGCCCTATACGAGGTTATTAGCAAAGCCGGCGCTAACATGGGCGAGACATCACGGACTGCCGTCCTGTCGCTCATCGATATGGAGACTGATGAGAGGGATGACGCCATGACCGTCACCAACGCGAAGCTCCTCGGTGCTCTCATTAAGAATGTGCCCGAGGAGGCAGCCAATGGCTTGATCAAGAACAGAGTCATGACCGGCAACTTCAGCAATTCATCTGTCCTTGGTCTCAATGCAGTCCTACTCGAGTCGCCCGACATCCTGCTCAACGGTCCTATGGCTGAGGATCTACCGGAACTCCTCTGCCGCGGTATGAAGAACAAGATCGTAAGTACTTATAAAATAGATCACAGAAACGTTGCGAACATAAAGTTAACCATGAAACAGAATTTTATTGCCGAAAACTGCGTGCTTGCTACCGGGAAATACCTGCTACACGATTCTTCCAAGCCCTTTGAGACTACGAAGCAGATATTTGACACGCTCGCTGAGATTATTCCTCCCGGAAACCCCAGCGACTCTCGGCGACTTGCACTAGTACTCATCCGAACCCTGAGCAGGGTTAACATTGACATCGTCCGACCCCATACGCCTCTACTCGCACCACCTATTTTCGCCAGTGTGCGGGACACGGTGATCCCAGTCAAGCTCTCCGCTGAGGCGGCCTTCGTTGCCATGTTCAGCGTCGTCGACGAGGAGAGCAAGATCTTCGACAAATTCATGGCCGGACCGGGTGAGCAACTTCCTCCAAATACGAAGCGCAGCATGCAAGACTACTTCAAGCGGGTTACTCTGAGGCTTGGAGCGCAGGCCAGGGAGCGGAGGGAAGCAGAGGGTGGTCAAGGTGGTCTCGGTTTGTCTAACGATGAGGTCGAAGACGAGAAGGAGATCTGGAGCGTGGGTAGGGTGGATGTTGGCGAGGGTGTGTTCGACAGTTAGAGGAGAGACCCTGTGAAGAAGGAAGACTCTGTCCAAAGTACATGTGTATATATCATCGAGCTTTTACAATTACAATAGCAATAGCTCTTCGAGAAGAAACCTCAAGCAACGAGTTTCTTGTTCGAAATCAGTATCCATGATGTGAGCTTGGGTGACGTACAGCAGCGGAGCACAAGGAGGTGCGAAGTACAGTGCGGAAAACCGACGTAGGGCTTCTCTCTTTTGTGAATTTGATGATTTCATTCTCATTTTCCCACTTTTCTGCCAGACTTTTTACGAAGTAGAGGGTAAAGTCTTCTTCAGCAAAAAAAAGATTCAATCACGTGACTTTACCTTCGGTCACTGCAATCGTAAAGTTTCTGCCCCGCCTTGATCTCGTCAGCAGCCCTCGCCTACTTTTCCCAATCAGGGCTAGTCTTTGACCGCCCACAAGTTGGAAACCTACCCTGAGGGGAGCGAATCTCGACCACAGTCACGACTAGAAAAAAATCTCCCCTTCACTCCGAGATTTCAAATCCATCTCCCATCACCAACCGATAATCGACCATCGCCGAATTTAATCGTCCAAGATGTAAGATGATCTCCCCATTCCCTGTTGATTTTACCTCAATTCGCTAGCCCACTATCCCCCCCCTGCCGGAAGAAACGATCAACCGTGGAAAGACAAGTGGTGCTTGGAGTGAATGTGGTGGAAGTGGGTGATTTTTGGGGGCATGACCACCTGGCGGTCGCTCTGCGGCCCTGACATTCATCCCCCCCTACACATCTGAATTTCTACAGCAACCCGATTCGATGATGATAGAACGAGCAACTTGTGTGCGGGGAAGATGATATTTTCCAATTTCGGAGATGGATTCTGTGGCTTTGGGGATGAAATATTCGACAGCACGCGAACTTTTTAGGCGGACATGGAGGCTAACTGAGGGTTTGCCAAAACTATAGGGCCAACCTTCTCACCCAGAAGCGCCTGGCCGCGTCGGTCATCGGCTGCGGCAAGAACAAGATCTGGCTAGACCCCAACGAAGTCAACGAAATCAGCAATGCCAACTCTCGTCAGACGATCCGAAAGCTCATCGCTGATGGCCTCATCATCCGAAAGCCTGTCACCATGCACTCCCGATCTCGTGCCCGCGAGCTTAACCTCGCCCGAAGGGACGGCCGCCACCGAGGTTTCGGTAAGCGCAAGGGTACTGCCAATGCCCGTATGCCTACGTACGTCTCTCCCTATACATTGAAAAAAAAACCCACCGGTGGCTTAGGAAGGAAAGGCTTGGAGGTTGGCCTCGGGGGGGCGCTGAGGCCATCCCTAGAACGATGGCTTCCCGCCATTAGGCTGACCTTTCACCACTCCTTGAGGACCGACGAGTCATTGATTTCCATGTGCTAATTGCTCGTGCAGTGAGATCCTTTGGATGCGCCGCCAGCGTGTCCTCCGCCGCCTTCTTGTCAAGTACCGTGCCAGCGGAAAGATTGACAAGCACCTCTACCACGAGCTCTACCACCTCAGCAAGGGTAACACCTTCAAGCACAAGCGTGCCCTCGTTGAGCACGTAAGTCGAAACCAGATTCTACCACGTTAGTAGGTGACGCCACAGCCGCCAGTAAACTAACACTGCTCTTTTTCTCCTGCAGATTCACCGTGCCAAGGCCGAGAAGCAGCGTGAGAGGTTGCTCAAGGAGGAGATGGATGCCAAGCGTGCCAGGACCAAGGCCGCTCGCGAGCGCAAGTTGGAGAGGGCGGCGGCGAAGAAGAATGCTCTGCTAGAGGATACCGAGGAGTAAAGAACGATGATGATGACGGAGACGAATACGAAGACGACCTAAGAATGGACAGGTTGGTCCTGTCGTGCCAAGGCTATGGCCAAAAGGAGGCTGCATTCGGAGTCAAAGGGTTTTCGGGTGTCTTGTTGTTGTTGTTATACGGCCTCCCAGCTCTAGAGATGCTGGCAAGGTCACCTAGGGTCTTTCGGTACAAAAAGGTAGCATTGCACTCGATACAAGAGACTACATTACGTCTAAATGAATGCCGGTTATCTTTTTCTGTTTTTTCACAAAATGCTCCAAATTTGACCAATTGACCAAATTCGACTAATATTGACCCGTTGCAGAGACGTAGAGAGAGGTGCCTGGCAACATATGGGAGAGACGAGGTCTGTTGAATATCTCCGGCAAGACCTTGACCACCAATATCGAATAAGGACTCTTTCAGCTTTTAAGGTTGACAGCATGCTTTCTCAACAACGGGTCGCGAGACGGTCTCGCGACCATGAAATTGTAGAAGACAAAAGAACCAGAAGACACCAGTGCTTACGGGCTCGAGAAAAATGGAATGCAATACTACGCAAGATTACAGGCCAAAACTTAACTAGGGGCTCTAGATATAACATGCTAGGATACAGGTCTAGAGATGAGGAGGCCATCTCGTATAATAGAGCCAGAACCCATAACCAGCTCAGGGATCCACGAGAGTCAGGGCATTGCTCATTCCCTCGCCCAACGCGGTTCCATTCTAACTTCGAGCAAAGTCCCCCCTCCAAACGAACTAGTATAGGCAAAGCTCGGTGTGACACATTCGAATGCTTGGCACTTGCCAAGCGTCAAACCCCCCATCCGCTAGAGTCAAAGAAGAAAAGAGGTAAGAAACGAAGAGAGGAGGCTCAAGAAATTGGATCAGAAGGCTTCAAATTGTCCCTTAAAGGTGGTGAAGTGCGCCGGGACATGTCCGCATGGCTCCCGTGGCCCCCTCGCGGGGGTTAGGGAAGGCCAATTCGTTTGGTTGTGGTAGCAATCTCGTCACGCCCAATTTAGTTGAGTTGGGAAAGAAAAGAGAAAAAAAAGGAAAAAGTTTCGGTGAGGAGCAACTGTGGTGGGCTGAATTTAAGGGCTTGCTCCTCTGCCGGGCCGTCAAGTGAGTGACGGCTGGCCGCATCTGCTCTTTACAGAATGCCGCGATGTGCAAGAGGCTTGCCAGGTTCTGGGACTAAGGTCGTGTAATTTACTGAACTCAAACCGACTTATGCCATGACTGTGGATGCTCCATACTGTTTAAGGTCTTTACATTATCTCGACAGTATCCTTGGTGGTGATGTCGATGCCCTATCCGGGCACGCGCTCCATCTCCGAACAGGGCATGTACGTTTGCCAAGGATGCTTAGTGTGTGCTCGACGATATTAGTGTTAACAATTGAATCGGTTTCTTCCTCTAGCTCGATGCTGAGAATCGCTGTTATCAAACTCAGCGCCCCTCGTCTCCGGTCATGGTTCAATACATTCTGCAACCTGCACTCGAGGTTGCAGGAGATAGCCCCTTTCTTCACACCCCTCCGGGGCGTAACCCGGTGACAGCTTGAGCGAGACCATTAGGACCCAGATTTCCGATTTCCCCATGCTCCGCTCTTGGCGCTAGTTGAAAGGGGAAGCTTGCTCTGCATGCCTTGCATTGCCGGCCGCCATGATGGCGAAGAAATAACACCAGAATATAGTTAATTTGAATGTGTCTTTCAAACTACATCACCTCGTACATTGACGGGAACGAGAACTAGCGGACCTCTTATCAGCTTGGGGAGCCATATACTTCTTCCGGAGGCAATGAAATTTGTAGATGTGATAGATTGGCCTGGTGAACGTTGTGAAAAGAGTTGCTACTGACGGCGCAATATTATCAGACGATTACTGTGACCAAGTTTGTTTGCTTTGGATAGAGATGGCAACGTCCATCCCAAGATTAGAATTTTATATACATAGAGGGTTTTCCTGTTCTTCGCATCAGCCAAAAATAAATAAGGAAAACACCTATCTCGGGAGAAGCGTGCGGGACTATCTCTAATTCTCCAAGCGAAAGATCAGCGCTGGGGAGACTGAGGGACGAAGGTCTTCCTGGTCTAATCCGCAGAAGCGCCCATGGAGAGAGATTCGAGAACAGATGACCTCTTCTCACTTGCAACATCGGATTTTCCATCCTCATCAATCCTAAGGGTTTCTGTTATATTCGGTGTGGCATCAACATGAGTGTTTGTTTGTAAGTACACGGAGCCATTGCTCATAGAAATCTCCTCCTGTGATATGTACGAAGAGGTCGTCGGACACCGCCGTCGAGTCATGCTCCCGAACAAAATCCGAACCGTAATGATGAAGCAGCACGGGGGTTTAAGTGACGACTCGGATCGTCAACATTCGATGCCCCCGTCGAGTCTATGAAGAGGTTGAGTCGTCCTTTGATAGAGGTCTTGAGTGGGTCACGTGCATGTCCAATGGTCGTCAACTCCAGCATGAGGATGGATCCGAGGCCGTTGTACACCATTACTTTGGTGCTTGTACCTCTACTTCCAGTACAATTAATTGTCGCGCATCAATCATTGCAGTCAATCATCGTTCACAGAATGTTACAATGTCGTAATACGTAGGCTGAACTCGCTGCTGAGAACAGTGCTGTATTCACTACCCTGACATCCCTACAAATAAAGGGAGAATTTCAAGATTGGTGGCGTGATGCCGACGGCAGGCCTCAATAACTTGGAACACCCCGGCTCGCTGGATGCCGGTTCTGGGCTTCTCGCTTGAAATTGTTGGTCCACTTGCACCCAGCTTCAGTGCGGAAAATCCATTGATTGGGACGGCTGAGTATTTCTCGACGTTCAATTGATCCTGTCTCGAGCTGTGTGTTCAGCCATCTGCTATTCTTTGGAGTGGTACCAGTACTCGCAGCAATCATAGCTACAGCTAGCCTCTGAGGTCAACGCTAAAGCCGCCAGCGTCGTCTGCACCCCGCTCGAGAGTCACATCAAATTGATTACCGACCGCCAAAGGTCAATTATCCGCCGCCAGAAGGGCACATGTCTTGAGGCCAATCGTGGACACGCCGTCTTCCCATCTTCACATCTCTCCCACATACCCACCGCTTCCATATATCGCGCGACAAAGCCATCCGCAATGTCGAGGCACGCATTGAGGCTGCCATTGGGGTCCCTATGGAGAACCACGCCATCCAGCTCCGTGCCTTGTCTAACAAGGGTGGCCGGCCTCAGCACCACCAGGAGCAGGAGATCACCGGGAGGCCATTACTACTCGTCCGTGTCTTTGGATAACCAGACTCAGGTTTGTACTGCCCAATCCCCTTCCATGGGATCCAACACGATACTTCGAGATGATGCACATCGATCCTTCTCTGCGTCGGTTACTAACTTCCCGCGTGCGCCGTTCCTTAGGCTCTCTCCGCCCACCTCGACCAAGCCGATCCCGCGATTTTCAATATAGTCCTAAAGGTGCGATAGCAGTTTAGACGACTGGGGAATGGAAGCATCACGCGCTAACTTAGGGGCCGGATATGTAGGAAGAGAACCGACAAAAACACTTCATCAATTTGATTCCCTCCGAGAACTTCACGTCCAAAGCTGTCCTCGAAGCCCTCGGAAGTGTTATGCAAAGTCAGCCCACCTTGATACCCTTCTTTCAAACTAGCTCCCAACTTCCCTGAAGCCCCTGGAAGCTAACACGGAAACCTATATTTCCTTTGAGTAGATAAGTATTCCGAAGGATATCCTGGCGCTAGATACTACGGAGGAAATGAGTTCATCGACGAGGCGGAAAGGCTGTGCCAACAGCGCGCGTTAACAGCCTTTGACCTTGAACCGTCTCAATGGGGCGTCAACGTTCAGCGTAAGTTCTGATCGACCTGGAGGTCCCTCGATCGGTCTGCAGTCTAACTCATGCTGTGTTTCCTTCTCTATCTAGCCCTCTCCGGTGCTCCCGCGAACCTGTATGTCTATTCGGCTCTTATGGGAACTCATGATCGGTTAATGGGTTTGGATCTACCGCACGGAGGTCACCTCTCCCATGGATACCAGACCGCGACGAAGAAGATTTCTTTCATTTCCAAATACTTCGAGACACTCCCTTACCGGCTAGACGAGAGTACCGGCTACATCAACTACGACCAACTCGAGGAACTGGCGACCCTGTTCCGTCCCAAGATAATCGTTGCCGGAGCTAGCGCCTACAGCCGCTTAATCGACTATAAGCGCATGCGCGAGATCTGCGATAAGGTTGACGCCTACTTAGTTGCCGATATGGCCCACATTTCCGGCCTTGTCGCCGCCAACGTCATCCCCAGCCCCTTCCCCTTCGCCGATATCGTCACGACCACCAGTCACAAGAGTTTGCGTGGACCCCGTGGCGCCATGATCTTTTTCAGGAAAGGCGTCCGTCGTATAAACCCCAAGACGAAGAAGGAGGTGCTGTATGATCTTGAGGGACCAATTAATAGCTCCGTCTTCCCCGGGCACCAGGGAGGCCCACACAACCACACCATCGCTGCTCTTGCAGTTGCTCTCCACCAAACTCAGACCCCCGAGTTCCGCGCGTATCAGACCCAGGTGCTCGCCAACGCCAAAGCTTTGGCTCGTCGTCTCGGCGATTCTAAGGAAAAGGGCGGCCTAGGCTACAGCATCGTAAGCGGGGGAACCGACAACCATCTCGTCCTCGTCGACCTCAAGCCCCAAGGCATTGACGGTAGCCGCGTCGAGAGGGTGCTCGAGCTCGTAGGTATCGCTGCTAACAAGAACACCGTCCCCGGCGACAAGTCCGCCTTAATACCTGGCGGCATTCGTATGGGAAGCCCTGCCATGACTACCAGGGGATTCTCGGAGAATGACTTTGAGAGGGTCGCTGATATCATTGACCGAGCCGTCACCATAACCCTAAGGCTCGACAAGGCGGCGAAGAAGGCGGCGGAGGAGAAGGGAGAGGCGAACCCTAGGAGACTTAAGTTCTTCCTCGACTATGTTGGCGATGGCTCATCGGACCCGGAAATCGTTCAGCTGAAGTCTGAGGTGGCCGATTGGGTGGGCACATACCCTTTCCCTTGGGACTCTCGGCAAGGCAGGTGACGGTTCCTACCTATATATTGAGGGGAATCTGGTGGATGGAAAGTAGAAGTTGGCTTTTTTTGATAGAGCAATATGTATCTCTAGGTAGAGGACTTTGATTGCGGCAAGCACTTTTGATTTTACTGTCTCGTTCACTTGGCTTATATACTCATCTCGATCAGTGCACTTTCCATGAACTAAACACATACCACTAAACACATTCCGGAGTAAAAGTTGGTTTAAAAATAATAATAAGGAGCTATATATAAAGGAGAGATCCCATTCAACATTTATCCTGACCAAATTCCCGTTTCCTATGCGTCCTGCGTCGCGAAAGATGAGTAAACGCTCCAAATGGCCGATAACTCTTCCGGCCCTCGGGCCGCGCCGAAAACATGCTTCGTTTCTCATCTCGGAATAGCGCAAGGTATCCAACACACAAAGATGCAAACATCGAAAGATCAAAGCAAAGCGAGTAAACCAACGAAATTCAAAACGAGCAAGACTTCTTCATGCATGTCGCGTCATATGCAAGACGTCAAATCCCTGTCCATAGTGCTTCTCCCAGTCAAATTCAGACAGCCTATTCTCCACACCAAAGGCCCTCACAATCCTCTCAGACTCGCCCTCGTCACCATTAATGACGGGACGAGCCTCGGCCTTGGTCTTCGCCGTGGCACCCTGGCCCCAGATGTGCGTCTCGTCGGCATTCAGGAACGTGCCGATGCTCCTGAACGTCAGAGAGATCCTCTCGCCTCCAAAGGACAGCTCCTCGGGCGTTTTCTCAAAGTCCGGACGCTTGTCCTGTCGGATGGCGTGCAGCCAGCGCTCGTTCGTTTTCAGGCCCATGCGGCAAAGTGAATTGTGCGGAAGCTTGGCGCGTTGGACCTGACGCTTGGTTGATGCGGGAGGGGACTTGGGAGGGGAAGATTCGGATTCAGTGGGGGACTTGGGCTCCTTCTCGGGACGCTTTGTGCGGAAGACCATGGTTCGTTCGGCGCCGAGGCTTAGGTTCGCGATGTAAGAATCTTTGACGATATCCAGGGTCTTGTCACTGTGCTCTGAGATGTAGTCTTTGCCACCCCGATAGAGCTGGATCAGGACGTGGTTCACCGTATGTCCCAGGTGCTTCTCGACCTCTTCTTTCAGGCGGAGGATAGTTGGAGAGAATGGCTTCAAGGGTGGAGACTCATCGGCTGGATGGCGGTAGATTGGCATGCTCCCGTCAGGTTCAACATGACCTTGCACAGCAACCAGGCGCGGGACCTCGCCGCCGAGATGGCTCATATGCTTCCAGTCGACCTCATCTTTGACTTTTTCAAAGATTCCAGCCTCTAGGTCTTCCGGCAGAATGTCATAGATGACCTTGGTATCGCCCTCGCAGAGGGGTTCAGATTCCTTCTTCAGGGTGGCTCCATCTGCATTAGCCCGTTCTTCAGGCTTGACCGCCAATTGGGAGGTTCCGGGATTCTTGGGGGATTTGGAGCTGAGAGTCGCGGAATCGTCTTTCACAGGGGCCATCTTTGAGGACGTCGGCTTGGTAAGCAAGTTTTCTTTGGTTGGTGATGCTGTTTCGGGAGGCGCTTCTGATGGGAGATCGGGACTTCTAACGGACACCACGTCTGAACTTGTCTCATTTTTATTATTTTTGACTCCATCTTCTGGAAATTTCTTGTCAATTCCAGCGATCGCGATGTTATTCTTGTCATTCGAGGTGTCATTCGATGGTGGCGCCTGTGAGGCTGAGGCTGCAGTATCCTTGCTAGGCAGCACCACCGACGCCCTGTCAGTGACATTGACAGGGCGATTCTTCCCTGACTCAGACTTGGAAGTAGGAGATGACAACGACAACTTCTTCATCTCTTTGGTAATTTCTTTGGCGGGTTTTGATGTCTCCGACGCCTTTTGGTTAACAGTTCTGGCTCTCGACGTAGCGGCTCGCTTGACCGTGGGCTGGAAATCGTCTTCGCTGTTGTCACTGGAGGCTTCTAAGTCGGGGTCCGCCTCGATATCCAACGAGTCATCTTCTTCGTGAGTCGATGACTCTAGCTCCCTTGCGAACTTTTCTTTTAACGCGGCGATTCTCTGTGACAACTTTCCGCGTGTTTGAGAGGGCCGAAGGGGCGGTGCACGAGCGGTGTCCTTTGGCTCGGGTTTGGTTGTTCTTTCGTCTTCGTTCTTCCCTTTCTCTTTCTCTTTCTCTTTCTCCTTTCCCTTCTCCTTTCTTACTTCCTTTTCCCTTCCCTTTTCATTTGCTACCTTCGCCTTCTTATCCAACTCTTTCGACTTCTTTTCCTCGGCCTTCTTTTCTTCTTTACCCTCGTCCGCGCCTCCAATGGATTTCACAATCGCCCGAGCATTGACAACTTCGCACCCGCTCACGTCAGTCAGACTCGCGATGGCGACCTCGCGCCTCGCTTCATTCGACCAACCGCAGCAGTCTCGAACAAGAATAATGGAGTAGCCGTGAGCCGCAGCATCCACAGTTGTAGCATGGACTCCCACATTGACAAGAGATCCGCATACATAGAGGGTCGTAACCAGCTTAGAGCGCAGTATTTGGATGAGTTTCGTGCCGTTGAAAGCAGAGTACTGGGTCTTCATGATCAGGACATCCTTTTTCGGATTGACAACCGCCTTAAGTGGGTTGGCTAGTTGCCAACCAGGTGTTCCCCTCTGGACGCAAGCAGCCGTCGTCGTGCTCAGAAATGCCTCCGGGTCGATACTCTGGTCTCTTCCAGGCTTAATTGTCTGAGCAGCCGAAGGAGGGAGAAGTTTGTCTTGCGTGATGATTTGCTGGCTTTCAATAAATTGCCTCGGTTTCTCGAAAACGCTCTGGACCCAGACAACAAGGCCAATGTCGTGGAATCCGGTCGCCAGCTTCGCCGCACGCTCAACAAAGTCGGCATTAGTCGAAGAGATGTGTAAGGCGCCGTCTTTGGAGACGAAATCATTTTGGAAGTCGATCATCAAGAGAGCCTTTTGGGTCGGCAGGCTTGGGAACTTTGTCTTGTCGATGTCACGCAGTGAGGCGGGAGGTGCCGTAGCACCAGGCCGCGAGGTTGGCCTCGAACTCATCTTGAGCAAGAAAGGTTATCCTCTTGGGTAGAGGAGAACGAAAGCCTCAGGGTTTCCTCAACACTCTTCTAAGATGATGCTGAAGTATATGTTCAGTGTTAGAATAGGTCTTTTTATCCTCGATTTTGTCCAAAAGCTACTGGAGGTTTCCTACCTAATATTAAAATATGCATGTAAGAGGACGAAGCTTCAAGACGTTGTATATCCCACAAAATCTAGTCGAAGTGTTGCCTTCCGACCTGAGATCCGAGCCACTGCCTATGGCGGCGACGTTCGTAAAACAAGGATGACAGGAACTTGGATATCGAAGGTCTGCTGAGAGAGGTGAAGAGCACCAGCCTAGCTTCGTCTCAACTCGGTCCCCGCAAAATCGGCGGCCTTCAATATCAACAAGAGGATTTGGAGGAACCCAAGGTTCCTCAGATATGACTCCTCACTTTCCCTACTCGTCCCTACAATACCAATAAGTCGTTAACTCGCTATTTGTCAATATCGGACGATAATATATAGGAGCAGTCGTGATGTGATGGGAAGCAGTCAAAAATTGGGACTTTTCCTGAGCGGAGAAGTAAAATCCTTTGAAGGCAACAGGTCTGCGCTGCAGAGAGCAGTACAACTCGGAGAGAGAAAGCAAATGAAAAGGCGGAGTGGAGATATACGAAGTAGGAATGTCCAAAGGAAAGGGAGCAACTGCTTCTATTTCCATCTCCAAAGTTCTGCAGTCAGGTTTTTTCTCTTTTTCTTTTTTTTTCTTCTGCACCGCCAAAATCACATCTCACATCCCGCTCCAACCCCAAAACATGACCATTTTAATCACAAAATGTAGGAGTGTGCATGATGCATACAACGCTCACCTCACCCTAGTCTGCGCTGTGCGCTGTGGTCACACCGACGACGCCCTTGCAGATGAAGTCTGAGTGTGCTTTTGACCTCCTCACAAATGACTGCCCAGAGGTAGTCTGGAGAAATAGAGATGCAAGGAGATATTTTCAAATTCCGTTTGAGGATAATTATCAAGCCGAATATAATATTTTGATTTTGATTCAGTAAATAATCGACTGATTAACACACGAGATCAAGGAATGAAAGAACAAGACAAATACGAGGTGGTGCTGGAAGCAAAGTCCAGACAGCTGCTGCCAGCCGCCCGGAAGATTGGACTTGAGCTGCCCAAATTGTCCGAATCCCAGCCAACATCACAGGACAACTGGAACGACATCTCCATCAACAACACATCATCTAGCCTCGAGCCTCGTCCGGAAATAGACCTCTATTCCTCGTTCCTAGAGCCTTAAAATCACTCTCCCGTCCAATTTATCCCAATTTCTACCGGCCGAATGATACTTCACGCGACTCTACCCTCCAGCTAAATCGCGCCCGACCTTGAATTCTCCCCGAACCCAACTCCAGCGCCCTTCCTAACTTCCTCACCTTCACTCCCCATCCCACCTCCACGATGTCCAGCAACAGCGGAATAAGGACGTCTCCCGACGGCGACGTGGAAATGGAAATGGATCCCAAGATCAGCGTCGATTCTGAACCCGCGCCCGCGCCCTCTGGCAATAGTGACAGACGCCAATCTCTCACTCCCACTGCCGTCATGGTGACACATCCTCGACCAGTCGATCTCGCCCACACTGGCTTAAAAAGGTCAATCGCTGTGGCGCTAGACTACGTCGGTTTCGACAGTGCGGACAGCGTGGCAATGGAGAGCTTCGCGCTTGCTGTTGAGGAGTGTATGTTTCTCATTCATCTGACGACGTCTCCATTGTAGCTAACTAGGCCGGTTGCCTACCATACAGATCTGCAATCCTTGATCGAGGCCCTCAAGCACCAGGCCCTTTCCGCCCGCAGAGAGCAACCTAACCCGGCGGACTTTGAAACGATTCTACGAACATTCAACCTCCCTATTGATTCCTTGAAACCTCATGCAAGGCACCCAATCCCGAAGAACCTTCTTGTCCCCAAGACCAAGAATATTAGCGTTCCCCGCGGTTCGTATCTACGACCACTGCCTACTCTTTCCGAAGAGCTCAGCGGAAAACCCGAAAAGGAATCCAAAGAATACATACCTTCGCAGTTCCCCGAATTCCCCAGCCGACATACCTTCGTCTCGACACCACGTGAGGAGGCTCGCGACAAGAAGGATCCAAATCTAATGCGCGAAGAGGTATCAAAGGCGGCAAAACAAGGAGAGGATGCCCTTAGAGGCCTGTTACGCGCGTCGAAAGTACGTCAGCAGAAGGAGGTACGGTCACAGACACAACGGTACCCCGCCAGTCGCGAGCGATACAAGCTCTGGGAGCATGCTATGGAGAGGATGATGAAGTCGCGGGATGGGCTTTCGGCACTCAAAGACAGCACGTCGGAGAAACCATTGGGGGATCAAATTGCAAACGCAAGCATGATTGTCAACTCGGCAACTGAATCTCACCGCCGAGAGGGGGTTCGCTCAACGCGAAGGCCGGCGGCTCGGACAACATGAACCTAGCATCGGACATTGTGCTGAGATAATGTCGCAGAGAGCGACGTCGAGTATCCGACTGGCCGCGCCTTGAGATACTGGGATGAAACAGAATGCGGAGTATTAGTGCTGCAGCTAAGATGCAGGCGTCGTATGTGCAAGCACTCTACTAACTGGACGAAGACATGAGACAGAGGGGATGCATTTGGGAGTTCTTGAAGACCCACTGGCTCAATGTACAGCAATGCGTTAATGCTTATAGATACCCTACCAAAGTAATTCAATGCCATAATACAAGGCCATTTCCCCTTGACCTTAATCATATTCTGCCTACGAAGTACTGTGACCTGAGCTTTGATCCTCAGTGCCCCCCTGGCCGACATCTGGAAATGCCCGGCACCTGCCCACACTTGATTTCGCCTCACCCACTTCTTCACCTCTATTGCCCCACATTGATCACTTTTCTCTTGTCGCCCACCCAAAAATTTTGGTGTGGCCCTAATTTTCATGCACACAGAAACGTCGGTTGAGCAGAAATCGCAAATTTCCCAAAACGACCCTTTGTGGCCACAGACAGACCCGAGTCAAGAAGAGCCTGTGTGTACCCACGAACAGGAAACGCTGGGGCAGCGAATTGGATCTCTTTTCTGCTGTATTTCCCCCCCACCAACCCTCTCCCTACCTCTCTCCCTTGCCCGACCGACCCCTAACAAATATCTAATCCCACAGGTGAACATCACCACGACACACAAGCCCTCGATCGCGATCCACCACCACATCTGCCCTCCGCCATTCCTTCCAACTCATAATCATCATGGCTGAGCAATTGATTCTCAAGGGCACCCTTGAGGGCCACGTAAGTCTACATCTGCGCTCTCGTTGCCGTTGCCGTCGTCCCGCTCGACTCTGAGGATGAGGGCTCGTCATCGGATCAAATTTTCTAATGGACATGCCTACTGACTGCTTTTCAGAACGGCTGGGTCACCTCGCTGGCCACCTCCATCGAGAAGTATGTTATCGAATCGCCCCGTCGTCCCTCGCCTTGTGGATAGGCCCGTTTATCGATTATTTCTTGCCCTGCCTCAGCGACGCCTGGATGGAGCCGGCTTGACCATCTCCCGGCTCGAAAAAGTGCAAGTGTGCTAATTTTGGTTGGATTATAGCCCCAACATGCTCCTCTCGGGCAGCCGTGACAAGACTCTCATCATTTGGAACCTCACCCGCGACGAGACCCAATACGGATACCCCAAGCGAAGCCTCCACGGCCACTCCCACATCGTCTCTGACTGTGTATGTGCCAACTCTGGGCCCCAGGGCTAGCCTCGGCCAGTCGACGAGGCTTTTTTCAACATAAGGAGTTGGGGTACTAACGAAATTTTCAGGTTATCTCCTCCGATGGTGCTTATGCCCTCTCTGCCTCGTGGGACAAGACCCTCCGCCTCTGGGAGCTCGCCACTGGTACCACCACCCGCCGGTTCGTCGGCCACACCAGCGACGTCCTCTCCGTCTCTTTCTCCGCCGACAACCGCCAGATCGTCTCTGGTGCGCGCGACCGCACCATCAAGCTCTGGAACACCCTCGGTGACTGCAAGTACACCATCACCGACAAGGGCCACACCGACTGGGTCTCTTGCGTCCGATTCAGCCCCAACCCCCAGAACCCCGTGATTGTCTCCTCCGGCTGGGACAAGCTCGTCAAGGTATGTAGAAATGCTTTCTCCCGGTCTTCTTTCCGAACTTCTCGCTCTCCCGTAGACTATGTGTGTGTACATGATGCTTTCAAGTATTTGCTACTTCAGAACCCTGGCTTACGAGCTTGTGGTAATGAGACCAATATCACCATATCCTGATTTTTCTACCCTTTTGCACATATGTCAAGCGAGAAGTGGAAAGACCGGGCTAGTTTTTTTTTTTCTTTTTACAGCCAGTTCGCAGGATGCTAACGTGTTTCTTTCCTCTGCTCGACAGGTTTGGGAGCTCTCCACCTGCAAGCTCCAGACCGACCACATTGGCCACACGGGCTACATCAACACGGTCACCATCTCCCCCGATGGCTCCCTCTGCGCCTCCGGTGGCAAGGACGGCACTACCATGCTTTGGGATCTTAACGAGTCCAAGCACCTCTACTCCCTCAACGCCAACGATGAGATCCACGCTCTCGTCTTCTCCCCCAACCGCTACTGGCTCTGCGCTGCCACTGCCAGCAGCATCATCATCTTCGACCTCGAGAAGAAGAGCAAGGTCGATGAGCTCAAGCCCGAGTTCACCGCCGTTGGCAAGAAGAGCCGCGAGCCTGAGTGTGTCAGCCTTGCGTGGAGCGCCGATGGCCAGACCCTCTTCGCCGGTTACACGGACAACATCATCCGCGCTTGGGGTGTCATGTCCAGGGCGTAAGAGCCTCCTTACCTACCTGTTCTTTCTTCTCTCTTCTCTCTCGATTGTGACGGTTAGCTCTGGGGTGTTGGGGATTATATCACAAAGGGCTTCTTCAGGTTGAAACAAACTTCGGATGGTCAAAAAGGGGAAAAATTTTAGGAGCAAGCAACTTCGAGAGGGAAAAGGGGCTGGAGCGGAGATGGGGAGAGAGGGGGTTGGCGGAAGTTGGTTGTCGTAGCACGTTTTTGAGTGGCAAAATGGTAGATCATGGTCGGGCGTCAACAGGCTGTCTTCCTCGCGGTCATTTTATTGGTCTTTTTTTGCGCGTAAACCCAGGTTTCGAAGGCGGGAAGAGTGATGATGCTATTTTTTCAATGTTGTCATAGAACCTTCCTACCCAGAACCTGGCTTCGGCAAAATCGGCAAGACGAGGCAGGCATTTTAGTTTTTGGGTGGCTGTATATGTATATAGCCTTCTCAAGTGAAAACCATGCAATGAATGGATGATTCCAAAGACGAAATTCACCGAAGCATTCCTGTACGTGCACACATGTGTCTCAGCAGCCGTTTCAGCAGCCGTTCAAGGCCAAAAGGGTCTAGAGGCGGGATGGATGAGTGAGAAGCCATCACTGGATCTTGTTGTGTTGTCGCCTGGCCTCTTGCATATGACCATCAGCACTCTCCGAGCCTCTGCAGCCCACTAGATGTATTACTTGCATTATTTCAAGATATACAGAAAGCGCAATGCATGGATAGGGACCTAGCCTGGGCCTTATGGCTCCTTCAATGTTAAATAGTTGCAGTGTACCTCGGTAGATCCGTCACTGTCCCCGTTCTGCCCCGGCCCAGGTGCCGAGCCAAATATCCTTTACTAGTCCGGCCTCGCTATGCTATTTCCTCAACGCGTAGGTCTTTCCGAAGCCGATATGGGATAACGTTAACCAGCAGAGGGATCGCGGTACTCGATTAAGCCCAAAGGACGGAATAACTAAGGGGGGGCTCTGGAGATCAGTCACTAGCCCCCTATTATCTTAACTACGAGGCTGGGAACCATCGGCTTCTCTATTTCTCTCTTTTTAAATATGCGAAAAAGAAACTGATCATTTCGCTATGCTATTATACATCAATGATATCGAAGACTGGTCATTCTGTGAGTACATTACAGAAGGTCTCATTTGCGGCTGATGTAATGGAGACTCCGCGATCAAGGAACACGAGCAACGTCCTCCCTAACCCTTCACGACGCCTCCCAGGGATTAATTCTATGTCTCCCGTGCGTTTCCCCTCAAGGCGCAAAACTTAGCCGCTGTGGCCCTGGCCTGGCCCCTTCAGCGAACTTCCGCAGCCTTAGAAAGAAGTGAGTTCCGTCTCCAAAGCGCTTCGTCGTCCCTGGGAAACCTACCCACGCCCAGACAACCACCTCAAAGACACATCGCTGCTGTCCAGGCAAGTGCAGCAACCGCCCACATGGTCCGCGGAGTTGTCGATGATGCATACGAATCGTCCGGTCGACCGAACGGAAGAGTCTGGTTTTGGCAGGAATAATCCTCGCCGCGAAGGAATCCAGTCTTGGAGCGCAGCGAATTGAACGAGTCGCAACTGAACCCAGGATCTGTGGACGCGATTGACACGTCCACAACGACGCTGGTTTTACTATTGAACCCATCATCGGTAAGAGGGATGCTAGAGGGTCAAGCGGTTAGCGCGAGGAACGGAATTATAGGGGCGTTCTAGGTTGACGACGAAAACTTACAAGAACTTGGGCTCGATGTCGGCATGGATCTCCAAGTGTTCTAGAAGATCCCAGTCGAAGACCCATGTTTCTCTCGTGTCATATCCAGAGCTTTTACCCTTGTAGAAATCATCACAATTGCGCACCAATGGATCGTCAGCCCCCAGGGACTGGGCGAGCCTGAGTTTCGGATTGTCGGTGATGATTACCTCGCGGAGCGACCAGTCGTCATTGAATGGCGTCGAACCCGGTATCGCCAATCTAAGGTTGGGATTGTTTTGAATTCTTAGCTGTTGAAGGCCCTTGATCCAGAACGGTAGCACCTCGGCCGTATTGTTCTCGAAGAAGAACTTTCTCCCTTGAATTTGCGTACAGAGACTGTTCATTGCGGAAACGCCGGTGATATTGATGTGCACAGCTGGCTTCTCGAAGCACAAACTCCGGATTGTCAGGTTCAGCCTCCCGTTTCCAGCGACGTCAAAGTATTTAACGTCGCCTAGATACATTGTAAGATCGTTTAGATTCGGGAGGTTGGCCAGCCAGACGCTGTAGGCAGAGAATCCATTGAACACATTGGTCAGATTGCGCACGCCAACATTGCCTATTCGGACTTCGCCTGCCTTCTCCAACTCGTTACGGTAGGTGGTGTTCGCCTTCAGCGTAAAAGTTTCTAGCTTCGGCGCGTCGGTCAGAAAGAAGGAGCCTCTAAACACACCCAGAGCCGGAGCATTTAGCTCTGTGAGCTCGGGCACAGTACCGACGAGGAATGAACCCAGGACCTGATTCAGCTGCGGAAGGTCGACGCGCTGCAGTGTGGAGTGAGGCCCAAGTCGTAGGCTGCCCTCGAGGGTGCGGAGATCGGGCGCGGAGACGGACTTGAGACCTCCCGTGGACGGATTCTGCGTGGTGTTGACAAAAAAGTTGCCTCCGATGCTATTGACGCCCCCCAAGACTATATCTCCCTGCGCATCGTCCGTTACGTAGACATCGCCGAGGAAGTAACCGCATTGCGAGAGTTTGTCGGCGTCGACCTGGTTTCGTATAGTAAGTGGGTTGTCGCTGGGGCATTCATTAGCGGCTGTCGCGAGCCACGCTGTTTGTATGAGATACGCACAGGACAGTATTCGTGCGAACACTCGCCAAGTGTTCCTGCCTAGCACCACCATAGCTATTTTCATCGTTGTGCCGCTCGAGGAGGTCAAAGGCTGGGAACGACGGACGTGGACGGGGTACTATTTCTAAAGGGACACATTGAACATGGTCATTTGAATAGATCTATATATTATAATTATACAAAGGTAAAATGACCATGTCTAAAGTGGCCATTTTCTACGAAGGAATGAGGCCCTTTTGTAAGGGGCGGTGCACGTTACGATATAGGATCAATATAGGTAGGATTTTAATTTAATGCTTGGTGCATGCGCTGCAGAGATGGCCACGCCAAGATGGGCATGTTGCACGAGTTTGGCGGTCGGTGTTGGTGTTGGTGTCGGTGTCAGGGTGTCAGGGTTGGAGTGGGCATTTGATCTTTGATCAATGGGTTGCAGGATTTGCAGCTGACACTTACAAGACGGCACTTGGAAGTCGATTGGTGAAATTGACGATCGCAGTGGAACATTGAATCCTACCAACCACCGACGGGGGATATCCAATGCTCTGCTCATCCATGGGCCATCGGGCTTCAGGGCTTCAGGGCTTCATGGCTTCAGGGGACTAGCGCGGGCAAGGTTTCCCTCAATGTCTCCCTTGTGTTGCCATACCGAGCTCCGAGGGCGGGACTTGAGCCTGTGCCGAGGGGACCCCAGCGTTGAAGAGCGGAACATTTGAGGACAATGAATTAGACTAAACCAGTCAGGCCAAGCGGATGGGAGCTCCTGGTTGGGGATTTCTCAATTTATCAATCGATTGGGGTCGGAGATCGGTTGACATCGGCCGGGTCGATCAGGGTCTGAACCTTCTGGTCAAATAAGAACATGGAAATATTTGCTTAAGCGGGGAAATGTGGGTAGTGGGTAGCGAGAGAGAGAGAGGAGGGGTTTTGGAGGTCCGACGCATCTGATCAATTGGTGATAAGACAGTTAGTGAACCCTCCCTCTTCTCTGGATTCTGGATGCATGATTGTTCCTCCTCCATTCCCTATCTATTTTTCTAGTTTGCCTCTTGATATCGTAGGATTGTGTTGAGCCTCGACCGTTGCCTCCTTTCCCTTCCCTTCCCTTCCCCTCACACTTCCTTGGCCTCTCCTCCCCCTCCACCAACTTACTCGACTCTCCGTGATCGGCAACATGCGGAGAGCACTTTCTACACCCCTACGATCGCCTCGGTCAGCCTCGGCTACCGTCCAGGGTATCCGTCGCTATGCCAGCAGCTCAGATGTGCTTGCCAATGCTGTTCGCGCGGAGGCTCCGCGGTACGACTGGACGAAGGAGGAGATCTCGTCCATCTACCATACGCCTTTGATGCAGCTCGTCTACGAATCAGTAAGTAGCCGTAATAATTTGTGGACTCCGGTTCTGGGAGCTGTTAGGGTGTTAGCTGCTGGATTCCATGTCGAGCCAGCTTCATCATCAGTCTTGATCGCGATGTAAATGGTGCCCTTATCATATCTAATTAGTCCCTCTAGGCCACCGTGCACCGCAAGTTCCATGATCCTTCCGCCGTCCAGATGTGTACCTTGATGAACATCAAGACTGGAGGCTGCAGCGAAAACTGCTCCTACTGCGCCCAGTCCTCCCGACACTCGACGGGACTCAAAGCCACGAAGCTCAGCACCGTAGACTCCGTCCTCGAAGCCGCCCGCATCGCCAAGGAAAACGGAAGCAGCCGGTTCTGCATGGGCGCCGCCTGGAGGGATATGCGCGGTCGCAAGTCCAACTTGAAGAACATCGTCGAGATGGTCAAGGGCGTTAGGGCCATGGGCATGGAGGCCTGCGTGACCCTCGGCATGCTGGATGGTGCTCAGGCGAAGCAGCTGGCTGATGCGGGTCTCACTGCTTATAACCATAACTTGGATACTTCTCGAGAGCACTACCCCAGCGTCATTACTTCGCGAACCTACGACGAGAGGTTGCAAACGATCGAGCATGTTCGCGACGCCGGTATTAATGTCTGCACCGGAGGTATTCTCGGTCTCGGCGAGAAGCATGAGGACAGGATCGGGCTCATCTACGAAGTCGCCACGATGCCCAAGCATCCCGAATCCTTCCCCGTCAACACCCTCGTAGCGATCAAGGGCACCCCCCTAGAAGGTACCAAGGCCGTCGAGTTCGACTCCGTGGTGCGCACGATTGCGACGGCGCGCCTCGTCCTGCCCGGCACCATCATCCGGTTAGCCGCCGGCCGCATCACCATGACGGAGGAGAAACAGGCCATGTGCTTCCTGGCGGGAGCGAACGCCATCTTTACGGGAGAGAAGATGTTGACGACTGATTGTAGCGGCTGGGACGAGGACAAGGCGTTGTTTCAGAAGTGGGGATTAAAACCTATGGAGACGGAGGTCGTCGTGGAAGAGGAAGCGTGGATCGAGGAGGGAGAGAGGCGTGTTAGTTCTGGATGAAGGAGTTGGGATGGTCTTGCTCTCTAAAGTGAAACAGGATCTAGCTGAGCATTCGATTTATCGACATCATTCAACAAGTGATCGAAGGGCAATGACTCCCACAAAGCCTTTCCGCTTCCTACACACACTTCTAAAAGATGCAAGACTGGCCCACTTGCCCTCTTTCTGGGGATCCAAGAGAAATTCGAGAGGGAATACATTTAGGTGGTGATTGGTACTAACATTTACTTTTAATGCCCATCAATCTCCCGCCTAACCTCTTCGATATATATCCTCCAGCCCCAAGGCCTCAGATGTTTCTCGACACCGTCTGGTCCAATCTTAGCTTAGAATATACCGCGTCAAGCCTCGAGATTACCCGTACTCCAGGAAGACGTCTTACAGAAAAGAATTCCAAGCAGCCTTGATTCCATTGGAATAGAGAGATAGTTGGAGACAAAGTATATATACTAGTCAAGGATAAAGGTACGTGTATATGTACAAGAAGACGGGGACTTCAATCATGCATCATAATCCATCCCCCTACTGAGGCAAGAGTGCAATGCCATGGGCCTAAGCACCGAGCCTTGTTTGCTTTTCCCTCGTAGCGCCATGTTTCTTCGCAAATTCTGCCCTTCACCCATTTCTTCGATCCTTCTCTCTTTTCAGCAAGTCCCTTAGAACGCGGGCTTGGCGTTCTTGATGAGCATCTCGAAGTACGCCTGGTGCCAGCTACCGGCCTCGGGAGAAGGCTTGAAGGCATCGGGCTTGCCGCAGAACGAATCGTAACGGGTAGCGCTCTCGTCGCTGGTACCGTCAGACTCACCACCGGGCTTGACCCAGACGAAAGCATCAGCAAGCTCGGAGCCGGTGTCGGCAGAAGGTCGGATACCGAAGCCGGCACCGTCGACGTTGCACCAGTCTAGAAGAAGAGAAAAATCATGAGTTGGTTGCGCTGAACGAAAGGTGGTGTAAAGGGAAAAAGGAAAGAAATGAAAAAAACTTACTGCCCCACTCCTCACGGAGACCCTGGACACCGTTTCGGCCAGTGTCGACGATGGCGTGGTTGGGCATGCCAGCAGACTTGAGCTCAGCACCGAAAGTCTCGACGTAGATCTTCTCATTCTGGCACTTGTTCCACTCGGCATCGGTGGCATCGGAGAACTCGCCGGGGCTGAGATCCCAGGCGTTCCAGCCGGCGACGTTGGTAGCGATACCACGGACCTGCGAGGGGCTGCCGGCGGCCTTGTAGGCGTCAGCAAGCTCCTTCGCGCCGGGCTCGAGGTTGTCGTTCCAGCCGAGCCAGCCACCGTGGCCGGCGTCGATGTACATGACGACGTTGGGGAGGTTGAGGTTCTTGAGAGCGTAGGCAACGCCGTCACGGTAGCCGGCAGCGGAGTCCTGGCAGGTCTGAAGATCGGCGTTGGTGACCAGGTTGGGGAGCGAGTCGGGCTCGATGACGAGAGCGAAGGCGGTGTTGGGCTTGCTCTTGAGGATCTCGACGATGGCTAGGAAATGGGAGCAGGCGTCAGTGCGGCTGCTTCTCTGTGATGGAGATGGAGGAGGAAGATGTGACGGGCGCCAACTTACGGTCAATGTACTCGGTCTTGTAGATGTTGATCTCGCCAACCTTCAGCTCACCGTTGGAGGCCTTGGCGGCACAATCACGGCCGGGAAGATCGTAGATGACGACGCCGAGGATCTCCTCGCAAGGAACATCCTCGACGGCCTTCTTGAGCCGCTCAATGGCGGATCGGGTGTCACTGGATAGCTTGTTAGTCTGGAGCTATATCTTTACTTATGGTCTCCCTAAAGGCCCGGCCTCTCTGGGCCCCGACGCCTCCAATATCAACTTACACCCAGACGAAAGTACCAATATCAGCAACCGCAAGAGCCTTCGTCTTCAGGGACTCGTCGGACATGGTGGTGACGGCCTCCTCGATCTCGCTTCGGTAGAAGTTGTTGGCATGGAGCTTGTGGGTCTTCCAGATGTTGGTGCTGGCGTCGAGGGTGACGGCGGACTCGCACTCAGCGGCAACGGCGCGGGGAGATTCCTTGACGGTGGCCGAGGGAGGAGCGGCGGCGGCAAGGGCCGCGAGGGCAATGGTGGCAGCAACCTTCATTGTGACGAGGGAAAAGGAAAGTCTGTTCCTACTACTTCAACAGAGAGTGTCTAAGAAGATATGTGGTGAGGACACAGAAGAGGCTGAGAGATTAGGCTTTGGGAGTGAGGGATAAATAAGAGGGGGAGAGAAGAGGAACACCAAGCCCGAGCAGGAACCCAATGTCTTTATATCGGGGGAGATGGAAGGGGGGAAACAATGGCGAACGGGGAGCTTGCCCAGATTTCTTGCCGGGAGCCCGTCTCCTTTCCCTTTCCGCTACCCGACCTGTGGGCCATCCTCGTCATGCGATTTAATCAATCAATTTGGGATTAGAACATGCCGGGAGCCATGGAATACCGGTTGCTGAGCAGGTACCGAACCTGAGAAGATACGACAAGCAATCGGAGCAACCATTGTTGTGCTCTATCCTTGAGTGCCCGGAGGGTACTACGGCAATGGCAACGTGCGAGCTGGATGGCAAAGCGAGCTTCCAGGAACCACGCCACTATACCCACTATACCATGAGAAATGCCTCTCTTGGCTCGCATAACAGAGTATACAGTAGGACCAAGAAGAGAGGGCCATGAACGGGGCATCGTTCACCGGGGTTAGCGAAGAAAACGTGGGATATTACGCTCATATTCTGGATATGGATATTCGGCGAGTCAGGAGAATGGGCATGTGGAGAGTGAGAGTGGGAAACGGGGGAGTAACGGCCGGGGCTAGACAGGCAAATTCAATCAGGAAGCGAGGGCCGTCTGGCACGAAAGGGCTCGGGCTTGATCTTCCGAGCGGTGGGTGGGCTTCTCGCCGATAGTAGCTCTGCCGTTCCGTTCCTGGAGACCCGTTTTAATATTTTGTCTATGGGACGCAGCAACGAAAGGGTAAAGCGGCCTTTTACTTGCGGTGGCCTCGCTTTGCCCAGCACAACAACAACAACAACACTGTACTATAAACGAGGTACTTTTTTCCCCTTATATTACATATTTCCCTTTTCTCACCCCTCCATTTCGGAAATAAAGAATGCGGGGCTGTAATGTTTGGACGACCATCGTTGATTTGACGAGGTCGTGACGAAGGGGGTGGAGAGGACGGGGACGTTGATTATGAACATCACATATAGAGCCTGGGGCAGGTACGATTCTAGCTCTATATGGAACTGACGGCGTATGTATGGAAGTATCTTGATGGAAGCAAGCCCGGTGGCTCGCTGATATTGACAGCCCAGCTTCCAAAAACCGACGGGCCGAAGATCTTGTCGCCTCGTACCAAAAAAAAAAAGGCCGAGAATGAGAGTGGGTAGGCTTATAACAGACATCTGCCTCGAGCACAGCTATGGGTGCGCTTAATCCTCTTCGATGTATGGTAATGGCGACCTGCTGAGATCGGGGAACAAGATCTACAAGAGACGTTACACCGGGATCGACGGTGAGGATCTAGTTCTACCATCCCATCATCGCGGTCGATAATAATCCTCTCCTCACTTGCTGTCTCTCTCTCTATCCTTTCTCCTCCCTCTAAGTTCTTTCATGGCCCACTCTTATGGCGACTTCTCTATCAGTTCATGCCGCGTAGGTGCCTTTAACGACAAGCCCTCATCAGCGAGGTTATGCCACACTCGGGGTTGACCAAAACGGGGCGCGTGTGATCAGAAGGTGGTCTACTGGAGAGTCAGGACCTAGCCAGCCGTTTTTATTTCTCTGTAGGATTTTTTGGGGCATTTCTGTTCTTGACTAGAGCATTTGTGCTTTTTCTCCATGTGGCCAGGCCACCCCTTGCAGACATGCACCCCGCTAGGGCAAATCCCGAGGATATATAGGTTCATTTACGGGAGGAGATGATGCCGGGTGTCACGCAGGTGGCTCTAGAAAGGGGGCTATATGAGATGTATAACTGACGGTAGGCCGAGAGGAGACGCTCTTCCATTGGTAGGTCTTCTTTGGGGAAGAAATAGGTATATAATAGCATTGTTATAATAGCTGTTGGTTGTAGGTTTGTGGCGCGGCTCAATCCTCCGCCATGCTCTCTTGGGCCGTTTGATATCGACTGAATGTCTTGGAAGACTACCACTCACCCATACTGCGGGACCTCCTCTCGGCAACAACGTGGGGGGATGTTAAAGTGACGACAAGGAGCGAGGTAAGGCTTCTACGACGGGCAAGCCACATTCGGATCAGGCATGACCCATTATTCTAACGCATCGGGAGAAATCATGAGAGACGCTATGCAGATTAAGTTTCCGTCTCAGGCGGAGGCACCACTGGCTCCGCCTTTCTTGTCAAGGACCGGGTGTCTATCCGAAGCTTCGTATCCTTATATTTCAGAATGGTTGGCTCATCTGCTCTCGGCGCACGAAGGAGAACCGAGCAGGAACAGCAATCCCGAACTAGAAATGGAAACAATGTTTGCTCGCTTCATCTCGCATCGTCTCGTCTCGCTAGTATCCGCCACCGTGTCGACTGTAACAAGAAGATGATGACAATTTCCGACCTCCTTCACCTTGATCACGGGGCCATGGTGATATTATTGTTCAGATTTAGGGCGTCACCCTTTTTCGTTCTTTCTCGTTTATCCTCTATAAAATCGATAAATTATGGAGGGCTGTGGACCAAGAGGTCTGGGACTTCGGCACTGCAGAATACGGTGGCCGGATGTGGTCTTAATTCTGCAAGTTGAACTCTCAAGATGCCTCGCATCCGTAGTCCCCCATTCCCTCTTTGCCTGCGTTATTGCAAAAATGCGGGGTTTTCCTTCTTCTCCCCTTTTCCCCCTCCTCTTCATATAGTCTCAATGTTTGTTTATTGAGGTAAAAGCATCCCGGGTGATGGAGTCCCACACCATCGCAACCAAGTGAGGTGTGGAGGAGCCGAGACACCGTGGAAAGATCGGCCGGGCTGCATTTCGGAGTCTCCCTTGCGATGGAGAATGACCATCAGAATTCAGTAGAGTGAAGATTTGATGGAATATCTAGGCCCCATCCAGAAGAAAACCAAGGTTCCTTTCTTCTTCCTTTCCCACCTCACTAAAATTCCCTCCCTCTGGGCTGAGGTGGATTTTGCCCATGTCTCTCTCCCTCTCCTTGAAACGGCAAATATATTAAGCCGCCATATGGCTGGAAGGTACGAGTGGAGATGAGAAAGCACTGTGGTTCGTCGGGTTTTCTCATCTCGACCTTTCATCGGGATCAGGGAAGGTTGGAATCTTTATTAGCCGGGCCGGCATGAAGAGACCCGACAGGGGCCATCTCTAGTGGTAAATGGAGAAGAGGGAAGAGGATGGAAGGGAAAAAGCATGAGAGGAAAAAAAAAGGCAGAGAAAAAATTGCTTGCATCGAGGCTAAGGGGAATCCGATATCGAGGGAATTGGAGAAGGAGGAGAAAAGTTCGATATTCAAGTCGTCAATGATGATCTTGTCGGTGATGGTGATGGTGTTTCGGTCTGACGATGGAATCGTCAAACGACGGGCACAACATCAGACGGCAAGATCGATCCGACCTCTCCACCATCTCCGTTCTTTACCTCACCTCATGGTTATACGGCAGGAGCTCCAATCTCCCTTAACGGGAATCATCCTCCAAGACATTATATTTCGGCGTAACTGGGGTTTATTACGTAGGGACACTGACGGCATCCTCAAACCTTCCTGCCCGAGTGCGTCCGTATTCTTGGCTGCTTGATAAAATGTGGAAGCATGAGCCACAAACCTACTCCACATTGTAGGTCATTGCATCCAAATGTTCCCTTTTCTTTCTAGCTGAGGCATTAGAAAGCCCCCCACCGTGTGCTCCCGGCCTTTGATGGGAGAAGCCAAGAGCACGGGTTACTCTAGGGCATTGTAGCAACGCGTTCGGGCATCTTCTTGACGGAATCCTCGGAGGGCAATCCCGATTCTTGTCAGTCCTGCAACCTCACCTCCGGTAGAGATATGCGAAGCTTCACCCTGATTGAGCCCAAAAACCGGGGAACCATGTCCTCAATCTCTCCCATTCCGGTGTATCTGGCCGTGCCCTCACTCCGCCTTGCGTAGCTTTCAAATAGTCTTTCTGTTAATGTCAAACTTGCGTCATGTCACCGAGACAGCCATGTTCTAGACGGACCCCATTCCAGAATGAGGCAACATCATTCTTGCTCCCCATGATAGCCGTGCTGTATGGGACCTCACCTGCGGGTGGACAGTGTCATGCCCGAAAATATGACGAAGGCGGCCTAATATATTGTCATGACCCCATAGCAATCTCTCATCTTGCCTACTCATAACCTCTTCTTGGCAACATTAACATTGGCATAGCCATGTCTTCATCCGATCTTCTGCATTTATGGAAGTAACTCGTTTCTTTGCCCCAGCTGCTGAACAAGGCAAAAGCGAAGCCGATACCTCCAGAGGTCGTCGCGCCATTGCCAAGTCAATATGGAACTCGTCTGACAGTAGTTTGTGTTCAATTAAGCAAAGAGATGCATGAACTGAAGTATATTTGCTCTATTCTGAGCTGCAGCCTTGATGGGAATTTCAGTTGAGTATGAAAGCGGGACATCCGGGTCCAAGGTTGGGAAGTGAAATCATCCTATATATCTGTAGTATGCTGCTTGGCAGATGGTGGTGGCATTCATGAAGCTGAACAAGTCGCAAAAAGACTTGCAGCAGACCAAAGAAACCTCATTGATCTCTAGACACAGAAATCCAAATGTGAAGGATGTAAAGCTCAGGAAGGAGAAAAGCTTGTGTGCAGACATCAATGGGTTGTGAATGTAACAACCAATAGTCACCAACGTACTTCAAGAACGATCTTGCCTCTTAGATGTCCTGGATAGAGCTTCCAAGGACTGTCTGGGTGTTCATGATGTCTATTGTTTTAATCGACTCCTCCTGTCCGATCTTTTTTTTGTATATTGTACAGAAACATGCCTTCCAGTTTTTGGCCAGACCTCAATCCCCACCAGCGACATGGTGTCGTAAAAACGGGGCACAAGAAAAAAGAGAGGCTAACTCGATGTAAAAAGGAAAGAAAATTCCCGCCCACGCCCTCAGGGGGCGGCCCCTGATTACATGAAAGGGGGGAGAGAGAATGGGTAGCCCGCGTTCTTGATACGGAAGATGCTGAGGAAGAAACTGTACGTCAAGAAGAGAGCGCCACCGCAGATCAGGACAACACGCTGCTGGGCACTAGAATCGGCCATCCTAGGTACCTTGACGGCCAGCGTAATGGAGCACAACGCCATGATGGCATCTACGCAAAGTCGTCAGCGACCTGAAGACAGCCTCCCGAATTACCGGGCGGACATGGAGAGACTGGGGTGGAACGTACACATGCAGCCTACCAGCTGAGTTTCAATACCAACCTGAGACTGGAATCCGCGAGTGAAATAGACAATTCCTCCCCTCGAATCGCTACCAATATATGGGGTGTTTCTAATCTGGTTGAACATTTGGCCGCTTGTGTAGATCAGAATGGTCATGACGCTGATGGCGGCCCAGACATTGCGGTTCGTGACAATTGGCAGGATGTAGTCGCTAGCGACATAAATGAAGGTGAGAACACCCATGGTGATCGTGATGCCAGAGATCCAGCGCACCCAGTTGATCGGCCTAACGATTTCGGGGTGGGGGCCCTCTGGCATGTGTCTAACGAGCCACGAGCGTACTTGTTCGGCGTTCTGAGGTCTAAGGTGAGATTGTAAAACGTTAGCAGTCTGGCTGGTACTCCAAGGGAAAACCGCGCGATGTCACTATACCCGCTGCTAAAGTCGTATCGGACAGGTTCTTGAGATGCGACGGCGTGAGGTCCTGTGGTCGGGGGGAAGTGAAGGAGGACAGGCGCTGTTTGGAGGCCGAGCTGGAGCAGAGATGACTTAGTATCGCGAGAACTTCGGCTAGGAGAACTATCAAGGAATCCATACCGAAAGGAAGGTGTCCCTGCCGTTTGTAAAGTCGAGAGTGCCGAAAATCATTCGCGACTCCCCCTTCTTATCTCCTTTAATCCAGCTCTTCGCAAGGAGGTCCCATTCAGGTTGGAACTCTCGGCACAAGTGACACCCGTAGCGAGGGTCCATAGCAGTCAACAAAACGGAGACACTGTAATCACGAGGAGCTTCGGTGAGAGTCTTGTAGCTGACATCGGAGAGCTTGACAGGCAAAGAGGCAAGCGCTTTGGTGTGGAAGCTGTTGAAGCGCTCTTCGGACGACTTCTTTGCAGCCATCGCGCCTGCCATAAGCAGGGCTGCTGAAAGGAGGCCCTTGATGAAGCGCATGTTTGCAATTTACTTCCTCCAGTTGCGGTTTCCTTCCTCCAGTTGTTCTTCTCGAGCTTGGGATCGTATAGGTCAGGGCTATCGAGGATTATTTGGACTAGGCACGCGGTATCCAGAACTGCATTAGTGTTGATTCATTTACTTGGTAGTTTCTCATTATAAACTCCATTGCCAATTGACCCGTATCAAGAACTTACAGAGCTGATATTTGCATGGAATTATGGGATTTGGCGAACCTCAATCAACAATCAAGCCCGGACTGCCCATTTGTCGTGGGTGCATCAGCGTCAATCAAGCGCGAGGTGGCCTTTTCCACTGGAGCAGCTCGGAAGCTCCTTCCCTTCGAGGGGTACAAGGGTACAAACTTGGAGGTCGTCGTCATTATTTACCGAAGATTATCCAGCATCCGTGCGACCAACGCCAATGTTAGGACTAAGCCTATTTCGGAAGTCTGTTTACTATATTCCTCTCGCCTGTATTTTGGAACAACCTGTTGCTCTCTTCTCGCAGACACCCCTCTTGCCCACAACCTTGAAGCCGTCAACTCTTCCTAGTTGAACCGTGAATTCTCTCCTCAAGATTTCCTCTATTAATACCAAAGATCGAAATTCTCCAAATAGCTGTCGGAATTTAAGAGGCTTCAATCGCTTCTTCTTTTACGCGTTGGGACTATATCCCCGCCCGTCCCCCAAACTCTCCGACACCGCACAATAAACAACAAATAGCTATGGAATCTTCATCAGTATGTCTATACCAATACTTGATATCTACCTCGGGTTGCCCCTCGGCCTTGATTTTAACGGATATCAAGCAGAAGCGATCAACCCGGATACATAATCTTGAGTTGAAACACCAAGATGCGGTTCATAAGACGACTCTAGTCACGCGTGATGAGGAGGCACGAAGGCTTAAACTTCAGACCGTTGTCCTTCGGGACCAGAAAGCCGCCCTTGAGGACAAATTGTCCGAAAAAGATGAGAATATCAAGAAACTGGTAGCCCGGTGCCGGCAGTTCGAGAGCGAGGTCGAAGCTGGCAAGGAAGCGATGCGAAAACAGAGTGTTCAGATGAAAACCCAAACTAGGGACTTCGTACATCTGCAGGTATGCTCACCCTGTCATACTGTCTCGGGGATTTTTACTGAGTAGATGTGGGCGGTTTGCTCTTCTGCTTCCTGGTGTTCCTCGTCAGGCTTCGCCCGACCGATACCCTTACTAATTTTCTCCAGACCGAGTTACAGTCTCTCCAGTCAGTCTCTAATGACTCCGCGAAGCTCCTGGCGGAGAAACTAGCCCTGGCCCGTGAGCTCAACACGCTGCGGCCTGAGCTCGAACATCTCAAGTCACAGCTTTCTCATCAGCAAACCGTCATCGCCGAAAAGCTCGCGCTTGAACGCCAACTTAACTCCCTTGAAGTTGAGCTCGAGGCAGAAAAGAGATCGAAGCAACGGCAAGAAGACAACAGCGAACTACATACCAGGATTCAGGAACTCGAGAAGAAGTTGGCTGCCGAGAAGAAGGAAAAGGAACGCGTCAGGAAAGAGGGCGAGCGAGCCCTTTCCGAGGCTACCGCTCAGCATGAAATGTTCGAGCAAAGGCTTGAGACGATGAAGCTAAAGCTACGCGACACACGAGAGGAGCTGAAGAAATGCCAGGCTGAGCTGAGCGACATCCAAACATCCTCGATCAATCTTTCAGATGTCACTGAGAAAACTGTCGCATTGCCGGCCGTGCGCAAGCAAGGCAAGAAGAGGCGGGTCGAGGAAGCGACCATGGAGATAACCATTCCCACCCCGGGGGCTGCTGATCAGAAGGGGAAGAGGGCGCTGAAGAAGCGAGGGTTGGATGTTACGCTTGCTAATGTCGGCGAGAAATCCACGTTCTCCATCACCCCATTCCTCAACCGGACGAAGATACTTGAGAACGAAGAGACAGATCCCTTCGATGAGGAAGAACCTGAGCACAGCTTCCTGGATTCTAAAGCCACACGCGACATCACCGCCGTCCAGCCTCCCGCCAAGATTGCCTCCGAATCGGTTTCGAGCGCGTCGGCCCAACCCACCGCGAAGCCAAGGGGACGGCCAAGGAAGATCTTGGGAGAGATTCCTAGTGCTAAGAATTCGAACACAGCTAAGGCTTCGAGGAAAAAGGCTGACGACAAAACGAAGACCTCGAAGCTCGATATGGTATTAGAGAAGGTGGTCGAGGAGGCGGGCGAAGATGGCGAGAATGAGCCTGCACCCGTAGAGGCCGAGAATTCCGTAGAGAAAGAAACGGACACTGAGCCGACGGTAGAGAAGAAGGCCAGCGGAGTAAGAGGAAGGGTGCCTGCGCGCAAACTCAAAGCGGTTCCCAGTACCGAGGCGCTGAGCGGATTCGAGCCCGAGCCGAAGAAGAAGAAGCGTAAGTTGCTTGGCGGTCCTAACAAGACCCTCTTCGACGACGACGAAGGCGAAACCGTGAAGAAGCCGGCACCCAAGGCCTCTGTTGGGGGCCCGAGGCCTTTGGGCAAGTTGGGCGTGTCCCTCGGAGTGAAGCAAAATGCATTTGCTGGCAAGGCTTTCTCGCCCCTGAAAAGGGATAGGAGGGGTGTGCAGGCCAGTTTCCTGGCGTAGAGGGAGTGTTTCGCGTGTTGATTTGATGTTTGGATTTCGTATCATTGCATTGGGATGTGGGCGGCGTTTTTCCCGGCGTTGGAATTGGGTTAGCTCCTTGTAGGATTAATGGATGGATGGAACGGTTATGGAGTATTTGAAATTGACACAATTGCATCTTCATATCCAATTTCAGTCTTTGATGACTGCGACTCGTGAGATAGTGAATCCGGTAGCTCTATGCTTTGCACGCTCAACGACCCGAAACATGGAGGTGTAAATGAACCAAACCGCACTGTGTCAATTTGGTTTAAATTTTCGAGCTTCTCATGTCGTCACGAGAATTCTAGCTTTGAGCATGATGACCCTGTGGCGCGTCTCGACTGTTCAATCTATAATATCCACGAATGCAGGCTCATTCGTATGCTAAAGCAAACCTGTATTATTATCATCCTTGGCTCCTGTGTTATGATATGAGCGTTGCCTTCACGTCATAACTCTTGAGAAGACAATCCGGATCCCACCGTTGGAGCTCACGCGAGCTTTCACCCTCACCAAACACTGATAGGACGCCATCATGAGAGCTTCACTTATGATGTATGTACCACGCCGTGCCACGGCACTATCCCCGCCCGGGCTTCCTCTTTCTTTCACACGTCTGGCAGCTTCGAGAGTTCCCATTACCCCTAGGATACCGTTCCAACCAACCGCACAACGATGCGCCTCTTCATCGGCGGCGTCATCGAGGTGGAAGAGCAGGCAGGGTCGAGATCCGTATGCGCGGGAGGCTAAGGTCCAGGGTCTTAAGAGCCGCGCAGCATTCAAGCTCCTCGAGGTAAGTAAACCATTGGATATTTTCGTTTTGTGGTGCTTACCGGTCGACTTAATGCTAATAGCTCATGTTAGATGGATGCAAAGTATAGGCTTTTCAAGAAGGGAATGATTGTAGTCGATTTGGTATGCGTTCTATACATCATTTTACTGTCTCGTCGCTCCCTTTCACACTCCCTCATCTAGTATCTACCTACCTCCTGAATCAAGGAATGAGCAAGAGTCTCAGTCTAGTTAACCATTCTTGAACCTAAATCAAAAAGGGATTCGCACCAGGAAGTTGGTCCCAAGTCGCCCAGGACCGCACAAAACCCCACAACCACGTCCTCGGCATCGACATCCTCCCCGCCCAACCTCCCCGCGGCGTCTCCTCCATCCAAGGCAACTTCCTCTCCCCCGCAGTGCAAGCCCTCGTCAAAGAGTCCGTCCGGGAGGCCTACCTTCGGCGCGAGGCTGCTCTAAAGCGCGAGGCCGAGGAGAAGAAGAAGGAAGCGGAGTTCGCTCAGGCCGAGGGAGAGGCGAACATTGCGTCGGAGGAGGAGAGGAGGGAAGCCTTGGCTGAGGAGCGGAGTTATCTCGATATGGAGAGGCTTGAGATGAGGAATATTAAGGACGAAGGAGAGGCCGAGAACGACCGCGTTGTAGATGTACTATCACTCCCTCGCCCCCTTCTTTCAATCATCCCTCCCTCTCCTCGTTGCTAATGAAGAGTTCATGCAGATCGTCCTGAGCGACATGTCAGCACCCTGGCTCTTCCCCACAGACTTTCGCAGGAGCGGAATGAATAATGCGTACCTTAGGATGATGAATACGAGCGGCATCTCGTTTCGCGATCACGCCGGCAGCATGGTAAGTTTTGTTGGCTCCTCTATAAACATCACTTTGCTCACCCCGGCGTCCGCCTCTAGGATCTTTGTAGCGCCGCCCTCCGCTTCGCGAGCGACACGCTGAAGAACGGCGGGCACTTTGTCTGCAAGTTCTACCAAGGCTCGGAAGACAAGGAATTCGAGAAGCGGCTCAAGAAGCTTTTCGACAAGGTGTACCGGGAGAAGCCCGATTCTTCTCGCAAGGTAAGGCAGTTTGAAGGCAGTCTTGTTTTCATTTCACTCTCCCTTGTCCTCTCTCATCTTTTCGTCATCACACCTAACGGATGCGCACAGGAATCGAGAGAAGCATATTTTGTAGCATTACGCCGGAAGAAAAATGTCGTAGACGAACAGACCACACCCCAAGATAATAAATAATTTCAATGGATTTCCTCATTTTTTATTTCTTCTTTTTGAAACAGCCCATCATCAAGTTTTGTTTCGCCTCGTCATGCCTATTTACGCCTCGACCATGCCAAATTCCATACGGCAAAGGAGAACGGGCCCAATCCGGACCCAAACATTGCAGAGCCGTGGGCCAATTGAAGTAAAAAAAGGACACGAAAACCATCGACCAGTACAACAACCAAGCCAACCCCTTATACCTTGAAGCCCCTGGATCGCCTGCGGCCACGAGCGCGCTCGAACTTGCGGCCCTTGGACTCGACGTAGGGTTTCTATAGAAATCATGGGCGTTAGTTTTCCCACTTTGTAGGAGATCATCCAGGGTGCAGATGGCGGCATTTACCTTGTTCTTGTGGGGGCCATGGCCGAAGTGCTTGAAGGCCTCACGGGCGTTCTTAGGGCCACGGAGAAGGAGGGTGTTGGCACCAGTGGGGGCCTGGAGGGCGAGCTGGTCGAGGGTGAGGGCCTTGCCGCCGGCAGCGACGATTCGGGCACGGGCGGTGGCGGTGAAGCGGAGGGCCGCGACGTTGACCTTGGGAACCTTGGTGAGACGGTTGTCGTCGGTCACGGTACCGACAACGACGACGGTGCGCTTCTCATCGTCCTGGACGTTGGCGGCGATACGGGAGATGGAAACGGGGGGTCGGTTGATGCGAGACATGAAGAGTCGGCGGAGAACAACCTTGTTGAAGTTGGAGTCGGTTCGGCCTGAAAGAAAAAAAAAAAAAAAAAAAAAAAAAAAGTCAGCATCGTCTCAATTTTCGAGGGGTAAAGGATTAAGGAGCCAAAAATGACGATTTCGCTACTTACGGACAAGGAACCTGTAGAGCTTGACAAGGAGCTTCAAGTAGACATTGTCGCTCTTGGCGGCCTTGCGGTGGGTGCCGCGGACGTGGTGCCTGTCGAGATCGATAGCTAGAAAGAGAAGAAACGTTCGTCAGCCTCGGCGTTCAAGCATGCTCATATGCGGCGAGCCAAGCGAAGAACAGCGTGGGAGCACGATTAGGCCCAGGACAGGATCAGATCGATTCCAGAATGCATCATGAGAAGATTGCAAGTCAGGAATCGTGATCCGTTTCAACTGGGGTTTTCTCTCGAGTCCCAACGCAAAAAGTGTTCCCGCGGCGCCAGCTTCGCAGCAGACGGTGAGCAAAATCGACATGAAGGCCGATGGTGCTTCCCGTCGCCACTTGCATACAGAAGGCTTCCAAAAGATTTCCTACGTACCCATCGTGACGGTGACTCTTTGTCAAATACTGGAAGAGTCGATGGGGGTTGGTTGTCGGTGGTTGATGTCGAGGAAATGGATATCGAAGTGGAGTGGAGGGAGAAAAAAAATACTGAGGGTAAAGTGAATTGAAGGTCGTGGGTGGTCCGTGCATTTCTCATTAGGGCATTTTCTGGAAGTTGGCGCCGCAGACGGTGACAGCTGGCAAAGCGAGAAGTTAGCCGACTTGCGAAGTCCACTGCGCTGGTCTTGGAAAAGCTCAACCCACTCCCTTGTTTCCGAGTGGGCATCCGAGTCGCTTGGCAGGGTCTCCCGCACGATGCAACACTACGAAGTGCTTCGTAGGTCACGAACTTTTGACTGTGAAGCATGATGTGGCACTTTGCAGTCCTAGAATTGCATTGGATCATTGTATCAAGATCAACCCTTCGCCTCTATAGCTATTAAAATGCAATGCTGCGCAGTATACTGTCCTACAGGAAACCCTTCCTCCTGTATATGCGTGGTTTATGTATTATTCCACATGCTCTATTAGCACAAAAAAGCCACCTTCATCGCACCCGCCTGTCCTGTGTGTCCGACAGATGAATTTTTTTTTTTCGATCTCCCCTCCGCCTCCCTGTCTATATCGCTTCCGTCTCCTCAGCAGGCTTCAACGACACCAAGTAGTCACGGCAAATCTCGTAACTGAGCCAACTCGAGGCCATGCTTGGCGCCACCTTCAGCAGGTTAGGGATGATTCCCTTGTAAAGGCCAACGATACCTTCTTCGGTGATGATGACCCTGATTGCGTCTCCGATGGACTTGTATTGGTAGCCCATTCCAGACATGGTGTTGATCTGGAACCTCCTCCGCAGCACGTCGCTGTGATGAGAAGCGTTAGAAGATCGCGCATCTAGGAAGAATAGCACTACATGAAAAAGAAAAAGGACTTACAAGGGATACGTGCATGTCTGCGCGACAGCCCCAGAAACCGCACCTGCTGCCAATTTCCTCACAGCGTTGGGATTCTCTTCGCCTTCGGGAGTCAGGTATTTTCGAGCCCACTCGTATGTCATGAAGTTGAGGCCGACCTTTCATGGGTAAGATGTTAGCTGGGTTGGGACTCCAGTATAGCGCAATTGGGGGAGGGCCAAAGGAGGGCAGAACATACATAAGGCGCGACTCCAGCAACGGTTGGAATGATTCCGCGATACAGCGCAAGAAAACCACCCTCCGTCTTGTACATGTGGATAAGCGTAGCCCACATGCCAGGGAGCTTCTTAGGGCGCTCGCCTAACTCGGCAAAGGATGCAGACTGGATGGACAAACGGGTACGGACAATATCCAGGGGGTAGGTAAAGATAACGGAGGTGATACCAGCAAGTCCACCGCAGGTAAGGCGCAGAAGGGGAGTCAATTCGCCTCCGGCGTAAGGCTCAAAGATGGTCTAATGTCACCAAAGTTAGCCCTAGACGAGATCACCAGGCCGCAGAACTCCAAGGGTAGGGTTCAACGGGCCCCTAGCTCCAATTGAGAAACCCTGTAGAACCGGGTGACCCCCCTCAGCTGGGCGCAAGGATACGTACCCTCTTGTAGAAATTGTAACTTCCAAACTGAACGGCCGAGTATGGAACAATGCGAATGCAGTTGGTGCCATTGCCTCGCATAAACCCTCGCCAACCCTCCTCCCTCCACATCTTACCAAGAGCCTGGCCAACAGAGAGCTTATAGGCATCTCGCCCTGCACTCTGGACTTGGAAAAGGATCTTTAATCGCTCCAGAGGTGACACGACTGTTCTTGACACAGCACCAGCAACACCACCTGCACAAAAGGCGGCCACGACTGGCTGGGATATCCAATCTCTTGCATAGTACAGGCGTGCATTTGGAGTAATCTTGCGCTCGATCTGGTCTTTCTGTGGCTAGAATACAAAGGAGAAGTCAGCGTAGTGCAAAAAACAAAGAGACTCTGCCTGAAAGTAACAGCCAGCTTATCCCAGTGTCAAGGAGAAGTGACCACTGTGCTGGACTCACAATTGTCGTCATTTTTGGAATTTTTTGTGGCAAAGGCCTCCCAAGAACAAGAGTATACCTTCCCAAGAACCAGGTAGTCGCTACTAGCAGAGCAGGGTATACAGATCGACGGAAAATGGGATGCGCTTCGAGCCTAATCGGTGGTTGAAGTGGTCGGTATTGACGCTTGTACTGGCTCGGCTACTGGAAGACACGCAAAGGTCTGTCGTTTGTAGCCCGGGCTATACTGCAGAGCGTCTTTCGCGGCAGAATGGCAAGCAGAGCATATCGAGTAGACCGAGGCAGTCTCCGTGGAATGTAGGCGGCGCCCCGGGCTAGAGTAGGATCACGCCGCCCATCAACCGAAGAAAAAAATGCGATTGAAAGAGTTCACGAGTGCCAGACAGGTTCGGTTGCGCTTAGTATCGAGAAGGTGCGATCGGGAGGCGGTCCGCGTGGGATACGGGGAGTTCGCAAGGCTGGACACGGCTTGGAACGGTGGTTCGCTGGGGTAGGGTTCGGTATCGGAGGATCACGAGTAACGAGTACGAATGGACAAAAACGAGACTCGATGGAGTATAACCGTGGTTTTTATGACAGAAGGTGTGTCCGATTCGCGTTATCTGGCAGTGGGTTCGCGGGTTTGAATCGTCTGCGATTGAATCGAGGTCGATGCTTTCGTGTAGTGCAGTGTTTTCTCGAGGGGCGAGGGGCGAGGCTTTTTTTTAGCGCGGTTTGAATTGCTTTGGGAAAAAATTGGCAGGGGTCGGTCACGGCTCGCCGGCCTGTTGCGGAGCGGAGGGGGCTTTTGTCAGGAATCCAAGATCTCTAACGTCGGAGCGCCAAAACCGTACTCAGCTAGCCTGGTAAATCTTGGAGAAGATCTGGAAACGACACGAAATGCGGAGTGGAGAGGGTCTGCGGTCAAAAGCCAAGGATGGAGGCCCAGCAGAAGGAGGATCGAGTAGTGCGTGGTCTAATGAATTTGCCGTAGGACCGGGAGCGTGGGCCGGCTGTCAAAGGGGATCGGTGACGGTCCAAAATTATTGCTGCAGGTTGACAATGTCTCGATCCAAAAAGGCGGAGAGCACGGAAAATCCCGTAGGAAATAACTTCGTCACCAACAGGAAGCTGCGATGGAGCCGAGGATAAAAGAAGGTGTCGTACCCCAGTCGAGAGTCGATAGGATAACGTCGGGGTTTCGCAAACATAAAAAAACACTTCAATGTTCCAAACGCGCAATATTTCCCTCCCTACAAAGTCACGGCGAACGCAGCAGAGGAGCAGATTGATCTCGAACATCAAATAATATCTTTAATAGCTGAAATAAACACTGTGCAGCTTGCCACATGAAGACTGTCTGGCGAGGATCTTTTTGCGCAGGTGACCAGCTGAAGAACCGCCTTGTTTGAGAAGCTGAAGCCTAAATGCGAATGGAACATTGAAGTCAGAAGATTAGGGAGTAGGCACGGGATAGGCTTAGTCGCCTCCACGAGTCTCACTGGTCCGTCAGCCAGCGTCACAAGTGACTGGGAAGACGCCCCAAGCAAACAAAAATATTGTCTACACTGAGTCTGTTAGTATCCCAAAAGAGCAAAGCTGTGACCAGTGTTGTCAAGTGGCAGCGCGGTAGTTTCAAATGTGTTGGTTCGACGTAGTGTTCACAAGCGTCAACCGGATGGAGTGGATCGGATCAATGATTTGGCCGCACTGGACTTTGCCTACGTCATTGGAGACGAAAGCCTTGGGCCCTTGGCAACCAAGAGAGAGTTCCTTCGACGTACATTTCAGAGCAAACCATAAGACACGCCATCAACTTTGGAGACTCATTCTGCTAGACTTAGGCGCCGAATTTCAATTTGTCTATATGAAGTACCTACGCCTTATCCCTTCCCCCAACAGAGCTGAAAATCGAATGCAATAGCACGCAATACTTTTTTTTGGTTGTTGCCGCGGGCATCAGAGCACTTTAGATCTCTCGAATCTCTCGTCGGCTTGTGTCCGTCCAATCTGACTTCAGTCTGCAGACCGGCCTAAACCCGTGCCGACAACGGAAGAGATGGAAGTGAAATCATAACTAAGAACGAGAGAAGAGACCCAATCGGGTCCAAACGAGAAGGCCATCTCAGACGTACAAAACGAACTAAAAAGGATACTGTGAATAGTTGTGATACGGTGACGAAAAAGTGAGCAATCCAGACTGGATACTCTTGGTCAATGCTGCGGTTAGCTGGCCGGATATTGTGACGGCTACTGCTCTACTCAGCAACGTCGAGATCATCGTGAGGAGGAGGACTTTCGAGGGCTAGATTTGAGAAAAAAATGTTAGCATGAATACAACTCAGGGATGAATAAAGGCGGTAGCCTTACCCTTCCGGTCGTCACCATTGGCGCCATTCTCACGGCGATCACGGTCCTCCCTCTCGTCCTTAGTCTCCCTATCACTGTTATCGGGCCTCATCAGCACACGTCTTAGCTGAGGTTATTCAAGCGCACAATTCTAAATGAAGTATGGAACACATACCGATGATCCGGGCTACGGCTTCGATCACGGTCACGATCACGTCGATCGCGGTCATAGTCCCGGTCGCGATCACGACGATCATCCTTGCGGGGAGAGTAGTCGCGATTGTTGCGACGAGGCGAGGGGGACCGACCACGGCGAGGGGATCGACGAGGGTTTCGCTCCCGATCACGACCAGAGTCGAAGCGCCACGAGGCCGAGGGAGGAGTACGAGCCCACTGCGTAGTAGTGTTAGTATCCGGCGGTAGGTAGCGGCGCTCGCAAGGTTTACTAGAGATTCATACCTCAATCTTCAAGATGTCATCACGACCGATGCGCTTGTTGTGCATCTCATGATAGGCATCATCAGCATCGCGACGATCCTCATACTCCACAAACGCAAAGCTGTGTTGGTGTTTTCCATCCAGGTTAGCGCGCATTTTCAAGAAAGCGAAGTAGGGTCTAGGAATGTCGTCTAGGCGCAACGAAGAAAGAAACTTACAGTCTGCTAGACGCTGAGCGCGGGGCGGGAATGTCACAGCGAACAAGACGCCCGTACCTGGACGATGTGTGTTAGTGTATCGTTTTAACCACAGTTTGAAGGCAAACCAGTTGATTGCTAGGCGCCGCATCAACGACAGAGGGTAAGCTGCCGCAGAAGGGGCCTAGAGGCGCGATGCCTGCCCGCTGGCTTATGGCATGAAGTGGCCGAGATAATCACGGCACAAGCCTCGAGCTCGACGACGACGGACCGACGGACAACGACGACGAGGAGGACGAGGACGAGGACGAGGAGTGGGGTTTTGATAGCACGGGGCGGGGCTAGGATGGAGTGTAAAACGCGGGGAGGACGATGGCGGCAACGAAGGCGGAGAGGTTGGTGGGCGTAGATGTGCGCGAGCACAGGGCGGGAGGACGAAGCGCGAGAAAAGCTTGTTTTGGGGGGGAGGAATGGAAACTCGACATATCGGCAGGAAAAAGTATAATAGTTCGCCGTCACGATGGAGGTGTCGACGCGCGGGTAACATACCGTTCGAACTCGTAGGCGAGGTCACGGGCGCGAGTTCCGTGGCTAAAGCCCGTAACGTACAAGGTGGTGCCACCGCGGGACATGATGGGAATGCTGTCGTTCGATGGTGTTGAAAAGAAAAAGAGAAGAAAAAAAAAAAAAGGCTAGAAGAGCTCAGCTTGCTGCCAGCAAGAAGCGCTCGTGGCCCGTGCCTGTTAGAGTGAGTCGAAAGCTGACAAAAACAGCCCTTCTAGAAGGACCAAATTTGCGGCTAGCGTAGGAATGAGGGTAGATGAGATGAGATGGGTTTGATGATGGATGGCGACTCCAGGCTGCTGCTGTGGTTTGAGAAAGTCAAGAGGATTGGCGTCAGAAACACGAGGAAAGATTTATCTCGCAATGGAAAACATGAAGAACTATTATGTAAGCTTCCCCCAGACATTCTTGGTTCAGAAAGTGGGTCCAGGGGAGCTTCGTTCTTTCCACTCCCGCATCCGGCAATTGCACTCGAGCCATATTATCAGCTGAAATTCTGGTCTGCAACGTCCTCTTTCCCTCCGACCCAGATCAAATTGAATCGTGGCTTCCTAGCTTGAGCTGGCCAAGGCACACGTCGTAAGAGCCGGCGCCTCTTTCCAAGTTAAATAGAAGCCTGCCAACAGGTGTCGACACCTGCTCAGAACAGGCACCTCAACTTTGTTTCCAACACCCAACGCGAGAGGACATCCAAGCTCTCTTCTGATTTTTTAGGGCCACTCATGAAGTTAAGAGGCCGCAGGATATCTGCGACCCTGTTCGCTCGATCCCTTTTATCGAAACGATCAGGACGCTCTCACGTAGTATTTTTGGGGTTAAGCGGACCAGATTCATTCAGATCAACGTACATGGCAAACAGCAAGGACAGGAGCTCCTGAGCGCAACGGCTCAAGTGGTCAGGCATGCGCCTTTACACACCAACGACACCTCTTACCCACTGGCCAACCGCCGCAATGATATTCAGTTAGCGTTCGAGGCATTCGAAACACTGATAAGGATTGCAGGACTGCCCATATCCACGAGAAGAAGCGTAGGCCCAATGTCACAGCTCATGTCTAGCATTTAATGTCGTTTTTATTATTCGGACTGCTATGGATTATCTATTAAAGAAATTTGGTTAAGTCTTCCAACTTGTCTGCATTGGCTCCCTTGACCACGAATCTCACATCGAGCAAGTGCAAAACGGGCTCAAGTTGCTCAGAGCGAGAACAACCGGAACCCAGGAGCATTTCTCGGAGAATGAAGACTGCTTGATGAAAAGTTCGGGGTTTCGGCTGGCTGTAATATATTCACTCTGACCTACACCTGCAGTGCAGGCTTAAACATTCTCAACACTCTCGCCTGTTTTGGTGCTACGGCGTACTTCGTAATGAGTTTACAAAGATATCTGAGGGATATCGAGGAACCATTCTAGATGTCTCAGGTCGAATTTCCAAGCTAGGCATTCAGGAATCCCGAGAGAGGACATTCGATGGCCCTGCCTCGTGGGATTCGGTAATATCTCAGGCAGATCGGTCGGATACCGAAGTGAATCGGGAACGGGGTCATCAATATCACCGAAATCACCACATGTGGCCCGTACTTGAACTATAGGGGCTCTGAGCAAGAAGCACATGAAGAAATTCGAGTCTTGTCGCATCAAGCGGCCAGTGTTGTAACAACGAGGGCACGGCGAATGACATCATTCGGCGAATACAAAAGTGAGTAATTCAAGTTCATCTGATGTCCGGCGACCTAGCCTAGATGCTACATCGAGCTCGCACTTTACCTTGGTCCCAGCGCGGCGATCGTGTTGAGGTATTGTGGCGCCAGGAGGCGATCGAAGAAGTACATTATGGGATTATTCACCATTGCGGCGCCTAGAACCGCAGTGTAAGATTCATATAATGATTTGCAATTATGATAAACGTCAGAACAAGGAAAGATTGTCGCTGGGAATTGGATGAGAGGGTATATGGGTGAACTAGACTATACACCAATATCAAGCAGCTCTATTAAAGACGAACTTTATTTATTTACCTAAACATTACGATTAAACGAGCGTTTTCTTATAGCTTGGAGATGTGATGTCTCGCTGTCAACTGGAAGTAGGTAGTGGCTATAACTGTGAAACAAAACGAGTGTCGGCTCACTCACCTCACTGAGATCATACGAGGAGGGATCGCTGGAGATTAGACTGGGATAACAGCGTGGGAGAGGAGGATATCCCCCGCCAAGCTACAACGCCCAAGCTCAGTCAATTGGCCTCGATGCTGCATCCAAAAGCCTTGGCTCACTGGCAATAGAAACTTTCTCCGTTTGGATCGAAGAGACGCTCTACTATTACCCAGGCCTTGGTACATGCACCACACATAATTTTCCCGTCCGTAAGGGTCCTGGAGGCATCGAGGTTTGGATATTCGGCCTCTGAGAAACCGCCTGGACCAGCCGGCCCAAGCGGCGCTGTGTGGTGTGTGAAGCCGCCCACCACCATCACCACCACCCGAGCCTTCCGACTGAGCTTCATAGTCTATGTGGCGTTGAACGAAGGGATGGATGATTACCACCGACGACTCCGATGAAAGCAGTGGCAACTTACACTCATCCGCCATTCCGCCAATGGCTTGTATTCCAGGAAACCGATTCTAGCCTCAAATTATTTGTAAACTGCTAGATAATCTCCACACACCTCGCCTCGGTGTACCGGAGCTTCCAGGATCAGGAAACCGTATGATCTGGAAGCCTCGGGCGCCTTGTAAGGTATAAACGGATGCAACCCCCCCTTGTGCGACGCTCGTCACGTCGTGCGACCGAGCTGCCAGATATGGTCTCTCAAAAATGCACATGCCGTGCTTCTTCTACTACCTTTCTCAATACAAAAAATACTAGTTGCTCAATTAATTGGAGCTTGCACGACCGAGTGAGACTGACTAGCGCACCAAAGTGGCGATGAATTCGAGCGAGGACGACAGAATCACCACATCACGGTCCAGCGCAACCAGCACGCCGGGCAGCACACGCGGAGACGTCCTCTGCCTCCACGCGTTAGGCGACTCTTCCCGCGCCATGCACACACACCACGTCGCCGTGTCGTACTCCGATTCTTTCAGCCGAAAGGCCATAAGAAAGACCTTGATTGGCAAGAAATTCAGCTTCAAGGCGCAAGGCAAATTCCAGGATCTCGTGTTCACCCGGACCTTCTCGGCCTTCGATTCGCACAATGAAGCTGCCGCCAGTACCCCGTTTCGCGGCTTTTACACCCTCTTCTGGCTTGCCGTCTCTCTGTTCATGTTCAAGACGGCGCTCTACAATTGGAGCAGGTATGGAAATCCGTTAGGAACGAATGATATTATGAGGAGCATGTTCTGTCGAGATGGTGAGTCCGAATATAATTCCTTGACTCCCATACTAGTGCATCCTCCGTGGTCTAACGTCTATGCATGTAGTTTTCATTCTCTTGCTGTCTGATGGCGTAATGTGTGCCCTCACGGCAGTGACCTGGATATTACAGAGGCTCGTTGTCGACGACTATATCGACTGGAACACCACCGGATGGCTGCTCCAACACGTGAGTACACTATAACTAACATGAGACTTCCTCAGGGTCCTGTTCCATATCATGTTAACTGACGGATTGTCCGAATCAGCTCTGGCAAACCGTCTTCATTGCAGGCGTGGTAGGCCTTACCATCGCAAGAGACTGGCCTTGGTCTCACACGGTCTTTTTCGTGCTTCACGGCTTGGTACTCCTCATGAAGCAGCACTCCTATGCCTTTTACAACGGCCACTTGTCCACGTTGTACCAAGAACGAGAACTCCTGTGTTATACCCGTGGAATACTTGACCAGGGTACGCCCGAAGAGGATTCATCATTCGGGTATTCCACGTCTTTCTCGGGACCTTCCAGCGATGGAATCACAGATGTCGTGGCGACCAGCCACCATGCATTCGAATCTGAACATGCGCCGGCAGAAGAGACGGCGATCGATGAAATCATCGAAGAAGTCAATTCTGAAGTGCCACTTAGTCCAGCGAAGATTGCTAGCTACAAGGTGATTCTTGAAGACGAAATTAGCCAGCTTACCAAGGAGCTGGTGCGCAATACTACTGCGCCCGAGAGGGCGTATCCGAACAATCTCACAATTTCGAATTTGTGCGAGTATCTCGTGTTCCCTACGGTTGTGTACGAGCTCGAATATCCCCGCTCTGAGTCGATCAACTGGGGTTACGTCCTAGAAAAGACCGCAGCCACTCTAGGGGTCCTCTTCGTCATGAACATGGTCTCGCAGACCTTTATATGTAAGTCTGAACTCCCAACCACGATTTCTAGCGTCTCCGTATATCTAGAGGACTCTACTGACATCTATTCCTCAGACCCGGTAGTTATGAAGGCCGTCTCCATGAAGGAAATGGGAATGCCTCTCACCGAGCGCCTACAAGAGTTTCCCTGGATGCTGAGCGAGCTCATCTTCCCGTTCATGATGGAATATCTCGTAAGTGCCCCTGAGGTCCGGTTGAAATGTGCCTTCTTTGCTAATCTGCATTCGCAAAAACAGCTCACTTGGTTCCTAATATGGGAAACCATTCTCAACGTTCTCGCCGAGTTAACTCGCTTCGCGGACCGAAGCTTCTACGACGATTGGTGGAACAGCGGTAAGTTTTAAATCAACGTTGGCGTTTAAGTTGAATCTCCACGTACTAACTTTGAACTTTCCAGTATCCTGGGACCAGTTTGCGCGAGATTGGAACAAGTACGTAGACTCACTCTTCCATTTTCCGTACTTCTACCCATGTTAAGGCCGTCTTGACGATGATGTCATTCTGTACATTCCTATCTAACATCTCCTCGACAGACCCGTGCACAATTTCCTCCTCCGACACGTCTACCACAGCGCCATCTCCTCCATGAACGTCGACAAACACACCGCCACCCTCATTACTTTCTTCTTCTCTGCTTGTATCCATGAGCTGGTTATGTGGTGTCTCTTCAAGAAAGTCCGAGGCTACCTTCTTATCCTCCAGATGTTCCAGCTGCCTGTATGTTAACCCCTTCTGCCGAAAAAACCCCTTCTCCTGCCCTGCTGACCGAAAGGTATGGATGTAGTTGGTCCGCCTTAGCCGTACAAAGTGGCTGAGGAACCGAAAGACTCTCGGCAACATCGTCTTCTGGTTCGGTTTATTCACTGGCCCGAGTCTTCTCTGCAGTCTTTACCTTATCCTTTAGACGTCAACTTTCCGCTCGTTTGCTTATTTAGAATGTCCTTTGTTTTGTGGAGTTTTTGCATTTCCTAGGGATTGGAAGGGCTGGAGTTGTTGGATGGATGGTCAAATAGATTGCGGGATGGAGAATGTAAATAGATATGTAGGCTTCACGGATTGTATAAATATCAGGCTGACTTGAAACGCCATCTCAACTAGGAGAAACTTGATAAACTTGATAAACGCATACAAACATACACTTGAAACCACATTTCAAAAATGAAATAAAACTTTTTTAATCATTCCAAAAACCCGCCGTTCCGTAGCACGCTTACCCCCAATCAGGTTGAAGAGGCCTCCCTGAACTTCATCGTGGCCTACATCTTCTCGTACGTCGCCATGAGAGAACCTACAAGGGCGGTTAGTACAAATTCAAAACTCCTTCGGGTGATAGTTACGAGATGTATTCATACCTATGAATGTTGTCACCAAGCGACTGCGAATCTGGCAAATATCTTCAGGGACCAGCCAGATAGTAGCGCCCAACTTTCTCGCAATACTGATACTGAGTTTGGCATTGAGATAGGCGTCGTCAGGGGTATGTCCGGGGGTCACAAGATCGTAGTCGACGTAGCTGCTCTTCATTCCGTTGAGAACGTCAAGTAGGAAAACGCCAGTGCCGATCGCGGGGTCCTTGAATGATCGAATGGCAGAGTTTCTTCCACCCTTGCGTGACATGTCATTGGCCCATCGAACCATCTCTGAATCGGTGATTTCTCTCTTTCCGAGGCGCTGAGCCAGAGCCGACAACGTAACGGTTATATCCTTTCTCATGAGCTGCCATACCAGCCCAAGAGTCAAAGTCTTCTGACCGTCTGTGATATCGGCTCCCTGGATACCGACTAAGGAGAAACCGTTCTGTTTGCCTAACTCGATAGCGTAGTTTGTATTTTCGACGGCCTTGAATTTCATCATTTGACCCCCATGAGATGGGGGCTTGTTAACATGGCGCCAGTTAACAGATCCCTTAATGACTTTATCGTATGCTTGGAGCAGGACCGTCCCGTCTCGCAGGTCGTCGAAGAAGGATTGCACAGGCGGCTGCACATCCAAGCTGTTAAGCCACAGAGTGAAGACTCTGGCTTCACGTTCGCCTTCGGCGTCAAAGTCCTCGACTTCGAGCTTCTCTTCCTCGGTGATCGGATCGAGAGCGGGGTGGGTGTTGAACAGGTTGGCAACAAAGGCGAGGTTGAGCTTTGGGTTTCCGGCGACGAGTGACTTGGGGGTGAGAAATTTACGGCAGCCAAGCCTGTCGGCGTTCTGAAGGACGTACTCGGCTCGTTGAAGGAGGTCTCGGACTTGGAGAGGATCACGGTTACAGCCGTACTCAGAGCCGATCTGGGCAAGGAGTACAGTGTAGTTCTCTCCATCCTTCACATCAGTCGAGAAGTTGTTCACCCTGCGCAAGGACTTTAGTATTAGTGACACTCATGGGCGAGGAAGGATGGAACGGGGGACAACAGGGGAAGGAGTAAATAACAGCCTACCTTCGGGGCCACCCAGCAGCCTTAAGGTGGTAGTTGAACCACCGCAAGAGGATCTGCTCGGGAGGTAGGCGGAGGAACTGTTCCAGAGTCTCGTCCTCCTCGAGCAAACGGTAAAGCTCAGGGTGCAGCTTGATATCAATCTTTCCCAAAAGACCACGGCGGATAATCTGCCAGATAAGGCCAAGAATAAGATGCTCCCTCACTTCAATAATGTCTCCGCTACCAATATTCACTACGGAACACCCGATACCCTTAGCGGATTCGATAACAATGTTGTTGTTCTCGGTCATGTGGAAGGCGTTAAGTTTCTTGATCTTCCTGCCCGGAATGTTGAGCACGCGCTCGTCAATGGTATCGGGAACGCTATCATTGATGAGCTTCGCCAGAACTAGACCGTCCTTGCACTCGTCAAACATTTCAAAGGTATCGGTGGGGAAGGGGAGTCGGTGGCCAATATCCTCATCGCCAGCGAGCACAGCGTTGATGTGCCTGGTAAATTCGGTTCGTTCATCTTCGTTGATTGTGTGGGTGATATTTGCACTCGATCCCTGTACTTGGATCCTGCCGCCGCCAGTTCCCTGGCTAACCTTACGAGCATGACCACCGGTGCGGTCGGCGACAATACCGGCGGGGGACACAGGGGGAGGGCCGGTGGATAAGCGCTTCTGAGCAGGCGAGGAGTCGCGAAGTTTGGCGATGAGCTATAGCGGGGCAAATTGTAAGGTTTCCCTTGTCAGCCACAGAACTGTCGCACAATGCGGGGCAAGAACGGAAGCGAATCTCGAGCTGATGATACTCACTCCTACGTAGTCTTCGAGTTCGACTCTTCGAGACGAGTCAAGGTCGACCTCTTTCAGAGCCTGCCTGACAACATCGTAGGGCTGTCTCTCACTTTGTTGGGTGGCCTTGATAGCTGTGGCTTCGTCAATGTAGCCTTTGTCGTCGACATCGAGCCTTCGGAATGCGTCGGATAGGGAGAAGATCTCGTTCTGTTGGAACTGAGGATATTTTCTAGAGTATGGCAGATTAGGACATCGAGACACGATAATAGGAATTTGTGGAAGTAGGAATTATCGATGGAAAATTTGCGTACCTCTGGAGCTTGAGGACGTTCATGGTGGCTGTTGTGTGGGAAGTCTGGTCGAAGCTATGGCGGGGTTTTGTGACGTGATGTGATCAGACAGCACCGGACCTTTTCAATGACAGGGTGGGAGGTGTTTCGAGAAATAGAAGAACAAATGGGTCGAGACCTCGCTGAGATTCAGAATCCTGGGGAAGACGCTTTTGTTACGAACGTGGTGTGGCTATCGCAACCGGTGACGTTGGAAAGTGGGATGGGGTTTTCGTGACGAAGGCGGCGGCACAGTAGTTAGGAGGAAGGTGGAGGAAGGGGAGACAGTGACTGTGGAACTGGAGCCGGAACTGGGTTTGTACGAGGTTAGGTACTTTGTACTTAGTAGCTCTAGTAAAGTGGACAATTATAGTGGAGTGTACAAGGTGAGTACTTTTGAAGCCAACTGAGCTGATGATGTTGCTTCCAATATTATTAGGCGTATTCTATAAGGTGGGTTTGAGACGGAAGTGGCGGGTCATGAAGTATGGATCTACTGCGTAAGGCCCGCGAAGAAGGGAAGCTGGGAGCGGGTATTAAATACAATTCCCTGACGTTAGGATGTTAGGCACCGAGAATAGTGTGAAACGAGGACTAGAGAAGTCCTATTGACAGAAATTGATGCCTGCCCCCTTTCGGACAGAGGCCTTGCTCTATGAAAAGATCCTCGGGAGTCCCGTTGGACAATGTGCAACGAGGACCGAGATTCTAGGGAAGCTTACACCTTCTTGTCTGGTCTGTCAATGGATGGCCTTGGGGCGAGCTTGTATGTCGTGGCAGTCTGCGGCTCTTCGAGGCCGGACACATGGCAGCCTCTAACCTCCAGTGGTTAAATCTGATGAGGCGATGCTGCCAACTCTATACGCCTCTGGCGATTCCCTCAGATGCTATTAAATGGAGCGATCCCAGAGAGCTGGATCGCCACTGTTTTGCCTCGCTTAAAGCTTCCTAAGCCTACAAGTGTACATCGAGCTGCATGCCCTATTGATATGGTCCAATCGCCACAGTTCAAGATTCAAGTGCTGGGGCATTATCTGATATCTATTACCAGCACATCCAACTTGTTTTGAAAGGATGTATGGGCTGGGCTGTTGGCTGTTGGCTGTGTGACACGTCAAGGGGCAGAGCAAGACTTCATCTGAGCAGCCGAATCATTGCTGACACTTCAGGCGAGGATTTACGACGGCAAATGAAGCTCCATTTGAGAATAGCAAACTATTGAGTTATATTCATCCTTGTAGAAAAAAAAAAAAAAAAAAAAGGGCTGTCTGACGTCGTACTTGACGCGACCGGGAGCTACGGAGGGGGGAGAGGCAGAATCAGATGGAACATTATTATTCTTCAACGACATTGAGCCAGACCATTGCTGTGTCCCTGGAAAAACCCTGGTAGTTTATATCAATACGAAGTACGAACTGGCAGACTTCGTACGTAGTTCATGCCAAACGAGGAGCCAACGTCACCATCCAAAACAGCCACGAGTGGAATGCGTAAGCGGGCTAGGCAATCCAATTCTACCGTCACACACAGAATGTAAACCTTAAAAAGGATCTCGATTTTAGTTGGGGTAAATCTGGTGGTGGATCGAGGACGGAGCTGAGGATTAGAAGCAGGTACCAATGCATGAAGAACCAGGCAGACGTCAATCATTGATGGCAGCCACTGACGGCATTGCGTCAGCTCGCCCGAGTGTCTTGGCGAGACCAGGCGAGCACCAGTATCATTGAAATGCGTATGCTCCAGGTTCTCGACCTTGAATCTTGCTATAAAAGACACGTCTGCTGCCTGCTGTGATCGGGGGTTGTGGAATCTGATCGAGGTCGTAGGTGGGCGGGTGCAGAGACCGATCAAATCACTGTCGGATCGATTAGAATCCCCACCACCTTTGTACACTAGAACAGCTGGCATCGATGCTGTCCTGGCTGTGGCGCCTGTCAAGAGGATCAATTTATAACTTAATTCCAATTATCAGCTTGTTGACTGCATTGCATCTGGAGATTGATTGATGTTTGGCTAAAAATGTCTTTCCTAAGAAAAGGGCTACGGGAGCTCACTCAGCTGAACTTTTCCCAAGCAAATCAATATCAATTCTCATTCGAGCGAGGATTCTTTTTCACCCTAATTTGAAATTTTGATTTTACTGTCGAGTTTAAACAATTCTTCTTTCCTAAAAGCATGGCAACTTGCAAAATCTGTAATGAGCCTCTGCTCATGTCCGTCGTTGACTCCGACGACGAAGGCACTTCCTCCGCGGCTGCATCTGTGCCCGATGACCTCCGCTTGCCCTGTGGCTGTAATTTCCACTGGTACGGCCATGAAGAGAGGCTGCCTCTCTCTCCGCCAGTCGAGGGCATCTGATCTTGTTAACTCGAGGAATAGGCAGTGCTTACTAGACAACGCCACCCAAGTCGTCTCATCTCTCCAGTGCCCAGCATGCGGCTCTCTCCTCGTCCAATCCGCACACTCCAGCAGCTCTAGCTCATCAGGCCAACCTCCCATCTTGACGACCTACATCAGCGAGGGCGGCGTGGAGGAAAACCTCGACATTCTCCCCGTGCTCACCGAGGAGGCCTACCTGGAATCTAACCCCGAAGCTCGCCCCGCTCGGGCCCTCCACATCATGGCCGCGGAGGGAGACGTCCAAGGCGCCATTGACCTGCTACGCACCGTGAGCGAGGATGCGGCCGGTAACTCGGAAGAGGCCCTGGGCCGCCTCGTTCGCTATCAGGATCCCTTGGCGGGCATGCAGTCTGCGCTCCATCTTGCTGTCGAGGCGGGGCAGGAAGAGTCGGTCTGGCTGCTCTTGTGGCTCTCGTCGAGCTTACCAGATGCTGTGTTTCCTGAGACGGCGAGGGCGCGGGCTCAGGCTTATGGCCTAGGACGCCTCACGATTTTGTCTAGTGCTCAGGATCTCAGGAATTTACGGGATGCTAATGGGAATACCCCAGAGGTGCTTGCACACGATATAGCAGCACTAATGCCGCTCTTGCAAGCCGGCATTCTGACACCACAGAGTTAATCTCTGACGGTTGGTCTTTACAAAATCCTGAAAAACATTTCCCCCATTTCCCCACCCTCTCACATTTTCTATTACGTATCCTGGATCTGTCCTACTCCTACATGCAAAAATGATGTAACCGCAATATGACACCCGATTGTCTGGCCTCCAAACAGAGTATGCTACGTGGATTTGGTTCTAGCTTTGCTGGACAACAGCTGGGAGAGCATAAAGTGATTTACGTCTTCGTCTCCCCAGTAGCTCAGGTGTGACGCGATGGTGTTAATGGGATTATAATCCAAGACGCTCCTATATAAAATATAAAAAGTCAGGTGAGTAACAGAGATAGGCAGAAGAAGGGATAAGTAGCAAAGGATGCAAGTCAAAACGTACTCTTGAATACTGTAATCCACCCGGCCATTCCGATTGAGCGCTCTCACCTTGGCTTCCTCGGCACGCATCTTCCTTGCCTTCTTATGGAGTTCATCTGCTTGCGTCGAGCTCTCCGCCCCGGAAGCTTGCGCCTTCTCAAACTTGGAGTATAGGGTCTCGAGATCATAATCGATCAAAGTCGCATCGTTACCACTAAGGCTTGTGCGCCCGGCAGTATTGGCAGGGTCTGCTAGTTCCATCTTTCGCTGGTCTGTCCGCTTTCCGAGCGTGGATGTATCCGGAATTACGCCACCCGTCGAGGCTGAGGGCCGTGTTCCTGGTTTTTGATCCTGGTCCACGGCTGTAGCGTCAGTGATGCGGGCAACGTCTTCACTGCTGAGCCCGAGGCTCCTGTTCAAAAGGCCTGACGTAACTCCAGCGCTGAGACTGGACCAGAGACCGCTTACACTCTGCCCGACCATAGCGCCAATTCCAGAGAGACCTTGGGGAGTCATGCTGCTGAATATTCCTTTCTTCGTATACGGGAGGACCTGCGGTTTTAGCGTGGACATGGCGGGGGCTATTAATGGCTCTAGACGGTAGCTGATGGGGTCGGATGGGTGAATGATATTGAACAATTGTGATACCCGAGGGGACGAGACTGAGAAGGGTAAACCCGTTACTGGCGAGAGACGCTGGTCTGCATATGCGCTAAATGGGTCGTCAATTAGATCAGGATCCAACGGACTTTGCGACGCCCTTGAGTGCGGCGAGCCACGCGCGGAGATTGTTCTGGTTGGGAAAGTCAGTTGGCCGCCCGATTCCGGTGCGATGGCATATTTGAGATGGAAAACGCAGGCTGTCGTCGAGTGAAGAAACATACCTTCCCTTGAGCATCTGGAATAACCCGACGGGGGATCCAAGGCAGTAGAAGTCGGCCACATCGAAATCGAATGACAAGTCCGAGGGATTTTTCTCTGGGGCAGTCTTGGACGAAGAAGAAGGCCATATTCCGAAAATCTTACGTTGTGTATTCTCCTCCCTTTCCTTTTGCCGACAAAGGAGATCGAAGAGGATGGCAGATCCAAGGGAATGGCCCGTAAGATGCACTTTTCCTTGGAAACCAGGGTTCCTCTCCTTGAACAGTTTGTAAATCCGATTAGCCTCATTCAAAACGATGGTCATAATTTGTTCTCGATAGCCGCTTTGGTAGAGAAGAACATCAAGTGCAAAGTCGGATATCATGGACCTGGCAAAGGCAACGCCTTCCACTGTTATATCTTCAAGTGCTGGATCTGAAGGGGGGATGTTAGCTCGAAGCTTTGCGTATCGCTTTTCATGAGGCGGCCTGACTTACAGGCATCCTCATCAACGTTGGTGACCCCGATATCTTGCTCACGCTTGACTTCTCTTTGCTTAGGAAAGTCTAGGTGATGCCTCCAGCAAATTGGTAGTACTTGCACCTTACAATTACCAGCTTTCTCACCGAACTCGCCGTTCAAAGCCTTCAAATCAGCCGAACTAGAGTACACGGACTTCATAGTCTTCCTCATGACATTGACGTCGTGGATAAAGCTCATGCTTTCGAGTCTGTTGAAAATGTCAGTAGGTGCTGGATGAGTTCATTTTAGGTAAAGCAGAGGCAAACGAACCGAAGACTGAGGAGCTGGCCGATTCCGTGTGTAACCAGTACTAGGTGCTCTATATCTCTACCTTGGGTGTCCTCATGTTCAGGGCTGTAGTCACCGCTAATCTCCTGCTCCTGGCGGCGGCGGATCTCCTCTTCTAGCTTGTCCGAGTTCCTTCCCAGTCCAGACGTTTGTTGGTATGAAGGGGTGTTGTGAGTTTCTGGTTCCTTAATCAACGGTGCCCTTGTGGAGGGCGGAGCAGATTTTCTCTTAAGGGCCTTTTGCTGCTTCTCGTCCAACATGTCCGTAGTAGAAGAATCGGTAGGAGTTTGAGGCCGTTTCGCGGTATCTTTGGCCTTTCCAGGCTCAGAATAACCCCGCACCAACTTGACGCCGCTCATGTATCCTCCGCCGGCGAATCGTTGGTATACAGTAGAGGTCACCCATGACAAGATGCCATCAGAGGATAGCCACGCTGTATTCTCATCTTGGTACGTGGCAACGCTGTTCATGTAAGAACCAAAGAGCCGGTAGGACGGTAATTGTGGAGAGGTTACTGCACTGGCGGACTTTGCGGGTGTCGTAGATGCATCAGCAGACATAGCATCTTTCGAGGTGGGGTTAGTAGAGGAGGAATCAGAGCGGTCTCTCTGGTCGTCTCTCTCGGTAGATGTTTGAGCCGTGGATATTAGCCATGGCTTTGTCTTGAGGTAACCGTCTTCGAGCTGAGAAGCGAGATTCTCTTCACAGGGGCGAAGGTTAGAGCCTTCCTGGTAGAACCATGTGCCCCGTCGCACATCGTAAACAGGTCCCAGCCAATACACCGGAGCAAGTTCGCGCTGCAGGATAGCCACGTCGAAGAGGAAGTCTTCATTGACGGGGACATGGGTGGAAGTAGATGGTAAGATGTCACTTGACCCCGTCGCTGCGCGCCTCCTGAAGGATGAGGAATCACGAGAGCTATCTTCACGCTCCTCAAGGAGTTTTTGGTAGGCCTCTTCAATAGCCCTCGAATCTGAAGGCACGAATGCGGCATATTTCTTGGGTAGCACTGGCGGTTTTTCCTTTGCAGTAGGTTTGTTGCGACGCCCTGTTAGGAAAGCCGGCTTGCGCTTAGGGACCTGGATGATGCGGTTGGTGAGTACTGCTGCCGTATGGTCCGGCTCAGCCGAGTGTTGAAGAAGCGGGAACTAAACTTACATCGACGGCATGAAACCAAAGAACCTTCAAGGGAGGACAGTCAGGCGGGTAGTTCCTGCGACTAATACCATAAAGCGAGTTGGTACTATGGTCCGTTGGTCCAGGGGACGGTGCTGGCCCCGGAGGTGGCGTCGGGGGAGGCTCGGGAGTGGCCGAACCGGATGCACGATTTGCAGCCCAGGGATTAAGAGAATCTACAGCAGAGTAAAGGTAAGACTTTTCTGCCTTTTTGTCTGGAGGCTGGGCCATGATGCGAAATCTCCTGATATGCGTAGGCCATGAACACAGAGAACCTGGATGGGTCAACTGGGACACAAGTGCTTTCGTCTGCGGCACACGCAGAGACTGCGGTGACAGACAAGAACACAGAAGACGAGCCAACTTGAGGACAGGACACGTCGTATGCCAGCCGGGGCGAGATATCGAGGGTGGTAATAGAAGGAGCTTCGATGCTCTCACGACGTATGACTAGGCAGAGAGATCTTGCATCGTCTGGTCCATGGGAATCGGAAACCCGATTTGTCGGGCAGCTGTCTGTTGCAGGAACGCTAATATCAGAAAATTGATTCAAGGACTAGGAAGGCGAAAATCGAGAGTCTGGGAAATGCAGAATCTCGACCATGGCAAGCTCACCATCCCTGCAGTGGAGGGGATCCTATTCGGAGAATGTACGTCTCATTGATGTCCGAACACGCATCAATATCAATTGTCATATGCGACACGAACAGCTGGCCGCCGTTGGCAGAGGCGCCAACACCAGTGACCTCATTCCATGACGGCACGTTGCAGGTGGGGTGAAGTTGCTAATCAAGATACAGCCAGCGGACCCCACCATTGCCTGGTCGCCGCACTTGCGGCTTGATCCAATACGGTTGACTCATTTTACCCCACCTTCCCGCCTTGAGACTTGGTGCCTCCAATTCTTCTTTCATGCAAGACTGTGGACATTGAAGTGACAAAAAAAAAAAAAAATACTGTTCCAATAACTACCATCTCATGATACCTCCCCGACGCGATCCCGATTTCTATGGTCACGACACAACTTTAATCCCAAAGAAGATGTTGGAGACCCGGTAGCCATCTTATCGTGGGCCTAATATCTGTCTGCAGGCCATAATTCCGCCATTCAGCCACCCATATCTTTCTTTCGCTTGCGTTTTCTTCCCCGCGATCCACCGATCCATCTTGATACCCATTCCCAGCGACCATGGCAGCCCCCATTGCAGGCGACCCTGTGAAGGCGCAACTCGTCGACAAGCTCCCAAAGCGATTCAAGGAGATAAAGTTTGGCATCCAGTACGTTCCGACCCTTATTTATTCCCAGGCGCAGCGCGTCCGCGGCCTGTACACCTGCGCTGCTTGACATTTGGCGTTTACCCTCCTCTATCACCAGTGCTAACATCACCGTTCACCTATACTCTAGATCCAACCAAGACATTACAAACCAGGCTGTCCTTGAAGTCTCCGATCGGCTACTGTACGACATAGAGAACAACCGTGCCCCATACCGCCATGGCCCTCTCGACCCGCGCCTCGGGACGTCCAGTAAGTCCGGGACTTGTTCAACCTGCCAGGAAGCCCTACAGAATTGTACTGGACATTTCGGCCAAGTCCGGTTGCCTCTCCCCGCCTTCCATGTTGGTTATCTACGCTTCATCATCACGATTCTTCAAAACATATGCAAGGTTTGCTTCCCATTCTTGCCGTCTCCGATCCCGTCACATGGCCTTTTACTGATATATGATCTTTGTTTCTTAGGACTGCGCCCGAGTTCTCCTACTAGAGCCTGACCGACAGTCGTTTTTGAAAGAATTGCGACGAACCGATAGAGACAACACCCAACGCGTGAAAACATGCAAAAAGATCAACGAGATGTGCCGGAAGGTGAAGACTTGTCCTTACTGTGGCTCTGTCAACGGTACTATTCGGAAGGTTGGCGTGCTCAAGCTCGCCCATGACAAGTTCTCCTTCTTCAACAAGTCGACGGCCTTGAAGAAGATTCCCCCTGAGAGTAAGGTCGAATTCGACAAGTCGTTTGCCGAGGCCAAAACCCACAACCCGGAGCTTGAGAAGCACCTTCGCAAGGCTATGGAAGATCTCAGCCCCCTTAGGGTGCTCAATCTCTTCAAGATGATCAGCCCTACCGATTGTGAGCTCTTGGGGTTGAAGCCTGGCGAGGGCCGCCCCGAGATGTTCTTATGGCAGTACCTCCCTGCACCTCCCATCTGTATTCGGCCTTCAGTTGCCCAAGACAACGCAAGTAACGAGGACGATATTACGACAAAACTGGCCGATATCGTTTGGGTAAGCGGCATGATCCGGTCGGCTTTGCAACGGGGCTCCCCCGTCCAGACAATCATGGAACAGTGGGAATATTTGCAACTGCAAATTGCGATGTACGTCAACAGCGAAGTGCCCGGCCTGCAGCAGCCAGGCTTCGGCAAGAGCGTACGCGGATTTTGTCAACGCCTAAAGGGAAAACAAGGTCGCTTCCGAGGAAACCTGTCGGGAAAACGAGTTGACTTCTCCGGCCGAACCGTCATCTCCCCGGACCCTAACCTTGGAATCGACCAGGTTGCCGTTCCGATTCTAGTGGCCAAGAACTTGACTTATCCAGAGAGGGTTCAGCGACATAATATTGAAAAGCTGAGGAGCTGCGTCAGGAACGGCACCCAGGTTTGGCCCGGCGCCCAAGGCGTGCTCAAGAACGAGGCGGACGGTAGCTATAAGGTCAACTTGCAGTGGGCGGATCGTGAGAGAACCGCCAAGGACCTTCGCATAGGCGACGTTGTGGAGCGACACTTGGAAGACGGAGATGTGGTTTTGTTCAACCGGCAGCCATCATTGCACAAGTTGAGTATAATGAGTCACTTGGTCAAGGTGCGGCCCTGGAGGACATTCCGCCTCAACGAGTGTGTCTGCACTCCCTACAATGCCGATTTTGATGGCGACGAGATGAACCTACACGTTCCCCAGACGGAAGAGGCGCGAGCCGAAGCGATTAACCTGATGGGTGTCAAGCATAACCTTGCAACCCCCAAGAACGGCGAGCCCATCATTGCGGCTACCCAGGATTTCATCACCGCGGCATATCTCATTAGCAGCAAGGATCGCTTCTTTGACCGCAAGACATTCACTTATGTATGCATGCACATGCTCGATGGCCAAACCCACCTAGAACTGCCGCCTCCAGCCATCATCAAACCCCAAATGATGTGGACGGGAAAGCAGGTGTTCAATGTGCTCATGAGGCCCAACAAGTCATCTCCGGTCCTGGTAAACCTCGACGCAAAGTGTAAAGACTATTCGTCGCAAGCCGGTCAGTGTCCTGACATGGATCCAAACGATGGATGGCTCGTGATCAGAAATTCTGAAGTCATGTGCGGCTTGATGGACAAATCTACTGTCGGTGGCGGCAAGAAAGACTCGATCTTTTATGTCATTCTGCGAGATTACGGCCCCGATGCCGCGGTCGGAGCTATGAATCGGCTGGCGAGGCTCTGCGCTAGGCATCTTACCAACCGCGGCTTCACCATCGGGATCGGAGATGTTTTCCCTACGAAGGAGTTGAACGAAAAGAAAAGTGAACTAGTCCAGGCGGCATACCGCGAGTGCGATGAATTGATTGAAACATTCAAGAATGGGAAACTGCAGAAGGCTACTGGGTGCACGATGGAGCAGACGTTGGAGAACGCTATTTCCGGAATTCTCAACCGTGTCCGTCAGCAAGCTGGTAAAGCCTGTATAAATACACTTAGCCGAAACAACTCCCCGCTCATCATGGCTAAGTCTGGATCCAAGGGATCCGAGATCAACGTCGCACAGATGGTGGCACTCGTCGGACAGCAGATTATCGGCGGCGAGCGTGTCTCTGATGGCTTCCAGGATCGCACTCTTCCTCACTTCCCCAAGAATGCTAGGCAGCCGCCCTCGAAGGGCTTCGTCAGAAACAGCTTCTATTCGGGTCTCGTGCCCACCGAGTTCATCTTCCACGCCATGTCCGGAAGAGAAGGTTTGGTCGATACTGCCGTCAAGACGGCCGAAACCGGTTACATGTCACGACGTCTTATGAAGTCACTGGAGGATCTTTCTATGGAATACGACGATACCGTTAGAACGTCGGGCGGTAATATCGTCCAGTTCCAGTTCGGCGCCGACAAACTCGATCCTGTCGACATGGAGGGCAGCGCCGTGCCAGTGCACTTTGACCGGACATGGACCCACGCAGAAAACCTCACTTGGGACAACTCGGAGGCACCTATGCTTCCCCATGAGATTACGCAATTCTGTGACTCTATGCTTGACCAAGAGCGCAAGCGATACCCCCGCATTGGTTTACTGAATGAGAAGCTCTCGTACGATGATTCAACTGATATGGGCATCGACGAGCATGAAGGTGCCAGGTTTTTCTTGCGCACTGTGGAAAACTATGTGAACAAACGCGTGGAAAAACTGAGGAAGGTGAGGAGGGCAGCTGGCCTCGATGAGTTCCAAAGATCCTCAGACAAACTGCGGGAGGGGCAGGTCGAGCAGGTAGCAAAAGTTACTCCGACAACCCTGCGGAAATTCATCAAGCTTTGCTTGGAAAAGAACAAGAAAGCCCTTGTGGAACCCGGCCACGCTGTCGGTGCGGTGGGCGCCCATTCGATTGGTGAGCCCGGAACCCAGATGACTCTTAAGACGTTCCATTTTGCTGGTGTCGCCGGCATGAGTATCACGCAGGGTGTCCCCCGTATCAAGGAGATTATCAACGCGTCAAAGACGATTAGTACTCCGGTCATTACGTGTCCCCTTGAGAATAACAAGCAAATCGAGGCCGCGCGTGTGGTTAAGGGAAGGATCGAAAAAACGTACATCTCCGACATTCTCGAAGCGATTGAAGACGAATACCGGGCGGACTACGGCAGTGTCATCTTACACCTGGATCTGCAGGCGCTCGAAGCTGCGCACCTGGGCATGTCTACAGCAGATATTGCCCGGGCCATTTGCAGCAACAGAAAGCTCAAGGTTACAGCGGATGACATATCGGTACTTGGCCCTGCGTCTATCCAGATCCGGCTTCGAACCGACGTAGACGTGCCGAAACGAACCACCGCGCGAACGCGGGCCTCTGCCAATGATGAAGTCGGCGACATGGTGCTCCGGGCGGGCTTCTTGCGACGCGCACTTCCGGCAGTCGCTATTTCCGGCTACCCTGACGCTTCTCGTGCCATTATTCAGACAGATGCGGACGGCATTCACGAGGTTTTCGTCGAAGGTTACGGCTTCAAGGCGTGTATGACGACCGAAGGTGTGCTCGGCACCAAGGCTAGGACCAACAACGTCATGGAGAACAAGGATGTCCTCGGCATCGAGGCAGCCCGAGCATCAATTGCGGTGGAAATCGGCTCCGTCATGAAAGAAATGAACATCGATCCCCGACACATGGAGTTGCTCGCCGACGTCATGACGTACAAGGGAGAGGTGTACGGTATCACGCGTTTCGGTCTGTCCAAGACGCGCGATAGCGTGCTGCAGCTCGCGTCGTTCGAGAAGACGCCCGATCATTTGTTCGAAGCGGCCGCGGGCATGAAGGCGGACCAGATCGAGGGTGTCAGCGAGTGCATTATTATGGGGCAAACGATGTCCATCGGCACCGGGGCTTTCCAGGTGGTTCGAAGGCTTGCGCTCAAGGATAGCGATACGGAGATGCGGCCTACGTTGTTCGAGGACGCATGGGCCAAGGAGACCGCTGAGAAGCGGCGGCTGCGGAAACAAGAGCTTTTCGTGTAGTGTAAGAGTCTTGTTGGGAGGTTCTCGCTTCGGCGCCAGAAGCAATTACAAACAGGCGGCCGACATTTGTACTAGTAATGAGGCAGGAAAATCGGAGGCATAAGTTTACAATACATAGCGATAAAATGTCAATTCGAAGTTTGCAGCTCTTCCACTCATTCTGTAGAGACGCATTTAGAGCGAGCATGCGTGAGCCTCTCAACGGGCCAGCATGACCGGTCTGGGCATGTCAGTCTGTGATCCATTGTGCTCTCAGGCAGGCGCCGCTGCGGCCTGCCCAGCACAGTGAATTGATCACTGTCACATTATCATAGGCGATGTCGACATAATTCGTACTTCGTACGTTGAACCTTCCTTTGGAGAACTTGGAGCTACGTCAGATGAACGTCTGTTGCAATTGTATATGTACTTAGTTCGTCGCCGCTGTTTCAACCTCGAATTGTCGGAGGCGATTACTTATCAATCCACCCCGGTTGCCGTTTTCAGCTCAGCTGCCTTGACTTGGCACTCACGACGATTCAACCTCTGTGAATTCATCATTCCAAGAATGTCCCTAAAGTTCACAACAGTCATTGAAAGGCACCTCATACATTAAAAGCAGTATAGGATATCATCAAAGTATCATTTAAACCCGTTTATCAACCACCAAAATGTGTGGAAGATACGCACTTGCTATGGTATGACCCACCTCAACTACCCGTGATGCACACTCGTTAACACTGTCTGTCCCCGCCAACAGCGGCCCTCGCAGTACCGCAGGTATCTCGAGGATAGGGACATGCCCGTTTGGGATGCTCCCGGAGATGATGCCGGTGACTCTCCTCGCCAGTCATACAACTTCGCGCCCGGCAGCTATGGCATGGTGTACCGGGCTGATGTTCCTGACCGCGGAGCCCGGCCTGGTGGGTCATCTGACGGAGCCGAGCCCTCGGAAGTGTCGAAAGACGCGGAGCCCTCCGAAAGCCTAGAGGCCGCGGTAGCCCCTTCTGAGACTGAGCAGGAGAGTGAAGACCATGATTGGGTTGATGTCGGCACGGAAACCGAACATGGTACTCCCAAGAAAACGAAGAAAACTCCTTCCACCAAGGATATTTCCTCACCAACGAAGCCTACCCACGACAGCTCAAGGTACAAGCTTCAGGCAATGCGCTGGGGCCTCATTCCTTTCTGGACGAAGCGTAACCCTGGCTACGCCTCTGTCATGAAGACCATTAATTGCCGCTCCGACTCTCTCAGTCGGTCTGGAGGGATGTGGACTACGATGAAGATGCGGAAGCGGTGCGTTGTTGTGGCTGATGGCTTTTATGAGTGGCTCAAGGTGGGACCGAAGGAGAAGATACCGCATTACATCAAGCGGAAAGACGGCGGGCCGATGTTATTTGCAGGTCTTTGGGACTGCGTCACCTATGAAGGTAGGTGTGACTCTTTACTTTCTTCTACTTTCAGGTTTACGAAAGGCGAGAGAGTGGGACTAACATGCGTCTAGACTCGGGAGAAAAAATATACACTTATACAATCATCACCGTTGACGCCAACCCAGCAGTCCGATTCATCCACGACCGGATGCCCGCCATCCTTGAGCCCGGCTCCCCAGAACTCAAGGCTTGGCTCGACCCATCACGATGCACGTGGACGCGAGAGCTGCAAGACGCACTCCGACCCACTACCACCGAACTCGAAGTCTACCCCGTTCCCAAGGAGGTCGGCAAGGTTGGCAACGATTCACCGAGTTTCGTGATTCCCGTGTCCAGCAAGGAGAATAAAGGCAATATTGCCAATTTTTTCGCCAAGGCCGGGACGAAGAAAGAGGAAGGAGCCCAGGTGAAGAAGGAAGCCTCCAGCACATCCCAAAGTCACGACGTGAAGAAAGATGTGCACGCTGTGGCCCACAAGAGGGAGGCTTCCCCGGCGTCGCCCGCTGTGGCGCCTCCAGCCAAGGTTTCCGTCAAGGAATCGCCGCGGAAGGCCAAGATCAGTGCGACGAGTAACCGCAAGGGAAGTCCGACGAAGAAGAGTGAGAGTCAAGCGGGACCCGGGAAGATTACGAAGTTTTTCACCAAGACTTCTTGAGTTAGGGATTTGTTATCTTGCTTTCCAATTTTGTCTAGCGAATAGGAATGATGGGGAGTTTATGGAGGGATATTGTGCTTTTCTCTTTTTGCCGTTTATTTTTCGCTTCACGTTTGTTGGAGCAGAATCTAGATTGTTTCACGAAAACAAAGAATGGATATCTGACAAGCTTCCAAATATTTAGAAATTATGTACAATGAGCAGGTAATGGTTTTCTGCGAGGTGCTATATATACAGAGAAACCAATCCGGTACAAACGAGGCGGAAAATTGGCTTGTCCTTGGATCCGAGCAGATGGTCAAACGGAGAGAGTCATGACAATACTCAAAGGGAAAGAGAAAATGAAAAGAAAAACAAAAGGGGATGATTTTACCCAGCACCAATCACTCGCTGCACTCATCATCACCCTCTTCCTCGGCCGGAGGTTCCTCTTCGTCGGCCGGAGATTCCTCCTCCTCGACAGGATCCTCCTCCTCCTCGCTAGGAGTCTCCTCCTCCTCGCCACCAGCGGGGAGGGCGAGGATCTTCTCGGCGGCGCGCTCGGCGGCGATGACGATCATGGCGGAGGGGTTGCCGGTAACCATACCGGGGAAGATGGAGGCGTCGACGACGAAGAGGTTGTCGATGCCGTAGACCTTGGTGTTGGTGTCGACGACGGCGGTACCGTCTTCCTTGCGGCCATCGTCCGTGCCCATCTTGGCGGTACCCATCCAATGATTGGATCGGCGGCTGACGGTGACGGGCATCTGCAAAAAAAAAGGTGAAAAAGTCAGCAAAGAGGTCGAGGTTTTTGCTCGTAGAAAACGGGTCATGGGCAAAACTGTTAGGAAAAGTGAGAGGGGAATAGAAAAAAAACTTACATCCTCGACATATTGATCAGACGTGATGTTGTCAGCCGGCGAGAGGAAGTTGAGGCCCTCTACATCCTGGAGAGAGTTTCGAATGTTGTCGAGAGCCTTGACGATGGCCTCGCGATCACCTTCGTCGCCCCTAAGGTAAGGAAGCGTCATGACACGAGAGGTCAAGGCAGGGGTGAGACCCATGCGGCCACGAGAGACGACACCACGGCCGAGGTACATGCTCATGGTGATGGTGTCTGGGGAAAATCGCCATGTTAGCCTCGAACTGTTTTAGTCTCAATTCCTGGGGGATAGGACGAATAATGAAACTTACGGTTGCCAAAGTAGTCCAAGGAACCCTCCATACGGCAAGTCCACTGGAGCTGACGAGTAGTGCCGTCGCTAACCTCAATCTCGTCCCAGATCATAGGGCCGATGTTGGGAGCGGCAGCAGCGAGGATACCGGAGCGGTCACGGAGGTACAGCTGAACGTCACTCTCATCGGGGGTCGCCCAAGCGGCAGTATAGTTGTATTGATAGACATTAGGGTGCTCAACGACGACGTCGGTGTTGAGATGGTCGATGAGGTTCTCACCCACGGGGAGCTCGAGCCAGTCGGCCTCAGCAATCATAGTCTCATTGTCGAGGGCGGACTTCTGGACGACCTGAAGCTGGTCACGAGGGCCAATACCGCTCCTCATGAGGACCTTGGCGGTACCGAAAGTACCAGCCGAGAGAACAACGCGGCCAGAGTCGGCAACCTTGATAATACCAGAGTGGCCGGTAGCACCGTTGCACTCGAGCTCGATGCCGGTGACGCGGCTTCCGTCACGGACGAGACGCCTGACGGAGGTGTCGGTCCAAAGCTGGAAGTTGTCGCGGCGGCTGGCAGTGACGAGGTAGGTGGCGAGGGGACCTCCGCGCTCGCCGTTGGAGAACATGAAGGTGGTGTGGCCGAAGGTGTGGTTCTTCTTGTCATTCTGGGCGTTGGGGTTCTCCAGGCGGGTCCAGCCGGCGGCGGCGAGACCGTCGGCGAGGACGTTGAAGCCCTCGTCTTGGTAGAGGATGCCGTCCATGGACGGGTGGGTGGTGCCGGGGATACGAGTGAACACGCGGTTGGTTGCGGCCTCGACGTCCTTGGCGTGCCAGCCCTCTGGGAAGTTGTCATCCCAGTCAAGAGGATGAGGCTATTTGGAGGATTTGGTTAGTTAAACTACAAAGCACGAAACCGGCAAGATGGCCATCCAAGATTGGGGGGGAAAAGATATGCTTACCCTCCACCAGAGACCGGCGTTGATGGCCGTACCTCCACCCAAGATACATCCAGCGAACTGATCCATATCGCTGCACACAATACCAGTAGAATCGTGCCAGATCTGGTTGCAGAGACCGGGGACGTCAAAACGGGTGAGATCCTCACCCTCAAGCCAGTCGGGCTTCAGGCTGCCACCCCACCTAGCGGTAGAGACAGGACCCTTCTCGAGAAGAAGGACCTTGTGGCCGGCCTCGCTCAGGCGGTCAGCAACGGGGATACCACCAGCACCGGCGCCAATGACGACATAATCCCAAGTATCGTCCTCACCAACAGGGACGCACTCCGTGGCCGAGGGATCATTGGGGGGGTTTTCAGACTCCTCAGGCTCTCCTTCTTCAGGTTCGCCCTCTGCGGGCTCCTCGGGGGCAGCAGTCTCTGCAGGAGGCTCAGGCGTCTCCTCCTCCTCCTCCTCTGCCGGGGGCTCGGGAGCAGCAGACTCGGTGGGGGTGGGCGTCTCGGGGTCCTCCGAGCCGGCTACAGGCCGATCGACGTCGGCAGGGGGTTGGGCGGGACGACGATTCCTCCTGGCCCAATCAGACCAGTCGAAGTCATCCTCGTCGTCATCGTCGTCATCACCGCCGAAGCCCCAATCCCAGTCTGGCTCGTCATCGTCGCGATCATCCCACTGAGGTGGGCGTGGCCAGAAAGGGCGCCGCTGCGGCTCGGGAGCGGGAGCGCGCTTCTGAGTCGCCTTAGTGGCGGAGGCGACGCCAGCACGCTCATCGGCGAGAGCGCCAGAAGCTGGGAAAGAGTTGTTAGCGATCCTCATTTCCACGGTTCAGACGACGTAAGTGGCTCCTTAGGAGAAACTGAACTCACAGAAAGAAGCCGCCGCAACGGCAGCGGCAGCGATGGCTCGCGAAAGTTGCATGATGCCCTCCTGAAGTGACTCACTCTTGCGGACTCTTGAAGGTTCGTAAAAAACGCTTGTTGAGGTGTCCGTCCGGGTAAGCAAGCTAGAGGACCTAGAAGGGACAGGCTCTTTCAAGACGGAGGGAGAAGGAGGGAGGGCATGACGGATTTAATAAGTCTCACGGGAGGACCACCCATGTCCCACGATGGGAATAGAGACCCGTTGGCGGCTTTGATAAGCCGAACAAGAGGGAAAGGGAGTAGGCCATAGGGAAAAGTCCAATTCGAGTCTACTCGTAAAGTGTCGGAGCACTTTTTTCGTTTACCTCCTTTTGGCGTTAATGGCTAATTGGGAACAAAAAGGCTAGCGGGGTTCCCGTAAAAAGCAGAATGCTTGTAAGTGAGGAGCGGAGGGCGGAGGCAAGGTGAGTATGGGAGGATGCGAGGGTCCTCCTCCCTCCCTTTGGGGCTCGGGAAGGGAGCCGACGTCAAATGGGATCAATTGGATGAGTCTACATTCATGTCAACCAACAAGGAGGGCAATATGGGATGCGGAGAAGGTGTTAAGAGAGCTTGTATGCAGGTACATGACCGATAGGTTGGGCCGAGGCCGCCAGGCTGGAAGAGATTGGGTTGTGGGGGAGGATAGACGAGCTCGATATTGGAGTCGTTCTACCCCGTACCTGGTACATTGCAGGTCAATTAAGATCGATGGAAGGAAAGTCGGCAATGAGACCGATGAGCAGAGTGCTAAAGCAAGGAGGAATCGGCATGAGTGGAAAGAGAGAAAGCAAGACCTGGTCTCCAGCACCACCAGCCGACAACATCGGCGGAGCGACACCGAACGTCGAGACGTGCGAGGCATCGGGACAGACTGTTGGGGGCGAAGGTCCAACAATGGTATGAATTGGAGGATTTGGAACCCCCGGGGGATGAGGGAGGACTTGGAGGGAGGGACGAGGGAGGAGATGATAGAGCCAGCCAGGTAGGCCGCATACATGAAGTAAGTCTGATCAGTCGAACTTTGGGATTGACCCTTCAATATGTGATCAGAACACTCATACCAAGAGCCACCTATAACCTCCATTCCGAGAGGATCGGGACGAGGGACATGAAGAATTTGCAGGAAGGTAATCACACAATGATCAATGGGAAACGAATAGTAGAAGCCAAGCCATTTGATTCTTCAAATCAATTCAGCTTGGGGGGTGGGAGCTGGGATTGAGTTTAGAGCCTAAAATTCTCGAGGGTTGCCAGGCCCAGAAACGGAAGATCGTTGATCAAGATCAATTCAATTGATCAACCGCACATCGCGGGCGGCATCGAGGACGGCGTCCAGGAACTTCATCTGCGGATTGACGATGCCCCATCATGTACTTCGTACCTTTGTAATTAATGATTATCTCAAGTTGGGGAAGAGATGGGCCGCTAAAGCGTGCTAATAACCACTGAAACCATAGGCAATTCTGGGTAAGGTGCAGGCGGACGAAGAGTGCTACCAGTGCATTGCAGCTCTGCAGCAGCCGAGATTATTAGGGCTAGTTCGAGCGCCCAAGACCTGTGCTGTGCTGCCTCGTGAGATTCAATGTGGGGGAAATTAGTTTAGAACACAATGTAATAAAGTTTAATAGCGAATCGGGTAATTGAAGCATCAAGTCAGTGTGGCCGCCACTTCGCACTGTATTTTCTCAAGAGTAGCCCACCTGATAGTGCTAACAGTAGCCCGGAGCAGCACGCCAAATGCAATCCGCGGCAATATCGGCGTCTCACAGCACAGTCTTTTCTCATCTGCACTGTATGAAGTACATTTTCTTGCACCAACCAATCAATTGATGCACCAAACGGCTAAAAAGGTACCTGTACGAAGTTCTTCGTACAGCGACCCTGACTCTGACTTTGTGCTTGTGCAACTCCACGGGGACTCCTTCCCCTTCCAGGACATCTCCAAACTCTGCAGCAACCCATCCTCGTCAAGCTTCCAGATTCCATCATCTCTGTTCTCTCGACCAATATGGACCGAATCCGACCTTCCATCACCAATTCTCTAAAACTTAGGTCACCGTCCACGTCGAGGATTGCCCTTCCCGGTTATCCGTCGTAAACGCCACTCACTCATCTTCCGATGCCTGCCATAACCTGCCGCACTATGGCTAAATTCTCACATCTGCTGGATAGATGGACCTCCGTCACAGGTAGAAATCCCACCGCTTCTGCCACCCTCGGTATTACGTCCCTCTACCTTCCTTGATCTCGCGCCGACTTGATATTAGCCCCTTTCCTGCTGGGAATGCAAGTATATTGCAAAGATGTTCCGCATCGTCTGTTCTCCCAGCACTTCGCTCCATCCCGCCCTCCCCACAGAAAAATTTCATGTCAGCAGGACGTTAAACCGGGAGGCGGGTGGGGTTAGCAGATGCGAATGCCTCGCCTGGTGTCTTCTTCTTTTTTTTTTTTTTTTTTTTTTTTTTTTTTTTTCTGTCTGACCCGTCGGCCTTCTCTCTTGGCTTCCCATCGGGCTGGCTTCCCGTCCACGAACGCGGGGTCCCCCGACATGCCTGCAACTGCCAGGTCAGGATGTCAGGGTTCTTTCCCCGACGGCTTTGAGATCCGCCAACTCCTCTAGTGTAAGTTATAGGGTGATTTTTGTCTGTGTAAGAGATTACACATTACACAGCGTATGTAGACCGGTTTACCCCATACTGCAAGCACTCTACGCGAGTGAAAGGGCTACTGCTTTGCTTTATTGCGAGTGTGAAGGAGGAAGACTCTGCCACTCTCCTTCACGCGCACCCGTGACACAGCAACAGACTTGTTAGTCCTCGGCACTATCATTCTACAATCTCCTCTAATTGGGGCTAGTGGAACCCTACACCGCCTAACAGCTATCTGAGTTTTCCCCGGAGCGCGATGAGGTCCTACGCAGCCGCCTCAGGACGAACGAGCTGGACCGTTCTCAAGCGGTCTTCCCGCAAGCCAATCCGGACGTGGCCAAGAGATCCGGCTATCTCGCCCGATATATCTCGACCACGGACTCCCGATGAAACCTCTCTGATCTGCGTCATCGTCAGCTTTCCACCTCATCATGCTGATGGGCCGTCCGTGACTAGTGAACCAGGCCCCATTCATCGCATTGGCTGTTATGATGTGCACAATGATCGACGACATGCCGTTTTCTTATGCTCGTTCAATGATCTAACCTTGGAAGTTCACCACTTACCTTTCCTGTCTTTCCACATTGTGCTAGCTACGTCCTCATTAGCTACAGGTCACGAGTTAAAACGGGAGGCTGCTCATTCCTTAAAACAGTAGCGGACGACTTTCTTCCGTCCTCTTGCCTCACGTCTTACAAGGCTTCGTTGCCCAACACTATCCTAATGACACATGAATCACCTGGCGATATCATCAAAATGGCTATGCCCCAAGTGTTTTATGCACGGTGTTTCTGCTTCGTAGAATTAGGGATAATAGATTCTAGTTGACCTCCTTCGATCATCTTCGTTCCTCGACTCTGTTGATCCTCTCTTCCGCGATGGCGTGTTTATAACAATCCACATCCACCATCGTTGCGAAACGGCAAGGGGAGAAGCCATTTCTACCAGCATTGAAGATGAAATTCCTGGGCCTTCTAAGTCTGTTATCCACGAGCCTCCTCCCCGGAGCGCTTGCCCATACCATTTTCGTGCAGCTCGAGGTTGACGGAACCACCTATGGTAATTACCACCAGATATTGGAGGTGGGCGGTAGCCGCCTTACCCAGGACGATTTGACTGACGCAGGTTGTTTGTTTAGGTGTCGGCCAAGGTGTGAGAGTACCGACGTATGATGGAGTAAGTATTTGTGATAAGAAAAGAAAAAAAGAATATTCACTCCTTTCTAACGACGGCTAGCCGCAAACCAATGTTCAGGGAGACGCCATGGCTTGCAATGGTCCGCCTAATCCCACAGGTTCAACGGACAAGATCATCTCTGTAAAGGCAGGTACAAATGTGACTGCCATATGGCGCCACACGCTCGACTGTAAGTTATCAAGGAAGCACTGGAGATGCTCCGAGAACCACACAGCTAACCTTTAGCTGGGACGCAGCGGGACCAAATGATGTCATGGACCCCAGCCATAAGGGGCCTGTTCTGGCCTACCTTAAGAAGGTGACTGATGCAAAGTCCGACAAGGGAGTTGGTCCGGGATGGTATTGATAACCCACTGCATCTCGCTTCTTTTTGATCTCTGCGAATATGCTGACGGGACTTCATCCTTCCAGGTTTAACATTCAGCGGGAAGGGCTTCAAGGAAACGCGTGGGCTACCGACAAGGTCATCAAAAACCAGGGGAAACAAGTCATTCACATCCCTGAGTGTATCGAGGATGGGCAGTACCTCCTCCGCGCGGAGATGATTGCGCTCCATGGCGCTAGGAGTCCTGGGGGCGCTCAGTTTTATGTAAGTCATTGGCCCGACATATGGTAGCACAATCCAAGTCCAGAACATAAAACGACTAACGGAGGTTTTTCGACTCTCGTAGATGGAGTGTGCTCAGATCGAGGTGACGGGCGGGACAGGGACTGCGAAGCCTGATCTTGTTAGCATTCCCGGTGTCTATCCTGTAAGTGTCGAGGCCCGATTAATGCCATTGAGCTACTAGTAAATACTAACTACGAGGCTCCTCCTTGGCAGGCAAACGATCCAGGTATTGTTGTGGACATCTATAGCGGTCTTCGAGGAGGATACAAAACTCCAGGTTAGATGAATCCCACCCTGACCAGTACAGCTGCAGGGTGAATATACTCAGCTAACAACACGGGAAACAGGTTCTACTCCCCTCGCTTGCTAGTTGATTCACTTGCAAATGCCGCTTGAGAAACTTAAGTTAGTCTTTATTCTTGATTTTTTAAGATCAGATATGTTTCGTCTTCTCTTTCCAATTCTTGATATCGGAACATGTCATTTCAGCACGAGAGGAACAGACTGCAGTGAGTGGGCAGTATGCCAATCTTGAAATCCTGTATGCTAGGGGCAGGAAGGATCCTCACGGCTCCAGGATAAGAAAGACAGACTATTCTGTCTACTATATCGTCTCGGGTCTCCGGAGTTCGCACGCCTTGGACAAGACTCTGAAGGAAATGGGTTTACAAAAGAGTAACCTCCGCAATCTAATATGGATGGGGAAATAAAACCGCATTTATAATGATTCACTGAGATAGAGTTGTAGAGCATGAAGCGAGCTCTGTGGAACTCGACAGACAAAACCAGGCTTCCATCCTCGAATCGGGAGATAGACGGACGGCCGGCCTCCATAGGGTAGTGTCTCACAAATCGGCTCCGGGCCGCCTTGTGCCATCGCCGAAGCTTGAACTAATACCGCCCTCTTATTCGCCCGAATGCCCGTGGGTAACTGAAGTGGTTCCAGTTCGTCTTCTCGCTTGAATCCGCGATCACCACGTAAAGCACTCCTCCCGAGGACCGAGAGCCGGAGACGACTGGGCTTTCAACTTGGACGCCATGACCCAACAACGGGCGCATGATGAGGTGTGATGGACCTTGTTCGTGGCATCGCATCGTGGGAGGCGAGCGGTGATGGTGGTTGAAGCGGCAAAAGCGGCAGAAGATGAGCGGCTTATAATATAGCCAGAGGGGGTATAATATAGCCAGCCAACCTACTCAGGTTTCATGGCATGAATAGATGGAATCTGGTTTTTCCCATGTCCGCTGTGACTTGCCATTACTCGATCTTCCAGGTCCGGCTTGAATCCTCTTCCGATCCATGTCCTTGCTGATTGTTGGTGGCGGCCTACAAGAGATCATCAACCCCAGGCTGGCTCTTCTTCTTCGATTGATTTCCGTGATTGATTTATCTAGATGCGGTTATCCCCAATCACGATTGCATTTACTGCATACTTGTACTCACGAGCAAATTTCCGGCCATCCATGCTTCGTCTGCGTGACCTTGTCCCAAGCAAACTCCCGTCCCAGGCTTCCGGTTTATATTGCCCTCTCCCTCGACCGGTTTAATTGTTTTGTTGCATCTCTCACTTCGTTTCTCCAGTAGGGTTCTTCCGTGGTATTAACCCCATAAAAATCATTTATCGCGAACCCACAAGGTCAATCTATTCAGTCCTGCCAACTGGCGGGCTGCATCAATTGCGCTCACGGCTTGGCTGAGCAAAAGGTCCAATGTGCGATCCGGTTGTTCCTTTCTATTTTCCCTTCCTCAATCTTCCGTTACTTCTGCGTGCCTACGGAGTCTACCACCACTGTTTTTGGGGATATGGACAGCGTGGTTTCGGGACAAGAAGGGCCACGCTTTTCTCTCAGTAATGGAGCGAGCTGTGTATTCGAACAGGCTAACCGAACGCCATCAACGTCTCGTCCATGTCTAGCAGGCCAAGGATGATAATAAGTGAGATCCCTACACGACACTCGTAGACCACCCACCGCACACGTGAGTACCAAGCTATGCCTTGCATTCCTGTAAGTGGCCACGGGGAGAAGGGAGCCAAACGGGTCTTCCAAGACTATCATGCCGAATCTATATGGACTGCTACCCCAGCTAAGTGAAAGCTAGGTGGAAGAGAGAGATATGACCAGCAGCTCTATATACCTGCTGCACCCGCCAATACCAGGAACAAAGGGCTTCCGGGCCGCTTCTCATCTACGAAGCAGTGTATTGCCCATACTTCTGACCCCACGAGTGTACAGTAAATAAAATGAGGGCAGCAATTCCCGCCGCCAAGCGTGGGTTACTTGCTCATTCCACCTCACCCTGTCTTAGAGGAGGGAATGACAACTTCTATGGTGTTCCTCTGATCATGCCGGTAATTCGTTGCCCGCCTTAGCCCCATCCAGTAGTGGTGTATAAGTGGCACGGCGGCTCTTCTTGGAGATATATAAGGGGGAACGTTAACTCATGGTATAAGACCGCCGTGATTGCCGAACTCGATTTTCATTTAAGCTGTCGAGCTGGTCCATAGATAGCTTCCCCTACGTTCTTCAAGACTTGGCACTCCTTTGTTGACTTCACCTCGACACCGATACGAACATCGTGTGGTGGTCTCCTTGATATCTCCGAACCAAAGACCGTACGGGAGTCCATCTAACTTGATCCAAGATGAAGTCTGTTCTTGGAATCGCGGCTGCTCTGTCTCTCTTCGCGTACGAGGCATCAGCTCATTATATCTTCCAGCAGGTGTCTGTCGGCAGCCAGAAGTATGGCGTTTTCGAGGGAGTCCGTAAGAACACGAATTACAACTCCCCCGTCACAGGTAAGACCGAATGCTTCACTATCTACTATGGGAGAATCGACGAAGCGCCCGAAGGTGGTCCACGGCACTAGATGGAAGCTGAAGGACGAAGGGTACCACAAGAAGAAACCAGGGAATACGGACGCGGAAATGGAAAGGAGAGACTGCGATGCTACTCCGAAGACTTTCGGGATGCGATCCTAAGATTTAGTTTTTCTTTGCTAACACAATATTTTTTTCTCGAAGACCTTGCCTCGAAGGACTTGATCTGCAATCAGGGTGGTATTAGCGGTGCCAGCACCGTCGTCCTCAACGCCAAGGTCGGCGATGAGATTACCTTCACCACCGACACGGTAAGACGGCCCTTTTCCCATACTCTATTTCCTGAATCCTACGTAGCTGACGCCGGAAATGCCTACTAGGCCGTTTATCACCAAGGCCCCATCTCAATCTACCTCTCCAGGGCGCCTGGTTCCGTTCAGGATTATGATGGTTCTGATGGTTGGCGCAAGGTTTACGATTGGGGTACGGATATCAATACCATGAAAGATTCAAACTTGGCTTCGAGATACTAACCAAGTTATCTAGGCCCGACCCTCGGCGGTAATGGCCAGTCTTCGTGGCCCATGTTCAGTATGGCCCAAGTCATCTATCAATATTGTTCTTGAGATGTAAATGTAACTTACACGTAACGGATAGACACCTACAAGTACACGCTCCCAACCTGCCTCCCGGACGGCGAGTACCTCTTCCGAATCCAGTCTCTCGGAATTCACAACCCATATCCCGCTGGTATTCCTCAGGTATGCAAGCCTGCTCATTCCCTTTCAGTCCTTACTTTGGCGCAGTATCTAACGGTGAGGCGAAACAGTTCTACATTAGCTGCGCGCAGCTCAACATCACCGGGGGCACTGGCACTCTCGACAGCTGGGAGCAACCTGTTCAGATCCCCGGCGTTTTCAAGGCGACCGACCCCGGCTACACTGCCAATGTAGGTGGCACGCTTCTAGATGGCTTCATCGAGTCATGTGTGCCGTTGCTAATCGTCGAACACAAATACAGATCTATGACCCTAACATGAAGACATACACTGTTCCCGGAGGTGAAGTTGTAAGTAAAGACATCCAACAGTTGGCCCAGCACGAACATTGCTGACACGTATGTTTTTAGATGGGATGCTAGATGGCTTGAGAAGATCACAGGAGGAAGAAGGCAGGGAGGAAAGGGGAAGAGAGGGCAAGGCTGCTCCACAAACTAAGCCCGCAGGCCGTCGATGACAGGGGAGGGATTGACGGCGATAGCCTCGATAATGGAGAGGCGTATTATCTTTTCCGACCTGTATATATACAGCCACATCTGATACCTGCCCTGTTGTATGAATGAATTGAAACATCAAGACTCGAGACAACCGGCAAGGAACAAGCCATTCCCATCATCACCCACCTGGCACAGTCGCCTGGAAGGCTACGAGCAACTCGGACGTTCCAAACCAGGCGCAATTGCCATCTAAGAAATAATGTGGCCCTTGGCTACCAACAAGCTAGTGGAAGCCTGACCAATTCAGTACCGAGATGACTAGAATCGACCCCGGCTCCCTCGCCGGCTCTTCCGAGCCTTGCGCAAAACACGCCCCGAATTCCCAAGGGAAGGCTGGCCACCGCTCTGGAATCCTCCACCTAAGTCAAGAAATATTCCTAGCTAGGATGATGCCGCGATACGTCTTCTCTCGTAAAGATGGCTAATCAGGATTCCTAGCTTTAAGACCAACGCGCGCCAGCCCAAGGCGGAGGAAGTAATACTCTTTTCTTCTATAGTTTATTTCCCTTTTTATTTGTTTATTTCTAGATTTTATCTTTCGCGTTTTCCAAGGTATCATCATTGTTTTCGTTTCTTTTAAATCGCGTCTGCTCTACTTACTGGAAACGGTACCCTCCTCGATGTCGATGAGGATGGGGCTGGACGCGGATTGGACATGATTTCTCCCTGCATCTGCTCGTGCATATGTGCAGTCGACTTGCCTTCTCCAAGAGAGGGCGAGATAGCCAACCCCGTGTTGCCAGCACGTCTCTACCCTTGCCCCCTCTTCTGATCATGGTCCTAGGATTGGCGGATTGGCCTGAAAGTAGTGCGGGCTCGGATGTACACTCTGTGATAGGGAATGAGAATGCGCGAATCCTCTCCGCTGGAGGTGGAATATCTCGCCATCATCGTCAGCAGGATCGAGGACGCGACGAGGCCAATCACTCGCCTTGCTTTGCACCGACGCTAGGCAAGTTCTGGGGAATCTACATTGATGTTTCTGCCTGTCACGACATCCGCCCTGCTTATTCAAAGGACGCACCAGGCGGCAGCGTCCTTGCCCACATGCATTGATCGTGGATGCCTCCATCCAATAGATCATGCGCGGCCCCGTCAGACCATTCGGTATTTTCTCGTCAATCGCTGTCAACCCTCCAGATGTACAGCCCTCTGCTAATTATTCTTCTCAGTTTAATCGAGGCGAAGCGGATAGGTTCTCGATCCCTGTGCTTTTAAAGTCTCCACATCAAGCACCTTTCCTACCATCGTTTCACGGTCCCATCACCCTATCGCATTATTTCTTCTCTCCTAGTCCCCGCGTGCCAATCATCTATGCCCGATGGAGAAAGCTCCGACTCCGCTTAGCGCGAGGATGACCACGGTGGAGGACTACAACGAATGCGAGAATGAAACTACCCCAGCGTCACGGTACCCTGCACAAGCAGCTGAGGTGGATCACGCTTTTGCTAGGCCCCCTGACGATGCTCGGCCTGCAGATGAACGTCGAGACCATCCGGTATTAGATCTTCCCATTCTGCCAGTTAGGGAAGGCCACATTGAGCGGCGTCGTTCCCCGCAGTCTACCTACGACGAAGAGGAGAACCCCCCTCGAGATCCCTTACCCACTGTGCCTAATCCACCTACCACGTCTCGTAAACGTGCATCGAAGACTAAAATGGGATCTTCTTCGCACCGCAGGAAGAAGGACAGGCCGCAATACTACGGTGTGTCGACCAGAGACGACAATACCCCTACGGAGGGGAACTTGCCGGCTCCTTTGGATCCGGGCTATATCCCACGATCTAAAACCGCCTGGATGACTCGCAGAGCCACTACCGGCTGGTACGAAGCGGGTCCGCGAGGCCCGGTCTCGCCGCCGGGGCAGAAAACACCTGCTGTCGCTGATCCCGATCCAGGTTACGATTCGAAGCCAGCTGGTGGTCCAAATCCGGGGCCCCAGCCAGCTGCGCCCCCAAATGCTTTCCGCACTCAGAGACACGTAGCACCGCAGCCTCCAACCCATCCATCGAGCTATCCTCCTCGCCACAGAGATATTGATGACCGCCCGATGGAAGAGCCGTATTATCGTGAACGGGGTCCGGAAAAGGCTGATGCAGATCTCCGACCTAATCCACCTCCTTCTGCCGGGCTAGGCCGGCATGGAGTTGTGGTGCTTTCGCAGGGTGGACAGCCCCGGTCCAACAACACCGGCCGGCCAGGAAACGCCGCTCATGAAGAGTGGTCTTCGCAGTCGCAGTCGCAGTCGCAGCCGCCACTCCCGTCGCGAAATCCTCATGGCGTTATTGTACTTTCATCTAACGGCGGACCACAACCCGGCCAACAGGCGCAGAGGTTCGCAACCCAGAAAGTTTATGAGCCCGCTCCGAATCCGTCAATGGGTCCGAACCGTACCAACATGGCACCCAGTCAACCGTCGACCCCGCATCCCCACGGGCTTGTGACTTTGCATCAAAGAGACGGCCCCCGATCTCAAGACCTGATGGATCAGCCGCCCCGTCATCCTCGCACCAGTTACGATAGAGACCGTGACTTCACACCTCGCGAGCGAGGACCTGCAAGAGCTCACCCCGCCGAAGAGTTCGAAAGACTTTCCATCCAGGACACGCGATCCTCCGCCAAAAGGGCACCTCGAGAGCCGCCGATGCATCATCCCGACTATGCCGAAAGAGATCGTGGGGATCGTGCTCCCCAACCCCGGCCACCTCCGAACCGACAAAATTCCCAGCAAGAACATGAGCAGCAACGTGGACCGCCGGTTCGTCGGTCCCCTACGTCTCATGAATGGCGTGAAGAGAGGAGTGGTAATACAAATAACCATGATCAGCCACAATACACCTCTCGTGCTGTTGCTACTCAGGATTACTCAAGCCCGCAGCGTCGTTCTTACCCGCCAGAACCGCCGAGATCCCCCGAAGACGCAGACCGCGGTCGAAATTGGCCTCAAGCTACGCGATCTTCCGTTCCCGGGCCCCATGACGAGCGCCATGCCACCGAGGTGTACCGACCGAACCAAGGCCGCGGGAGAGAAGGCCGGCATGAGGACACGAGTCGCGCTAGTCGTCAGTATCAAGCCCAGGCGCCGAACTACACACACACTCGAGACATGTATAGTCCTAGAGAGGATGATGAACCTGAGGCGCAGTCCGACCCTGAGTATTCGGACCCTCCACAGCCCTGGGCAGGCAAGCAATCCAACGAACCACCCATGCTTCCGGACGGTCATCCGTTCCTTGAAATGAAGGAAATGGCCTTCGCTGCTGCCCTGAAAGAATTTAGATCATGGCAGGGGAAAGCCATGGAGACCAGGCGGCCGCCGTCTAAACAAAAGCTTCCATTCGCCTGCCCGTTCGCAAAACGAACTCCTATGCAATATAAAGACTGCTTCATCGACTCCCTTTACAGGATTCAAGACGTCAAGGACCATATTATGCGGTGCCACGCGGTCCCGATCTACTGCCCACGGTGCATGGAATTGTTCGATGACGAGAAGGCGCGCGACCACCATATCCGCTACGCCAATTGCCGATCCCAACCCTGGGAGGTTCCGGACGGCATTACAGAGTCCCAGAAGCGCGAGCTGCAGAAAGATGGACCCTCTTACCTCTCCAAGAAAGAGCAGTGGAATTTAGTCTTCGACATTGTGTTCCAAAGACAGTTTCCTCTACCACCCTCGCCGTACGTTGATGGAACTCTGCACGAGGACATTACCATGTACCAAGAGTTCCTTGGTCGCTACGGCCCTCAAGTCCTGTCTGACATATTGACATTTCGAGGTGCTGCTACATGGAACTTGGCCAACGAAGAGCGTGACCTCGCCGCTTTCCGGCGTCTTGTTGTCAAGGAAGGCATACGCGACATGGTTGAGCAGTTTCTAGGCCCTCCCCGACGAACGGACCCAGGTCCATCGCAGCGCTCGCCTCCAAGCCTGGGCAGCTCTCACACTTCGGAGCCACAGCGGACCCCGTCTATGGGTTCCTTTGCAAGCAACGACAGTCCGCGGAGTCGGCGCGACTCTGTACCGTCCGGTTCTGCTGGGCATCAACCCCAGCATTGGGAGCATACTCCCGGCATTCGCGAAGATGCTGTCTGGGACGAAGAGTATGACGGCCGTGGACGAGACCCTCATGCTGACTATCCTCCGCCCGCAAAGCCTGGTAATGGAAGGGGCATGGCCATGTATCCCAGTGACCATGGGCCTAAACCCGTTCCCTACTACAACTGATACCCACCCACGATTCCTCCCTACTTATCCGTGTCTCTAAGTCTTGCTTTCTCTTTCTTTAGGCTTACGGCTTCTTTCAACGGTTTTGATTTCTCCCAACCTGTAATTTCATGGGTAATTTATGATGATGATTGACACTCTATTTCCTATTAGGTATGATGCCTGGAGTAACTCTATGGTAAGGGAGGACACCAAATCGATTTCCTGTTTGGCAGGCTTTCTTCTTCTTTCCTTTTTTTTTATTTTTTTATTTTATTTTTTATTTTTATTTTTTATTTTTATTTTTTTGACTCGTTTATCTCCAGTACCAGGAACACTGTCTCGTTATCCCTTTCTCATCCCATCTCGGTTTGTTTTCTTCTTCGTATCGAAACAAAAGTATGAGTGGGCAAAGAGGGACGTGTCTTTTACCAGTATCACTCACTACGAGGGTAGTCTTTTGTAGGGTTTATCAGTATTATGACTTGTAGGACTATCATCTATCATGAGGACAAATGAAACTAAAAGTGGCTCACTCTCTATGTCCTCATCCCCATATCCAGATGCAACCCGTCACCGTGAGTGAGGCCATACCGGAATTCCAGAATTCAGTAATCATGAATGAGCATGAGTATGCCACTTACTCAAGCTCTTGAGAGCAGGAAGCTCATCCCTCTTTCCAACCCAATCAATACCACCCTGCCTCAACGCCAGCGTAGCATTATTAAGGTCCAGGTCTAAAACCTTCTCGATGTATCGCGGTAGCTCAGTATTATCATTACTCTTCCCCATGAGATCCTTCATCGCCTTGAGAGCCTGGTCATTCGCATAACCATACAGGAGCACGTCAGCCGCAGTGTGTGCCTCGGTCGACCAATGGAGCCCGGCCTCAGAGGCAAGCATATTCCCAGCAGCGATACGCATAGCTGGGACGTTCCTCTCGTCGGCGATGGAAAGGAGTAGCTTCACGTCGTCGTTGGAGACGTTCTCCAGACCGTAGTGCCGAAGGAAATTTGACTTGAGGTGGGCGGTCTTGTCGCCTGTATGGGCGGAGAAGAGCGCACCAAGATATTCCGGCGTCTTAGTAGCTTTTTGCAGAACGGTAGGGTTGTAGCCATCGCCGAGGGTGAGACCGCCGCATTCATGGTCGGCAGCGGACATGAGCTGGGTGTCGGGGTGCACATCGATGTATTCTTTTACGTAGGCCATGACAGAGTTGTACATGAGGGTGTCATGGATGTGGCCGACAGCGTCGTTGGCGTGGCCAGCATGGTCGATTCGGGACGCCTCGATCATGATGAAGAAGCCTTGTGAAGGGAGTTAGTGATATGTGTCAGTAGTACATGCTAGCCTCGATCCTTTTTACCTTTTTCATCCCCACTACTCGCTTTCTCCAGAGACGCAAGTGCAACCTTTGTCACGTCTAAAAGTGAAGGCTCTTTAGCTCTATTGCGATCTAGTTCGTAAGCCATATGATTCAAGGCGAACAATCCCAAGAAGGGCAGCGGAAGGGCTCCATCTTTATCGACGGCCGAGTCAAATTCCTTCCTCGTAGCGACGTAGTTCCATCCCCTCTCCGTAGCCTAATCGATGAGGTTGACTCCGTCTCCACGGCGGCCTCCTTCGGACGTGGGGAGAAAGTGGCGCCGTCCGCCCCCGAGGAGGAGGTCGACGACGTTACCGAGAGGGTGAGAGTATCCGATTTCCTGGGCGGCGATATCATTTTCGGCACCACGGTCGAGGACATGAGAAGCGTAGCCTGCGTCATCGAGGTGAGTACAAGAGCATTTTCACCGAGGATAGGTGGCGAAGGGGCCGTTCTTACAAGCGGGAGTTGCGTGAGATATACGAGTGGTTACAACAAGACCAGTTTTGAAGCCGCTAAGATGAGCAGCCTCGAGGACTGACGCCACGGGTACACCATCGTCGTCAACGCCGACGGCTTGAGGAAGCAGATATTTTAGCACGTATTCGCCAGGGAGGGGAACCGGTGGGCCCACCTCCATTATAAGTCTTGACACCACAGGCAAAGGCCGTGGCCGAGGCAGCGGAGTCGGTGGTCAGGGTATCGGATGCTTGAGTTCTGACCGTGCCGATCACCTTGGCAGGAATGGTTCTATTAGCTTTGATGAATGGATGGAAAGTGGGAAGACGCGAAAGGTGCCGGGATTACCAGAGGATCTGCTCCAAGCTGGGGGCTATTGGGACGCAGGGCGTGACCATGTCCGTGGAGGATAGCTTGATAGTCCCTGGCGAGGACCTGAGAGGCGACACCATAGCCATCCGGGACGATATAAATGAAGTTGCGTGCCTTTGGGTGGGTTGGCGATGACGCTACTATCCCGAGAAGGGTGCTAATGACCAGGAGTAGCATTGTATAAGGAGACTGAGAGCGTAAACTATACGAAATTACGGACACTTTGGAGCGAAGAGGTACACTTTGGCAGCATGCGAAAGATGCTGGCTAAGTCTAAAATGGTCGCGTGGTTGTGGCTATGGAAGTCCAGTAACAGTCGAGAGAGGTTGAGCCTCCCCGAGCATTGTGTCCATGATGCCTTCCCATTCCTACTTCTACTTTGGCCGACAAAATATACATGAACCAGCACACCCTTGCGTCAATGACCGCAAGGGGAACTGCCGCCATCATCCAAGTGCCTTGACACAGGAGGGAACCTGCCGAGACGCGACAAAACTTCTCCACTTCACCGACATGAAGACGGAAAGATCGAGGAAGGCGTGTCTCGTATCTTCAAGAAATTGTGGGTGTGCACGGAGAATTCTCGAAAAAGATTGGGGCTTCCGAGAGTCATTTGATGCTGGGAAACGCAAGGGCAGGCAGTTACAAGGACTATATTGGATGAATCAAGTAAAGAAGGAAGTGCCACGGCGTCGGCGGCATACTTTCATAACTTGCAGAGATATTTAAGAAAGCAAAGACGGTAAAAATAATTGAAATATTTTCCTTTATATATTGAAGTTGTAAAACTTAATTGTTTGAAGGAAACAAAGAAAGAAGGAATTTACGGTTCCCTTCGCACCCGGGGAATCCATGTTCTAGCTAGGCGCCAGGATCATCAATGCTGAGGCCCCATCGCACCAAGGGCCTGCTTGCCGCTATCTCAAGAGAATTTTTGGTCAATGATGATAGATAGTTCTCTCAGCTTGGTAACTATATTCGCCGGCTCTGATCAGATCTACATCCGAGTCAGTTCATTTCCCTCACTCTCACCAGCTCTTCCTAATCGCTTTGTTTGAGCTGTCATAATGCAATACAGCCGAGTTGGCGCTTCAATTTTATACTTATCCACAAGATACGTGGTAGCCCGAGGGCCTCGCTGGCTACCACTCTCAATCACCTCTCGCATAAGATGTTCACGCTGGTTTGCTCCTAGACGGCAGAAGTCAACAGACTCGTCTCTATCGTCTCTAGACATGTCCCCAAAGATCGAGTACAACTGGATACGCGGCGTGGAATCCTTGGAAGACTACACTACGGGAGGCTATCATCCCGTCAACATAGGCGACAAGCTCCATGGTCGATATTTTATTATTGATAAGCTTGGTTTCGGGGGCTATTCAACTGTTTGGCTTGCCCGGGATCTCATAGCTAACCGATACGTTGCACTGAAGGTTGGCATCGCCAATTCTGACGCACCAGTCCGCGAGACGAAAATCATTGAAGCCCTCTCTAGACCATCCTCGAGTTTCCCCGCAGAGCAACATCCAGTGCCTTTCATCCTCGATAAGTTCAAGATTGACGGGCCAAATGGGACTCACCCTTGCTGTGCAATGACTCCCGCGCGCGGCGATCTACGCCAAGCCAGGGAGATTGACATCTTTCCACTCGACGTCGCTCGAACACTCTGCGGCAGGCTCACTTTGGCTGTTGCATATATGCACTCTCGGGGTTACGTTCACGGAGGTTAGTCTTTGGAGAATAATGACTTGTATTGACTGTATAATTATTGTATTTAACCTACTTGCTTTTATCCTAGATATCCACTTAAGAAATGTGCTAGTTAAGCTTCCTTCCAGCTTCGATCAGCTCTCTATGGAGGAGTTTTACGAAGAATATGGCCAACCGCAGACTGTCCCTATCACCCGAGCCGATAAAGGACCACTACTTCCTAATATCCCAGTGTCTGCAGTATTACCACTAGACCTCAGTTTGTCTGCAGAAGAGTTTAAAATGTCTGATGCCCGAATCCTCCTTAGCGACTTTGGAGAGTCCTTCTCACCTTCAGAGGAGACTCGAATTGGGAGGCACTGTCATATCCCGCTTCCGATGAGACCGCCGGAAGCTCACCTTGATCCCGAGTTGCCATTATCTTACTCTGCAGACATATGGTCTCTAGCCGCGGCCCTCTGGGATATCGTCTGTATGAAGGCGCTGTTCAGCCATGACCTCGCGACAGAGGATGAGATGGTGTCGCAACATGTCGATATTATTGGCCCTTTACCAAGTCCCTGGCGGGAACGTTGGTCAGAGAAGGAAGCAGAGTTTTTTGATGAACAGGGGCGACGGAGAAATCTTGGCGAGATGCTGTGGCCATCTCTAGAGGTTGCCTTCGAAGACGGCGTCCAGAAATGGCGGCGGAAACTTGGAGCGGGTATTCTCGGCGAGGAGGAGAAGGAAGCTTTTCTGTCTCTGATGCAACAGATGCTGGTGTTTCGTCCTGAGGAGAGGATCTCGGCGGAGGAGGTTCTGAAGTCGGAATGGATAGTTAAGTGGGTGATGCCGGACCTTGAACGCAGTTTGCGAGAGGATGAGAATGAGGAAGCCCAGAATTAGACCTTGGCGTAGAATCGCGGATTTAGTATAGTCCGGGCTCCTCAGCGCCGAGGAGCGAGCCTAGTCCTGGGTGAGATGTGCCACTATCTAAATGCCATCGACCTTCTTACAGGGAGAGAGAGTGGCGGGGCGCTCTACCAATTGTTTTCAACCACTCCCGACCTCGACAAACCACTTGCACATCTTCAACGGCCCGCTCCGTGTGGAGCCTCCTGGAATTTCGCATAAAGCCGAGTAATCCGTTGATGATCTCTGAAGTTTGATCTTGGGGAAGGTTGGCCTCGACTATGCCTGCCGACATAGACTGCAAAAACCGCGGGAATGGAGGGCCTTGGGCAGGAGTGGGCTGTGGCTCAAATTGCCTGTGAAATAATTCTCTCCACACTCGGGTGTGTTTCTGGTAAAAGTCGGGTATTGTGAGACGGACGCGACCTGCCCACTCGAACTGATTCCATAGGACGCACATCTGATTGTTGGGAACGGGGAGTTTAGTTGAACCAGAGTGCCTTCTTCAATGACAGGCGCCGTGTTAGTGATGAAGGTTAGAGGTGCGAAAACGGCTCCGGCATCCAGTGGTTGGACCATGGCAAATCGGTTGAAACGTTGACTAAAAGGGCCAGAATAATCTTATTAAGTTTTGCTCGGAGTTAAGCTGTTGGAAACGTTGTTATCCTTGGGAGAAATTTCTTTTCGGGAAAGCGTTGCCTAAAACTAACTAGTGATGTTGGGAAATATTCGGCAAAATCCTCGCGGTAGGGCTGCCAACTGAAGGTAGCTCCTTCCGGTCCCGTATCTACAATTATTAATAGTCCATCGCGCCTGCCAAATTACCAATGGTTTCCCAAATTCAGGCCTAATATTTAAGGTTTAAATGGAGCTACGATTCAAGAGAAGTTCCACGCCTTGAATTGTCGCGGTGGCGGCGCATCTCGAGAACTTCACTTCAAGTCACCACCTGCAAAATCCTTTCTCACCCTCCTCCAAACCACGACAACACCCATCACCCATCTCCGTGGCTGTGGATTTCTACGAATCTGCGACCTTTCCGACCTTCCTAATCTGTTTTCGATAAAGCCACCCCGGGACTCTGAGATCCCTAGTCCTCGAAAGGCCGTCGCGGCCTCGCGGTGGCAATCGACACCTCCAGAACTTCCACTTTTGCGAGCCTCGATCCCGAGCTCTCGCGCTTCCTCCCGCTTCTACCTACGAGCATAAACACGCCAATAATAACTTTCTTCGTCCTACCAAGGACCCGGTTTTGTTTTTCTCCCTTCTCTTCTCTCCTTCAAGCGCTTGTTTCCCCAATCAACACGTCGAGTTCGTCGCAGTTCATCATCCGGCAACCCGTTTCTCGTAGCCAATCTATCCATTCTCTATTACGCGTTGATACCACTTCGCCACTTTCTCTTTTAATTACCTTTTCGCGACTTCGAGTTTCGACACCTCGACATCATGGCTGATTACGAAGATGGGTACGACTACGATGATTACGAGGAGGACCTCAGCATCACTGCTGAGGATTGTTGGGCTGTCATCGCAGCCTTTTTCGACAACAAAGGTCTTGCTTCCCAGCAAGTAGACTCATTCAATGAGTTCACCACATCGACGGTACAACATCTCGTCAATGAGTACTCCCGCATCACTCTCGACCAGCCCTCCCCGCCGAGCCACGATGGCCGAACCTATGCCGTACGGAGGTACGAAATCGACTTTGGCCATGTCATGGTCTCTCGCCCTTCCATAACCGAATCCGACGGTCGTGAAGCCACTCTTCTTCCCTACGAATGTCGCGATCGAAACCTGACCTACGCGAGTCCCATGTACATTCGAATCACGAAGAAAGTAACCTTGGCTGTTGAGCGCCAGGTACCTCTCCATGAGATGGATGATGAGCAGCGGGAGACGTACGCTCAGACGAAGGTGGAGCCGACCGAGATCCGATGGGAAGACGAAGATGTAGACCCCGAGCCAGTGGATGGCAAGACCGACGATCAAAAGAACATTGTCTTCGTTGGCAGACTTCCCATCATGGTGAAGTCCGAGATTTGCCATCTGAGCCACGAAACCGATGAAAATCTCTTCCTTCTGAACGAGTGCCCCTACGACCAAGGTGGATATTTCATCATCAACGGAAGTGAGAAGGTCCTTATTGCACAAGAGCGCTCCGCCGCCAATATCGTTCAGGTATTCAAGAAGGCTCAGCCAAGCCCTTACAGTTATACGGCAGAAATCCGCAGTGCACTGGAGCGTGGATCGCGACTGATTTCTCAACTCGCCCTGCGCCTTTACACAAAAGGAGACAAGCGTCTCGGAGGCTCTGGACCGTACGTGCGATCGACTCTACCGTTCGTCAAGAGTGATTTGCCCATTGCCATCGTGTTCCGGGCCCTCGGTGTTGTCTCCGACGAGGATATTTTGAACCATATTTGTTACGACCGAAACGACAGTCAGATGCTGGAAATGCTTCGGCCTTGTATCGAAGAGGCCTTCGTTATCCAGGACCGTGAGGTGGCGCTTGATTACATCGGGAAGCGTGGTCAAAGCTACATGCTCAGCCGAGAGCGCCGAATCAGGGCGGCTAAGGATTTGTTGCAGAAGGAGACTCTCCCTCACATCTCACAATCCGAAGGTAGCGAGACTAGGAAGGCGTTCTTCCTAGGCTACATGGTTCACAAGCTCCTCCAATGCGCGCTCGGCCGCAGAGATGTGGACGACCGTGATCACTTTGGCAAGAAGCGCCTGGACCTTGCCGGTCCTTTGCTGGCTAAGCTGTTCCGCAACATCATGCGTCGCATCAACCAGGAGTTGTCGTCGTACATGAAGATGTGTATTCAGCAAAACAAGAAGTTCCAGACTGTCAATGGCGTCCGCTCAACGACGCTTACGAACGGATTGAAGTACTCGCTCGCAACGGGCAACTGGGGTGATCAGAAGAAGGCGATGAGCTCTACAGCCGGTGTCTCCCAGGTGTTGAATCGTTACACTTTCGCCTCTACCCTCTCGCATTTGCGTCGCACAAACACTCCCATTGGACGAGATGGAAAGTTGGCCAAGCCTCGCCAGCTTCACAACACACATTGGGGCTTGGTATGCCCTGCAGAGACGCCCGAAGGACAGGCTTGTGGTCTCGTCAAGAACCTTTCGCTCATGTGTTTCGTCAGTGTGGGTACGCCTTCCGACCCAATTATTGAGTTCATGATCAACCGTGGTATGGAAGTGGTGGAAGAGTACGAGCCTCTCAGGTATCCCAACGCCACCAAGGTCTTTGTAAACGGTGTCTGGGTCGGTATTCACCAAGACCCCAAGCACTTGGTCAATGAGATGATGGAGACCCGTCGGCGGTCATACCTCCCGAACGAGGTCTCCCTGGTTAGAGATATCCGCGATCGAGAATTCAAAGTCTTCTCCGATGCCGGCCGTGTTATGCGTCCAGTGTTCGTTGTTAACCAAGAGGACAATGCGCAGACGGGTACCCAGAAGGGAACTCTGGTGCTGACCAAGACACACATCAACAACTTGGCCTCGGAGGAGACCGTGCCTCCGCCAGAGCGACAATATGGCTGGGACTACCTCGTGAACGACGGTGTAATTGAGTATCTGGATGCCGAAGAGGAGGAGACTACGATGATTTGTATGACTCCTGAGGCGTTGGATGAGTATCGTGCTCAGAAGGCTGGTATCGCCATCGATAATGATATTTCCGACGATCCAAACCGGCGTTTGAAGACGAAGTTGAACCCGACAACACACATGTTCACTCATTGCGAAATCCACCCGAGTATGATCTTGGGCATCTGCGCTAGCATTATTCCTTTCCCCGATCACAACCAAGTATGTCCTCATTTTCTAGTTCCCAATTTTTTTTTTTTTTTTTCAACTCCGGTTACAAAACTAACTGTAATTCATAGTCCCCGCGTAACACTTACCAGTCAGCCATGGGTAAGCAAGCGATGGGCTTCTTCCTCACAAACTACATGCGCAGGATGGATACAATGGCGAACATCCTCTACTATCCTCAAAAGCCTCTGGCCACAACAATGGCGATGGAGCATCTCAAGTTCCGAGAGCTGCCAGCCGGGCAAAACGCCATTGTCGCCATTGCATGCTACTCCGGTTACAACCAAGAAGACTCTGTCATTATGAATCAGAGCAGTATCGATCGCGGTATGTTTAGAAGTTTGTTCTTCCGATCATACACCGATTGCGAGAAGAAGGTTGGTATCAATCTCGTGGAGCAATTCGAGAAACCGTTCAGGAGCGAGACCCTACGGCTCAAGCATGGCACCTATGACAAACTCGACGATGACGGTATCGTAGCCCCCGGCGTCCGTGTGTCAGGCGAAGATATCATCATTGGCAAGACTTCGCCCCTGGGTAAGGATACGCAGGAACTCGGCCAGCGAACAACGCAACATAGCAAGAGAGATGCCTCGACACCTCTGCGAAGCACAGAGAACGGTATCGTGGACTCTGTTGTTATGACGACGAATCAGGATGGTATGCGCTATGTCAAGGTCCGTGTCAGGACGACGAAGATTCCGCAGATTGGTGACAAGTTCGCCTCGCGTCACGGTCAAAAAGGTACGATTGGTGTGACGTACAGACAAGAGGATATGCCGTTTACGCGTGAGGGAATCACCCCTGACATCATCATCAACCCGCACGCCATCCCTTCGCGAATGACTATTGCCCACTTGATAGAATGTCTCCTTAGTAAAGTCGGCGCACTCAAGGGTCTCGAAGGTGATGCGACTCCTTTTACAGACGTCACCGTCGACTCTGTTTCCGCCCTTCTCCGCGAAGAAGGGTACCAATCCCGTGGGTTCGAAATTATGTACAACGGCCATACCGGAAAGAAGCTTCGAGCCCAGGTGTTCTTCGGCCCCACTTACTACCAGCGACTCAGGCACATGGTGGACGACAAGATCCACGCGCGAGCTCGTGGACCGGTGCAGATCATGACGAGACAGCCCGTGGAGGGCCGTGCGCGTGATGGCGGTCTTCGATTTGGAGAGATGGAACGTGATTGTATGATTGCGCACGGCGCGGCGGCCTTCTTGAAAGAGAGGCTGTTTGAGGTTTCAGATGCCTTCCGTGTCCACATTTGCGAGATCTGCGGGTTGATGACGCCCATTGCGTAAGTTCCCCTCGCCTCTTTAGAGTTGTCGTCGTTTTACCATGCGCTAACTTTGGCATCAGAAATCTTTCCAAGCAATCATTCGAGTGCCGGCCATGCAAGAACAAGACTAAGATTGCGCAGATCCACATCCCATATGCCGCCAAGCTGCTGTTCCAGGAACTGCAAGCTATGAATATTGCGGCTAGGATGTTTACCGATCGATCTGGTGTTACGATTCGTTGATGGTTTTCCAGAAAGGATAATGAGGGTGGAGGATTGGATGATTTACGGATCTCCTTTTTTTGTGTTCCTTTCCTTTTTTTTAGGGCGACCGAGAACAGGGAGGATCTTGACCTTACACTCATGAGGGACATAGATTCTAATGTTCTTGGTTGTCTTGGAGGGTTTATCTCGAGCGTCGACCATTTGGTACGAAGTGTGATTCCAGCTCTTCTCCACTTGGTGCAACTCTTTATATCTGCGAGGAGGCGGAAGTACTTTCTGTATTATTTACATGCATTTTCTTTCTTCGAACAAAAAGAAAAGATTGCGAAGTTTTGACGCTGGGTTGGAAGGGATGAGCGGTAGCAAAAATAGATCAATAAAATACCCATCAAGGAGTCTATGAGCCATACCCGTCGGTGACGATGTAACTCTTATGATGCTTTATGTTCTATATGGTACAAAGTCTATGGAATGCTGCGGATATATAACACAAGTAGAGGAGAGAGAACTGTAAATCCAATAAATCATACACTAAGCCCAACCAACAATCATCTCAAGATTCCTACCCGTTCGACAAGCCGCCAGCATCGCTAGAATTCGTGGTGTCCTTAACAGTTTGCTCCTTCTTGAATTCCGCCTCTAGAGCTTGTTGAAGATCAAAGTCGAGCTGGCGCTCCTTCTTTAGTCGGCGCTGTTCCATGTCGCGGATAACGCCTTCATGCATGGCCTGATGTTTGGGTTAGGATGAGGTTTTACATCCCCCCGGCCCCACGATGAATTGGGGGCGGGAAGACACGGAATAGGGAGGGAAATGTATGTCAACGTACACTCCGTTCCATTTTCTGCTGGAAATGGACAATTACCACGGTGCCGAGTGTGGCGAGGGTTGTTATCCCGAGGGTGATCTTGGAGGCTCGAGACATGGTGATGAGGCGGAATGAGATGAGATGAGGGATTGGAGTAGGTGGCAGGTGGGGATTGGCAGCCAGCTGCGCACTCCAGTCAGGGCGAGAGAGATCCGGTTACGGACACAGAGGCAGAGGAAGCAAGGGAAAATAATAATCTTCTTGACAAACTTCCCGGTTTCTGTTCCTGGATTGACAATGGGTTAAAAAAAAAGCTTGGTGTAAGTTTTGAAGTCCTAATGTAACAATTGAACATAGCGTGAGCTCACTCGGGAACGCAGCGCCCGAGTCGGGATTACATAATCATAGTGGAGCTTTGGTCGCCGAGCGGATCAAGGCGGCGCCCCGTTAAACTAATATCAATTTTACACAATGGCTAAATGCATGCATGGCTCTGGTGGGGCCTCAACAGGCAGCGGGGCAGAGAGCTCTCGACTCCAACTCTCAACGCCGCATTAGCTCATCAAGCCGTCCATTTGTATCTTGTCCACCCACCCTTCACCACCAACTATTCGAGACCCTTGGTCACAAGCCAAACCATACCGCAAGCTTTCACAACAATTGAGGCCATCTTGTTTTCCGCCGTCCCTGCTACCCTACTCTCTTCCCAATAACTCTCGCTCTCTTCCTCTCCCGCCGAAGTATTGTCAGAATATCCAGAAACGTCATCGATCAACATAGCTCACCATGGCAAGCTTATCCCGCTGATCCCCCCTTCTCTCCGAACCACCCAGCAGCTCGCAGGAGGCAAGCTATTAACGGTGTACTTTCTAGTCTGCCCAACATTCCGCCGGTATTCAAACCCTTCTCGATGTACGTATTCGGCATCCCCAACTCCAGTTCAGCCGTATTGCATGCAAGACAGGATCAGAGAGGACAGCGCTAACGAGGGGCATTCCAGGCCGAGAGGGACGCAACCAAGATTGTCGAGCAAGGTCCGTATCAAACAACCCGCTGAGCGAAATATCACAGGAGATTCCATGCTGACATTACACCCGGACAAACAGCCAGACAATGTACGTAAATCCTACGCTCCCGTATAAGCCGCGCGATCGATCCTGTTACGAATCCCCCTACTCTTCCCTCGTTCAAAAATACTGATACAGCGTTCCCAAAGTCCGAACGAAGCGCGTTAAGCAGGCGCGAGATGAGGCCCGAAAGGAAATCGAACAACACCGAGAGAACATGGAGAAGAAGTACAGGGCTTTCGAGGCTGAGGTACGTCCACACTTCGTTGCATTCACTGTTAGCGCAACCAGTATAACTCACACGGATGGACACCAGCACACCGAGGGCAACGCCGCCGCCGAGCAGGAGGCCCTGAAGGACGCCGAGATCAAGATTAAGGAGCTACAGAGCAGGGCGCTGAAGAATAAAGATAAGGTTATTGGTGATCTCCTTTCGGCCGTCTTTGACTGCGAGCCCACCCCGCCGCCTACCATCTTGGGCTAAAATGGGAGGCGGATTACCGTGAGTGGGCTGCTATCCGGTATTCTGTAGAGAACGGAGTACGGAAAAAGTGGTTGACACCCATAAAACGACTAGCTGTGGGATGGAGAAGAGGGAAGGGTGACTCTTGGATTTATTGTTATTATTTTCACGGCATTTTCTTATTTCTTATTTCTTTTACTCTGGGAATAGCGGTAACTCAACATGCTAGACTTTGATTTTCCTTACGCTGCCGGCCCAAATTATATCATTACAAAAACTCTACTAATGTGCTGAGCATCTCTCTGGTATCCTTGACATCCTCGGAGTCATCAAGGTCGTCGAGTTGTTCCTGAATGCTTGCTTTGATGGCATCCAGCCCTAAATCCGTATCTTTCAAAAGCTTGATAATTCGCTTCCTCGCACCATCATCCTCCGCAACAAGCCACGCAAGGATGAGGTCGATAGACTGTAAAGAGAACAACCCAGCATCAAGCCTCCTCGAGAACAACTCCGCCCGTCTTAGATCCTCATCCTCCTCCTCCTCCTCCTCCTCCTCAGCAAACTTGGCGAATTCCTCCTCTGCCGTCCTAATCCTCGCGACGTACCCCTGGCGCAGCTTCAGCAGCCTCGCCAGCTTCCCGTAGTCCTTCTCCACGAACTTGGCCAGCGCGCGTATCCGCTCGCTCGAATCTCCGGGGAGCAGCCTGAGCATCGAGGAGAAGATGCCGAGGAGGTGCTCGACGGTCGAGGCGTCGTGCGTCTTCATAAACATGGTGAAGGTCGTCTTGAGGCCTCCGGCGACGACGAGCTGCTTGCAGACGGCGGCGGCGGCAGATGTCGCGGCTTCTCCGGTGCCGCTGAGGGCGGTGGCGTGGGCGAGTAAGCGGAGCGCGCAGGGTTTGCTCTGGCCGCCCTCCTTGAGCATGATGAGACATAGCTCTACACCCTCGGCCTCTAGTAGTTTCAGTTTGCCTTCGGGCGTATCGACTAACGCCGTAAGGATCTCAAATAAATTGGCCATGTACTCTTCCTCATCGCTCGACCTATCAGGATCACGTTTCCGATACGCTGACGCGAGTTCCAGCATCGTATCCACAGCATCGAGCTTGACCAAACGACCCCTGTTCTCTGGCGCCGACTGGGCGAGAATTGCGATGATCTCGGCAGCATACTGCTTATTCTGGCTGACGTCCTTTTCGCGACGCTGGGCGCGGCTAAGAAGCCATTTTACGAGCTTCTCCTCGCCGCCGACCTGCTTCGCGACGGCCTCGCGAGAACACAGATTCTCCACTATAGACATGGCATGGTAGACGCCTTCGCGGTCGCGCTCATCCCCCTCATCCAGCCGCGCGAGATTCGACACTAGAAGGTCCAGTAGATCGGCCTCCAGCATCGCGTCGACGAGCGCACCCCACTGTTCGTCGTCGGCCGTCACGTTCTCGTCCGTGAGCTCGTCGAGCACGTCCATCACCCCTATCGCAATATCCGTATTCTCATGCGCGAGTAAGCCCACGAGACTAGTCGCGCTTCCGAGCTTCACGAATTCTTGGTACAGCTCCGGATACTGCGAGAGGATCGACAGCGTCTTGATGTCCGAGTCCAGATCCGACTCGCTCGCCATGAACTTTTGCGGATCGTCTTCGTACTTGGCGCGGAGTTCGGCGTTCTTCGTTATGCGCTTTTCGAAATTCAGTACGGTTTTGCGTAGCCACCCGGCGTCGATCTTTTCGGCCGCGACGTCTTCGTCTCGCCCTTCGAGATAGTCTAAGATTTCTGATTCCTGCTTCGTTATGCCACCGCCGAAGAATCGCCCTCCTTCTTCATCATCGGGAGGGAGCTCGGGACCGTAATCATCTTCGTCATCGCCGGGGGCTTCGCCTCGATCGTGGTCTACGGCTTCGTCTTCGACTGTCGCATGACGGCTGCCGTGGGCGTTGCTATCTCGCTTCGCAGCCTTGTAGACTTCGCCTAGAGTTGCTTTAGTTAGTAGTGAGCGCACAACGGGTCAAAGAAGGAGCAGAGAAGAGCTTCTGCGAGCGACGGGGAGTAGCTGCTGGAACATACTGGGATCTCGAACTGCGTCGATCCTCCGCTTGCTCGGTAGGGAGCTCTGCGTGTTCTGATACATGGTCAGCTGAGAAGGCGCGAGAGAGAGGCGCAATTGGGATGATGGGAGCTCCACGAACCTTGAATATGTCGTCTACGCTTGCCATTTCTAAATGCTTCGTAAATTGCTTAATTCTTGAAAAAAAGGAGCGTCATCCACCATTGCGTGACGCGAACTGCTGTTCTCTCGGTCGGTGTTGGCAAGCCTGTTGCTTGCGCAGATATTCAATTGTCCTGTGCGAGAGACAGCAAAAGCCTCGATATTGGAATATCGCCTTAGCGCAACTAACAACGACTTGGAATGACTCCAACTTCGCTGCGCCTTCCCTCTCGGCTTAAGGAGGGATCCAATGAGTTTCGTAGAGTCATTCTGAACAGGAAAAATATATGTATATATATAGTGAGGGGAAACATTAGAATTCCGGATGCCCGTTTGTCAGTCTTTACCAAGGTAGTTCTCTACAATTGTATATACCGTCTTAGATCGCCAAAATGCCTCCCACCGTCATCCTCATCCGCCACACACAAGGTTACCACAACCTCACTAATACGTCTCACCCGTCCATAGACCCCCTTTACAATTCCAGGTAGTACTGATGCTTCGTATACAGGACTACGCCCTACATGACCCTCTTATCACGGAGGAGGGCGTAGAACAATGTGGCAAGCTCAGGGAAAGCTTGAAAGAGAGGCTTAATGGGATCCCTGAGAGCGACATCGCCATCGTCGTGAGCCCGATGAGGAGAACGATCCAGACAGCCCTCTACTCGCTTGACTTTTTAATAGAGAAGAAGGTTCCCATAACAGCAGATGCCGCATGGCAGGGTAAGCATTCTGAAAAAACACACCTTTACCCAATCCGCCAGTGTTGGTCGGATTCGGCCGAGAGTCCCGCTTCTCCGGCGGAAACCCCGAGCGAAACCGCTAAGAAGCTGTCTTTCGTACAGAAACCACCTCCAAGCCCTGCGACATCGGGAGCCCCATCCCCGAACTCACCAAAGAATACCCCATGATCGACTTCTCCCCCGTCGACCCCGTCTACCCAGACAAGCTCACCCCCGCCGGCGCCAAGTACTTCCCCTTCAAATCTGCCCTCCTCGCCCGCGGCCGCGCCTGCGTCCGCTCCCTCTACCGCCGGCCCGAGAAGTACGTCATCGTCGTCTCCCACTCAGGGTTCCTCCGCACTTCCGTATCCGGCTGGTGGTTCTTCAACGGCGACTACCGCATCTTTGATTTCGCTGACGGGAACGGCGCCGATGTGGAGGATGATTGGGCTGATGGGCCCGTGCCGAGGTTGGTTCAGTGGGAGGCTACTTTGAGTGGGGGGTTGGGTTGGTCGTGGACGGATCCGGTGCCGCTTGGTGAGGGACTTCTCGAGGAAGGAGAGCAGCTACCGCCCAAGGCATAGCGCCTTGAGCATTTTGTTTAAAACGTATCCGCATTGTTTCATATTTTCGTCACTAGAGGTAGAGCGGGCATCTGGGGAAGAGCTGCATGTTTTGGCACCATTATATATTATCTTTTCCTCCATGGAAAGAAAATCATCTAGAGAGGCATAGGCCTATTTAACTCATGTCTATGGATACATACATTTTATACAAGTTACACACGCGTCATCTAATGCTCTTTCTTTTTGTACATTGCAAAACGATCATCATGTCTTCGACAAGAACTTCTGGAACGCCGAGTGGTCAATCACGACGTTTCCGACGGCCTGTAGCCTCTTCCTTCCAGCCTTTTGCTTCTCAAGCAACTTCTTCCTCCTCGTGATATCAGCAGCGTGAAGTTTCGCCAACACGTCCTTGCGGAAAGGTTTCAGGGTCTCGCGGGCGATGACCTTGCCGCCAGCCGCAGCTTGAATGACAACCTCTATTCCAATAGTCAGTTAAATGCGCAATATTTCTCGAGGACGAAAAGGAAGTGACATACCAAACATTTGTCGGTCGACGTGCTCCTTGAAGCTCGTGACCCATTGCCTTCCGAGCCTCTCAACCTGAGACTTATGAACGACTCGGCAAATGGCATCGACGGGGACCTTATTCACGAGCAACTGCAACTTGACAAGGTTGCCTTCTCGCCATCCCGCGTCCTCGTAATCCAAGGTCGCATATCCCTTTCTATACTCAAAAATTCAGTCAAGGATGATACTAAAAGAATAAGCCGGGTTAGAAACTTACGTCGCACTCTTGAGTTTACCAAAAAAGTCATCAACCAACTGAGCCGTCGGCAAATCATATTTCAGAATCACCTGAGTAGTGTGAAAGAAGTCCAGGCTCTTCTGCTCCCCGCGGTTAGACTCGCACAGCTCAATAACTCTGCCAAGATACTCCTCCGGCATGGTTATCGTCGCGGTAACGAACGGCTCATACAGAGTCGCAGCCTTGAGTCGATGATCAGTATTTTCGGGGAACTCGGCCGGATTCTCGACGACGGTTTCGGTCCCATCACGCCACTGGATGCGGATAGGTACCGTAGGTTCCGTAATCACGACGCTGGCTCCGTGCTCCTGCCTCAGCCGGTCCTGGAAGACGGAACAGTGAAGGGATCCGAGGAATCCCAAGCGCCAACCCGCACCGAGGGCCTCGGAGTGGTCTTTTTGCAGAGTGATGCTTCGATCGTTGAGGACGAGCTGGTCGATGCTCTCTTCTAGCTTCTCGTGGTCGGATTGATCCACGGGGAAGGCGGCTACGAAGACCATGGGCTTCGGCTCTTCGAACCCAGGATACGGCTCAACTGCGTCCTCCTTGCCGACAACAGTGAATGTGTCGCCGAGCTTCGCATCCTGCAGACGCTTCATGCCAGGGTTGAAGTGCAGATAGCCGACCTGTCCGGCCCGAAGCACCTTTTGCGGGACCGCATTGGGATATTGTATTCCCACCTCGCCAACGGTATATCTCTGTCCGGTACCCAGAGAAACCACGTTATCCCCGGCCTTGACCTGCCCGTCGAAAATCCGAACGAGACATATGACACCCCTAAAGTTATCATACCATGAATCGACTAAGAGCAGCCTCAAAGGCTTCGTCGAGTCCCCAACCGGATGCGGAATATTCTCAACCACAGCCGGAAGAATAGCCGCCACGTTCTTCCCCGTCTTAGCTGAGACCAAAACCGCAGACTCGGGATCCAACTCGAACGAAGATTCAATCTGCTCGAGAACCCTCGGCACGTCGGCCGAAGGCATGTCGATCTTGTTGATGACGGGTATTAGGCTCAAATCTTGCGAGAAGGCGAGGTGAAAATTCGACACCGTCTGTGCCTGGACGCCTTGGCTCGCATCGACTAACAAGAGGGCCCCTCCGCAGCTCGCGTAGGACCTCGTCACCTCTGCTCGGAAGTCGACGTGGCCTGGTGTGTCGACGAGGTGAAGCAGGTAATCTTCGCCCTTGTGGTTGTAAATCATGGTGCAGGTCTGCGCCTTCACCGTAATACCCCTTTCTCTTTCTACATCCAATTTGTCCTAGGATAGCGGTATTAGTGCATCACGCCACACGTAGATAGACTTTCATAAGATTTAGAAGCCATACTAGAATCTGCTTGTTGTTCCCCGTCGCAGATATCGTCCCCGTCAATTCCAACAGACGGTCACTCAGCGTACTTTTCCCATGGTCCACATGCGCCACGATGCAGAAATTGCGATACCGCTCGATAGGAATCGCCGCAATCCGAGCCTCCAAGTTGGCTGCTACCCCAGGAAGCGTCCTGTCAGCGCTAGTCGACGCATATCGATGCCAGCCGTCCCTGGATGAGAGATGCGGTAAAGCTCCTATCTGAGCCCGGCGTAATGCTGAAACGGGGCATCTGAGATCTGTGGCACGGCATCTCGGCAGGGACTCAAGCTTCGACGAGACTCGTACGGCCCGGGATCGGGTGAAAGGCCGCAGCGCTCCCGCGACTGAAGTCGCGGAGCGGATCATTTATTCATGTATGACCTTAGAACCTATATGAAAAATTATGAAATAAATATAATTGGGGCTGGCGGCATAAAGCAAAGCTCGCAACGGGTCGGAGACTTGAGTTGGATGTGGAAAAGTGAGTCGACGTGAAATTTGCGAAGAGGACGCGAAATCACGTGAAGTCGGCCAGCATTGGCATTCTAAACTCGGAACTCAGGACTTACACCAGCCAGTTCAACCAAGACGCCTCACCGACAAACATCTTAATTTATTTCATTGAATATAATCGTATTTTTTCTTCTTTGGTCATAAATATATGTATATCAATAACAGAGAATGGTCATCATATTAAAAGATTGGACGAAGATCGACAAATGAAGAGAATCACTAGACATCGAGTCCAGCATCTACAAACAAAAGAAGAAAGGCAAGAAAGGAAAGAAATGCAACCTCTCTATGAACAAACACCTCGCCTCAAGGCTGTTGTTCAGCCGGGAACGAAACAACATATCCCCCTCTCTCCGAGTCCTCGTATCCCCAAGAAACAGCAATGAACAAGCGCCCGCCATAATAATATTCAAGAACTCCGGTCATAGATGGGATGGCAGTGAGTGGCAAAGCGTGGTTTCGCCAGTTGAAATCCCTGAAGTGCCCATGCCACCTCAGTTTCCGTTACCTTCGTAATCTGCATATAAAGAAGAAAGTTGTGAAGAAGCGAACGAGTCCCTCGTCACGTAACGACCCATTCGGTTCCCCTCTTGATGAATTTCTCAAGGAGAATGCTCAAGTCCGAGAGTACAAATCGGCAAATATAAAACGCGAAGAATTCAGCTGCATGCCTCGTGCAAAGTTCCAGTCCAACCTGCGTTTTGTCGGCATGACGCAACCCGGGGTCTTCTACCTGCCTCGCAATCTGGTCTATTCGGGATAAGAATTAGCTTGTCTTCTTAGAAATCTGTGGGAAGTAGAATTGAAACTCACCAATCATTTGCGCTGAGTCAAAAAGCCGCGCAAGTGATTCCATATAGTTGGCATGTGGACCCGAAAACTGAGCCTGATTCACCAGTCGTTTGGGGGGGCGGCTGGTAGGATTCAGAGTCATGGGCAGGGTTTCCAGGATCGGCGAGTCGAGACCGTTGTCGTTGACTTTGTTGCTATAAGAGCTGGCAAGACCAGCCGAAGAGTTCTTTGCCCTTAGGCGGCGCCAAGAGAATGGTGCCGAGGACTTTGAAGAAATACTAGCAGATCTGGGAGGATTTGCAAATGGGGTCTCTCCGTCCAGACCGCTAAGGGAATCCTTGAATAAGGTACTAGGGCTCTGGACACCGACTTCATGTCCTAGCTTGCGCGTAAGATTGGCTGTCATCTGCTCTAGCACACCCTCCAGAGCTTGCATCTCTTCCAGAACAGCGTCGGCGTCGCAAGTATCAACCTGGGCCAACTTCGATAATGCCGCAGTTAGATAGTCACACGTGGAAATCTTGTCTTCAATATTGCGCAGCTTCACTCCCTTCACTTTCCACACTTCTTGAGGAACGAATACTCTGCTACTGAGGTAGCCGCCCCGCGAGTGCGCGAGGGTCTGGTAGAGACACCTCATTAGCCAGAAGGGGCGCAACATAAAGTCGTTGGGACAAGGCTCTAGAGCAACGGGAGCATCGCCCCACTGAGAGTCCGGGGAGCCGGGCCGAGATCGTCCTTGGAGTCCGCCATCGAAGAGATACAAGCTCTCAGCCGAGTCTGTAGGGAATTGTTCATCGAAAGTGGATATCATTGGAGTTGAACTAGTTGAGAAGCTCGGTAGCCTGCCAGTAGAGGCAAACGGGTTGCTCGACGGGGTCCCCGGCGACAGGTCCTCGTCGAGGTTCGACAGAGACATATTCCGGCTCCTAGCACTGCGGAGACTAGACGACGAATAGTTCTTCGTCATGAGTGAGCGCGCCAGGGGTGAAGTTGCCCGCCTAAGAGCATTCTCCGCCTCGTTTTCATCACGCTCTTCAATTATGGGACTCTCCTCGGCAAGTGAGGTAACTCCACCGCCCAAACGCTCAGGAGAAGAAGTACCACGGGCCCTAGTTGATTGGACAGGAGGAGCGGTTACGGCTGCTTCAGGCATTGATTCTCGCAAGGGAACTCGGGTCAACTTGGACGTCTCAATCTTCAGCTGCTTCATGTTCTGGCCGCTCAGTCGTCGACTTCGCACACCTTGATCAGGGCTTCGGGAAGGTGGCCTGATAGACGGCATTGGTAAATCGGGGAGAGCTTGAGTTGGCGGTGGGGTCGCCGCCGTTCGGGAATTAATGGCAACACCTGCGCCGACATCCTTCGGGGGAGACAACTCGGTCACAGGCGGCTGGTCTGCGCCCCCAGCACCTGCGCCCCCAGCACCGCCAGCGCCGAACCATGTTTGAGAATCGCCCCTCGGGGGTATCTCTTCGAACTCGTCGGGGCGTCTTCCGAAGGCAAAATCCTCAATTTCATAGCCGCGTGTCATTTCCTCCAACATGCGCTCCTCGTCTTCGGATGACTCGTCATCATAAAAGTCCTCGGGAACGGTAGGTGAGCCGTATGCGTTCTTCGCATTTTGCACGATTTGCGGGTTGTTGAGCCTCATTTCTCTCTCCTGCTCGAGACGCAGTGATTCTAATTCGCTCTGCCGCACGCGCTCTTTCGCCAGTTCCACCTTTTTGAGCGCGGCTGCGACAATTGAAACGCCCTCTTCGTCCGAGTCCATGGGCACGAAACCGTCATCGTAAGCGGCTTCCACGGCTGCATCCAGAGCCGCATCGAATTCCGCTTCAGTGTCGCCACTCGGCGCGCGTATATGTTTCCTTCTAATGCCCAAAGACGATGTACGTGAGTGTACAGAGGAAGATGTAGAACCCACAGAGTCGGCCTTCGAGTCTAGCCACGAATTTGACTCCTGGCTTGGACCTCGATAATGAGAGGTCCCCATCGAACCTCGTGTTGCGTTGACCTGCATGGATGAGAAATGGCTGGTGGGAATTAGGCTCGGGGTGTGCGGTGGGCCGAGTCCGGTCGGCTCAGAAGGACGGCGGGGAGAGAGTGGAGGCGGCATATCCCGGTCTACATCCGGGCGTGGAAGGTGAAGATTCCTTTCGGGTGACCAGTTCGCGTTAAGGCCAGGGGGCGGCGCCGAATACGACTCGGCGTCAACAGCAGCGCGAGTACTCGCCCATCGCGGGGGGTGTACGATGTTATTGGGTGGCGTCTGGTTCTGGTTCTCTGGATTTCGAATGATGCGCGTAACAGTCGCCGTTTGGATTTCAGAGACTTCGGCCACCTCATCTTCAAGGTTAAGGGTAGTGGTGGTAGATGGCGGGTAGCTGTCGCTATCCGGTCTTGCGGGGAGAGCCTTGTCGTCGTCTACCATCATCAACTCTTCTTGGGCCAGCTGGTCCAACTCGTCAATGCGACTCGTGTATGTTTTGCGCTATGAACAGAAGAGGCGATTAGCCAAAGGTCAAGGTGATACCATTTCAAGAACCAAAGCATACAATCGCTTCAAGTTTCCTCCGGTCCTCCTCCGAGCTCGTCTTCTGAAGGACCTGCTGAAGAAGCTCACAAGCCTCAAGGTAGGAGACTCTTGCCCCTTCGAAATTCTGGGCATTGTCGAGTTGCACTGCCGTATTCGCTTTTTGCAAGGCTTTGGAAAGCATAGCTTTCTGCGATGATCTGCTCTGTCGGGTGCTAGATAGGGCCTTATCACTACCCCCTCGGGAGCGAGTCCGCGAGTGGCCAGGGGCTGGCGGCGTCATCTGTTGGTAGGGCATCGCGAGGGTCCTCGAGCGACGGATTCGATTCTAGCGATCAAGGTTTCGATATTGAGGCCCTGGGGTATCGGTACCGGGGTTGCGTCGTCTCACTACCGGGTCATTGCTCTATACACAGCGCGGAACACGACTATGTGCCCAGCATACGAAGTCGGTCAAGCGCCAAGGGTTAAGCGTGGAGACTTGGTGAAAGAGAGGTGTCGTTCGACGTGGTTATAAGCCCTCGATATGACGTCGAAAGTGGCCTTACCAGTCGGAAGCGAGAAGGGCCGCGGGTCCGCCAGGCGATTGGAAGTTTGGTGTTTCCCGAGGACGATGTAATGCCGTGGACGGCCTGGTTTGTTTCAATGAACGGTCAGTCTCAGCATTCGCCCAGCCGCCAAGTCTGGTCAGTCGAGACCCCTGAAACCACCTTGAGACTCTGCCACTTTGGGATTGCGGGGAGCACCATGACTAATCTCGGTGGCTGTCCAGGGTCGAAGTGCACAATCAGAGCGCGGGCGCCAATGTGTGTGTGCCTTCATCAACGACTGAACAAAGTATGCAGGACCCAGACCACATCATCCGCGACTTCCAATAAACTCCCAACAATGAACAATGTTGTGGGACAATGAATTGTACCAATGCTGGGATCAATCCTTCGTACCTGCCTCCTGCGTGGTGCATCTGCGAGGCTCAATTGACCAATTACGAAAATAGTCCCGATGTACGAAGTACGGAGCACAAGTCAATGAGTGGCGATTCATTGTTGATACTCCAATGCCCCTTTTTCGAATTCTCGTTTATTATCGGACATTACTTCGTAATGGCAGAAACCAACGCCCTGATTCACTACAAGGTGGATTTGCCTCGGCCATTATGATATTATAAATACCTGTGTACAAGCGGAGCAAAATCAGCCATCGATCGCCCGCAAAGGGCAGACATTATTGAATAACTGGAGTACTGTTTTTTGGTTGAGGTCTCTGAGCATGCGCAGATGATGGATTTTGGCCGATGTTACACAGAATGATTTGCCGTTTGAACTCTGGCGATTTATAAACATCTGCTCTAGTGTTTTCCTTCATCTCCTTCGTAGTAAACGAATATCTCGAAGTGTTAACTAAGCATCCGCCCCGAGTTCGAGCAGTTTAGGGTGGCATCAACATCGGGGCACGACAGCGAGAGCCTCTTGACATAAACAGGCGGTTTCAATATCCCCATTCCTGGCCTATCTATCAGTACTGCTTAGGGCCAAAAAACGCGATACAATTGCTGCTATGCGGATTCCCAAGAGTGGACGTGTTCTAAGGCGGGAGAGGTCCCATCAGTTGGCTTGGTATGATTGAGCCCCTTGTCCTTGAAGACCCCTTAATATGATGGGAATAATGGCCGCCTCTCTGAGCAACGTCAGGTGGCCAGCTTCTTCCCTGACGGGGATCAATGTCGGGCGATTTGACCTCAATCCCTCACCACCATAGTCGAGAATATGTGAGGTTCTAGTAGTGAAGCCCCTCCTTCGTTTATATCAGGATCAGAGAAACAGGTATCGTCAACATTCCGCCTCTCGGAATCCAACCCGGTCAGTTTCGCCTATATCGAGCCCGACCTAACACTGAGAGCCAAAGGCACCCAAGTGGAAACTACTTGCCTTGCCGTCCTGAACCGGTTTTGGAACAAATCAAGACATCGCCGCTTGATGGGTCATGCTCCTACATTAGAACAGCAGTCAGCAAACACGGTCTCGGCCTCTTCGGCTGGTTAGGCGGCAGACGGCTCCGATCCTTCTAAATACCGGATGCCACATTAACAATTGATATGCATGCGCACAACAAGCCGGGCCGATCTTAACCAAGCTTGCATCGCAGAGAACATCTAAAGAATCAATCCACGGTATATATAATCCCCCAGTGGTTCACGCCAGCGCAACAACACGTCATCAAAGGGCAGAGGAACACCCGCGATCGCTTTTCTCCAGCGCAGTCGTATTCTTCCGAACCAGGAATCGCGAGGTTTTGCTTGGGTCCTAAATTAGCTCCCTTGTCTCTTCTCGAAACTCAATTGTATGATTAGTGGGATGGGAAATTTCCGAAACAGAGCGTCGCACCCGACTTATTTCCCCAGCTGCAAGGACGAACGACGCACTCCCCTTAACTTAGATCCCTCCTCCATCCTTACGAGTGGAAATAGCGAGTCGTGATTGCCGGAGTTTGTAGAAGCCCTCCGGCGTAGCGTACTACTAGTTCTCTTGGCTGAGGGTACCGTAATCGTAAATCACCCTGGGAAGTGGGAAGTGATGGGTATCATCATGGGGAAATCGCACAACTATAACTAGGCCTTGCTCCTCGCCGATGGGTTGGCACGAAGTCCCTTCTTCCTTCGGGACCTGTCATATCAAAGCCTCTGCTGTGTGCCAAACTATCGAACTATCCATCTGTCAAGTAGTCTCGGATCCTCAACTTTACCAACATGGTGTCTCGAACAGTTCTCGCCCTCCTCATTGCTGGCTCCGCCAGCACCGCCCTCGCCGCCTCCGGGTCGGGCAGCTCGACGAGGTATAATAACATTCTCATGCAACTGAGATGACATTGGCTAATATAGCATAAAGGTACTGGGACTGCTGTAAGCCGTCCTGCGCCTGGTCCGGAAAGGCCAACGTCCTCCAGGGCCCCGTCCGAAGCTGCGACAAGAACGACAACCCCGTCGACGCCAGCGTAAAGAGCGGCTGTGACAATGGCAGCGCCTACACTTGCTCCAACAATTCTCCATGGGCTGTCAACGACCAGGTAGCCTTTGGCTTCGCTGCCACTCACATTAGTGGCGGAAACGAAGCTAGTTGGTGCTGCGCTTGTTACAAGTACGTTTCTTCCTCTTCCACAGCTAGATCTACTAGATGGATTTGAAATCTGATTATCTTATCTTACTTCCAGATTGACCTTCACCTCCGGTCCCGTCGCCGGCAAGACCATGGTCGTCCAATCCACCAACACCGGCGGCGACCTCTCCGGCAACCAATTCGACCTCCAAATGCCCGGCGGCGGCGTCGGCATCTTCGACGGCTGCGCCTCCCAGTTCGGCCAGAGCCTCCCCGGCGAGCGCTACGGTGGCATCTCCTCCCGCTCCCAGTGCGACAGCTTCCCCTCATCCCTCAAGGACGGCTGCTACTGGCGCTTCGACTGGTTCAAGAACGCCGACAACCCAACCCACACCTTCGAGCAGGTCCAGTGCCCCAACGAGCTTGTCGCCATCTCGGGCTGCCGCCGCGCCGACGACTCCAGCTTCCCCGCCTTCCAGATGCCCTCAAACCCCACGACTACTCCTCCCGGCAACGGCGGCGGCAGCTCAACCTCCACTAAAGCTCCTACTACGACGACCTCGCCTCCTCCATCTGGAGGCGCTGCGCAGTGGGCTCAGTGCGGTGGAATTGGCTGGACTGGTCCCACTTCTTGCGTGTCTCCATACACGTGCACGAAGCTTAACGACTGGTACTCCCAGTGCTTGTAGATAGCGAAGAACGAAAAACAAGAAACCGTCTGGGATACGACTCCTAGAGCGGTTGAGCCAAAAAGGCAAGGCAAGCAGGTTATATTTTGTTTGTAAATATTTTTCAAGTCGAAAATGACTGTACATAGTATGTCCAAGCAAGTTTTTCGTCTTGCTTGGAGAGAAGTGAAATTCGTTGACATGATGTGGCATGTTAGTTCCGTTCATCATGTCTAATTTGCAATGTGATCCTTTCCAAGTGATCCTTTCCCGCAACTTAATAGTTGCAAATACCACCAACTTCTTCATCCATCTCCCAAGCTCCGGCGAGGCCATTAGCCCCGGTGTCAATCGGCGCAACATCATCCGGGATTGGCTGTTCGGGCATCTTCAAGATTTCGTCATGGGTATCCGACTTGATCTTTTTGTTCATAAAGTTGCGAGTCCATTCGGCAATAGCAGGCTCACCAGTTTCATCACGGGCCTGCTTAAGGAATGGCAACAGCGCAGTACCTCCCGTGCCGGTGAGGTTAGACTTCTTTGCGCCTTCAGGTTCGTCGCGTCGGCCAGTGGGCTGCTGGTTCTTGGAACTAGCAGTGGCCAGGTTGAGACGCTGGCGGGTAGCCGCGGGGCTTCGAGATCGACTTCTGGCACGAGACTCACGGGCCTTCATGACAATGTATCGAGTGACAATGGCAATGTGCTTGTCTCGGAATGCGCTCAGCATGGCAAGACAGGCATCGTAGGCCAAGCACAGCTCGGAGTCATCCTTGTGCGACTCCACAAACTCGCGAATGTTGGCGACCTGCTCAACATCGTCGAGGAAGCGAGCATGGTCCTTGGGCATGTACTTGCGCATCTCGCTGAGGAAGTTGTGTCCTGCGGCCGAGCCCGTTTTATCGGCGCCAGGGCCAGCAGGACGCTTCGCCCCAGTGGGGCGATGCTGGATTCCCAAAATGATGTCGAAGAACTGGATCAAGCTACTCTGGGCATTACTTCCGCCACTGTAGCATCGATATTCAAGTTTGCCATGAGCGTCTTCGTACATGACACCATGGGGGAGACCAGCATCAGACATGTTCTTGGTACCAGCGAGGAAAGGGCGAATCCTGTGGTAGAAGACGGTCGGGTCGCAACTCTCATGGATGCGCTGAAGAATCGCCGTCAGGTCAGTGAGGCGCTCAGCGAACGTGCGAAGGCAGCGCGTGACGGTTTTAGTGTCGTTGCGGCGCGCAGCTGCAATGGCAGTCATCATAACGGGAAGAATCGGAGCTCCACGCGCTTCGATGGCGACGGAGATGAGGTAGAACCAAGACTCATCGAGGGAACCAGTAAAGGTGATCAAGGTGGCAAGGTTCTCCAACTCATCGATGGGTTCGTCGGCAAAGATAGGCTTGAAGTTCCAAAGGCAGAGGCCGGCGTAGGTTGCGATGGGGGGCAACTGGAGTCGCTCGGACACCTCAATCAGGGGCACGGAGATGGCGGCCGGCAGACGGTCGGCGGGATAATCGCCACCCCAGATGTAGGCATGGGCCAGGAAGCAGAGGATGCAGTACGCTCTGCGCCATTCTGCCTCGTGCTCAAGACCAGCGGTGGAAAGGACCGGGAGGCGGTCAATAACGGGACGAATGCGTCGGCTAAGAATCAGAGCCTGAAGCTCGGCGATGATTGCTTCCCACTTGTGATAGTAGGGATCGGGAAGTCGAGTCAAGGGTATGACATCCGGCAAGAAACCTGTAGTCGGAGAGATACCATAGTCGCTAAGGACGGGAATGTCAGGGAGCATTGCTTGGTTTATAATCGGGTATGTGGCTTCGGCACACACACGTCAATAAGATTTATGTGGCGTTGTTGGTGCTCGTCTTCGAGACTGCGACGGAGGGTGGGTGCCCGGGGGCGACAAATGTGAATTTCTTTGAAGAAATCAAAAGTCCTGACGCAAGGAGTATGCAGATAATTGATCCGCGATACTCCTCAGCCGTGCGAAATATCGTGTATAGAAGACCATGCGACGAGGACGAGAGAAGAGTCAGATCTCTGAGGAACTGTCCGAGTTTGAGATGAGGTTAAGTTGGGGAGGGAGAGGTGGGATGGAAAAAAGTGAGGCGTGGAGGGGTTCCAGTAAGTTTTGTTTATATGAGAACGAGTCCTATTGTTGGCCAGAACACAACAATAAAATTGATACTTGTGTTGAAAATGGGGACAATAACAGTCTAAAGTTGCCGAGACTGCTCAAGTGGGGGTTCCTAATGGCAATAGACAATGAAAATGCTAAAAACTGCCGTTTATTGGAGATGGCAGATGGGAGGGCTCTGGGGAGGACGGGGTGGGAAGGTGCTAGGAAGACTCGGAAAGAAAGTGTTCATGTGGAGTGGCGGAAAGAGCCATTTTATTCACTTCAGTTTCTATTTTCATCTTTTTCACGATTATTAACAAGAGACTGAAGAAATGGCGACTATTGGGAGGAAACTACTAGTTTACATGAGTGGTCTAAACTGGATTGGAAGGCGAAGTCGACATCTCCGCTCCGCTGCTCAGATTCTTTGTGTGAACGCCACACGCGGCAATGGAAACGTAGGGAACATGCGACGAAAGAGAGCGAGGGAGAAAAATCCCACAAAAAGTCCGTCCTAAAAAGGGGAGAAAAAAGAAAACGCTGCCGCTAGGTTATTCCCGGAGATACACGACGTCAACTGGGCACCGAGTACGGAATGGCCGCGAGCTTGTCGGAGAATCTTGGGGAGGGCCAAGTCTGCGGTTGGCTCGGTTGGCTCGATTGGCTGCTCTAAGGAACCAGGCACCTGACCAGCGTCACAAAAATGGAAGTCGATTTGCGGCACCGATGGACGATTCGCAGAGGTGGTGTTGATCAACTTCTGCACATGAGAAGCTAAAGAGCACTTTCGTGCATCAAGAGATGTAGACGCATTGTTCCTGGACATCGGATTTGGTTTGGGTCAAGGGTGGGAGAGTCTCAAGTACTTGGTACGCCCCCAGATGCACGCACGACATCAATCGATGACGTTAAAAGTAAACTAAAAATGTGATATGCACTGACGCTTTGACAGGTTCTCTATTCTTCTTTTGACGCGGGGATTACGAACGAGTTGCAGAATATCCTCGTTGGCTGGCGCTTTTTGGAAGTAATGAGATCTCAAGTACAGTTGTAACAATTTAAACCACAATGGGAGCATGTCAATTGACAAACCCATTGAGCCCTACGAAACTAATTCTAGTAGTAGTACAAGTACTATACTCGCTCGAGTACCTTGGTGGAACAGAATCAAGTCAATTCTCGGTCTCATGGAGATTTATCTTACGAGGTATTCTCTTGCGGACCCGACCGCCTCCGATTGTCCTCCGGTGCCCTCTTTTAAGCAGTTCATCAATTCACTGATCTGCCCTCTCACCACTTTACAACCACCCTTACAGCCACTCGTAACAACAACGTTGAATTGTCCTGTGGAGAGGATTTGTAATAGAAGATTTGACATTTCCGGTATGGATAGCTTCATGGCTTTCACTATAACTTTCACTATGCATGAAAGGGCTTTGCTTGTATTTTCCAGCCACCACCGACAGAGTAGAATCACATCCTGAACGCTGCCTTTGCAGTTCTCCAAGTTGGCAACAGCTGCTGACAATCGATTGTCATCCCTGCGTGAAGAAAGCAGCTCCTTGGTTTAGTCATCCCCCCCCCCTTCTTTTCTTGTGCCTACTTTTGCTGTTTGCCTCAAGCCTGAGTGGGGGAAGGGGCAGGAGTGGAGGTCCGAGCTTCTAAGCTCCATGACGAAACCATCAAACCGCAATTTGATGCCAGGCGCCTCCTCCGAAGACCTCGAGGACAGCTATCAAGTGAATGAGCACCGGTGCGATCCAGCCTTGTAGGCCACTTCCTGCGTCCCGGAAACACCCAATAAGCCATGCCTGTTCCCCAGCATGTTTTAAACTGGTTATACAGCGTCCTGACGAGTGTATGAAGCAATCATTCCTTCTGGCACCGCCATCGAGGCACTCCTCAAGGCAGGCCGCTAACTTAACCTCCTCTAGGAATATCACGATGTCAACAGGACTTACAACGATGTCGCGCAGGCACTCTCGCTGTATCCCAGTCTCTCGCCCCGGACAGACGTCCATAGTACGTCTACATCATTTAAGTCAGGGAATCAATTCCCGGTCGCCTAACACTAAGCTCCTTGCTTTCTCCTAGCCTTTGATAATGGCGTCTCTGCCCTCCTCGTCCACCTTTCTGGCACACTACCCGTAGTGTTTCGCGGCGCAACCTACCGCTTCCCAGTATCGCTGTGGGTTCCACATGCGTACCCTAAGGCCGCACCACTCGTTTACGTTAAACCAACCGAGACGATGCTCGTACGTCCAGGTCAATACGTCGATCCGCAGGGCCAGGTTTACCACCCCTACCTAGCCGCCTGGGCGAATTTCTGGGATGTAAGCGTGTCTAACCGTGTCGTTCTGGCCGTCTTTTATTGCACTTTATTGCACATCCGCCTAACTCTCGACCTAGAAATCCACACTCGCCGACCTTCTCACAATCTTAACCGACATATTCGCCAAGGAACCCCCAGTCATCGCACGTCAGCCACAGCCACCGCAGGCAGCTCGGCGCGCTTCCCCATCCACCGCTCAGTCTCCCCAACCTGGGCCCGCCTCCCCCCCATTTCCCCGGCCTCCTTCCATCCAGCAAATCCAGCCCTTGGGCGGCTCGAGTCAAGCCCCGCCCCCACCACCGAAGCCCGGCGCACAGCCCGTTTCCACTCCGACTCCGCCGCCTCCCTTGAAACCTGAGCCCTTACCGAAGATTCCCCCTAAGCCTACGTCTCCCCCGGAACCAAGTTCATCAAGGGCCTCCGACCAGCCTCCGCACCCTCCTCCGCCGCCGCCTCGCCCACACAGTACTTATAACCAGACGACACAAGTCCCCGTGTCGACATTACCAGCAGAACCCTCTCGTGAGAGTCGTTTCTCACGCTACGAGTCAGCGCCTCCTCTCCCTCAGCAGGCTGCTCCCGCTCCGCACCCGCCAGGTCTGCCCGCACACTCGGCGGCTCCCCCGCATTTCGTTCAGACTCCGCAACATCCTCCCCAGTGGCCATCCTCCACCTCGCAACCACTGCCCCAGGCTTTCCCAGCCTACCAGCATGGTATCTATCCCGGAGGACCTCCGCAACAACCAGTACCACAGCAGCAAGTACCCATACTGGGTACCCCGCAGCAATTACAGGCCCCAAAGCGACCGCCTCCTCCAGATCTCCTCGATGAGCCTCTTGATATGAAAGAACCAGAGCCGAGCAACGTCCCACCGCCCCCTATCCCCCCTAATCCAGAAAGGGATGCCCTTTTGCGCCAGCTAGGTAAAGCCCTATACCAGGAACGCGAAAAGAGTCGCCAGAGGAATGACGCCTACATAGCCGGGCTCGAAGCTCAACGTGCTGCGATGATCAATGCCTACAATACCCTCAGCTCTGAACGGCAGTCTCTTAGCCAGGTGTCGGCACTTCTTAACTCTAATGCGACGATTCTCCGGGAAGCTCTCCGCAAGGCTGATGCGGTCATTGAAAGTTCCCGACAACACCCGCAACCGGATATTGATGAGTTGTTGGTGGCGCCTACCGTTGTTGCCAACCAATTGTACACTCTGGTCGCGGAGGAGCGGGCGATCGGAGATGCGATTTTCATGCTTGGTCGGGCTGTCGAGCACGGCCGCATAACACCTGCCGTATTCGCTAAAACTACGAGAAGTCTTGCCCGTGAATGGTACCTAAAGAAGGCTCTAGTGAGGAAGATTGCAACGGGGATGGGTCTGTCTGTGTGATGACCTCTTCTCTCATGCCGCGGATTGGGGATCGCCAGTCTACCAGTTTTAGGGACCTTCCACGCTTGGAGTTGTTACAACCCCGACGCCAAGGACCAATACCACTACTATACCAATCCCTAGGGTACTATCCAGGATTCCTATTTAAAGTCTGGACCAGACCTTGTGGTTGAGTGTGTGTATACTGGCTAAGCCGCCCCCAGCCGAAATTCTTAGGTCGACAGAAACGCGACGAGGGAAAGCTCCATTGTCGCGCAAGCGCCATCAACCTTGAAGTACGATGTGCATTAGCCTTCGCCTCCGCTGGCCGTCAGTTACCGACCCAGAACTTTTTCTTCTTGATTCCGCTCTTTCTGGATAAAGGGCTCCTGCTACCTCGCTACCTCACTACCTCACGTGCCTACCTCTTTAAACTCGATACCACATAGTGACGCCGGCAACCTGTGATGTGGTTGGGCATGAGCGATTTGCGCATCACTTGCAGGCAGGTCTATTGGCATGGTGTGTCTAGTATTTCGGCTTAACCCGTCTGATAGAGTTAGGATTTGACCTTTGGATTCGACGCACCACCGGAGGAAGGGAAAAAGGCCAGCAACATTCATGTTCAACTATCCTACATCTCGCATTCTGTGACAGCGGTGTCCAGAATCATCCTAGATAGCCATACACAACCGTGAAGGAGCAGAAACACAATCTAACACCTTAACTCCTCTCTGAGAACATGAAACAATAAACTTTGAAAGTGATCCACTCGTCGTAGCCATGACACGTCTCAATCAGCCCTACTCCCCGAGCCCATAATTGACAAGTTCCCGGCCTCTAAGGCATGATGATTAAAAACCTTCCCTTCCGCCTCAACATATTTTAGACCAGTATCCTCCAAAGTGTTACCCTCCCTGGTTTTATGGAGCGGTGTGACAGAACGTGAAGTTGGGTCACTATCAGCAATGCTCAGGTGTCTGTCGCCGGGTCTGCCCATCCAGGTGCGGATCCAGTGCACATGGCGATGAGGCTGGTGAGACTCGTTCTCATTAGGCAAACGCTGGGCGGATCGGTCAGTGAGCCGATGGGCGACGAGGGTGCCGAGAGGGAGGATAAGGACAACAGACGTGTAGGTGAGTGAGGCGGCCTCGAAGTTGACGAACGTGGACCACTCGAGACATGCGAAGATGACTGTAGCTTAGATGTTAGCTTTGAAAGTGCAGAGTGGTAAAAGTGTTGGAGGCTCTTCCAAGGACGCCAATGCTGAATATGCAGTATCAGGTATGCGATATTGACCACCCCAATATGATAAAGGAAAAGGAGAAAAGAGAAATAAAATAAATATAAGATAAAACAAAAGCTTACCCGGTATGATCATTAGAAGACCATTTGCCATGATTAACACCTCAAAGGGTTTAATTCCATTCTTGGAAGGAAGGAATTTCCCATGCTTCACAAGATGGGTAACGAGCTGCACATTGAAAAGTGCACAGAAGCAGCAGATCGATAAGGCGTCGAGGATGATGCTATAACCAGCCACCCACCGGGCATCGCTAGCGCTTTTCATGGCAAGAGTCGCCCTGACTTGGAATATGCAAAACGCCAGACGAAACCCTATCGTCGTGAGGCAGACTGCCAGCGAGAGGGTACAGACGATCCACTTGACCCTCAGAGACCAGGGCTTCACTATCGTCCAAGATTGGACAATAAGCGAGGCATGGGCAAAAACGACGACGATGTAAGAGGAAATCGTTCCCGCAACGCTATTGCGCATATCCGTTTCTGTTATCCGCGAATAGTCGCCCGAGAACATGGTGTAGAACTCGGTCCACTTAGACGGGAAGTAGATGGATAAGAGGACCATGCGGATGATATTAGAGATGAGAGAAGCAATGTGAAGGATCGTGCACATCTTGAAGAACTTGACTTTGGGGTTCAATGTGAGGACGACGATGAGCATTATGAAGGATGCGCCGATTTGCGAGCCGTAGTTGATACTGATGCCGAACATCTCGTGATAGTTCCTGTCAAGCGAGGAGACGTTTATGGACAGGGCGGCCCCATTGGCGGTAGTAATGTCGAAAGACTGCTTCGAGGGATCGAAGGTATCCATTGTTCGGAATTAATATGTCGTCGCTCTGATGTATGAAGACTTGTTTCAAGGAGGTCGACTGGATATCTAATTCTTATATCACGACGGGCAATGAAGCAACAAGCTATATGCGTTCGGATCTGCTGAATTCTGGATGAAGGACACCAGATCTTCTCTGGGACTCGGGATAAGGAAGGATTTTATAAGTGAGAGGCGGAAGACAGGGCGGGCATAATCATTGAAGTAACTTCAAATCTGAGTATAAGCGCCTCTTGAAAACGCGAGAGGGTATATACGTGTACGATCCCCAATTCTTCATGCCAATATCTTGGAGAGAAGCTCATACGCACTACCAACAGAAAGGGAAGCGTCGTCATGAGGCGAAGTATGCACAACATACAAGATCGGTAGTTTCTGCCGAAACGGTAGATGCTAACAAGGGCAATGAAAAACCTGCTATGCAGCTCATTCTCTGATATAATTTTGAGCTTGATATCATTTCGAGGGTTTTTGACTATACCCAAACCACCGTTGCCTTGGTAGCATCAACAGCATCATGATACCATTGGATACTAAGACGACGCTGATTCTTCATCTTTCATGACGCATTCGGTACACCGCCCAAGCGATAATCAGCCCGAGACATATGTACTAGGGAGGTGGCTGCGCGGAGGCCCTTCTTCATTCTTCATGATCGCGATGGCACCGATTCCTAACGTCACTTGAGAAAGACGCACGCCACTTTCCTAGGCCTACCAAGCTTCTGAGGATAAGGAATTGCGCGCAGGTGATCACGGCTATGCAGAACACGTTGTGACTTTTCTCGGTATATTAAGTATTTCCCTGGAGAAAGGTGCAAGCCTCTCCGTAGTGCCAAGTCAGGAGTCATAAAAGGTTCTGTTGTCCATTGCGCACCTATTCGGCTTTCATCGCGGGCTGGCTTGCGTTTGACTGAAAAGCTGGAAAGCTGGAAAGCTGGGTTGCTCTAGTTTTTAAGAATGGTGTTTATGATCCTCTCTATATCAAGTCAAGGATGTCATGAACGTCGTGCTCTTCGTCGACTTGATATAGATAGTAGTAGGGCTCCCAAATACTTCAGTGAGAGGTCCGGCGCACGGTGTTGCTCCCTGCGTAGCTCTTGATTCTGGTCTGGGGCGGAAATGTGAAAAAGTCTGTGCTATCATCACACCAATGAACCTGGTAAACCCAGTCTCAGGGAATCGGATCCTAATTCTGATTTCATCCCACTGCCTCGATCCCTCCCTGTTTTGCCAACATCGGTCTTCGACACGGCTTTCTAACTAAACCAACAACGGAATCATTTTCTCTAGAGAATCATTCATAGCGGGGGATAAGGAAGGGAAAAAAAAAAGAAAAATTATTACACGACCCGTATGCGCGTCCTCCAACATTAGCTGCTAATTTCCTTTCCTAACTTCTCAAGCTCCTCCTTGATAAACTCCCTGGCGTTCAATAGCTCCGTGCTTCCATAGACGACTCGCTTCTTCGCGCGGTCGCCGCCTGTCCTCGCCACCCACTCCTGTAGGTTGCCATACTCATCCATGCTCCCACCGCCGACGGTAAACACGACGGCATCGGTGAAGCCCTGCCTCCTTTGGCCGAAACTCGCGCCAGTGCCGGCTCCGTGAGCACCGAGGCCGGTTGCGCCGGGCATGGAGCCGGGGGGGTTGGCGCCGCCGGAGCGGATCGCGCTTGGCGGAGGCATGGTGCCGCGGGCATTGGCGGACCGAGGATCGAAGTAGAGGTAATTCTCCGTCTTGGCGATGGCCGAACTAGATGCTGTGGAGGGATCCATTATGCTCTCAACAATCTTGGTAATGGTGAGGTCGCGATTCGCGGGGAGGAAGTTCTTGATGCCGCCGATGAGGGATTCGAAGTTGGAGGACAGACCGGTCGGAACACCAGTTTCCTTGAGTCGATCGGTAAGCCGATTAGAGATGGAGGAGAAACGCTGGAAGAGGTCGGTGGAGGATGACTGTTGGGCCGCCGAGGTGCTGTTGATGGTTGTTAATTGGGTCATCTTTGTTGTGGCGCGGACTCTGTAGTCTAACATTAGCGGACATTCCTTCATTCATTGGGAAGTTGTTGGACAAGGGAGGGGGAAAAAAACGAACTGTCGGATATAAGCCAGCGATTCCACGTCAACGCCCAACTCGCTAAAGGCCTGTGTAAACTCTTCCCATTCGGAACGGCTGACGTCGAGTTCGGTGCTTAAGAACCAAATCACAAATAGCCGGAGCTTGTCAATTGGGAGGTTGCCTTTCGTCTTGTCCTTGATAATCTCGAGTATCTGTGCCTTGGTATGCTTCATGACATTCTCCTCGATCTCGAAGAAGCTGTCGAGTTGTCGGTCTTTTATTCCGGTAAGTAGGGCCGCGAGGATATTCATGTGCATGTCAAGGATACTTTTCCGTTCCCTCATCTCTGGCAGCAACGTTATGGCTGCCTTGAGGTGCTGGGCGCTCGCACTGGTATCATTCTGCAAGTCCTCCAGGTCGGCGACACCGGTCCTCTTGGTAATCGCTGCTGTTTCCTCCTTGTACCGTGTGAGTTCGGCGTCAATATCCTCAGCAACCTGGGGGAAGGGGAGAGCCGCATTCTTTGCCCAGAAGAAATCATTCGCCGTGAGATCATAGCTCTTCTTGGAAGTGCCCTTGCTGGGATTATTCTCGTCTATAGGGGTTTCAATAGTAATGCGGTTGAGTTTCATGTTAAGCACATCGTGGACAAGGGACTGGTATGTCCACGAATGTGAGAGCATCGGGATTAGGTCAACGTTTCGGTCGAGAATGATGAGAACAGGACGAGATGTGGGTGTGCCGCTGGCCGAGGAAGTAGGTCGAGCGCCTGGTGAGAAGAGGTTATCTTTGGAGTTGAGGATATGGTCTCGGAGTTTGCGGTCAAGTCGCGTCGCAATCATCTCAGCAGCAGCACCCTTGGGACATCGGATAATGGGAATGACGCCTTCGTAAACGTTAGCTCCTCAAACCTAGTAGTACGCAGGCGAGGGAAGGGATGGCAGGGGAAACTCAACCATACCAAGTGTTACGACAACGCTAAACAAGCCGCTTACAATCCTGTCGACCACCCGCTCAAGCTCCGCATCACTCGTCTTTGCGCTATTCAAAGCCCAGTACGTGTGCTCCTTCTGCAGCCCGAGACTGAAGAGATTCGGTTCCGCAACGATAAAGTTAAGATATTGGTCGAAGAGCTGCGCGATATGTTCGGACGTTCCGGCAGCTGCAGTTTCCGCAGCGAACTCTTCAAGAAGGACTCGGGGTAAGGAGGAGAGGAAGTTGATATGCGCGGGAGAGTAGAGTCCCTTCTGGAGATCGCCTGTAATCAACTGTAGGTTCTTCGAAGTAGGTTCGACGAGATATATTACTGGAACTTCGGGAATGGGGTGTCGCGATGCTCCGATGTGCCTTTTAAAGACACGATCTTGTTAGATAGGGGTTGTAGATACTCTGCCGCTTAGAACCAAAGACTTACATGTGCATAGTGACTCCCATAGAGCGTAAGTCGCTGACCCTGAGCACACTGCTAATGACATCGCGGCCGAGGTCATCAAAGACAAGGACCTTCCAGATCGGTTCGCCTTCGGTGGTCAGTATCTGGGCTGAAGTGGCGCGGACGCCGCCGTTGGCATTCGCATCCTCCGAGTCGTTTGTCTCGAGGTCATGGTTTAGGTTGAGGATCCGCTTAATAGAGGCTACAGAGACGATGTTAGGAGGCAATACATGCGATCAGGACTTAAGAAAGGGCGAGGCTTACCAACTTGCTTGTCCCTTAAGCTATTCTCCTTGGTCGCCATCTTAAGGTCCCCAAGCTAGTGGAGGGGCACTTTGCAATTGATCGACCCTGGTATGATGATAATATTGAAGCGCACACAGGAACCCTGTTCCAGTTAGCTTAATCAACCAGCAAGATGGAAGTAGCGTAGCTACCTTTATAGGCCGTGCATACAGAGGTGGTGGGCAAGCAAGATTGAATTCGAAATATCTCTGTTCTGAAATGGTCGCCTGTACCACGAGAAGAAGCTCTGCTGGCCAAAGGACTTGGGTGATGCTTAATTACAGTGCAGATGGGAGTTAATCGACTGTACACAGGTGGTGATACCAGGTCGGTAGAATACTGGGTAATCCAGCCAGGATTTCCATGGCTCCCGCCCAGGCAAGGCCGCTGTTGATGTCAGCAAGGGAGTACAATGCCAATGCAGGGAAGGAAAGCACGGGTCAGAGCTCGCTGCTGGCATTTGATTTTTACCTAAGACGGCTGAATTTCGAAACAGGAATGAGCCAGTTTGTCCGCCAGCCAGCTCCTTGACCCTTCCCGACCTCCTGTCTCTGCTCATCGTATTCCTACCTCCTGTTCCTCCTCTTCTCCTTAGCTCGCCAACAACAGCAACAACGCAGGCGACGTTTTACGCTGTCGACACTCGTCACTCTGCGACCGTAAAAAGCGGGTTTCTAGACAAGCTCCTCATTTCCTTCTTCTTCTCTTTACTTCCTGCTCGCGTTCTTTTGTTGCTCCGCCCCAGTTCGGCTTTCCCGAGTGTTGCCAGCTCGCCAACTCGCCAAAAGCCGCGCTGGGCGACTTAGCAATTTTCTCCATCGGATGCTCTCCCTGCTCTTTTGTACCTCTGTTGCCCTCGTGCACTGTGCCCAACCTTTTCCTCCCAGCACAACCCAATCTTAAACTCAACACCCGCACGCGACTCTACCTCATTAGGTTCGCCAACTCGGTCTCTTTTTAAAACCCTCGACCTGACCACCCCGTCAAATGTTGTAATCGTCAACTTGTTTTCGTTCTTAACTGCCTCGCCAAATGGGAAACATCGCCATGAATGGTTGCTTTCTCTGTAGATTGGAGGAACAAGCTCAAGTAGGTCTCTCTTCAGGTCCCGCACCAGCAGCGCCTTCAACATGAATCCCATCAATCCATCAATCCATCAATCCGTCAATCCCATCCATCCATCCATCCATCATCCATCCCCATCCCCCTTGTCTGTCCTTTTGTGTTCCCCTTCAACCTTTAGCCTCGTCGATTCCACCAACATCCCTTCGAGCCGCCATCGCTTCAGCAGCTTTGTATGTGATATCTTGGAAATCCTATTCTTTGGATACCTCCCCATCGCCCTGCATATTTAAACTGCGGGTGATGGTTGTGTGGTATGAGAATTTAGAAGAGGAAATGCTCAAAGAAAGAGAGTCGCGTGCGAAGGATGGAGAACAGAGTAGACACCTCTCCGTCACGCAGGCACGCGTACGAGCTGGTCGCTTTTGGCTCCTGTGTACAAGCATGAGCAAATAGTCGCCGGGTCGGACAATTCCAACTTTGAAAATTTCGGAGGCTCTTGTACAGCCAAGGCAGCAACATGATAACTTCACATAACTTCACATCCCATGCATCGCGACCGATCTGTGGCGCGCTTTGGAGATCTTTCCTTTCTTTTTCCCTGGAGTTGGGCAACTCCTTGGGAAGAGAGGGCTGGCCATTCTAAGTCCCGACCGTGTCTAAAATCCGACTTCGCATTCAATACTCTTGGCGCCTCTTTCTTTCGAACAGGCATTCAAATTCCGTTTTGCAAGCTGGTATTAATATTTCAGCTTGGATATGACACTTTGACCTTTACGATACCCAAGGGCAAAATAGGGCCGAGGCAAATCTCAAAATCTCTGGGGAGACGGAAGACAGAAAACACATTGGACAGACTCCATCAAGTGCTGAAGCGATAATTTCCAACCCGGTCGAAGCTGCAGGCCCTGCAAACACAACTCAGGGCTCTCTTCCTATTCTCAGCAAGGGCTGGGCGACTTTGAGGATGGCTACGATTCGCTTTTATATCGCCCTTCCACGTTCCATTGCTCACCTTGCCCACTCAAATTGCTTTCAACGTCGTTCACGGAATCTTGCTTCTCTATGCTGTTTTACTATTTTTCAAAACAATGCTAATATTTCCTTTGAACTCCTTCCCAGGCACACTATATTTCAGTCCTGATCTCCTAGTTCCGTCTTGGGTTAGCGGCGATTCCCTTTCGAGGTATGCTTGGCTTCTCACGACCGATTCTAAGTTATGTTTCCAATTAACAATTTTTTGTGCCCAATAGGTTTTTCCTCACTTAAAGTAAGTGGACGGTTACCAGCGCCTGCCGGTTTTCTGCTAGTGGGAAACTTGGCCGGAGTCACTGCCTCCCACACAGCTGGCAACTGGCTCATCAGATTACCAGCTGCTGACATCTGTCGTAGATTTCCCATTCCAAGACTCGCGATGGAGTCTTGGAATCCAAACCACCCAAATGGGTCAACCTCTGATGACCACAACGACTGGGCTGGTTATGGGTTTCCGGACCAGTCCGGACCTCTCGATGATGGCTCCCAGCCATGGGCCCAGTCCATTTCCGACCAGGCCATGTACTCGTCAATGGATCAGCCAACGCCGAACGGGACTGGTTTCTATCCAGCAACTACACACGCCGGGGGACATCTTATAAGCGATGGCCTTGGTGGAACTCCTTCACTTCCAGCGGGGGATTTCGGTGCAGGCCATGTTGGGTTGCCTCAATATCAGAATAGCCAAGAGTTCCTAGATCCCAGCTTTGACTCCCTGCAACAGGATCTCTTTAATGCACAGAACAAACTGGATATGGTTCCCGGTTTGGGTGATTTTTCTCCGGTCCAACCTCATCAACGCCAGCCCGGGGCCCAGGCTTTTCAACAGCAAGGTTTTCCTTTCCCATCCGGAAACGAGCATGCTTTCCAGCAGCCTCTATCCTTCTCCCCGTCTCAGCCGATGGGTCGGCCCCAGGGTCATCAATCCAATGCTCAACAAGCATACGAGATCGGACATCCCCAGCCGCAACAACCTCAACCCCAGCAGCCGCAGCCAGCACCGCAGGCACAACCCCAGCACTCTCAGCAACAACCACAGCAGAGTTATCAGCAACACCAAGTGTATACTCAGCCCGCTCAACAGCCTACTCGGCAGCCGATGGGAGGAGGCCAGATTTACGGCGGCCCACAAGCGGCGACATACCCCCAGGCTATGCCGCCCCAACAGAAGCTGGGGCCCGCATCGCAGAATACCCTTACCCAACCTCAACCCCAATATACACAAGCGTATTTGCAGCACCATCCTTCATCCTTCACCCAAACCACTTCCTCTCCATCACCCGCATCCACGCCGCAGCACGGAAATCTAACGCAGGCCGGGAGGAATATTTCCAGCCAGATTTCCTCACCCTCTTCTACACTTCAGTCTCCCGCGTCAAGTGCAAACGTTCAAGGAACCAAACGTACGGTGGAGCAGGCAGCCGCTCCTAGCCCTTCCCAGGCATCCGTGGACTCCAACATTTCAAGCGAACCGGCAGTCAAGAAGAGGAAACGTAGTATCAAGAAGGTCTCCGATACCGATGCGGTGCCGGCTAGCTTGCATACTGACGTCTCTATTAAGACGACTGATCAGCCGAGACCTCTCCCTCCGCCTAGGATGACTAAAGAAGACATGGACGCCATCAACGACTTTCTAAAAGTATCGTCTAGCGGCAAGACAAAATTCCCCGGCGTCCAGGGAGCCTTTTATCTTATAAGCCCCCGTACTATAAAGCTCCCAAGTAAGTTTTATCATTCGACCGACCCCCACCCCACCCGGCCAATGCAATGCGCTGCTTTTCATGCTAACTGTTTGAAAGCCCCCAAGAGTTATGATAAGTTGGCGCCTCTCGTCGCATTGCCTTCACAGTCTAGAAACCCCATTCTTCCTGGACGCACTCTCCCCTGTGAGATACAAGGTCAATTCACGGATAGGTTCAAGCCATCCGGTAACGGAGCGGGCCTTGAGGACCGAAGGCGTGATGCCAAGGATCTTCTGGCTCAGTTTGAGAAATCAATGGCCGGTCTAGGTTCTCGTCGTCCCAAATACACAGAATATCCTCGTAAGTGAATAATGAATGGCGCTCATCGTGACGGATTATCCGCTTTCTTCGAGACACTGACTTGATGGCGTTGAAGATGCATTCAAGGAGCAGCTCAAGGCAGATGAAGCGTCCAAGGCCAAGGCCGAAAGGCTTGCGCGGAAGCTCGCCGAGGAGGAACGTAATAAGCCTGTAAGTCTTTCATACCGTCCGACACGCAGCATGCATTCTATTGTCCTAAATAGCTAATAACTAATGGCAATTCTATTAGGTCCGGCCAGAGACTCGCCCGGATGATCCCATTGAGGGCGCAGCCTGGGACATTATCGGTATCGTCCATATCGATGCTTCGGCGACTCGAACCACAGCTCTGTTGGCAGGTGCTGTTCAGCAGGCAGGCGAATATATCATCGCGCGCCGAGCTGAAATGATGAGGGCGAGACAGGACGTCGATCAGGCGACCAGGGAGAAAAAACTCGAGGAAGTACCGAAACTCCAAGCAAATGCCGACTTGAAGCAGCAAATCCTCTGCCGCACGTTGGATGCTGCCAACGAGGTGGGCGATGAGGTAGTCTTAGAGAATCTCGGAGGCCACAGCAAACTGGTGCTTAACCTGATGAATCTACTGATCGCTTGCATCAAAGCCGGAGATTTCTCGGGTCAAATGCTCAAATCAGCTCTCCGACTGCTCGCAAACTTCAGGATCACTCAGAAGATAGCATCACAGACAAACCTGGAAACCATCCGGCGCCGCCTCTCGGATAAGGGCGATGCAGAAGTAAAGGAATACCTAGCTGCAATCATGTCAAAAATCAAGAAGGGCAAAGAGCCGGATTCAGAGGCATCTCCCAAGAAGTCTACGACCACCTCGTCAACCAAGGCAAAGCTGGCATCCTCGAAGATGGCCACCGACAGTGCTCCTGGTAAACGAGCTCGCCCCGATGAGCCCGACTCTCGTAGCGCCAAGAAACAAGCCATAGACTTGGGCGCAACGGCATCCTCCTCCCAAGCCTCCTCGAAGTCGGGAACAGTGGCAGGTGCTACCCAGTCGAAGCCCGCGTTAACCAAGCCTCGTCCATCGGCGGGCATTCTTCCAGGGAAGAGCCGAGCAGTTTCCAAACCCGCTCCCAAGATTGAACCCACCAAATCTGAACCTGTGAAGTCTGACACTGGCAAGCCTTCGACCACCGAGGATAAGCAAAACGTCAAGGTTGAGCAAAAGAAAGCGACAGTGAAGCCCGAATCGAAACCCGAAATTCCCAAACCTCCTAAACCCTCGTCAGTCTCCGCTAGCCTTGGAGGCATCGCCTCCCTCCTGGACTCGATCAACGCGCCAAAGCCTCAGGCCAAGCCCCCGCCGAAGGACCCCAAGGAAGATCGCGAGAAGAAGGAAACGCCCGAGGAGAGGGCGAAGAGGCTCAAGAAGGAAGCGCGCCGACGATTGCGCGTCAGCTGGAAGGCAGACGAAGAGCTCGAACAAGTGAGATACTTCCATAAGGAGGACGAGGAAGATACTGGTTTCGACTCAAGGATGACACGTGACGCGGCAGACGACAAGGGTGAAGGCATGGTTCTGAAGAGGCGAGGCAAGGTCCTAGACGAGGACGAGGAGGATGAAGAAGACGAGCTTCCCTATCGACCCTGGCTGGACCCTACGCCAATGGATTTCTCCAATATCCCTGAAGATTACAGGAAGAAGACCTACACAACTCGGGGTGGTGACCTTATCGTGAATACCAAGGAGCAAAAGTTCATGGCGGAACGTGAACAAAAGGTCCTGATTGCCATTTATCAGGATATTTCCGACATCCCTCCAACGCCCAAGAGCCCGCTAGCAAATAGGGCCGAACCTATGGTGGAGACTAAGATTGGCCATCTGCCGCGGGATGAACCAAGGTTTGAGGAAATCCATCGACGCTGGAAGGAGGTACAGCAGCTCGGAAGGGATTCCGCTTTGCAATATGCAATGAAACGAATTGATTCCAGGAAAGCTCCCGCCAACCAGGTGAACTCAATCCTTGATACTCTCAGGTCCGCCGCTGCCAGTGGCCAGGTACCCCCCGCTCGCGTACCGGAGTTGCACCAAGGCGCAGTACCCGCTGCGGTCCAGTCCTTGCCCCGGGACGAGCAGATCATTGCGCTTCTTACCAGCGATAGGGCCAAGCAATGGAAAGATCCGGAGCCCACTCCTACTACGCACCGTCGCCATGACTACCCGGATCCTCGCGTTCAACAAGCTGCTGACATTGTTGAGGAGGTTACAACTAAACTAGCCGGCCACCCGTACCCTCCAGTCGAGCCTCCCGAATGGCTCAAGGATAACAAGGAGGCTGTAAAGGAATGGTGGCTCGGCTACAACAAGGACGCTGCTGCGAAGGCGAAGAAGGAGGCAGAGGAGAAGGCTCGAGCTGAAGCTGAACGATTCACGGCCATGCAGAACCAAGCTGGAGCGGATGCCTGGGCTGCGTACTATGCTCAACAGCAAGCGTACGCCCCTTACATGGCAATCCTGCAACAGATGCAAGCCGGCAACGTTCCACAAGCAACAGCACCCACGTCTGCACCTGCCCCCGTGCCCGCTCAGGCTCAGTCAGGGCAGACAGGCACCAATGATCAACTTCAAGCTGTCCTTGCAGCTCTTGGGCAATCCCAGACCCAGCCAAGTACAGTGGCCCCAGCCGTCGCGTCCGGTGCGGCTCCTCAGATTCATCCCAACGACACTACGTATCAGCAGCTCATGATGCTTACGCAAATAGCATCGCAACAGCAGCAGAGCACGCAGCAACAACCACAGCAAGGTCAGCATGGCCAACAGCCACCGCCACACCACCACCGCTCCGGTGGCGACCAAGGTCTCACTCTAAATTACGACGACGCTCCCCCACGCGAATGGGACCGCGAGCGTGAGCGTGATAGGGATAGGGACAGGGATTGGGATCGAGACAGGGACAGGGACAGGGATAGGGAGAGAGACAGAGATGGCCGACACGGCGGTAATGGTCGTGGAAAGCACAAGACCTCGGGAAACCTCCCACCCCACCGGCCAGTTAACCGAGCGCTTATCGGAACCAAGCCATGCATATTCTACAAGCAAGGCACATGTGCCAGGGGTGACCAGTGTACATTCCGACACGAGTAGTCTGTTGCTTGTTAGGAGTTTGGCGGCGCCTTTATTTCTGTTTTTCCTCTTTTTTCCTTTTTCACTCGTTGTTCATTCCATTCACATGCTCTCGGCGTTTCTCGATACAAACAGCATGGCACAGGAGTCAGCGTGCCAGGAAGGAATACCGTACATACGATTGCCTCGGCAGGCATCAGCAAATACATACCAACAGGCGCATAATAAGCATGGGCGATCAGTCTACGAGGACATGTCGGTATCAGCAGGTTCTACGGTAGGCGATGGGGGGAAGCACGATGGTGGGATCCGTGGTTAGGGGTCTGCATGCATCACTGCGAGCCACGCCCGAGCCGGGCGTGTTATTAGGCTGCGGGAGCATTGTGAAGCAAGGCTGTCGTTACGGCAACCTTGTCAACTAATCTTCTCCACGAGTCTAAAAGGAGATCTTAGAAACAGTTCGCGGGGACTGTGACGACCTGTGTTTGAGTTATATATATGTATTCCTAGATGTACTACTACTACGGATGGTTTGCTTAAATGGCAGAAAGAAGCTGGGCATGTTCACCAGTCTAGTTTTTTTTTTTTTTTTTTTTTTTTTTTTTTTTTTTAACAATTGGTTGATGCCTTTGCCACATGCCGTGGACTTTTTGTGGACGTTTTGACATGTGCCTAGTGGGGCTCACCACTTGCAATTGTACGAGTTTTAACTGTTAGCAAAAAGGACACGAGCTAAATCATTGCTGACAACGCTGCTTGGCGAACGGGCATGTCTCTCCAATATTGATGATGGAGCCGATATAAAGGAGGCTAAAAGAGAGGATCCTGTCCGGAGTCGCCGTATCCAAAGGGGACATATAGCTTGTAATTCCGACAATCTGTCCCTTGGTAGAGCATGGAGGAAGTCAGTATCAGGGGAGCGCCCGCAACTCTCCAGAAGGCCTTGACGAGCCGACGCATCGATCGAGGGATGGAGTGTAGTGTAGTTGTAAGAAACTAATAAATAGCCTGAGTAAGTGGGGCATGGGATGGACGGCGGATATTGCGAGTCTTAGCATGGTGAGGTTTTCGGACCAGAAGGAGACGTTTTCCGCCAGGATGGGTGCTTTCCTAGTGGGTCGATGGCCCAGGGCGGTCGTATTTCGGCGGGGGGGGGAGAAGAACACTTGAGCGGCCCGTTAGAAGAACACAAAGGGAGCATCAATCAATGAGTCAAGGCTAAGCGGTAGCAGCAAGATGTCGTACTAGCACGAGAAGAGTATAATTAGAGAATCTCGAAGCTATCCTCCAAGTGGCATTACGTATTACAACGAGTACAGAGTACGTATTCAGTATATGTCATCGTAGCAGGGGTGTTGAGGGACCCAGCCAGCCAGCCAGCCAGCCAGCTAGCAGGACCGAGACGGGTGGGGGGTGAATCGCGGTGATTTTGTGACGTGAGAGAAGGCGACCTTGTGGGGACCTCAAACTTCTTATTCGCACGGAAGTACATCGCGGTGACCCGCCGACACCGTTGGGTTTGATGCTGTCGTTGAGCTGAGAAACAGCATTCAACGAAGAAAAGAAAGAAATCGAGCCTGAGACGACCAGCCCCTTTTAATTGAGGCCAGATATAATATCGAAGGGGGGATTCAGACACAAACACCCATGGTTGTCTGACGCTAATTTGCCTCGACAGACCATGTAGTACGAGGATAGTGCCAGGCCTATCTAAAGTGGGCGGGAAAATGCTGAAAGAAAGGCCGATTGCGATGGTTAGACCACCTCGCGCCCCGGGACCGGTCCTGGACACTTGGTGGGCAGGGGACCAGACAGGTGCCTCGTTGCTGAAACTGGAAATGTTACTGGATGCCCGGAGACGGGATGTTGGCGAGACGATTATGATTTATTATGATGAGATCAGATCAGTAACGTTGACATCCACGGGTAGCTTAGACGGAACAGGGCATCGTGCCGTCAGGGATAGGAGGTGATAATACTCTCCTGCAATGCACGACAAGAGTTTGCAAGGGAGCTTGCTGCCTCGGGATCCTATCGGAGAGCTTTTCAGATCCAGCTTGGCTCCCTGCTCCTACGATTCGAGGTCGTTGATACCGCATGTCGTTGGTAGATAAGGTGTCAGTGCCTGGTAACTTCGAAGTACGTAGTAATAATAGCACGGAGATCTGCATCTGGAATTCTGGATGCTGCAGATAGATAGATGCAGCCCGATCAGAAGGGACGAAGTATGAAGTACAAGCCTGGGTAAGAAGAAGAAGAGGCAGTTTCCCACAAGCAATCGAGCAATCAACAGGTTTCGGTGTTAAAGTATGTACTTCGTACTCATCCTCCCCCTTGTGAAGTGATCCGTTTCCTCCTTCCTTGTTGGAGCTAAGGAAAGGTACGTAATCGAGGTACACTTGTTAGTGTACAGTGCACTGTCCTCCCCAATCACCCCAATCATCCCTCGCTGCTTCTCCGTTTTGGCAATGGGAAATACTTGGGTCCTGGCCTGGCTCTTACATTTACCCCGCCGAAGCCCAACCTTCCTTCCGGCTTCCTAAGTTCCTCGCCAACATTGGACACTCTAGTCACAACAAAAAAACATCTCCCACACCCTCCCACTCAAGAACAGAAAGCTTGGAAACCCAGGCTTTTTCTCCTTCTTAATTCTTTTCATCGTTGCACTCGACACTAGATTCGAGGTGGGGTTTTTGCGAGGCATTTTTCCCATCAACATCAATACCATTTTCCCTCCTGAACAACTCAAAGCTTCTCGAGACTTGGAGCATAGTTACCCCAACAACTCTTGTCAGCTTCATATCCAAAGTAAGAGCTCCTGTGTGCCTTCCTGTTCCAACCAGGCGACTCCTGCTTGTTTACCTTCCTGCTTTACCTACCTCCTTCCTCCAGGACAAACAAAGCTAATTTTTTCTCCTCTTCTTCTCTTCTCTCCTTTCCCAGGGTACTTCCTCCTTTTCATCACACTCCTTATCTACACACATCATATAGAGCTCCCAAGCTCATTGTGGAGCTCATTCACTAAACACCAGCTCCTGCTTCAGCTTCACAACCTTTTAGGAACCCAACAATCAATCCTGCTTGCCCAAAATGTCCCACGGAAAGCGTTACTCGATATCTAAGAGATACTCTTGGAGTATCCCTGCCAGTCTTCCTGCTCCGACTTCGAATGACTCCAACAGCCTGCTTGCGACCAGTGGTCGCATTGCCTGGCTTGCCAATCTTGACACAACCCGTACCCCAGCCAAGAACTATCGCAGGACATCTATTATCTGCACTATTGGTCCCAAGACCAACTCTGTTGAGTCTATCAACAGGCTTCGTCAGGTTAGTACATGTATTAAGTAGTGATTTCCCTCAATATTTTGTCACTACTCCATAGGAGCTCTTTGGGCTTAGCCAGATTGTCCTCTTCTGGAATACCCTCCCTGCAGGAGAAGCCGGCCCTGGCTCAAAGCTCTCCAGCTGTTCTCCTGCCATCTCACTGCCCTTTCTACCATCGTACTACCCCAACTGCCTCTCAGGCACCAGGCTTGAAGAATGATTTGGCCCAATGGTTTTGCTGACACTGTGAAAGGCCGGTCTTAACATTGTCCGAATGAACTTTTCCCACGGCACCTATGAATACCACCAGTCCGTCATTGACAACACCCGAGCTGCCGAGGAGGCCCAGGCCGGCCGTCAGGTCGCCATTGCTCTCGACACCAAGGGCCCTGAGATCCGAACCGGTAACACGAAGGACGATATTGATATCCCCATCGCCGCCGGCACCATCTTGAACATCACCACCGACGAGCAGTACGCCAAGTGCTGTGACTCCGAGAACATGTGAGTTAAACTAGTCGCAACCACAACCCCCTCAGCAACGTGCCAAGGGCAAACCGATCAGAATATCGAAAGGTTATGTCGTGTGCTAATATGCGAGTTGCCTGCGTCAGGTATGTTGACTATGAAAACATCACCAAGGTCATTGCCCCTGGTCGAGTTGTGTATGTCGACGACGGTGTCCTCGCGTTCGATGTCCTGAGCATCAAAGACGACAAGACCATTGAGGTTCGCGCCCGCAACAATGGCTTCATCTCCTCCAAGAAGGGTGTCAACCTGCCCAATACCGATATCGATCTGCCCGCTCTCTCCGAGAAGGACAAGAACGATCTGCGCTTCGGCGTCATGAATGGAGTTGATATGATCTTTGCTAGCTTTATTCGTAGGGGACAGGACATCCGCGACATCCGTGACGTTCTCGGCGAGGACGGTGCCCACATCAAGATCATTGCCAAGATCGAGAATCGCCAGGGCTTGAACAACTTTGCCGACATTCTCAAGGAGACTGACGGCGTCATGGTTGCCCGAGGTGACATGGGTATTGAGATTCCCGCCGCCGAAGTTTTTAACGCTCAGAAGAAGGTATGCATCCCTTGATGTCGTTGCTAGACGTGAAAACACGTGAAAGTCATCAGTGCTGGTACTAACCTACCTACCTGCTAGATCATTGCCATGTGCAACATCGCTGGAAAGCCCGTCATCTGCGCTACCCGTACGTCGAAGTTGTTTCCGAATTGATCCCCTCCCTTCTCAGTTGATAAAATATCGATTCGAGCCAAGTGACGCTGACTTGCTTTTGGCTACAGAGATGCTTGAGAGCATGATCAAGAACCCCAGACCCACTCGTGCCGAGATCAGCGATGTTGGTAACGCTGTCACCGACGGAGCCGACTGTGTGATGCTCAGCGGTGAGACGGCCAAGGGAGCCTACCCCGAGCTTGCTGTTCGCGAGATGAGCGAGGCTTGTCTGCGCGCCGAGGCATCGATCCCCTACATTAGCTTGTACGAGGAGATGGTGTCCCTCCCTCACGATGGCCCCATTTCCATCACCGAGTCGGTCTCTATGGCCGCCGTCCGCGCGTCGCTCGACCTCGGTGCTGGTGCCATCGTCGTCCTTTCGACCTCTGGAAACTCGGCCCGTCTCTTGGCCAAGTACAGGCCTGTCTGCCCCATCATCATGATCACGCGTAACGCTCACACTTCCCGATGCGGTCACTTGAACCGTGGCGTGTACCCCTTCTTCTTCCCCGAGGAGAAGCCCGACTTTGACAAGGTCAACTGGCAGGAGGATGTTGATCGTCGCATCAAGTGGGGCGTCTCTCGGGCCATTGAGCTTGACGTCTTGTCTCGCGGAGAGACTATTGTCATTATGCAAGGTTGGCGTGGAGGTATGGGCTACACGAACACCATGCGTATCGTCAAGGCCGATCCCGAGCACCTTGGCATCGGCGATCACCCGTGACTCCGTACGGCGAAAAATGAGAGAACGATCGCGAAGCCAATGGAGCCCAGTTCATTACTAAAGTGGCTGGGACTGATTTCTTTGTTTCTTCTTCAGTTTGTTCTCCTTTGGTGTTTGTCTATGCGTGGTTATCTGGGATCTGGGAATGCTGCATGAGCGACGCGTACTTCTTCTTCTCCTCTTAGTTTGAATATGCTGCCAGGATCGTGCAGGTTTCTGCTTGGAATCATGATTCATAGTAGCATGATTAAGGGGGAGGATTGAGCCGAAACGAGGCTCTTGGTAGGAAATGCCTACCAAAGCATCGATTAGCTCCAAGAGGAATGAGTACGGTGCTCACCAGGGTCGTATCCGCGACATTGCGATGTTTGTTTGTTCAGCTCGTTTACTAGATACGGCATGGAATTGTTAATAGATGATAATTAACCCAGAATAAATTTCAGTGGGAAGATGCTGTGCTTGCCGAAGGTGATGGTGCGGAATTTGCGGCGTGCGGAGGAGAAGAGACTTAGAGAGAGATCATTTTATATATTTGTATCGCGAGGACACGATACAACCCGGGTACTTGTAGCGGAAAGTCCCGAGATGAGGGGAATCCATTTGACTTGGGCGACAATTTCACACCAGATCCCATGTCTGTATGCAGGCGTCGGCATTTATTGAATCTTCTTGCATCCACGCGGACAGACCCGCATCCCAGTCAAAGCCGAGCGACGCCGATGCAGCCCCGCATCCAAGAGTCGCATCTCGGACTGAGGGGCGAACGGACGGTACTATTGTAAATGTAAAAGGAGCCCAACTGGTGACTCAAATTAAGGACAAGAGCCAAGCCCGGAAAGGGCGTAGAATTGCGTATATATTTAAGAAGATGTCAAGGAGTCTGTTGAGTTTCTGGTCTGGTGTAAAGCCTCGATTGATTTATTCCGTTGGAAATTCTAGATTTTTGGTTTGCTCCAGATTCTCTGATCCATCTTCCCGTCGTCAGGCAAGCTAAACTCCGAAGGCCCCCGACTGTGACGCAACCATTCACACGTGAAAGCTAACTGGGCCCCCTTTAGCGCTATTCCTCCATCATGAGTACCCAGGAGAACAAGGCCTCTCAGTTGGCGACGGCGCCGGAGAGTGGGACGTGGACGTTTGCAAGTAGGAGGAGTGTGGTGCATAGTACGAAGGGGGTGGTGGCTTGTACGCAGCCGTTGGCGGCGAAGTGTGGCATTAAGGTGCTAGAGAAGGGTGGGAATGCCGCGGTATGTTCTATTTTCACCTTCGCTTTTACTATTATTATTTTTTCTATCCCCTCGACCACCCCTAAACATGGTGCTGGTATGGTAAAGTGAAGGGGCCTTGGCTAACAATGATGTGCAAGTTTAGGACGCTGCTGTTGCCGTTGGTAAGTAACTGTTATACGACGTCTTTCGTGGCTTCGCGGATGTCTGCTGTAGTGCGAAGTGAAGGAAAAGAAGAAGAAGAAGAAGAAGAAGAAGTCTAGTCAAGCTAAGAAGACAAAAATAGCTGCCGCATTGAACATGACGGAACCCTCCTCTACCGGCATCGGCGGCGACATGTTCGTCCTCTTTTACGACGCCAAAACCGGCAAAGTCTCGGCACTCAACGGCTCCGGCCGCTCGGGCGCCGCCTGCACGGCCGAGACGATCCGGAAGGACCTCGGCCTCGCGGCGGGCGACAAGGACCGCAAGATCCCCATGAGCAGCGTGCACGCCGTGACGGTTCCGGGAGCGGCGGCCGGGTGGGTCGATACGGTGGAGAGGTTCGGGAGCGGGAGGGTTACGTTGGAGGATGTGTTGGGGCCGGCTGCGGAGTTGGGGGAAGAGGGGTTTCCTGTTTCGGAGCAGACGGCGCATTATGTATGGTTTCCCTCCCCAGGCCTATGGGTTTCCTTTTTTAGAAAGAGCACTCCCTCTGGAAATCAGACGTCTTAACTAACAAAGGCGTTGCTTATAGTGGGCCAAATCTGAAAACAGTCTTCGGAAAGCGTCTCCTAACTTTGCCGAGATGCTTAAGAAGGATCCGAATGCGCAGGATGGAGTGCGTTCCCCAAAGGCGGGCGAGATCATGAAGAACCCGACTCTGGCGCAAACTTTCCGCACTCTGGCCAAGGAGGGAAAGAAAGGCTTCTACACGGGGCGGATCGCCGAGGAACTCGTCAATGTCGTGCAGGATCTCGGCGGACACTTGACGCTCGACGATCTCAAGCATCATCTTGAGACGGGAAGTGAGCCAGTCGAGCCCATCAGCATCAAATTCACCGCGCAGGGAGCGACGGGCGACAACGGCATCGAGGTATGGGAGCACCCACCTAACGGGCAGGGTATCGTCGCCTTGATGACGCTAGGCTTGATCCAAGAGCTAGAGAAGGCCGGCACGATCCCTCGATGGGGTCCGCAGGACTTCAACACGCCGGAGTACCTCCACACCATTATCGAGTGTCTCCGACTCGCCTTCTCAGACGCAAGCTGGTACGTCACGGACCCCAACGTCACAAAGGTGCCTACGACGGAACTCCTCTCATCGTCCTACCTCGCCTCGCGCGCCAAGCACTTCGACGCCACAAAAGCCGCGGCGCCACCCGTCCTCCACGGCGACCCTTCCACTGGCGAGAACAAGGCCACCTTCGTCTCGCCGGCGCTCAACAGCAGCGACACCGTATACCTCTGCGTCACAGACAGCGAAGGCAACGGCGCATCCTTCATCAACAGCAACTACGGCGGCTTTGGCACATGCATCGTCCCCCGAGGCTGCGGCTTCACGCTGCAGAACCGCGCGGCGAACTTTAGCCTCGACGCGGGCCACCCGAACGTCATAGAGCCGAGGAAGAGGCCGTACCATACCATCATCCCTGGACTCGTGACGAATCTCAAGGACGGGTCGTTGCATAGCGTGTTTGGCGTCATGGGGGGGTTCATGCAGCCGCAGGGACATGTGCAGGTTTTGTTGGGCCAGGTCGTTGCGGGTTTGGATCCGCAGCAGGCGTTGGATGCGCCGAGGGTGTGTATCACTGCGGGGACGCCGAATAATAAGGGCGAGTTGGATTGGGTTGTTAGTGTGGAGGATGGGATGAGCGAGGAGACGATTGAGGGATTGAGGAAGTTGGGGCATAATGTCAAGGTCGTGAAGCAGTGGGGAAGGGCTTTATTTGGGAGGGGACAGATTATTAGGCGATCTGCTGATCCTGTGGAAGGGACGAGGATCTGGTCTGCTGGGAGTGATATGCGAGGAGATGGAGCAGCGTTCCCTCTTTAACAGGTTGGAAACGTGGAATAAGAAAAAAACTGGAGACCTTTGGATAGAAGTGAGATGGTCCGTCTTGTTTTCTTTCTTTGGATTTGGATTCCCTTGGTGATATTAGATTAAGAGAATCTTGGTGGCGATGTAAGTCGTCGCCAGTCTATACCGCGTTATACATGTGTATCCGTGTGTCTGTTGTACAAGTTGCTTGCCCCCCCTCGACGACGATATATCCACCCATCCGCAACCTCAAACCTGGGGCTTCGTGTATATATATCTCTCTTCCCCGCCCCTCCCGACCTCCCCAGAGCCATGTCGTTCGTTTCTTCTTTCCAATTTCCCTTACGCATCCGTCTTCTCACTCTCCCCCTCCTCAAAAAGCACTCCGTTCTTCGCCAAAAGCTTCGCCAACTCCCCGCTCTGATGCATCGAAACCAAAATGTCACAGCCGCCAATAAACTCCCCCGCGAGGTAAAGCTGCGGGATCGTAGGCCAGTCCGAATACTCCTTGATGCCCTGCCTCAGCTCGTCGTCCTCGAGGACGTTGAAGGCGGCGAACTTGGCCGGGTCAACGCCTTGCATTCCGAGGATCTGGACCGAGGCGCGCGAGAAGCCGCATTGGGGTGCCTCGGGCGTGCCCTTCATGAAGAGAACCACGGGGGCCGTGGCGACGGCTTTGTCGATGGCTTGGCGGGTTTGGTCGGAGAGGAGGCGGGCGAGGAGGGGGCGGTTGCGGGGGGTTAGGAGAGTGGTTTGGAGGGTTGTGCGGGTTGCTGTTCGCAGGAGCTGGGAGGGGGTTTCGTTGTTAGTTATCTTGAGGCTGGAGGAGGGTGTATGTGGTTTGCTCTGGTGATTAAAGACTTACCGACACAGCTGAAAATCTGGCAGCCATTGTTCAGGTAATAGCTGGTATTTCCGATCTGGAGGCAGTTCTCTGCAATTATTATGTGGGGGAGAGGCAGAATGAGGTCACACAGAGAGGTTTTACCAAAAAAAAGCTCTCTGGACGATTGCGGTTGAATTTGGCGTGACGCTATTATTCTCTGCTCGATGCTTGTGCTCGGAAATAGCTTCGGAATTTTATGGAAGTGGTTTTCCATTCGGGAGGTTCTGATTGGTCTTTACTTAAGCGGTGTCGGACAGCTGTCGCTTCGATTTGTCAGCTGGTGAAGACAATGTTGTCGAAGCAGCCAAAGCGAGCCAAGATTGTAACATATCAACTTGCATGGCTTCATACCTTTCGAGGTTGAATTTTCCAAACGATGGTATTTTTAGAGTATTATTACGACGAGACTGAGTTTCCTCCTTGGGCTAGGCCATATGGCCTGGGTGGCAACTCTGTCATGATTCTTCCTGCGGCTGTTTTCTCGATGTTAAGCCACCATCACACCTTAGGATCCACCTCAAGAAGCCAGGCCTTTCTTGCGTTCCTCCGCTTATCTCGAGGTCGATCTCGACATGATCGTGGATTAATACCGTTTTCGAGCCTCAATTCCTCGTATCTCGTATGAATATCGCGAGCTGTGGAGAAACCCCCCCCCGACTTATAGTTGATAGCATCGTGGAAGCAAACTGGGTAAACTCCGTTGAAGTATGCTGATCCGTGGACTTTATCGAGGGCAACTGTGTTATATCCGCACGCATGTCTAATATTCCTCCGTTCTTACGCATCAATTGGGTTTGGCGCATATTCGTTTTGACTCACCGGTGAAACTCTCACCAGATACATCAACCCATTGATCAGCGTAGAACATGGAGAGCCCCTCCTTCAGGAAGCTCCAGGACCTCATCTCGACTCCCACCGAAGGGGGCCCCCACCACGGACATTATTAATGAACACCGATCTGTCGGGCCTGGAACTGGTTCGGTTACTCTGAATCGGTTTTAGTGTGGTGTAGCTAGATGGAGTTAAAACATTTCGGACTTTACAATACAGTTTCTGCACTCTATCCCGCAAATGGGTGCCGATGTCATTTTGCTGGTGGTGGGGGGAGTATGATGCAAGCTGTCTCGAGGTGGGGTTAAAGATTGGTTTAGCTCGAGGAGTTGATGCGGCATTACCTCTTGTAGAGATACCGTAGCCATGACCCGGACTCCTTGACTCTCGGACTTTACGCGATACTCTCAAATCCGTTACCTCGATCGGCTTGCTAAGATATAAAGGAAGCCGGGCTCCCTGTACCTCCCCCGGCACACTCTCGCAATCGCCTTCCAACCCCAAGCTCAACCCCTCCTTATCTTGACAAAATCCACATCCACCCATCGCCAGTCGTCATCATGCCTCTCGTCGTACCCCGCGCCAACAACAGGATCATCCTGGGCCTAATGACCTTCGGACCCGACCCCGACACGGGCGCCCGCGTCACCGACGTCGGCGAGTTCGAAAAGTTCCTCGACTACCTCCAGTCTCGCGGCTACAATGAGGTCGACACGGCGCGCATGTACGTCGGCACCAAGCAGGAGGCCTTCACGCGAGAGGCCAAGTGGAAGGAGCGCGGTTTGACCCTGGCCACCAAGGTGCTCTATCCTGCCGAGCCTGCGGGTAACACGCCCGAGAAGGTGGTTGACTCGGTGGAGAAGAGCTTGGCAGCTTTGGGCACTGATACTCTTGATGTGAGCTCACAACATTTAGACGGAAAATACTATACTTGGGAGTTGAACTTGGACTAATTTTGCTTTTACAATAGATTCTCTACCTTCATGCTGCGGTACGCACATCCAGTTGACGAGAAAACAAAACCCCGTTGCTCTTACACTCTTACACATCTCCCAATGGCTGACACGCTACACAGGACCGAGAGACGCCCTTCGCGCAAACCCTCGAAGCCATCGACAAGCTCCACAAGGCCGGCAAATTCGTCACCTTCGCCATCAGCAACTTCACCGCTTTCGAAGTCGCCGAAATCGTCCTAACCTGCAAGTACAACAACTGGGTACGCCCGACCCTCTATCAGGGCATGTACAACTGCATCACGCGCGGAATCGAGACCGAGCTCGTGCACGCCTGCCGCCGCTACGGCCTCGACATTGTCGTCTATAATCCCCTCGCCGGCGGCCTGCTCACGGGCCGAATCAAGTCGGCCGACGACATCCCCACCGAGGGTCGCTTCTCCGATACCAGTGGCCGCATCGGCGCCATGTACCGCCAGAGGTATTTCCGCGATAACACGTTCAAGGCGCTGCACACTATCGAGGAGGCGGTTAAGAAGCATGGGTTGACGATGACGGAGACGGCATTGCGGTGGCTTGTGCACCACTCGGTGCTGAATATTAAGGACGGGAATGATGGCATTTTGATTGGTGCTTCGAGTCTAAAGCAGCTTGAGAGCAATTTGAATGATTTCGAGAAGGGTCCCTTGCCCGAGGAGGTTGTGGAGGCCACGGATAGGGCGTGGGCTCTGGTTCAGTCGGAGGCGGTTCCGTATTGGCATAAGGAGATCAAGTATGGCTACGATACGAAGGAGGTGCTCTTTAGCGCTGGGAGCAAGTAAGGCACAGGCGCTGGATTATGTATCAGCCGATGCTCCTCCATGAGGACCAAGGATGCGCACAGCTGGGATTCCGTTAGAAAATGGGAAGGTATCAATCTATGGAGGCCGATTGTGACGTGATCAAGACCTTGAGGTTCCAGCGAATCGTGCGTCAATACCTGTACAGAATACCTGCCTCTACGGGTTCCAGAACAAGATAAAATAGCCGAGACGTTCAGAAGACGAAAACTATTCCAGTGTTCGAGTCGGTGAAGGACAACAAATCCTGTCCCCAAATACCAGTCTTCGACTCAAGGTAATGGTCGTGTCCTGTGCCTGACAAAATGGCCGTTCCCAACAATGCATCAATTTGATGGATATTCAACTTGACGACTTCAGTAGTAGCAGCCCTTGTGTCATGAAGGGATCAAAGATGTTAGTGCATAATAGTGCGAGTTCGGTGGAAGTAGGAACGTCTCCCCGAACTCCTCCATTGTGCGGAAAGTGAACACGAGATCAACACGGCCGCACATCAACACCTAACGTTGACGACCTGCTCCCGCATTTAGCCATGCCGGGGAAGCCCTCGAGCCTGGTTTTCCATAGGCAACAGCCCCTTCTCGCAACACATTGACCCATCGATTCAAACCAATGGACAATCAGAATCGGGGAACATTTGCGAACTGCGGAGAGAATCAAAAACGGGAGTTGGACAAAGCTGCCTTATGTAATATCCTCAGTGCTGCCTTGGATTTTGATGGCTGCCCATCGCCGCCCATTTTTCGAAGCCAGCATGATCAATTGCCTGTTCCAAACGTCATGGGTCCATATGAGCCAAAGCTGCCATCCTCCAGACTCCAGACAAGAATGCGTTAAACTACGTTGCGTCGACGCCACACACCTTTCTCTTTTTAAACGTCATCCTCACTGGATCCCATAAGCAATCAATTACTCGATAGCCAGGCTTCTGCGATAAACGCTCCAGCGTGGCATTACAGTCAGAGCTTGCTAGGACTTACGTCACAGATGTGATTCTTAGCAGCCAGTGGCGCTGTTCGGTATAGCCTCGGGATCGATTCTCGCCCGCAATGTCCTCAAGCCCCGAGAAGCAGATTGCCGTGGCTCTGTATCGTCGGGATCCCATATCAACCGACCCACGCAAACGCCAGATTTACAAGCACGAGTCTTATCACTGGGCAATCTTGATCAAAGAAGGAACCGTTTTTGACACATATGAGGCGACCGACAGAAATGAGATCGACCCAATCACGTTTAGACAGCGAAATCCTGCCAACGAATGGTTCTTCGATGCCAACCAAGGCGTTGATCCTTCAAGGAGCGGGAAGCTTCTCGGCTACGTCATCATTGGGGCGGTTCCGCCCAGCATGTCCAGGGACGACGTCAGAGTGTTCCTGAACGAAATTCCACTGCCAAAAAGAAACCAATATCCACAGGAGAGCTGTGTGACGTGGGTTGCGAATGCTATACGCGCCTTCCACGGGGAAAAGTGTGTCGATGGCTTTAATGTCGAAAAGTTCTTGGATTGGGCACTCTCCTATGCCGATCAAAGGCTGAGGGATCCAGAGCAGACACCAGAATCTGTTTTTTATCAGGGGAACTGAAGCTGTGGGTGGCCAGCCCCAGCAAAGCCTCGCGCTGTTTCCGGCTGAGTGCGGCCAGGCCAGCTGACCAAACCTCACCCGGTCCTAGACTTAGTTTTCCCAGGAAATGGCTTCCTTTGCGGGAACCTTTCCTGGTTCAAGTATGATTTCTGTATCCTAGCGCCTTTCCAAACATGATTTCTAGTTCCCGCAGAAGCGATAGGAGAAGGAAAAGGGGCAGAAGGAGAAGGGGAATGGGAAGGAGGACACGAGAAAGTCAGGAACTAAGCGGTTCAGCGAAACCTCTCGTCGTTCGCCTGGTGTCTTTTGTGACGTCGATGTCTTTAGGCTCCCAAGCCATCTCGAGGTCACGTGGATCAAAGGTGTTGGGTTCGAAATGCACTTGGGACGCGGCTGCCGAATTTGTACCTCGTAGTGTAGATGTGTGCAGATATACCTCGGTACCTGGAACAAGAATCGTGGGAAAGACCTCGTTGATGCATTTTCGATGAGTGTTGTTCCGTACACTCGAGGGTTGGTCTTGAGATCCTAGACTCTGACAACAACCTCAATGCGTCGGTTCAACGTGGGCGAATAGTGGGCTTCGGATCCTAAATTTAGGCCGTCATTTGTTGGGGTCCTGAAATCGACCCCATCAAATGGCAGTCTTGGCAGCTGCAACCGGTTTTAAGTGCAGCAACCATTCGCCAGGTTGGCAGACGGTTTGGACTAGACAATGAGAAGATCAAGACAGGGCAACCCTATTGATTCGATCCGCCGCTCCAGTGTTTGACGTCTTGCCCGAAACACCAATTTCATTGATGGTTAATCTGACAAAGTGTTCGTCTGAACTCTAATCCCCTGTGTAAGCATCATCGAATTTCCTTATTGTTCCAATCCCTAACTTCCCCATTCCCTAAACACCCCCAACGTCACCACGGATCTACAAGTCCTCCATCAAACACACCATTGTTGCAGTCTGTCTGCCTCACCGCAAACACCGCCAAATGCGAATAAAAGAGTTCGGCTGACCTTCGATGACGCCATCAGGTACCGACCACCTGGACCACTCATTCGGCATATTGCATACCCAGTGAGACCCTCCGACGACCATCCATCAGAACGAGCGCCATAGAGAAGGTAGATCGAGGCACACACTTTCTTTCCACCCGCGTTGAATGCGTCCTCGACATACAATCCCTCACGACAGTCTCACCCCAGCCGACTCCCCCCACCGCTCGCGCGGCCACATGCGAAACCACGGCCCGGCGAACCCCAGGGACTGGTGCGAGGCCCGGCGGAAAAACGAGCCCTTGTGTAGCCATCCACGAATTCGGCTGGACCCTTGAAAAGTAATTTCTTTGGAACTTTTCGATTTTACACAAAATAGACCGTTGAAGAGAAGCGAGAAAAAATGGTGGACAGGCGACCTCCTTACCATCGCCCGACAGAGGGCCGCTCGATTACTCCCCTCCTGGCCAAGCCAGATGATTTCGAACGCGGCCGCAGCAGTCCCCGGCCCCGAAGCGCCGGTAGCCGTGCCGAAAGTCCCCGAAGCCCCTTCCTCTCCCGCCGCTCCACGATGCGCAGCGTAAGCCCGTCCGAGCTCGCCCGCGACGCCGCCCGCCGCCGATACACCTACGCCTCCTTCTTCCTCGTGCTGATCCTCGTCTCCTTCGCCATACAGACGGAGTTGTCAGCGTACATCCAGGGCGAGATGGGCTGGAATAAGGCCTATTGCATGCTGTACATGACGCACGGGAGCTGGTCCATGCTGTGGCCCGTCCAACTGCTGGTTCTACGGCTGCAGAAGCGCGACATGCCGTGGAAGGTGTTCTGGCGGAGGCACGTGCAGCTGCTCAGGAGCACGGCCGCCATGGTCCAGCTGCGGAGATTAGACGTCGACAGGGCGAGCGTCATGCACAGGGCTCATCCCGCGAGGTACCTCCTCCGCGCGACGGCCGGCATCACCACGGCCCTGACAGTGGCCGGGTTAAGCTGGTACATTGCCGTCAGCATGACGAGCCCCTCTGACCTTACGGCCATCTACAACTGCTCCGCCTTCTTCGCCTACGCCTTTTCCGTCCCGCTCCTCAAGGAACCCCTCCGCCTCGACAAATCCATCGCCGTCGGCATTGCCATAGCCGGCGTCCTCATCGTAGCTTACGGCGACGGCGCCGGCTCCAGCGCGAGCGTCCCCGATCCCTCCATCACCCGCCGCTTCTTCGGCAACATCATCATCGGCTTCGGCTCCGTGCTCTACGGCCTCTACGAAGTCCTCTACAAACGCTTCGCCTGTCCGCCCGACGGCGTCTCCCCCGGTCGGGGCACCATCTTCGCCAACGCCTTCGGCTCGCTCATCGGTGCCTTCACCCTCCTCGTCCTCTGGATCCCGATACCCATACTCCACCTCACAGGCATAGAACCTTTTGTCCTGCCGACGGGCCGCACCGCCTTTCTGTTGCTCGTCTCCGTCATCGCCAACGCCACCTTTGCCGGCTCGTTCCTCGTCCTCATCAGCTTGACGTCACCCGTGTTAAGCAGCGTCGCCTCGCTCCTGACCATTTTTGTTGTGGCCGTCGTGGATTGGTTCTTGACGGGGACGGCGCTGAGCGCGGCTTCAGTGCTGGGTGGCGCGCTTATCACGGTTGCGTTTGTCATGTTGGCGTGGAGTACATGGAGAGAGATGGCAGAGGGGGCGGAGAGGAAGGCGTTGGAGTTTGAGGCGGAGGATGAGAGTGATTCGTCGGAGGAGCCGTAAGGAAGAACGGTGTATTATACTTTGCCCACTCCCTATTTTTTTCGGTTTTGTTTGGGATTTGTTAAGGCATGGGGGTTGCATATATATACACAAACTGCACTGTCTTGGGAATCAGTTTATGAGGGAAATCATGGGTTGAAAGGTCTAAGTAAGACCGGGCTTTTGCATTGACACCAAATCATCACGGATTGATACATTTCTTTCCATTCTAGATTCTTGATGGACATTTATCTTAGAAGGGATTCCATATCTCACTCTATTTCACTTGTTGTTTTTTGCCATCTTATTCTCGATACAATCCACAGTCAGCATTCTTCATAGGTTTCACTTACTTACAAGAACCGACATGGCTCGAACTCTGCCTGAGCCCCCCGTTTCTTAAACCGTCCTTTACCATCCTGCTCGATACACAAACCATCTTCGTGGCCTCCGTCCACTTAGAAGAAAAGCAAACTATGAGTACAAACTATGAGTCCCCCAAGTCAAAAAAAAGAAACCCGTTGATCGCAGAAAACCGGAACTCACACAGACACTACATTTCCCACCCTCTCGAACTTGATAGCTCGGGGTGATACGAATCACCTAATTTCCTCACTTGACTCGTAATAATTACTGGGGAGGGGAGGGAACCTGAACGGCTTAGATATAATTCGACGCAGTAGGAAAGGGTGCAATGGTGGGAAAGGGCAGCACCTCCAGGCCTCGGAAAGCCAACCGCTCGAGGTTGCCCTCACTTGAAGAGATGCTTTTATTTAGCAAAATCTCAATTTAGCTCTTCGAACCGGACTGGACAAAATCAACGGAAGCCGAAAAGGAAGGGGGAAACAACTTACTTGCTGGCCTTCTTGCTGTCGGTCTCTTTTTTCCAGACGAAGACGCCTTCGCGCTCGATGGTCCACTTCTTCGTCTGCGAGGTCAGGACAAAGTGGGATGCCATATCCCAGGCTTGCTATCAGGTTTGGGAATCGCGCATGGTTAGTTTCTTCCCAGTTCGCGGACACTGGAGCAAAGAGAATTAATGTTTTTGCTTTTCAATGCCTTACCCTATCAGCAGTGTCACCGCTCTCGAATATGTGAAGATGCTTCCAATTGGACCCGGGAGACCAAGAAAATATATGCGTCATGAGCGTCGCATAGCACGCATTCCTCTCCATCCAAAGATCACGGGTATCGATGTGGCGCATCTCAAATTCGTCCTTGAGAATGTGAGGTTTGGGCACCAGCTGGATGTACAGGCGATGAAGGCGGGGGAGGTTGCGGACGACTTTGGTAAAGTGGTTGTAAACCGGGAATTCGGCAATGTAGCTAAAGTCCTGGACGGACGGAGGCAAGAGAGCAGGTTGTCCGAAGAGGCCTCCGTCTCCCGTGTGGAGGGACTGGGTGCTGCCGACGAGGGCGGGCAGGATCGAAGGGGGCGTCTTTCGGTGGTGTTCGTAGGTTCTGTAGGGGCCCATGTTGCAGCCCTCGTTTAGGAGAGCGGCTGTCCAGGGCCGGATGGTGAAGAGTTTACTGTGGATGCTAATCGGGGAGTCGCCCGCTGGCCGATGAGGCTGGGGGGTGATGAAGCGAGTGGTGCGGGATAGCGAGAGGATGTGTTCATAGCTACCGTAGCACCAGTAGTTGCTAAAGTCGACGGGTATCGACAGCAAAGGGCCAAGACGCGCCGGACGCGCGATTATGGAAAACCGGAGAGGGTCTATAGTTGAGAATAAGGTTTCCCAGAGGGCCTCGCAGTTTTGAAAGTAAGCGGGCTCGGTAGACATAAGGTCCACCTCGTCATCCTCATCATCGGGAGGCTCGACGAACAAAACAATACTATCAACATGGTCGCAGATGTCATGGTCTGCGAGGAATCGCAAGATATCAATCTCGCTAGGATTTCTGCACTGACGCAAGGAGTTGAGATCTTTAGGCTGGATTTTCCAGATGGTGTGGCGGAAGAGGAATGGGATGGCGACGCTGCGCCATTTCTTGTTGACTTCAGAGGCGTTCTTCAGTGGTCGGTCTGAATCCAGGATGTGGGGAGTTGGCCTGTTGGTGAACTTGGCGTAAGACGGAGGGTCGACGTCAAGGAAGGAGAGGATCTGTATGTGAAGCTCCGTGGGGAGCGAGTTGAAGGTAGCCTTCTCCATGACGCCGGGTCAGGGAAAGCAAGATGACTAGTGATGAGAAAGAAGCTGAAGAATTTGGTATTGGGTCTAGCTGGAGTAATAGTTGTCAGTCGTTCCAAAGAAGTTTCTCGTCGACAGTGTAAGAGAAGATGATAGATGGGAGAGGCAAGAAGCAGCGATGATATAAGTGAGCAACTACAAGCAAGATAGTTGGGCCTCCAGCCGCGGAAAAGCACTATTAGTGGCTATCAGGTGGTTGCCAGCAATTCCTGAAAGGGAAGAGGTGTGAGCTATGTGCAGATCCTAAACCCCGCGTTTTGGCGTTCTGGGGAAAGCAATCGAGGAATCAGAGTTCATCACTCGTGTCCGCTGACGCCAGAAATGGTTCGGCGCCTTACCCAGGTTGACGGTAGTCATCTCACTCCGGAGATGCGTGTGTGTGATGTGTGATGAAGCTGGATGATGGGTTGTGTGTCTATCACAAGGATGGTTGATGTCTTTGTATTCTTGCCAGGACCAAGGTCGACCAACGACAGCAAGACGATATCCCAGCAGTTCTGGAGGCGGATTCGACGCGACCGAGTCAGAAACTGGTAGATGAAGCTATCATGAGCTATTATATCTTTGGGTCCAGAAATGCGGCTGCTGTGGCGAGAAGCGCCAAGGCGATGGAACCGACATCATTTAAAGCGGGAAGGAACCCTGACTTCATCGTTTACCTCATCTGTTCCTTCCTTGAAGTGCACTAGGGCTTATAGCATTAGTCAGGCCGCAACCGGAGCCTTAATGGGGAAGGAGCTGGAGAGTCAGACCAATTGCCACTCCCCCGCATTATTGAATCTGCCGTTGTAGTCGCTTGGAGCACATCGATCCATAGAATCAAATTTATTTCTTTGCTCTGCGATAGCTTTGGTTCAGCTTCCAGCTAGCATTTCATTGTTCTGGGATCAGATGTAAGTGGAGCCACTCTGCCAATGGTCGGCGGCGCCGCAGATGGTTGGGAAATACCGAGTCCAACTCTGTACAATATATGTAACTTATTATCCACCCTTTACAATGTACCCATTGTGTGTCCTCTGCTCATGCTGCGTCATCCTGCAGGTGCCACCCTCCTCCATCCTCCCTACGCCGGGTCGCCTAATCACGGATGCCACACTCTGTGTTCTATATACACTCTAGACCGCATGGGGACCACGACGAGCCTATCTCCGAGGGCGGGAAATCCCTATACAAGGCATTGGCGAGAAAAGCTGTATGATACTTTCAGAGAAGGTTGAAATGCTGCGAGACGAGTTAGAACCCATGCATAGACGTGAGGAAAGATATACCCGTAGGAACACATCTCCGGTAGATGCTTTAGTTGATGATTATACTAGTCATTAAGGAGTGTGTAGTCGTCTATCAATCATTTAGATACAATCCAATCGTCCAGTTTCCTCCGCGATGCTTAAGATACCCATTATACATTTAAAGATCCCATTATAAACACTTCATATGTTTCAAACACCCTTGACGGGACGCGGGACGCGGGATGCGGAAGTGTCTCATCGTTCCATAGTTCCATGGTCCCATCAACCCACCGATAAAATATTACCATTAAGTAGAATGTTTCACAAGCACAGTTCAAAGTCCGCAGTTGGACTTGTCAACCTGCTCTGCGCTGGCCTCAACCCTGCCGAGGCCAACGGCATTCCCGTTGGTGAGGTCGTTCATTGCGTGGAGCGCAATGTTGAAACTCGTGGAGTGATCGATGCCGAGAATGTAGATGCTCTTGCCCTGGTAGGTGAGTTTCCAGCAGGATCCGCACTGGGAGAGTTAGCCATTTCGTGTTTTCTTTTCTTCCAAATATATGGGAGAGACTGCTCACGTTGGGAGAGTTCCATCCCCCGATCGCGGGGACGCCGCCGATGTAGGGGAATTTCGGGAGGTTGCCCTGTGTAGGGAACCGGCTGGCGAGACCGTTGGAGCCGTCGGAACAGCTCACCGCGAGCATGGATCGGCTGGCATCGTCGAAGCCTTGGTCGTAGCCGACTATGAGAAGGTTTGAGTTAGTGATTAACCGTGCTATTGTAAGAGTCGTTCATCGGGCTATATGAGAAGACGTTTCGGGAGAGTCCGCGTACCCGAGGCAGCAGCGGCGGAGGCGGCGAGGGTGAGAGCGCTGGTAATGAAAGTGGCCTTCATTTTTCTAACGTTTGGGAGATGGGTCTCAAGAGATTCGTAGAGAACGTTTTTTAGCGAAAGATCGTATGAGTTGGGTGAAGTTTGATGTATTAGAGCTGATTAGGTTGTTTGATGAGGTTGATGTCTCTTCTCTGACGACGAACGGAGGGCATTCCAAGCTCTTTATATATCCAGAATCCTCGTCATGTCCCCATATAAAATCGGGTAAACCGGGTAACGCGCCAAAAGAAAACGAAGCAAGCCAAAAGTGCCAAAAAGAAAGCATCAGTTCCTAGCCGGCTGGTTTGCTACATGGTCATGGTCGCATGGTATGTCGATCCTCGTGTTGGCGTTGGGGAAGCTTAGTCGACTCGTCATATCACCGCCGCCAGGCATAGCCGGCGGCAGCTTCGCGTGGGGACCTAAGCCAAGATCATGATGCCGTTTCCCCAAGGCGGGGGGCTCCACTTGTAGAAGCTGACGACCCTTTACGAGAAAACAGCAGGAATTGTTTGGCGAGACCTGCTCGTTTGCAATCGGGCCATCTTCAACAAGGAGCTCGTGCAATGTTGCTAATGGTCGTGTTCGGCGTCATTCGTCTTGCCTTGAGCCTGGGTATCAATATCCAGAGGTCCACATAAATCTGGAACCCACATTGGCCCGTTCGGCCGTGGCATTGGCTGTTCCAAGCCATTCATTCGTCTATCTGAGGGAAGAGAAACAACAAAAAGGACGTAGGCCTTTAGCGCTTCACCTCAAGAGCGGGAGTGATAGCCGTATGATCCTTGGTTTTAGTACCCGGTTCTATTAATTAGTCTCCCGCAGCCTCCCGTGTTACCCTTGGTTGGAAGAGGAGAGCCGACCCGCGGTATTGTTCGATTTTCGTTCAGTGGGATAAGTGATGTGGCGATACATGATAGCTCTAGTCATTTACTTCATAGGTCGTCTCCAAGAGCTCGTCCTTCAGGTTCATCAGGGTCACCAGGGCCAGAGAAGTACCCTTGTTCTTCACTTGGAGATCGATCTGCCGATCCCCGCGCTACCCTGCGACACCTTAGCCGGAAATACCGGAAATACTCATACGCCAGAGTAAGCTATACGATTAATAAACTACAAAATAGAGGTAGAATGGTGTATGGATCCGGCTCCCTTTCTCTAGAGCTTTACATACGAAGTACGTTGCATCACTGAGACTTACATTGGTGTCTAACGAACACGACTCTCTTCTGGGTCCACCTCGTATTCACAAATGCCCAGCCACGGCGAACCTGCGCCAATCCTTTGCTGTTTTCAACACAAAATGTCTTTCAATTTGTAGTTTGCCATGTAAATCCAGCAAACGGACATTGCCTCAGGTTCTATTCACCGAAAACCGCCGTGGTAAGCGGCCTCAACGGTAATATAAACCTGCTGTAATGCAGTCTCCGCCGGGCCATGCGGCTGCCCTATCTGCCCAAATATTCTATTTTTGGATCTTACTCAAACCACCAGTGAAGCAAAGACAAGAAAAATAACATTAAAAAAAGTTCCGGGTTTCACAGATCTACGGACCGCGCAGGTAGTCAGGCGGAGTTTCGGGCTTCGTGTTCGGTCCCTGGCACCAGGAATTGGGTCCCGAATTGTGGCCATGTGCATGGTGACTGCGCCAATTCCCGTCATGGGATCGGGCCTTGGAAACCAAGTCTCTGCTAACCGGGTAAACCTGCGTCATCGCTTCTTATGCTGCTACTGCTACTGCTACTATCGGCCTCTCTTGCTGTGGGTCCTGTGGCCCAGACGGACGCAATATACAGCCTTCCTGCCCAGAGCAAGCACGGTGGAAAAGACGGGAATTCTCAAGGTCAAGTTTAACCTATTCGGGTCACACCCTGGTGGATCAATCTTTATATCCAGTTAACAATAGGCATTAAAGTGGGAAGGGGTAAAACTGAGACGGTGATTGTTAACCGTCCCTATGTTCTTCGGTCTTGTCCGTCTTCCTCGATACAGTTCTTTCTTTGCTAGTGACCCCAAGGAAGAGGGATCGGGCATCTTGTCCATTCTTTTCAGTAAAGCATGTGCCTTACATGGTCGCCCTGCAAACCTCTCCCCGTCCCCATTCAAATCGGGGGTCTCCCCGGTGCGCATCCCCTGTTGTTTTCCATTGATTGACTTGGCCGACGTACCCGACGTCTGTCTGTTCTTGCCGGAGTTTTGTAGCGGCTCCTAAGCGAGTTCTAGTATTAGGCCGTTTGCCACAAGCTGTGATTTCCCTTCTATGTGATATTGCGGTTAGGGCTGCACTAATTCGTATCGGCATGGGAGTGGTTTGAAATAATTCGTAGACCCTGTTGGTCTTATCGAATGTCGCGAAGTGTCTTCCCCCCTCAAACTTAAGGTAAACTAGACGAGTTGGTGCTTGTTGACCTCGGAAACCGGCAACATAAGAGTACCTTCGCGGAAAGGTTTAGCCAATTCCCAAACAACCTCCACAGCTGCAGGACTTGGCCCACTTCAACAGCCAAAGCCTCCAGACCTGGATGCCAATCCAGATTATTCTTGCCGCGTCCTCTTCCGGAGGCAACCGTTGTTGAAGGACAACCCCAGTATAGAGAGGATCCACCTGGGGCCGCGTCGTATCAGTGTCATCAGGGTGTCAATGCAAGGTGATGATAGGGTTACCTCCAAATTCGCCATCAATTGACCTCTCGCACTCACATGACTAGCTTTGAGATGAAGTAGTATTCCCACTCGGCCCGGAGGCCAAGTTGAGCACTGGGGCTTTGATACTGGGGCGAGCTCATTTCCTCCAACAGCCTAGATGGGGTTCGGCTCGCCGACGATATCGAGGCCCTTATTGCTTTCCACCTCGAATTTCTCAATGAACTTTGGCTTTTCTTCCAGAAAGAGAACGGTGGCAGCCACTTCATTAGCTGCTCGTCTCGCGCTCGAAAACTGTCCCGTCTGCGACTTGAAGCGAAAAAAAGCAACGACTCTTTATCCGAGAATCGTCCTTATTGTCCGCCGGTCTCCTCTACCGAGTTGGGTCAGGTATACCTTTGTAGGCAACCTGCATTCTTGTGGTTTCCTTGGCCATGATGTCTCCTGCCCTCGTCCCTTTTGTCCCAACCAAGCTCCTCGGTGTTCCTCGTAATCGGTCACATAGAGCTATGTGAATAGGGAATGGATTTTGACGTATCTTGATAAACTTTGTCCATTAGATCCCATCAATGGGATAAATGCACTTCAGTCACTTCTTTAGAGATGCGGAAAGCATCGGTTGATGAGAGAACAGTTCAAGTTCAGCGTGTTCGTAAGCACTCTGGGAGTGATCCAGCGCCCTACACACTATGAATAAATTAAAAAACTAACACAATTAATTGATAGGTGAATATGCTACATGTACGTTCTGAATTGAGTGCGAATGAACGGTCAGGTTATGGTATGGTGGTAATGCCGAGAATCTCCTCTTCGACCTTGGACAGCTTTTCCTTGCCGTGTGCGATTCTCAGCACGGTGGCCTCGGCAAGCTTCTCGTTGTTTCCGTAACCTAAGAGCCTCCACTGGCTACTACTCGGGATGCCAAAGTAGACGGCCTTGAAGACGCTCAAGGCACGGATAGGATTGCCCCGGAACATTCGCCCAAGGAGCTTGCCCACGGACGGGGTACATCCTAGTGGGGCTAAGACCTCGTCGATGTACTCAACTGAGTGGACTGTAAGGAAATGACGCGGAGTTTTGATGAGGTGGGATTGCTTGGCCCTGCGCTTCCGGATGGATTTCATCATCTCCTCGTGGCTTGGCTTTGAGAGCTTCCCAGATACCATCGCCGCCATCACGCGAGCCTGTGCCTCGGACGCCGAGGTGACCGGGCCGAAGACTTCGACGCGTCCGAGAACATAGAGGTTGTCATAGTATGGTGACACGAAGCATTTGTAGAGATCGAGGTGCGGCGCGGGAAGCTCCCGGCTGGCGACAGCATCCTTGGGCAGGTGGGGAAGTTCGGTGAGATTGTAGCCCGTGGCGCAGATGATGACATCGACATCAAGCTGAGTACCGGTGGAAAGCGAGAGGCCGGTCTCGGTCACGGCCTCCACACTAGCCCGTTGGACCTTGACGATGCCTGTGCGAACCTTTTCGACGAAGTCGCCTCGAATAACGGGGTTCTGCGCGAGGAGGCCGTGGTCGCACCGGAGTTCTTTGGGGTGTTTACCTCCAACAATGTCGAGAAGCTTCGCCTGGAGCCATTCACTAACATTATGAGGAAGCCAAACTTGGGTGGCTCGGTCTGATGTATGTTAGCTTGTTGAATATAGCATACATCGGGGATGAAAGGTCAAGGCAAGTTATTGATGAAAAGCATACCATCCCAAGCCTCAAGGGGCTTTCCGAGGACGTAGCGCGGGAGAATCCAGCCCCCACGTCGCGTGATGAGGTGCAACTCTTTCGCCTGTGGCCCAATCTCACATGCAATATCCACGGCAGAGCTCCCGAGTCCAATAATGGCTACCCGCTTGCCCTCGAATGGACCTGGAGTCCTGTAGTAGTGGCTATGCAGGAACTCGCCTTTGAAGCTGTCACGACCAGCAAAGTCTGGAGTGACCGGCTTCGACAACAGGCCTGATGCACACACGAGCGCGTCAAAGTGGTGCTGCTCCTCGGGCTGCCCGTTCTCTTGCACCTTTAGAGTCCACCCCCCTTCGGACGCGGGTACGCACTCCAGCACTTTCGTGTTGAACCGGATATATTTCTCGACTTTAAAGTGGGTGGCGTACTCCTTGAGATACCTCAGCTGCAAGGTATGGCTAAAGTAGTCAGGGTATCGTGCTGGGTCTAGAGGGAAATCACTGAAGCTCGATGTGTCACGGGCTGAATTGAGGATGCAGCCATGATACATGGACGAGTGCACATCCTCGGGCGTGTCTGGAGTGTAGGCCCACTGGCCGCCGATATGGCCTAAGTTCTCGAAACATTGGACTGGGAGACCTTCGGACAGACACTCCTTAATAGCCACGAGCCCAGTGAGCCCTGAAGGTTGAGCGAACAGGTCAGCGTGAGAATGTCATTGCTCGTCTACGGGATGAGTTTCACAACAGGGATGACTTACCAGCACCGATAATTGCAACGCGTTTGGGGGCGGCGGAAGTCATTGTGGAGCACAGCTGCGGCGATGGAACCGCTGGAGTCGCTGGAGTGGATCAATAATACCGTGCTGCCCTGTAGGGCAACGGAGCGGCTAAACTTGGCGTGCTTGATTTGAAAAACGTTGGAGCCGTTGAAGGCGTCGGTGCGGATTTATAGGAATATTTTTGTCCTTAAACAGAGTCGATCCTATCTGAGCACCGTAAGGAGGATGCAACATTAAAATGATGAAATTGGTCGGTTTACAGACGATCGCAGACGGCGGGTTCCGGTGAGTAGGGGTGTGAAGGAAAATAAACAAAGACGATCCTGGGTTTGGACTTCGGAGACAAAGTGATCAATACATTGAGATCCCTTAAGGGAGAACTCGGTCGAGGATTCCTCTCGTCACGTTGAGCAGGAAGAAAAAGGAAACCGCGTGCGACCAGTCTGTGCAGGGGGAGCAGTGATGTGAGATATGATATGAGAGCTCAACGAGGTGACTGAGGTGAAGCTCTCAGGAGCTGGGACAAACTTGGCCAGACCGTCAATTGTATCTTCGGTGTACCTCCAAATGCCAAGACCAATTAAAAGATGAAGGCGAGACTATTCATTCCCATCAAATTGATCCCTTCAATCCGATATCTCACCCTTCCTCAAGTCTACTGTGGACCACCCTGGATCAATTGGCGGGTCCTTGTCGAATTGCATCCCGTCGGAGTGCTACTGGGTGCCATCCAAGTCAGCAAGTGCTCACATCTAATCAAATCAGGAGGAATCCTCGGATCCTCTCTCACCTGAGATACCGAGATGGACGAATTGAGTTATTCTGTGTATTGTGTGAATTCTGTGTGATGAGGACATCTAGCACTGTGTAAGCGATGAGGTCTGTGCTCAAGTCATTTTCACGTGATTTTGGCGCTTTCCCCACTTGGGTAAAATTAATGGCATTTCACTCCATCGCGTTCAGCGCGTCTGCCTCGCGTAACCCTTCTCATGATTTCTTTGCACAAATCCAATCTCCCAGCCAAACCCCCCCATCACACCAGGCTAGGCTGAAGACAAGGCTGCTTGGTCCCAACCACTGTCGGAAACGACAATATCTGACATCAATTCTAATCCGTGGACCCATATACGATATCTACAAGATGGTGAAGACGGCAGTAGGTCCCGGCGTTTACGGCGCGACGTATAGTGGCGTAGGTCTCTCTCTCTCTCATCTCCTACCCCCGCTCTTTCCTCTTGAAGGAGTCGATGTTGCTAATCATTGCTTCTCCGATAGATCCCCGTTTACGAATTCATCTTCGGGGCCGATATGAAGGAGAGTGTGATGAGAAGGCGGCATGATAATTGGATCAATGCCACCCATATCCTAAAAGCAGCGGGCTTTGACAAGGTATATCAATCTCCCCACCGCCTTTTTTTGATATGCTTGATAGCTCTGCTAACTGCCTACTTCGTAGCCTTCGAGGACTCGAATTTTAGAGAGAGAGGTCCAGAAGGATGTCCATGAGAAGATCCAGGGTGGATACGGAAAATATCAGGGTTTGTCTCGCTGGGGACTTGTCGACTTGACCCATCAAAGACCAAGGCTGATCAGTTCGTTCACATAGGCACCTGGATTCCCTTGGAGCAAGGCGAGGCACTTGCGCACAGAAACAATGTCTACGAGCGTTTGAAGCCCATTTTTGAATATCAAGCTGGCGGCGAGAGTCCCCCTCCGGCACCACGGCACACGAGTAAACCCAAACAACCGAAAAAGCCAGCGGTTCCCAAGTGGAGTGCGTTCCTGATACTCCCGAATTCATTCCTGTTCGAGATCTCTAACAATGTTTATAGCTGCGCCTCCCCAAGTGGACTACGAGAACGAAGTGGGTGGTGATGACACCCCCGACAACATTACTGTAGCATCCGCCTCATACATGGGCGAAGACGACCGATTTGATATGGGCCCATCGACCGGTCATCGCAAAAGGAAGCGGGAAGACCTGCACGATGCAATTGAACAGCTCCACTCGGTGTATGGCGATGAGCTCCTGGACTACTTTTTACTGTGCAAGGACGAGAAGGCTAGGCCTGAAAACCGACCCGAGCCGCCAGCGAATTTCCAGCCAAACTGGCCGATTGACACCGACGGTCACACAGCCCTCCATTGGGCCTCCGCTATGGGCGATGTGGATGTCATCAGGCAGCTGAAACGATTTGGCGCGAGCCTTACGGTCAAGAACATTCGCGGCGAAACTCCATTCATGAGGGCCGTTAACTTTACCAACTGCTATGAGAAGGACACCTTCCCTTTGGTCATGAAGGAGCTCTTCGATACTATTGATGAGAGGGACAACTTGGGCTGTACAGTTATTCACCACGCGGCTACTACCAGGAACGAGCGCATCACTGGGCAGTCATGTTCCCGCTACTACCTCGATCACATTCTAAATCGGCTCATGGAAACACACGATCCTGCCTTTGTTCAGCAGCTAATCGACGCGCGAGATAACGACGGTAACACAGCCATTCACTTGGCGGCGAGGCGAAACGCTCGGAAGTGCATTCGATCCTTAATCGGTCGCAATGCCTCGACAGATATCCCCAATAATGAGGGCATCCGGGCGGAGGAACTCATCATGGAGCTTAACACGAAATCCAAGGAGAGAGCGCCTCAGCGGTCCTCATCGCCGTTTGGTCCCGAATCTCAACGTCATGCCTCGTTCAGAGACGCCATCGGAGGAGATCGGCTCGGTGCTAAGAAAACTGGTGCATTGTACTCATCCGAAGCGGCGAACACTGTGCACTCTCGCATATCACCCCTAATTTTCGACAAGATACAAGATTTAGCACAGAGCTTTGATGAGGAATGGGCCGAGAAGGATACTGCGGAGAAAGAAGCGCGGCAGATCCTCGCAAACAATCAAATGGAGCTCAGCGTTGTGACCCAAGAGATAGCCGAACTAGAGGCTCAACTCGAGGCGGAGGACGTGGCTAACCGGATATCTTCAGAGGCGAACCGTGCCAAGTACGATGTCCTCAGTCTCATATCTCACCAGAACCGCCTCCAAGTGCAGGCAGCGGTCGATCAAGAGATAAGCATGACTAATGGGGACGTAGCCGATGAGCCTTACGAGGTGAAGCTCGGACTCGCTCGTGACCTTTCGACGCTCCTGAAGGAACTACGACAGTCGGAGTCCGAATACGTCGAAGCGCTTGGCATGGTGGGCACCGGCGAGAAGATCGAGCAATACCGACGTCTTCTGAAGAAGTGCCTCGATCCGACCGACGCTGAGACTCTCGACTCGAATCTCGATAGCCTTATCGAGATGATGGAGGAAGACAAGGATGTTGTTGACATGGCCGGTCCAGGCAGTGACGCCATGGATGTCGTTGCTACATGAACAGAAACTTATGGGACCGGAGACTGATGATCGGCCGAAGACCTTTACCTGAGCCGTCAACGGAGTCCACACTTGTCAATCATCTACAGGAGTCAACGGGACAGTTTTCTTTTCTTTTTTCTTTTTTTCTTCGCCTATATACCTTTTCACGTTTTCATTAGTTCTTTCTCCCCCCCGCCCAAATCCTCGAGATGTACTATACGCAATGCATACAGGTAGTGGAGTCCGGCTGCGAGGGACCTGGTGGTTTACACAAAGCGTCGTTGTTTTATGCATTTTCTTTGTGTCATTTTTCCAAGGAGTCTAGGGATCTTTCTGTTTCAAGGATAGGAGTTGATGGTGTTAGGCTCTAATAGTTTTCAATCTTCCCCAGGCTGGTCAATTTCGGTCAGTCATGTTCTGCGCCGCCACCGCCTTCATGCGGCCGGCCTTCATTATGGTCATGAGACAGATAACGACGTTCCACTCTCTAGGATTGAGTGGGCTTTTCTGCACAGCTAAGCATCCTTCGCCGTTGTAATCCGTCTGTCCGTTGCAAGGTTCTATTCCCCGCAGTAGTTCAAAAGTGGAAAAAGAGAGGTCAACATCGTAGACTTGCCCGAGTAAATTGGGACGGGGGCCAAGAAAGCATCGTCCTGCACCGGCATGTTACCCCAGAGTTCCCCAAGGTCGTAAGAAACGTCACCACGAGGCTGGCTGGACATGGGGCATCCGCCAGCCTCTGGCGGGGTCAGAGCGCGCCCCTCGGCATCCAGGCAGCCCCTCTCTGCAGGCTGAAGCGAAGAGACATTGGACTAAAAACGTCTTTTTTCATACAAGTGTGCTTTCTTAGCTTCTCGTCTACTAGGCGGTGGTCACGCATAAGGGTTGGCGATGACAATGTCGGTGAAGGAAGGATATTCTTTTTCCAAGTCCCCTCGGAGATTTACCTCGGATATTTAGAGAATTCCAGTCTTGGTTCTTTGCTCATGCTTCGTAGCCTCGCAAGCCACACCAAAACAGGGACAATTCACCGCCAAAAAAAAAAAAAAAAAAAAAAAAAAAAAAAAGCGGCAGGCTTACCATCAAATGGTACCAGAGAGGGCTGTCCTTATCGCTGCAAAGAATGTACGAAGTACCGAGGTAGATGGCGTCGGTATTACTGGGCGTCTGCGAAGGAGTTTACGAAGTCAGAGGCTTGGTTGGATACGAGTGGAGGGGTATTCCCTGCCACTGCCTGTTTAGACGCACAATGTTATGAAGTATAAAAAAATTGGAAAGGAGCATTCAGGGAAGACGAGTGTTTCTGGGGGGGAGATGCAGACTGTGGTTGTGGTGGCTTGGGCGAAGCGTTTGAGGATTTCTTTCTCTCTTTCCAGGGAAGTCGCGTAAAGTGGAAAAAAGATGTACTACACTAACTAGGCTGCGGATCGTTTCCATGAGATTTAGCGTCGATCTGTCCTGATCTTACTTCGTAAGTTCGTACACGTAAAAGTGGATTTGCAATCTGCGATCCTGATTTCTTAGGGCCTTGGCACGGACATTTCAAGTTCTGGGAGTCTTTTTCTCTCTTTTTTCTTCGTAGTTCTGGGTGTGGAATTGTGGATGTCATCTCGGTGGCTGCCTGAGTGTGGAAGATGATCAACATGGGCCGTGGAATATCCTAGCACTACGACACTACGTCGCATCGAGATCGTAAATCGGATCAAGGGTAGCAGATCGAAAGCCGAGAATTCTTTGCGGGGACGGGAAAAGAGAAAAGAGTGCAGAAAGAGAAAACTCGGTGTATATACGAGCGGACGTTAACTATTGGAAGCTGAATTTTCCGTTTTGAGATGGACACATTAGATCCCAAATAGCCTTGACCACGATCGCCCCCAAAAAATTTTCTTCCTTGTCCCGATGCATCTTGTAGTTTAGTAGCGTATGTAGTCATACTAGTGTGGACGGAAAAGCTTGAGGTGTGTATGGATGGGAAGGACAAATGCAGGTTCGACGTTCTACAGCGTCGAGCGAAGAAAAAGAGAGGATGAAAATGTGTGGGTGGTGTGGGTGTGGGTGTGATTGTTGTGAGTAAGAGAGAGTGTCCACAATGGTTGGATGGACGGGACGGTCACGTCGCTCGACGTAAATGCAACCGATCTGACGCGCGTAATTCTCATTCTCGCATCTTGACTCTCGTCTCGTCCTAGTGTAGTGTGGGCGTATGTGGCTGGCTACAAAGGTCCGGGGGCGTCGGTTGGAGGGTGTTGGATGCTACGGCCTGGCATCCATAACACTTGTTAAGCGCTGTGATGCCCACCAGATGCTCGAGACGACAAAGGCGGAGTTGAGAGGAATGACGCATTGGACTTGGGTTGAAGTTGAGCTTCTTCGGTAATCCCATCTTAGCGAAGTTCCCCCAGACACTTCTTTTTTCCAACCCTAGCTTTTTTTCTTTTTTCCCCTCTGTCATCTGCGCGATCGGCAGATCCGATCCTTCGAACGTGCTGAGGAGGTGCAGAATGCAGGCACTTGCTTGTTAACCAGAAGAGAAGGGAAGCGGAAGGGGTAGGGGTAGACGGGTTCGCCGGTCTCATTAGGAATCGTCGTGGCGTCCTGCCGGCTTCGACGGGCGCCGTTCACCGCGGATCCCCAACTAGGGTCGAAGAAGAGGCAAAAAAGGAAAAGAAAAAAAAAAAGAAAAAAACTTTTCTTTTTTTTTTTCCGAAATTTAATAGTGGATAGGAACGGGGCACACATAGAAAGGGGGGGAGAGAGAACGTCATGGATGTCGGATAAAGGACCGCCAACTCAGACACCATGATACTGGAGGCGAACAGGATCGGTATCGCCACAGGGAGATTCGGTAAGGCTGAGTTGATGTAACCTAACCACCCACATTAGTGTATCATCATCATGCCTCCGTGTCAGGGATAGATGTAGCATACATTAGAAAGGCGCGGTGTCACTCAAATTCGGACACCGCTCGGTCAACCACAATATCACCTACCTATTTCGGATATGCAAAGACCTCCTCGCGCCCTCTCGCAGTCGGGCGAGGGTCGGCGAGAGTGAGCGGGAAGGTGAGCGATTATTTTCCCGAAAATGGAAATACAAGTTCATATGATGGGACGGAGTCATAGACCGAGTCCTACGAGGAGGCAAACGAGGCTCTGGCAGGCTACCCACTGTGGCTGGAGGTGAAGGCTTTTCTCGTCAGCTGAAAAAGAAAGAAAATAAGTTTGAAAATCGCGCCAGCAGCAACCAGGAGGGGGCAAAAAACCAAAAAAAAAAAAAAAAAAAAAAAAAAAAAAAGCAAAGCTCAAGAGCGTACACATGTTGCCACGTACCTTTGTGATATCTTCCGAAGAACGTCATCGCAAGCCGCTAGCCGTAAACTAGTTATCAATCAATGCTCCATCTCCCATGCCTGGGTGGTCGCACGAGACACGTCAACAATTGATCGGTTGATCAACCGATGCAACTCCCAGGATCTCTATTCAATCGGTCTGGTGTGTTGACCTGTCGCATGGGAGATAGGAGATTCCATCAAAGAGCGAATCCCATCCCTTTCGGCGGACACATGATGTATGTGCCTGGCAGCGCACCACGCTGCGGTGCTTCCCGCTGGAACCGCCCCTCTTCAGCTCCCAGGCATCAATTGATCAATTGCGGGTCAGTCCAACCCTGCTGAGCTTCGACACACCTCATGGTCGAGCTCAACGCAACAGCTGGTCGCTGCAAGGACTAGGCAAGCGTCTGCGTCTTAATCATGTCGCAAATTTATCCGAAAATGGGGCGTGCGCATTATGCTGGTCGATCTGCCTTGTGTAAGTTTTGATAGGATTTTGTTGAATTTGCCATCGCCAGGCTATTGATCCTGTTCATCTCTAAACTGTGAATGACAGGACACTGTTCGTTCCGGTTCAGGTGTTGATATTGAGAGCTTCGTCCTGGACGCTCTGATTCGTTACCGGAAATCCGGGAAGGGGTGTGCATGAAGTACTTCCCACCCCACCCAGGCAGGAAAATAAACTAATAGCGCACACATCGGACGGAGACGACAGGATGTGAACAAACGCAATCCACCAAGAATTGGGTCTTGAAATAGAGAGATTGACGTATACAGTTGTGCCACCGCCACCCTATTCCGAAGGGAAGGAGAAAGGATAAAAAAGAACCGGAGGGGGAGGGGGGAAAACGGAATGAAGCTGGCAAGCGCTAGGAGGAAAGGTTCCGCGGACTTGGGCGCAAGAAGAGAACGGTATTATTCCGGAGGGTCTTGTAGCGGAAACTACCAGAAAGAAAACCTGTCGGAATCTTCACATCGGCCGGAGCTAGAGTGACGATCGTACTAAAAAAAGAGAGGAGAACAGAAGGAGGACCGAGACGAGATACCTCAAACTAGCCTGGTCAGAAATAGAACAATTTGCCATCAAGTTGCCAGATCCACAACGCCATCTAGGTTCAAATTAGGACCCAAGATCAGGTCCCAGCAGCCTCTGTCCAGTACAGTCAGATGATGAATGGGCGGACTCGATGTCGATCTTGTCCCACCGGGATCGACGATGACTTTGGATTGCACAACGGGGTTTCCAATGACTCGAATAGCCGGCCCCTGGTGGCTGGTGACTGCCGCAACGTGGCTGCCCAACACTGCAACGAACTGGAACTGGAACTACCACAGTGATGCGAGAAGTGCCAAAGACCGGGCCATGAGCAAAGACCTGAGCGAAGAGGGGGGCTCCGGTCTAGGCAAATCAAAAGATTAGTGGCGTACGACGAAGCTGAAAGTGGATGGCACGCGACTCCGAGTGTCCTTTACTTCGTAGCTTTCACTATTGGGCATGCGGTGGTTCCGCCGCCGCCGCCGAATCGTCCGTGTCCAACGATGTTGGAAATCCGGTTCCTTGGAGCGCGGCTGGAACACGGACAAAACACTTGATACCTAAAACATGTCAAGCAGCCAGATCCCTGCTGTATTCCTCTGCTGGTTGGTGGATGGACCCCTCACTCGGGGTTTAACATCACAACGTCCA